AAAAAAAAAAAAAAAAAAAAAAAAAAAGTCATATCTATACATGTTTTGGCTCAATTCCTGAAAAGTTCTTTATTAAGCAGAAACGAAGATCGATCGACGTAGAAAATATAAAAATCCCTTTTTCTTCAGCAGAATAAAGTTCCTTTTGCGCGTGCGAGATCTCCGTGGATTAATATGAGTGAAGTACAGAGAAAATTGAGTACGAAACATATGCTACTCGAGGGATCTAACGTAAAAATTAGTTGAGGTACAAGAAAACAGTGCAAGATGAAAAGGGAGGTCCTTGCGTAGTGAAAATGCTGTAGAAACACTTAAAAGAAACTGTCTCAAAGGGGTTCAATTTTTTGTTAAAATCCGTTAACTTCTGCGGGTAGATCACTAATATGAACTATTCTTGATAGCATTACAGATAATCGTTGCACAAGGTACATTTCTGCTGTTTTCTTTGGTTGTTTCATAGCAACTTGTAATAACCCTATAAAGCATACGTACTGTCATATTCCTTTTATTAGTATCGCACGAAAACAATTTCGCAGATCATGTAGAATATTTTTATCTGAAAAAGTGCCTAGCAAACTTGTCACCTCCGACGTTCTGAAAATATTATCAATTTTGTACGAGCTATATTCTTCTGCCCCACAGAGTAACAATACTACGCGATTAACTGCAAATATTCCCAATTAGGAATTAAGCGACCATGACTCCAGAGCTGGTCGTTAACAATGATAATTTGGAATAGTAAATACGATAAAAAGAAGTCCAGAACCAATTAAATATATCTATAAAATCATCGTTTTGGTGTAAATGAGAACGCGTTTGTTTTTCTTTTCATTTAATTGATTAATGCAACATCAAATCGATTGATTGATCTACAGTTACTTTGCGTATAATTCTCTCTTTCTCATTTCGAATTTTCTTAATAAAATTTACATATATGTACGTATGCATATGTATGACATTTGAAAAATAGGCGTTTTTAATCATCCAGTAGGATTCTGTCGCAGAATTTGCTCCACTTCTGGTGTCTTATTGCTGATACCGTTAAACCCATCATGTTTGAAGGTTAGTTATTACATAAGGTAGTGCAAAGAAAATTCAGACAGTAGCGTTAGAAATATGATATTGTCAAATCCTTAACTGACATTCTAACTATTTGATAGTCATGTATTGTAAATATTTGCATAGCCTCCTGATTTCTTCTCCACTAGTGTTATTAGTGTTACATATGAATATCGATTTACCTTTTCGTATCATTTCATTATATGGTAATGTACCTTTAATTTCATTATGATTATCTTTTTCTCTGATTAATGATTTCGTTAATCCTTCTATCTCAGATATAGATTGAACGGGTACAAGAGTAATCTCTTGGAAAAATTGATCAGTTATTGATAATTCAAATTTAAACATTGAAGATGAATGTTCGGTGATTTTATTGATATCTTCTATATCGATCGATTTAAATTGATTATTAGTGTCCGTTTCCATCTTGGTCGCTGAAATAGAATAATTACCCTGTAAGAAATCAATAAATTTTGGAACGAATTTTGTTGTTGATGATTCGGAAACATAGAATATTGTCAAAGAATTACGATATTTTGGTTCATAAAAATCATATAATGGTTGAATTTCATACTGGATTAGATCAGAAATGTTTGTAATTAAAGGATTATTTTTGAAATTTATCGTAGTATTAGATAATGGATGCTCATGACTTGATGATGCCACATCAGTAAATGTTACAATGGGTATTTTGTGATTAATTTGAGCAATCGATAAAGATAATTTTTTACGTAATTTTTGTTCCCTGATTAATTTGCCTGATTGCAATAAATCTTTATCACTAGATATTTTAAATTTATCAGTAATTTGTTGTAATTCTTTAGATAATATTTGGTATTCTTTTTCCTTTGCGGTTAATTCTTTGGAATGTTTTAAATTTAAATTAGTTGTAATTTCAATTGATTTTTCACAATCAATAATTTGTTGATTCATTTGATTTAATTCTTGTGATAAATTATTTCTTTTCAATTCATTTTCATTGACATCTTTTTCTAATTCAATATGTTTATCTTTTAAACTTTGATGTTGAATTAACAAATCATTCATTTCTTGTGTTTTCTTTTGTTTAAAATTTTCAAATTCAATGACAACAGGTCCGGATTTTTCATATTCTTTACAAATTTGATTATTTGATTCCGTAATATCATTTAATTCTCTAGTTACTTGTTCAAATTGTTCCTTTAATGCAATCATTTCAATTTCCCATTGTTCATTTGGTTTCATATTTTCAGTTTCAAATAAATCCTTTTCACGTTCAACAATATATTTATACTTTTGATCTTCTAATTCATTCTCAAAAGTAGTTACTTTTATTGAATGTGCTAATTGTAAATTATTATTTTCTAATTCATCATTTCTATAAAGTGATTCCAATGATAACTTAGTTTCATTAACTTCATTATTTAATTGTAAAATTTCATCATTTACCAAAACAATATCATTACGTCTTTGATTATCAAGCTTAATCACATCGGGGATTAAAACCTTATTTAAATTGTCAATTTCTTTTTCAATTTCAATAATAGCGTTTTTAAAATGTGCAATATCTTTAAATATTTTTCTCTGTCGACTTTTCACTAATTCAACTGCACTTTGATCTCCAAACGACATCTTCAAACCACCAATTGCGCTAGGCGTCCTATTTGTTATATCATTTAATAACGAACCATGTCCATTTATATGCGATGTTGTTGTTGTTGTTGTTGACATCTTATATCGTTTCTTACTCCGAGTCGGTGAATTCCCAGACTCTGTGTGGAAGGAAAACGGTGCGGGTATCCTAGTATTATTATTCATCGTAATGAACCGTCCTTTTATTCCTCACACTTCTTATATGTATATATATCTACGTATAAGTATAGTTTTGTGTATGTGTATTGGTACTGTTTATATAATATGTTTCATTTTTGTAAGAAATATGTATTGTTTACTTTTGGAATAATATCCTAATACTGAAACTGATTTTTTTCCCCTCTGTAGCCAGTGTTTCTAAGCAAACAGGCGCAGAAAAACAAAATTCAAAATACACATAACAGAAAGTATAAAATATTATATATAGGTGATACATATGGTATAACTACATATACCCACAAACTATAAAATGATTCACCGACAATCCTGTATATATTCAAATACAAAGTCTCTTAAACCATCTCTCTCTCTCTCTCTCTCTATATATATATATATGTATGTATATACGTTGTTGTAACGTTCTTACGAATACACAAACCCTACACTGCAAACCCTACAACAATCGGGCGCGGTGAAAGAGAAAGCAGAAAAAAAAGCAGGAAAAATGAGGAATAATTCGATACGGTTGAATGCACAAAATGAAGTCAATGAAGATTGAAGGGTTAGCAATATATACAAATACTCATAAATAAGTGCTATAACGATCTCTACAACAACTACGGAACACGATAAGGATGAACTCGTTACTCTCATCATATGACACCGAATTTAAGACAACGTTTGATCAAGCAGAACAAGCTTTACAAACAGCTAAAAATCAATCCTTACCTGAACGTAATTCCACATTAAGCCACATAGAAGAACAAAAAGATGAATTATTTGATATTATTGATCAAATGGACATTGAAGTAAATAATTCTATCAATGATCCAACTGCACGTGCGACATTTAAATCTAAATTACGTGATTATAGAAAACAAATTAATGATTCAATAAAGGCACCTTTACAAAATTTAATGGATTCTAGAGATCGTGATATGTTATTTGGTGAACAATTACAAGATGGTTCTGATCTAGATATGTCAAATATGAATGAAGAACAAAGACAACAATTACTGGCTAATCATAATATTTTAAATAAAACAGGTGAAAGATTAAGGGATGCTTCAAGGATTGCAAATGAAACAGAAGGCATAGGTTCACAAATAATGATGGATTTAAGAGCACAAAGAGAAACTTTGGAAAATTCAAGACAAACTTTATTTCAAGCTGATTCTTATGTTGATAAAAGTATTAAAACTTTAAAAGTAATGAGTAGGCGACTTATTGCAAATAAATTTATAAGTTATGCTATTATAGCTGTACTGATCTTATTAATTTTATTAGTACTATTCTCCAAATTTAGGTAACCTCTATACACACATACATATATATATATATATGTATAACATTTGAGACATTAAAAATTCGGAAATTACTAATATATAATAAAATTATCAACATCGTCATCGTCATCTTACAATGTATTTGGTGAGAATAACGTCAATGCAAGCAAAAGAAAATGGAATTTTGCGATAACCGAATAATATTTCGGTGGTTGGTACGGACAATTCTCTGAAGAATTTTCCATCGCACGCTATTATTTATTTTTTTGGAATTTTCCGTCCTCACACACATTTTCTGTTTTTGGGTTTTACATAATATTTTATAAGAGACATCATCGAAACAAGGTGGTAGATTTATATTATTTGAGTGGATATATGTATATATATGTATATGTATATTAGATTCTGTTGGTTGACATATTATCATTACATTACAGTAGTATACACAGAGCACAGTACAATATCTCGGAGAAAATGGAGTTTGTGTCAGGCATGATTAGTAGATTCACTGAATCTGTTTTGAATATGGATATTCAAAAAGCTATTAGATTGACCATCATTGTTGGTGCTTATATATTATTCAGAAACATCGCTTCAAAGCATTTAACTAAGAAACAACTAGAAAGTAGAGTTCGTCAAGATGAACAACGTATTCAAAGGGAAAAGAAAGAAGGTTTAATCGAAGACCCAAATAAAATATCAGAAAGTAATTCTTCAACATCAGGATTTGGTTGGGGTAAGAAAACTAGAAAGAGAGTACAGAGACAACAAGAAATGTTTGAGAGAGCAGTTGATGATTTAAAGAGAAAACAGGAATTAGGTGTCACTGAAGACAGTGATGATGAAATTGCTGATCTATTGGAAGATTAAATCACATACATACAAATATTTATTTATATAATAATCAATACCCTCATTATAGTCTTAAAAATACATTTTTATAGTATTATTCATCTTATTACACTGTGATATTCATCATCGTCCATACAAAATCATTTTTTTGTTTGTTTTGCAATTGGGTTTTCTTAGTTATGCGGCAGATATTGAAAATTTGAAAATGACAAAAACAAAAAAAAAAAAAGTACATTCAATAATTAAAAAAATTGAAAAATTTATTAGTGAATAGATCATTTTAAAGTAGTAGGACATCTCATCGATTAACCAACAACTACAAATCAGTTGAAAAGTACCCCCCCCAAAAAAAAAACAAATAAGAATGAGTTTTCGTAGAGGTAGAGCTAATGAAGGTAATACTTTTTTAAAAAATTTACCATTTGGTTTAGCTTATACAGATGTTAGTGGATCTCAAAATACAGAATTTCCAATAATTCCACTTCCTGTTAATAATCCAATTACTAAAAAAGAACAAATCACTGCAGTAACATACATAAATCAAACAGATGCAATTAGAGATGGTCCATTTTATTTAGGTTCAATATCTGATAGTACAGATAATAATAATAAGAGTAATACACAAACTGCAAATAATGATAATATAGAGAGATATTCTGATAGATATTTAAAGAAAAGGAAAATTGGTATATCTATTGATGATCATCCTTATCATTTAGAATTGTACCCAAAGGAATTGTACAATGTTATGGGTATAAATAAAAAGAAATTAGTTAAAATTAGAAAATTAAATAATAATACTAATAATGTTTTCACAGGTGCTTTAGATGATGAAACGTTAGGTCTTTCTGTATTAGAAAAATTGAAACAATTAGCTGAAGATGTTGATGATGAAGATGACAATGAGGATGAAAATTCACATAAACGTAGAGATGATGACATTTCTGATAATGATTTCGATGAGGATGAAGAAGAAGATGAAGATAATGATTATAATGGTGAAAGATATTTCGATAATGGTGATGACGATGGTTATGGGGATGAAGATGATAATGGAGATGAACCTGCATTTTAGTATAAAACATGTCGTTACATTCCTCTATTTTCATCAGTTTGCATTTTTATTATCTGGATGTAAAGATATTATTTAAATTTATATACATACTTATAAATTTTTGTATTATAAATGAAATACAACAACAAGAAATAGTCATACGTTTTGAAATATTAAATTTATAAGTTGGAATATTGGGTTATTAACTCTTGCTTATCAATTAAATAATATTCCTCCCATAATATATTTTTGGGGCATAATTTTGGCGGTAATTTTGGCGGTACTAATGATTGAACGTGTGGTTGTAAGTACCAAGTAAGTAATGACCCTGCTAACTCTTTATTTTCCCATTTACCATTCCCCAAGTATCCAGTAACTCTGACATTCATTGGTTCAAATATATTTGTCCAATCGATACATTCATTGTATTGTAATCTATTTGAGAAATTATTTAAAAATATTGGAACACTCACCTCGAGAGGTAAAATATCACTTACCGGTTTATCACCATCTTTTGATTCAAATGTAAATGAGTGTATTATAGTATTATGCTGATAGGTATTATTCTTTGCAATATTTAATGTCAATTCATTTTCTGTGTCCAAGGAATGGCCCAATGTATCTTGATCCATACTGTTTGAATATATCGATTGACTCTCAATACTTGTTGCCGGGTTATCTATATCAAGGAATATATCTTCCTCATAGTCTGGAATACCATTATTGTTAAAAGAATGATCTTTGAAAATATTTTTTAATAGTTTCCCTACTTGTTTTATATTTTTCGTGTGAGAATATTCTACATTATAATCTTTTCGTTTCCCATGATATTTCTGCATTATCAATGGTCCAATTACAATATCCTTGTCCTCTTTCATAGTATTGATTTTTTTGTCGAATTGAGAATTAATTGGTACTTTTCTTATGGTTGGTATAATAGGTGTACTAGGATAGTACTCAATTGAAATTTGCAAAAACGATTTAGATCGAGGGTATGTTATATTGATATTATCCCAATCGGCATACGTTTCTCGAAGAGTAGAACATTTTATTTCTCTTAATTTCAAGGAATAGTAGTCAATATATGATCTCGTTCTACATTGATAGATTTCTTTCTTAGTGTTTGAGATTGATCTGGGGTTACGTTTAAACATATAGAGATCAATTGAGGTGTTTTTCATATCTGTAAATGGTTTGAATTTCAATTCAAGAAGAACTTGATTGACAGTACTGTCAAACCGTTGATAATTTTTACCGATCCCAATTATATAATAATAACCATCTCTTGGCGTAAATCGTTTATCGAAATTGTTTATGTTAAGTATCACAATATCATTTTTCATAACTTTGACCTATTGATATTCTTTTTTCAAATGGTTTATTTTCCTTTCACATATAAGAAATGTATTCTAAATATTTAAATTAATTGAATATCAAATAATAGAAACAGATCATCTATTTGTTCTGTCTTTATATGTTTTCTATGTTTCTTACTGCAGTTAGTAAAACGATGATATATTGCTTGCGCCTCTCTAAGTTCTTTAATGTTTCGGCCCGAATGAATTATAACGTAATTGCACTGCAGTAATCTATTAAATATTTTGTTTAAAACATTATTAAGGAAAAAATTAAATTTAATTAAACTAAGGTTGTTACAAAAGAAATTATGTAAATGACTAATAAGTTGGTGGAGGTCTTCTTCTTGTTGGTGACATTGAACTGCCTCTTGATCTTGGTGATGTAGGAAGTGGTGGCAGCATCGGAGACTTCGATGACGATGGGTCGTATCTGTTTTCTTGCATATAGTTATGAATATGTTTATGCGGACTACTGCTTCTACTATTCTTTAATCCAGTATTAGAAGGCAGAGGAGGTATTATGGGTTGATTTGATGTTTTACGGTTATGTCTAGTCTCTTCTCGACGTGAGTGGCTATACGTCATATTATCATTTCTCTTTATGTCAAATAAATCGGCTGTATGGTCTTCCGTAGGATATCTATGTTGCCCTTGAACTTTTGATTCTTTTCGATTATTATTTATCATAGTCTGTAGTTCACCTGATGGATTAATTTTCTCATCAGTTGACGATACGCCAATAGCCTTCTGCAATGCCTCAATATCTACGCTATTATCCTCTGCATCTGTATTTGGAACACTTGGATTCTTAAAAATATTGATCTTTTCTTTCAATTTTCTGAGGTTAGCAAAATGGAATTTCGTTTCGGAAGTGGTTGAAACTGCTGTGGCTTTAGTGTCTGTTGAGGTTGCTGTATTACTACTACCCATTGAAGACATAAAATTGTTGCGACAATCACTACTCCCATTTGATCTATCCGGTGAGAATGACATAATATCATCTCTTTCTTCAGGATTCCCATTTAGATTTAATCGCTCTACTAAAGGTGTCATCTGCCTCATCTCGGATTGATGCATATAGGGTTGCGCACCAGATATAGTACTTTGAGGTTTTGAAGAATAATTTAAATTATCCCCACTGTGTAAACTACTATTACTTTGACTAATTGGATGATTTGGAGACAAGGTAGTATCAAACTCTGTTGGTAATGGAGGCATTGGTCGGCTTGCCATAGAAGCATCTAATCTCATAGTTCTTTCATCCACCTGTTCTCTACGAGAAACATCTATAGTGGGCTTGAATGTTAATTCGATAAATATGATCCCTGCAAATTCATTTTGTTCTCTTTTCAATTCATACCATTTACAGTACCCTTCTTTAGGATCGGCTCTTATACCATTTAACAAGTCTATTTCACATCTTCCTATCTGTAATGGTGCTTTTTTTTTCCTATCACAATAAACCTCTACATACATTAGTGGTTGCACTGCTGGAGTCATTTCAAACCTCTCTAAGTAATTGAACACAGGGTTTTGTCCGGCACGAAATAGGGTGTCACTTTCTCTAGTCATATGTGCTATCCTTAATCTTAGCATTACATTTTGCTTATCTAATTTTATAAGGTTTGGTAGATCTTTGGCTTTACTGACGTAGACAGAGAGGGTACCGTGGTTACCATCCCATGAATCAGAAATATCCATTGTTATACTCCTTGAGAAAAAATAATGGAAAAGAGTTGGAAATTTCACAATAATGAACAAATAATGTTATAATACCAATATTTGAACTAGTTTCGATGTCTTTTTTAAGTGAATTATTGTATTTATCAATTTGTTGATGTATTTTCATACATTGTAAATATTCTTAGTTCTCGATCTTCTTTTAAAAACTTCTTTGTTTACATTCGGCCAACTCGGGGAAGGACACTAACAAAAGTATTTTAGAGAACGATTGAAAAAATAAAATATCAGTATTTATTACAACTATATAACGTGAAAAAAAACAATTTCATAAATTAATGATCGTATTCATGTAGAGCGAATGGCCAATTCAGGGTAGTATGTGCCACTACTTTTGATATCTGCTACCTGCTGAAGACTGGTTTCTTGGTCCTTGAGGTAGATGAGGCTTTGGTGGTGTGTTCCCAAATCTCTTTGTAACGTTAGTACTACTATTGTTACTCTTAGTTTTGTTAAACGATCCCTTATATCTCATACGTTCGTTATTATTAGAACTGCTATTACGAGAGTCTTTTTGATAGAATTGCTCTTCCTGTGATTTAGGAGCATATCTTGCATTCTTTTTGAAATTGCCAGTATCATTTCTAGGTTTTTTATTAGTTGATGAACCTTCTGGTCCAGTAGGAAGTTCTCTCTTGACGCCCCTGGAGGAGCTTTCTGTATTGCTATTTCTATTGTAGCTTTGTTGTCTTTCAGGTCCAGTGGAGTGTTGGCGGTTTTGATAAACGTTTTGTTTACTATTAGAATGAGCTTTCTCAATTTTTTTATATCTATCACCGCTTCTGTTAAAACGAGCATCATCTCTTCCAGTAGGCTTCGTGTCATTTCTGTTGGTAGTATAAGAATCCCTGGAAGGTTTACTGGCAACATTCGGTCTTAATACACTGGATTTTGCAACCAAACCAGTATTATTATACCTACTTGCACTCGGTGTGGTTCTTTCAGAATCTTCTGCATACATGTCAGCAATAGTTTCTGGCTGTTTCTGGGAGAGTAAATTACATGCCTCTCTTACTTCAGTCAGACGGTCAACAAAATCTGGATTATTCTCATAACGAATTAGTGATTTGTAAAAATCCTTGATTGTGTTATAAACAGTATCTCTGAATTCGTCTTCAGGCATTGCTGATTCCATACAACGTGTAATAGTACTGGACAATTTTTCATCCTTTATTGTATTAATCACATCTTTAATATTATTCATCTTCAGGTGATATATCGTTTCTGACATAGATCTGAACACCTTACCCAGTGGCCAATTTACTTCCCTTGGACGAGAGTCTCTCGTTTCTTCTCTATATATATCATCAAGATCGTTCTCAGTATTTATATCCTGGTTATCTGGATTGCTGCTATCAATACCAGCTTCTCTCTTTTTCTTGTTTGTTTCTAATTTTCTTCTTATATTAGCTTCTTTCTTTTCATTCTCAAGAGCACGTAAATAGTTATCAATCTCAGCCTTCTCGGAATCTTGCTCTTCCTTCAATTTCATTTCTTCTTCATTTAACTCACAGAATTTATTTAATGGGAGTTGTTCTTTTCTTAAACGAGCCTTTAGATGACCAATCAATGCATTTGTAGGCAATTTTATATCCTCTCTCTCTTCGCTAGTCAAATTATACTCTAATGCAGAAATTAATAATCCAACCTGTTCATCAATAACCGGGAAAACATTCGATACATGTTTCATGAACTCTATCCCATTTCTGATCGACATGTAATTTTTCTCTTGTAATAAGTCTACAATTTGATCCATCATAGAAGTATGACAGTCATAGAGATCACGTTTTTGAATTGCTGATAATATGTTAGCTTTTCTCTTCTCCTCCAATGTTAATAAGAAAGTTTCAAAGAATATACCAAGGTTACCTGCTTCAGATATAGTTGCAGAAAACAATAAAGTGTTCAGAATGTTTGACTCCATGAAAGAAGATAATAGCTTTAAAATATATTCAACCTCGAATCCGTAAAATATGAAATGAGTGGTAAATATAGCATCTGAAGGTGAGAAAATAGCTCTTGGGATAATACAGTATTGCAAAAATGACATTAAACTATCCTTGTCGGAGTTTTCAGTCCATTTACCGTACAGAGGATGTAAATATTCATGGATGTTCTTAATTCTTTCTTTTTGTACTTCTAAGGAACTCAATAAACTCTCTTTCTTTTGTTGAAGTGATTTCTTCTTTCTTGTGGATAAATCTTGTGCAGTTAATTTTCTTTCCATTTTTTCTATTTCTGAATAATAAAGTGATTCATCCATATATATATCATATAAGGAAAACCTCCAGAATTTAACAAACAAGGAACGTTCAATTTTGTGAAATTCAGTATGAGAGATATTTACGTTTGTTAATAAACCCTCCAAATCAGTGTTATTGATTTGACCTTTTTTGTCATAAACATCTCTCCAAATATGGCATATCCATGATACCGAAATATGGTGAATGTCATGTAATGATTCAAATGACGAAACGTTAGATGCGAAATTTTCATCACTTAAGCAAAATTTGATCAATTCTATGAAGGACCATAATAATGTATTTAAATCGTCTGATCTAGTAGAAAGAATCTTATAATGGTCGGTAGTGATATTAGTTTTTAATTTCAAATTGTATAATAAAATGATTATCTCTGTAATCGAATGCTCCTTTTGGAATAAAGAAACTAATTTAGAAGATCTTTCCTTATGGGAATCTCTAAAGTCAAAAATGAGTTTTCTAGCTTCTTGTCTTAATGGCTCACCTGAATTTAACATTATTATACTATTATTATTAACTTCATTTAAATCTCTTATACCAGCAACTTTGCTTAATAATTGTTTTAAAATTGATGTGGCAATAGCATTACCCTCGTGTAATTTTTTGATTACAAATACAATAATATTGGAAATATCCATTTCAGGACATTCGCTTGAAAGACCAGCAATGAAAATAGAAAGTCTTTGGGCCCACATCGATTCATTTATGCCATCCTCCTGCAATGCAGAACGAGATTGAGTTAAACGTAATAATAGGACATATTGTAATACATCATAAGCAAAATCATTATAATACCTTGTGGAATGTACAACGAGGTCAGATACTTTATCATAATTTTCAATTTGTTTTACTACTGGAATCAATGTTGCCAAAGGATTAGAAGAAACTAAATTGGACAATTTTCTAGCTTCTTTACTGATAGTATCAATACTTAGCGCCTTTAGGATACTACGAAGATCTCTTTCTGCCTTATTGCTAGCCATACGTAATGGTAAAATATCTTGAGATAGTTTAGTGATCATTTCATTGTACATAATATATCTTTTCTCGAACGGGAATAATTTCATAACACAATAAATTTGGTTAGATGCAGTAGGGTTAATACCTAATAATGGTACTGCTGGAAAGATAAACTTTCTGAAATAATTCACCCATTCGTCTAATTTACTAGTATCATCCACTGAGTACTTTTCTATATCATGAATAGCGATACGACAAATTTGGCACAATAAAGATCCACTTTTGGCTATTTCAAAGCCAATTAAAGAGAATAAGAGATGCGATTTTTCGAAAAGTTCATCTATATTAGAAATTTGTTCAATACCATCACACCATTCCTGGAAATAGAAGATATTTTTGCTGTTTAAAGATAATGTAGTATCGACATTGTGTGACAGATTTTCAGTTATCAATCTTGGTTTTGTTGATAAGGACTGTTCATTCTCTGTCATTAATTTTTGAGGTGCTGCTAATTCTTTAGAAGGTTGTAAGACAGTTGAGCTGTATATATCACGAATGATATACTCAAATATTCTAGTAACTAAAGTAGGTATTTCGTTATCAAGTAGAACACATTTTGGATAACGGTTTACAATTAAGAAGGCATCTTCCACACAACCATGGGACAATAAACTTTTTAATAAAACAATTTTTCTTGGAATCGATGAACTGCGTTCCATATCTTCTACTATTCCCGTATCTTTAGTTACCGTATCTGTATTATCTTCATTATTTGCAGGTTTGCCTGGTTTTCTGTTTCTACGGTCACCAAAATCGTCATCTTCATCTGTTGTTAATGCTGCAGCCATTGCCAAAGGGTTATCAATTCCCTTCATGGATTCTCTTTCTAACATGTCTTCTTCATCAGAGATCATCTTTTGAAGGGCATCTATTGTTGGTTGAATGTTGTGATACAATAACTGACCATCTAATAATTTGGCCTTTATCATAATTGCACACATATCAGCATATGTCGCTACTGAATCTTTGTCACATTTATCTAAGTTGAAACAAACGATCTGACTTAATGTAATGTCAAGTCCGTTGTGGCTAATAAGACTTGATTGGTTCAAATATTCAATTAGAAATTTATAATGGTTAACAATGTAGGTCGAAGAAACTGAAAGAAAAATATCTAGACACCTTGCAGAGTCCAATGCGTATTTCCCGCATATAAAATTAGCCTCTTGAATATACCATTTAACCTTCTGCATCTTATTTTCGTCGTTATAAGCGGTTAAATATAACATCACCAATTCAGAGAACCCAACGGAACTTTCGGCTAGTAAATTGAACTTAGTAATCTCATATTTAGATTTCTTCAGTAGATGTCTCAATAATTGTGTTTGAGCGCGGTTAGTTAATTTCGATGATAACCAACTGAATTTAAAGACTTCAGAATGGATCCTAGTAGTCTTTGTAACTAGTTCAATCAGCATATCCTCATGAGTAGCGGCTTCTGGAACACAGCTCATTGCGGCGATAAAAGATTTCCCTACCATTGATGACATAGAGAGATGAGAACGTGTTGGTAGAATCTTTGTTAAATCATTAATGAAGAGAGCAATTGTTTTAATTGATAATGTTAGAGTGGATGTTGCCGCAAACAATATTTGGAACAATTCGATGAAAAATGTCCTTAACCATTGCTCTCTATCTGAATCATCTTCGATTCTTTTTAAGTCATCAATTAAGTTGTCCCATTGTTTTTCGTCACCGGTAATATATTCACCTGTTAAAATTGTACCTTTTGAAGCAGGTAACAGAATCTGTTGTTGCTGCTTAGCAATCTTGTTTAAACGGTCAATCAACGACATCGGAATGGTTGAAAATACGTGTTAATTCTAGTGCTAATACTGGTATTCTAGCGAAATATTTAAAACTTGGTGATGTAATTACTACTGATGATTAGAGTGATGGTTTTAGTTGCAAAGTTTTTAATTTGTTTCCTTCCTATTCAATAGATTTGAAAAATTATTGAAATAATCAAAATAGCGGCAGAAATTGTTGTGGGAGCCGAGTTTTCAATGAAAATATAAATATTACTATTTAGAGATGATCTGAGAAAATACATTAAAGCACATACAGAGGGCACAGAATAAGAGTTGTGAATAAGTAATCTATACCGGATATCAAGATTATTTAAAATTACATAATGGTATGTTAATATGTATATGCATTATACTATGAACTTTGTTCTATTTAACTTTTTTCAGAAACATATTTACTAACAAAATTCGATGGATATTCCTCAATATAAGTACAGTCTGAAAGACAAAGACAACAACGTATATATCAAATACAGAGGCAAAAATACCTTGGTGTAGGGAATGAAGACACCACTAAGGAGGCATGGGCAGATAATGTGAGAAAGGATACTTATCACAGCTTACAAGGTCATTCCTCCATCCTGGAATATTTAACCTTGGCCAATAATTCTATTCAATCTAAGAGAGATATGAAAGTTAACCTCATAAAGAAAATGGTACAAACTGAAAATAGTAAAAAGAGACCCATTGACGAGTCGTAAGCAATACAATACTAGAGAAGTCAACCAAATTGAAACCATTAGTATCGACAAATTTGAGTAGCTGGTCCTGTGAGTCGTACACAACGACATAATGTCCTGAGTTGCATTTAGCAACTCTCTGCGGTGTTTTTACTGAAACTTACCGACAAAAATTTAATAGGGGCTCGTCTTCTTCTGTTTAATTTGTTACCATCAGAGGTAAGGAGAAACAAGTGAAACAGATACAACATTTCGTGTTCCTTGTTATGTAACAAATAACTACAGATATATTCATAAATAAATATATAAATATACAGATGCATGAAATACTTTAGATACAAAAATCTAATTTTTAATTATAAATTGAAACTATCTTATTATTTATCTTCGTCTTAACGAAACATAACATTCAAATTTGAAATAATCACATTTGTAACAACTTCGTAAGGATGCCTGAATCAGGAAAATTTGGAATGCAAGGTTACAACCTTGTCAAACTATTGAAAAGATTAGAAGATGCTACTGCTAGATTGGAAGATGTTACAATCTACCAAGAAGGGTACTTGCAGTCCAAAGTAAATGGTAACCGTGATGAAACTAAAGTGATCTCTTGCGATACTGATGTCAAATCAGTTGCCTCTGCACAAGTGAGTGAATCAAAGGCAGATGCCCAAACCATTGTAGAAGACCCAAAGGAAGTCATCCATTTCAAAAAGTTCATTCAAGATAACTTAGTTCCTTTATCTAAATTATCAGATTCTATTGATCCAGTTGTAGCTGAAGCTATTGAAATTTTAAAAAGCGCTTTTGACTGTCAAATTCGATTAATCCAAGCTGCATTAATCTCAAAGAAACCAGATTATTCTTCTGCGGAATTTGGAAATGCATTAAAATCATTAAATGAATCTGTCATGAAACTTGGTGAATTGAAAGAAAAAAATTTTTCCAACAAATACATCAACTACTTAAATTCAATTGCTGATGGAGCTCCAATTATATCGTGGGTTGTATCAGACACTCCTCTGTCACTAATTAGCGATTTCAAGGATTCTTCTCAATTTTGGACTAATAGAATTTTAAAGGACTTTAAGGATTCGGACCCTAATTCTACCGTTTGGGTCAAAGCTTTCCTAGGTATGTTTAATGAATTGAAGGTATATGTCAAAGATTATTTGACTACTGGCTTAAAATGGAAAGAAGATGGTATAGAATTCACTGAAGCTTTATCTCAATTTAGTTCTGAAACTGAAAACGAAAAGAAGCCTGTCGCTGCTCCTGTCGCACCTCCTGCTCCTTCAGCAGGTGGTCCACCTCCTCCACCTCCACCTCCACCTGCTGCGGTTTTCGAAATAAAAGATGATGCAACAACTGCTAAGGATGAAGGTGCTGGTATGGGTGCTGTCTTCCAACAATTAAATCAAGGTTCGGACATTACAAAGGGTTTAAAGAAGGTTGATAAATCTCAAATGACCCATAAGAATCCTGAATTACGTGGTTCTTCAACTGTAGCTGCTAAGGCCGCTCCACCACCTAAACCAAAGAAGCCATCCACATTGACAACAAAGAAACCTCCAAGAAAGGAGTTAAGTGGTAACAAATGGTTTATTGAAAATTATGAAGATGAAGCTGATCCAATTATTATCGAAGCTAATAAAGATGAATCTATTTTCATTGGTAAGTGTGTTAACGTGTTATTCCAAATTAAAGGTAAAGTTAATGCTATTTCCTTAAGTGAAACTGATGGTTGTAGTATAGTCTTGGACTCTAGTATTTCTGGGTTGGATATCATCAAGTGTCACAAATTTGGTATCCAAGTCGAACAAAGTATTCCTCAAATATCTATTGATAAATCAGATAGTGGTGCAATCTATTTATCCAAGGATTCATTAGAAACTGAGATCTATAGTTCTTGTTCAACATCTATTAATGTTAACTTACCAATTGGAGAAGATGGTGATTATGTAGAGCATGCACTACCTGAACAATTCCAGCATAAATTTACCGATGGTAAATTCAAATCTAATGTATTTGAACATATGGCCTAGGTACTTTATATTTATATAGCCACGTAAATCATGTTATTAAATATCATTTTAAGGAATAAGAAAAGATAAAAACATTTATATTCAAAATATACATACTGGAGAACAACTCATTATAATCTTCGTCATTCCGGAAACAACGTACCCAGTCTGTAATGGTTTATTTTACAAAATTGGTCGAGATACGTACATTTTATCTTCACTAAAAATGAATTGAATTTGAATACTATTTACAAATTGTATGTACATTATTTATATATATGTTCTAAAGGGAACAGCTAAATTAAGCACCATCATATTTGATGGATCTGCTTATTTGCAAAGCATTATTTATTTACCCTTTCTGACGTAGTACATGTAGGCTCTTTCGTGAACGGTGTCGTCAAATGGTGAAATAACTTCTGAATGACCAGGACGAGCTACTGGATCTCTAAGATACACAGCATGACATGTCTTGAAGGAAATTTCTAAATGATGAGGCAAAACTGCGAAAGGTGCTAAAAATTGTCTTGGTTTCCATGGCGTAAAATATGGTTTTCTTGGGTCTTGACGGCCATAGACATGTTTTTGCCAAGGTAAGTTAATGGATTCAGAAGCCAGTTTTTCATCTTCTGCAATACTTTCGAATTCAACTTTTTCATGATATCTCAAATTATTAGACCATTTTGGATCAAATGGAATATAATTTGTCTCTGCTGAAGCCTTATTGGTTTCATAAAATGTTCTGATTGATTCAGAATAAGCTTTCGTCAAGTCTGATAACTGTTTCATACCAGATCTGATTAGAACTTTTGAGTTGTCTGATAACTTCTCTTTCATTTCTGATGTGAAAGATAAAAGACCTTCAGCCACATTGTTTAATTCCTTTACAGATTTTCCTTGTAACTTTTCCAATGAGATTTCTTTGGACTTTTCTAGAGCATCGTAACATTTGTACACATCATGACTCAATTCTGGGCTCTTTTCAACAACACCTTCAAAATCCTTCTTTGTCAAAGGTGTGGCCTCATCTTTTCTAGAAGCCTGAACTTTCAATAGCTTTATCAACATATTCTTTGGAGTACAAGATTTCAATTCATCATGTTCATTTTTTTCCATTTTGGTATTATATTTTTCGATAAATGTAGTTATGGATTCTTTCTTTGGATTTGCCTCTGGTAAATTCTTATGTTTATTTAATTTATTATCCCATACTTTTCTTGGATTTTCTTTAGCTTCTTTAACATGTTTATTCCATAAAATAATTTGAGTTTTATCGACTTTTAATGCTTCTGAAAGACTTGGTTTTCTTGCACCTAATGCCTCTAACACTTTGTCTGGTCTAACATGAAACAAATCACCTGGTTTCAATATATAACCTGGATGACGTATCTTAAGCCCATTTACTGTAACATTACCATGCAAGATAAATTGTCTTGCTTGTCTAACAGATGATGCAAACATTGCACGAAATAGAGCAAAATCAAGTCTTTTCTCCAATACTGCATATGTTTGAGATAAAAATGGAGTATCTTTTACTTTACCATCCCCACGTAATGATGCATCTAATTGTGCAACAGATTCCAATTTTGGTTGAAACAGTGAGCTCCATCTTCCTTCTGTTAAATATTCACCGTGATATGCTCTTGTTTCTTGTTTAGCATTCCATTTCTGTTGATATAATGACTTAGTCTTAAAATCTGGGTTTGATTTCTTATATATATTGAATAAATTATATTTGTTAAAGGAGGTACGGATTCTACCCCTAGTTAAAGACTTCAATAGAACGGCTTTCTTTGGCATCTTTTATAGAACAAAAAAAAAGGCTTCAGTCGACAAAATTAAACGTATTTGAAATATATTGTTTAAGTTATTATTACCAAACGCAGCCAAAAAGGTTTGTTATATCAATATTTGTTTATTGAACTAATGGTTTCTGTTATACTACTTGGATCTGTCTCTGTTATTTTAACGCAATTAAAAAAAACGAATAATTACGAACATTATTAGTTTTCTGGACAAAAATAAAAGCCCGAAATTTAAGAATATTTTCGTTTTCGCCTGTAAATGTTAGGTTGTTCATTCTTGTTTTTTTTTTTGGATTCAACCAAAAAATCCGGGTAGATTGAAATTTCAAACTAGTAAACACACCTTTAGGCATCTATTAATGATTAGTTCTCGTATGACAGATAAGAATTGGAATAACTACATAACCAAAGGGATTCAGACTCTTATTAATTTGATAAACCTGAATTAAACCAATTGTTGGTGTCTGTTAGAAGCAAAAGTCTGACAATAGAAGCAAAATCATTGTTGATAAAGAAAAAAAGATGTCAACCAATTGGAATATTGTTGATGAAATTCGTCTGTTACGGTGGGTATCTGAGTTTAAACCTGCTGGAGTACATAAACATTTCCAAATGATGTGTATAGTGGAACGATTGAATCATCCAGATAAATATCCATTAGTCTTGTTACAGAAAGAAAATAGACGACCTAATAAACAATTTACAGTGGAGACTGTTTGGGCTAAATTAGCACAATATTATAATTTAGAAGAAGCTGATAAGATAGAAGATAGAAATAATACAGAAATTAATAGCGACTCTAATGCTAAATTGATTGAAGGAAATGGTACAGGAGATGATCAACAACAATTAAATCAATTATTACAACATACAAGAGATTTTGCTTTACCATGGAATGAATATGGTGAATTAATTTTAAATAATGCAAGAAAGGGTGCAAGTGATGATGAAAGTGATAGTCCGAGAAGTGTTAAAATAGCAGAAGAAACAATAATAACTAAGGATGAAGTGAAACCGATGGAGGAAACTTCTGAAGCGCTAAAGCAAACTTTGGTAGAAACAGAAGGTACCAATACCGTTATAAATGAATCCCAAATCGAGCCCCAGAAGGAAACTCCTGTTATTGTCACAGAGACAACTGAGAAAGAATCTTCAATAGAAATTCAAAAGGAGGTACCTAGTGAAGCAGAAGAAGAAGATAATGGTAAAAGTGTTACAAAAATTCAAAATAAAGAAGAAAATAAAGAGGAGAACATTAAGCCGAAAAATAAACCTGATACACAAGTTGATATAAAAGCTGAGACACAACCAATAGAGGAAACTGTTTCAACGACAACTAAGACGATTGAAGAAACTGAATCCTCCGAGGAACCTGTTGAATCTCCTGTAGATGTAAAATCACAAGAAGTCAATGATGAGAAAATTACAGAATCTCAAACTGCACATGTAGAAACAATAGATAAAGATACACAAGCTATAAAAGAACCAGAAGAAGAACAAACGACGGAAGATTCTAAGACAAAGAAGAAAGAGGAACCAATCGCAACTGAAAAGAGACAAACCAGATCAGCGAGTACAATACGAGTATCGTCACGTCTACGTAAAAAGGCAGAGAAGGATGTAAATGATGAGGATGAGGATGAAAACATAGAAACCGCAGGTGAATCTGTTGATCATAAGGACGCCATAGACAAAACAACTCCCATTGAAGAAAATACAGGTGAATCGAAAGATACAAAACGTGATGAGCACGAAGTGGTTGGATCATCAGAAGAAGAAGAAGAAGAAGAAGGAGAAGAAGAAGGAGAAGAAGAAGGAGAAGAAGAAGGAGAAGGAGAAGGAGAAGGAGAAGGAGAAGGAGAAGGAGAAGGAGAAGATAATGATAATGATAATGATAAACCTCCTAAAAAACGTAAAGCTGCAATCAGTGATGAACCTATGGCTAAACGTACCAGACACTCTTCCTCGGCAAGACAACCAAGAAATGATGAATCTCGTGAAGAAACATCTCCAAAGAAGGTCAAACGTAAAAATTCAACTACTAATACAGAAACACCTGAAAAACCTTTAAGGGTCTCTCGAAGACTAAGAAGTCGAAAATAAATAAAAGGTAAAATGTGAAAAACAGCACCATAAAAGATATAAGATTTTTAACATATTTATAAAGTGTACGCATGTATATGTATGTATATACGTATATAAGTTCTTTTTTTTATTGAAAAATGAAATAAAGAACAACAAAAAGAAACATTCCATATGAACATTCTTAGTGTTTTTTTCAAATATAAAAAAAAAGAATATGTTAAATTTGATTTACTGTTCATAAACATTTTTTTTTTGGCATACATAAATTAAAAAGAGTAATTAATTTATTTGTATTACTTAGTTAACCTTTAGCAATTCGACGTCAAAGATCAAAGTAGCCATTGGTGGAATTAGACCTGGGAAACCACGTTCACCGTAAGCGTAAGCACCTGGAATAGTTAATCTAGCCTTTTCACCAACGGATAGTTTTGGAATAGCGGCATCCCAACCTTTAATAACTTGGCCAACACCAATGTTACATTGGAATGGAGAACCTCTGTCTAGAGAAGAATCGAACTTTTGACCATTTTCTAGAGTACCAGTGTAATGGATAGTGACTAGATCACCAACCTTTGGGAAAGTCTTACCATCACCTGGGGTGATTCTATCAATTGCAACGTTACCTTCAATTACTTCAGACATTGTAAATATATGTGTGTGTATGTGTATGTGTGTATATATGTATGCTGAAACTAACAACAAATACACAATTTAAAAAAAAGACTTTTAAGAATTGGGGAAAATAGGTAACCTTCTTTCTTATATAACAAAGAACTTTCCATTTTGCCTCTTACGGGAACCACTTTCCATCCCTCTCTCTCTCTCGTCTTCGTTGCCTCTCTCTTTTTCTCTCTCACTATATTATTGCGTCCCATACATGTTTGATCCCTTTTCTTCTTCTCGCAATCGGCGGGTTCCTCCAGAAATGAAAACGGCGAAACGAAAATTCGCAATCAATTTTTGCTTTTCTTTCTGGGCGGAGGGAGCGACATGGAGGAGGAGGAGGAGGAGGGGAGAGCCCTGCTAGTTAGTCTGGTTGTCTGTTTAAGAATATCTCGACCGAAGTTAACGGATCAATCACGTTATATAGAGATGCACATAGTAGGGCTCTCATCGAGGGAGGTATGGTCACTAATCTATAATCAATTTGTTCTTTTTACTATGACGTATTTGGTTTAGGGTGAAGAGACAAAAGGGAAAAATGCACAGAAGACCATCTCTCTCACATAAATGAAAATAGTAAATATGAATTCTTATATTAGTAGCCTAATTATTTATGAAGTACAGTATAATTTTTTTATGTAAGTAAATAATATTGGGAACTCCATCGTGATGATTATATTTAGTTCAAAACAGCAACTAACTTTGTACCAGAGTTTCTGTTGTTCTTAATATCATCAGTGATTTGAACAGCACCTTCTAGACCCTTGTATACTTTAACTGGAATATGATGAATTTCACCAGACACTAATTTAGGGTTAATGAATTTAATGAATTCTCTGGTATGTTCTCTGTAGACTAAATCCTTTGGAAGTGTGAAAGAACCAAATGGAACATCATGACCAGCGGCAACATATAGTAAAGTGCCTGTAATCTTCACATTATCCTTTCTATCTTCTGGTTTAATATCCTTAATAGTATAAGTAACTAATTGTAATACAGTAGCAGGTTCATTATCAGAAGCACACTTATAAACTTGTTGAATAGTTTCTTTGTTTGAAACACAATCAACTAATTGTTGAATATTTGGATATTTAGCCTTGATTTGTTCAATAACATCAGCATCATGATAATCAAATAATTCATCAGCACCATATTCTTTCAATTGTTTTTCATGTTTTCTTGAAGCTACAACAATAATCTTAGAATAACCGTGTAATTTTTTAGCTAATTGGATTAATGGTTGACCAATGGCTGTAGCACCACCCCATAATAGGATTGGGAAATTATGTTGTGGTTCAGTTGGTTCCCATTCTAATTTATTACCTAAATTATGAGTTAAAGCAACACCTGCTGTAGTTAATGAGACTGGCAAAGTAACACAACCTTCATAGTTAGTAACAGGGCCCTCAGGTAATGAATCTTTACCTGATAATTCACAATTTGTTGGACAGTGGTAAGCTAATTTGGAATCCAATGCAACATATTCAGCAAAAGCACCATTGGTTGGTAATCTTACAGAAGCACCGTGAACAAATCCAAAGACATGATCACCAAGGTGAAATTCTTTGGAGTCGACATTTTCACCGATTTTAACAATTTCACCAGCAACATCACAACCTAAGATTGATCCCTGAGGTCCAATCTTGAAAGCGATATGTTTCCAATCGGTTGGATTACCGGCAATGGCTTTGGTCTTTAATAAGACGTGACCATCTTCTAATGGTGGTAATGGAACTTGCTTGACAGCTGGAACATCACCGGAAATAACAACGGCATTCATAGTAGTTGGTAAAGACATGATTATTTTTTTTGTTTGTTGGGAGGAGGGAGGGAATATAAAATAAGGGGTGGGCAAAGGGAAGATTATGTTTCTTTTGACTTAGCACACTTAACTTTGAAAATAATATTAAAAGAAAAACGAATATGTATAATTATTAATTGAAGAGAGAAATGATTGAAATAGAGGAATTTCAAAACAATTGCTCTATTTATATATATATACATTTTATAAATTACATTTCTGTCCTTCCCTTACGTTGTTCCTACATGACGTTATTCTAAGGCCTAACAGTCGGTCTCATCGCGGATCGTTTTTTTTTTCAGTTCAATTAAATCGCTTAATGTTAGTATTCTTACATAATCAAGATATTTTAGTGAAGAATTATTTTCAAAAATCATTTTCTTCCGCGGAAAAATTAAACCGGTAGATATTAACAACTGAATAAAGAGGGACTTAAACCTTTGCCTTTGTCAACATTCACCAAACAGGTAATTGAATGAAATGCTCCCATTGTTGGTGATGGTTTTGCAATTATATATTTACAGTTTTTCTTGTTTTGATTTTTAGTAATATGTTTATTTCAATGATTCGATATGAATGAATATTTAGTTTTACGTAAGGTTATTGTCCTTTTCTTTTCTAGTTGAAGACTGAGACAAACTTTTCACCAGAGGTCTTACCAGCTTGGATATCCTTGACAATTTGAACAGCACCTTCTAAGCCATTTTGATAGACCTTGACTGGAATGTGGTGGAATTCTCCCTTTAAGAAATGTGGGTTGATTTGTTTGATGAATTCGACAACGTGAGCTCTGTAAGCATCATCCTTTGGAATGACACTACCGAATAATGGAACATCATAACCAAGAGACAAGTAAATAATGGTACTGGTGACATCAACGTTCTCTCTCTTGAATTCTGGCTTGATTGCATCAATAGTTAGACCCATGTAGTTCATAACAGTAGCTTTACTGGTTTCAGAAGCACATTGATAAGTTTGGTTCAAAGTTGTTTCACTAGAGACACAGTCCAACAATGTAGTAATGTTTGGGTATTTAGCCTTGATTTGTTGGATTACATCAGCATCGTGATAGTCAAAGATTTCATCAGCACCGTATTCCTTTAATTGTTTTTCGTGCTTCTTAGAGGCCACAGCGATAATCTTAGAGAAACAGTTGTACTTCTTAGCTAGTTGAATCATTGGTTGACCAAGAGCAGTAGCAGCACCCCAAACCAATAATGGAGAATCTTCTTGTGGCTTGGTAGCTTCCCATTCGTATTTCTTATTGAAATGATAGAATAAAGTGACACCAGCAGTGGTCCAAGAACAAGGAATAGTGGCAGCGCCTTCGAATGTGTTGATAGCACCTTCTGGGATATTATTCTTACCGCTGAAATGAATGTCAGCTGGAGTATGGAAACTCAATTGAGAATCTAAGGCAACATATTCAGCAAAAGCACCATTGTCTGGAGTTCTAACAGAAGCACCGTGGATGAAACCATAAACGTAATCACCAACATGGAATTCCTTAGAGTCAACACCATCAGCTAATTGAACAATTTCACCAGCAATATCACAACCAACAAGGGAACCTTGAGGACCCATACCGAACTCGATATGTTTCCAATCGGTTGGGTTACCAGCAACAGCCTTTGGTTTAATTAATAAGTAACCCTTTGGTAGGTTTGGTAATGGGACAGTCTTAATGACAGGAGCTTTACCTTCAATGACAACAGCTTTCATGGTAGTTGGTAGAGACATTTTATAAATTGTGATAGTTGTTTAATTAGTAGTTTGGGATAATGATATTTATCTTTCAATTGATTAGTTTATTAAACTTATTGAAGTTTGTTATAACAATCTATTGTATGATGATATTGTATATAATAAGGTAAATAAGAATTTGTTTTCCAAGGGACGAATGTATAAAAAGAATAATTGAATAAAGCCCATCTTATATAGTTATGGTTCCTCCCCTTAAAGACTTGAAAAATAAAAAAATTAAAAAATTGTAGTAAAACAAAGAAAAAGAAAAGGGACAATATTATAAAATTTTAATTACCTAATTTTGTAGCTAATATGATTGGCAAATAAATCACCTTGAAGATCTAATATTAACGGTGTTTAAATTAGTTTAAAATAAGGCTTCGATCTTTTTTTATTCTGCTTACTCCACTGTGATGTTTCTATTAGAAAAAAAAAGAGGGTTAATGATTGCTAAATACAACTTTTGTGAGAGTAAGAAGAAACGAGTAGTCATCAACTTTCTACTCTCCCTCTGATAATAATTCTTGCAAAATTTTTAGTTTTTGGCTTTCAGTGATTATCTTAGTAATCCGAACAGAAAAGAAAATATTCTTTTTGCCCCTTCCGACGGTTGGGCTATGTTATTGTGTATAACAATGATTTTTAGCGGAACCCAGCCGTACCGAACCGGTGCGGACCGAGCCGGTCCGCACCGTGGAAGTTATTACTCCGTTGTATTACGATTACGTTATGTATTACGCACAAAAGTGACAATCTAAAAATAATGATGAAAATAACGTCAAATTTTGGTAGAAACAATGAACTGTCGAAGGAAAAGTATTCTTAGATTCGTTATAGGCAAAAGTTCAGATGACGTATACTAAAAGTAGTCCAAAGGTTTCAATCGAAGCCCCGGGTCGATAATTTAATAATTGAATGTTCTATGATGTTCCATAATGGACACATGTTTGTTACTTGAATGATTTGCAAAACTTTAACGATTCCAGGAAACCCTTTTGGTTTACTGTTTGCCTAACTAACCGAACAGTTTTAAGAATTTTTGAGAGTATTTTTATGTTTAGTTTTTAATTCTTCAATTGTGAAGGAGTAATTTTATTACCAAATTGAGACACCGGGTCCTTTTTTTTTATTTCAAATATCTATATTATTTGGGATCAAAAGGTATATGAGAGCCAATGCTTTTCATTTCTCTTAATTTCTTCTAATCACTGTATAGACTATTTAAAATTTATAATACCAGTGGCCTTAGTTCTTGCTTTGTTTTTAAATAAGCGAATAACGATACCAATTATTACACTGTCTCGATACTTACTACAACTAGATTTCATACCCATACTATTTTAAAATTTCAAGACATACATCTATTTTGAATTTTACCTCTTTTAAGTTTTAAAATTGTCCAAAGATTTTCTTGAACATTTTCACTAGAAAAAACCACATAAAAAGAATGACTAAAAATTTTCAAAACGAAAGGAATTATTCTTTATAAAGCACTGGAATCAAAACTACCAATAATGCTAAAACCAAAACAACTACATTGTCTCCTACCTCCTTAAGGACAAATTCCTTTTGCGTCATATGATATCGCTCCCTTTGCTTACTTCAGACGTAAAATTGAAAAACTCTTGATGGTTACCCGCAAAATTAAAAATTTTTTCAAAAAAGCGAAAATTTCATTCTGTAAGAAACGAAATGAGATGAGATGAGATGAGCATCACTATTTAGCAGAAGAAAAAATGTAAGTCACATTTTTAGTAATTTAATATATTCATCATGCTTCTGTACTATTCTTACTTCTAGTTAAGACATATATTAGTGACTCACTACTTGCAAACTATTAGATACTCAGGAACTATGGCCAAGAAAGCTATTGACTCACGTATCCCATCTTTAATTAGAAATGGTGCACAGACAAAGCAAAGATCTTTCTTTGTGATTGTCGGTGACCGTGCAAGAAACCAATTACCAAATTTACATTATCTTATGATGAGTGCTGATCTAAAGATGAACAAATCTGTATTGTGGGCTTACAAGAAGAAACTTTTAGGTTTCACATCGCATAGAAAGAAGAGAGAAGCTAAAATCAAAAAAGAAATAAAGAGAGGAACTAGAGAAGCAAATACCCAAGATCCTTTCGAGAGTTTCATTTCCAACCAGGATATCAGATATGTGTATTACCGTGAAACTGAAAAGATTCTTGGTAATACATACGGTATGTGTGTTTTGCAAGATTTCGAAGCATTGACTCCAAATTTACTAGCAAGAACTGTCGAAACTGTAGAAGGTGGTGGTATCGTTGTTATCCTATTGAAATCAATGTCATCTTTGAAACAACTGTATACCATGTCTATGGATATCCATTCTCGTTATAGAACCGAGGCACACGACGATGTTGTTGCTAGATTCAATGAGAGATTTATCTTATCCTTAGGTGGCAATGAAAATTGTTTGGTAGTCGATGATGAATTGAATGTTTTACCAATTTCTGGTGCTAAGAATGTTAAACCTCTTCCTCCAAAGGACGACGATGAATTATCACCAAAACAAGTGGAATTAAAAGACTTAAAGGAATCATTAGAAGATGTTCAACCTGCAGGTTCATTAGTAGGTCTATCCAGGACTGTTAACCAAGCTCACGCAATTCTGACATTTATCGATGCAATTTCAGAGAAAACATTAAACTCTACTGTGGCATTGACTGCCGGTAGAGGTAGAGGTAAATCTGCTGCTTTAGGTATCTCGATTGCTGCTGCTGTATCCCATGGATATTCAAATATTTTTGTTACTTCTCCGTCACCAGAAAATTTAAAGACTTTGTTTGCTTTTATTTTTAAAGGGTTTGATGCATTAGACTATCAAGAACATATTGATTACGATATTATTCAATCAACAAACCCAGATTTCAATAATGCCATTGTTAGAGTAGATATCAAGAGAGGCCACAGACAGACAATTCAATATATTGTTCCGCAAGATTCTCACGTCCTAGGTCAAGCAGAATTATTAGTTATTGATGAAGCTGCTGCAATCCCACTACCAATTGTGAAAAATTTATTAGGTCCTTACTTGGTTTTTATGGCCTCTACAATTAACGGTTATGAAGGTACAGGTAGATCTTTATCTCTGAAATTGATTCAACAACTTCGTACACAATCTAACACTGGTGGTAGAAGTATTAATCAAACCGCCATTGTCTCTAGAGATAACAAGAAGGATTTCACCTCTAGTATCGGGGCTCGTACTCTTAAGGAAATAGTCTTAGATGAACCAATCAGATACGCTGATGGAGATGCTGTTGAAAAGTGGTTAAACAAATTGTTATGTTTGGATGTCACTCTAATCAAGAATCCAAGATTTGCTGCTAACGGTACACCTCATCCATCTGAGTGTAATCTATTTATTGTGAATAGAGATACTTTGTTCTCATATCACCCTGTATCTGAAAATTTCTTAGAAAAAATGATGGCATTATATGTTTCTTCTCATTATAAGAATTCTCCTAATGATTTACAACTAATGAGTGATGCCCCTGCACATCAATTATTTGTTCTCCTACCACCTATCAATCCAAAAGATGGTGGTAGAATCCCAGACCCACTTTGTGTTATCCAAATCGCATTAGAAGGTGAGATATCCAAGCAAAGTGTAAGAAATTCCTTATCAAGAGGACAGAGAGCTGGTGGTGACTTGATTCCATGGTTGATTTCTCAACAATTCCAAGATGAAGAATTCGCCGGTCTAAGTGGTGCCCGTGTTGTTAGAATTGCTACTAATCCAGAATATTCATCCATGGGTTACGGTTCTCGTGCTCTTGAACTATTAAGCGATTATTTTGAAGGAAAATTCACAGACATGTCAGAAGATACTAAACCAAGAGATTTTTCCATTGCCAGAGTTAGTGATAGCGATTTGAAAAAATCAAATTTATTAAAAGATGATGTCAAACTAAGAGACGCTAAATCTTTGCCACCTCTATTGTTGAAACTGTCTGAACAACCTCCACACTATCTACATTACCTTGGTGTTTCTTATGGGTTAACCCCACCATTACACAAGTTCTGGAAAAACTGTAAATATGTTCCTGTTTACTTACGTCAAACGGCAAATGATCTTACAGGTGAACATACATGTGTTATGTTAAAAGTATTAGAAGGCAGAGAGCCAAATTGGCTGGTTTCATTCGCAGCAGATTTCCACAAACGATTTCTGTCTCTTCTTTCTTACCAATTCTCTAAGTTTACATCTGTTCAATCTTTAAGTGTGCTCGAAAGTGCCGATAAGGCACACAATTTATATGATAAAGCCGAAAACAGCAGGAAGGTATCTTTACTGGACAAGTCTCAACTAGACGATATCTTTTCACCATTTGACTTAAAGAGATTAGATAGTTACTCGAATAACTTACTCGATTATCACGTTATTGTAGATCTATTACCAATGCTTTCTATTTTGTATTTCAGTGGTAAGATGGGTGATAGTGTCAGCTTATCAAGTGTTCAATGTGCAATCTTATTAGCTATTGGTTTACAACACAAGAGCATTGACGATATTACAAAGGAACTAAATCTTCCTTCCAATCAAACTATTGCTATGTTTTCCAAGATTATGAGAAAATTCTCTATTTATTTCCGTTCTATCCTAAATGAATCATTTGAGAAAACCTTACCAGCTCTAAATGACGAACAGGTTGCTGAGATGAATGGTGAGGAAATTAAAAGATTAAATGCTGCCGAAACTTTGGATCAAATGGAGGAAGACCTTGAAGAAGCTGGTGATGAAGCTGTCAGAGCCATGAGGGAGAAACAAAAAGAATTGATTGATTCTTTAAACCTAGATAAATATGCCATTAATGATAATACAGGTGAGTGGGATGAATCAAACAAAGGTTTAGAAAAGGCCGCCAAATCAAATGGTGTCGTTAGTGTAAAGACTGGACGTAAGAGAACCACTGAAAAGTCAGAAGATATATACAACAGTGAGATGAAGGCCTTACATAAGAGTAAAAAGTCAAAGAAAAGTTCCAAATAAGTCATTTAGAAGGTAATATATATATATAAATTAGTTAATATATAATGTATAATAGAAATCAACCAGAAGTATTATCACAACGCACGAACTAAGGGCCGACCTACACGAGCGACGCTCTCGCTACCTTGATCTTCAGCGAAAAATTGAAAATAACGATTCCTTTAATGAATAACGATGACAATTAAGAGCTTTTGAATTAACATACCAGAGTCTGTAGATTAAAGAATAACAATCTCTTAAATGCTTTATATGTTTTTCTTTACTTTTTCTTATAGTAATATTATATATTATAAACAAACTTTAGTATACTCTGTAAAGAACTTACATCAACGACGTATATAAATAAAAATGGTTGAACTTACTGAAATTAAGGACGAATCTAACGCAACTGTTGAAATACCACAAACTGTTCCATCTGAACCCCTAAACACTGCCGAAACTAAGGAAGCAGTCGCAGAAGAAGAAAATGATGAGGAAGAAGATAGTGATTTCGATGATGATTTCGATGAAAACGAAACCTTCTTTGAAAGAATTGTGGCATTGAAGGATATTGTTTCGCCAAAACAAAGACAAACAGTTTTTGGTTTCTTAACAAACACTACCACTTTTTTCAAGAGTGCATTTGCCAAAGGTGGAAGTCTAACTTGGGCATTAACAACATCTGCTCTATTACTTGGTGTTCCATTATCCCTCTCGATATTGGCCGAACAGCAATTGATCGAAATGGAAAAGACTTTTGATTTACAAAAGGATGCTAATGACCTCCTAGGAACAGAGACATCTGCTCCAGCTCCAGCTGCCTAAACTTAATCTGATATTTCATTTGTTCTATTAATCTTTATTTTCTTACTGGAAGATATTTCTAACTAATTACTATTTTCAATCTGTTTTTGACAGTATATCGTTACAGTTCATGTGCAAAAAAAATCGTTCACTATTTATAATTATGTAATGAAATCAAATATATAAGTCCGTGTATATAGTAATAGCGAAGGTTTAATGATATACTCATTCCAAAAATTAACTGTTATTGTTCAGGTAATTGCCACACAAAATTTATACTTTCTTTGGATGTTTGATAGTTAACGCATAAACATCTAAAAATTGAGTGAATTCAAAGATGATATCATTGATAAACATACCATGGATTCCAAGAGCAAGACCTAACCCCATCCATACTAACGCAAATATAACTTTGTTTGTATCACAATCTAGTATCTTAGTCATCACAATGAAGCAAATTAATTGAAGTGATGGTATATACATTGCAATATTATAAATAGGGAATTCTTGTAAAGTTAAATGGGCAACGATGATCCTACCGACTACAAAGGCCATACTTAAACCAATGCTCAAAATCAAAGGTAATGTTATAAATCTTTCATCTACCAGGACCAAAACGAAAACTGATGCAAAAAACAAGAAGAATGGGATCAATCCATTAATTGCATTAGAGATTTTTGAATCAACCTTAGATTTATCTGTTGAATCAGAACCAGCATGTTCCTTGTAATAATCTGAAACATTCTTCGTAGCAGCTGAAATGTTAAATAGTAATGCAACAGAAGAGAATGAATTCATCAAGTGTATAGTTTCAAAGTCAATTAATCTACCGTCATATGGAATCTTAAACAAAATGGTGTGCCAAATTGCTTGAGGACCGAACATACCAGTTAAGACATATAACACACATAACATTATAATACCTTCAACAGGTCCGCAGAATTCAGACAAAAATAGTTTATGGGTATGGTATTCCTCCCATGTACTTAAGTAAAAGTTGCATAGGACACTGAATTGAGCAAAAATGAACATGTAACTATAACCTATTCCTGTAGTTGATATGTACAATAACAGTGATAAGGTTGTATTAATAGAATCAATACAATGATCGAATAACTCCCCTAGTGGGCCTGATTGTCCAGTACGACGGGCATGCATACCATCACAAGCATCAAATGTCTGATATAAAAACATGCCTAAGGCATAGGAGTAATAGGTCCAACGAGGTGTCTCTTGAGAAAGATTTGGGTCATAATATAGCACCGTCAACACATTGATAATAATAAATGCTAACCCAGAGAGAGTGACCAAGTTAGGCGCCATCCACACTGGGAATATAAGGGCAGCTTTCCTCCAGAAATCCTTTAGGAAAGCATTGGATAATAATGAATGGTCTTCACTCTGGTATCTGTAAAGTTTCAAATTACTTAGTGCACTCTCTGGTATAAAGAATCCCATCTTTAAAATTTAATAAACGAGTCACAATCAATTGAGAGTTTTGATGTTTGTCTGTTTTAAAAGTAAAAGTAGATAACTTTTTTACCTTTAACGAGCTTGTCATATACATATTTCTATATTTTCATAATTTTTGTTGTCTTCTTACCTTAAAAACTGAAAATTTAAAGATCCATGCCAAAATGCTCAACACGCGTTCAAATGAAGATGTCATTATCAAATAGAAGACAATTCATAAAGACAACGAATATTTTATCTTCGAATTTAAAAATATATTTAGTTAGTTTGATCCTAGTCAATTATTTTAATCATTTCTTGTTTTAAAGTTGTTTGTAATTATACTAAAAATGACAAACAATAATTTAACTAAAAAAATTATCTTGATTGGGCTTAGTGGTTGTTCATCCACAGGAAAAACTACCTTAGCTAAACTAGCCTCAAAATATCTTCCAAATGCTGTTCTTATCCATGAGGATGATTTTTATAAACATGATGAAGAGGTACCTTTGAATACGAAATATAATATTAGAGATTGGGATTCTCCAGAAGCTTTGGATTTAGCATTATTTAAAAAGGAATTGAATACTATAAAAAATACTGGCCAAATAGCGACTAAGTTAATACATAATAATAATGTCGATGATATTAGCAAACATACATTATCCGACCAATTTTTGAAAGAGTTGGTAAACAAAACTCAATATATTGATAAAAAGTACAAGTTAGTTATTGTAGACGGATTCATGCTATACAATAATCATGATATTTCTTCGGAATTTGATTTAAGATTATTTATTCGCGCCCCATACAAGACTCTAAAGAAGAGAAGGGATGCAAGAAATGGATATCAAACTTTAGATTCATTCTGGGTTGATCCACCTTATTATTTTGATGAATTCGTTTATAAATCTTACGAGGAAAACCATAGATCATTGTTCCAGCATGGCGATGTCGAAGGTAAATTAACTACCGAATCTTCAAAAGAAATCAAAGACTTCAACAATGACGATGGTGTATCAATTGAAGAATCTCTATCATGGGTGATTGATCAAATTGTATTTTACTGCAAAGATTAATCGAAATACTGCTTTATATTCTCGAACAAGGTAAATAGAAAACTATCATAGAGAATGCACGACATCTAAGTATAATTATCGTAGAACATGTATTAAATATATATATTAAAGCTTTTTTTATATTCTTATCGTCGATTCTCAAGATTTAACTTTTATCCAATTATTATTGTGATTCCACAATAGTAGATCAACGGTTATATCGTCAAATATATCCTCCATTATTCAGATATACCTTTTTTGGAGTCAAAAAACAAACAAACAATTAAGAACACCGATTTTAGCCTCATAGTGTATTCTTTCTCTCTTCCTTTTGCAACAGCTATACTCTTCATTTAGACTTTAGTATTTGAGATAATTAAAATATGAATTGTGCATTTTTAATTCGCAGCAATGAGTTTATCAATTTAACCGCCTTTACGTCCACCATCTTCTTCAATTTGGCTCCAACCCCTTTCAACTATTTTCTTGACCAATTGAAATGAGTTGCTATTATCTGATTGTTTCAATTGCACAACATTCTCGATCTTGTATGGATACATTACTTTAATATGTTTCAGGACAACGATATCTCTGCCTTGCCATTCAACATCTGGGATAGTTTTTGCTAAAATATCAAATACGGTCTTACCTTCTTCAGGTGTCTGACTCTCGGATTTAATTGTACTTTTGTTTTGGCCCTCTATAATATCTCTAAGGAGATTTTGAATTTTATCAATATTCACATAACTCGGTTTCAACGGTTGTTTTCTCAAAGTATTATTTTTAGACTGTTCATCGATCACATCCAGTCGTTTAATGAACGAACACTTAATCATCTTGAAGGAACATACGAAATTTCCTTTTTTGGCGGTTTGTAATATGATCGTACCATTTGAGGAATTGAATGAGTATATCTTACCCTCTGTCACCCCATCAATCAAATTCGTAACTTTAACTCTAAACCCTAAAATATACTGTAAATCTATACCCATTGTAAATAGATAAATGATAGTTTTAAGTGAAATTGATTAACGAAATATATACATCTATAAATATATTCCTGGTCTCGTACTTCTTCAAAGACTAAATGTGGACTTAAAACTCAACAATTGACGTTCACGGTATATATCGCCCCAAATATGTTGCATCAGTTAATGACTTCCAAGTTCCTCTTATTATTGGAATCAGGTACTGCATTTGTTCAACAAACAGAACAAACAAAAAGATAATTCGGGGTATCTCTCTGTGTCAGCTTTCTCTATCTCCTTTTCTCTGTCTTAGCTTCTTCAAATTATTTTTTTCCTTGACTTTTCCAAAAAATGGCTTATTTAGAACTCCATTACAAAATTATAGGGCAAATAGGTATGTTTGCGAAATAAAGAATATAAATACAAAGATCACCTTTATTTAATTACGAAACAGACCAAAGTGTTATTTTTAAGATAGCATACTACATTTAGTTTGCTGTATACTTAGTTTTTGTTCTAATAGTGAATATTTTCCCAGAAAACCTTGAATAACACAAGATTTCTGTAATACGAACCAAATGAGTGAGGATAACAATGACTACAGAAAACTTGATTGCAATATTACAAGGTCTACTTCTTTAGATGATTTAAATTTCAAAAGAGCACCAACATCACCACCTAAGTTTCGAGATGATACGGGGACAGCAGATAACTTAAATAATGGTACTTTAAAAATAGATACAAAACAATTTGAGAATCCTTTATTACGTGATTTGGATAATATATTAAGAAACAAGTTGAAGATAAACCCAGAAAGTCCAGTAATCAGTCGAAATAATTCTTTGAAAAACTTAAGGTCTGTCAGTGATCCCAAAAAGCATGCATTCATGAAAGAATTAGGTCTTGATGGCGATATTACTACAGTGAATCAAGGTACATTTGGTCCAAGAGACGTGTCGGATGATTCTCCAAATAGTGATTCTTCAGATGAAGAAACAGGGATAGAAGACGATGATGATGAATTTGTGAATGTCGATGAAATTGATGGACCTATTGGAAAGCATATTCCCGACAAGAGAGTTAACGTTGATATGAATAAGGATGAAAATGTTGATTACAATCTTTCTGCAAATCAAGATTTTCAAAAAAGCATAGACAAGCGTGTAGCAGAGTTAGAAAGTGGAATATCTGCAGAAAATCAACCTCAATTGAAGATCGATTGGGAATTTAATTGTAATCGTGGATTGGATTATGAATTGGGTAATTGGTTGTCAGTTTCAGATTATAATCAACTACCTTCAACAGTTTCTAGTTTCAATGAGCATGTCGAAGATACCGATAAATTTATTATAGACGATAATTACGCTGCTGACATCATAAGAACATTTGCAGAGGGACTCTCTGCAGATCCATCATCAAATTTGCTAGCGTTATGCTACATGGCGTTAGGTAATTTTCAACAATCAACGTCTAAAAATGATCAACTCTGTTTGATACGACGCAATAATATTACGATGTTCACTCATTTAAAAGAGATTATAGATGTATTTAAGGATATTGCAATATTATGTCGTGATGGGAATGAAAACTTAAAGGAAAAAGCGACGCAATTGTTTTACGCATGTACGATTTTATACACAATTACAAATGTTGCTATTGATACAAGAGAGAAAAACTCCGTTATCGTAAATCAATTGATCCAGACTTTTGAAAATACAGAACTATTACAATTTTTGACTCAGTATATCGAGCATTGGCGTTGGAGTAGTCGTTTATCGATGAGAATAAGAAATATTATTTCATTATTGTTTAGTTTATTAATATTACAATTCGGGGATATTAACACTTATAAAAAAACAAAGGAGAGCGTATACAAACATCATGGTATTGAAAGAAAAGAAAAATCATCCCAAAGACTAACAATTTCACCTTTACATTACCAGGCATTTCAGGATGATATAACATCCAGATTTCCAACATTTAATATGACAAACGTCGATTTACCCCAACCAATTGATAATACTAATTCTCTATCTCAGTTTCTTGAGATACCTAGATCGAAGGCGAAAAGTTCCTTGAATTCGACTCTTCCAGCCCCCAATAAACATTTAGCAACCCCAGCCCCTTCACCACCAATGTCACCGATTTTAATCCCATATAATGATGGGGTTAAGACAAGGAAATCCTTTCAAACTAATATGGCTTATCCATATTTGTATCCTAGTGATGAAGAATGTGATGATGATTTGTCGAATAAGATATCGAATGGGATGGAATCAAATGAGATAGGAAATGGAGATGTTTTTGTGCCACATAGCATCGAAGAAGCTGCAAGAATATTGGAAAATAACTTAGATATAAAATTGAGTGTTAGACAATTATGGAACGAAAGAGATCTTTTTATGGCAACAGAACGTGGTTGGGAACGAGACACTATTTCAAAGAAATTTGATTATTCTACTATTTCAAATCCTGATAATTTGGAAGAGATTAACATAATGAAAAGAATTGATAGATATTATGAAGACTGTTTTGCAAGTTTTAATTCCTTAATCTTCGTATTATGTCAAATTATGGAATCTAATTTGAATAACGTAGAGTATAAAGAAGAAGATTTTCCTGAAGGAATGAAAATTGAAACTGTGATACCCCAGTTGGAAATAGTAAAAGCCAAGGAACTATCTTTAAGATCATCAGTAGGGATCTTATATACACTTCTAAAGTGGTTTAAACTTAATCATGTTTTGAAGTTCGAACAATTTTCTATCCTACTGTACGATTCTGGATATATTAACACATGTTGTGCAGTTTTAGGTAAGTATTCCTTGGTTTATTGCGATAAAGTTTATAATAAAACTCTGAGATCTCCAAATACTTTATGGAAATTGTGCTCCAATTTTAATCCACTATATTCGAAATCGCTAAGTGTGCAAGAACCAGACGGTGAAGATATAAATATTTCATTATTAACTACAGTAACATATTTATTAAAGGTGCTAAGAAAAGTTACTGGTAATAAAACGCATAGATTAAAAACGTTACCTCTATCGATTGGGACATTGTTTAAGCAATATTATTCGATTTTTAATTTGGATATTTACCATCCGATGCTTAGAATAATTAAAGAATTAACTCCGTTTAAGAACAAAAGATGGAAATCGGAACATATGGATTTGATATCTGGTGTGTTTCTTTATGAAAGATTGGAGTTAATTGATAATTGGGTCACCGGTAAAGATATATCAGGTGAATTAATGGATGCATATGGGCAAGAAGTTGCCCTTAGGGCGTTGATTCAATTTTACAATTTTGAACATTATCAGAAGTCATTGGAAGAATTGGGATACATGAAGAGAACGGTATCGCATTCAAATTTATTATATAAGGATTCGGAATATAATGATATATAAGGACTTTGTAAGTTAAGGATTTTATTCTATCAGTGAAGTATTATAAGGAACTAGAGTTAATTATTGGTTATCTAATTTTTGTTGTAATTTATTAAGAATAAAAATGATGCTTTTAGGTATAAACATAAAAAAACTACATCGAATTGTAACTTCGTAATTTCCAGATGGAGAAGTAGCATATACTTTGTTTAAGAATTTTAGAGCATTCAATAGTACAATCCATCTTATCCAAAAATTAACGGCAACCAAAAATATCTCAATCATTTAGTATCATCACAGTATTTACTTATAAAAGCTTGTCGTTGATTTACCAACCTCTTATGTATCCTTTACTTTGCTACGGCCTTTGCTTTGAACACCAATTAACTTAATTCTCATTGAAGTTTTCGCGCTGACTTTTCAAATTTCCCAAAATGACGCCAAATGATTATTTGGGTTTTATTGAGAAGGAAAAACAAACCAAAACAAAACAACAAAAAAGAGATGTAGAAAAGTAAATAGAAACAAATCAAAACTGTTGTAAGAGACAAATATCTATCAATTGTTCACTAAAGTATTCAATAGGTTTAACAATCAGGATTAACCTTTTTAATTATTACATTTGTTTCTTTTTACTATCCTCTTAATATCATATCGTGCCGAAAATTAGAAGCATGGATGTACAAAGAAATTTGGCTCAGATAGTAAAATTGATTGCTCCACCAAACGTATCTTTTTATATTATCAATAGCATTGCAGATGATTTAACTAACTTTCTACAATCTCCAACAAAGACTATTCCAAGATTGGAGTCCATTATTTTCGGAATTAAATCTAAATTTGGTGCCTCTACACATCACGAAACTATTTGGAAAGCATTTGAGGATATATTATTTCCATTGGTATCCATTAGAAATCCAAAAGATATGGCAGAGTACTTAAACCAAGGTTACCAACAATTGCGAAATTTTACTCAAACGTATAAAAACACATCACATAGTGTTTCATCCATTTCCTTAAATCCCGAGATGTTAGAAAATAATTCTAGTAATTTACAAGATCATCAAATGACACCAAGTGTTTATGCTGAGTCATTTGAAACCTTAGACAAGCTTTCTGATAGACGTTCATTAATGTCGTCAATGCATAATTATGGTGCTGGAGAATTGTTAGATAATAGTACTTTAAAGGGTCTAACGATACCATACTATTCAAAGACAGTTCCAGAGAAGGATATAATAAAATCCATACCGTACACACTGTTAGGAATAACGTCTGATATGTTTCCTGTAGCGAACGAAATGATTATAATACCATTTAATATACCGAATGCTATTAGTGGCCAATTACATCTCTTATTTGAAGGTGGATTAATATATCGAAATATTAGTTCAAGGATTGAATACTACAAACATGTTAATATTTCTCCTCTTAAGCAAACACTGATACTAGAAGTGGAAAAATATCTGAATATATATTCCGGTTTAGTAAATCAATTAGCCTCCTCTGGACAAATTAGGAGCCTGAATGATTTATATACGCATCTCTATGATGCGATTATTCAATTAAGAACGTACTATTTCATAATGCACAAATTTCAGATATTAAGAGGTGATGAACTACTTTCGTTATTTAATACATCTATGTCACACGGTGACAAAACAATACAGAATATTAGTTCGAAACTCTACAAAAACCTAATACATCTTTACTTTAAATACCTGAGAAATTGGCTTTTATTAGGTAAACTTGATGATACTTACAAGGATGAATTCTTTATAAAAAGAGATACAAACCCCAACAACTTAAATTTTATTATACCATTTATATTTGATAAACAAAGAATACCGAAATTTCTTCCGGAGAATACAACATACAAGATCTACATAATAGGTAAGACTTATATTTTTATTACTGATTTTTGTAAGGAGTTACAGTGGGCCAACGATTTTACTAAAAAATATACATACCGTTACGAAACTTTGGATTGTTTTTCAGCTTCTTTTTCAAACGAATTGATGGATTTAGTTAACGAGCAATACTTGGAAATTGTAAAACATTCATATTATATTTTGAAGTCTAAATTTTATTACGAAGAGGTTCTTTATATGTTGAAAAATGTGTTATTAATGGGTAGAAGTGATTTTATGGATGTAATATTTTTAAAATCCCAAAATATTTTAAACCAACAAGTGAAACGCTTAAGAAATTATGCATTTGCTAGGATATTACAGGAATCAATCGATGAATCATCATTAAGAAATGCATTAAATAAAATTGATAACAATTTTATAGTTGGAAAAATAGATGCTAGATTATTAAATATGGGTCAAGATTTGTTAGGTTGGGACGTATTCACATTAGATTATGTTATTCATCCTCCACTTTCAACTGTTTTAAATGTAAATAGACCCGATGAGAGAAAGGAATATTTACAAATCTTTAATTTTCTATGGAGATTTAAAAGAATTGACTTTTTCACTAATAAAGGTATGTTAGATACTAAAGAATTAATAAGATCTTTTAAGAAAAATACCCAATTTAGTCCATTCAATAAAGATATCACTAGTAAATTATCTAAATTATCGATACTAAGGTCACAAATACAACAGTTCAATTACAAAATCGAAAATTATTATCTTCAATTTGTCATCGAGAAGAACTTTAAGTCTTTAATGAACAATTTACAATTAAACAAGAATAACATTAAAACGGTTGGTACGATTGACTCTACAAATTTCGTCAATGGAAATATTCGATTTGAAGGAATTTTAAAACCAAAGAATGATTTATCTATGTTTGGTATTTCAGATAATGATTATTTCACAGATGATTATCCTAATATTGAAAATTTGAATGACTTACATAACAAATTCCTTGACAATATTTTACAACATAAATTATTTTCATCTACGGAAGAAGGGAAACATTCAAAACAACCATATTCACGTTCACTAATATTCATCTTTGAAGAAATTCTACAATTTATTGATCATTACTCATCTTTATGTGAAATTGCATATAACATTTTTTTGCAAATCAACCTTCAGAATAGTACTGAAGTCAATACATTGATTGACTTGTTTAATACCAAATCACATAAAACGGTACATACGTTTAGACGTTTCCAAAAGGCGACTTATATGTACATTGCAGATCTAAGAGATGATGGAGATAATGAATTGAATCAATTAAGTAGGATGCTTAGATAAGGTGGAAAAAATCAATTTTTATTCATATATCGATAAATAAATTCAGACAAAATTAATCGAATACCATATGTTTTGGCATGAATGAAGAGTTCTTTGAATGCATAAATTTCGGAATTAATAATTAATTATGTAATACTATTACTATATAGATTACGAATGATTTATATATATATTTGGATATATATGGTTATTAGCTCAAAACATAGAAGAGACATTTCAATCACTTCAATGGAATTCAAAGTACTAAATGCAATAAAACAATGACAAGACGTAGAAAAAAGAAAATAAAAATTTAGTAAACTCATAAATTATGCATCACACTTTCATTGGATATGCCATTCTCATAAAATATTTCTTGACACCGCTACCCAGAAGAAGCTCATATTTAGTTTCTCTCTTTTCCAAAATATCCCAATGTTCTGAAACAGTTTGAATATCACTAGAAGTTTCTTCTTCTTTCTCTTGTAATTTTCTAACGGTATCTTCTTGTCTTTTTGTTAATTTTAATCGAACTGCATATTCTCTTAATACGAATATCATAAATAAAGCTGCACTAAAACAACAACCAGCAAAAATTTGTGTATGCAAATAAGGATTTGATTTGTTATTTGAATCTGTTAATGCTTGTGCAACCACTTCAGTGACCAGCAATGCAGGTGCACCACTATAATTAACGAAGGCCCAAGCTGGTAAGAATTCTTCAGGTTTAACCATATCTGCGATCAATACAGTATTCATCACATTAGCAACCCCAACACAAGAACCAACCATAATTGAAAAGAAGATTAATTGAATATAAGTATGAGCTGGAATCCAAAATCCAAACATGAAAACACAAAGTACACAAGTTAAAGTGATTGTGACATTTGCTCTACCAAATCTATCACCTAATAAACCCATTACAGGTCTACCTACGCATTGAGCACCATTTAAAATAGCAGTTAAAGAACTACCTTGATGTTGTGACATTCCACGAGCCACAGCATACGATGATAATGTGAAGATCATTAGATTATAACCAAATAAAGCTAATGTGAACCAAATAGCAATTAATGGAACAAACGGTTGACGAATAACTTTCCATGAAAACATTTTACTAAATTCCTTTTTCATCTTAGTAAAAGATTTAAGTCCAACTGGTTTTACGGGACTTCTTTCTTTAACTAAAGATACAGCAATTGCTGTAGCTATACTACAAGTAATTGCTAACATTCTATAACACATCTTTGTATTACCAAAATCATGAATCATTTTATTTGAAGCTAAACCAAATGTAACACCACCAGCACCAGTACCTAATAATGAGAGACCCATCGATACAGCTCTTTTCTTTAAGAACCAACCTGGTAAAAGAGTTGTTGCTGGTGAGAAAATTAAAGAAATGGAACAACCAATCATAAAACCTTGAGTCACATATAGATGCCATAATTTAGTTGCATATGATGCCAAAACAAATGCTGTAACCATTACACAAGTTCCAAAATACATTGTTGTCTTTAAACCAACAATTCTCATAATTATTACTACGAAGGGACATAAACCTTGCCCTAAGAAAACAGTTAAACCTGCAATCAAAGCATAATCATACCTTGTTGCACCAGGGAATCTATTATTATTTAAGAAAAATGATAAAAATACACCAAATGCAGAATTACAACCCCATGTATTAAACATAATTAAAAACACTGAAAAGACAATTACCCATGCATAACCTTTATCAGGAGGTAATTCAATTTTCCCTGTAGATTTATTAGTGAAAACTTTTGCTAAAGTTTCTCCATTTTCTGTAGTTGTTAATTTTATATCATTACCATTTTCATCCTTTTTCATTGTCACTCCTTCATTTGATGCAATCGATAGGGGACTCTCTGCAAATGAAGATTCAATAGATGAGGCATTTGTTGGAAGTGAACTTAAAGGTTGATTTTGTTTTTCAATATCATTATTACCAGATTCATTTTCTGATGATGATTCTCTATATTCGTTATGCAATCTAAGGGCATCCCCAAGATCAAATCTTGATTCTAATAGTTTATTTAAATCTTGTGAAGTATAAGTAGCATCAGTTTGTTTATTATCATCTTGTACCGCATCTTTAATATCTGTATAAGCCTTTGATATAGTTTTAGCTAATGATGGAATTCTCGATAAATTCGATGTAGCAGATTGAAATGATAATCTTGATCTAATTGATGTTATTGGCATTATTTCTGGATAATCATGAGTGGCACTTGAAGCAATAGATTCTATATTATGTGAAGAATTATTTGATGATACCACATCTGATGATGGTGATAAATCTGAATAATTATCATTATTACTATAGTTTGATGCAGGAGACATTATGTTCTAAAATAAATAAAGAGGGCAAGCTATTATTGTTTTCAATATTAAGTAATTAATGCAAAAAAAAAAGAACAAATAGTCTAAAAATGTTCGAGAGAACGAATTGTTATTATAAACCTCGAGAACGAATATGGAGATTATAATTGTTGAAATACGTATATTAATATATGTATACTTTTAAAAAACGATGACTAATGACTAACAAAGACGGATATAGTACATTAATGAGATACAATTCATTTATTATAACTTTTCTATTAGTTGTGCTTAGAAATTAAGACTAAAGAAAGACACAATTAAACAATCCTTAAACTAATTAATCTGACACTTTCATCTCACCGTATTTCTTTCCTTCCTTATATATATATATATATATACATATATTTTAAATCTGATTAACCAGTATATCGCATTATAGCTCCGCATCAATATATGGCTATGTTGATAATATAAGCAAGACTACTTGCTTTTTTTCCTTTCGAAAATATACATAGCAATTTCTCGGGGGTGAGGGAGTGCTATTTTGTGTGCAGCAGTGAAAACACCGTATGAAAAACACAACATGGTATTACCTGTCACCCAGATCACTGGCTACGAGGCGTGTGCAGGCTGGAAGGCCTAATGAATCCTATCAAAAAACACAAAAAAAGTTGTTGTTGTTTCGGTAAGCATCGGATATTAACGGGCAGAGAGACTTGAACAATCGGGACTATTTTGCGTTGTTTGTACGGGCATTTTAGTGAAAAAGTGATAGGATGACTGACATCTCTTCTCTCTTTGGGAAATATCTCGATTAGATAAGAAGGGAATAGAGAAAAGGTGTCACTAAACATGGCTTGATGTCGACTGTGAGGAATAGATGGGAACAAATAGAATAATGGAATGATACATCTTTTCATGAATAATAATGTTGCAGATAAGGGGGGGTGGGTGTCACATAAAGCTATTATTCTATATTGTTTAGTAATCAATTAAATAAATTCCAACGGGATATGCCGTTGCAAGAGCCTATTCGTAGAGGTTTTTTTATGTAATACATATTTGTTCATTGGACTAAGAATTGAGAACAAAATAGAAGAAAAACATCTTGTCTAAAATAATAATAGGCTTCATAAAGTAAAATATTTCATTCCATGAAACTATTTCCCCCCCGTTATAATGGTTACAGTTTTGATTGGTTTAACTATTGTAGTAGTTTTTAGAGTGCTACCTCTGTGTTACAATCGAAAAACTTCAGATGTGTTTGACCCTCTAAATGTACACTCTACATATGTATATAAGCGAACCCTACTATTGAAAAACAGGGTTAAGTTCTTTCTTTTTGACTTATTTAGAGATGCGCGGAGAAAGAAAATTTTCAGTTAATATAACGTTTTACGGAAAAATTTATCTATTTTATGATATGATTTATTATTAACAAACAAATTTCATTTGAAGCTCATCGCAAAAATATACATATGTATATATATATATATTGACGTAAAAGTTAATATTAACATAGGTTGCGTAGAACAAAAAGGAGAAATTGTATATTAATATTGATATACTATTAGTTTAAGCTATTACAAGTATCATATATTTCATCGATACTACAATTTTCTTTTATATATACAAAACACACATAGAATGTCGGATGAAAATTTATCAAATGTTGTTACTGATTCAATTAAATCGACATTGAACGAACCATCAGATATTGAAATAAAAAATAATGATAAAGCTATTACGGAAGATGAAGATTTGTTTAGTAAGACTGTTGATATAGCGACCACTGGTAAAAATGTCGAGGTTCATCAGGCATTACCACATTTTACTGATAATGACATTAATGTTGATGATATTAGTGACAGTGATAGTGATAGTGGCAGCAGCAGCAGCAGCAGCAGTAGCAGTAGTAGTGATGAAAGTGATGGTGATGAAGGAGATTTGGAAGAAGAAGAAGATTTAGAAGAAGAAACAGAAGGAGGTGACAATGATATGGGACCTATTAGATCAAAAAACGAATTATTAGAGGAACCTGTGATAGAAATTCCAGAAGATTACAAAGTTAAACCAAATGAGAAGATTCAACCATTAGGAACAATTAAATCTATTTATGAAAATAATATTATTGTAGCAGCTACTATCTCAGGTGAACAACGTGTTTTAAAAGATGGTTCAATATTTTGTTTAGAGAATAGAGAAGTTATTGGTACATTAAGTGAAGTATTTGGTCCTTTAACAAACCCATTCTATAGAATATGTTTTAAAAAAGAAAAACAAGAACAAATTGAAAATTTAGTCAAAGATAATATGGGTTCTATTGTGTATTATGTTGTACCAGAGGCTCATTGGGTGGATACCTTTGAATTGAAAAGAATGAAAGGTACTGATGCTTCAAATGGGTTTGATGAAGAGTTACCAGAAAGTGAACAAGAATTCTCAGATGATGAAAAAGAAGCTTTATTTAAAAAGATGAAAAAAGATTCTAAGAATAAGAATAAAAATAAAAATAAAAATCAAGTTAATACAGATGGTAATAAGAGAAAAAATACTACTACTACCAATAATAGAAATAACAGTTATAATGTTCAGAAACCAAATAATAGAGGAAATAACAATAACGTGAAAAATTATACTTCAAATAGAAATAACAACAACAAATATGGTGACTACCCTACTATGAGATTACCAGTAGGTATGACTACATCATCGACAACTCCATCAGTTCATGGCTATGTTTCAAGAACAGCACGTCAACATACTGGAATGGAACAGCCACAGAAGCCACGTCAAGATAATTCAATGTATGACGATGATGCATATATTGCCCCTAAACAAAAAAATCAACCTCAGGAGTTCACTAGAGAACAACCATACGCACCTTCAGCATCTTTACAACAAGGAAATATATACTATAATTCCTCCAACCAACCACATTCAAATATAAACTACCAACAACCTAACGCCAATATGAATTACCAACAGCCTAATATGACCACTAATAATAATCAATATAATCCATACGCTATGTCTCAAATGCCACAAATGCCACCACAAATGGGATCAATGTACCCTTATCAATACTATGGTAATTCACAAACCCAACAACCGCATAATCCTCAGTTTCAAGGCAATGGACAATATGGTGCTCAACCATCTCAACCACCACAGCAGAATATGGATCAAGTTATGCAACTTCATCAACTACTTATGAAGCAAGCTCAAAATTCACAAGGTCAACATTCACAAGACCCACGTTCACAGCAATTTCCATCACAACAAGGCTCAAACTATGGAAACCAAGGACCTTACTGAGGTAAAATCTAAAGCATGTTCATTTTATATACGCATTTTCTATAATTATAAAATTTACTCGATATAAATATTTTTATCAACTGTTTCTTTTATTTACTTCGAAACTTGTAGTGCCATGCATTTAGTAACTATATCGAGTTTCAAATAGCGTAAAGTTATAATACGGGGGAACTGAAAGATTTGGTTATTTATACGCGAAGCGAGAACGAGAACGAAAAAAAAATCAAAGAGTTGAAAATAAATTTGACAATTGATGTTCGATGCGATGACCTTCTTGATATACAGTTAATTACCCACAAACTTTCAAAGAACTTAAACCTGCTAGAAAATATACATATCCTTTTATTCGATCTTACATATCAAGTCTCCTAACTCACCAAACAAAATGACAACAACAAACCAAGATAGTAAGAAAAGAAAAATTTCCGAGGAGAGTGGCGAGTCATTCCATGAGAACAAGAGACATTACTCTGAAGGAAACTCTATTGAACTTGAGTTGGATGATTCCCTCGAAGGAAATGTAACGGAAATGGCTATCGATCCTTCATCATTCAGAAGCTCTGAAAACTACCTAAAGTGGCAAACAACCATATCTAATGTTGTTAAATCAGTCGTATCGATCCATTTTGCCCAAGTCGCCCCATTTGATTGTGACCCAGCATTAGTTTCTGAAGCAACTGGTTTTGTTGTAGATGCTGATTTAGGTATTATTCTAACTAACAGACATGTTGTAGGACCTGGTCCATTCGTTGGGTATGTCGTTTTTGATAATCATGAAGAATGTGATGTCATTCCAATATATAGGGATCCTGTGCATGATTTTGGGTTCTTAAAGTTTGACCCTTCAAAGATAAAATATACCGAAATACAAGCATTGAAATTGATGCCTTCGTTAGCTAAGGTTGGTTCCGAAATTAGAGTTGTTGGTAACGATGCTGGTGAGAAATTAAGTATCCTTGCAGGTTTTATTAGTAGATTAGATAGAAATGCCCCAGATTACGGTGATTTAACATACAACGATTTCAACACTGAGTATATACAAGCCGCAGCATCTGCATCTGGAGGGTCTAGTGGTTCTCCAGTGGTAAATATTGATGGTTATGCTGTTGCGTTACAAGCAGGTGGTTCTACAGAGGCCTCCACAGATTTCTTCCTTCCTTTAAATAGAATCCTGAGGGCACTAAAATGTCTTCAAAATAAGAAATCTATCACTCGTGGTAGTATCCAAGTACAATGGTTATTGAAACCATATGATGAATGTAGAAGGTTAGGACTGACACCAGAAAGTGAAACTAGAGCTAGACAATTATTTCCGGAAAACATTGGTCTCTTAGTTGCTGAGACCATTCTAAGAGAAGGGCCTGGTTTTGTAGGTGGTATCAAGGAAGGTGACACTTTAATTTCCATTAATGGTGTTGACATTTCTTCATTTATCCAGGTTGATGATATTTTTGATTCCAGTGTGAATGAGGACGTTACATTAATTGTCCAACGTGGCGGTGTCAATCATTCAATTGTTATTAAAATACAAGATTTACATTCCATTACTCCAGCAAGTTATGTTGAAATATGTGGTGCAACAGCAAATAATCTATCTTACCAAATGGCTCGTTGTTATGCGCTTCCAGTGAAAGGTGTATTTTTAAGTAGTGCTACTGGTTCTTTCAATTTTGATTCTAAAGAAAAAGTTGGTTGGATGTTAGATTCTATTGATAACATAGAGACACCAGACTTAGATACATTTGTTGAGATCATGAAGAAAATTCCAGATCGTTCTCGAGTTACTGTTAGATACCATCACTTAACTGATCATCACTCCCCTCATGTCACTTCCATTTATATTGACCGTCATTGGTGTAGTGAATTCAGACTATATGAACGTAATGACGAAACTGGTTTATGGGACTACAAAGACATATGTAAACCACTTCCCCCAATTAAAATCGAACCACAATCTGCTCGTTTTATAGACATCCCCTCAGAAAATCCCGAAATGGCAAAACTTTCTCATTCTTTGTGTATGGTCTCTACTGTTGCAGCAATTCCATTAGATTCTCTATCTGCGGATACTTTGAAGACTTCTGGTCTGATTATAGATGCTGAAAGAGGTTATGTAATTGTATCCAGAAGAATCGTTCCTCATGACTGTTTAGACTGTTTTGTTACCATTGCTGATTCAGTGATTGTCCCAGCCACTGTTGAATTTTTACACCCAACTCAAAATTATGCCATCGTTAAGTATGATCCTGCACTTGTAAATGCTGATACAATCACTCCCAAATTATCATCAACCCCAATGAAACGTGGTGATAAAGCTCATTTTGTTGGTTTTACTCAGAATAACAGATTAGTATCGGCAGAAACGAATGTTACTGATATTTCATCTGTCAGTATCCCAAGTAATATTATTCCAAGATATAGAGCTACCAATTTAGAAGCTATTTCAATCGATTGTAATATTAGTACAAGATGCAACTCAGGTATTATTACAGATTCTGATGGTACAGTAAGGGCTCTTTGGTTATCATTCCTAGGGGAGAGACAAGAGAATAAAGAAAAAGTATACTTAATGGGTCTTGATATTACTACATGTATGACTGTTATTGATATATTGAAAGAAGGTAAAAAACCTGTCATGAATATCGTTGATGCTGGTTTTGGATCCATTTCAATTTTAAATGCTAGAATTAGAGGGGTTCCAGAAGAATGGATTAAATCCATGGAAAGACAGTCCAGTAATAGATTACAATTTATGACCGTTTCAAGAGTATCATGTACTTTAGACAAAGTTAAGTTGGAGACTGGTGATGTTATTTTGTCTGTTAATAACAAACTTGTAACTGAGATGGATCAATTAACTGGTGTTGTTTCTTCTACGGATGTACATGACGATGCTCAAACTCTAAAATTTAAAGTGGTACGTGATGGTGCTGTCATTAATTTGGATATTAAGACGGTAAACGTTAATGAAACAGATAGCATCTTGATATTTGCGGGTTGTATCTTACAAGAACCTCATCATGCTGTGCGTCAAGCTATGACTGACATTCCAAATGGTGTCTATTGTACATTCAGAGGTGAATCATCACCAGCGACTCAATATGGTATTTCTGCTACCAATTTTATTACACATGTTAACGAAATCGAGACACCAAATTTATCTACGTTTTTAAATGTTGTTAAGCAAATACCTGATAACAGTTATTGTAAGATGAGGTTGATGACGTTTGATAATGTTCCATTCGCTATATCTTTAAAGACAAATTACCATTACTTCCCAACAGCTTCTCTTCAAAAGGATAAATCTTCTGGTAAATGGATAGAAGCTGAATATAATTCCAATGGAGAAAAGACAAACGAAATATAAGTTATATATCATTATAAATTACTACACAACATTTTTGAAGGGCCAAAGATGTTTTTTTAAATTTCTTTTATATACATCGTACTATACACATTATAATATATTTTAAAAAGCCTAAGACATAAAAATCCATAGTCGTAGTTAGTAATTTATTGGTGGACTACTTGACTAGGTCGAAATCAAACAATTATAATAACAAAGGAATATGATAATCTCCCCTAAAAATTGGCATATATACATATATATAGGGAATATAAATTATGTTTTGAATAGTATCACGCTCTATTGAGCCTTTTATGTTCATGTTAATGTAGAGTAAAAGATTCTACAGTGAATTTTCTTTAGTTGAGCTTAAAATACAAATGAAGCAGAAAAAAAACACGATGAAGACGAGCTCTGGTTTTAGAATTCTTTAGATGTATCGAAAACAGAATACATTCAAGAAAGTTATAATGCATTAGCTAAATGGTAACAGTTTCTTAAGGTGCCTAATATGTGTTTTATCTTCTGTTTTTCTCCCACTCAAGACTTTCATTGAACGTTGGGACCATCCTGCGTTACCATGATTTCTTCCGGCAATACCTCTCTTGAAACCTGTACTAGTTCGTCTCCATCTCTTTGCAGCACCTTTATGGGTCTTCATCAAAGTTCTCACGGCGATTAAGGATGGTGATTGGAACTTAATTAACGAACCAGTAGATTTTAAAAATGGTGAAAAGGACGATAACCAACTCATTTTCTGACCGTAAAATATCTTGTCTTTAATAATATTAATGATATAACTACTTAATTTAAATTAGTCTCGATGAACTAGTTAATGTACCCGTCTTTAACCGATCTATTCTTCTACTTTTAACTTCAATTCCAAACATTGGGATTCTAATTATTACAGATTTCAATTTCAAGTTCCCATATTCAGGGAGCGTTGCTGTTGTGGGGCCCATAACAAAGTTGTGTTTACCGCGCGCTTGACCTGGTTGGCCGTAATTTGCAGTAAAATTATTATTTATCAAGTGTAAGATACAGTAGTGTGCAGAAATATATGCTTACTATATTTTTGATTCAGAAACAAGCGTAGTTCATTCTCTTACTAACTAGAATTATTTTCAAGCTCATCGCAAAAATTAATTTTGAAAAATTCATTAGCAGTAAAGATAGATGGAAATAGCTTACAAATCAATATTTAACTTATGATATACATTTATATAAGTACATTAAAATCTGGGTTTGTATTCTCCAAGCAAACTGTATTTAAGTAAACTGCTTGGGAGAGTTAAGCAAGATAAAAAAAAATGACAGCTGTGAAGTGTAAACGTTGCAAAGAGAATTATGCTACAGTGAAAACTAGAAAAGAACCATTCTGTAATGCATGTTTCTTGAAGTTTATCAGTTTGAAACAAAGGAAGTTGATGATGACCGATGAATTCTATAGAGATCATTTCAAAGTGTTATATGGTAAGGATTTAAAGAATAATGGGATCTCCGAAGTTGTCTTACCATTTGATTTCAGCTCATCCTCTTTTAGTGCCCTTGATGTACTTGTGAGCTTATTGAAAGAACAATACGTTCAACATCGTGGAAGAGTTGGTTTCAATGTTAAAATTGTAACAATATTTAAAAATGAGGAAGAAAGAAAACTTTTCCAACAATCATGGAAAATGTTAAGAGATTCTAATATGTATGACGACCAAGTTTGGTTACAATTTGAATATCATCTTATAAACGCAGAGACCTTCTTTAGTGACGCAAAGGATTTACATCAAATTGTTCTTCATAACGAAGATTTTAATTCAATGGGGCTAGACTATATACTTGAAGATTCTAACGACTATAATATTGAAGTCTTATTAGCCCGTTGTCCAAATAGAAATACTAGGAATGATATGTGGATATTCATTGTTACCCATCTGATTAAAAAATTTGCATATCAACACCATGGTTGCGAAGTCGTTTTATGGGCCCATTCTATGACCAAATTAGCTGATCACATCATTGGATTGGTCGTCAAAGGAAGAGGTGCACAAATTGCGGCATCATTAAATTCTACCGATTTTGACAGTGATTATGGTACTGCATTCAAAAATTTATATCCTTTGAAAAACACACTTCTCTCAGAATTAGATGCTTATTGTATTATTACAGGGTTGGACAAATTTGTGGTTAATTACACGGTTAAGAATGATTTGATGCTCACAGATGATACTGAACAAAAAACAGTTGATCCAAGTAAGAATGTAAGGTTAGTTAAAAATATGACAATTAACGAATTGGCTCGTAAATATTTTGACGATATTGAAGGGGAATACTCTAACATTATAGCTACTGTTTTAAGAACTGGGGATAAGTTGAAACCACCTTCTAAGACAAGCGAAACGGCTGATGACAACAAAGACACTTCAAAATGCTCTATTTGTTTGAACGCCATATATTCTAATCCATCAGACTGGTTAAGAAATATTGCCATTAATAGAGGGCATCCAATCGAAACTGAAGAGGAACAAGAATTATATAAACAGTGGCAAGCATCTCAAGTAGGTATACAAACCGAGGAATATTTAAATTTAAGAAACAAAGTTTGGACTGAAGGACATGAGATACCGCTATGTTATGGTTGTATTATCAACCTTAATGGGATTAAAACTAAAGAAATAATATGGCCAAAACATGACAAAGATGAATTGGAAAATATATTAAATGAGTTCGAGCTGAGCGATTAATCTCTCACTTAGAAATTGTTACAATATATAGATATTTCTCAGGAGTTCATGCAATATTTATTTATAAGTATAGCACATGAAGAGATTTTTTATATGTGACTCAAGATATATAAAATTATTTATGCAGCATATTTAATAATTGGGCAGATGCACTTGCATTGCCTCCCTCTGAAACGTTACTACCTTGGGAATTTTGATTTGATCCCTTTTGAAGCATTGCTAACAATTCATTATTAGTATCATTCATTCCATGACTGGCTCCCATTCCAAGAATTGGGGATTTATTAAAACTAGTACCGTCAAATTCAAGGGAAGGATTTTGATGAGCCACAGGTGCCCTATTCATTCTAGGGCCTCTCAACATATTTAATAAATCTTGACCTTGATTTGAAGTCATACCAACATTAGGTATTTGAGAATCGTGAATAGGTGGAGATTGATCACTAATGGTATTTCTCTTTAACATATCCAGTAATTCATTACTTGTATTCTCGATTTTTTGATTCATTGAGACAGGTTCCATTGTTGAATTTTCTATTGGGAGAACACCAAATGGAGGAGGAAATGAACCATTGGAATTTTCAACAAGATTTGATTGAAAATTTGAATCGTGCAACTTAGGAGCCATACCTGTACTAATATTCTTCTGCAACATCGCTAAAAGATCAGGGCTATTAGCTGGTTCACTATTTGGTTGCATATTTACATGCATAGTACTATTGGTTGGTGATATGTCACTTATATTAGATATATTTGTGGGTTTAGCTTTTAATATGTTAAGTAAATCGTGATTTGAAGTTTGATGTTGGCTTGATTCTGAAGTCATATTCTTACTTTCTACTTCATGTTGATTGGAATTCTTACGTAGCATATTCATCAATTCATTATTAGTTGAATCGACATTGCTCTCGCGTCTTTGGGCCTTCTCAGATGATTCATTATTGTCGTTGATAACAGATGGTTTTTTTAAGATATCTAGTAGGGATTTTCCACTGTTATAATGATCAGATGAAGCATTCTCATTTTGGTTTGTAGGGTCATCAGAATGAGTTGGCTTCCTTAGCATATTTAATAGCGAGGTTCCATCATCAATTTTTGGCTCAATTTGATTGTTTACAGGAGGAATTGATTCACCTCTTTTTAAAATCTTAAATTTCTTTGGCTTTAAAACTTGTTCAGATGGTTTTGTTTGATTAACAAGAGACTTTTGAGAGAATGGACTTGGTGCTCGTAGAGCTTCATCGATGACTGATGCGACTGAGTCTGATCTATTATCAGAATGAGGAATTTCACCTTGTTCCATGTTATTCTCTTCTAAAATTGTTTTATCAACGAATGATGCAGATCCATTAGATTCATTCTCGAGTTCCTCCAAATCCTCCTCAACTTCTGAGTCTGTGCTGGCTTCGAAGTCAGTATAATCTAATTCATCTGAGGATGCCGTTTTAGACATTCTCTTTATATCAGGAGAACTAAATGATGGTGAAGGTAGATCTGGATTAGTTGATTCACTAGTGACGTTACTCAGAGTTCTACTCACAATACTTGGTGAAACAGAACGAGCAGGTTTTCTATGCAAAATATTTAACAATGTAGTGGAATCCGAATTGCCAAATTTAGAGTCATTTGTATGTAATCCTTGTGGTTGCTGTACTCTATTAAAGATTCCCCTATGGTCAGGTTCTTGAGGTGCTGAATTTAATACATTTAGCAAAATTCTTGAATTATCATTAGACGATGGGGCGAAAGATGGTTTAGACAATGAATTTGCACTTGGAATTTCTTGTTCTGTTGGTTGTTGTGGATGCAATAATGGGACATTAACTTGTTGTGGGGTCATTTGACGTGGTGCTTGCATTCCCATACCTTGAGGTAATAACGATTGTGGCATCATTTGATTAAAATGTGGTAAATTGTTATTATTATTTAGTTTTGTGTTATTAACAAATGGGAATGGTGCAAACGGTTGGAAACCTTGTGGCATTACACCTTGATTTCTCTGAGGAGATAATTGGCCAGGATGTTGCTGTGGTTGTTGAGGGGGGAATTGTTGCATTGGGATTTGTAAACCTGTATTCATAAATGGTGGCAATTGTGCGATATTATTCATAGTGTTCCCTGATAAAGTAATCGGTACATTCTGAGACATATTTTCTGAATTCATTGATCCATGATTTGCATTAAATTGTAACATATTTAGTAAATCACGACCTGGATCAACTTGCTCTTCCTTTGTAATACCAAGCAATAATTTTAATTGTTCTTCTGCCTGAGATTTTAATTGAGTTTCATTTTTAAATTGTCTTTGATGTCTAACCCACATAGATAATGGTCTAATCATTGAATTAATCAAATAAAACTTATATTTATGTGTTGTATTTTTAAACAATGACTTAGACACCTTTTTGAAATCCATCCATTGGATCTTTTCAATTTCATTTCTCACTAATGGTTTAAATACAGTATCTTCAGGAATATTACTGATTAAAAAAATCTTATAATTTTTACCAGATATATTTCTTTCAATGAATTGATCTTCATCAATATGATCAGTTAAATCGAATCCGATTTCTTCTTTCACCTCACGGATACAGCAATTGATATCATCTTCATCCTTTGAAATTTTCCCACGAGGAAATGACCAAGAATCACTTTCTGTACCTTTCACTAATAGAATCTTAGTCATGTTTTTATTAAAGATAGCAGCGCCTCTTACTGGAATAGTCTTCTTATACTTAGAAAATTTCGATAAAGCTTGATCGACTTTAATATCTTTCCATTTCCAAACTAATGGACATAACTTAATAAACAATTGGGATAACTGTTTAATTTTTAATTTTGGTAAATTAGGGTTCATCAATTTAATGAAATCTGTATAGAACCATGATGCTTCTTCGAAATGAAATAATTCTCTTTCTACACTAGATAAATCTTCTGGCGGACAATTAATAATAAATCGAACCAATAAATCCTCAATAATTCGGTCAATAGAGGTAGTATTCTCCAAACCTCGTCTTAGTGGTAACGACATCTATTATTTGGTTTATTTTATTACTTTCTATAATTCTATTGATTCTATCCTAGTACAAGTAGATTTCACTTCCTAATTTCTTTAATATTTGATTACTTTTCTTAATTATTTTTTTCTGTTGTAAAGGTATGTATTTAAAATACTTTCAGAATACTTTTGACAATCAGAAAAAAAAGCTTTGTAAATGTATAATGCAATAGTGATTAACTAGTTATCCAAACTTTTAAGATGATATATTATTAATAGTATTACTAACTTACCAAACTATACAGAACTGTGTTTTTAGTAAACTTCTTATTACCAAGTTGGTCTCACTTTTGTCACCCTTTGCTTGCTTATGTTGTCTTGAATTTTCCACGTTGCGCTGAAAGTTTCACTCAGCGAAAAAATTCAAAAAATATAGAATTCGCACTGTAAGTGAAACTACTTTACGCTGAGAACATAATAAACACCTTCCTCGTAACAAGTGATGAAAATACACAAAATTAAAATTGTCAAATATAAAGAGAAGGATAACACATTAAGAATGATACAATCTACTCACACCCCAAGATTTTCACTGAATGACTACATTATCATAGACTCTACATCCCCTAAATGAACTAAAGAGTGACCTTTGACTTCCATGAGTATTAATTACTAGTAAATGGTTATAGAGGGTAACCTTTTTTTCTTAGTGCGCCTGGCCTTTACGAACAAAATGAGATCTCTAAGCCGAAGAATAGGGGGACAAACAACGTTTCATGCTAAGGAAGGGACAAGGACTTCCAAGTATTCCATATAGTATACCCTTACTTCTTGATTTGTTTATTGATTAACAAGTTTTCGTGAGTACAATTTATTGGTTAAAACATTTTTTTGGCTTATTATTTGAGAAAGTATATCATTGATAGTTGTAAAATTCTAGGTGTATATTCCTAATTGAACATAACCGAGACACAATACGCATATTTAATCATGGCTTTAGAACCAATTGATTGCACAACACACTCCAGAGAGATTGAACAAGAGTACCAGAAAGTTGTTAGAGGTACAGATGATGATACTACATGGTTAATCATTTCCCCAAACGGACAAAAGGAATACGTACCATCCTCTACAGGATCTGATTTTTCTGATTTCATACAATCCTTTGATGATGGTAAAGTTGAATACGGTATCGCTAGAGTATCACCTCCAGGCTCTGATGTCGGTAAAGTGATTCTTATTGGTTGGTGTCCAGATTCTGCACCAATGAAACCTAGAGCTTCATTTGCATCTAATTTTGGTACTGTTGCCAATTCTGTATTACAAGGTTATCATGTACAAGTGACTGCCAGAGATGAAGATGACTTGAATGAAAGTGATTTGTTAACTAAGATCAGTAACGCAGCAGGTGCTCGTTACTCTATTCAATCAAATGTATCAAATGCTAGCCCTTCTTCTTCAGGTTATAATGCTCCAGTGAAGAAGGTATTCACACCTGCCGTAAAGAAAGTAGAACCACCAATGAAAAGTGAACCTGTACCCCATGTGCGCCAAGAAGAGAAGGTACCTGTCAATACTACTGCTACACCATCTACTTCCAATGATGGTGATGATTGGGATGAACCTGAGATTAAGGAACGTGATTTTGAAACCAATCCATTAAGTGGAAATAAATCAACTTATCAACCAATTGGTAAAATTGATCTGAAAAAAGTGATCGCTGAGGAAACAGCTAAAGAAGATCCACGGTTAGTACATAAGATTGATCCAAAAGCAGATATTGCTCATTTGAAAGAAGAATCTAAAGAACATAGAGACCAAGATCTTGACAATTTCTTGAAACAAGAGAAAGATCACGTTCCTTCCTCTACAGCAGCTATCGGTGGTACTAAACCTCCATTAGTGAAATCTGATTTCAGCAGAAACGATAACAGTGATAAAGTAATCCAAGGTTTCAAGACTGAAAAATCTCCAGCACAACTATGGGCCGAAAAGAAAATGAAACAAACTCAACAAAATAACGATTCAAATGTATCTGCATCTATTACACCTGAGTCAAATGAACCAGAAAGTGGAGTCGACCACAGCGATGAAATGAATATTGGTGATTTGAAGTCTAGATTTGAAAACCTAGGCACTGAAAACGAAAAGAATACTGATTCTGTTCCACCAGTAGGTAAAACAGCAATTATTGCACCAAAAACATTTGGACAACCTGCTGCCAATTCCGAAGCGCCTGCTAAGGAAGAAAAGAAACCATTTATACCTGGTAATGTCGGTCAACGTTTACCAGGAATGCATGCTGAGGTTTCAGAACATGAGGAGGAGGATAATGATGATTGGGATGAAGATGAAGATGAAGAGGAAACACCAAGGAGAAATCTTCCACCTCCTGTAATGGAAACTAGAGAAGCTGGATTGCAAGCACCTCTTCCTCCAAGAAGAACCGAACCAGAGCCAGAACAAGAACAAGAGCCTGAACCAGTAGAAGAACAAGAAGAACAAAATGAGGCCTCAACTCCTTCCCTTCCTTCTAGAAATATTGTTCCTGAACCACAACCTGTTGAGGAAGCAGAAGAACAAGAAGAGATTGAAGAGCCATCACCAGCTTTACCATCTAGAGGCGGTGTTCCTCCACCTCCACCTCAAAGAGCAATTCAGGAAACAGAACCTGAAGTTGCTAATGAGGCTCCTTGGGCCACAGCTGAATATGACTATGAGGCTGGCGAAGACAACGAATTAACTTTTGCTGAGAATGATAAGATTATTAACATTGAATTTGTGGATGACGATTGGTGGTTAGGTGAATTAGAAAGTACAGGACAAAAGGGTTTGTTCCCAAGTAATTATGTGACACTAGGTAATTAAATTGTGAACCGAATTTCACATGTACATTAAACTAATATGAAACTAATAGAATTAAGTAGTTTTTCTCTATATTTACATATGGAATATAGGTAAAATAGTATTACATGACATTATATTTAAGTATAAATTTATCTTTGTTCATTATTTACCCATGGAAAAGGATAATTTGCGTTATAGTCAAAGCAAAATGTATTATCGATGTTTCAGATCATTTTCAGATTTTACTTATGGAGTCGCGCCTTGTGATGCTGGGTCTTGTTTACTATGTAGCGGAAATAAAAAAAAGTAGCTGTCACTAACTTGAAACATACTTATTTCAAAACACACATGTCACATTAAGGGTAGAAATGACTGTAACCTAATAAACCTAAGTTAATAATATAATTTATGCATATGGTTATGTTACTGCTGTCGACTTTTTATTGACAGCCCAATTGTTCTAATTAATTGATATTAGATGTATCGCTGGATTCAGCTTCAATGATATTTAAAGAAGGAAGATCCAGATATTTTGGATTAATGGAATTGAACATGTCTTTTCATTTTTAACTTCCATATTTCATACAAACAAGTAACTAATTTGATCGATAATAAATTTGCATAATGTTGTCGGCTCTTTTATTGAATGTGCTTTTAGCATCGAATTCTTACGCATCCAATTATGGATATTTTCCAAATTCAACTATTTCTTCAAGCGCATTGAGTTTACCATCCACACTAACAAACATACCACGTTCTGATACTTTAACTTCATCTACCCCTAGTTTTACCACTTCATTACCAACAGGCGACTCAACAACACTTTATGGAACTCTACAGTTATCTTCACCCAGTTTTTCGGATTCCAGTTCGCCTGAGAGTGTGCTGTCTGTGAATACCGACTTGTATACTTCATACAGTATTACAACTGACATCAATGTTACAGTTAAGGATTTTTCAACAGATTTGATTAAGACATGTCCTACTTGTACTTTTAACGCTAAACAATCAAGTTCCCAGGTAATTACTTCGGATTCATTAACATTATCAAGCATAAACACTACTACATCTAGTTCAACCACCTCTGAATTGTCAATTACTTCCAATGTTGTTTCGTCTGCTGACTCTTATACAACTGAAAGTTTTGAAACTGCTCAACAATCAATTCCTAGTAACCTTTCAAATGGGGACTCTGCAGTAGTTACCCCTCTAACTGTAACTTCAAATTCTCTAACAAGCCAATACTACGTAACACCAACTAATAATATTGACTCATCCACAGAACAAACTAACTCTACAATTCTGACTACATATTCTTCATCAAATGAACTTAAAACGTCGTCATATGTTGTTTATCAATCTAAAGTTACTCAAACAGTTAATGGTGTCGTGACAGTTTATACCACATGGTGTCCATTGGAAACAACTAATTTAGAGAAATCAACTTACTCCTTCAGTTCATCTAGAGTTATTAGTTCAGTTTCCGTAAGTTCAAGTGAATCGAGCTACTTGAAAAATACTGCCACTTCTACATTTTCCAATAGTGCAGGGGTTATATCATCATCAAATAATCAATTGGATACATCAAGTACTAATGCTATCGTCAAGAGCAATATAGCTTCTTCTAGTTCTTCTTCTGCCGTTACCATTCAAACTAATCCAGAAGTCGAAATTGAGAATATAAATTCGCCAACAATTACTTCAACTCCTTCTTCACCAACACCTACATCGAGAACATCAAGTACCACAACTACATTTGTATTATCCACTGTTCAAACGACAGTAAATGGCGTTTTAACTGAATATACTACGTGGTGCCCTTACGAGGGAGCTTCTTCTGATTCAACGACTGAACCTGCACAAATAACATCAACATACGAAATTACGACTACCAATAGTAACAGTTCTACAATTTTTGTATCTCAAACCGCCGTTCTTTCAACACATACGACTACAATACATGGTATTGTAACTGAATATACTACATGGTGCCCATTAACTGTATCTACTTCAAGTACACATCAACAATCATCCATCAAAACATCTGTAATTGAAGTTTCTTCCACAAATGATGAAGGTTCCGTTCAAATTTCTTCACAGACGGCATATCTATCTACTCATACAACTACAATCCATGGTGTCGTTACTGAATATACAACCTGGTGTCCTTTGACTACTTCCGAAAATACACTGCATTCATCTACAACTATTAAGCCGAAAGAAAGAGAATTAGAATCGTCAAGTAGTACTAGTGGTACTAGTAGCATTAATTCAAGTATTACGTCATCACTTCCATCCTTTAAAGCTGTTAATAGTGAAAATGAAAAAACAAGCAATTCCGTATCAAGCCAATCTACCGGATCAATAGTAACAGTGAATACTGTAACAACAACTAAATTATCTGTCGTAGTCATTTCAACTGAAGTATGTTCTTCTGATAAGTGCAGTACTGTTTACTCTACGGTTGTTATGTCTTCACCTAAGTTGAGTTCAGCATCTTCTTCTTCTTCTTCTTCTTCTTCTTCTTCTTCTTCTTCTTCTTCTAGCATATCTTCATCATCAGTTCAAAATTCGCAATACACTTCTTCTTTGCCACTATCTTCAGAAATAGCATCAACTTCAAGTCAGTCTATTAGTATTACTGTCGTATCATCCACTACAGAAACCAAAAGCAGTGACCAAAACTCGGTAACCAAAACTACTCAAGAATCTCAATTTTCTACCACTAGTAGCCAAACATTTGTCCTATCTACATCTACTGTTACAACCAATGGTATTGTTACAGTCTTTACAACATGGTGTCCTTATTCATCTGAAGAAAGTTCGATCGGTAGTACAACTACATCTAAGTCAACTGTTTTGACAAGTACAACAACATTGGAAACTTTTACGTGTACTCATGAAACTTGCCTTATTTCTCCAGCCACTAGTAAACCGTTTTCTCAAATTTCTAGCGCTACATCAAAATCCACGAATACTATTACAACTAGTAAACCATTAGAAAACAAAACTTCGTCTCCTTCTTCTTCAAACGAATTCACAAGCAGCACAATTGAATGGAGTTCTTCAATAGATCAACCAGCTATTAGATCCAGTGAATCTTCAATAATTAAACATACCGGTACAACTGCTACTACTGAAGATACGACAAATCAAGTATCTGCAACAACTGTGTCTGTTAATTCTTCTACTACTGAAAGCAAGACAACTCAGGTTTCAATGACTACTCAATCTACTGGTAAAATTACTACAGAACAACAATCGAGTCAATTAAGTACATCAAAGGCCACAGAAGAAAAAAGTTCCATTGTAATTGAAAGTAGCATTTATTCTTTTATTTCCACTACCAGTACAAAATCTACTACTGATTTGGTCACAGTTACATGCACAGAATCTAAGTGTTTAGAAGTATCCACTACAACAAGTGACGTATTTATACCATCAAAATCGTTCTCCTCTTCTGCTTCTGTTTCAGTCACAGCTACATCGTCAACCACTACAATATCCATGAATTCAATTAGTTCAGAACAAACTAGATTAGATACAACCGTAACTACCACCACAATGAAGAATGAAACACCAATTCCATCAAATATTCCTTCTTCTTCTTCTTCTTCTTCTTCTTCTTCTTCTTCTTCTTCTTCTTCTTCTTCTTCTTCTTCTTCTTCTTCTTCTTCTTCTTCTTCTCCTTCGTCTATTGAAGTTAGAACACCTACTTCTCAAAAAATCACTCAAAGTACAGTATCCACTCCAATAGTTTCTATCTACTCTTCTACTTCAACAACCCAAACCGCCTCAACAATGACAACACCAACTGTCAGTGAATATACCGGTAATGGACATAAAACAACATTTAATGGTATTTTCATATTTATATTGTCGATGCTATATCTTCTATAAAAGTAAATAAACCAATCTTTAAAAAAAAAAGAATGAATATCTATTAATAACGATACTAGTAACAAAGAGAATATATATAAAAGTTTTCTTATTTACCCTTTTCGATTTTATAATTAAAATCAGTAATATAAACCTCTTCACTTGAGTCATCATCATAATCATACCATGAACCATCGTCTTCAAATTGACAATCCATAATTTTTCCTGAATTCAATTCCGCTTTGAATGGTAATGCAGTATACAAGAAATCAATAATTTCCCAACCTCTTGAATCCAATTGCATGATGGCAGCAAAATTATTAATATCTATTTTATTCCCATTTAAACCATATTTCTTTCTCTTATCATTATCACTATGTTCTTCCTGTTGTGCAAAGAGACATGGTTCAAATGCATTGGCCATAATATTATTATCACTTTCACAGAATTTACATTTCATAGTAAAAGTAGCTTCACTTTTACCACCTTGAATTTCATGTTTTTCGAATAAATTGAAATTAATTACTTTTTCAGCATCTTCACCACATTTAGTACATTTTAATTTAAAAGAATACTCAGCGGGACTAACTTCGGTATCATCTACATACAGTTTCTTAACATTTTCAGATAATTCAGCACTGATAAATAGGTATAACATTTTTCCAAAATTTGATACAATAAACAGGGGACTTGCTTGCTATGACAATTCTTAGCTGTAAAAAAATTACAAAACCGGACAGATCAAAGGCTAAATTACAACACTCCCATTTCTTAAAGTATATTAGATGAATGAATACCTTGGACAAATCTATTCAATTCATCTTTCAATTGACCTCATTGATAACTATATTGTCATTACGACTGGCGAACATGTCAGATTGTTCTGTTTAATTTTTCACAGAAGTTCAATATTGCCTGTCATCTGCACTCTACCAACTATGAAAAATAAACGAAAAAGAAAAAAAATATTCTGATATTTCTCATTCACGCTAAAACTGCGTAGAATAAATATATTCACTACGCAGCCTTAACTGTGTATGAGAAGGGTCTTTTTCACTATGAATTTTGTTCGTTTTTATTTGTTCGGTGTATAGTCGATTAAGTTAATTACAGTAAATAATGCATATTGTTAACGTGTATTTTGTATCCTACTGAGAGACAGTTAAAGGTCTTATATTTAGCAATAACATCAAGGAGGTTTTGATTGAAACAAGCTGAGAGAGAGTATATATATACTCATACCACGGTTATATAAAGGTAAAAAATATATCCCTTTGAATGAGAGTGATGAAATCATATTTGTAACAACTATTATAAAGACTAAATTTTTATTTCTTACGTGAAATTTGTGAATATATCATAATAATAATGACTACCAACTTTGATGATTCTGTAGAATCTTTAAAGCAAAGAGGTAAAAATGTATATATTTCGAAACTCTTCAATTTACAATTTAAAAAAAATAGTAATAATCAAGAAACAAATACTACTAAACCGAATGATAATGATAATGATAATGATAACAACAGTACAGATAGAAACAATTTTGGATCCAATGATCTGGGAAACCCCAATTATGATTCTAATATGAATCAAAATATGTATGCAACTACAAATAATAATAACAATGATGGTTCTTTGAGTAGAGGTATTGAACCAAATATAGAATACATACCTTCAATAAATCAAAATGAAAAGAATATGTCCGAACCTATTTTAAGGACAGATCTCACTAATGAACCGGATACAAAATTTAATAAATTTAAAAATATGTTTCATGGACATAAGATAAATACACATTCTACGCAAATATTTAAAAATAAATTACGTGCAATCTCAAAGACTAAATCATCATTAGGAGACACAGATCAAAATGTTACTCAAAACAATGATCTTGATATGGATGAATTTGACGTTAATTCAGACAATTCAATAGAAGAATCTCTAATTGAATTTCCCTCGATTAATATATCGAGTAAACTTACAATAGATTCGGATAGTCATACAAGAAATAGTAGCGGTTATAGACATGATATATCACCACCTACAACAAACGCTGAGTTGACACCATCAATCAATTATCAAAGTAACAGTAACAACGTTTTTGAGCTTGGAAATAATCCACATGCATACTCTGATAGAGTACATACATCAAACGATAAGATCACTAGATTTCGTTCCCCATCAAACCCAACAGTTTCTAGTATTGCAAATAGATCAAACAATATGTCACCTGTGGCTTCCATCGACACTAGATTGAGAAGTGAATCTCAAACAGAATCCTTTAGCTCTACAAATCCATTCCGTTCGGAAGGTGCAAGCCAGACCAATGTATCAATGACATCAAATAATCCATTTTTTACAGTCTCAGGATCGGTATCTCCAACTTTAACTCAAAATACCAGTAACAATTTTCCAAATGTGGATAAACAACCTCCGACAAATATTACACCTATTAAGAAATATCACAGAAACTTAAGTAATGTTTCTCTAAATGAAATTAAGGAAAATGAGGAACTTGAACAATTTAGAACAGCAAGTATGAATAATAATTTATTTGGATTGAGTAATCAGTCCTCTTTTATTTCATCTGCACCTGGTAGTAGAACACCTTCCATTATAACAACTGTATCCGAGAGCAATGTTCAAGGAATATCGTTAAGAAAGCAACGCTCAGATTCTCTGAATGAATTAGCATCTAATTCTAAGATTTTAAATAATGTTGAGAAGGACTATTTCTCATTACAAAGATCTCCAAATATTTCTGACAGACGGGCTACAATTTTTAGTAGATCATCAGCAGATAATAATTCATTTACAGGTCTTGCACCAAAAAGGTCTAATAGACTTCGTACGAAATCATTTAGTAATAAATTTAAAGATATAACCGTCCAACCTAGTTCATTCATCAAAATACGAAAATTAGGTGAAGGAGATGTTGGAAGAGTTTATTTAGTACGAGAGAAGAAGACTGATAACTTATACGCTATGAAAGTAGTTTCGAAGAAGGAAATGATTAAACGTAAGAAAACGAAACGAATTCTGGCTGAACAGGAAATTTTAGCTACGAGCAATCATCCTTTTATCGTGACATTATACCACACATTCCAAACAGAAGAACATTTATTTTTTTGTATGGAGTACTGTGTGGGAGGAGAATTTTTCCGTGCATTACAAACAAGAGATTCAAAGTGCATTTGTGAAGATGATGCCAAATTTTACTTGTGTGAGGCTATAGCTGCTTTGGAGTATCTGCATCTATTGGGTTTCATATATAGAGATTTGAAACCAGAAAATATTTTGTTACATCAATCAGGTCATATAATGTTATCTGATTTCGATTTATCAATTCAAGTCCCTAACTCAAAACTACCTTCATTACAAGGCTCGAATGTCGATACTAACTTATCATCTGATAATTTTAAAACAAATTCATTTGTAGGGACCGAGGAGTATATTTCACCAGATGTAATACGAGGTAATGGTCATAGCGTTAGTGTTGATTGGTGGACGTTGGGTATCCTATTGTATGAGATGTTGTATGGTTTCACACCATTCAAAGGTAATGATATCAATGAAACATTCTCAAACATCCTGAAAAAGAACGTAAAATTTCCAAACAACGTTTCTGTGTCTCGTGTTTGTAAAGATCTTATCAAAAAATTATTAATTAAAGATGAAAACAAAAGATTAGGATCAAAGAAGGGGGCAGCAGACTTGAAATCACACCCATGGTTTAAGAAAGTTGCGTGGTCATTTTTAAGAAATCAACCACCGCCCTTAATTCCTGTTTTAACATCCAATGGTTATGAATTGACAAGTCCAACAAATAGATATATTGGGCAAGATACTGTGGATACTATTAATAGTGATGATGATGACTACCATACTGAAGAAATAGAATATGATGATGATTTATCAGAGGAGGATCCATTTCATAATTTTAACTCCATGAGTTTGCTGAAATCTGAGGATGGCAGTGAAAAAATGAAATTTACTGATAAAATATCATATGATAATGTAACATATGCAATAAATAACTGTAGGCTACGTAGTGATAGTGGTAGCAGTGGTGGTAGAAAATTCTTCAATAGATGACTAATTTATAAAATGCATGTGGCAAATTTATTACTCCTATTAATTATGTAATCTTACTTATATAGTTTGAAATACAATGGACTTTTAATTATTACTTTTACAAGAGTTGCTGAATTTTTTCGACAAATCTTTTTCATTGATCAGTGTTCGGAAATATCCATATTCATTAGCATCTTGAATCGATCTTTAAATGTTATGGGGTTAGTATTTTCTTTATTTTTCTTATTTTCAATCGCATTTCGAATTTGCATGGGTAATTCAAGTGATTTGAGAAACTCTTTTCCATAGGATTTCAATTCAGAGGATTTTTCAAATGCTTTTGTTATAATTTCGTTCTCAACATTTGCTAATTTTGCTACATTCAACCCATATGAATCATTACTGGTACCAGGTTTCAATGTATATAAGAATACAACACTAGGCCAACTTTCTCCAGGTCTGTGTTCTTCAACAAAATCCATATAGTAGCTTTTTAAGAGATTAGAGTTAATGGAAGCTCCTAAGTCGGGAAAATGTGTTGTAAAGAGAACTAGAGGACAGACTTCGGCCAATTCACAAAAGTATCTTAATAAGGCATATGAAATTGCTTTCCCATCTATAGTACCGGTACCTCTTCCTACTTCATCCAGTAACAACAATGACTTCGGGGTACATCGTGATATGCATCTTAGCACGTCCTCCATCTCCATTTTAAAAGTTGATTTACCTTCTATTATATTATCTTGCGCTCCAATCCTTGTTAATACATTGTCAAACAATGATAACTCCATATATGTCGCTGGAACATAAGAACCGATTTGTGCCATGATGACTAGAAGAGCCACTTGGCGAATATAAGACGATTTACCACCCATATTTGGACCAGTGATAATATTAACCCGACTACCATTATGAGCCATATCTACATCATTAGGAACATATGTTATGTCGAGAGATTCAATAACAGGGTTTCTGCCATTCCTTATTTTAACAAGTTGTTTAATTTCTGTACCGTGAGATATAAATTTTGGTCTGCTATAATTAACATTACAGGATGTCGCAGCTAATGATAAAATACAATCGTAGGTTGCAAGTTCGTGGATGACCATGTTTATGTTGACATATTCGTCGTTAATCATGCCTAAAAATCTAGCATATTGTTTGTTACATTCATTTAAAAGAAGTTCCTTTTGGTAATTTAATTTGTCTACGAGCTTGGAGGTAATCGGGGTGGTAAATCTGCTAACAACTTTAGTATTATTTACTTTTATCCAGTCATCTGGAAGGTTCTTAACTTGGGTGTTTCTAATTTCGATCAAATATTCTGTATCATTTTTATATTCTAATTGAGGTCTTTTCAATAATTTCCGTATTCCGTGAAGGGTTTCTTTTAACTCCATTTTAATTTCTTCAATATCTCTCTGGATTTTAAGAATTTCTTCTGAATTATCATAGTTATTTAAATTAAAGAACCCTGTGATTTGCTTTGTTTTATCTTTATCCAAAGCAGCATCGATATTTATCATAGAAAGAAGCTTGGGAAGAGTATTCTCAGAAAAATACTGATCGATACTTGAAAGTATATGGGCAAGAAGTGGTGCATTCTTAAATACAGTTGAACTTTCTGACAGTATATTTTCTTTGATATACTTTTCATGTAATTGGAAATGTTTGCCAATAGTTACAAGCTGTTTTAAAAAAAAATAAATCTCCTTCCTAGAAGTTGACCCATACGATATTCTATTAAGTGTATTAAGTAAGTCCGGAGTTTTGGTTAAGATTTGGTTTAAAGAGTCGAAAAATATATCGCTAATGACCTTCAACATGCAATCCACTGCGTCAAGCCTTTTTTCAATTTCTTCCTTTTTTATTAATGGTCTTGAGATCCAATGATAGAGTTCTCGAGACCCAAATGGTGTACGTGTATGGTCAAGTATCCAAAACAAAGAACCTTTTTTACCCTCATTGGAAAATAAATCCAAACTTTCAAGGGCATTATGATCGAGTATCATGTACAGTCCAGATAAGAATAACTTGTAATTTGAGGGTATTAGTAAGGATTTTTCATTTGAGTATCCTTTCAAATAGGAGTATAAAATATATATGTGAGACATGCTTTCTTTTGATACCTTCAAATTTGAAATGACTTTTTCTATGGTACCTTTAATAGCCGTAATTTCATCATCTTCGAGTTTCTCGTTTTCTAATCTTGAATCTGTGGCATTACGATGGATCGTACAATCGACATTTTTTAGCAATTTGATAACCATAGAAAGGGAGGCGATTTTAGAATTTATCATACACTCAGTTGGCTGTAAATATTTTATCCTAGTATGTAAACTTTCCGTAGAATATCTATTTTCTGTAAATTCATCAAACATTATTTCACCACTATTAAGATTTACAGAAAACAGGATATATTTGAGTAAAATATTGTTGACTTCTTGTACTGATAACAACCAGATACTTTTTGAATTTCCTAAAATTTCTCCTTTGTTATACGAGGAATTGAAAGAATTATTAACTCCATAAGTTGCCTTTGAAAAAGTGTTTGCAATCTCTCTTATAAAAACATTACTCTTGTTGTTTGAATTTTTTTTAATAGCTGTAGTTTCCGACTGCTCGACTACTGATACAATTAGGTTATGAAACAATAATCGCTGAAGATGAACGTTTAAACGTATATCAGGAAATGAACAGTAGGCAAATTGTTTAAATTTTACATCTTGAGGATTGGATTCATCTATAGTTAATTTACCAGGGATTAGTCTTATATGTAGTATCTTACTCGCTATGACGGCATCTTGGGCAAAACATTTATATTTATATCCAACCCTGACAACTAGTAGCTTATCCATATTTTTCAGTTTTAAGTCTTTCACTTGTTGATCTAAAGGAGTTAACTTGGTAGATCCATTCTTTTTACCTTTTTTTGTTGGAACTTCAGGACTCTCACTGGAATCTTCTAATATTTCCTCATCATTATCATCGATTCTTGAACCAATAAGCCCAAAGCTTCTCTTTTTCATAATATTGTTCAGTTTCTTATCAAAATCGTTCCTCTTCTGATCAATATTTAACGAGATGTCAGAATTAGGAACATTATTTTCGGTTTGATATTTCCACATCCCTTCAAGGTTATCATCCGAGGAAAAATTTGTTTTTTCGAATGATGATATCTCATCTCTAGTATCTTTTGGTACTTGATAAATATTTTCATTTCTTTCATTAAACTTCCCTTCATTTAACAATTCATCATCACTCGAATCATCAAGACATATGGAGTTTTCTTGCGATGTTCCTAATTTATGTCCTGAAGTTTCATTTGGGAATGATCCCTCATTATCCTCTTTTTTGACAGGCTTAAAAAATCTGCTAATTGTTGACTGCTTGCTCATAAATTTTATAATCAAGTAGAATGCACTATTTAAACAACTAATTACCCTTGTGTTTTGATGGAATATGTGTATTATATCGATGTCAGTTAACCAAAGTATCTCAAACGGTATTACGATTGAGTATATGAATTAGCTCCTAACTTATACAACCACATTATGAGTTAGTATTGCTATGTATATCAGATTGTTCATTTATTGCTTCTTGATCTTGAGACATGGATAATCACTTTACACGAGTTTGTTTTCTTGAAAACAAAGACAGAAAGAACAAAAAAAATATGAGGGTGGAAAATATTGGTAGCCGAGTTGAGGAACATGGTGTTTGCCGTTAGAGACAGCTCTTGTTGTTCTCTTGATTGAAGAACACATTTTCGAAGAACAAAAGTAAATCTGTTTACATTAGTTACTTTTCAATCTTTTTTACAGTATCTGAAATAGTTACCCCAATTAGATTATATTATTTAAATATTTCAATAAAAGAATTGGTTACATGCAATCTGAAAATATATTAAAGGCTATTACCAAAGAAAGTAACGAAGGGAACGAGGCCACAAATATTGTAATATCTCAGATTAGTTTATTAATTACAACACTTACAGAACAAAATTTTAGTGAAATAGAAACTAAGATTAACTACACTCTATCAAAATCCAGCGCATCTGTTTATTTAAGATATTGGGATAGATTACTAGCATACGCAGAAGCTTACATTTTAAAATATAATAAATTAGATACACAAGGAAATCTTATCCATAGATTACTTTTAAACTTAATAAGAAGTTTAACAAAAAAGAATCAAGAATTTTTGGAATATCTTCGTGAGACACTGTTTGATCATTTACTAACTGAACATCTCACTTTTAAAGATATTATTGGGGTATTGGATAGCACTGCTGACAAGGAACTCATTGACTCATTATTACCAGAGACCACAATTCAGAGTCTAAAAGACCTAGAAAAGCTCAAGATGAATAACACTAAATATTTACAAACATTTATATCAGGCGGTTCCGTGGATTCTATGGAATCAAAACTAGACGAAATACTCTCTTCATTGAATGGAGAAAGCTTGAATGATATAGTTGCACTTCTTCTATCTGAGATTCTTTCTCCACATTCACAAAACATTCAGGAGGATAATAAACCATCATGGTTGACACCTGATACAATGCGGGAATCATCAATTGTTGGTGAGCATATATCGAATTGCATTCAAAAAGTTGCTCCTAATGCAATTAATTGGAATCGTATTTTTAATTTAATGTCAACCAAATATTTCATGACAACTCCAATTAAGCCAAGAACTGCCTCATTCAATTCCCTATTAACTTCCCTTAAGCATGGTGTTCTCATTGACCAATTTTTCAGCTGTGAATGGCCAATTGATTTTAAATTATTTATTACTTGCGAATTACATAAATGGCCAAAAGATGAGGGTACATTTGATTTGTTGAATGTTCCTGACACTAAAAAGGTATCAGACAAACTTCCAAACGCAAAACAATCGTTATTGTATATATTGTCCGTGGCGACCATTGATTTAGAATTGTTTTTTTTGAGAGAGGAATTAGAAAATAAAACAATGCTAACCTATTATCAAGAATGCTTCTTTGAGGATTTTAGTTACAGTCCAGAATATTTGTATTTAGCATTAGTGGACAATATTAAACATTTCACTCTTTTAACCGATAATAAAGCAGTAATTGAAGAAATCATTATTACATTATTCGTTCAAGTATTTGTCAAGACACCAGATGTAATGGGTGATCTTCTAGCTATTTTACCATCAAAGGATAAGATGCTTACCGATATTACTAGAATGATATTACAAAAAAATGAGGTCCCTATTGATAGCTTTATCAAATTATTAATTGATCAAGATAAACTAGAGTTAGTTCTGAATAGAGTTACTTTGGTTGAAGCATTTTCTATTTTACCATGTGCAACCAAATATGGGTGGAATGGTTTTAAGTCATTCTTAAAGTCTCATATGAATGCAGATACTGCATCGGTAGCATTAGATTCGATGGAACTTCAAATTGCTATGACGGACGCTAATACACCATTCAGAACCTCTAAGGCATTTGACCTACCATCACTTAATGAACTTATCTTATGTTTAATGGATGTTCCATTGAATACTAAAGATTTGGAAAAATTTGAAGATCTTCAATACAAGATTTTAATCGCATTCCCAAGAATTATAAACATTTCTAACGGACATGATAATGCCATCTTATCCAACGGTAGTTTTACACCAATTGCGCCAGATGTTGAAAAAGAAATGCAAGGTTATTTACAAAAGATGTACAGTGGAGATATTCAAATAAAGGATGTTGTCGAAGTCCTACGGAAATTGAAAGACAGTGATGAACCAAGGGATCAAGAAGTATTTGCATGTATTACACACGCCGTACTTGGGGAATGTAACTTTTTCAAGGATTATCCTTTGGAAGCCTTGGCAACAACGTCGGTTCTATTTGGTTCTATGATTTTATTTCATTTATTAAATGGTTTCGTTTTGGATGTGGCTCTAAGAACTATTTTAAATTTTGCTAAAGAAGGTTCTGAATCTAAAATGTTCAAATTTGCTATTCAGGCCATATATGCATTTAGAATTCGTTTGGCTGATTTTCCACAATATTGTAAGGATTTACTTGAGCAAATTCCTGGTTTAAATACCCAAACACAAGTCTATCAATTTATTTACGACGCTTCTAAATCTGCTCAAGTTCCAATTCAAAAAAATGAAGCTAGTAGTAAAACTGTTTCAGAACTACTGCCAATGACATATTTTGTTTTAGACGAATGGCACTCTGCTGTTATACAGGAAAACCCAACTAAGGATATTACAGAAAAGATCTTATTTATTGCCAACAATATTACTATTAACAATTTTGATACCAAGATTAATGACATCGTCACTTTAGTCACACCAAATTTTTACACCTGGTTCTCCAATTATCTGGTCAATCAAAGAGCGAAGACTGAACCTAATTACCATTCGTTGTATTGTAAGATTTTCACAGCATTCAAATCAAATTCGTTACATGAGTGTGTTATTAATACTACTTTGAGACAGTTGTATGTGCTTTTAGCTGCCAAAGATAAATCTCAGATAGATAAAAAAATATTGAAAAACCTCTCTTCCTGGTTTGGTTTAATTACGTTAAGTGTAGATAGGCCAATAAGACATAGAAACGTGGCATTTAGAGAGTTATTATTGGAGGCATACAAGGAGGATAGACTGGATATTGTCGTCCCGTTTGTTACGAAGGTTTTACAAAATGCAGAATCATCAAAAATATTTAGACCACCAAATCCATGGACTTTGGGTATTCTCCAAATATTACTGGAACTTAATGAAAAGGCCAATTGGAAACTAAGTTTAACTTTTGAAGTAGAGGTTCTATTTAAAACATTAAAGGTATCTATGAAAAGTATACAGCCCTCCAATCTTATTGAAGGCCCAGATAGTGTAGATGTTATTGCTGGTAAGCTAGGAAACATTTCGTTAGAACAACAACAGGTTGAACGTCAAAAGCAAATTATGTTAATGCAACAACATCAACAGCATATGTTGATGTACAGACAACGTCAACAGCAAATGCTATCATCTGGTATTACAGAACAGAATCAATTTAATGTTGATCCCCTTGGCTCCTCATCTGCTGTTCCAAATGTACCATCACAACAGGTTCCAGGTATGGCTACAGTACAGTCAAGTGAAACACCATTCCAGAATTTACTGGGTAATACCGTATTTGTTACCCATCCGGATCTGAAACGTGTTTTTCAAATGGCTCTTGCAAAGTCAGTCAGAGAAATATTAATTCCTGCAGTTGAAAAGGCAAGTAATATTGCCGTTGTGTCCACGATAAAGATTGTCGGTAAAGACTTTGCTACTGAAGTTGATGAAGGAAAATTAAATGCTGCCGCAATCAACATGGTTAGACATTTAGCACAAAGTTTATCTCGTGCTACTTCCATCGAACCTTTGAGAGAAACAATAAGGACTACGACACAGTCTTTGGCTCCAAATTTATCCAATTTGTCGTTCAATCCGTTTGGTGAACTTGATAATGCAATTAACGACAACATAGGTTTAGCTTTGGTATTGATAGAGAATGCCGCCATTGAAAGATCTGTTCAAGAGATTAGCGAACAGTTAGTTCAGTCAATTGCAGTTCGGAGATATCATAAGGAAAGAAGGGCAGACCAACCTTTCTTGGCACCAAATGTTAATCCGTATTCATTAACTTTGCCAGAACCATTGGGGTTGAAGAGTTCCGGTGTTACTCAGCAACAACTAAACATATATAAGGAATTCGGAAAGTATATCCCTAACAGTGATGGTATGGCACTGAACAATGTTCCTGCTCCTCTCAACATGAATCAAAATTCAGCTGTTCAAGGCTCAGAACAGTTTGCACAGGCTCAACAGCAGCAACAGCAACAGCAGCAACAGCAGCAGCAGCAGCAGCAACAGCAGCAGCAGCAACAGCAGCAACAGCAACAACAGCAACAGCAACAAAGAATACCTCAACAACCACCTATGGTTCAACCAGTTCAGCAACTGAATACAATCCAGAATGAATTGGAACAAAACCATCGTGTTCTTGTGCATTTAATGGATGTTTTAGTTGCTCAGATTAAAGAAAATTCTGGTAAAGAGTCTCTTGAGGAATTAGGTGAGAATAATCAAATTAATAACATTATTTTCCAGATTCTAACATTTATTGCTAGAAGCGAACAAAAAGATCAGTTGGCATTGAAGGTTGCCCAAGCTGTTGTGAACAGTTTATTCGCTACGAGTGAAAGTTCGTTGTGTAGAGAAGTTTTATCTCTTTTACTTGAAAAATTATGCTCATTGTCATTGGTTGCTAGAAAAGATGTTAGTTGGTGGTTGATTTACGCATTGGACAGCAGAAAGTTTGATGTTCGTGTAATCAGATCTTTACTTGAAGTTCATCTTATCAATGTTTCCGAATTGGACAATGTGATAGTAACTGCTATGATAAATAATATGGAAAATGCAGTCGAATTTGCAATCGATGTTCTAAAAAGTACTGTCTTATCGAAGGAACCAATATTAATGAGAATGGATTTTGTACGTACTCTGGAGCACCTAAGTAAGTTAAATGATCCAAAGGTAAAGGAATTTCTAAAGAAGTTCAACAACTCAGATGTTTTGCCTGTTACAGACGGTACTAGTGTCGTTTTAAATGAGAAATATTTTTTGGTCTTCACAGAGTGGGTTAAGTTACTACAAAGAGTTGATATCGAAGACGACGTCGTACTTGCCTTCATATCTCAAATGATGGAGAATGGTGTTATTACAGATTCAGACAGTTTAATACAATTTTTAAAATCAGCTCTGGAACTTTCAGTATTTGCTTTTAAAGAAAGCGATCCAACTAGTGAAGTTTTCACTGCCATTGATGGTTTAAGTAAGCTAATTATCAAACTATTAGTATATCAAGAATTTACCGAATGGACTAAGTCGGACTATATGCATGTTATTTTCTCTGTTATTTTATTAGTTTCCTCTAAAGACCATGAAGATTCGACCTTTAATGAAAGGCCATATTTCAGGTTGTTGTCTAATTTGTTATTTGAATGGAGTACTCTTCGTGGTAATAATTTTGCTACTATCAAAAACATTGAAACAAGAAAAGAGTACCGTAATTTCGATATTGAATTTTACAATATATTTGCAACCTATTTACATTCTTTCCAACCTTTCGCGTTCCCTGGATTCACTTTCGCATGGGTTTCCTTAATTTCTCACAGAATGTTCCTACCTATTATGTTAAGACTTGAAGATAAGAAGGGCTGGAAGAAATTAATGATTTTGTTAATTGATTTATTTAAATTTTTGGATACATACACTAAAAAGACTGCCTTATCGGATACTGTTTCGGTGGTATACAAGGGGACATTGCGTGTCATTCTTGGTATCTCTAACGATCTTCCCGACTTCCTGATTGAAAACCATTTCGAACTGATGAACAATATTCCGGCCACTTACTTCCAATTAAAGAACGTCATTTTGTCCACGATTCCACTGAAGATGGTTGTTCCAAATCCATACGATTCAATGTTATCTATGGAAAGTATGGAGGATTGCCAAACTCCACCTTCTGTATTTTATGACCCTGTTGAAGCTTTACAATCCTTAAAGAAACCTATTGACAATTACTTACGTATTCCATCCAATTCTCTGTTTAAGACTATATCGAGTGGCTTATATAGGACAGAGTATGATATCAAAAATGGAATTGGTTTTGACTTTGTTAGTGTCGACCAGGAATTAGTTCGTGCTATTGTTTTACATGTCGGTATTGAAGCTGGTTTAGAAAATGGTAGAACATCATCCAGTGCGGTATTCAACACAAAGTCTTCGTATTACGCCCTGCTTTTCAACATGATCAATGAAGGTATTTCTGAACTAAAGTATCAAATCATACAAGTTATGGTTGAACAATTGCGTTATCCAAACATCCACACTTACTGGTTCTCATATGTTTTAGTAAACATGTTTACATCAAAAGATTTCGCTGATAACCTAACAGAAGTTCAAGAAATTATGTTAAGAGTTTTATTGGAAAGAATTATCGTTAACAGACCGCATGCATGGGGTGTTTCCGTATTGGTTACGAAGCTTCTAACAAATAAAGAAGTCGATATAATGAATCTTTCATTCATGAAGACTGTACCTCAAATAGAGACAATATTTTCACAATTGAAAAAGCATACGTCAAATAATATTACAGTAGATTCAAAAGCTGATGTTTCTGGCGGGAATAATGCATCTATAGCCGCCAAATGAGGCTTTTAGTTGTATATTTATAGTTTTTTGCATTCTTCATGCATCTGCATATATAATGATATACATGATATATGTTACTTAATAATTATTAATATTTACTTATTACATAATAAAATCGATTTGATGAATAGTTGATGGGGCAAGATCATGTTAGCTAGCGTCCGATGTCACTATCTAGTGGTGGATTGACCATACACGCGAAGGAAGTGAAGATGTCGATCTAAATTAGTAAGTTTGTTGTGTTAAAAAATGGCGACCTAATAATATCAATCTAAGTTAATTTAGTACCCAAATGAATGCTTCGAATAAATGTAGGAATCCTTAAAGTTTTCCAATTTATTTCGCCAACAAAAACAAATATATAAATTACATAAAAGATGATGTTGCTTGATCAATAACCATGTTCTCTTTATTACTGTTTACGATTTTACTAAAAGGATGAGATCCATCGTAGAAGAAATAAGATACGGTCATATTTACAATGTTTAAGAACCTTTTAGCACTGCTTCATCAAGATTCCGGTTTGTCCTTTTAAAGTACTAGATAAATATTATTGATCTTTCTCAAAAATCATTAAATCTGAATGTAATTTTTTTGTTTAGTGTCCGCAATTAAACTTTTACATTTCGCTAAGTGAACGGGCTTTTCTTAATTAAAAAATAGAATAACAAAAGACATTAAGTGAAATGAAAGGTGAAAGTTTAACTGAGATTATAACTGCAATTAGTACAAAGTTTACCACCCCAACCATAACTTTATTGTAACATTTCTAAACAAAGTGTCACAAGAAAGATGTCGTCCTTTTTTAAGAAATTGAACATCTTTAATAGAACTTCTGCTCCAACTCAGCCTCAATATAAATCAAACAAACCTCCAAATACAGGGTTTAGACAACAGAGATTAAAGTCATGGCAACCTATTCTAACACCCCAGAGTGTACTACCAATATTGATATTTTTTGCATGCATATTTACACCTATCGGGATTGGTTTAGTAGCTAGCAGTAATGGTGTACAAGATTTTTCAATCGATTACAGTCATTGCGATACTAAAGCTACAGATGAATATCAAGACATTCCTCATAAATACGTAAGACACCATTTTAAGGAGAAACTATCTTATCAACCTCAATGGAGAGCAATTGTGGATGATGAGGAGACAACATGCCAGCTGCAATTTGAAATACCAAATACCATTAAAAATCATATTTATGTATATTATAAATTAACTAATTTCTACCAAAATCATAGAAGATACGTAGAATCATTCGACCATAGACAACTTAAAGGGAAGGCCCTTAAATACGAAGACCTCAGTATACATTGTAAACCGCTTAGAGGTGAAGGTGAAAAGGCAGTTTATCCATGTGGTCTTATTGCAAATTCAATGTTTAATGATACGTTTGATACCCAGTTAACTGGTGCAGATGACAACACTGATGATTTTGAACTAACTAATAAGCATATATCTTGGTCAATTGATCGTCACCGTTACAAAATGACGAAGTATAATGCGTCCGATATTGTTCCGCCACCCAATTGGAGAAAGAAATACCCTGACGGATATACTGATGATAATATTCCAAATATTCATGAATGGGAAGAATTCCAAGTTTGGATGCGTACAGCTCCCTTTCCAAAATTTTACAAACTAGCTTTGAAAAATGAATCCGCTCATTTACCAAATGGGAAATATACAATGGATATTGGTCTTAACTACCCTGTATCTATATTTGGTGGCTCAAAAAGTTTTATTATAACAACCAATGGTGTTACAGGATCGAGAAACCTATCGTTAGGGATAACGTATCTAATAGTTGCAGGTTTGGCAGCATTATTTGGGGCTATTTTCCTCATTAAAATGGTATTTCAACCAAGAACTCTTGGGGATCACAATTATTTGAATTTCGAGAATCCTGACAACGCTCAACATGATGAAGAATATGCCCACGAAGAGATACCTCTCCGTGATATTTTATAGATTTATATATTTTATGTATATATCTCAATGTAACAAAATTTTAAAAATTTTAAACAATTTTATCATGTAAATGCTAACAATATCTCAGACGTAGTAAGATGCGATAAAAATCACTTCTTTTTTAATTAATGAATATTTAATATATTACCGGATACTACCGAGAAAACTTATACGAATATTTGTTCCTTGTAGAAGTGGTGAACCTCAGGGGCATTATCTTGTTCCCAAGTATCTCTTTGGAATTTAAACCATTCAGGTAATTCTAATTCGTTCGGAATATGCAACCGTATATAGTCATTTTCCTTGTATTGTGAGTTTTCGTTTTTGTAGTAATCATAATCCCCATTCTCTTTTCTATTAAATGTTAATCTATATCTATGACCGAATATACCCATGTCTGACGTACTTCTTTTCATATTATGGCTCTTTTCTGATTCCTCATTAAATTCATCTTCGTTTTGCATATCTGGGTTTTCCCTCCTCTCTGTTTCTTCCACGATGGCTATCATACGAGCGGGTATCTCTGGTGGGTTACACAATTCATCCTCTGTAACAAATATTAGATTACTCCTAGAAAGCTTCCTATGATTATCAATCACATCTTTTGTCGATTCAGCATTTAGCAATGCTTTTTTATCAGAATTTGTAGAGTCAATCTTTTCTTGTTCTATTCGGAGTTCAATGAGTTCTAGATATGTTTCTGCAAAATAAGATCTGTTTTTACCTGCATATAATCTATATTCATTTATTATTGATGATATATTCCATTTTTGAATTTTTCTAAGAATACCGATTATTAGAGCTGTCTTATCAACTAATAAAATATTGTAAAATTTTTGATCTAATAACATTTTAAAAGTTTTCTTTAAACAATAGCTCTTTATTAACATCAACTCATCGCTATCATTAAGAGTATACTTTAGGTGTTTGTTTTTCACCGATGTTCTCTTTTCGTTGATATCTAAATCGCCTTCAATGATTCCATCTATTCCATTAACCATAGAGTTTTCAACCTTGGGTCTCGGGCTTGGAAATTCAGATGCTTTTACATGTCCTAGATCCTTAATTTCTAATGTATCATTGCTATCTAAATTTCTTTGGATAGTGTTGAGTTCGTCCTTTTTTTCATCATCCTCCTCCTGCTCTTCCTCAGATACAATTTCAGAGTTTTTTAAACTATTCACTTGTGGTCCCACATTGGCATAATCTGCAGTTCGTATACTTAACCACTCAATTGAGGACCTATTGAAGAATTCTTTAAAAAATTTTGAAGGTTCCTGACCTCCAATGTATATTACTGTCTTTAACTCAAGTGTCTCTAAGAAGGACAAGTTTAAAGTCTCAACTTTGGAACATCTATATATCCCTTCTTCAGCAATACCAAAATTCGCTGGGGGAACTAACATTTCTAATCCTGTGTAACTAGGTGATACACTTAGAAGCCTAATGTTCTATACTATCCTGTTGATTATTTTTAATTCTGTTATTTCTAAATTATAAATTCTTCGTCATTCCATAATAAATATGATAATCAAATTCTAGTTACATTTTATCATATTGAATTTTGAAGTACGCCTTGTCATGGTTCTTCGCCTTTCATAGATACAACCAAAATTGAAACTGAAATTTCAAGAATTTATTTCAGTTAAATAATCTAATTGATATTCATAAAGCAAATGTACATATTTTGATAAGGAATTGTAATGTTTCATGAATGTTACTATTTTTATTCTGTTACACAATATGTTTTTGTAAATAAGAACAAATCTATCTGTATAAGTATATATCTCACAATTTATAATTCTATTGGTTGACCAAATTCTCCTTTGTTTGGTCATCTTGAACGTTATTGCTTGTTTGTCTTCCCTGGGTTTGGTCTTTATCAAATGAGACCTCTTCACCATCAATATCCAACTTACCCTTCAATAAACATTTAGACTGACTACTTTCTATATCGAAATTTACAGTTGTATAATTTTCACCTGTGGTAATCTTATTAATCACACCAAATTCCTTCTCTAGCGAATTCTTAATTTGTTCTTCTGTAATGTCACGAGTATTTCTGACAAAAACTGTATGGCTATTATCATACTTACTTTCCTTATGGTAATTATTGTATGTCGAATTATTAGAAGTGTTTCGACTATTATTACGATCATAATTTGAGTTACCATTATTACTATATTTTTTTCCAGAATACCGGTTATAAGAATTCATATTCATATTAGAATTTGAATTATAATACCCATATTGTTGTGGCACTAAATTTTGATACTGATAATACTCATTCATCATATGTTGGGGGAATACACCCATATTTCCATTTTCCATTACACCATTATTCCAATTATTATATTTGTTTTGATAAGTACTATTCCCGGGAACAAATGCAGATGAATGATTATTGTAATGTTCATTTTTAGATTTTAATCTTGTTTGAGTATTGCTTATTTTCTTACTTGTTCTAGTCTCTACGAAGGATTGGTGTGTAATTTCAGTGGTAATTCTAAATACACTATTTGAAATTTCATAAACTTGTTCATCATCTTCAGTGGTTGTTAATAAGAAATTTTGAGTAAAATTATATATATTTGTATTCTTCCACATGACTTCACCAGTTAAAGATAATAATATAGTTGAATTTGAAGATGAAATACCTGATACCTTTTGTGAATCAAAAGTTTTAATCTTTAATTTGGTGGTAGATAATTGAGTCTTTATAGATTCAAAATATTCTTTAATCGCATTTCTCCCACGCAATTTCACCACTGGATATGTTTCATGTTCTTGATCATCCAATTTTGCTATATCAACAAATACAACATCAGATATATTTGAATAAAATTGAGATACTTCTGCAGGATCTTTATTCAATGCTTCATAATACATGAAGACAAAGCCAAGTCCAATAACTTTTAACGATAGTTTAGTCATGTCTTGCACAACTTAATTAGGTAATTTTGTAATAAAAAAAAATAAACAAACTGTTCTATGATATAATTTGTATATCTTTACAGAGTTGCTCTATCTTGAGGAGTACGTTGCTTGAAAGGCTGTAATTTGTTCTGTTAAAAAAGGGGTATAAACAAACCAACAACAATTATTCTTACTGAATTTTTTTTGTCTTCTCTTATTCGATATAGCCAATATTTAATAATAACATATCAGGATAAACTACAACTCAATTCACTAAAACAAGTAATGACATAGTCCCTTTTGTACTAGAGGTGGCCTCACCCAACAGTAGATAAATAAACTCTCGCCGTATGAAGGTCAAATTTCCGTGAAGTATCAAACAAAGATTTATCATAATTTTTGCACCCGCTCGCAGCCAAAAAACAAAGAACAACCCAAGCTGAGTTTATTACTTTGCAAAGACAATTTGGGAGTACGGTTTTATACAATAGAATAAAGGAAATACATGTTCCTTTTTTTTATGTAATGGCATGCTACTGTTCACACATGCGTAGATATATGCATGATATTTATATTGTATTACATTTGTAAGCCTGTAGTATGAAAGAAAATAGTTCTCCGGATAATCAGGCTTCGTTATTAATATAATCCTGATATAGTTTCCAACTTGGTCCCTTTTCTGGGTCCCTTACATAGATGAATTTTACTCCAAACTTTTCGACATCTTTATTTCTTGATTCATCATCAAATAAACATATCTTGTATTTCCTTAGGTTGTCATTCCCATATATTTTCTTCAATCCATCCCCAATATGACCAACTTTACTCCTTTCACCCCATTCAGTTGCATCGAATAGCTCTCCTAATGTGACTAATTTACCATTATATTTTACTTTAAATTCATTCAACAATTCTTTAGCAATCTCTGGAGCCCATGTTCTCGAGGCTGATATTATCTTAGCGCCATGTTCTTTTAAATCAGTTATTATCCTTGGAATATCATCATAAAATGATAACTCAAACCCTCTTGCATCAACTACCGTATGTACTTCACCATTAGCTTTCTTCACAGGCGTAAAAGGTGGTGCCAAATGAGTATCACAATAACATGGCCATACAGTATAATCTAAATCAAATGCCCCAACCTCAGGATAAACAGCCATTATAAAAATCACTTATAATGTTACACTTATCAAGCTATCAAATATCTGGAAATATCTCAAAACACTTCAGTAATAAGTACCTTAATTTCCTTGAAAACAACCTATTTAATACGATTAGTATAATTTTTACAAATTGACTTCTCGAGAATTATAAATCATTAACACTCAATTGAATAACATTTTTGTATGAATTAATTAACTGATTGATATATAAATGTCTGTATGCAAATTGTAATTAATCTGTGAATTTTTCAAAATAAATTTTAAATAAACTGCTCTCCGGCCGATTAACTGGTAGGCAGATTACAAGAGTACCAATGTGATTCCAGATAATAAGAACATTAAACTATGCCAGTGAATGTGCAAAAAGTACAAATGGTTATATTATTTTGTTTACAGCCTATTGAAGGTGAATATAGGACCCAATTGATTGTGTGTTAATATCTGTTTTTAAGTTCGGAATTAGTTATTATATGGAGTTTCAAAGTATCAGGTATAAACAGGTTAAAAACAAAGTTCTTCTTAATCGTGGAAATCATATAAGTTACCTTTGTTGTTAGGGTTTGCATAGAGTTTATTATCATAGAAACGTGAATATTACGATTATTATATTCCCAACCGGTGATTCTCAGTAATGGTACGATAGTCCTATGTATTTAAAACTTATTTCATAATTACTCTTCATTTAATAAATGGTGTATATAACCATTTAAGATTCGTTTAATACCTAAGCATATCTCATAAGCCATTTTGCAAATGCTAGTTAAATTAGCTTGCATCGAACTCCTTTTTATATAGTATAACTCATGTTGTAATTTCCCGAAAAAATGTCTGCATAGTCATTTAAAGGTTTGAACCAAGGTATTACACTATATTAAACATGCAAATAAATCCACACTGTGGCATCATGACTTTCAATGGTATCAGATGACCAATATAGATAATAACCATCCCATGCTTCTCCTCTCAGCGCCACTGAAAGTAATAGCAAGTTATTGTTATAGAACAATTCATAATATATTTTTAAATCATCTAACTCTAAACACAAAAGTAACTATATATGTTGCTCATTCAATTAAGACCCTTCCATAATGAAATTGTATGTATAAAAAGAGTCAAAAACGAAAAATACAACAAAAAATGATTTATCAGCTACAAGTGTTCTATTTTATTAATTCAATTTTTATGAGGTTGGTTTGAAGTGATATCCAACCAATATGCCATTCTATATATATTACTGATATTTATATATTAAAAATCAATATTGCAGTAATTATACTGCACCAAAAAGACATAATATATTGATTAGAAGATAAAAGTAAATCACAAAATTCAAATTACGTCTAATTGTTATTTCGAAGTAAACTGCAAAAAATTCAAATTAATTGGGCGTGTGGTCTAGTGGTATGATTCTCGCTTTGGGTTCTTTACTCGAATATGTGAGAGGCCCTGGGTTCAATTCCCAGTATGCCCCATTTTTTTGCAATTTTTTTCCACAGTTTTGTTTTGAATTGTTGTAACTTATGTATAACTACAATGCTCCCGTTCTCTTCTTTATGTCACGCAGAGAGTTTAAAGATTCTACCTGTTAAATGATAATCTCAATTTCAGGTGTTGTTTGCTAAGAGAAAATTATTATAGGCTCAGAATATAATATTCCGTCGATGCCGATGGGCCTCGATGCTTTATAGATATGGTATACATGAGAAGTTATGAAGTTTTCGATTAATTAAAGAGCCATATCAACTTGAATTGGTAATATTCTTGTATTTAATTTAATAACTGGGAAATACCAGGTTTTCCGTGACACTTTGCAATATTATTTTTATTTTTTGATATGATTAATCTACCTAGTTGAATTCAAGAAAGTAACTTTAACGACATATCAAACCCAAATTGATACATACATATATATATATTCTTTAACTTCTCTGGGGGAATGCTCGACTAACAAACCATCACATACAAATCCGGATACATTGTTCTTGTTGCTAACAAACTGTATTAAATCAAATTAAATTACTGGCGTTTTCGCTTCTTCTGGTTTTTATATTGCTGGACGACCGAATTAAATTGAAGCGCATACGAAAAGTCAGCCAGTCAAAAAGATAATATGTATCCTCCTAATGGCAGCGAAAGAGGGCGATGAGAAATTTACGGCTTCATAGAATTCTTTCAATCTCTTTCTTTTCCTTCTAATAGTGACAGTGGTAATAATAGCATACAATGGAGTGAAGGAAAAGGGATTGAATCATACATATCTTTCGAAAAGAGGCGTTCAATATTAAGATTCTTATATACACTGGAACTTGAAAATTCAACATATAAATATATCCGATCACCGGAATTTAACTAGTTTTAGCATAGCAACAACAACAAAACAGAAGACGCACAAATAGCATTACTATCATTAGGTTGAATGAGTATAACTTTGAAGTCGCTTCCAAGGCCCATTTTACACATTTCTCCTAATGTCATCGGCGTACGATATTTACAAATGAATTCAAATAGTCTGTTGAAACCTTTAATGGTACCAACTTTAAGAAATCGAATATTGAATCCAACATGGATCATTGCTAGAAATTTATCATACAGTCGACATCATCTGTTAAAACATACAAATATTTTCTTACAAAAGAAAAATATTAAAAATAATAATATATTATCTAAATCTGATAAACGTCATTTAAAATTTACTAAGATTAAATCAAATGATATTGGAGCTATTGTGTCGGGAAAGGCATTAATGAAACAAAATAATGATCAAACGAATATATTAAAAGATAAAAATGGGACCATAAATATTAATGATAATAAGAATATGAAGTTGACTCTTCCATTAACGACAACTTCGACATTGAAATCTTCCAACATAGATATTGAAGATAAAATTTCAATATCAAGTAATCCTAGCATAAATTCTCCTCTAATGAAAGATTCGGGTAAACCTTTAGTCAATGAGAATATCAAAGCAGAAGCCTCTCCCAAATTTGAGACGAATATCACGATAGGGGCAGAATCTGTTATACAACGTTCATTTTTCCAGAGAATTAAAGAAAATATCAAATGGTTTTTAATAAGAAATAAGAAAAGACCCTTTTCAAAAGATGAAATTGGAACTCTCTTTTCCTGGTTATTTATATCACAAATAATATGGTTGGTATTGAAAACAACAACAGTAGTTTCATTACTATTATTGACATTTAACACTGTATTCGCCAAAGAGCTTGTAGCACAATTTATTGGCAAACTCATCAATTATTTCAGCGAGGATATTTCTATTAGATTCCAAGATGCCCTGATACCTGAGTGGAAAAGTGGGTTCATTAAATTTAAAGATGTTCACTTAGATACTAATAAGAATCAAAAAAATGATATATTGGAATTTCATTTAATATTCCATGAAATTGAAATAAATTTATCCCTACGTAAATGGTTACAAGGTAAAGGTTTGATTAATGATATTAAAGTTTTCGGAATTAGAGGTGAAACCATTATCAATTACAAAGAGAATAAAAAAATTGAAAATTCTCAAGAATTATTACTTGATTGGTTTACAAACCCAAATTATAAATTAATGAACGTGAATTTATCAGATTGTAAATTTAATGTCATTGAAAATTTTGCAGATAAATTAGAACCAAAAAGTATTAAGATTCGTATATTCAACTTGGATATTTCAGGATTAAGATTCAACCAATTATTAACAGATTTCTTAAAGGCAAACGTTATTACAGGTTCTATTAACAATTCTTTGTTTACATTCCATAAAAGACAACACAAATTATCATATATGGATGATATGAAGGATGACTTATCTTCCTGGGATAGAATCACAAGATTGAGATTGAATTCAATTAACGTTAACACGCTGGGGCTAAATAAAACAAAATCATTCAATTGGATTGAAGATGGGGATGTCGGTTTGGTAGCTGATATAATGCTACCGCAAGACACCGAAGATTCAGAATTACAAGACAATGATAAATATTTGTTGTTAGATCTAACATTTAAATTTAAGGATTTGAAGGCTTCGTTACCTAAAGTCGCCCCAATCTTATCAACAGGGGAGCAAATTATTTCACTAGATGAATTAAAACCGGTAATATCGTTTGTTAACTTACAGAGGATATTATCTCGTTCAAGTAATTACTCCAGTAATGAAATAAATAATATTCTTGATGATGAAAATGATGAACATCCATTTAGTCATTCCACGCCCAATGTTTCTATCAAGAGAAAGAGATCTTACCCAAATATTACGGTTATTCAATCTGATAAGAAGAAATCCAATGGGGACAATGATACAGATACATCTGATAAAGCCAACAATGGTACATCCATTATTAAATTTCATCCAACGCATGATAACAACCAACCATATAACACTGGGAATTTTTATAACTCCTCTTCATTGGGATCTAGTAATAGAAACGAGTTGGTTTTACATTGCAGATTGGTCAAAAATATTAAAGATTTAGAAAAAGTAATTCTATTTCAAGAGACTGGCGTATATGATCAAATCTGTATGGAATTATACGTTGATTTGATCAAGACAGTTGAGGAATGGGAAATTAAAAATAAAGACGAATGGATGAAAGAATGGGGTACAACTTTTGCATCTCAGTTATTACTATTTGGTTTCACAAATGTCATGTAACCCAATATTTCAACCCCTCAAGAGATATTTTCAAGAACATATAACACACTAACTGTAAATAAAACAAAATCATATTGCATTTATACATAACCATTTACATACATTTAACAAAATTCACATATTTTTCACGAAATTTCAGATATAATCTCTATCTATTCTGTTTCTTATCCAGTTTAATTAGTGGCATGAATGATTCTGTGTCAGTAATCTGGGCGTCACCCTTGGCACCAATACCCAGGCCTTCAATATGTGCAGATTTCAAAGTGTTTTCGGACTTCTTATCTATCACATCGGTGGACGTACCGTCCCATCCCATCCCACGTAGTATTGCACTACCAAATTGTTCAACAGGGACAGTCTTATAATCATCCAAAGTTGTAGCAGCCAATTCCTCAGTTTCATCATTCCGATCACCTAATACAATGACTAGGTCGTCTTTCTTTGGTTTTTCGTTTGATAAATCGTCTTGTGAAACTTCTGTTATTTTAATCTTTCGCCTTTTTTGGTTATTATGAATATTGTCAATTGTGGATGTATCTGGGGTTGTAACATCTCCAAAGATGTTGTTATTGTTTCTTTTCTTCTTTCCTTTGCTTTTATTCGAAGACTTTTTCTTTTTCAGATCAATACTAAAAGATGTAGACATATTGAATCCATTAAATAACTAAATTCAATATTATTAATTCTAGATATAGAACTAACCGAAAAAAGATATCACAAATTATGAGACCGCTATCAAAATAGTACTTGTAATTTTGATTGCTAATGTCTATGAGATTCTCTTAACATCCAGACACACAACATAAATCACTATTTGGCATTAATGAAATATCTCTAAATAAAAAAAATGCTTCCTTTGATAATCCTGAATCAGATATGGTCAAATACAAGATATGAACCTTTCTATAACTTCTTACAGAGGTTTCATTTCTTCCATAGGTTCTATATTGTCAATGACCCTGTAAATGTACATATAGCAAATTCTCGCTCTTCACGAACCGAAAATTTTTCTTCCTTAAAGTGAAAAATAAATCGATGAGATGAGCTACTTTTGATACTTAAAATTTTAATATTTTTCACCAATCTTATAGAGCAAGCAATATCATATATAATTAGGAGACCTACATCTAATTCTGTATACTCATAACGTACAAATACAGCATCTTAATAAGATATGTCAGCTGTCCAATTATCAAGCCCGTTAGTTTTATCAAGTTATGATCCCAATGGTCGTTACTTATGTTACGTTACAACAGCATTAGACAAACAACGTGTATCTGTCGAACCAACCCAAAAGGGCCAAAATGATGCACTGTTGAATGAAAAGTTTCTTTATCTAGATTCGCCTGAACTGAGAGTAACAGCTCTCAAATGGGCTTATTTGAACTCGAACGAAACTTTGTGTGTCTTTATTGGATTAAATAATGGTGAAATATGGCTATATTCACCTCTTGCTAATGAAGTCATATTGAAATTATCAACAGAAAATGGTTACGATGTCAATGACTTCGTAGTTGCCAATGAGTCTTTGTTTTGTGTCGATTCAAATGATTTTATTTACGAATTCGATTTAATTAATTTCACATTGAGAAACCATTTTAAGATTGAACAATGTTCAAATTTGAAGAGGATTGAATACGTTGCAGAAAATAAAATCCTTGTAGCATCCCATCAAATCTTCCTGATTGATAATGTTAAGAAAGAGATTATTCTAACTCTACCTGGTCATATATCTCCTGTCTGTACATTGAAAAAAATAAGTGAAGAGTATTTATTATCTGGGGCTGAAAATGATAGATTCCTAAATATTTATAACCTGTCCGATGGTAGTATAAAGAGTGTTCTGGTCGCGAAATCCAATATCAATAAAGTATCCACTTTTGGAACTTCCAAAGTTGCAGTTGCTACAGAAAACGGTAATTTTGAAGTGTTTGATGAACCTTTGTTATCTAATAAGTCTAAGAGAAGAAATGTGAAATCAAGACAATGCACAAATACAGGTAGTATTGTAAATAAAAATGGTACCGAAATTCCAAGTATCGATGTATACGCTGGGAAGGATATCATCAATGTTACATATGTAACCAATGCAACAATGTGTCACTTTGTTCAAGTACGTTGGGGTAGTCTTTCTATTGATCATCAAATTGAAGTAGACATCACAAATAATGTCAAAAATATATCACAGGATCGTTCTTTGTATGGGAAGGATGTTGCTGCTACAACAACCTATAAAGAGGGTAATGCTAGAGTGACATCTGGTGACAACTTTAAACATATTGAAGATATTATTAAAGAATTAGATAAACAATTTGATGAGGATAGATCAAACGAAAATGAAGGAGATGACAAATTGGAATCCCTAGCTGATAAATTACCAACCTTACAAAGCACAAAGAAGAAAAATCCCGTAACTGGTACTGTAGCTGTTATTTTGTCACAAGCTTTACAATCCAATGATCATTCACTTTTAGAGACAGTTTTAAATAACCGTGACGAAAGAATAATAAGGGATACAATAATGAGGCTAAAACCTGTATTATCTGTTATATTACTTGAAAGATTGGCAGAAAGAATTGCAAGACAAACACATAGACAAGGTTCTTTGAATGTATGGGTGAAATGGTGTATTGTTATTCATGGCGGTTACTTAATAAATGTTCCAAATCTAATCAAAACTCTTGCATCTTTACATTCAACATTGAAAAATAGGGCCAGTTTATTAGATAGATTGTTATCACTAGAGACTAGATTGGACTGTGCCTTAAATAAATTCGATGTTTCAACAGGAGAAGGTGTATATACTGAAGAGTATTTAAGCGAAGAGGTTATTGATAGCGAAAACGAAGTGACATATATGGAAGAACTTGATGATGCTCACCTAATTGAATCTGGAGAAGAGGATGATTCAAGCGAAGATGAGGAAGGTTCCTCCGATATTGAGGAGGATGCATTAAATGATGGTTCTTTGAGTCAACCTGTTGATACCATTAACACAAAAGAAACTATAAACGATGATGATGAGGAGGGTTATAGTGATGTAGAAATGGCCTAATTAAATGTTCAATTGTATTAATCAAAGAAATCTCAAACTTCCAGAATTATTTTATAAAACAACTATGTACAGTTTATTCTTGATATTTGTCATAAAGCATATTTTAATATTTAAATAAAATGAAAGACATCGCATGTAATTAGGGTGGAAACTAGAGCAAACCTTAAGAATGATAACCACGTTGCATTGGACATGTTTTATGAATAGGCTACTGTTATCTATCTATCATAACTCAAAGTTCAGCAGTTTTATTTAACAGATCACGTGATTAGGAACCATAATTTCCGGGTAAAATAGGGTTAAATTGTTTCACCCTAAATTTGTTTTAAAACTACAGGACGTCCGTCTTCTTCTCGGGCGAACTCTCAATAACTGGGACAAGAGTTGAAACCCTCTGAAATTAATATTAACATCTTTTAAGAACAATTTTTAAGGAACTGTCTAATAAGAACCAGACAGATCTAACTACCTAGAGAAAGTACAGTTTCAAACTGGATTCATATTACTTTACCACTTAAGGACACCAGAACCCCACTTTGTACCTATCATTGTTTTAGATTACATATCTTTACCCACCAATTGAAGTACTAAAAGAACTCTGACAAAATCATTACAACATAGAATTAAGAATAGAAATGTCTCAAAAAGTAGGACATACAGGTCTCGCATTTGCTAGAATGTGGCATCATGTGGATTTGGCTCATGAAGGTAGGACTATGGGTAGACTGGCTACATCTATTGCTACAACATTGATGGGTAAACACAAGCCGGTATACCATGAGTCACAAGATATGGGAGATTATGTTGTTGTTACAAACTGCCAACTTTTGAAAACAACCGGTAATAAAATGTCGCAAAGAGAATATTGGTCTCACACTACAAGACCAGGTAGTTTGAAACTAATACCGATGGATAGAATGGCTGCAGACAAAGGTTATGGAGAATTGTTGAGACGAGCAGTAAGTGGTATGTTACCAAAGAACAGATTAAGAAAAATTAGATTGGAAAGACTGAAAGTATTTGATGGCAGTGAACATCCTTACAAACAAAATATCACAGCATTCGCAACGGAACAACCAAAGGTACAGGAACTGCTAAATACAACTAAAAAATAATAAAACAAGACGCCTCCTGACAAATACCAAAGAGGAAGGCTCTGTTCTAATATGGGTGGAGGGGACTCTTACCTTTTCATTTCCTACGATAATACATACTTCGTTTTATTTCATTCTTCACATAACTTGTATATATACAGTATTCAATAAATATTACTTTTAACTTCCTTTCATATTGTTAAAGTTTCTTGATAGCATTATTTTTAGTTTTATTTTGTATTTTCAACTACCATATTAATAGTTATAATAAACAGAAACCTTTCAAGTATATTTTAACAAATAAATAACAAAATTTACTTTATTGTTCATTAATTTACATGTTTTTTATTTTTTCATATTTATTTAATATATTAAATCTATTTTTACAATACTTAATTTTTTTTTTATATCTTTCATGTTAAAGTTGGTCTTTAGCCAGCCATTCGCGATCCCACATTCGAATCCCATTATGCGAAAAGAAAGGTTATTACTTCATAATTAAGTGATGAAAATTCAATAATTCTAACCTTTTAATATTGTCTGCCATATAAAAGTGGTATTTTAGCTACGCATAATAGCTTAGAAATCCCTTGAACGGTCAGTGTATAAACGAGGTGTAATATTCATTGCCATTAATTCTTGGAATAACAATTTAGCAGCATATGGAATTTGGATTTGGTAAATGTCGATCTTATTTTCACAACCCTTACATTCAAATTGGTTATGACTTAACTTTGCAATAACCGACATCAAACCACAATTACCACAAATATGCACTCTGAAAGCATCTGATGCTTCCATTAATCTTTCCTTTAAGAACGCAGCGGCACCGTGAGCAATCATACAATCACGTTCCATTTCACCGAATCTTAAACCACCATCTCTAGATCTACCTTCAACAGGTTGTCTCGTTAGAACTTGCATTGGACCACGAGCTCTAGCATGAATCTTATCATCTACCATATGTCTTAAACGTTGATAATATGTTGGACCAAAGAAAATTTGAGCCATTAACTTCTTACCAGTATGACCATTATACATAACCTCGAAACCACGAGATTGGTAACCATGCTCACGTAATAATGTGGAAATACCTTCAACAGTGATATCAGTGAATGGAGATGCATCACCTTCATTACCGGATAACGCAGCAACTTTACTTAATAAACATTCGATTAAATGCGCCACAGTCATACGAGATGGAATAGCATGAGGATTGATGATAAGATCAGGAACAATACCTTCAGCTGTAAATGGCATATCTTCCCTACGGTAGGTAATACCAATAGTACCCTTTTGACCGTGACGAGATGCAAATTTATCACCAATTTGGGGAACCTTTGTAGTTCTAACACGAACTTTAACAAATTTTAGACCATCTTGGTTAGTTGTGACAAGTACTTGATCAATAATACCATTTTCGGTACTTCTCAATGGAGTAGAGGCATCACGTTTAGAGTGGTATGCGGTTCTTTGACCTAATTCTTCCTCATCTGGGGAAATTGGTGTAGTTTTACCGATAATCACATCCTCACCGGATACTCTGACACCAGGAGCAATTAAACCATCATCATCAAGCTTGTCATACGTACCATGTTTCATTCTCAATGTGTTTGTACGTTGTGGCTTTTCAAAAGTTTCGGTGATAGACATACCGTACTTCTTCTCTTGGTCCATGTATGATCTGAAAAATAGAGATCTGAAAAGACCTCTATCGATTGATGATTGATTCATAATCATTGAATCTTCTTGGTTATAACCTGAATAACATGCAATGGCGACAATAGCATTTTGACCAGCAGGCAATTCTCTGAATTTCAAATACTCCATGGAACGAGTAGTACCAAGTGGTTTTTGTGGATAGTATAGAATATTAGCCATCGTGTCCATACGGACGTTGTAGTTGGTCAAAAACACACCCATAGCTTGTTTACCCATAGCAGATTGATATGTATTACGAGGAGATTGATTATGATCTGGGAAAGGAATAATAGAGGCTGCAACACCAAGAATCATAGAAGGATGAATTTCACAATGTGTAAATGTAGTAGCATGTTGAACTGCCTTGATACGTCTAGCTGGGTCCATCTCATTTATTGCTGCGTTTGCTTCTTCGGTAGCAGGTTCAAGATCTTCGGGTTGCATGGCAATAAGAATAGTTTCTTCTTCCTCTGCATCAATATATTCAACTAAACCTTCACTTAGTAAGGAAGACCAAGTATATTCATCTGATTCATCAAGACCACCTTCAATATCTTGATATTCTGTAGCCATCAATTTGTTAATGTGTCCCTTTCTCACCTTTAGTTCCTTATGACCTAATTCACTGTCATCTTCGACAATGAACAAAGGTCTGTAAACTCTACCGGCATCTGTGAAAATTTTTAATTCCTTTTCACGGATATCTCTAACCATGGAAACTTCTGGATTGATATCACCTTTTCTTCTTAAAGTTCTTAAGGTTTCCATCAATCTAGCTGGGTTTCTGTGAACACCGTGCCACACACCGTTAACAAAGACTCTTGTGGCATCAGGAGATTGATGAGGAACGTAATCTTCCAGTGGTTCCATACCCCATTCACTTAAGAATGTGATGATAGGCGTTGGGTCGGTACCGACAGAAATACAGGACATTAACGATAGGTTCTTAACTAGACCACACGCTTGACCTTCAGGAGTTTCAGCTGGACAAACAAGACCCCAATGTGTGTTATGTAATTGACGAGGTTTGGCTAATTTACCATCACGACCAATCGGTGTGTTTGTTCTTCTCAAATGTGATAAAGTAGAGGAATAAGTATAACGATTTAAAACTTGAGAAACACCCGCCCTGGAAGACATGGCCTTCTTTTGTTCACCCCAGTTACCAGTAGCAAGGGCGTACTTCAAACCAGATGTAATAGTTTTTGCGTTAATAGCAAGTTTCATGTTGAAATCATTAGCTTCTTCGACGGTCCTTTGCATGTAACGGAAAATATCTTTTGTTAATTTTCTGAATAATGTCTTAAACAGTTGACCTAATAATGGACCGGCTAAATCTAATCTCTTCTTACCGAAATGATCACGATCATCTTGATCTCTACGATCTAGAGCACACAATAATAATCTATTAATCATGTAACCCAAGAAAAATGCTTTTCTACTTTCAAAACCTTCTAATTGAGTAATGTGAGGTAAGAATTCCTTTTGTAAGATATCCTTAGCATACTGAATTCTCTTTTCCTTTTTGATACCTAAAGCGGTACCACGACGACCAATAAAATCTAAAGCAGTTTCACGATCTTGAATAACGAAACCATCTTCTACACAAGGTTTTAACATTTCTAGCATTTGCCAATCATTGACATCATAACAAATATGTTCTAGAATTTCACCATCTGGAATAATACCTAAGGCTCTGAAAATAATAACAATAGGAATATCTTGTTTTATATATGGCAAAGTGGCTTTGATAGTACGAGAGGTACTACCTTCACGCCCATAAAGTTTAACTTGTAAGGTACTAATAAATCTTGAACCTTTTTCCAATGCAGATCTAATTTCAGCAATGTGAGAAATAGGAGATGGAGCAGCCTTCTTGAAAACTTGAACAATATTACCAGCTGAACGTTCTTGTGCAATAAGAACCTTTTCAGAACCGTTAATAATGAAATAACCACCCATATCGAATGGACACTCCTTTAATTTATAAAGATCAGATTCAGTTGCATCACTCAAGTAACAATTTTTAGATCTTAACATAATAGGTAGACGACCAATAAATACTTTACCGCTTTCACTATCATCTTCGGATTCTTCAGCGATTAACTCATATTTTAGTTCTCTACCAGGGACATCAACAGCCTCATAGGTTCTCTTCTTGACATCAACAAACAAACCAGAGGAGTATGTCAAGTTACGTAAACGTGCTTCTTGTGGGTACAGAGCATGAGTAACACCATCAGATTCATTGACCATGGGTTTGGTGACATAAATTTTACCAAAACTAATCTCGTATTTTCTACTGATGTTATCTTGTTCTGTTGTATGTTGGGCAATTTGTTCTAAAATAAGAGTGGAATCTTCAAAAATAATATCTTGTAATGTATAATCCACAAATTGGTTAAAGGAATCCAGTTGTTGAGACACTAGACCCTTTTCACGGAAAAAGGACGAAATGACAGCCCATGAATCTTCAGCTGTGATTGGAGATGATTCATCTTCAAACCCATATGGGTCTTCTTCGTAGTAATCGTCGTTAGACATTATTGATTTTTTTTTCTTTTATTAAAAATTTCTCAAAATATGCTTATGTGATGGAAAAAAATCTTGCAAACAAATACTAAAGGGGGTGAATGTAACGTAACTAATAAAATATGGTTATATGAATAAATAAATATCTGTGGTAGTTTAGTTATAATCCTCACTGATGTAGTTATATCCTTGCTTATATCCTATCTTTGTTTTATATTAAAAGTTGGAATGTAATAATAGTGGGATATGTTTGAAGAAAAATTAAGTGCCCAATAATATATCGAAACGAAGGAAGTTGATTAGTGAAATATCTCTTAATCAATCCAACGAAAGAAGGTGAAACGTTCTGACTATTATATGACTAAATGAATAGAAAACGGTCAACATAAACTTCCCTAAATTTGTTTATAAGTAGTACCCAAACTTACATATACATTCACCAATTTCAAGTTGTTATTATTTTCATTTTTTTTCGTTTCCTCTCTCAGATATTTTCTTCCGTATTTCTTTGTTTTGCCACCAAATTTGCTTTTCAACTGAAAAATTTTAACCATTCTCATTATGTACGACATAGGCAAATATTGAGGCTATTAGAAGGTCCGATTCAAAATCTGGTTCATTTTATGTATTAGGTAACAGATATCAGAACAGCATTTTATTGCTTATTTACACAGATGTTTAAAATAGTATATAAATATTCTTAATCGTATAGTTTTGATAGTTATTGGTTGAATTTTATTTTTTCTGTTGTCGTTTTTTACATGATGATTATATAATAAATGAAAAATGTGACAAGTTGCGTGAAAGTACGTTCTAATCTAAACTAGGCATATTTGGCCCACCTAGGTCATCGTCCGTCTCTGAATTTGGTGGTTCCCTTGGTGGATTAAACAGTTTTTTGGCCTCATTCAATAGCTCGTTTATAATATTATAATCCTCATATGGGGTTTTATTACTGCGTCTATTTGGATTTTCAAAAGATCCCGGATGGAAACTTGCTCCTGAACTACTACCGCTTGTATTTTCTGTTTCAGATGTTGTTGATCCACTTGTTGTATCATTACTGTTTCCAGTGTTTATATTGGAATGCTCTTCTGCAAAATTATAATAAGATAAAACGAAATTTTTAAAATTTATTATGTTTACGACAATAAAATCAAAGTAAGTTGGTATTATTTTCGTCTGTGGTGCAAATTTTGCATATCTCTTGCATAAGGCAATGACCGAATCTGTGTACGTTCCAAACAGAAAACTATCTACCAAATTTTGATCCCTAATATCTGTATGATATTTTTGATTATAATAATTTGTAAAACTACTTTGATATAATCTTGTAAATTGTTCCAATTTTGATTTCTTAGGGTCATTGATATTATTTACGAATTTAAGGAAATTCGATAAGAATTGTTGTTGTTCGTTTATAAATATGGTAAATTTAGCTAATAGTTCAACTGTGGCTAATATGTTGTAAATAAAAATGATAAACTCAGAAAATGGTAAAATTCCTACTAGGAATTGTATAGGTGTCTGTGGTATCAACAAATACAATATGGCATGCAATGCCCAGTATTTTAAAAGCAATGTAGTTAATTCACCTTGCTCAGTTTGCGGCTGTAACATAGATGTAGATTTAACAAATGATGACATCGCATTAGAATCCTTCGAGAGATACACTGTTTCAAGAGTAACATGAAGTGGAATGATAATAGACACAATCGAAGAAAGGACACTCGATATTACTTCGAACATCGTGGTATTGTAGTTTAGAATTGTAAAGTTGTTAACGCTGGTTATTCTTCTAGTTTAGCAATTAACCAAATAGTTCATTGGACAGGTATTTTAATTAACTTTTAAGGATAAAATAGTTGTATTTATATAACCAATGTTCTGAAAGAAACGCAAAATAGGAGCCATCTCGATCTTTATGAATAACCATTCTTAAGTGTTCTTATTTTTTCCAGAATTTGGGAGAAAAAATGAGAGAACATTTAATTTTATCGGTTTGAATTTTATTAAAAGGCATAAAAACGTAAAAGTTAGAAAGTAGTAAAAAATATTAACTTCAGTGAAGTATATAATATTGTACGAGATATTCGAACGCAACAACCGAAAGTCTCGAGGCAAATGATATTAAACTAAAGCAGATTACTATGGAATTTTCAGTTCCAATATTTTCAGTAATTTGGAAAAACCAATCAACTGATTATGATTCTACCAGAGCAGATGATGTTTCAGTGGCTAGTTGCTTCTTATAGAATATAAAAATGGTAAAACACATATATACATAATTAAATAGAAAAAATAATCTGCCTAAAATGTACCACGTAAAAGTTACAATATTTATTTTTTGGTGATGGTGGATGGGGAAAAAGGTCGCACTATTCTAATAATCTGTTTAAGATATCTACAGTTTCACCAGGTGAGGCGATCCACAACGTGCACCCTGCCAATCTTGCTTTAAAATCATTAGCAGAACCCATTGGAGCAAATTGATCACCAATATGTAAAGTTTCATATGGTTGAATAGGATTTTCAGGATCATAAAAATGTTGTAAACAACGAATACCCAGGTTTTTATCACCAATATCACACCAAACATCACTACCACCGTCGAAACAACTAAACTTAATGTTTGTACTAGTTGGTGAATTAGAAATAGAATTTTGTAAAGTTAGTACTATCTCTTCTAATTGTTCTCTAGATAATTTCAAAGGTATGTGTCTTTGCAAGGATACATCAAACCTTTTACCCGGAACTATACCAACAGCTCTTTTCTTTCTTATAATAGGAATCTCTGTTGGTAAATTTAATCTAACTTTTAAAGTATTCAGTGTCTTTTCTGCATAATCTAACAAAGCATCCATTTCTTGTTTAGTCCAATTTTTGATTTCTTCAAGAGCCCATGTTTCTCTATGGAAATACTCAAGACCATATGTCTTACCACTACTTTCTCTCTGAATACTGTCAGAATAACGGAACAAATAGTTACATTCACCACCCATTACAGTTAAATTACTCTTTTGCTCCGAGGTTAAAGTAGTCGAAGCATGCAGTTGAGTCATCAGTCCTTCTAATCTAGATTCATAAGACTCTGCTTCATCATACCCGGCAGCTGTAACAATACCAACTTTAATATCATTTGCTAATAAATGTAAAATATGTGGGACCACTGGATTGGAATCATTCAAAGAGCCGCCATCTTCATACAATGTTACATCCCCATCAAATGTAACTAATTTTAAAGGTTTACCATTTTTAAAACCTATCCTCTTTTGTTTGATAAAATGTAAAATTTGAGCGGTATTTAATATATGTCTAATATCATTGAAACTAGGTGCAATCATCCTTCTTGAAGAAATAGCCCTTTGAGAGTCTTCCCAAAGGAATGCTCTCTCCAAAGGCAATTCGGTGAAAAAGGTACCAATTGAAGGCACTAACATGTTTAATCTGGATTTAGCCTCTGGAGAACTTCCATTCAAATAAGATTCAGACATTATCATGTTCTGTTCATCAAACTCTATCTTGTTAAGTATTAATTGTTCTATATCTTTCAAAATATCTGCATACTTAGATTTTACTCGTTGTGTCGTAGTTAAGTCATCTCCTTCTTCAACAGGCGATACCGCATGCAATACAAATGGGGTCGCTAGCAACCCTTTGATCCATTCGATAAATTCATCCTTTCTATGACTTTTTAAATGATATTCCACCCTGTATCTCGACGACATTTCTGTTATTTATACTTCAAAATTATTGTAAAATAGCTACTGTCTTTATTTCTTAGTGATTCTTCAAATGCCAAACACGGAAGGAATCACTAGTGCCACAGTTTATTAAAACTTCTTCTTTCTTAATTTTAATCATCATGTCTCCTTAATTTAAAGAAAAAGGTTCAAGATCCTGTGAGGGAGGCTATACTGCGGGATATGTTATATCCGAAAAATAGTACACGCTAAACGTAGAATGAAGACGCCTGATAATAACAGGTAGAAAGATATAAATGAAAAGAGAATCATTAATAAGGATGATGTCATTTAGTAACAAACAGAGCATTAGTTGATTGAATTGGCAAACAATTTTACGAAACACACTTATGTACTAAACCATTACGAATTTCAATTTTTCTATTTGAATGTGCTTGGTGAAGATATTACGGGAGAGTAAGAAGGTCTTTTTGTTCTAATTTTAAATTTCAAAACACCTAAAATAAACGTTGGAAGATCATGACCGCAACATGCCGTCATAATAATGTAAACTTATAAAATTATCAAGGACCTTAATTAAACTAAAAATAAAATATAACCAAAAGGGTTTTCATTTTGAGAAGGCAACGATTTTAAAACATCATGTGAACCGCATAATGAAGCACTTGTTCGCTGTTCTAATTCCCATAACTTAGATATTCAATAAATATATGTAGAAAACAACCTGATTGCTGAACCAGAGGGGTTTTAATAATTCCTGTATGGCTGTAAAAATAGAAGTAGCAGATATACAAAGGGAAAAATTTATGAAGACCGATCAAGAATGTTAAGATGGAAAATTGTGACATTCTCAGAAATTTTTAGTGACACAAACTGTGACGAGACAGCCATTCGTAGGGACTGGAAGTAAGAAACGTGAAAATGGGAGGAAATTTTACAATATTTAAAGTGAAAATTGAATAGAGCTTGTAACTCTTCTATCACACACACACACATATATATATATATTGGCTTTTAGTAATTTGATATTGATAAACTTGTAAGTACACAAATATACCTTTCAAATTTGAGACACCCCTGACTGTATTAAAACATTCACATACTATTTGATAATAAACAAGTTTACTATACAGAATCTTATATTTTTCGGTTGTCATGAGTACACAAATGGAAGGTCAAGATAATGTCCAAGACCCTACCCGACCACCTATCGAACCACCGCTACCAGCTTACATCCCCCCACCCAATAATGCAGCTACATCAAATCATAATCAAACGATTTCACAAGACTCAACCATGGCAAATACAGTGACAAATGATACTTACTATGCTCAAAAATATGAAAGTCCTCAGAATGAAGGACATGATAACAATTCTCAGGCTCCAATAGTGGAAGAAAAAATGGGTAGTTCTTTTAACGAGACCTTTCCTGTCGAAAAACCAAAATTTGTGTTAAATGATTGGCCATTTATTATCATATTTGGTCTTACTGTATGTGGCTTTATTGTCATTGCAGCACTTACATTTAGAGGATGGGCCCAAACATATTCTACAACGGGATCTGGTATTTATAATTCCACCAATACTGGCACACCAAATACAAATTTTGCCATTATGTTAATCTTTGTTTGTATTATTTCAATAGTTTTCTCAGGATTGGGGCTAGTTTTATGCAGGTATTATCCACGCTTCTTTATAATAGCAGGAATAACAGTCAATATTTTAGCTGCTCTAGGGACTGCTATAATGTACATGTCATTGCATTATTGGTCTGCTGGTATCGTTTTCTTAATTTTCACATGTTTCACAGCGTTTTGCTACTGGGGTATGAGAAGTAGAATACCGTTCAGTGTAGCAGTCTTGAAGATAATTATCGATGCAATGAAAGTGTGTCCACAAACAATGATAGTGGGATTAATTGGCGGCTTAATAGGTAGTGCATTTGCATTTTTATTTTCAATGGTAATTGTGGCTACATATATTAAATATTATCCTGGTACAGATAACCCTGCATGTAATGTTTCTGGAGGAAGTTGTTCAACTTCAAAATTAATCGGTATATTGGTTGCATTGTTCTTCTGTGGTTATTATATTTCAGAGGTGATAAGAAATGTCATTCACGTATCTGTATCAGGTATCTTTGGATCGTGGTACTATAGATATAAATCAGATCAAGGAATGCCACGTTGGCCAGCAATGGGAGCATTAAAGAGAGGTTTGACAACATCATTTGGGTCCATCTGTTTTGGTTCTTTAATAGTTGCACTAATTGATACTTTAAGACAATTCTTAAATTTGTTAAGACAAAGTTTAAGATCAAATCCAAATAACTCTAGATGGGCGGGTATATTCCTTTTATTAATAAGAGGGATGGTATCAGTTTTGAAATGGCTTGCGCAATACTTTAACCATTACGCATATTCCTTTATTGCCCTTTATGGGAAGACATATTTGAACGCTGCCAAAGAGACATGGCATATGATAAGGTACAAAGGAATAGACGCATTGATTAATGATAGTTTAATAAACACAGCGTTGGGTTTTTATGCATTATTTGTGAGTTATATTGCAACTTTATTCGCCTTCTTATATTTAAGGTTTACCAGTCCGGGATATAACAGTATTGGCGCATTTAATGGGTCGTTTTTGGCATTTTCATTCGTCATTTCCCTACAAATTTGTAACATAGCTAGTGAAGTTATCAAATCAGGGGTTTCAACATTCTTTCTTGCTCTGGCATACGATCCAGAAGTTTACCAGGTCACATACCCTGAACAATTTGATGAAATCTTCCGTTCTTATCCTCAAGTTCTTGCAAAATTAGTACAGAACCAAGAGGTATAAAATGGTATATTTAACATTTGAAATGTTTTTCTATAACAAATAATTAATTTTCAATTAAGTCAAATATTAATACATAGTGTTAAGACATTAGAATAAACAATTTATTCGTCCCCCTTTTTATATATTCATACATGAAACTTCTTAATCTATTCTAGGCGATACATTCTTTTTAATATACCATTCAACAAAACTCCTAATACCTTCGCTCACCTTTCTATAATCTTGTTTGTTTAGACCAGATATCGTAGAGTTTACCAAATTCTCTCTTTCGTTGGCACTTACATGAGATAATTGACTAGTAACTTCAATTATCCATTGGGCACAAATTGATGGATCGTTATTATTAGCTTCAGTAGCTAATCTAAAACATTTGACAATACAGCTGACGGCATCTGAATGAGAATTCGAATCAAAATTACTAACTAATCCAGTCATCAATACTAGCACAATATTGGTACCCTTTTGTACTATGATTTCATTAATGATTTGACTTCTCCATTCTGCTGGAACATAGTCCAATGTTACAATAGAAATTGGTGGAGATGGGAAACCCCATGATATTATGTCATCTAGACAACGAATAATATACAGATAAGCATCAAAATTCTCCAATTTATTTACGCAGATTAGTGCAACATCGACAATACTGGTTAGAAGATCGGTAGTCATAATAAATTCCTTAGGATAAAACATAACTAAGTCAGAAACCATAGCAAAAAAGTCCATAACAATATCATAATACTTGTTTATTTCAGCTGTGTCCATTTTGTTGAACTTCGTTACAAAGGTACCACATTGAGACAGAGAAAATTGCCACACACTTTCCTTAATCGCAGGTGATATTGGGTAGGTGTCATCATCACCAAAGATAACAATGACAGATCCTGAACACCACAAAAAGGAACCAATCCCTGTGGTTGAGTATCCTTTGACTAATAATTCAGCAATATCTCCCAATAATGGCTCACAAAATACATGGAATTTTTCAAATAACCTCCTCAAAAACTTACATGTTCTTTCTACAATAATATTATCATTAATAGCATCGTAATCAACTAAAACATGTTTTAGAGACAACCATAATTTTTGAATCTCTGGAAGTAGTGGTTCAGAACCTTCTGATGGGTATGAATGGCGAGGTTTTAAATCCTCAAACATTGCAAAGAATAAATCAATTTTATCAGCAATGGCTCGACTACCACTAACATCTTTCCCACCTTCATTCCAATCTTTAACAAGAATTTCTAATTTCTCAAGATTATCATCAATCAATTTAGCAAAAGAAATATTTATACTTTCAGGTGGTTGTTGATTAATGACAGAGCTCAACCCTTGACATAATTCAAACTGTGACTCAATATCATCCGATATTATATCTTGAATACTGAAATAAAAGATGATAAGTTGATCAAGATATGAGCTTAATAATTTAGAACAATCTGTGCAGAAATACATCAGAGAGTGTGAAGAAGCAGTTACAATATCCTTGATATCTTCATTCGCAGTATTTTGAGCTGCTTGAACTTTTTCAAACCCATTGAAAATATATTGTAACTGGATTTCTAAAGTAGCAGGATTTTTTGCAGTCCATTCAGTATAACGACCAAACACCAATGTAGTTGCGTATCTAATCTTTGGATGTAACTCTGGAAGACTACATAAGATTTGGAAAATCTCTGGAAGAATTTTATTCTCTGTTAAGGATATCTCCTGTGCCATTGTTCTCAAAGAAAATAGAGGAGCTTCCAACTTTTTCCAATTCTGCACTTGCCCATTCACAATAGATTCTTTTATCTTCGTCAAAGGTTGAGTCAGAGCGTTGACGGTTCCAACTACAGCTGTACAATCTTTCAAAACATCACCCATAGAGTATCTGAAATCTTTAAATTTATCTTCATTTTCTTTTGACGAGAAACCGCCATCAGGGTACTCTAAATGTACTATAATACCATTAATAAGTTCTATAAATATTTTGGAGTACAATTTACGTGCATGCTGATATCTTGGTAGAACCAAATTCTGCTTTAAACTAAACCAAACAGGAAATGTGTATGAAACAATATCTAGATCAGGGTTTTTACATGCTAAAGCTAATAAAATTAAAACTAATGGCTGAAATGTTTCAGGTGATTTAGATATGAATACAGTCCATGCCTCACATGCTTCTGCGAAGATCCTTGTCAAACTTTCTAATAAATCGGGGTCAAGTTCGTCCTCTGTTTTAGATCTGTCAATTGATAATATGCTTGGTAATAATTTTGTTTGAATATTGATTAGTTGTTCAAACAATGAAAAAATCAATTGCTCGTTAGGAGCTTCCCTACTTTCCTTTAAAATGACACATAAACATTCAACAGCTGCATCAAATGCCTCCGTATCATCAGACTCTGTTAACAATACTTCGAATAACAACTCAACCACAGGTCTTACAGCTAAAACTTCATCAATTGGGAACTCAAAGGACCAAGAATTAAAACAGCGTAGGATATTCGCAACAGAAATATCATTTGTTGGTTGCGTCTTGGCAATTCCAGTGCATTTAACCAAAAACGATAGGACGTCTTGAGCAATAGAGCTGATTAATTCATGTGTACGTGAATTGTATTCTTCTTCTGTTAGAGGTAAAGAACCCATGTTCATTGTTTCTTCAGGTAGAATTCTAAGGAAACTTAACAGAATTCCAGGATAGGGATTTAAGTAAGAAACGATTTCGATCATTGGATTTTTCCAATTTATGAATTGAATTGCTAATCTTGCCACAGCAACATTTAATTGTGTAAGAATTGGTTTAGAAGTATGAATGGTAAGTAAGCTCAGTAAAGAATCTTTTAATTGAGTTAGAGTTCCATCCCCAGACGATTCTAACTGTGACAGATCGTAAGTAACTTTATTTCTAATAGTTTGTACTGCAAAAACTTGTAACTCTAACAGAGATGGATCATTTCTGGTCAAAATTTGGTTACATATTTCCCATGCCTCTGTAGATCTTTGAAATCTTTCCAGGTAGTGTAATGCATCATTTTTTAATGTTTGAGTTGCAGTTGACGAGATACAACTTAATGCCTGTTGCACATCGGACACCGTATCTGACATTACACAATTATTCTGTAGTGTTTAAATTTCTAAATGTTAAATAAATTAAATATTCAATCTTCGAAAGATGTTTTCAATTTGTGTTATAATATTTAATTCAGTAATTAATGAATCAATGCATTTTTTGCAATTTTTATTAATTTGATATTTTTCAAGTTGATATTTTTTTTCGTCCTTTCCTTAACAAAGAAGAATATTACATAAAAAAAAAATAGATCTTTAACGTAAATACCAAGTTAGCAGAACTATTCGACTGAATTGGATAAGTAAAGAATATAATAGGATAACAAGAGTAGCTCACACATATCACACAATTTTGCAAGCATAACATGTCGTCTAATAAACCAAAAGGTGTCATTCCACCAATTAACTGCATATTTAATTATTTACAACAACAAACTACAGTTACCTTTTGGTTATATGAACAAACAGGTATAAGGATAAGAGGTAAGATCAGTGGCTTTGATGAATTCATGAATATAGTTATCGATAATGCTTTAGAAATACCCGTGGATAGTAAAACGAGTGTTGAACTCCTTGATAAAAGTAAAAAACTAGGGAAAATAATGCTGAAAGGTGATAATATAACGTTAATTACGTCTGTGGAAGAATAAGCTTAATTCACAACTAGACATATATATTAAACAGATCAAATTTCTAAGAGTAGAGGAACTATAACATAATATAGATACCTTGATCTAACATAACAGCTATCGCTTCCATTATTTAAAATAGACCCTAATGTGATATGGATGAGATTGTTTTTATATACATATATTATTTACATTAAAGAAAATAAAATTTTATATAGTATTTCATTTCACTCAATACTTATTTAATGAGTCGTTCGTCTTTAGAATATTCAAAATATGATATGTACATGATGATAACGGAACGCGATTCCAACTAAATGAGTTGATTCAAATAATTATTGAGGTTTATGTGGCTAAAGAAAATTAATGTGTATCTGGGTGAAAAATTGGCTCTATTGTATCGCAAAATTAGCACCAAGACTAAGGTAGAATGCTGTCTACATTTTTTTGTCTTTCTTCTAGGATTTTGTTATTTTCTTCCTTAATTTCTTTATTAAACTTAATTGCTTCACCATTTAAGAAATCCTTAACCATCGGTAAACCTGGATGTATAGTATTAATAGTACCAAATAATTCATCACCAATTTTTCTTTCCAAATTATTCTTCTTTGTATTATTTTTCAATTCCAAGAAAGTATTGGTATTTGTTGCAAAACGTGTTTCATCAAATATGGCATCAATATTTTTCAATAATTGTTCTTCTGTAACAATATATTGATCTGCTTCATAATACAATTCTAATAATTTTTCTAATTTTCTTTCTTTAGCTTTAAATTCTATAAATTCTCTATTATAATTTCTCTTTAATTTCATTAATTCAATTTCTTCTGAAGTTCTCGGCCTCATTAAAGGTTGATTTATTATATGTTCTAAAGAAGGAATCGTTAAATCTGATGATTTTGTTAAATTAATCTTTTTCATTTCTTCTTCACGTTCTTTTGCTTCAATTATTTTTTTTTTGGCAACTAATTCTTCCTTTTTCAATAGATATTCTTCTTCTTTACGTAATGCATTAGCTAAATATTGTCTTCTTAGTTGTGCTCTTTTCATCTTAGTCTCTTGAATTTCACTACCAGAAGATTTTAAAGATTGTGGAGCAGGAACACTCTTAGAGATAACTTCTTCAATATCAATAAATGTAGCAGGTTTTGGATCTCTACGAGATTTTAAAGGATGTTGAATTCCTTCTGCATAACCAATACCATTTTCACCTTTAGGTAATGGTTCTTTAGCTCTATTAATTAAAGTAGTTTGACGAATAGTTGGATTCTTCAAAATGTTTCTAGTTACAGGTAATACACCACTTTTAAACCCATATTTAGCAATACCTTTCCCCATTATTATTATTATTCGGTTCGAACTAATAGTTTTCTTTCTTTCCCTTTATGTTTAAGACTTGAACAATATCAACTGGATAGAATCAATCTTAATACACCTATAACCTATACTTCTTGCTTTTAATGCAAAACTTCGTCTTTCCCTTTTTTCCAATGAAATAATTTTTGAAATTCAATTTGGTGTATTTTTTGTTCTCTATTCTATTTGTTTGTAGTTTCTCGGTCCTTATTCGCTTTTAAGAAAAACAAAATATATACAAAAATTGTAAAAAATTATTACCCTCATTCAAGTTAATAAGATAGTGATGGTATGTTATCGTGATTGATTAATAATAGCTTATAAACATTAAGAACTAGTTAAGTGATTCAAGCAGTTTTCTTATATTTGTTATGATTAATTAACACTTAAATCACATATATAATATTATCTGTAATAAAATCAGCACACTCTCTAAGCAAATTTAATAGAGATTGGTGGCTTTTTCTTCAAGTATGCAAGAATTTTACCTTTCTTTAATTAAACCCTTCTATATATGTAAAAACAAAGCAAACTGTGTTATCTTTTCATAATCTTCATCAGTTAGATAATAAATGACTTTCGTGTACAAATACGTATGAAGTACAAATATAACCCTTAAAAAAATACTTCGTTTATTATTTCTTGCAACACTACCATCATTGTTAACGGGGAATGGTTGCATAATAATATGGTCCATATATATACCAAAGAAAATACCATACAGACTAGTGAAATCGCCGTGAGACAAATGACAGACATAACAGAATTGTTTCGTCATTTAACAATAATGTTATCGAATTATTTCTTGATTCTGTAAGTTAACCTTAAAGAAATAGACATAGAGAGAAATAGTAAATAATTGAACTGCAATGCTATATGACCATATGTATATATTTATTTACAGTGTAAGGCGTATAATACTCATTTGTGGGAGATCGTAATTTAAATAATCTCTTTCATGTTATATATATGATATTCAAGTAGTCATCACCTATTTAGTAATCAAATAGTAGTATATGATTAAATAAATAAATCATTAACAGAATCACCTATTCAACAACATAACCAATTGTAATAACATTGTATATATATTACTTTTTCTTCTTATTCAGTGGATAACTGAATCAATAAGCATAGCCGTTTATATCATTAGATGTAAGAGTCACACTCAGACAACCCCTAGTTATATACTATTAACAGAAAAAAGTATTTTAAATATTATTAAAATCATCGCGTTAACGCTGTGTGTGCTTCTTTTGGGTTTATTAAGAAAAGAGAGAGAGAGAGAGAGAGAATACACACAATGTAAACAGAAAATATCCGTTTGTTCTATGCTTTTCTTTTTCTTTCTATCTCTCTCTCGCACTAAGGATTTTCGTTTTGATTTTATTATAATACTAAATAATGATAATAATAACAATACTAATAATAATATTTAATGTTAAACTAGTTACTTTAGACATACATATTTGCGTAATTCGTTTCTTAAATTTTAATAAATACGTAATCATATTATAATAAACTGAAAGTATAAGTATATCTCATACATTAGTATTTAAAGTTAGCATACATTTATTTGTTATTTTTGTTTTGTTATTTTCTATTTTATTCATATCCTAATCTGTTTTGTTTTTGTTTTAACTGAATTTTTTATGAAAAGGGTCCTCCTGTAACGTTTTACATTTTTTTTTTATTACCTCGATAACGTTCATTACTCAACTACGTCGACTCGAACTGACGTTTGACAATAATTTACACATTGGTTTTTTTTTAATTCCCTAATCATTCACACAATTTTTTTATTTTATTTTGAACGAAATCTTTAACATTTCTTTATTGATTATCTAGTCATTCACCCCCTCCCTTTTTTCTTTTTATATTCAATATACATTTTCATCAAACTTTAATTGTTTCTTCCTCCTGATCAATCTAGTTACTGATTTAATTTTCACATATATTCTAAATATAACTCTTCTATCCTTCTTTTTTTTTTTTGCCAGATTATAAATGTCATTTGATTACGAAATATACAAAGAAGGTGGTATCCTAAACGAAAGATATCAAAAAGTAGATGATATTAGTGAAGGTTCCTATGGTTATGTCTCCTTAGCTAAAGATTTAAAGTTGAAAAAACTAGTTGCTATTAAATATATCTTTAAACTAGATAACAATAATTATGATGACGATGACGATGAAAGAAAAAGTAAAAATTATAGCATTAATTCAAATGAAAATAGTTCACAAAAGAAACATGAATTAGATCAAAATTTACAGAATAAAAAATCTTTAATTTCTGATGCTGTTAAATCAAGATTCTCGAACAATGTTTGTTTTGAAGCAATGTATGAAGTTGATATTCAAATGAAAGTTGGTAAACATAAAAATGTTGCTGAATTATTGGACTTCTTTGATTCTTATATTATTATGGAGTATTGTACAGGTGGTGATTTATATGAAGCTATTAAAGATGATATTGTTCCAAGAAGAACTAAATCAATAACTTATATCATTTCACAAATTATGGATGCTATTGAATTTGTTCATAATAAAGGTATTTATCATAGAGATATTAAACCTGAAAATATTTTAATTACAGGAATTGATTGGACAATTAAATTAACAGATTGGGGACTGGCCACTACAGATTCTAAATCAATGGATAGAAGTGTTGGTAGTGAAAGATATATGTCACCTGAATTATTCGAATCCAATTTAGATATGAATGAACGTAAAGAACCTTATGATTGTAGTAAAGTTGATCTTTGGGCAATGGGTATAGTATTTTTAAATATTGTATTCCATAAGAATCCATTTAGTATTGCAGATCAAACAGATAAATCATTTTGTTATTTTGCAGCAAATAGAGAAGCTTTATTCGATGTATTCTCTTCAATGACTTATGATTTTTTCCAAGTATTAAGATATTGTTTAACAATTGATCCAACAAATAGAGATTTATCTAAAATGAGAGAAGAATTGATTAATTTATCAGAATATACCTTTGATGATGAATATTATAACTCTTTAGAAGACGAATATGATATTCCAATGTCATCAGATGCTTCATCGACAAAGATGGTTGGATCAGATGCTTCAACAACACCACCATCTGAAACTAAATTGGTTATGCCACCATCTTCCGCCCCAGTTGCATTACCTACTCCAATTAATTCATCAAAACCCTTACCACAAATTAAAAATGATGATTTTGAAATTAAACAGGATTCATCACAATCTACTACTTCAACAACCACAACTAATAAATATGATAACTTTAAAAAACCATATGATATTCCGAAATTTAAAATTAATTCTCAGATTCATCCTCCACATTTGACATCTACTACTACTGCCACTAATGATCATAGATTTGATGATAATCAAAATACTCGTAATAATAATAATAATAATAATAACGAAAAGCTTAATACAAACGATTACTATAACAATGCTTATCAAAGAGAACGCGCTAAATCAGTTCCTAAGATCAAGTTTAATAGACGTCCGCGCGTTAAGAATAACCATAATCAATATCATATTAGCCCTAATAATAATAACTCCTCACATAACTATAAGGGTAATAATAATAGCAACTATTACAATACTCACAATAAAGCATTCAGAATGAGACGTAGAAATAAAAGTAAAATTATTAAAAATTCAAGAAAGCCTCTTGGAATTCCAACTCCAAATACGCATATCAATAATTATATCAATGATTACAGAACTAAAGAAGATAATCAGTTCAATACAAGAGATTTTTTTACACCTCCAAGTGTCCAGCATAGATATATGGAAGGCATATTTGATAATAAAAATAGATATCATAGACAACAATTTAAGAATAATCATTTAAATGTCCATAACAACTATAATAATAACGATTCTAATAACTCTAACGGTGGTAGTAATAACAGTAACTATAGCAAAAGTTGGAATAATAATAAAAGTTCTAAATTTAGGAGACCAAGTACTACAGGTAACCAAGCATTTTCTACTAATTTCTATTCTGGAAATAGATCCAGACATAGTTTTCATAGTAGCAATACCACAAGTGGTAATGTATTTAAGCGTGGCACTGTCCAACATTCACCAGGTAGTTATATTCCACCAAATGCAAGAAGTAATTATCCAACAAGTACTTCAGTCGGAGTTTATTCCTCACATATTCCAAACATATCTAGTGTTTTAGGCGAATCAGATAATGACAGTTTATCAAACGAGAGAAACAGACAACCTCCTGCCACTTCGATGTTAAATTCTGCAATTGATAATGAACATGATCTTGATGATACATTATTCTCCCTTGATGATGGTGATCATGATTACATTAACGGTCTGAATAATTTATCTCTAAATGACGGTATGCAACGTGGGAATAATATGAACAAGATGAGTAGTTCAGGTAATACATTCCGTCAATTAAATGGTCTTAGTGTTAATATTCCTAACCATCAACCAATTCATTCGAATAACGATAACGATTTACCTGATTTGTTAAAATCCCCAGTAATTAGTTCTACATCATTAAACACAGCTCAAGGGTATAACAAACCAATGGGTAACAATCAATATTTGAATATGCCACGGGAGATGACTGAATCCAATATGAAGCACAAGCCAGGTGTTTATGTCCCTCCACATCATAGAAGAAGTTCAGGTTATTCTACAAACGAAGCTGTCTTATCTGTTTCTCCAAATTCAATTAGCATTCAACAAAATGAACTACATCCAACCCAAAATTTTAAGAAACCAACTATCCCAATTGGAAATTCAGGTACAACCGTCGCACTACAAGATCATGACGTGTTCAGATATTCTGATAACGATGCATTAATCTTTGAGGATGATGACGATGATGATAATGATGCTAACACAAAATATATGAATGAAACAAATAGTGGTAGAGCTAGGAGAAGTTTCGGTCCATATCAAATATATGATGATGACGATGAAAGCAATACTAAGCTAAATGCATATCGTTCAAATAGAAGAACATCTAGTATTCAAAATGAAGTTGTTGGCTCATTGGAACAATACAAAAATAATTGGTTGATGTTACAACAACCACAAGAATAAACTAAATTTTATGAGTTATGACTGCATTATAATAAAGTTGAAAAGACAACTACCGCAACAACCAAAACAACCAAAACAACCGTGAAAAGAATCGAAAAGTTTTTCGTTACTCTTTTTTTTTTCTCTTCTCACACATCTTAACTAACTAAACAATGAAATTCATCATTGATATCATATTTCCTATTCTATTGTTATTATGACCATATCTGTTTTATATAAATATATTAAAAATTAAATAAATTACATATATACCCCTTTTAATCCATATTTTCACATATTATTTTTAACAAATATAGATTGCTATGATCTTTTTAGAACAAATCTACTCATTTATCAGAGGAAGTGACTTGTTTTACTAAACTGTAATGTAATGTATTATAGAGGATTATATCTATTACTATCTATGAATGCAAATAAAATTATAAAAACTTACGTACCAGAAAGGGCTGATGAATGATTAATATGTAGACTAATAAAGAAAAAGGAGAACTGTATATTAATTATATCTTCCCAATTTTATTTTTATTATTTTTATTTTTATTTGTTTGACGTTTTGCAATCTTATCCTTTTTAGATTTAGATTTTATAATTCTTTCAGTAATTTCATTCACAAGATTACTATTATATTCACTCAAATTTTTGTCTTCATCATTTTCTTCATTTTTCTTATTATTATTATCATCATCATTATTTTCAAATTTTGTATGTTTACCTTGAAAATTTTTTTTACTTATTGATGGTTCATTATTTAAAGATTTTGAAATATTATTTTTTAAATTATTTTGATAATCTTTATTTTTTTGTTTTAAATTACTAATTTTATTATCGTAATCATTTGTTTGTTTCATATAATTTTGAACTCTATTTAATTCTGTACGAATTAAATCAATATTTTCTTTTTGTAAACCAACAACTTTACCATATGCAAAAAATAAAGAATTCAATACATATGCATAAGTATTTGATATATCTAATTTATTACGTTCCAAATTTTCTTCAAGTAATTGTTCATCTAATGGTTTTTTAGTTAAAGTTTCCAAATGTGGGGCTAAAGCATTTAGCTGTTTCTTTATATTATTAATATAAGGTTTTATCTTTTTAATATCTTGATCCATTGTTACTGATTTATGTAGTTGACGTTTATATATATACATATATATATGTATCAGTTTATAATAACGTCATTAGCTCATCTCATCATCTTCTTAACAGAAATGGATTAGTATATAATTTTTCGCAAGTATAAATTTTTTTTTTTCAGTTATAAGTATTACCCTCCCCGAAAAATGTAATTGTGAGGGTAATATAAAAATTAATATAGTGAGACGAGACCAATTCGTGTGTATAATACAAACTTATTGCAAAATTTTGTGTTCATACATATTATACTTAATTTCATCTATTTTACGGATCGATATTATTTATCCTGAAGTTCCATAGTCGTACATAATTTAATATACCCATATGGTATCTACTTGTATATATATATATATAGATATTATTTAAATAGTTTTACTGTTTAAACAGATGCACCACTAGAGTCTTCCTTACACATGTTGATGATAGCTGTCATTTATCTAAAGCCAAAACGATAAACGTGTTGGGCGCTTTATAATTTAAACTAATGGTACTACTGAATCAAAGATATAAAAGTTAAAATGACAGGCCATGTGATACATTAAACATTGTGTCAGCTTTGTCCCCCCCCCATACAATAAAAAGAGAAAGAGACTCAAAAAAGCATCAAATTTCTTTAATTCCGCGGGTTATATTCATTTTTCAATATTATTTCCGCTCTTTTATCGAGGGGGGAAATTACTGCTGCTGCTGCTATTATCTGGTTTCGGAATATTCTCCAGCGGAAAAGAAGAAGAGATAACTGGCGAGCTGATGGAATGGCTATTCATTTTTTAAGATTATTCGGGTTTCGGTGTTTCGGGGGGGATTTTACACTAAGAATCCTTCAATTAAGAGTTAAATTCTGGAAAGTACACGGTTATTAGAAGTAATATGTTAAAATCCTTGTTGTAACAGTTTATGCAGGGATATTTACTAAAAACAAGATGCAGAAGGAGAAATTTAATATTTTAGTTGTAAGAACCAGCTAATATTTCTTAATTATTGTTAGCACTCTATGAAGAAATATGTCTCTCTTGATCCGATAGTTGAGACTGTACGGATTTAGGGGTTTTCTTAAATATATGTTGAAATTCATAGCAGCAGTACGTAATAAAATTTTCACTTTATGTAAGCAAGAGAAATTTATTTTGAGCTGCAAAAAATGATTACTAAAATATTATTTACCTGGTCATACTATATTTCTATGTATTACCATCCCCCTTGTCTTGCAATACTCAGATATTACATATTAATACAAACATTCTTTTTTCAGTGTGCATCAAATATACCTGTGTGTGTGTGAAAGGGTACTGATAAATCAATCATCTTGATATTTGTCCTTGTTATGTATATAATAACGTATTGAATCAAACGAACAAAAAATTCATTGATTGATTTCCGTTATTTTCAGGTAATCTCATAGAATCCCTTGCTTAATATTTAATTAGGCGGAGTAAATTTGAAAACTAGGAATTAAAAAAAAGAAAAAAGAAAAAAAGGGCAATATTTTATTATATAATAAAATTACAATTGGATCTGCTTTTTATTATTATTAAATATATATATATATACATATATTTGTTACTATTTCTTCACATTTTGGCAATTATCCCATTTGAGGAACCCAAACACATATTTGCTAAAGTTCTTTAGTGCATTTTAGAACGAAACATTATTATAAATATATATATATATATATATATGTATTATAATTATAAAGATGACTAGTTCGAATTCGACTCCACATAAAAAAAATGGACATTCATTTTTAGTTACATTAGGTTTAAAAAAGAGGAAGAGTTCAAAATCCTTAAAGAAGCATAACGATAGCATTACCTCATCAATTCATGGTAACAAAAATATATCACATCGTGCAGCTACATTTTCATCAAAAAATGATGGAAAGAAACAAGATATTTATTCTGATATTCCAATATTAGGTTTCCACAACAATAATAATAGTAAAAATTTACAAACAATATCAAAGAATAAAAATAATGATGAATCAAAACTCAAAGTTCAAAATTCATCACATTCTAGAAATCATAGCTATAGTAGTGGAGTAAGTATATCTGATAAAACTTCGCAATTAAATGGATTTTATAATTTACCTTTAAATTTTGGCCAATCTTCACAAAATAATCAAAGCAATCATTGGAATACAACAACTTCTACTTCAGTAATTGCAGGAATAACAACGACAACAACAAACACAAATGGCAATACAAAAGATAATAGTAGTTTGTTAAGTGCGACTAATCATAGTTTTATTGCATATAGTCGATATTCTATATCAGAACCTAATTTATCATTACATTCAGTAGAGAATAGTCCATCAAATAAACCACAATTATCAAGTGCTCAAGAATTATTGGACGCAGTCTTTAAAAGGAATAATGATACTACTAAAAGCACTAATCCGCAACAACAACAACAACAAGCGCAAGGTATTGAAAATCAAACAAATAATAGTAGCAGCAGTAATAATGAAATTAAAAAGACTTCTCCAGGTATACATGATCAAACTATGAAAAATGCAAAACAATTGTTACAAACTTTTGATACATTATTACAAAGTAGTAGTGCTAAAGATACAAATTCGAACAGCGCAAGTCAAGCACTCATAATAAATGAGCCTCAACCAACAAGCCCTTCTAATGATAAGACTAAAATCAAATTTCTTGATACTACACCTCAAAAGAGAACTTCGAAATCAGATGTGGATCCAGATGCTACATTAACTACAACAATATCACAATCTCGTCCATCTGCAGATATCAGAAGGATATCCTTAGATTTGGAACCCGAAGAAAAGAAGAAGAAAGCTAAAGTTAAGAGTGGTACGCCTAGTGGTAGCAATGTTATGATTAATGAAAATAATAATAATTCAGATTCTTGCATTCTTGGATTAACGGCTCCAAAAAGATCTTTTACTCCTTTAAACGTTAAGGATATACCATCAAATGCTTTGAAATTATCTCTCAATACAGCAAGAGTAGGGAGTTCCTTAGTTACGGGATCATTCAGTAGAACGAGGGGGAATTCGATGTTTTCAGCTAGTCCTGTCTCCTCTAGAGTAACTGAGCCAGATATTGAAAATTCTAAAAAATGTTTACAAGGTATCACATATGCACCTGAGAGTAAAAATAAAGAGTTCCATAGATTGTTTAAAAGAGCACCAGAAGACGAGAGACTGATATCCGTGCAAAGTGCTGCGATGTTTAAAGATTTCATGGTTCAAGGGAAAATATATATATGTGATAATAACATTTATTTCTATTCGAATATTTTAGGATATGTTACGACATATGTAATTCCATATGAGGACATCATTGGCGTAGAAAAGAAAACGGTGGCAGGGATATTTCCAAATGCCATTGGTATCGATACCGAACAAGCAAAATATGTATTTGCGTCTTTGATATCTAGAGAAAGTACATGGACTTTAATTAGAAAAATTTGGCATCAACATAAGAGTAGAAATATGAATCAAAGAGATAGCATTACATCTTCCAATCAGCAAGAGTCTGAGTCTAATGAAGAGTTTATAGATGATTCGGAAATGGAATTGGGTGATGACGAATTGTTATCAGACATATCATCAGGAGATTCGGAAAGTATTCTAGAGGATGATAAAAATGCAATAACGTCATCACCGTCTACTACTGTATCGGAACCTATTGATGAAATCAAAAAGAGAAATCCACCTGAAGATGATTCTATTCCAATTTTAGGCTTGAGCAAACATGAACCAACTACTGCTTCTTTTACCCCAGATTCTTCTGATAAAAATATATATGACTCTACAATCCCAGCCCCTTTGGGTAAAGTGATTAATATTTTATTTGGTGAAAATACTACCTATTTAGAGACCATATTAAAAGAACAAGGTAATTATGATCTGTCTAAAATTCCGACGGATCTTATTTCAACGAAAAACCGTGATTATTCTTATACAAAACCTCTTTCTGGTTCAATTGGTCCGAGTAAGACGAAATGTTTGGTGAGTGAGAAACTCGACGTATATGACCTCGATGGATATGTCCAAGTAACTCAAATCACCAAAAATCCCGATGTACCATCCGGTAACGCATTTGTGTCTTGTACAACGTTTGTACTTTCGTGGGATAAGAATAATTGTACTAGAATGACTGTTTACGTTCGAGTAGATTGGTCTGGTAAGAGTTGGATTAAAGGTGCCATAGAAAAGGGTACTGTCGATGGTGTTACAACAGCCACTAAACGTTTGGCGGATGATATAATTAAATTAGTCTCTCCTAAGGAGAAAAGACCTAAAAAAACAAAAAGAGGTACCTCTTTTGTTGGAAAAACTTTATTAGCCCTACCAAACATTGAACCATACACACATGTACCAACGGAGGCAGATATTAAGAATGAAGGCAGTGATAAAATTATTAAAGAAAATTATATCTTTGATTGTTCATTAGGTACAACTTTCCAGTTAATTTTTGGTAAAGATACATCTTACTTAAAACGTATTCTTGCAAAGCAAAATAATATCGATATCTCTGTTATTCCGAAGTTTGAAGATAAAAAACGTACATATTCCTATGTGAAATTATTGAATAATTCATTAGGTCCAAAACAGACCAAATGTAGTATTACAGAACATATTGAACATATGGACATGGAAAAATATATCTTGGTTAGACAGATCTCAAAGACTCCAGATGTTCCTTCAGGAAACAGTTTTACAGTTCAGACACGATACTATTTGAGTTGGGGCCCTAATAACACTACAAATATGAATGTTATCACTAATATTGTGTGGACTGGTAGATCATTTTTGAAAAGTGCAATTGAGAAGGGTTCTATTGATGGCCAAAAAGACACTGTTGAAATATTAATTGATGAATTAAGCCAAATTATTGAAAAGGCCAAAATTGGGACAAAAGGAACCAAGAAAAAGAAAATTAAGGGGAAAAAGAGTATATCGAGGACATCTACGATGCCTGAAATATCACAACCAAAAAAGGTAGAATCGTCTGGCATTTTAAATTTTATCGTAAAAGCATTTTCACCTTTAATAGACCCCTTATTCTCAGATTTTGATGCGACATCTCCCCAAACAATCGGTTCTCTTTTTATTTCTTTCATTTTGCTATCAAGTCTCTTCAGAGCTATATTTGTCAACGAAAAGGACACTCACAAAATATCTATATTGAGACAAGGTAAACTAATGATAGATGAAGATATTTATAATTATACTCCAGCTTTAGATACCTTGTATAAACCATACAGAGAAGATATTGGAAATCATGCATCTAAAAACAAAAATACATCTTTTGGGGAGAAATATCAAAATGTGGTAGATTCCACTGAAGAAGGTATTTGGGAATGGATAAAAGACCGTGGTAATCCTAAATCATTGAATCATGTAACACCTCATTTCGATAAGACTGATATTAAAAATCGGAATTTGGAAGAACTACAAGAAACGATTAAGATAGCAAATATTCAATTAGAAGAGATGAGAAAGAGGGTCAACATGTTGCAAGGAACGAATTGATATATTTAAATATGTTAAAATTGTAGTTTAATACTATAATGACTCAATTTATATTATCAAAAATGCATTCTTTAAAGTATGCGAAAATTTTATATTTTGGTAAAATTGTAAATATTGATATAAGCCCTTTCAAGGACTACTACATAATCAAAAATGCATATATTATCGTGTTTAGTTGTGGTACAACAGCACTCAAAGAGTTCCTTAAAAACTAGTTAACTGTTATATTGTTTGGCCCATATTTGTAGTTCCTTTACCTGTAATAAAGTTATAATAATTGGGATCTCCAAGGTATGATTGTAATGGTAAGTAATTGAATTAAAATATGTACATCTACCTCTATATGTTATATAAAAGTTATCTAATCTCCATGTCTTTCTTATGTCTTCTTTTAATATCTCATCTTTATTTATTCACTAATTTTCATTATCGCACTATACCATATTCTATTCTAAATCTGTATTTGATAGAATTCCTCGTTTCTATCTTGCTGAGCTTTGATTATATTTTTATTATACAGATATTCTACAGATAATTCTTCTTAATGTATTTCGGAAAGAATTATTTAATATACAAATTATGTATTTCAAATCTCTGTCTTTATATATTACGAATTTAGTGGAGTAGTTGTTAACCTTCACATTCATGAATTTCGTATTCAAGTATTGTCAACACAATACAAAATTGTAAATTTTTAATTTTACAATCTTTAAATAAATTTCATTCGCTCCAATAATTATCATGGGAAAAGCTGAGCACAGCGGCTAAATGTAAAAACCTGTAAATAAATTAATATGATATATACAATTAAAAATAAAACTAATATAAATCAAGTAAATTAAAAGGAACCCCAAAACTGAAGAACAAACATATATTTATAGTAATAGAAAGAAATGGAACAACAACTGGAACGTCTAAAAAATGAAATCAAATCTCTAGAAAGTCAATATGATAATTTAAGGGAAGATTTTAGCAACCTTTCGGCGGCCCAAAACTTGTATGTATTCTGCACATCTCAAATTTTCATGAACCCATATGGTTTTCACTCATATACAGAAGATTTCAATATACTAACAATAATCCTTTAAAACTATTATCTTAGAAATCAAGAAGCAAATGATGTTAAGAAACTTCACATTCGAAGATTAAAGAACTACAATGATCTAAGAGACATTGGTTTAAGATTAACTCAATTGATTGCCGATGATAAAAAATGCAAAATGGGGGAAGTCTTTGAAGAAATGGGATTTTCAATGTTGGACGAAAAATACTCTTAAAATATAGCTAGGATAAATAATTCAATTAACTTCCCACTCATTAAATAGTATATTTCATTTTTTTCCATCTATTTATAAAAACAAATTATCAATTGTTTTGAAAGTTCGATTAGTTGAAATAGTACCATTTCTTTACTGTCTTACATTAAAATTAACCTCACCCCCACTTTTTATTGTTTACTCGGTTACCTTCATCTGATTAAAATTGTATTACAATAGTTCATATATAATATACTTTTGCTACACTATTGTAATAGTCAGCTCCTGTCGAACAAAAAATCTTTCGTTTGCTTCACCCGCGGTTTCAGGCATACAGTTGGATGATTCGACTTTTTTGCTTCCAAATTGCCATTACGAAAGTATATAGATTTTACTTACGGAAGGAGAGCGAGCAATGAGATAAAAAAAAATCAGCAAAAAATACAACTGAATCAAAAAAAAAAATTGGTAATTGAAATATTGAGTAGCGAAATTCAATTAAACGGATAATATTAGGGAATCACAGAGTTTTCCTGCAGGGGCTTAACTGTCTTTAAGAAATTGAAAAAGAAGCTCAAGAAATGAAAATTTCTGAGCGAACATCTTTAAAACCTTTGTAAGCTGAGAAGACCATCTAAAAGCCATAAAATCAAAATCATTACACATTAAAAATATTCATAAACATCATCAACCACTGGTAGAAGAACAATACTGAAACACTATTGGTTATCACAAATTTTTTTATGGAATAAACTGAAGTAAACAAGATATTTTTTGAAAACTAGCCTATAACAAGAAAAAAACTAACATCATTACCAATTCAAGGGCCACATACATTACACCCATATTGACTAAATAGAATTGAGTTAAACTGAGTCATTACATAGATAATTCTACCATAACATTTGCAAAATGAGGATATCTCTAAAAAGAATATGGATTCCAACCATATTAATTTTGAGCATAATAAATTTTGTACAGAGTAAGAATCCCCTTGAGCTTAATGATAACCATATACATGGAATAAGTCATAGCCAGAATAGGGTTGAAGCAAACCTCTCTAAACATTCAATACGACATGACAATATACATACATTTGAAGAGAGTACACAAATACCGACTAATGCAATATCAGAAGTAATATCTTCAGCATCTCAAGTAGATGAACTTAAAGAAACTGAAGAAAGTATACACAACAGCATAATAGAAAACGATATCAATTTACCTCAAAGTTACAATGCAGGTTTTGAATCTATTCATGGCTCCGTAGTCAGCCGAAAGTCGTTAAGCGATTTCATTCTATCAGATCTCTTAATTGCAGCTGATATCGAAGGTGGTCTTCATGCTATCAACCGTGAAAATGGTCAAGTATTATGGTCAATTCTGTCATCTCAGTTTAATCCACTCATTGAAATAAAAGAACCTCCAAGAAATTCAACAAAGGAGATATTGATGGTCGAACCTTTTGGGGACGGTAAGATATATTATTTCAACATGCATCAGGGACTGCAAAAGATACCCGTTTCAATAAAGCAACTGATATTGACATCTCCAATGCATATGAAGGCAAATGTTATTATTGATGATATGGGTACCGTCGTGGAAGATGAAAAAATATATACAGGCTCTAGAAGAACTATTATGTATACGATTGACGTAACTACCGGAGAAATAATATCAGTTTTTGGACCAGGTACAGCAAATAAAAATTTTAGAGAATCTGAATCTGAAAATCAAGGAAATGTAGTAATCCTGGGTAAGACAATTTACGAATTAGGAATTCATTCCAAAGATGGATCCACTTATAATGTAACCTATTCTACCTGGCAAACTAATACTCTAGACCAACATTTAGCAGAACAAAATCTGCAAGCTAACACCAATATTCTCATTGCACCATTTAGAGACAAAAGTATGCTAGCAATCGATTCTAACCTAAAAATAGCTAAATGGGTTTCTCCAAAATTCCCTGGCATTATTATGTCTGTATTTGACGTTTTTGTCGACACTAGTGCAGGTGAAAATATTATCGTGCCACACCCATTCCAATCTATGGAGAGCGAAGACATCAAAGGTGAACATATTTACTTAGAAGAAACTGAAAATCATTCATGGATTGCTCTTTCTAGTCAAAACTTTCCATCACTGGTTAAAGCAGCACCCACTTCAAAATATAGTTCTAGTGAAATATGGAGAGCTCCATCAATATTTGATGACGAACTGTTATTCAGAGACGCTATATCAGGTGTTCATTCTTTAGCTACATCCCATTTTAAACCTACCCTGGCGTTACCCTCAAAGGAAAGCAGTGTTACACATAATAGACCAAGCAACGCGTTGATGATGATTGAACCAAATACATATAACAACTTTCCAAGTGTTAAAGAGGAGCAATTTAATTCGTTAGAACGGTATATATCACCGATGGAACTTGAGTTGTATAGACTGAAATTAGAAGAACAAATTACCAGGCAGATAATGGCACAGAACAAACATTCATTACTGCATACATTAGGGAATTTAACTTATAAAATATTTGAGAGTGGCTTTATCATATTGGCATCACTCGCTCTTCTTGGACTGCTACAAAAATTTAACATTACACCACCCTTTCCGGTTATTCTGGAAAAACTTGGGCTTATATCTCCAAAGGAAGAAGCTTCAAATGGCTCAGAACCAAATGATAAATCATTGGTAAATGGAGAGAAGCAATCTAATGATCACACCAACCATGTAAAATTTAAAGATAATGAAGATGACCATGAACATGAAGATGAACAAAAGGAAGAAAATGAAAAGACGAATGTCGAGAAATCTAGTAATGATATCCCTGAAAATGGGAAACAAATTGAAAGGAAAAAGAGGAAAAGAGGGTCTAGAGGTGGTAAGAAAAATAAATCTAAAAAAGTTTCTCAAAATGAACATCCCGACCGTCTTGAATTTGAGACTGACCTCAGAAACCTAACCGTATCCGATACCATATTAGGATATGGATCTTCTGGGACTGTAGTTTTCAAAGGATCTTTTCAAGGCAGGGATGTTGCAGTTAAAAGAATGTTAATTGATTTCTGTGATGTCGCAGACCGTGAGATTCAACTTTTAACCGAAAGTGACAACCACCCCAACGTCATAAGGTATTATTGCTCCGAAAGAACTGACAGGTTTTTGTACATTGCATTAGAACTTTGTACTGCTACGCTTCAGGATCTGATATATGGGAGAAATCTACCGGTTGAAGTAATGAAACTCAACAATTCACTTGATCTTATAGATATAAACCATCAAATTGCATCTGGTGTCGCACATTTACATTCTTTGAAGATTATACACAGAGATTTAAAACCACAAAATATCTTAGTTTCAATTAATCAACGTGAGTTATTCAATCCAGAAAAGTCTGGGAGCAAATTGCGTATTTTGATTTCTGATTTTGGTCTATGTAAAAAACTAGATAATGATCAATCTTCATTCAAGACGAACATCAACAATCCTGCAGGTACTACTGGATGGAGAGCGCCTGAGTTGCTAGAAGCGTCTGTCTCGAAAATCCTGGAATCCATTAACGAAAGAAACGAGGATACAGAACACTCTACAGATCACAATACAAATTCTATCTCAGTGGTGTCTACTGGTTCATTTTATGATCCCTTTATCAAGAAAAGATTAACTAGAGCCATCGATATATTCTCATTAGGTTGTGTATTCTTTTATGTTTTAACAAAAGGCCAACATCCATATGGTGATAGATACATGCGTGAGGCCAATATTATCAAAGGGATTTATGACCTATCTCCTCTTCAAACACACATAAAAGATAGATCTAACGCGACAGAAGCAGTTGATCTGATATCTAGTATGATTTCAAAAGATGCAAGAAATAGACCTACCGCATTTACCGTCCTAAAACATCCATTATTCTGGCCAGCATCCAAAAAATTGGCATTCTTGTTAAAAGTCAGCGATAGATTTGAAGTAGAAAGAAGAGACCCACCAAGCCCATTGCTGCTAAAGTTAGAAACGATTTCATCAAAGGTTATCGTTGATGGTGATTGGTCATCCAAATTTGATAAAGCTTTTATGGACAATCTTGGGAAGTACAGAAAATATCATTACAATAAAGTCATGGATCTCTTGAGGTCATTAAGAAATAAATACCATCATTTTATGGACTTACCTGATGATCTGGCTAAAAAAATTGGACCAATTCCTAATGGTTTCTATGATTATTTTAGTGTACGTTTCCCAAATTTATTGATGGAGATATATCATTTAACTAAAGAAGTTCTTGAAGATGACCAAATGTTAAAAGAATTCTTTTAATTTACATATTATTTATTATTCATATATATATATAATATTCGCATAATACATTACACATCTATAAAGTAGTATAAATATAGCATCATTTAACAATAAAAGTTACTTAAGAGTTTCATACTCAGAAAAATATGGATGATAACTAATATCAGATCTTTTGGCGACATAATTATTCATAATATATATTATTCGAAATAGAGAGTCTTTTTAAGTCATATTTAGGTGATATACAGTTCTCTCAGCCAATTTTATAAAGAAAATGGTAAGAATACATGATATTGCATATATTTCATCAAACCAACAGTCAATAACAAAACTAGTAACAGTGAACTTTTGACCCAACATGTCCTTTAATCTCTCAGCAACATCAAATGGCAAATTGGATCTAATCATTAGCACTGTAGCAACAACGTATACACCAGCTAGTTCAGATAGCAACAAATTTTTTATCATAGAAGGTTCATTATATTTTCGTTGTTTGATTCCACCATAAATAGGCAGGTCATTAGCGTTTTCTTCATTCTGTAAAGCAAAAAATGCCAAAACTTGAAAACGAGCAGGTAGTAATGAAACTAAGAAGGAGACAGTTGTACTAACTGTTGAAAATGCACAAATAAATAACGATGCAGAAAGAAATAGTGAGATTTGACTAGTTAGGGAATCCAGATCATGCTGATAATTAAAGTTAAATAGACAGAAGTCGAGGATATTGGCAATTGTTACAGCGAGTGGATCTGAAGATGCCGAAAAATGCTCAAATTGGTAGTCTAATGGGTGATCAATGAAATGAGATATAATTTTCGGTATCCTTACAAAAAAGGTTAAAGTTACTCTGTAGACACAATAGACCAAAAACCCAATTTCGAAAAATTTCCTGGCCAATCTAATCTTTGGAGATTCGTCTAAAATACTTTGAAATAAATTAGTTTGCAGTTGAGATTGAGCTATTGACTCCAAAAGATTATCTTTTTGACGTTGCATTTCCTGATTGGGGAGTTCAGCTGTTTCTAATCTGTTTAACTCCTGTATGCATAAATTTCTATATGCTTCATATTTAATTAATCGTTCTTTAATCCAACTTTTTCTTGCCCATATAAGTAATTTTTTACTTCTTAATCCATTAGATGCAAATTTTGATACAGTGGATGGCATTTTTTTATTGGTATGTTTTATCCAAAAATATAAGAAAGTATAATATATCGTAGAAACACTAGCAATTCCTGACAATATCGCCATAATTGTCACACCAGAAATGGACAACCTGGTAAGAATATTTTGGCTATATTGGAAGGGTCCAATTGACAATAATCTTAATATTGCAATTAATGTTATTAATATAGTACTTGTTATTATTATTAGACGATCTAAATCAAATCTATCATTAAAAAATTTGTTTAAAAGAGAAACTAGAATGAAGAATGGCTGTACTAGAATTAGTATAAGAGATAGAGACATTGCTACAAGGGACCATACCCATTCAGTTATGAAGTCTCCTCCTTGATCAACTTCCACAGATTTAATTTGCCATAACACAATCTCTATTGTTATAATATAACAGACCATGGCAACTGAGAATAATGTCCTAATGAAACCAACCAGTTTCTTCGAAGATAAAGAATATTCTGTATAAAATTTCTGTACGAACGTATCTGTTTCTGAGTTTTCGTATCCATTTATGCTTGAGATAATAGAAGACCTGGATGTTTTGGTTGAAACGGTTGCATCATTGAATAAAAGAGCCAGCTTAAACCAAAGAAACTTGTACGACCAGTTATATACAATCACAGACGATACCAGTAACGTCGTAGACATTAATATCAACCCCATCTTTCACTTTTATGTATATGTGTACGCTGTTAAAATATATGTTTTCCAAAATGCATGTATTTCGTATATGTTATCTTATTTAAATATGCAGTTAATTATTACTTAAATTGCAATGGCTTTGCAATTTTAAATGTTTAAAGGAATAAATATGATGTATGAGCAAAAATTGACCTCAATTTCTGTTGATTCTTTATATTAAAAGATCCTGAATTGGTCACTTAATCCTTGGATCTGAATTGAGTTGATAATAATATGACTAAAGGAACCATAAAACAAAATATTTACCGTTAAGTTTCATTTCTTATTCCTGCGTTCATATACCCTTGATGGCGACCAAATTTTTCAGTTAGCTAACAGTTAAAGTTAGGGACAACCGTTCCCATTTTGCGAGAGCATACTAAACTCAATTTAGCTGAAAAAAAAAATCCATACCAAAAAAGTCAAATATCGATTTCTTTAGTTAACGAAAGAAACGTATCATTTGAAGCTATTAAGAAATAGAACTTTTCATTTTCATTTACACTTGGGGATCACTAAGGTTTATTTTAATAGATAAAAAAACATATATATCACACACAGCTCAGTTTCCTGAAAGAAATATGAACGTATGTATAAATGATGGAACATGGGAAATAGTTTTCATGCAGAGAGTAGTTCGAGGGTCTACCATTGATTAAGTATAATACTAACCAATTAATATACCGATATATTTGTAAAATTAAACATATATCATGTGCCTTCATTATTTTCTCAGAATGAACAGAGACGCAAGTTGTATGATTTAAATTGTAGAGCTTGGGATGGAGAGATCGTTTACCCATTAATTAGCCAAAAACTGGATACCAGTATAAAAAAGAACACAGGGTTTATCAAGAAACTTAAAAAAGGCCTCACGAAAGAAAATAAAAGCTCATTATTGAAAGATATAGGTGAGATATCACTGGAAAAATATCTATCAGAAATTATCACCACAATAAATGAAGTAACATCAAATATTTCCAATAAAAATGAAGAAATTGTAACAGCAGTAGAAGTAGTTTGTGCTATGCATCAAAGGTTCAATGTTAGGTTTACTGTACCGTTTTTTGAGTTATTCTTATCGAATTTCACTAATCCGACTGAAGATTTATCAGAGAAGGATGAAAATTTCAGGATCAATAAACTGAAAGGTAATCTGAAAATAATAACAGAATTATATTTAGTGCATGTTTTTACATGCATTGATATTGTAGAATCTAGAGATATGATACCGTTTTACCTCCAGAGAAAAATCCACAGAAAGGAACCATTTATCTTTAGTATTCTAAAGGAAATATTAAACTACAAGTTCAAAATGGGATACACCCTTAGTGTCGGTACTATGTTTATTAAAAGTTTCACACCATTCTTTGATAACGATGATTCCTCATGGGATTTATACATTGTGGATGAGAACTTCAAAAATTTGCTTCAGTCGTTATTTAAAGCGTTCTCAGAGGCTGTAATCACAAGAATGACAGATCTAACGAAAACAGTAAGCAAGTTAATGAAAGAACATAAAAAATGCCAAATAAGAACAGGGAAGTTAAATGATGAATATATTGAAGAATACGACCTGTTGATCCCAATTCTTGAGAAATTCAAATTAGCGACAGAGGTTTTTGCCCCGATTTTTAATCTAGAGACACCAGAGCTAGCATCTGATAATTTTGAGGATGAAGATGAAAAACAGTCTGAATCTATGATTGTTACACAAGTAGTTCCGGCCAGCGAAAGAGTTTGGGAGAGTGAAGATATGAGGACATTCTATGAAGTGCTACCAAATTTGGAAAATGTTGTAAAAATATCCGAGAATGTTGAAGATAATACAGGGAGTAATACAATCGTACTTAACAAATTCTTTGAAGAACTCGAGCAGGTTGAAACTAAGGAAGAAGTTGATGATCTTTGTGAAAAATATTGGAAGAACTCATTGGATAACAAGGCGACGAGAAATAGATTACTAAAATTTTTTATTGAAACTCAAGATTGGAGTAAAATAAATGTTTACGCTAGATTCTTAGCATCAAATACAAAATTCATGCCTGAAATAACAGAAGAATTTATTAAATATCTGGACAATGGTTTTCGCCATCAATTGCATACTAATAAGATTAACGTTAAGAACATCATATTTTTTTGCCATATGATAAAATTTAAGCTTGTCCCTACCTTTATTATATTCCACAAAATCAGAACTTTGATTATAAACTTACAGGTACCTAATAATATTGAAATATTAACCATATTTTTCGAATATTCGGGAAAATTCTTACTAAATCACCCTGAATACAAACCTCATATGGAAACAATGGTTCAACTCTTAAAAAATAAGATGAAAGAAAAGAAATTTACAATGAATTTTAAAAGTGCGCTCGACAACATTTTGAGTTTACTTTATCCACCTACAGTGAAATCTTTGAATGAGGCAGAATCGAAGGAATCTCCTCAACAACTATTCTATCGTGTATTAATAAGGAAGGAATTAGCTAATTTCGATGATAAACAAGTACTAATTCTTATCCGAGAAGCTGATTGGACCGATAAGGAAACTTATCAGACATTATTTTTGTTATTTAGCAAACCTGAAAAGATTAGTTATCAAAATATCCCTATGTTAACTAAAGTGCTAAGTGGATTATACGTCTACCATCGAAATTTTGTTATTGAAGTTATTGATCAGGTGCTAGAAAATATCGATGAAGGTCTTGAAGTTGACGATTTTAGTGAAAACCTGCAGAGAGTTGCTCAAGTGAGATATCTAACTGAGATATTTAACATGGAAATGATAAAATCAAACGTTATTTCCGACGTAATATACCAAATAATAAGATATGGACATTTCCACAATACTCCATCTCCTAAATACATCAACCAATCTGATTTACCAAGTAATTATTTTAGAATCCAACTTGTTTCCACTATTTTGTTAAATATAAAGAGATTTCCAAGAATATTTACCAAGGAATTAAGTAAATTATTACGCTTTTTTGAATATTATATATTCACCAAATATCAACCACTACCGATGGAAACAAAGTTTAAGGTTGAAGATGTTTTTACTATATATTCAAAAAAGTTAAAATTCGATAGGGCTGATTCTTTGATCGAAAGTGCTACTATCTTTCAATCTCTAATTCAACCAACTAGAAAGTCAACCATCATTATGAAGAATAGACCAGATTTAGAAGTTAATGCGACAGCAAAATCATCAAACAGTAATAAATTGGAAGTCAAAGAGGGGAGTGAGATTGAAGAGGAAGTTAATGAAGAAGAGGACGATGATGACGATAACGATGAAGGTTTATATTTCGATGATGGTATCGAAGACGACGAAGAAACTAATGAAAAAAAACTTTCTCACGAGAGAACAAGTTCTGAATTTTATTTGGCGGATGAGAATGACAATTATACTGATGGCAGCTCAAGTGGATCGGACGATAGTGATAGCGATGATTCTTCCGATTCCGATTCCGATTCTGACTCTGACTCTGATTCTGACAGTAGTAGTGATGATGATGATGATGATGATGATGACGAGTTCGATGATATCGAAGCTGACAGAAATGCAGAAGTTAAGAGAATATACAATGAATATGAAACTAAGCTACAAAGTGAAGAAGAATGTAAAGCTCAAGAAGAATTAGAGAGGCAATTCGAGCAGTTGATGGCTGATTCTTTGGACGAAAGAAAAAGTGAAAAGAATGCTACAAGCAATATGCCAATTATATCGTCCGTTAATCAACCAGAAAGAGGCAAAACAACTTTACTAAAAAAGCCTGTCCTACAGACAAAACAACCATTGGAAAAGGATAGCAAAAAAGTTGCTTTCACATTTTTATCTAAGTCTGGGAAGAAAACTAGTAGCCGTGTTCTAGAACTTCCTGTTGATGTTAAGTTTGTCAGTGGTGTCCTAGAAGAAGAAGAAAAAATGAAAACTGAAAGAGAAAAGATTAAAAAAATTGTCTTGCAACGTTCTTTCGATTAGGTTTTACGACAGATTTGAATACCAACCCAAATTTTTAAATAGAATATTTATTTATTTTCATCATTTGCATCTAAAGTTGTTATGCAATTTTATATACTTATTTAGCAGTCGGAAACTGATACCAGTTTGTTAGATTAATAAGAATTGTAATTACAAGCAGTCACGCAAGTATAAAACTATTGATTTTTTCTTCGGCAGTAGTTAAAAAATACTATTCTACTTTAACCATAACTACCGTAATATCATCTTCTTTACCTCCTCTATATTCCTTACCATAGAGTTTTGAGATCTCTTGAGCAAAGACACTTGGAAAATTTGGGTCCTTACTTAATTTCACTACATCCTTAACAAAAGCGTTTGCCACTTGTTGTAAGTTAGTGTTAGTTTCTACCTTTTTATCTTTCAAAAATATTTCCATATCATCTGTAGCAATATTATCTGTGACACCATCAGTTGCAATGATAACAACATCATCCTTTTGTAATTGGAAAGAATATTCATCTGCATCAGAGGGTATATTTTGAATATAAGAACCACCTCTTGCTGCAGCCTCCTTTAACATTGCGTTTGGAATAATAGCTAACTGATAAGGAGCATTAAACCCTACAGTTTGGAATTTTGTTTGATATGTTAGTTTTTCATTTCTGAATACACCACACCATGAGTCTCCAAGATTGGCTACAGTCAAAGTACCATTTGCGTCAAAATGAGTTGCTACAGCAGTTGTTCCACCAACTTGAACGACTTTATCATTTTTAATTTTTTTATAAGCCTCGTCAATTATTTCCTTTGGAGTTAATTGGATCTTTGTAGGGTTCAAAGTTGAACTAATTTCTGCCATTGTCTTACATAATTCTCTAGAGATAGCACTCGAATCATATCCATGCTCAGCCCAACCACCAACACCATCAGCCACACCTGCATACAAATCGGATACAGAGTTAGCTTGAATAAAAAAATTATCTTCTCCAGTTGGTGACATAATTGAATCCTTCAATTTTTGATAGATAACATCGTCTCTATCCTTTGGTTGGTATGCAACTACACTCTTGTAAGTGAATTGATTAGTAGATGCACTCGATGGATCATATTGCTGACCGTTCGAACCATATTGATTATTAAAATTGTTCTGACTTCCACTGAAAAATAATCTTTTGGAAAATAATGAATAGTTGCCACCAATGATCTTACTAGAATGGGAGAAGTCTGAAGATATATAATTTGTCTGTATTAGTAATTGTTCTAATAGTAAACCTGATAAAATTGTTAAAATTCCGAATATGCACATACAATAAAATGATCTGTTCGGTAACCTGAAAGATCTTAGACCTGGAGACGCAAACATATCTGGCTATATTTGTTGATTATATGTAGCTTATTAATCCTGTTTTGATAATAATTGTTATTTAATTATACTCATTCAAGTGCCAACGTTCTTTAGTGAGCCTCAATATTGGTCCTCTCCTACTCCACTGTTGTCAGATTTGTTGTGATTCATTCTCACTATTTGTTTTGTTTCAACGGGTCAAAAACTTCTGAAAATTAAATAAAAATTTCAATGAGCTGCGAAACTCGATATAGTAAAAATAGAAGAAAAAAGAGGACAGCTTTCAACCAAGATAGGGACAATAGTTTAATAAATATTTGATGTTTATAAATGCTATCGAGGTAATTATCAATGCACTCATGACTAAATATTTGTTGAGTAACAGTTTTTCAATATGAAATATTGGGTTATATAACCATGACAGCAATTGTGTCATTATAGACTTATTTTTTAACAAAGATGAAACAAAGATGAAACCAGTTCGTTAATATCTTGAAGCTGAACTTAAACACATAAAACAAAATGAATTTATTTTATCAGATTTTGAAACAACAGTTAATAATATACGTTATCCTGGTCTATCTGCTTAACAATGATATAAATACATCTGCCCAGTAATTATTTTGATTTTTTCAAAACCTTATCAATATATATTCTGTTCAATGTTTAATAGTGTGCACGTCAATTATTGAATTAAAATATATCTTAATCAATAGTGCATATTAGTTTATAGAAATTAATTACTACTAAATAAATTTCGTTCTGAATTTTTAAAATTTATCTAAGCAGAAATTTACATGCCACAATCAATTCCAATCTACACCCATTATGCTTCTTCATCGAACGTTTCACCAATAAAGCGAGTAACTGCAACTGATATTTCAATAATCGAAGAGGCTGAACCATGTGAATTACATGATAGAGTCAATTGTTCAGAATGTGTGAGTGCTACTAAATCCAAAATGGATCAGGTCTTGAAAAGATCAATTTCATCGAATGCTGTTAACACAATTAAAAAGAGAAGATCGTTTGTCAATCTACATAGAACACTGTCACAAACTAGTTGTTACAGTACAGGATCAACATCTGAAAATAATATAAATGACGAATCGTTTGATGACTTTATGCTGCTGCTATCTGGGGCAAGACATCAAAGAACTGATCAAATGTGGGAAATATTGCCCAACGAATCAAAAATTTCATATCTGAGGCGTTTGTTGGAAAGACAACAACGGGAAGAGGAGTATGGACATAAAATATCGTATGATGATTTAAAAACATTGACTAGCAGTGGCAGAGGTGCTGTTGTGTCACAAATATTGAATAAAAGAGGAGGTACGAAGAGAGCCCAGAGAGAGAGACATAATGGTTCAAAATTAAATGATAGAAGGAGTCGAATAATAAGAGAAATAGCCGAGGAGATATACGACGAATTTTTGCAGCAAGAATTAGAACAATATGAAAGAGGAGAAGATTTTGGCCAAAATACTCATCAAAATCGAGAAATTGAAACGCCAATAAAGGATAAACCTGACTCAATCAAAAAAAAATCAATTCAATACGATGAACTTCAATTGGAGCGAGATCATCAACAACTTGATATCAAAATCAAGGAATTGAATGAATTATTGGATAAATTGTCAAGCTTTTCTCCACTACCAACGCCTTCAACAGATGATGGGCAAACAATTCCAAATAACGAAACACCAGTGACAACAATAACAAAAAAATCAGCCAAACCTTATGCAAAAAACATTGCGTTTAACCAGTTGCCAAAAACAACTACCCAGGAGAAGAACCCCGGTTTCATCAGCTGTCTGGCTTTGAAGTCAAAGAGTTTTATTAATATATTTAAACACAAGAAAAAGAAGAAACCAGCTGCACAAAACTTATATAGAACACCTAACCCAAGTTAACATGGGAATCAATAAACATTGAAATTGTATAGATTTATGTCTATGATTATTAAACATATATGGACCATTCACAATTAATATATTACATGTGTTTCTTGATTGTAAATGTTATTCATGCAGTGGTATTGTACGTACCGAATATGCTAAACCCGAGATCGGGATACGACGTTACTATATATAATATGCAATGAACTTAATAACTTAAAAAAAGGAGAGACAAGATTATGACATCTTGCAATGGTAACCTTCAACAATAATATCGAGTAGAGAAAAGAGGTCTTTTTAACTAATGTACTATATTGCATACTATAATATAGACAAGACAGTGATATTTAAGAATGACAAGTAACTTAAGAAGGGAGATATTGTTAAAACGATTAGAAAAAGTTGAACAAGTTGTAGATAATAATAACACACCAAAATATAATGGAAATGATATTAATTCTAGCGAAGGAAATGATTCAATTAGTGAATTACCTTCTTTCAAACGTTCTCCTCCTAAAATGAAATCCACCACAGGCCATACTGCAGATCCTACTTTGGAAAAATGGAGCTCATATTTTGAAGTCAACAAACAAGTAGCGTTTAAGGAAAGAAATTTCAGCTTAAATATCTATTATTCACTACCTAAGTTGCTGGAGACAAGATCGATTCCTGTTTTTATTTTTCACCATGGTGCTGGTTCATCAGGGTTATCATTTGCTAACTTGTCAAAGATTTTACAAGAGAAACTAAAGGGACAATGTGGTTGTTTTTCATTTGATGCTAGGGGTCACGGTAATACAACTGTTATAGATCCTGAGAAGAGTGTAAGTTATGAACTTGATAGCTTTATTAATGATTTTAAAACTTTATTGGAGTATATTTATTTTGATGTTTTATCAGATGTACCTAATGAGAAATTGTCAATTATATTGGTAGGTCATTCCTTAGGAGGAAGTATATGTACATTTACATTTCCAAAATTATCACCCGAATTAAAAAAGCATATAACAGGGATTACTATGTTAGATATTGTTGAGGAGGCAGCAAAAGATGCATTAAATAAAGTTGATCATTTCTTATCCGCAACTCCAAATATATTTATGTCATATTCTGAAGCAATTGATTGGTATGTGAGACACGGTCTCTCAAAAAATAGAACAAGTGCAAATATTGCTGTCCCATCCCTGTTTAGACAATTTACTAACGGGAAAGTTGTAAGAATTACAAACCTTCAAGTATTTCGACCTTATTGGGGCACTTGGTTTTCAGAACTATCAAAAAGTTTCGTTGCTGTACCAACGTCTAAGATGTTGATTTTGGCAGGAAATGATAATTTAGATAAGGAATTAATTATTGGACAAATGCAAGGTAAATATCAACTAGTTGTATTCCAGAATTCTGGACATTTCATCCAAGAGGATGAAGCACTAAAGACAGCATTGACTCTAATTGATTTTTGGAGACGTAATGACAATAAAAACGTTGTTATTAAGACTAATTGGGGTTCAACCAAATAAAATATTGGCAAATATCTATAATGATACTTATTCTACTTCTTCTAATTATATATTATATATACTTTATATTCTAGTATGGTATGTTAATCAACTGATAGAACATCTAAATCGTTTGTCTTATTTTCACATTGCGCAACAACAGCATCGATCTTTTTACTTGCCCAAACAAATCTTGGGTTGATTAAGAAAGGACGTAAATCAAATCTGTTGTCATCAGGGGAATAATTTTCTGCATGATAACTTGGAGTAATAACAGTTTGTTTATGTCTATTAATTGCGTAGAAAAAGAAAAATCTTTTAACTTTTTCAGCAACTTGGGCAGGGGTCAATTTTGGAGTCCATTCATGTAGAAGTTTCAAAAACATAGAATATGGACCACATTTCTCGACTTTTCTTAAATAGCCAAATATACTCAATTCTTCATACGTCATACCCATGTCAATTTCATCAGATTGAACATAATTTTCAGTAATAGGTTCTAATTCAGCTGTAGGGGTAGCATGAAGAAATTCATCCAAAATTGGCATATCATATTCCTTTGTTGCATATGCAATAAATCTTTTCAAATCTGTCTTCGAGATACCCCCTATAGGGTTGATATCAGCAGAGGAACAATCGTACTTCGTCAAATAACCTCTTAAACATTCATCCACGTTAGCACTACCTAAAACTAATAGACCACCTGAATTCTTGACACCACGAACCCATGGAAGAAGTTGCGCAAAAAGATAAGCTAATACCATTCTTAAACGAGCTTGTATATTTTGTAGAGCAAGATTCTCAATTTGGGAACCACCAAAGATCTTAAAGATTGGTTTTTTACCAGTAGCTACTTCAAACAACGAAACAACACTTGTGACAACATTATCCATATTGAAGTCAACATGGTAAGACCCTATTTTTTCTGATAATTCTTTACTTCTCTTTCTAGTTTCACTAGAGGAATTTTTGGTCCCCATGAAACAAGTGTGGAAAATGGTACTCGCTATCTCTTGAGGATGTTTTGGAATCCAATCATCTGCACTACGGGTGATCTTACGGACATCATTTAGAACTTGTTCGTTACCTTCACCAATTTCCTTAATAACCAATCTACACATAGAATGTACAATCATAGCCGTGGCACAGGAATCAATACCACCAGATAAAGGTAAGAAATACCCAGTGCCATTGCAACGTCTGATATAATCCCATAACCAACATGCTGGACCCAAAGCAATTTCTTCTTCTGGGGTGTGATAATGAATATCCCTTTTCTTGGTTGGAACTACATTTGGGTTAAACCTGTCACTTACTTCGGCTAATTCCACAGGAACATCAATTCTAGGATATTTAATATCACGAAGAGAAGCTTGAAGACCACGAGACATTACACTAGCTCTATAACTTCTAACATCTTCCAAATCAACTGTAGCTGTGATGACCTCCACATCTTTTAATGAGAATTGAGAGCCTTGAGCTACAACTTTTCCATTCACAGCAATCAGAGCACACCCATCGTAATATAATCTGTCACCATCACAACCCCGTTGATTGGCATATAGATAAACACCACCACAACGGCTTGTAGCATTTAGAATTAGATCCATTCTTTTGTTTAATTTACGTAGTTCATGATGGGAACCAGAGGAGTTAGTGAAGATTTCCACGCCATCTAATGACATTGCAATATGAGGTGATTGAGGGGTGAAAATTTCTTCACAAGTTTCAGCACCAATGCAAGTATCGAATGTCTTAATAACGGCATCACCAAACTCAACGACTCGCTGACCAGTAATCTTTTGAATAGCAATTGGCAGAGTAAACTCTTCAACAGCACCAGGTTTCATCCAAGGTGTAAAAAAACGCATTTCACGATAGTTACCATCATTTGCTAACCAAATTTTTGGTCTAATGAAAAGAATTTTACCATCTAATGATAGTAATCTACAATTGTACCTAACATTGTTGTGTAGAATTGGCATACCAATGTCTAAAATAATGCCATGTGTTTCCGAACGCTTAATAATTTGACCATACATTTCCCAGGAATGTAAGCAAACATCACTCTCTAAAAAGTGATCCAGGCATCCATAGCCAGTGATTTCTAATTCTGGACCAACTCTTAAACGGGCACCCTTTTCCTTGGCGATTTTGATGGACTCAAGTATACGATCTCTATTACCTTCAAAATCTAGAGCCCATTGGTTCAAGTTACAAGTAGCCAGTGTGATTAATTGGGACATACTTAATTGCCTGATTTACTTCTCGTTGACTAAAGACACTCAAAAGGTATTCAGGCTTCTTTTTTGTTGCGTTTTATAAAGATCTCATTAATAGTTTTATAATTAAAAGTGTGCTGCTTTAACTCATTTAATTTTACTTTTACTGCTATTCAATTATTTCTGTTAAATTCCAATGTTGAGTAATTAGCACAGCGCGCATGTTAGTGAGGCAATATTATTTTTTAAAACCTATACCGTATATAAAAATGAGATTCCAATCTTGACCTATAAGGAATCCTCTCTATGGATATATAATAAAAGATAATGCAGCATAGTGTTCAGGTATATACCAGATAATAAATAAATTATATATAAATATATATGTTTGGAATCATACTAATAAGCTCACCATAATATTGGGGCATTATTCCAATCTTGGCGTCTTCTCTTTTCCCAATAACTGTCGGAACCTTGTATGTATGTCCATTTGTTGGCTGTATTTTTTCTAAAGTAGCTCGGTGTAACATCTTTACCATTTTGACGTCTTTCTCTTTGTTTTTGTTCAAGATCTAACTTACATGTCTCTGCTTCATCAACTTTTCCTTCTTCATAGTATCTAATGTCAGGACGTAACCTCGAATCGGTAGGTGGCAGTTTATCCTTTTCAATAGATGTAATTTCGTTCAAGTTAGCTGTAAACTTGGTAAAACCATATTTTTGTTTAGGGTTCTTAACAGTTTCACCAACGCTCCATATGGTCTTTCCGGATTTTTTATCCTTTAATGAGTCTGTCCATTTACCAACTACGCTCTGGTTTTTGCCAGATTTGTTACTAGATGTGATATCGACAATAACATTTTCTGATCTACCACTAAACATACCAGTCTTCTCAAAAGAAATAGTTGCTTTCCCACTCTTTGAAGAAATAACTTCAATTTCATTAGTTGGTTCAACATATCTTTCGCCCGCAATTAGGTTCTTTACCATGGTTGTTGGTTGGACCCATTCGAAATATTCACCTGATTTTTTAGATTTCAGTTCGAACGTACCTTCATTATTCAATTCGATAGATTTACCCCAAAATTTTTGAACTGGTGTAACTGTATAGCTACATTCCCAGTTCTCATGTTCCGCATGGAAAGCAAATATCTGAGGTTTATGAGACACTTTCTCAGCTAGCATTCTAAAACCCATATCTTCACGGACAAGTTCGTATGTTTCTCCTAATAGTGGATTGAAAGGTTTACGAAGGGATCTTGTCCTATCTCTGTATATGGATAAGGAGGATATAGCAAATGCGGAAACGATAGCAAGTGGTTCAAATGGTGATTTCGGATCAGCTAATTGATGAAGAATATGTGCGTATTCGAAAGATTCTGCAATTGTTTGCAGGATAGAAATTGGTTCATTTGAGGTAACTGGCATTGTAATGGAAGTTAAATCTTTACCGACATTTTTTCTTAGGAACGATAACAAGCTCTGAGGGGATGAGTTACAGATTGTCACATCATTTCTCCGAGAAATTAGAGAATGTGGTAAAGGATACAAATCATTACTTATAATATGTTCTTCTTTTTGTTCCAGAATTTTACCAGAGGCAATAGGGCTTAGTGTACTTTTGAACTCGGCATTAAACTGAAGTTCGTTTATTTGCCTTTCTGCTAGAATTGCTTCGCCAGAATCGACAGTACTCGAGCCAAGTATTCTAGTGGTGCATATCTGAGTAGCATCATCAGCATCATCATCATCTAATAAGATTACACCTAATGTGCTCTTATCTTCGGCATCATAAAACATGTCATCGTCACTCATTGAAGAACCCATAGATAGTCTTTTGTCATTTATTTGTTTGGTAAGAATATTATGATCTCTATATAGAACTTTACTCTGCTTAACGAACTGGTTAAAGAGCCCTTCGAGTTCTGCGAGGTTATTGTATAGAGCATGTTCGCCAGATGTTATCTCTGGTATAGCCGAATCAGAAGGATTTAATAAAGATTCCGCTGAGTCCATTGGAGATGCCACAGACATTCCCCTAATCCTACTATGTCCATGTAAAGAAGAAGAGGCAGAATTAGAACGTCTAATATCTGCAAATGTTGGTTCAGGATCCAGTGGGGTATATGATAAAGAATCATTTTTATACTGTTCCAGCCGTTGCTGAATAAGTAGTAGATTTGCACTAAAATCCTCATATGCTTCATTTGGTAAAGGAATGTATGAAGTAATGTCCGTTAATCTGGAGGTTGGCCTTGCGATCAAGTCATTTTTTTTACCCTTTGACATTCTACTCAAACGTTCACTTATTACATCATTTGCAGTTACTATAGTTCCATCGTTTTCACTCAGGCAATTGGATAAACTATCTGAGATTAAGTCATCAGAATTATCGTCTTGTTCAAAGCAGGATTGTAAAGCTTGTACCCAAGTCTGCCAACAATTGACATCTTTAGTTTTCAGAGCCCATATTTCCATTCCTGAATCAATAATGATTAATCTGTCTTTTTTATTGGCACTCACTGTAGATAATTTGATTACAATTTCACCACGACGAGTTTGATTATGATCATTTAAATAATACGATAAAGTACCATATCTAAAATCTAAAGTGAAAAATCTTCTTTTAAAACCTTGTAATCTTTTTCTTCTCTTTTTCAATAGGTACCCTTGAATATATCTCCCTTGACCTACTACAAATACGGAATCTCTTCTATTGGGAGAAGAATTTAAGGAACTTAATAAAGGAGATGATCCTGAATGTGTACTATGAATAGATTGTGTATCTGTTTGTATTGTACTTGCATTAAATAATATCTTCTTTTTAACATTTTTAGAGGCTGTGTTATCCAAAATAAATGCATAATAATAATCAGAATCCATAACTTCAACGTTACCTTGGTACATTTTATTCCCGGAGATGTGTCCGACAGATTTAACTAGGGTAAAACCAGATGCTTGAAGACGGTCTCGAAGAGGCTTCTCTTGTGATTGTTGCTGTATGTTAGCAATTGATAAAGAGCTTTTAGAATGAGTATCATTATTGGAACTGATCGAGTTATTTCTATGCAATACAGCTTTATTGGTAAAATCTAAAGCTGCTTTAGTATCTGGTGCAATATGTACCGCCGGTGTTTGATCATCTATCGTAGTCTTCAATTTTTTATATATAGCCAAATCAATTGACTTTTTCAATGGCTTCACCTGATAGTTGATGGTATCACCATGAGAACATTTCACCCATCGTACTACAAATGATCTATTCTGAATATCAATAGTTTCCATTGTTTCTTATTTATTTTTTTTTTAGTGCTTTAGTAACACTCCCACACTCTATATATGGTTAAGCTTTTAAGGATTGATGCTAATATGTTATTACTTTTCTTTTTATTAATATTAACAGACAAAAATAATAAAAATACTAATAATAATTGTGCAGGTATACGTTATATGACACTTTCAATGATAACGCAGTGACTCTGTATAAGATAGTAATTCAACTCAAATGAGGTCAGTAACTTATAGAAGGTAACACTTTTAAAAATAAAAAATAAAAATGTGGATCATAAAATTAGGTTCTTTGACTACAAATGATATTTCAGCATGAAAATAATTTGAAGGAATGGCTTCTTGTTTTTTTGACAATTTTTCTTAAATCCAAAATGTCAAACTTTGGAGTCTTAACAGTTTGAAAACCGATCTTTATGTATTGTCTCCCCCAGTTGTCTTGGTCGTTTACAATCAACTACCTATCTCATGTGCTTTTTCACATATTGAATTAAACTCAAAAAAAAAGCAGGCTTAATGCAATTTCACCCACCATCAACAACCACCACTGGTTTCCGCTGCCGAATGATTTTCCATTTTTTTTTTCATTTAGAAGACACAGAAAAGGCCGGATAAATGAAGGATATTTTATTGATTATTTAATTGAATTTTTCAATGAACCGAAAAACCAAAATCAATAATGAACTTTTCGAGGTTTTCTTGACAGTTCCATCTTTAGCAGACAGAGCCAGGCACAACAATATGGCAATTCGGAACGGTAATTGCATCGACGATCGTATAGTGGTGAGATTAACTATTGTAAGTGTACATACTTCGGTTTGAATAAATGATATTTATTTAAATTTTCGGAAAGAAAATGGTAAATTATATAATTCTTTTTTTAGCTTTATATCGCAGTTTGTTTATATTTCTTAGTGTACAGACCTAAAGCTTTGATAGGGAAGAGGAATCTATAACTTGGATATTCGATAGCACAGGAATGATTGAACACACCTTCAACTGCCTCGAATTTCCATTCACCATGTTTAGTTTGACGTTTCTTCAGTAAGTTGATACCTCTGTCGATGACCTTCTTGTTCGGATAATCAGCTAATATCAATGCAATTAGAGACCATGCTGTCTGTACCACAAGTGATTTATCACTGTTGACATAATTGTGCAATTCACTGGATTTCATAGACTCACCCCATCCACCATCATCCATCTGTTTACTTACAAGGAAATCACAGCCTTTCCTTACATATTCGGAATTAGAATAAGTTTCACCAATGGAATGTAATGCTTCAATGGCAAACATACCAGCATATGTGAAACAGATACCCCAACAACCATACCAACTACCATCGTCTTGTTGACTAGCTTTTAAGTAATCAATCGCAATCTTGATTCTCTTGGAAATTTCATCCTTTTTATAATCGTAATGCTTGTGAAAATATGTTAACCCTAATACTGATGAATCAGTACATTCAACATAAGGATATTCAACCATAATATTCCCGAACACTTCAGCTGGATTCAATTTCTCCATAAATAAAGGTGCTTTAATCTTCTCATAAGTGGCAAATGACCCATACTCAAAAGAACCTGTATTTTGTAGACTTAATAAAATATCGATCCCTTGGTACAATCTTTCATCTGTTATTTCATTGTGAATATCTTTAAATATAGAAGAACTTCTCACCATAATAATAGCTTTAATTGACTCAGCAGTACAATCAGAGACGGTGTAACCTTGGGTCTTTGTAGAGAACCCCCAAGCACCTCCTCTTTTGTCACGAAAACTATCAGGAATACATTCTGTATCAAATTGTGAACGACATAAAAATTTGTAAGCTGCTGCGATTGTATCATAGAATTCTGGTAATTTTGCTAAATTAGACATGAAAAAATATTGTATGGCAAACGCACAATCCCACGTCTGAACACCATTAGTACCCATCACAGTCATACCTTGTGGACCATGGAATAATGCATCTTTGAATCTGAATTGGAACTTTTCGAATGCCATAGAATGTGCACCTTCTTCGAGATAGGTTACTAAAGCACAAAAAGCTTGGTTTACTGGTGCAATACATAACGAATCAGTATTTTCAATCTCTTTCTTAATAAGATCATAAACTTTTTCTTTGCTCTTATTGTAAATATACGTTGGTCTGATATATTTTTCGTAAAATACAATCACATCATTTGCAACATCTAAGAATTTAGAGTGAGGATAATATAAATCTACACCACAAACAGTATTTCTATGTTTGGAGAAGTCAATCTTATCGAAAGGTTTTGTGTAAATTTCTTGTCTAATTTCTTTTAACAGAGGATTCAATTCACACTGAAAACGAGTCAATGAAAGATAACTTAAAGGTAAATAGACAGCCCTTGTATGCACCCACCATCTACCCGGATGGATAGGTAATTTGTAAGGTAATAACCATGTTTCTGGAGGAGCAGGATTTACACCTTCCCATTTATAAAGATTTAACAGGCTTAACCATGATTTACCCCAATGTGGTGCACCAATAGCACCTCCTAATCTATGTAAAGTGTTTCTGGCTCTCACACATACTACATGATCTTTGGGTATGCCTAGTAATCGTAAGATCACATAGTTCAGAACAGTGCCAAAAACTGTTGATTTATCAACAGAATGAAGACCCCAACCACCATCTACAGGGTGAGCTGTATTCACAATGTATCTTATTATCTCCTTTCTTTCATGTTCAGGGATCTGAACTCCAGCTATATAATTAACAGCTACGTAACCAATGGTCATAAACATAGGACCTTTATATTGACAAGGGAATATACCAGAATCAGGCTCTTGTAATAATTTAAAGAAAGAAGCACCATTGTGACACGCATTCTCAGCTGTAAAGTTATCATCTTCAGAAGTTACTTCTGGTGTTGGGAAAGGGAATTTTTCATCTTGTAAAAGCCATTGTGTAAAAGTAGATTGAGGATCCTTTTCAACGTCAGCATTTGGGAGATATTCCCACGTTTCCCTACCTAGTTGATCTGTACGCAATCTCCAGAACTTCGGGTTGGTTTTCTCGAGACCTAACTCATCGGAGTATAAAGTCGTCATTTTAGATTCAGCTTTGGAGCCAATATGCTGTATCTATTTTTGTCTCTTAATTAGGTAGAACAGATTATTCAAAAAAAAAAATGCTATTGTAAATATAACATTAAATATGTACTCTATTGGTAGTTCTCGTTCCTAATTGTGAATATTGGGTTCTCTCTACCCTTCGAGTTGTCGGCAAATCATCCCCTCGGATTTAACAAACCGTTACAAATAATAAACGAGCATCAAAGAACGTTTAAAAATTTAAACGGGAAAGATCAAAAATTTACAATTTTTACTTAACAGATAATATCTAAAAATGATGGCGGTCGTACTAGTGACACAGAACTTTGACTGATTCAAAAGTTATCTTGAAGTTTGTTATCTCAATCTAAGAAGATCCTTAACTGATAACCCTACTGCTTTGTATACACTACTTGTAAAATGAAATTTAATGAAATTTTGAACTCATCGCGCACGTGACTGTTTTTTTGAATTTTGAAAAATTTAAATTTTTAGAAAAAGATTCAAAAGAGAGAATATCGATGACATAACGATAGATTACAACATAAAACAAACCATTTTTACTCGTTAATACAAGAAGTACACCTGATTGATTGATTGGCAAAGATAACAAATTCATAATTGTCTCTGGTATATATCCAGTTAAAAAATATTTCTCAAGGATATCTTCAGTTTTACCAATACCCGTATCAAATAAAAAATGTCTGAAGTAATCTCAGTTGTAGCACGTAATGGTGCTTTCCAAAAGACAATAATAACAGAAAATTTCGAAAGTGACAATAGTGATGATGATTACAGCATGTCAGATTCCAATGGTAACGATGATGAAAATATGTTGGAAGACAATGAAGACGAAAATGAAACTAATAATGCAAGTCGTACAAAATCTACAATAAAGCAAAACTCTTCGACTTCTGAAATTATGACTCCCGGTGAACTAATTACGGATGACCCTATATGGATGAGAGGTCATGGTACATATTTCTTGGAAAACAAGACTTACTCTTCTGTAGCTGGTACTGTGTCCAAAGTTAATAAATTGTTATCAGTGATTCCATTAAAAGGTCGTTATGCCCCAGAGACTGGTGACCATATTGTTGGTAGGATTGCAGAAGTTAGTAACAAGAGATGGAAGGTAGATATTGGTGGTAAGCAACATGCTATTCTAATGCTTGGTTCAGTCAATTTACCAGGTGGTATATTAAGAAGAAAATCTGAATCGGATGAATTACAGATGAGAAGTTTTTTGAAGGAAGGCGATTTACTAAATGCAGAAGTGCAGTCTTTATTCCAAGATGGTGCAGCATCTTTACATACTAGATCATTAAAATATGGTAAATTAAGAAACGGTATGTTTTGCGAGGTACCTAATTCACTTATTGTTAGATCAAAGAACCACACGCATAATCTACCAGGTAACGTAACAGCTGTTCTAGGTGTCAATGGTTATATATGGTTGAGAATGACCTCTAAGATGGATCTTGCTAGAGATTTACCTCCAGGAGGTTCTACCCAAACAAACGGACTTGCTTCTAGTGGTCCAACAGGTGCAGTAACATTAAATCCAAATTCAAATGTTTCAATTACAAGATTAGAAGAGGAGTCGTCATGGAAGATATATTCTGATGAAAACGATCCTAATATTACTGGAGCTATCAAACAAACGATATCAAGATATGCGAATATTATAAAAGCTTTAGCCTTTTGTGAAATCGGTATCACACAAGAACGTATTGTTTTGGGTTATGAGGCAAGTATGATATACAGTGACGTTGGATCATTGATTCAAAGGGATAATATGGAATCCTTAGGTCAAGAGATTTTGAATGCAGAAAAGATGAGAGGGAATGCTGTTTAATTTAACTTATATATAGATCGCGTATATCCTCAACATATATAAAAAAACGACAATATTACTGCATCATAATAATAAGTTCTCAGAGGAACCATAGAGCTGTTTATAAGATATCGCTTCTACTCTTATGTTATTGCTCGATATACAATATTTAAACAGATTCTATCGCAATTATTTGCCTAGATATGAACATATCATTAAACATTACATAAACATATGTAGTCATGTTATTTTGTTTTGTGTTTTTGGTCATTAAACAGTATTCAACATTAAAGAAAGAAAATATTTTGGTTGATCAAATAGTTTATTCCTTGGTGTACTTGATACCCTTACCACTGGCAAAAGTAGCAGCAACGATCAATGGGAAAACGACGGTGACATCAGCGTAAACCTTAACAGACTTAGCTTCAGCCTTAATTTTACCCCAAGAAACAGCTTCATCTGGTCTAGCACCAGCGTCAGAACCATCGAATTCTTGACCAGTATTGATGTAGACAGCATAGTCAGCACCATTTCTCATTAGACAAGCGTTAGCAATATGATGCTTAATTAGACCACCACCTAAAATCAACATACCAGCTCTGGAAGCCTCCATGGACATGGAGTTGATCTTTCTGATATCAGCAACAATATCAAGTCTCAGTTGCTTTGGAGAGGCCTTGAAAGTGTGGAAGAATAACATATCACCAATGGAACCATCAGTAATAGATGGACAGAAGACAGGGATCTTGTTCTTGTGAGCCCAGTATAGAACTGAACGTTCATCGTTAATCTCTTTACCTAATCTATCGATCATCTTAGATGGGGTCCAGATTGGGGTGTTTAGTTCTTGGTTCGCATCTAAACAAGAATCACCATGTTTTTTGACATATTCTTCTTGTTCCTCTAGCATCTTGTCTAAGATTGGAACGATCCATTCTTCGAATTTACAATAGTTATCATTTGGAACAACTAAATTACCAATTCTGTTCATACCTTCTTTACGTAGATCAGCACCTTTCCAAGCAAATTCACCTAGATATGTTGGAGCCAAACATTTGATGAAATCTTCTTCGATACCACCAGCAGAGGTGACAATAGCATCAACCATTTTATGTTGAACTAAATATCTCAAAGTTTCTCTTAGACCAGAACTAATCAAATTAGAAGTGTAACCCATAAAGATTGTAGTTTTTTGGACACCATTTTCATCAAAGGAACCCTTTTTGTCATGGTCATCTAACTCGTCAATGTGCTTACCTCTCCATGATCTCATATTGTCTATAATGTCGCAAGCTTGACCAACAGAACTAGCTTGGAAACCCATGGTTTTCATGGCGTTAATCAAGTCACTAGCACGCATATCAGTAGCATTCTCCTTAGAGTAGTCGATACCTTCAACCTTTACGAAATGGTCTGGAACAGGCACAGATTCCATAAGAACTGCCTCTTGAAGAATTTCTGGTAGTTTATCGTTAATGTTAGACATGATAAATATATTGAATCACTGTTCTAAGGTGTCTATAAATTGAACCAATTGATCAGGAATAAAGAAACGAACCTACAATATAAAGATTTATAAAATAATATACTTATATCGATATAACAATATTAGGATAACTGAATGTTAATAGAAAGTGTCTATGTTCCAAACTATTCATCCCCCCTTGCTTTCTTGCTCAATTCACTCGACGTATTGAGGAAACTTTCTCAATTTCTCGATGTCATCATCCTTCCAAAAATTTTTCAGTTTTTGAACTCGGATCGTCTTTGTCAATTAATAGCTTTCTGCAGCATTTTCTGTGGAAGTTATAAAAAACTCAGCTATACGTAGAATATTAGTCAAGCACTTCTGCTCGAGGAAAATAGGCAACCAGCCAATTTTAGCCTCAGAAACCATCAGAGAGCAAAATAGACAAAGGACTAATCTTTGTCACCAGAAGAACTATTTTGAGTGTCACTGGCTTGTAGTTATATACAGGAATTGTAATAGAAACTTGGTCCTTTTTGCTTTACTACTTAACCGCTGAAGTGTTTTTTCTAGCATGATATGACATAAAATAATCATCATCATAGCTCAAGTAAGCAAGACATATCCATGTTCTAAACTTGACTACTAAGGAGATACTACTTGAAGAAATAGGTATATTTTTTCATAGTTTTGAGAGTCTCTCATGTAAAATTGATAAGTGTTGTTGATATCGTTAATGCGAAGACATATATCTACAGTAGTACCCGGGTATATATAATTTAAATTTCTATAATTTAAATTATGAATCGGTTTACCAATATATGATTCTGCAAAGAGTGTAAGAACCTGGGTACTGAATGGTCCCTGTGCTATTATATTATCATAAAGTTCGTGTTGAACTGCATGAACCTTATCCCAATGTATTCTATGTGGATTCAATGTTAATTGACTATATTTTACAATGTCCATCTCATTGAACTTGAATTGACCAATAATTGTATCATCTTCGGTATTATTTATATGTTTAATTATATTATTGGGTCTCGGTATTGAATTTGTGTATACCAATGTTCTAAATTCACTTAATAATTTGACTTGTCGATTTGTATCTACAATATCACGATATATGGAAACAAAAGTATCACCTCTGTATGATTTTACATTTTTAACATGTTCCAAACATGTATACTCACGATTTATCTTAAGTGGTTCATGTTGTATGATTGACCCCTTAGCCCACAATCTTCTCTTAAATGTTTGATCCTTATATTTTGGCATCAATTGATCAGGTGCTATATCTTTAAAATATCCGTCCTTTGATAATTCTTTGCTTGTACGATTGAAAAACAAGAAATGTTCATTAATATTTAAACAATTTGTTGGTGATCTATCTTGAAGAAATGGTAATTGATCCCTAACTAAATTTTGGAAATTTTTCCTATGATATGATGACGTAAGATCCTTTGTTAACCAATGCAATGCTTTATAATCGGAGATGATCATAATGAATGAAACTACAGTGTCTTATTGTGAGTGTAGAGTGATGTAAACCAAAGAATGCTGGTAGAAGCTCTCTTTCTAACCCGCGTTACTTGTATAAGGTAATTTCTTGAACGATCGATATATATCAGTATTCACGGTGACTGATGTGTAAGACGCTACTCAAAGTATGTATATAAGCCGAGTAATTTTTCAATGAAAAGAACGTTGTTAATATCTGACCCTCTATCTCTGTCTTTCTCTATTGGTTCACCATAAAATTGTTGTTCACTTGTTTCCATGAAAGAAACCCTGAAGAAAACGGATTTCACCTATTTGGATTTTTTTTTATCAGACTAAATTTGGGAAGGTAAAAAAATGGTGTAGAATGATTGATTAAAGGCAAAATAAAAATATATATTTTGCGATGGCATGGGATGATGATTCTTAATTTTAGAAACATACATTCATAAGAGTTCAATGAAAGAAACAAGTAATAAAAAAACAAGAAACATCTGACTTATACACTAACTACCACTTATTGTAATACCATATATTTACACTACTGCTATTATTATTATTATTGGATATGGACTCAGGAACAGCGACAGGGACAAATTCAAATATCTGTCAATATGTCAACAGTATAGCCATGTGGCAACCTGATAAAGAGGTTAAGGCATGTTTACAATGTGGTACAAACTTTGATTTTATAATACGAAGACATCATTGTAGATGTTGTGGTGGAATATTTTGTGGACGTTGTTCAAATCATTTTCTTAAATATGACACCTCAAGAGTGAAAATAGTTAGAAGGAATACAGATAGTATCAATAAGACTAACATTACACATAATGAAGAACGTGCATCTAAAATAACTGCATACAGAACCTGCATATCATGTTATAAATCATTAAAAGGGTCTAACTTGATAATTCAACCCGCACGACAAAATAATGATTCTATTACTCAGACAATAAACCACCAGAATAATAGGGAAGATAATGAGACATCAGGAAGTGAGCAAGTTATAGCAATACCAGGAAATGTTAAAAATAGTAATATTACAGAACATTCTCGACAGATAGACGCGAATGTTAATAATTCTCCAATAGCCAATATTGATTCAGAACAAGAAAATTCACATTGTCCCATTTGTAATTTTGATTTAACGACTCTCGCTAATGAGGAAGAACAAGGAGATCATATCCAATCCTGTATTGAGCAAGCAGAAAATATCCAACAACACAAACATAATCAACAGAATGATATATCATCACCCGGTGCGAATGATCATAACCCAACTATGAAGAATAGAATGCTTGTATATAAGATCACAAAAGACCCAATAAAAGAAGAAAGAAAAGAAGAGTATCCAGAATGTCCAATATGTTTTGAAGAGATGTTACCAGGCCAAAAAGTTGGGAGATTAGAATGTTTGTGCGTATTTCATTATAAATGTATTAAAGGTTGGTTTACCAAAAAGACTCATAAGATGCAAGAGCAACAAAATTTGGGCAATAAAGATATTTCGTTTCTAGGTAAGAATTTTTGTCCTTTCCATGATGCTGTTTGCTAATTTAGTTTTAAACTAAAGTATGAAAGTCGATATAATACTTACTTCATACAATAGTGGTCTTAATCGTTATATACCATGTCATGTATATCATTCAATCATTTATCTAATTATATAACCAAATAGAAAGCTATCACATAATTCTATTCGCTTATTATTTTAATAACTTAGGAAAGAGCTGTGTTTGTATGTGTTATATACTTTTGTTGCCATCATTCTGTTTTGTTTTAATATTGCGATTCAAATTCGGTTGTTCAAGGATCCGAATTGGATTAATGTTATTTTAGAAAATAAAATAATATATAAAAATATTGATTATACGGTATGTCTAAAAGAGTTGCAACCGCATTTTGTTCCTATTTAACCAGTTCTAAGAACAGATATTAAAAATTTTTGCTATAGATTTAACAAATTAAAAATATCATTTAATTCGAATTTCTGGAACTGTCACCCTCTCTTTATTGTTCAGAACGTAATAAAACAGGGAACATTTAAAATTCTATTCCACATAAGAAAATAACGATAGTTCAATATAAATTAAGAATTTTTAGTAGATATGCCATTAAAGTCATTTCTCCCGGTAGCCAAGTTGGTTTAAGGCGCAAGACTGTAAGTTATTCAGGAAATCTTGAGATCGGGCGTTCGATTCGCCCCTGGGAGACGTCTTTCTTTCTTTTTACTATACCAATTACCATATAATCAATATATATTGGGGTAAATTTTTGTTCCATTTCCTATTTTACCTCTTTTTCTTAAATTTAGTCACAATTAAATTATGTGTCATCCCATCCACTCTCCTGCTAAACAAAATATGTTTGCCCCATAAATTTATCAATGAAGCGACACAGAAAAATAAAGACCGAAAGTTTCATGAAATAACGAGAGAAATATATTTAACAATGAAAGATATGTTTTGAGTTGAAAGGTGTAGAGACTGATATAGTTTAGCAAATTTAAGTTACATTTGAAATTTGCAAGAAATTTACATTTCTAATGGAATAAAATTCAGAATATACTTTATTTACCCTATTACTTTAATTACTTTAATTTCCATATTTCAATTTTAAATATTTTTAATAAAACATAAATAATTTTAATTCAATTTTAACGGTTTATAAAAAAATTTGAGTGGAGTTTAACAACGATGGATGTGCTTAATTTTATATAGTGAGATGAAGTAAATATATCCTGTCGCAAGCGACAAATTATTCATTACAAAGTCATATACAAATCACAAGTAGTAAAAACCATCAATTTTCACGTGACCGAAAATTTCCAACTGCGTGAAAAATTTAAATTCAATGCGATGAGATGAGGTAAATACTATTCGAACAAACCAAGCAAACACTCCAAAGTTGAAAAACCTGTACACATCTATATAGAAGTATATTATTATCCTAATCTTAAGGAATAACTGTAAACATATTAACACCTCAGACACGAATAGTAATAATGAGTGGCAAAGTTTCTAAGAAATCTAATAAAAGTGAAGTTGCTTCTTTAGCTGCAAAAATTAAAGCTAAAGCAATTGAGAATCAAAAGAATGTACAAGGACCAAATAAAGATGAAGACTCATCAGAGGAAGAGCATATTGTCGCAAAGCAAAAGAGTGAAGAACCAAATGATGAAGAAAATGAGGATAATGCAACTGAAGTATTCGAATCTTTCACCGATTTGAACTTAGTTCCAGAACTAGTTCAGGCATGTAAGAATCTAAATTATGCTAAGCCAACTCCAATTCAAGCTAAAGCTATTCCTGCAGCTCTTGAAGGGAATGATATTATTGGTTTAGCCCAAACAGGTTCCGGTAAGACTGCTGCTTTTGCGATTCCTATTCTTAACAAACTTTGGGAGGATCAACAACCTTACTATGCATGTATATTATCTCCAACTAGAGAATTAGCTCAACAGATTAAAGAAACTTTTGACTCACTTGGATCTCTGATGGGTGTTCGTAGTGTATGTATTGTTGGTGGTATGAATATGATGGACCAAGCTAGAGATTTAATGAGAAAGCCACATATTATTATTGCCACCCCAGGTAGATTGATGGATCATTTAGAGAATACTCGTGGGTTTTCCTTAAGAAAATTAAAATTTTTAGTTATGGATGAAGCTGATAGGTTATTAGATATGGAATTCGGTCCTGTTTTAGATAAGATTCTAAAAATTTTACCTGTTCAGGGTAGAACTACATATTTATTCTCTGCTACTATGACATCTAAAATTGATAAATTACAAAGAGCAAGTTTAACAAACCCAGTCAAATGTGCAGTATCTAACAAATATCAAACTGTTGATACTTTAGTGCAAACACTGATGGTCGTACCCGGTGGATTAAAGAATACTTTCTTAATATATCTATTAAATGAATTCATAGGTAAGACAATTATTATTTTCACAAGAACTAAAGCAAACGCTGAAAGAATTTCTGCATTAGCAAACTTATTAGAATTTAATGCAACAGCATTACATGGTGATTTAAATCAAAACCAAAGAACTGGGGCCCTGGATCTTTTCAAAGCCGGTAGAAGATCTATTCTTGTGGCTACTGATGTTGCTGCTAGAGGTTTAGATATCCCATCTGTGGATATTGTTATCAACTATGATATCCCTGTCGATTCTAAATCTTATATTCATCGTGTTGGTAGAACTGCTAGGGCTGGTAGATCAGGTAAATCAATTTCTTTGGTCTCTCAATATGATCTTGAATTAATTTTAAGAATTGAAGATGTTTTGGGGAAGAAACTTCCAAAGGAAAATGTTGATAAGGATATCATTTTATCATTAAGAGATTCTGTAGATAAGGCTAATGGTGAAGTTGTCATGGAAATGAATAGAAGAAATAAAGAGAAACAAGCTAGAGGTAAAGGTAGAAGAGGAAGAATGATGTCTAAGGATAACATGGATAGAGAAGAACGTTAAATATTCGTGCTTATATAACTTGTACAATAAAATTAAAAATAAAACTTTCAGTTATGCATTACGTAGCGAATTGAGTTTCGAAATCCTCAATTCAAACTATTTAAAATTATTTTGATGATATAGCCTCTTTGTTCACATCACTAAATGCCCTGTCATATCTTTCGACGGCATATGTTATGGAGTTCAATGTTGGTTTCAAATATGCAGTACAAGTAGCTGCGATTTCTTCCCCATCTCCCTTTTTGACATCCGATAATAGCTCATGCAATTTTTCAATGCAATTTTTTAAATGTTTGTAAAGTTTGTTAACCTTTGTTGCCTGTTTGAAGTCTCCACTTTGAAAATGAATATAGAAATGTCTTAAAAATTCACAGCAAGTTGTGTGCAATATCCTACAACTCTCAATCAATTCAGGTGGTAAATCTGATTTGGCATCCGTTTCACTCAATACATTATTTACAAAAGTACCTAGTATGGGATCAACATTGTTGTGTTTTGCTTGTTTGGCGTTAATTTTTACAGCAGAGATAACTTCTTTGTTTACTGCAATACTAGTCTCTTTATTTGGAAGGATTCGACTGAGATCCATATCTGTTGACAATGCGTCGACAACATCCTTAATGTTAGATGAAATCATATCCTGCGTTACTACAGTTGCCATTGAAGCATCCGCTTTTGTGGAATTTTTATCGCCATCTTTTTGTGAATGCTGGCTATTCGAATCTTTGGTCTTCAAATGAACAATTGCATATGAAGATGTATAACTAGGTTGTAAATCTGTAATATTTAATGATTCTTTTTCTTCTTCATCTGGTGAATCCTCTTGTAATTTTGCTCTGGAATATTCATTCTCCAATGCAGCAACCATTTTTTCACTTAATCTATTCATCCCCTTTAAGATATCTATAGTACCATCACTATTCCCATTAACATCTAAACCTGGTCTCATTGTAAAATGTGGTCTATGACCAAATTTAACTGGATCATCTTCTTCATTCCCATCAATATCAATAAACTTTTTCACAGGATGTGTTAATTTTTCATCTTCCATTCGATCATATTCTTGATCTAAATTAATGTATCTATCAATGATAACATCACCTCTATCACTTTGCATCAATTTTTCACCTCTAAGCTTTCTAAATAATTTTGAAGAGAAAAATCTTGCCCAAAATTCTTGTTCTTTGAAATTCTTCGGTACGTTATCATCATAAGCCTTTTTCACAATTGGATAATTTTGAAAGATTGAAACAATTTTTTCTCTAGATAGATTCACATTAACTTTATTCTCTGAAGATGCAACTGGTTTGATTGTGGATAAAACGTTATAGGGACCTACACGTTGTGAAGTTGATAAGGCAAATGTTCTTAATAAAGGTACACGAGTAGACCAAAATTCTTCTGGAGGTAAACCTGAATTCATTACAGTCTCTTGAAATGCTTTCATTAATGCTTTATCATGTCTCAATAGAGATTGTTGTAATTTCAAATTTACTAATAATTTACCCCTTGACAACGAATCATCCAATTGAGCGGTATTAATTAATGGTACAGCTACTGTTGTTTGTGCTTCCAAAGATTGATCATGTTTCCTTCTCTCATCATAAATTTCCTGGTCTTTATATCTTGATATAATTTGTTGTAAAGTTATTTTAATATTATCCATCACTTCTCTATTATTAAATGAAAACATATGAGTAATAGGTTTTACAGTTGATGTATTAATGGGTTCTCCATCATTAGTTTTTTGTTTCTTGCTTGGATCATCTTCATTTTCTTCATCTCGAGATTTCCCAATCAGTCTTAACATCATTTTTTCACTTGTAGCTGGCGTAGCTTGTAATTTATCTATAGTATCCAATACGATAGTATGAGTTTTATCCCCAGAGGTAGATCTCCAAGTCATTTCAGCAGGGGACATATCTTCATCAATAGTGATGATCCCTGCCACTTTCTTATATGTAGCGGCACCTGAATGAGACATGATAACGGTTCAAATACAAAAATATTGAGTGCTTAAAGAATGATCTTCACGAAAAACACAACAAAAGAGTCGTTGTATGCTTTTATATGATCTAATAATTTTGTGTTCAAAGTGATTTATTAGCTTTTGAATTAATTCTTTTTTTTACTTTGTTCCCTGAAATTCTTTAATATTTGATTATATATATTATTACTATATTCGTTAGATACGTTGAAAAATTAAGTCCTATAAATAAGCGGGCGAAATAATATCAGACAACTGAATGAAGCAAAAAGTCATATATATATATATATATACATACGTTAAGAAGACAGAGAGAGCTAAAAGTAAAACATTCGGTGACTTTAGCGATTGAGCTCAAATAATATTTTCTTGTTGAAGTATCATTCTGAGTAATCCGACGTATACAATTACCTATATATAATACTAATACAATATGACTACAAAGATGTAACTGTACTCTCCACCATTCTACGAATGACATTATATTTCACAGATATATATAATATATGATACATAAACAGTACAAATCTTGAAATACAACCCATATGTGTATACCCATGGTAATACAAAGAAAACAACAGTTAATGTATTAGTTATTCATTGCAATACACACCTCTATATAACGTTCTGTCCTCTTTCATTCACAGTCCTTTACTCAATCCCAAATACAATAAATATAAGTTAACAGTGTCTCTGTTTATAAATTTATATTAATCTTTCACAAATATATCAGCGGCTAATAATTCTCTGTGGCTATTCTGTGGACAACATCATGTTACACGAATATGTTAATCAGGGTAAAATGTCTACACTCTATTGTTTCACACGGAGAGCGAAACAGAGAGAAACAGTGAGCGAGCACGGAAGCACAGCAGCAGCAGTTGCACCAAGAAACTTAATAATACGAAGAAAAAATTTTCAGATGAAAAATTTCAAAAATATTTTTTTTCATTACCGAATTTCAATAGTCAGTTTGCCCGCTCATCGAACAAGAACCTTCTAATTAAATTATAAAATGAACTAATAATGTACTATGTTTAAAAGAAGATGGAAACTCGTAATTTCTATATTCATTCTTCTTCGAAAAGAGTAAATCGTACAAACATTCCTCTTTTACTGACTATAAAGAAATAGAAATGTCTTCTCCAATTTTAGGTATCTCCTTCGGTAACACCTCTTCTTCCATCGCTTACATCAATCCAAAGAATGATGTCGATGTTATTGCTAACCCTGATGGTGAACGTGCCATTCCATCCGTACTATCCTACGTCGGTGAAGATGAATACCATGGTGGTCAAGCTTTGCAACAATTAGTAAGAAATCCAACTAACACTATTGTTAACTTCCGTGATTTCATTGGTTTAAATTTTGCTGATGCTGATGTCTCTAGATGTGCCGCAGGTGCTCCAGCTATTGATGTCGATGGTAAAGTCGGGTTTGCCATTAAGAGAGGTGAAGACGTTATCGAAAAGATTACTGTCGATGAAGTCGTCACTAGACATTTAAACAGATTAAAGCTTGCCGCTGAAGATTACATTGGTCAAACTATCTCTAAAACTGTATTAACTGTCCCAACAGATTTCACTGATGCTCAAAAGGATGCTTTAGCTGCCGCTGCCTCCAAATGTGGTTTGAAGATTATTCAATTCATCAGTGAACCATCTGCTTCTCTATTGGCTCATATTCATTCATTCCCATTCGAAAAGGATATGAATGTTGTTGTTGCTGATTTCGGTGGTGTTAGATCCGATGCCGCTGTCGTTGCTATCCGTAATGGTATCTTCACTGTATTGGCTACTGCTCATAATGCTAAACTTGGTGGTGATAACTTAGATGAAGCTTTAATTGAATATTTCGCTGCTGATTTCCAAAAGAAGAACCAATGTAACCCACGTAAGAATGCTAGATCCTTAGCTAAATTAAGATCTAATGCTGTTATCACTAAGAAAACTTTATCTAATGCTACTACTGCTACTATTTCTGTCGAATCCCTTGCTGACGGTTTCGATTATCACACTTCTATCAACAGAATGAGATATGAATTAACCGCTGGTAAAGTCTTTTCTCAATTCTCTCAATTTATTAATGATACTATTGAAAAGGCTAATATGGATATTCTTGATATCGATGCTGTTTTATTATGTGGTGGTGTCTCATTTACTCCAAAATTAGCTAACAATTTAGAGTTCCTATTCCCTGAATCTGTTGAAATTTTAGGTCCACAAAACAAAGATGCTTCTAACACTCCAAATGAGTTATCTTGTTCAGGTGCCGCTTTACAAGGTAGATTGATTGGTGATTACGATGATGATGAATTAAAGGAAGCTTTACAACCTGTAGTATTAAACACCATGCATTTACAAAAAGCTGTTGGTCTATTAGATGCTGAAGGTAAATTTGTTCCAGTAATCTTACCAGAAACTACATACCCAGCTCAGAAGACTATCACTATTAAGAACGCTAAGGGTGATTTCTTAGTTGGTGTCTACGAAGGTGAATCTTACATTGAAGAAAAGACTCTTGAACCAGAAGCCAAACCAGAAGGTGAAGAAGATGAAGAAGACAGTGAAGAATGGTCCGATGATGAACCAGAAGTCATTAGAGAAAAACTGTACAAACCAGCTACCAAATTGATGGAACTAGGTATTAAGGATGTCACTAAGGGTCTACAAATTATCTTTAACATGAACAAGGATGCTGTATTGAAGGTCACCGCCAGAGACTTGAAGTCAAACGCTGTCGTTCAAGGTCAATTGTAAAAACAACAAATAAATAAATAAATAAAATTATACACACATACATAAAACGCAAGTATCAAATGTACTTTTCCTCATCTTTAATCGTTGATACCACAATCCGAAGATGATCTTTTATTTTGCTCATCAAATTTTATATTACTCTTGGGTTGGCCGTTTCAGGGCTCTTAGCTCTCTCACATGCTCAATCATCTTCCTCATTTAACTGCTGACTAAGTATTAGATAGATAGATTTGGATATATTATGAAGCGCATGAACTCTTCACGGTTAAATAAATCACTTCCACAGGCGTCTCTGTGGTATTATCACCGATAGTAATTCCGAGCCGAACCGAACCGTTGTTCTGAAGGAGGTGTACGGGAGTTTCTCTGCCAATTCATCATGTTAAAGGAGAGGCAAACAACATGAAGATAACGAATTTATTTATTCGAGAAAGAGACAGAGACATTGAATCTACATATACACAGTTTTGCCCAACTTGACTTGCATGTTTTTTGGAGTTTTTTGAGAAGCTGATTCAGATAACAACAGTGACGTATATAAAAAGATGTAAATGTATTCAAATAGCATTTTTAGTAACTATTGTTTTTTCCTTTTTTATATATAGTATATTAACAGCATCTTGCCGACTACCTAGTTACTATAGAATAAAACAATGACTATGTCTGCCACCCCTACTATTCATGTCCTTGGGATGGGTTCCATGGGAACTCTGCTCTCTGTTAATATGATCCGCTCTTCCAATATTAATATTATCCCATTATTTAGGAATTTAGCTAAAGTTAACAGATTTAAAGATGAGGCACATTCTACCATTGGAATGAGAAAAGTTTATCTAGAAGATAAACCCTTAACAACCGCAAAATTGAATAATATCTATTGCCCAGAGACATTTCCCAAGAATGACATCATTAAGAATTTGATTATCACTACAAAGACATATCAAACAAAGGATGCTTTGACACCTTATTTATCATATATCAATAAAGACACTAATCTAATTATGGTACAGAACGGACTTGGGGTATTAGATGTTTTAAGAGATGAAATCTTTACCACCCCCAATGAAAGACCTAATTTATTTCAAGGTGTGATCGCACATGGTGCATTCCAGGATCATGATTTCATTTTCAATCATGCAGGTTTTGCTGATATGAAAATAGCTAGATTACCTTGGGATGAACAAGACATTTTACAAACTAAGAGTTTAGTGGTCAAAGATGCGACAGAAAACGAATTGATTGAAATATTTATGAACGATGCTGTGAGGGAATCATTAGATATTCATCATATGACTTATCAGGAATTATTGTTGGGTCAATTATTTAAATTCTTAATCAATTCATGTATCAATTCCGTTACAGCCATTGTTGACTCAGATAATGGTGAGATCGTTGAAAATTGTAAACCTGTATTCAGATCAATAGTTACAGAAGCTCTAGAAATATTGAGAGTTGCATATAGCCCATTATTCGAATATGAAACTAAATTTAACAACACACCAGATTACCCAGTTTTAAGCGTAGACAAAACATTAGATATCGATTATTTAGTAACCGAGATTAATAGAATTGGTTGTATCTTAAATAAACACAATAGTAGTTCGATGAGACAAGATACAAGATACTTAAGAGATACTGAAATCGATTATATTAATGGTTATACCGTTCAAATGGCGGAAAAATTCCATCTTGGTGCCGGCTCAGCTAAAGTTAATAAAACTATCTGCGAATTAGTAAATTTGAGATTGGGACTAAACAGAAAGAGAGCAGCTGAAGGTGAATGGAAGTACAAATAATTCATTAATTTTCCATATATACCTAGTTGAAATTGTCCTACATATACTAACTAAATAATAATATACTTATAGATAAGCTAGCATTTTTTTTTACCGTCTTTAGTAAAATATTTTATTGTAGTACATTTCTAAATATAATTCTTCAATTTTATATACTAAGTTGTAAGTGATTAATTAACTTGATCCAGTATTCAGTTAGTTATTACTCTATTTCTTTGAGTGTGACAAAATTCTAACGTTGGCCATCGATTTTCTATTTTCTTTAACAATGAAAAATTATGTGCTTTGCCAGCGAAGTCAATAAATAGTAAAATGACTTGATTTTCAGCTTTTTATTCACTGTGCGTTTCAACTCAAGCTATTTAATGAAGCATAGAAATGAAATAATCGGCTGATAGAGCATTCAATACAAAGAAACCATTATTGAGCAATCTCTAAAACTTAATCAATACTGATTGGAGACGATAATATCCTTTATTGGCGACATAATTTTGAATAAAAACATTGCAAAGCTTAATTGACAATCTACTGTTTTTAAAGTACCATTTCCAGTCTCTGACCAAAATACAAACAAGAAAAGATGAGCGATGATATAAGTCACAATGATGCAGAAATACAAAGTAAAAATACTGCATCATCTTTTGTAATTAATGAAAATATTTTGGGTATGGAAGGTATTCCACAAATTAATACTACAAGTACGAGATCCAATGTAACAATGCCTGCTCAAGCTGAGCAAACTAATGACTATCACGAGACTCCTATTTCAATAAAACACCAAGATGAAAGTGAAGAATATAAAAATTCAATCTCCATTCCACAGTCTAGAAATAATATAGATAGAAAGGGATCGGACCAGTTGAACACACCTATTACAAACGTAACGGATGTTGCAAATATATCTGGAGATAATGACCAACCATCAAATGACCCTCTGATAAAACCAAACGAACGAAATATACAACCATATGAAAATAACAGTGGCATGGTGACTATTTCTAGTAATTCCGAATCCCCAGATTTGGGCTCAACTAATGATTCTAATATAACTTCAGATGTTAAGGACCATGAACTTTCGCTTACAGCTAACGCAAGATCGATAAGTAGTGAATCTATTAACAGTAGGAAGTTACAACCTTCAAACCAAGTTTCGCCCAAAGACTCTTCGGAGAAGCATACCGAGGCTTTAACTAATGCTATCGTAGCGAACATCGATGAAAAGTTCAATGCTATGAACACAAGATGTAGAGTAATTGAAGAGGAATTACTAAAGAGTAATACAACTATATCTGAAAGTTTAAACAGTATATCTCTATTAATGCAAAAGTTTTTAAAGAATCAAGAAATTTTAAAGATGGAATTAGAAACCATAAAGAGATCACAGTTGAAGATTGATGTAAAAAATGTCAGGCATATTTCAAATAAAACGAGACGAGAAGGGATGGTTGATTATGAAGGTGATGTTGAATATAAAATTATATCAAAGAACTTACTTCGTGAGAGAGCTGTTTCAGCTAGGCCTCAAAGTGACTCTAAGAAGAGAAAACTTTCTTCGAATGAACAAGCACAACACAGTCAATCTCAGCCAGCAAGACCGGTAAAACTAACTAAAATACAAAGAATAGCGGATGAAGTTTTTCATAAATCTCATCCTGAAATTTCAAAATCTACAGACACCATTAAACAGGTTATAAAGCCTCTTAATGGACCTAGTACCACTATGGATTCAAGTCACCTTATCAAGAATTCTGAAAATTCTGGAATTATCCCTCGAACTACTTCAAATATCAATTCCAATACTGGGAACAGTGCCAGGTCAAATGATAACGTCGTAATAACACAGGAAGACCCATCTACGTTTAATTTCAGACGTACAAACGATCTTTACAGTAGTACAACCTCAAATATTTTAAAGCTTGGCGTATCTGATGCTTTTGGTAAACAGTTAACTTCTGCCACCTCAAAGCCCACTAATCATATTATAGAAATGAATCGCCCAAATAGAATTTTGGGTGCATCTAATTATGTTGAGACAACGACAACTACACCAATTGTAACAACTCACATCTCTGTTCCTCAATCAAAAATAAAACAAGAAGAAACTTCATTATCTTTGCCTGAACCAGATGCCATTCATGATATACCCGATAATTATGATGAAGGACTTGGGGACACTATAGTGGATCCGGGATATCAAGAACCTGAAAGAAATAATGTTGTTACTGATAATCACACAGATCAAACTACCGTCGAAGAAAATCCTGCTGAAGCAAAGGAAGAAATTAGAAGACCTAAAGTAAAGAATTTTAAATTGACAATATTAGGCGGGCAGAAGCGCGCCATGCAATTATACATTGTGGATAACATCATCTATACAGGTGATTCTCCATATTCTGCAATAAGTTTTGTTTATTTTGTTGATTTGAAATATAGTGAGATCCGTAGAACACGTGAGGGTTCAAGTTCAAATTTTACATTTGGATTTCCTCATATATTAATTGATGAAGGTGATAAAGCTATGCAAGTATTAGGAATGAATTTAATGACACCTGATTATCTTCCAACTGTTGAGTATTTCTTAGGTGATTTCTTACAAGCGTGTCATTTAGTTGATGATAAATTAAGCCCTGGATGTACAACAGAGACGTGGAGGAGGTATCGTAATTTGTTTGTGTTATTGATGAACTGGCGTCAACTCGCTAGAGAGAAACGTGGATTTAGAAGATATTCTATACTTCACGCAGTAAAAGAGATGGAAAATTTTAGATTACACACTAGTCCTAGAGCTTCTGCCATTGCAGAACCATATGCGCTTAATAAAATAAATCAAAGAAAGATTTGTGAATCAGGTTTGGTAAAAGATTGGATGTTTCAAGTAGAGACTACACTTCCTGTCATTGGACAAAACGGAATAGATGAATCAAACATCAATGCAGCATTGGACGCATTGTTGAAACCGCCACCAAATAATCCAGATTTTATCCCTTATGCATTAGTAAAAGCACCTAAAGGTGTTGAAATTGTATAAATAAATACGTCTTATATATACATTTATTATTCTTTTAACAGGATATTGAATTGTGACAGTAGTTGTGTGACATATATTTATCAGCTGCGATGAGCTATATTCAAATCTATTATTCGGGGCTATTAGCCAAACCAAGAAAAAAGTGAAAAAAAAATGAAAATTTTGAATTTTTCAATTGAAACAGTTAAAATGTGATGAATTAAAAGAGATAGTTTCTATATAAAATAAACTAAAATGTGAAGAATAGTAATAAAAAGAAAGATAACGGCATTCAATTGAATTATGTTAGTTGATCTAAACGTCAGATGGCCTCAGGAGTCATTCAATAAACCTGTCAATGAGAAAGATATCTCAGAATTAAGAGCAACATTATTAGCTTTACATAATGTTGGTTATACTCATATTGCATTAAATTTTACTGTTAGACACACAGATAAATTCCCTAGTAACCCCAAGGAGATGAATCCAATGGACATACAGAACCGTTTTGGAGAGTTGATGAAAAGTACCGGTTTAAAAATATATTCACGTTTAACTTTAATTATTGATGATCCATCAAAGGGTCAATCCCTCAATAAAATCTCTCAGTACTATGATCTGCTCGCTGCATTGCCAGTTAGTGAGAAGGGTCTTACATTAGCCACAACCAGTCTCGATATCGATTTGTTGACGTTTGATTATGGTAATAGATTTCCTACTTTCTTAAAACACAAAAATATATGTGGTTGTGTTAAACGTGGTGTGAAAGTTGAAATAGTATATGGATATTCATTGAGAGATCTTTCACAACGTCGTCAATTTGTACAAAATATTCGGAGTGTGATACGTAGTTCAAGGTCTAGAGGTTTAGTTGTAAGTAGTGGTGCTCGGAATTCTTTAGAGGTAAGAAATATAATAGGTGTAACTGCATTACTACGTACACTTGGTTTACCAAGTGATCAATGTTCAAAAGCCATGGGAGACACTGCTGGGTTAGTGTTATTAAATGGTAGATTACGTACAAAGAGTTACAAACAAACGGTAACCATTGGAAGTGGGAACGTAGTAAATGATCTGGAGACTTTAGATAGTAATATTAAAATAGTGAAACGTTCTCGTCCATCGTCGAATGATACTGAAACGTCATCTGCCAAGAAACCCAAGATATGATATATTTAAAGCATTATGTATTTTATCTACCATTATCAGTAGTAAAATAAAAACTAAACCTATAAACTAAATAGAAATAATTATTTACCTAATCAAGTATAAAAAGATACATTGCCACAGAATGTATTGAGTGGACAACAAGATATACGCATCTCTAAATTTAATTAAGCAGAACAAACAAAGGGAGTGTCTAAAATGACGCGAAACATATGTTTAGCTATCTATTACATGTACTGAATCGGATCTAATTCCACTTAATTGCCAATATTAGGAGTCACCTTTGTACCTGGGGAAATATTGATCTTATCAAAATAAGTTTACGGTTCTAACTTGGTTCAAAATCTCTGATGAATTGTTTTTAGATTACGAAAGAGAAGGGATGAACAGAGCCTATCAACGAACAACGCGAAAAGCCTTAATACTACATTGAAAAGAGGGTAATATAATCGCCAAATTTTGGTGTATTATACTTCCTTGAAATTATAAAAGCGATGAAAAGATAAAATTGAATTCCGGAACGAAGAAACTCCCGCAGGATGGACCCGAAGAATGTATCTTTATTAACAACAATTTGCCAGTTTTTTTTCGTGTTGAAATTTAAAACTGTAATTATTGTGGTGGTTTTACCCAATTAGGATATTTTGTCAAATTCCATTAGGAAAGCATTGAAAATAAATTTAGTTATTTTGGTATAATTTTATTTCAATCAAGGAACAAGTTAGTATTACACCTCGACCAACTACTGTTATTTTCGTTTTTGTTTACGTTGTCGTTGTTTTCTTTGCCTATAACAGAAAATTGATGAATCCTTCATAAATGATTTCGTGATTTTCTTCAAGTAGTTACTCCCTGTGTAATGTATATATATATATATAAAGTGAATATCGCTAAATATATATACTTCATTATTTGATTCCCATCAAAAGTACATATTTTTTCAAAATTATTCTATTTATATACTCTTAAATATAGTTATCTTACTATAAACAAGAAAGAAACAAAATTTATTCTAGCCTAATCAGTTATAATATTCACTTAATTCATAGATCAATATCAAAATAAAATAAAAAATAGATTACCTACACTATGTCGGTAAATGCTTTGCCTCAAATGAAATCCATTTGGCTGGACGAAGATGAAGAAGCTGAGAAATTATATGGTATTCAAGCACAACAATTAATGGATTCTGGTAGCGATTATGATGAAGAAGATGGAGGATATCATGGAATTCCTGATTTAATGCTAATTAATAGCGATAAACCAATACTAAATAATAAGAAAAATATTGAATTATCGGGTTTAAAAACAATCAGTAGTCCAACTAAGTTTCGTTCTCACTCTGATAAGAAGAGAAGTGCTGCAAACAATAAAAAATCATCTGGTTCTAAGAAATTTTTCAAAAAATTATTCAATTCAAGTGGATTTAAACAAGAATCTAATATTAAAAAGAAAAATATATCTACACCTTACCATTTTCAACATATTTCACATGCAGGTGGTATGGATGATGATAATACAAATGACGAAGATGAACAAGTGTCAATTGAAGTTGAAAAATCATTTGACCCTAAAGCTAAACAATTGAGTAGTATTTTTGTTACAGAATCTATCCCTCAACCTAAGCAAGAAGGATACTCATTTCAACAACATCGCCGTCGTCGTAGTAACAGTTCAAATATTAAAAGAACATCTTATTCGTCATCTCTTTATTCTTCTACTACTAGTTCTACCAGAGGTGATCGTATCAAATCATCTTCTACAATGGCTACAACAATTCTAGATAGGTTTCCAAGCAATTCGAAAAATGGATTATCATCTCGTAGCAATAACAACAGTTTAAAATCTAATACCAACAAAAATTTGTTTAATGAGACAATTAGACCAGTGTCAGAAGTTAGTCAAGAAGATTCAATGCAATTTTTGAAAGATTATAGTTTCCCAACTTTATTAGAAGATAAATTAATTAACGATTTTGATGGTAATTCGCTGGCAATGTCCTTTTTAGATACTCCAAAGGAAATTTTGACTCTAATGCCTCCGCAACAATTACCTCCGATGCATTCTCCTTCTTTATCTATTGATTCTAAGGTTGCTTCCATTGTAGATACCCCATTGACACAAATTAAAAGAAGAAATTCTCTACCACTGGCACATTCTTTATCAACACCTGAATTGGAAAATATGTTATTTAAAGATACATCACCAAAGAGCGCCAAGCGTATATCTCTTGGTGATGTAATCATGTATTACAACCAAAGTAGTACATCTACTGAATCACCATCTACATTTGCATCTCCAAATTTACACTGAAGAAATGAATATAGATTCATTTCTTATTTTTTTTATTTTTTTGGTTACTTCAATATCATCCTTATAGACATTCATCAAATCTCATTCAAGCATTACACTCGTTAATTTATAACATTTTATATATATATCCTTATTCATCATTTAAGTCATTCGTCTATTTATTCAAATTTTCTGCCCTAAATTTCTATAGATGCAAACTATGTACTGTACCTACAGATCATATACTTTTATAGGAAATATATCACTCGCTCGATGTACCTATGTGTCCAATACGTCATCAGTTCGTCCCTAATATTTGTGCATTTATCATTTGTTATTTTCACTGATTTTTTGTATATCTTGAAGTAAATGGTTTCTGCAATTAACTAGATCAAATATGATATTTACACTACTTTTGAAGTTTGCCTGTGATTGCCTTAAACTAGACGGTATCGATAGTCCAGCCCCAAACATTCTTATTGGGTCTCTGATTTTTAATTTTTGGTTATTGCTTTCATGTGATCTCACATGCGTTTTCCTTGATTTAATACCTTCTTCTGAACTTTCATCATCTTTTGAATTTTTTTCATCATCATCAATTATCATTTCATTGTTCTTCTTGAAGATAGAAAATAGTCCATCTCCATTAATATGTGCTTCTATCAGGCCCTCATAAGATTCATCATAATAATCAGAACCATAGCGTCCTCTTAAAGAATCTTTATTATGGAAATTGGCTCTCCCCAAATCAATAAACCCTTCAGACATCGATTTTTGAAGTTGGTCCAACAACATATCATATGTGGATATGCTTTCAAGCAAAGTCAAATATTGTTCATCGTTGTCTTGGGTCATTGTCGTACTTCTCTAGAAATTATTCCACCCGTTTTGAGTACTCTCTATGTTAATAATCTCTCAAGTTATATTTATCTTAAAATTAATTTTATTGTTTAATTTTTTTACCAAGGTGACTGCACAATTTTTCAATATAATTACCAAAATTATAACCATATAATTATAAGGTTACAAAAAAAAAACATTTTTAGATAAAAATAACTATTTGAAGTTTATTATGATTCGAATATATGAATATCTCTTATAAGGAGTATATACTATTTACTGTTATTTACACGACGATTATTCTTCGAGTAATCAATATATTAGTTTTATTTTATTTAATCTTCATCATACCGATGATGTCGACTATTGTTACTTTTCATTTTGCCTTTGTTCTGCTAACCATTTAGCCTTCTTCTCCTTTCTGGTCCTTTCACCCCCAAAGAATGATTTCTTACCTTTATCTATAGCTACAATTTCTTGTTTATCACGAAACTTTTCCAATTGGAATAAAATATATTTACGTTGTTGAGTAGGGATACCTTTCTCCTTCATCACACGAGAATCCCATTTAAATAAATTATCCCATTGATTCTCATATGCATCTGCAAATTCACTACAGTTCCTTCCAATAACATTTAGGAAAGTTGAAGCGTCAGGTATTTGTTCAGTTGGTTTAGGGATACTATGAGGTATCGTCTGTGTTCTCAAAGAATGCAAAGCTCTTACACTTGCACCATTTCTGGTTACAATATTTCTCAACATAGTAATTAAACCTATTCTATATCGTATATCTCGTTGTACTTTATAGATATATGTTTATTCCTTTCTTATATCGACTTCTATTGTCTTATATTTTAAATGTTTCTCGTTCAACCATTAGTCCAATCTCCTGTTTCGTTGTATTCTCTTTCTTTCCCTCTCTTTTTCCTTTTATTTTTTTTCACTTCAAAAGCGTGGGATAAACCAATAATTTATTTAGCATTTTCAAAGATTTAAATATATTATGGTATAAGATCGAAGTACAGGAAGGATATCGAAAGTTCTTCACCATTAGAGGAATTAGTTCAAATAAGTGAAAACTAATATTTCAATACTCCTACATATATATAGAAACGCAGGATGAATACCCCGTTGGATGAACTACAATGGAAATCCCCAGAATGGATTCAAGCGTTCGGTTTAAGAACAGAAAACGTCTTAGATTACTTTTCTGAGTCTCCATTCTTTGATAAGACCTCGAATAATCACGTAATAAAGATGCAAAGACAATTTTCTCAGATGCCTGGAGAAGCACCACCTCAAACTAATGGTAAGCAAGAAAACGAAAATGGTTCGCAAGAGAATAATGGAAATAATTCACAATTTAATTCGTCATTACTACCACAACATGATTTCTCTCAGGCACAAAATGAATTCAGTCATGTAGAGCCAAGTAGGCGAGATGTATTGACAAAATATCCCATGTATGCTGCTTTAGAGAGGGAATTATCTAAGTTAAAAGGTGTTGAATACGTCCTGGCATGTGTTAGAGAACCTGATTTTTGGATCATTAAGAAACAGAATCGTCTTTCAAGTAATCAAACAGATGTTCTACAAGATTACTATGTCATTGGTGCAAATGTATATCAAGCCCCAACAATGTTTAAAGTTATACAGAACAGATTAATGTCCACAAATTACCACTTATCTCAAACGATAAAGAACTTGCATAAATTAACTCAATTCCAACCTTCTCATGGGATGCAATTCAAATCTACTGCATCTTTATCTAGCCAAACGGTTATGCCAAACGGTTCGACAGTAACTAGTGTACCAGCAACGGCAGCTACGACGACCACTACGGGGACATTCTCTACTGCTACTACGATGAACACAGCAGCTCAGACGGCTAATTCTGCCCAATATGATAATTCTAGATCTAGAGATATGATTACAAAGGACATGATGGATAAACTAATGATAACAAGTATAAAGTCCAAGCCAGAATATATTCAATGAAATACGACAAGATCGACACGTGGAGATCTTAATTAGAATATGTTTTGATTCATAATGCATATATATATATATCTTTGTTGGTTATGGAACGGCTACAACATTCCATGAGAGAGAACTTTTTACCGTACTCAGTAAAATAATATAATATTATGCATTCCTATCTATATACTAATTTATAGTTTCGTTAATCATTTCAGTTAATTTCTTATAGGACACCGAGAGTGAGCGAAAAAGAAGGCTTCGATAATTCAATTTTGTATTTAAAGAGAGAGAGACACGTTATTAAAAAAGAAGGAGTAAGATCACACCCACAATACTTGCCATTAATAATAGTGTAATATATATATTTATATTAAATTGATAAAGAAACTACTCAAAGTAGATATTCAAACATATATATTATACTAATATAAAATGAGATTATTCCACTACGCTGTAACTTTCTTCACCTTATTCACCTCAATTGTCCTTGCCGTTGACCCAACCATCACCCAAAAGGTTTACTTCGATGTTGCTCACGGTGATAAAAAGGTTGGTCGTATCGTTATGGGTCTATATGGTGATGTGGTTCCAAAAACCGTAAAGAACTTTTATCAATTGGCTATCTCTGAGGATGCCGATATGGGTTACATCAGTTCTATCTTCCATCGTGTCATTCCAAACTTCATGATTCAAGGTGGTGATTTCACAAACAAAGATGGTACCGGTGGTAAATCTATTTATGGTAAGCGTTTCGCAGATGAAAACTTTACTTTAAAGCATGACAAACCAGGTAAATTATCTATGGCCAATGCTGGTAAGGATACCAATGGTTCCCAATTCTTTATTACTACAGTTGTCACTAACTGGTTAGATGGTAAGCACGTTGTCTTTGGTGAAGTTGTTGAAGGTATGGATGTTGTCCATTACATCGAAAACGTTGACACCGACAGAAGAAACAAACCTTTGAAGGATGTTAAGATTATCGCTACTGGTGAAATCACTGATGAAACCAAGAAGGATATCATTGATGAAACTTCCACTACAGTTTCTACTTCTCACGATGAATTCTAAATTTAGTACTCCTAATATATACATATATACATATGCAGAGATTGCCATAGTTTAAATTAAATATAAAAGCTCGGTTACCCTCACTACCCACACGTGACTTTTTCTACCAAAATTTTGTTTGAATAAAGCAGAAGAACCACACAATTCATATATTTCTAATATATATATACAGAATGATAAATATCAAGTGTTGAAAAACTTGTTTTGTTAATACCTTTTAGTAAACAAACCAACAAGAGCTAAAGAAAGACATTGTTTACCTTAAGCATATACTATTATACCAACGGTAACATTATACACCATTGCCAAAAAAAAATATACTTAACAACTTTAAAAAAAGGCATACTTTAGTTATTGTCTGTTTTTCCCACTATTAAATCTGCTTCCACCTTTTATTTTTTTTCTCGTTCTTTTCCCATACTAAAGAGAAGACGAAAAAGCTCCATATATAGAGAGAGAGACTGAAAGTATTGCAAAACGCTGTGCGTCCTTCTGACAGTTTGATTTGAAATAATAAGAAGAAGAAAAGATATAGATAGATCATCGTATTCCTATCAAGACATATATATTTTTTTGAATTGTTTGCTAGTCAAGAAGAAGTTGAATTGATCAAGGTTTTCTTTAATTGAATACTACTATTCTGTTGTTGTCCTATTTGTTTACAGCATCATGGAACAGACATTCCGCGCAGATCCGACCCCTGTAAATGACAGGAACAAGAATATAACTATACTCAGTAATGGTGTAACACCATTAGTACCAATACCGCATCAAGAAGGAGATTCAACTACTAATTCTTCATCTTCAAAGAAACCCGCTAAGAGAACGCCTGCATGTGCACAATGTAGACGTAGAAAGATAGGTTGTGATAGATTAAGACCATTCTGTTCTAATTGTGTAAAATATCATAAAGAAAGGTGTATTTATCCAGAAGAAGATTTAGAAGCATTTAATGCATATATTAATCAACCTGCTGTACATAAAAATCATAATGATACTAATCATTCCGATAAATCAAATGATAAATCAAATAATAACAATAATAATTACAATGGTAACAGGACTACTTTTGAAGTCAATTCCATAGTACCAGGAACTAATACGATCCCTTTAAATAATTCAGTACCACCAAATTTTAATGATATGTCAACTACATTTAGTATACAACGAATGCCAATGCAAGCTCCTGGAATGGCTCCTTCATCGTCATCCTCTCAATTTCCTGTAAATACAACAATGATACAATCGGACCCAAATACTCAAACTGGTTCTCGTGCAACAACAATGTCACCAATGCAAACTATACCTCTAAATCCAACGATGCAAATGATGAATAATAATAATTATAATAATACTAGCAATAATTCGTCAGTAATGAAAATGGAACAACAACTAAAGTTTCATAATGTACAAAATGCGCCTGTGTATGAGCCACCTGTACTTGTTCAATTACCAGTTGTAGAGTCATCAAAAGTGGTAAAGCCTACAAAGACGAAGAATACACACCATGGTCATCATCATAATATGAATGTTAATATTAATAACTTGAAAAGTGTTGCTCAACCAAAGAATGTAGTTTCAATGGAAGACATCGGAGCATATAACACTAAGACTCATATGGTAAGACTATTAAAAGCTTGGGAAAGAAAACAAAGAACTTTGCCAATTTTGAATAATGATATAACAGATTTTAGTGTAATGCAATCTACATACAAACAAAAGGATATTTTATTAAAAGAGATGAAACATTTGAAATATAGGTTTATTGAATTACAAAAGAGAAGAAAAAAATTGTTCCCACAGAGTGTAACTAAGGAAGCATCATTGATGAGGATTCCTATAATCCCGATACCTGAAGCAATAGTGGACACAGAGAATGATCCAAATCAAAAATTAATAAATGGTAAAGATGATAATAAGGCGAATCAATCAATACCACAAAGTTATTTGGGTTTAATAGCACCATCAGAGAAATTATCTGTAATTAATCTTCATCTTAATAATGAAAATAGATTGCGTGGTGATTTATTACTAAAAGATACCCCGAATGCTGTATTCACTCTAAATTATATGGTAAATCGTGATCCATTTTTAGTGAAATATTATAATAGATTACAAACTTATATTATATTGAACTTTAAAGAGCAATTAACACAATATAAACAAAAGCAATTCAATGAAGCCAATAAACGAATGGGAAACTCCACCGTCGAAAATAATCTGTTACTACGTTTAATTAATAAATTAATAAAAGATATGACTAGTAATAATCAACAAATAAAACTTGAATCATCGGGTTTTAATAAATTTCTACTTTCTATTATGGAAGTAGAAAGTATGGACATTAAAACATTTGAAGAACAATTATTGAGTCAATTTAATAAAGTTTATGAGGATTCACCATCTAATAAATTTAAAAATTATTTTTCTGAAGTCTCCAAATTTGGTATCTTATTAATTGTATTATTATTATATTTAAGAGATAATAATATCGGAAATGATCCAGAGATTGAAGTATTAAACAGGAAATTAAATCATATTATTAATGAAGTTGAAAGTGTTAATGATAAAATGATTTTATTAAATGATTTATCAATTGTAACATTTTTATCAATTAAAAATTTATATCATGATATGTTTGAAGATAATGATAGATTAAATGATGTTAATAATAATAGAGATATTTATTTAACTCAAATTTTTCAATCAAATATGATGACACCAGATATGAAATATTCTATCTATTCTAATTATATTCATAGAAATATTTTTATTGGTAATTATCCATCTTTAGTTACGATAGAAATGTTAAAATCAATATTACCAGAATGTGAACATGTTATTGATTATAAGATTAATGAAATAAATTTTTGGGAAATTGAATATAAATTATTAGAAATTATTCAAAATCGTGGTTCAACAAACATGGCATCTATTCAAGAATTAATGAAATATTACACTCAATTTAAGCATTGTGAAGGTAAATTGATGGATTATCGTGGCATACCGACAATTAATAATGGTATTCATACAATATTAGACTATAGTAATAATAATAATATTATGAAGCAATCTTATTACAAATCCAATTTATTAATTAATTATTATTTATTGTTACAATATGAATCAATGAAATTACATGATAAATTTAATAAAGTATTACAAGAGTTAATTAATTTTATTGATCTTATTATATCGGAACAATATAATTTTAAGCCTTTGGATAACTTTAGTGGTAGTAAAACAATATTGAATAAAAGAAATTTAGTAATTTTAGAGATTGTATGTGAAATTTTATTTTCTATAGGGTTACGTTTTGCTTCTAAAGTACAAAATAATAATCCTGTGAATAATTTACAAGATAATGAATTAAATGATGTATCAGTTGCCATGTCAGTTGTCAAGGATAAAATCAGAAAAATATTAATTAAAATAATCATTAGTATACAAAGAAACACTATGAATTTAAGTGGGGGACATCGTAATATCGCTAAGAGATTAGAATTAAAATTATTGAATTTCATGAAGGCATATAAAGAAGATACTGACAATAATTTGAAATTAAACAATGGTATAGTATTATTAACATCATCTGAAATTAATATTTTTTCAGAAAAGGTTAGTAGTATTAGTCAAACAATTATTCAAGAGGATGAAGATTATACATTCCATTCTGAATATAAAAAAATTATTGAAAATGTTCAAACTGATATTGAAACCAATAATAATGATTATGGACTTACAAAGGACACTTTCAGTAGTATATTCGAGGCAATGTTTCAAAAATGAAACGGAAAACAAACATCAAATCAAGGTTAAGCAAGTAAATTTACCAATGTCTCTATCAAATAAATAACGATGTGTATTAATATATTAATAGAACTTTTTCTTTAACGTTGAAACATAGAAAAAGACCAAATAGTTATTATTATAATTACTTAATCTTGTATATGTTGCTCTTTGGTTGTTACTAGCTTGTTACTAATCACCATTGAAGTGTATACGTTTTTTTATAAAAGTAGCATCAATTAAAAAACTCTATGCAAACTAATAGCGGGGCTCCACCCTTTTCCCAATTTAAAAGTATACCGGTTTCTCTCTTTTCCTCTTCTTCTTCCCTTTCTCAACTCGGCGTTTTATGCCTTCTCCTTCTCCGTCTTTGTGCTTATTTCTTGTTTTTGTTCTTTTTCTTGCATATTGCAGAAGATGGAAGAGTGTTAGCGAGAGGGGGGGTGCGAATTCTTAAGCATTACTACCAGCTAAATTACGTCACACCCACACCCCGCATACAATACATGTCCCTTCTGACGTCATTATGCATATTAACTATAACACGTTTTATGCATTTTGCAATTCAAATTGGGTAACTCTTTCCTAAATAGAGCAAATATGAGGTTGCTACGCACTTTCTTTCCTCGTTGTCCAAACTTGCAGTTTCCTAATACGGGTCTTCTATCCCACATATTAAATACAAAGGATATGTATACATAAATAGAACACAATATACCCGTAGGGTAAGGAAAGTCCCCTGTTTAATTTAACCATAATAATTATTTTCGTTTTGTGGAGTTCTTAATTCACTTCCTGTATGTGTCCTCTACTGGAGGCGGAGAGAGAAAGACTGCGACTAACCAAACACACTAAATTCATATTAACAAGCCTACTACTACTATAAGCTTATTCAATCTATTACTGCTAGTACTACTACTAGTAATAGGAAAAGAAGAATAAATAATTAAGTGTTCTTTTAGCCTTCTTTAGTGGGTTATTTTATGGTTCACAAAATTCAGTAATTAGTATGTACGTGTGTGTGTGTGTGTACTTAAAAATTTTTAATCTGACGTTTTTTTTTTAAACTACGTAGAAGTCCGCCAGGTTAGTTGTTAGTAATGGTCACTATAACTACTAGAGTAATATTGCCGCTCCTAAGTTTAATGTATGTTGTGTTAAATAAAACATTTCACTTAACTTAACGTAAAAGTGTCTTGTGTTGTATGTAACGGTCTCTTTCTCTCTTACAACGTTTCTAACAACTTTCATTCATCACATAAAGTTTTATTTATTCAACAAGTATATATAAGTAACTGATTTTTCTTGATCAAATATTTCGTTTAAAGAAGTTATTAATTTTGGCGGTGATTTTACCTTTTTCTAGAGGTTTAGTATATATATCTATATATATATAGAAAGAAGAAAAAAAGGGTTCGTTTTTCAGAAATTTCATTAACCATCACGACAGATATTATATATATATATATATAGATAGATAGATAGATATAGATATAGATATATCTACAGAAACGTATCAGAAGGTTTAAATACAAATATACTGAAAATTTGTGTATATTTTAGGAACTAACAAGTTTAATTATAGAATAAAACAAAGTAATAATATAAAAACAAAATGAAACCTTCTACTATTGTTATTAAATTAGGTTCTTCTTCCTTAGTGAACCCTGATACTAGAGAACCTAGACTTTCAATAATGTCTAAGATGGTTGAAACTGTAGCTATTTTAAAAAGACAAGGTCATAAAGTGGTTATTGTTTCAAGTGGTGGTGTTGCAATGGGTCTTAATGCTATGAGATTAGCTGAAAAACCAAAAGAAATTGCAGAAATTCAAGCTATTGCTGCAATTGGTCAGGGTAGATTAATTAGTAAATGGGATATGTTATTTCAAGAATATGAGCAAGAAATTGCACAAATTTTATTAACTAGAAATGATATTTTAAATTGGAAACAGTATAAAAATGCTAAAAATACAATTTTAGAACTTTTAAAAATGGGTGTAACTCCGATTGTTAATGAAAATGATACTTTATCAATAAGTGAAATTGAATTTGGTGATAATGATACTTTATCTGGTGTTACAGCAGCTTTAATTGAAGCTGATTATCTTTTCCTATTAACTGATGTAGATTGTTTATATACAAATGATCCAAGAATAGACCCTGAAGCAAAACCTGTTATTACAGTAGATATGGATAGTAAAATTAATCCTTTAAAGGATGTAAATACTTCAAGTGGTTCTGGTAGTAGTGTTGGTACAGGTGGTATGAAAACAAAATTAATTGCAGCTGATTTAGCTACAAAGGCAGGTGTTGTTACTTTAGTAATGAGATCTGAGCAACCACAAGAAATTGTAAGAATTATAGATTATATGGAGAAAGAAAATTTTAGAAATTTATCAAGTGATGAAGAAGTGGCTTTATTAAATGATCGTGGTTTACCTTTACATACTAAATTTTTGGCTATTGATAATGATTTACGTTTAGAAAATAGACAATTTTGGTTATTACATGGTCTTGTTTCAAAAGGTTCAATTATTATAGATAAAGACATATATGAAAATATTATTGAAGAAAATAATAATAATACTAATAATTTAGAAGAAGAAAATGAAAATTCTGAAGATGAAGCATTTTCTATAGATTATCAAGGTGGATTACCTGCATCAGGTATTATTGATATTCAAGATACTTTCCACGAATTAGATTGTGTAAACTTGAAAATTGGTAGAAGATTATCGAATGGTGAATTAGATCCTGAATTTCCATTACAAACTGTTGGTAGAGCTAGATGTAATTATACTAGTACTGAACTTAATAAAATTAAAGGGATTAATAGAGGTGAAAGTGTTACTGATTTCTTAGGTTACTCGGGTAGTGACTCTGATGAAATAAATGAAAGCGAACATACACATGTTATGGGTCATTCTGGTAGTGAACATTTAGTAAATAAATTAGCAGATGGGTTACATGAATGTTGTATCGCAAGTAGAGAAAATTTAGCATTTACACCGGTTTGATATCATTGTTTCTTTGTTTGTTTGTTTACTTTTATTGATTGTAATGAAATTATATGGAACTAGATTGTGTGCGTTTTTCTAATTTTTTATTTTTTTTTTACCTATTATTATTATTATTATTATTATTCTTTATTTCATACCTATATATATATATTTAAGATAACATTATTTGAAGGATTAATCTTTGATGAAATTTTTTTATGAGAATTTTCATAATCAAGGGAAAGTTTAGTTCATAATATTAAAAAAATGCATTGTGTATGAATGTGTTTCTTTTAAAAAAGTACACATATATTATATAAAAATATAAAGTTTGTGTTCTTTCTTAATGAAGAAAGTTTTAAAATCAGTAAAATTTAAATTATTTGATTTTATAAAATCAGGTAATGGAATCTCTAAATTTGATTCATTAAATTCTTGAAGGTTAATATTTTTAACAAATAATGAATTTTCATTTGATTTATAAGAAAGTTCTAGATCCAATGAAGAATTCAGTTCTGATTCAATTTCAATTCTTAATTTATATGTAGTTGTATCCTTTGTATGTCTCATCGATACATTAAAGTGAACATTTTTCTTTTCAATTATTTTAGGTGATGCTATTTCATTAATGAGTGAGGAGTTTTTAGTTGGATGCATATTTGGGTCAGTAATATCTTGAATTAATGGATTAGAAGATTTTTTGTTATTATTTTGTATTGTTGGAAATAAAGTCTTTAAACCATTTGTAGAATCTTCAATTTCATCATTATCAATAAGATCTCTTTTCATTTGTAAAAAACTTGAAACACTATCAGTTTCATTATTTATATTAGCTTGATCTGTTCCATCATTGTGTATATTACTGTCATTTCTAATCTCTAAAGTTGGTAATTCATTACCTTTAAATTTCATCTTTGGAAATTTAATTGTATCTCTCTGAATCATAACATTTTCTCTAATTTCAACGCTTTCAATACACCATTCCACTAATATTTGTTTCAATTGAAAATTATTGACATTATTAATAATATCAACTAAATTAGAATTAATAATACAATCGGAAACCACACATAGTTCTCCTTTCTTATCCGTGTCCTGTCTCATCTGAGACGTCACAATAGGGATCTCCCATTGATTATTCATGATTGCAGTATATGTATTCAATGGATCGAATGAATCTTTGGGGGGAGGCACCGTTTCAGCATGGCAAACATTGATAAATAATTTGGAGTGTGGATCTGATAATAATTTTGATTTGATTACAAAGATTGGTTCTGGAATGATTGTAATAACGTTATTTTCGTTGGTGTCTCTGATGTAATCGTTCATTTTAGGTGAGTTAACCACTTCCTTTGGAATATATGTGTGTTGTTGGTACCATTGAATGAAGGTTGATGTTAATGCAAATACATCACAGTTTCTTTTAAGAACAATTTTAATAAAAGTAGCTCTACGATGAAAAAAAACAGAATAACAGGCATCGCCCCATACTGAAAAAGCCAAAACAAAAAATATAAGTAACTTCAATCTTCATCAACTTAACAAAAATATAAAAAATATTGTTATAAAAAAAATGTTAGACTTTATCAAAAAGTCATAAATACTATGTATGTATCGATATAAATAAATAATTATGTTAGCAAATAAAATAAATTATAATAAACTATGTTTTTTTTTATTTTATTTTATTTTTACATATCTTTCTTCTTCTCATCATCAACTTTTTTTTCATCATCGACACTTTCTAGAGAAGCTTTAAATTTTTTAATTTTTTCTAATCTTTCAGTTTCTCTATTTGATAAAAATTGTTTATATTCATGAATATTAACTTTCTTACCATGTTCGAATTCTTTATCCATTGCTTTAAATTTAGTATCAAAAATTTCATCCCAGAATGTGAAAAATGGTTGAGCAAAATTTGTCTTTAAACCAAATGGTTGATGATGAATATCGTGATAAACAGCATTATTTGGGAAAAACAATTGGAATGGATCTAATGGTAAAACGTAACCACAATGATCATCGATTGTTTTCATTGTTGCAAAGACGAAAAGAATAATTTGTTCACGTGGAGATAAAAATGCTAAATTCATTGCAATACCAGTACCTAAAGTATCTAATAAGAAACCTTCAACAGGAGCATTGTATAAAGCACCATAAGCGTAAGGGATATATAATCTATGATGAACAGAATGGAATTTTGAATATAGGGTTGAAGATAAATGCATTAATCTATGTAAGAAAAATTGCCAAGTATCAACAAAAAGGAAACAAAAAGTTAATTTTAAAAATGAAGTACCATAATTGTATAAAAATACAATAGTTTGATCATTAATGAAAAATGGAATATTATAACGAGAGAATAAAGAATAAAGAGATTTCTTTAAATTCCAAATACCATTTTCTTCAAATCCAGTCATTGGTATTGGATCAAATTTATAACTAATATAAGCTACTAAAGATTGAACAACATGTTGTAATAGAACTTCTCTTAGGACTTCAATACGAGAAGCTTTATTAGCTTTGTTAACATCTTCCTTTGGATGAATTCTATATTTTTCAGCTAATTCAAAGGTATCGATTAAATGGAACATACCAGAAAATAACCAATAAGCAATAACAGGAGCTATAATAGCAACAACACCATCTGGAATACCTTCAAATAAAGTTGGTTTTATAGTCAGTTTAATAGTTGGTTCAATAGAAGATTCCAAATAGGAAATCCCTGTACCGTTAACAATAGAAGCGTTCATAATAATAAAATATATATATTTATATTAATATAAACGTAGTTCTGTAGATCTATGTTGATGGATAGTTCTTTTTCAATTATAACAATAAAGATAGAAATGAAAAACTAAAATATATTTATAAGACAAACAAACTTCTGATGTCAATAAATGAAATGAGAGAAGGCAACTAAATATACATGTATATATATATATATATTATTATTATTATGAATTAATAGAAGACAAACTTTTTTAAAAAAAAAAATACTAACAATGATAAAACTGTCTGTAATTAGTATCTTAAACCATCGTAATAAATTTTAATCAGATGCTTCACTTTGCTTTTAGTTTGATTGACATACAAAGAGAGAAATTATTTCCGTTTTAGTTAATAGAAATAAGAGAAAAAACAAAAAAATCACAATTTGTGAGACGGGCATTGCAGCAGCGGCAGCAGCGATTAAAATAAAGCGCGAAAACTCAAAAACACAGAGAGGCAAAAACCAAGAAGTTCCCACTGAAAATGCTGCACGAGGCGGATATATATATATATATTGTGCAATTGAAAAGCCCCACGATATTTTCACAAGTTGATCTTACTACCCAGTGAGCCCGCGGGAACACACGCTCACACACACTCACACACACGGACTGCGAACTTCCCACAGCCAAAAAGCGAGTAAACACAAAACAAAACAATTTTTTTCTTTTTGGCTGGGAAAGTAATCCCGAACGACAACGGATTACGGCCGCCGAATTCCGTGGGATATCAAACACACAGTAATAAGAACCAGTTAACAAGCAGAAGAAGAAGAAAAATTTTTCGTTTCATTTCATTTCTTTAACTCAATCGGAATATAGACTTAATGTATGTATGTATGTATGTATGTATGTGCCTGTTGCTGATTAATTAATTAATTAAATTAAATGGCAAGAACGAGTATATTCTCATACTATTTTCCTTTTCGTGCTGGGTTTGCCTGTGTGTTTGTCTTGTTCTACACGTACGTGCCTACTAGTGTTGACAGCATATATGTATGTTGATAGTCTTGGTATACTAATCTGCAATTATTCATAGTCGATCACAGTGTACTGCAATGTAAAACCTGGAAAATGTTTGAACTAAGAAAAAATGGCAAGAACAACCAATAACCCGAATTGAAATAGCGATATATGGTTAGTATTGATATATATATTTTTTTTATTCAATGAATAATTCCCGCATGTAAATGAACGTTTTCTCCGTAATTTATATTTCTTTGTAAAATAACAACAACAATACTATTAATGCATGATTTTATTTGATGGAGACACTGCAGGCAAAAAAAGAAAACGATAACCAGAGAAGGCTGTTTCTTATAGGCAAGCGATATATATCTTAAATTATTGACCCTAATATTTACTTAATGATTGATACGGTAAAAAAATGAACATTCTGTATTACATTATTGTTTTTTTACTTTTTTTTACATAGAGTGGTGCAGCTCTTTTATGTGAATATGTATATATATATTCTTATGAGCCGTGATTTTTATATTTGATGGTTAATATATGTAGTCTTTGCCATTAAACATTATTTGCGTTTGTAGCTTAAAATATCTTAACAATAATGTTTCAAATATATGTTCTTTTTAATTCGGTGAAATTTAAATGTTCTTAAATAATTATTCTTTTTTTCAATGTCTTCATGAGATATATGAATTACAAGATTCTTTCACATATGGTAGTTTACCACTTCTAATGCCGTAAACAAGAGTGATTTTACAGTACAAAAAAAATTATAAAACCCCTTCTTGTTTTTTTTTTGACCATTGTAATTACGATCATAACTTCATCTCTGTATCAAACATTATTTATCACTACATTTGCTTTTAATCATGTTATACAAAATCGATGAGCTTTCTTTCCCTTTTCTTAATTTAGTTTCTTCGCGTAATAACAATTGACGGAAAACTAAAGAAATCAAAAAACAAAAAAAAATATTTTTAAAGAAAACTGTAAATAGACACATTATACGCTATATATTAATAAAACATACTTTTTAAAAAGACGCATCATCATCTCCTTACTCTCTCTCTCTCTCTGGGTATATATAAATGAATGCAATGCAAAAATGGATGCATTTACTAATCTATCATTAGATGACCCCGATCAACTGGATATTGATCCTCAACCAATGGCAGAATTATCACTAACAGATGAAAATAAATATTTTAGAAAATTAAATTTTCAAAATAATTGGAATAATATACCATTAAAAGATAATACCAATGTATATTTACAATCATCAAGTGATAACAATCAGTATTTAGAAGAAAATCATTTAGAGAGCGATATAGATATGTTAAGTGAAGCAGATACAATAAAGACACCAAGTAAAGAAAATAGAATTATTGAATCGGATGAAGCAAAAGAAGATGAGATACGATCATTTACAGTACATTCACCTAAAGTACTACATAATATACTTTCACCCACACAACTCGGTGCATCTGCAGCAAGAAGAAGTTCAACAGCAATAATACAACGACAAAATGATGATGATGATGATGATATAGCTAATTTAAAATGGAAAGATAGACCAATTCATGTTTCAATTAACAACAACAACAATAATAATTTTTTCTACCAAGATCCCAATGGATATACATCTATATATGATAATAAGAAAGAAGATAAATTACCTCCCCCTTGGTCATCACAATCATCACCAGTTTCAAGATTACCATATAATTTTTATTCATATTTACAATTAACATTAAATTCATTAACTGGCACATTAATCATATGGTTTTTATTATCATCATTTAAGAAAGATATACATTCATTATGGTATGCAGATCGTAGACAACTTTTTCTTGAATCACAAACCTGCCAAGAAAATTGGAATATAAATAATTGTATTGAAAATGGTAAATTACCTGCATTAACCGATCGTTGTATGGAATGGCAACGATGTATGACTAGAGATAATGATAAATTATTTGGAACAAGATCATTGAGGATTGTAAGTTTACTTGGTCAATTAATTAATGGATTTATTCAACCGATTGGATGGAAACCAATAACCATTGTACTCATTGGAATTTTATCCTGGTTATTTATAACTAATTTCCTAATGGGGTTTTTAAGGGCAAAATATTATTATAAGCAAGATTTTAATCAAATAAAGGACACCGATACATCCAATGCTAATCAATATGAAGATGAAGATGAAGATGATGACAGTAAAAAACGTCAACTTCTATTGACCACCAAACCAACCACTTGATCCATCTTAATAGCCTCCCACTGAAAGATAAACTAATCAATTAAAACGATAACTGTTTGCTTATCTGTTATATACAATGAATCATCAACAGATCGTTTCAAGAAATGTTTAGCACGGTGAGCGACAGTCAGGGTAAGAAATGGTTCGTACTTTCAATTCAATTGGCTGAAGCATTAACTATATGGATATACACACAAAACCGTGTAGTGGAACAGTCTCCCTCTTCGGGACTCGGTTTCCGTCTTGTGGATACAAAATCATCTTCGGAGTTCGCTTCCCGTTCACTAATATTAAATTAATTAGTATGGAAATGAAAACGATGAGGCCTTCCCGCAGGATTTTTCAAGTTCTGTTTGTTTTGAGGAGAACGAAGTTTAGGGGAGAGATAGACAACACTAACATGAAAAGTGATGATCATGATAACTATTTAATGTAAACCATTATTCCGGTAAATCCATTATTAATAAGAATAAGTTTTATATAAACATTAAGATACACGTATTCTATCTCTAGTATATAAATAACAATCTAGGGAAAGTAATAATATATATTTTGAAGAACACTAGTCTGTTATTGTTTTTTGAACAAATACAATAAGAAGATACTGAAATATTTTCAATAGATACACCTACACTCCTTTCTTATTCCTTTAACAACAGTCCTAATGTTGTTACATCGTGCTACAAAATGCAGATCTATCTCAATGATCTCTATAAAGAGATCATTGACTCAATTATCTAATGTAAAAGTTCCACCAACAATTAATAACGAACCAACAAAAACTTTCTCAAATACTCAAGAGAGTGCTAAAGATTGGGATTTGTTAAGAGCTTCATTACTTAAATTTAATAATGCAGCTTTAGAGATTCCTTTAGTTATTAATGGTCGTAGAGTTTACGCAAATGATGAAGGCTCTACACGTACTACAACAAAACATGTTAATCCATCAAACCATAAACAAATTTTAGCTAATATTACACAAGCTAATGGCCAAGATATTAAAGATGCAATTGAAACATCTAAAATAGCAAAGAAAAAATGGTATTCTTTACCATTTTATGATAGAGCCGCTGTATTCTTAAAAGCCGCTGATTTAATTTCAACTAAATATCGTTATGATATGCTAGCTGCTTGCATGTTAGGTCAAGGTAAAAATGTTTATCAAGCAGAAATTGATTGTATTGCAGAATTATGTGATTTCTTTAGGTTTAATGTAAAATACGCATCTGAATTATATTCTCAACAACCAACTAATGGTACAAAAGGTATTTGGAATACAGTAGAATATAGACCTCTAGAAGGTTTTGTTTATGCAGTTTCACCTTTTAATTTTACTGCTATCGCAGCCAATTTAGTTGGAGCTCCTGCGCTAATGGGTAATACTGTCTTATGGAAACCTTCTCAATATGCAGCTTTATCAAATTATTTATTATATACTGTATTAGAAGAAGCTGGTTTACCAAATGGTGTTATTAATTTTATTCCAGGTGATCCTGAATTTATTACTAATGAATTAATTAAAGATCCACATTTTAATGCTTTACACTATACTGGTTCAACTCAAATATTTAAATCATTATATTCAAAGATTCAAAATAAATTAGTCGATGGTACTTATAGAGATTATCCAAGAATTGTTGGTGAAACAGGTGGTAAAAATTTCCATTTAGTTCATAATTCAGCAAATTTACCAAACGCTATTTTTAATACAATTAGAGGTGCATTTGAATATCAAGGTCAAAAATGTTCTGCAACATCTCGTCTATATTTACCTGAATCAAAGAGTACTGAATTTTTAAATGATATGGTTGGCACATTAAGTGAGGAAGATTCAAAATTTGCTCCAAAAAATATTGCCGCTAGTGCAATCAGTGGAGGTGATTTACAAGGTTTCACAGGTCCAGTTATTCACGAGGGAAGTTTTAATAAATTAGCTAAGGTAATTGATGAAGCTAAAAATGATCCAGATTTAGAAATTATTTATGGTGGTACTTATGATAAGACTGATGGTTATTTCATTCATCCAACTATTATAAAATGTAAAGATCCAAATCATAAATTCTTAAAGACAGAATTTTTTGGTCCTATTCTTACCGTTTACGAATATCCTGATGAAAGATTTGTCGACATGTGTAAAACTATTGATGAAACAGGTAATTACGGTTTGACTGGTGCTATTTTTGCCAAGGATAGAAGTGCTATTCAAGTAGCAAATGATATCTTAAGATACAGTGCTGGTAATTTCTATATTAATGATAAATGTACCGCTGCTGTAGTGGCACAACAATGGTTCGGCGGTGCAAGAATGAGTGGTACTAATGACAAAGCAGGCAGTGGTAACATCTTAAGCAGATTCGTTAGTATGAGAAACACAAAAGAAAATTTTTACGATATCACTGGTTATAAATATCCTTCTAATTACGATTAATTAATTACAGGTAATTAAAAAATGAATTAATCACAAACCATTTTTTTTAAATACATATCTTGTACATCATTTTCTGTTCATTCAGTTACAATATATAATAGTAAATCAATAAAGTTATTGTTTTAAAACGTATCATATGAATTTATCTCACTATTCTTTTGTTTTAGTGGAAAAATCGGTGCTATGTATGGCATATATTTCTGCAACTTGCAGTTTAGACGATGCGAATACCGAAAATGTATTCGAATATATTTAATTAAAGGAAACAAGAACTACTACTATTAGCGGAAGAGTCTAAAGCAAATTATACACAATTTATTAAATAGTCTACTAACTATCCTAAAATAATCATTAAAAAATGTTAAAATGTCTTCGTTTTACACCCACACAAACACGTTATTTCTATAAGTCTTCAATCCTTTCCAAAAAGAAACCTAGTAAGGGGTCCTCTAAGAATAAGAAAGATGAAACAACAAATGGTGCCAGCGATGAAGAAGAAGTAATATTAATAGATGTTAAACAATATGTAAATGAAGCAAACGATAGATACTCCCAAACTTTAGAACTTTTGAAAAAAAGATTGAATGAAGCAAAACAAGGGAAGACAAATCCTCAGATTTTTGATCAACTTAAATTTCCTAATGGTTCTGTTTTCACAGAGATGGCAAGTACCAGTGCTCGTGGAAAAAATTCCCTTTTAGTGACTGTGTTCGACCCTAAGGAGACTAAGAATGTCATCAGTTTGATCATGGGTGCAAACTTAAATCTTAATCCCGAACGAATTCCAAATAATGAGCAACAATTAAAAATTGCACTACCTCCACCAACAAAAGAATCTCGTCTCGAATTGGCAAAGAGTTTAAAACAAATAACAGAAGATTTTAAAAATTCTATCAGTTTTAAATACTCATTGGGTTTTATAAGAAGAGATATTCTAAATAAGATGAAGTCCTTCAATAAGAAAGAAAATGAAGTTACCAAAGTGCTGAAGACGTTAGAGAATACACACAAGGACTATGTTAATAAATTACAAGATCAATTGAAACAAGCAGAGAAAAGTGTGATGAATTAAATAAAATGCATCTTTTCAAAAAAAATGTTCAATCGTGAAAAAAAAAGTATGTGCATCCTATTAATATATATGTACCTGTAAATAAAATATTATATATATGAGACCAAAAATTTCTTAGATCATGCTTTAGCCAGTGAAAATATTGATTTCACTCTTTGCCAAATAGAAGGTGTATAAGCACCAGTAATAAATGCTTTAACGAAATTCCAAGCTTTTTGATTAGTGTTATTAATTGGATAGTCTAATGCAGGAGGAATTTGAGTTGAAACAAATGGTAAAGTATCATAACACACACTCTTTGCATTACATAAACCTAATAGACCTTCTTCACCACCAAATTTACCATAACCTGAACCATGAATACCACCAAATGGTAATTGACAAACGTAAAAAGTCGCAAAATCATTTATCGCAACATTACCTGTCTTCAAATTATTTGCGACATAATTGCATTCTTCAAAATTGTTCCCAAAGACTGAACCACCAAGACCAAAGTTTGCGGAGTTAGCTAATTCAATACAATGATCAGTGTCATTAGCCTTCATCATTACTAAGATTGGGCCAAAAACTTCATTATTAGCGATTTTCATCTCTGAAGTGACATCGACAAGTAATGTAGGTTGAAAGTAATGACCTTCAGGATAAGTATGATGAGAGTAACGAGAGCCACCAGCCAATAGTCTTGCACCTTTAGAGACAGCATCCTTAACAAGTTCTTCTAATTGTTCAAATCTATTATCTGAAACCATTGCACCCATGTCGACACCCTCTAATTGATCAATATCTGAACCTAATCTCAATGGAGAAGTAGTTAGTCTTCTTTCTAGAATTTCTACTAATTTATCATAATTCTTTGCTGAGACAATAACTCTTTCAATACCGATACAATTTTGACCAGCGGACTGAAACGTACCTCTTAGGATAATAGATGACAAACTTTCTAACTTTTTTACAGAATCTAATACAATGAAAGCATCTTTTCCACCAAGTTCTACAACAACAGGTGTTAAAGATTCCGCTGCACATTTCAATATATGATGTGCGATAGATTGACTACCAATAAATGTAATATGCTTTAAACCAGGATGAGAAGTAAAGTAATTGGCTGCGTTATCAACATAATCCCTTGGAGGTAAACAATAACATAATTGAATTAAATCTTCATCTTCACCACATTCTTTCAGACACTCTCTAACCAAACGAACAAAAAAATCTGATGACCAAACAACTTGTTCAGAACATTTCAAAACAATTGAATTACCAGTAAATAAGGCAGCAATAATAGGACCCATTAGATTATGAAATGGATAATTCCATGAAACAATTGCAGAGACAACCCCTAGTGGTTCATATCTAACTTCTGCACCTTTATACCATTTCATGAAAAAATTAGTTGGACCAGGGCGGGTTGAAGGTTGTAAAATAGAAGGACCATGTTCAATAACCCAAGCTAATTTTTCAAGAGTCACTAAAATTTCACCCATTGATGCATCTAGCATTGTTTTACCAGAATCTCTACAAGCAACCCTTGCAATAGATTCCTGGTTTTCCAATATATAACCACGCAAAGATTTTAAAATTCTAATTCTTCTTTGTATAGAAGAGTCATTGAATTGCAATTGAGCTTGATTTGCTTTTTCAATCATTTCATCGATATCTGATTCTGTTTTTGATTTGAATTTACCTAGTAATTGACCAGTAGCTGGACAATATGTCTGAATAATAGTTGGGTCATTAGGATCAATGATAGAAGGTGGAGATAGACGGGTCTTTGATTTCCAATTTTGATGAGCAGCCTCAGGTATAGGAAGATTAAACTTCACTGGAATATCTGTTGGATCTTTATAATTCAGAGTAAATACAACTTTATAAATGATATAAAGTATAAAACATGTAGCAATCGTAGTGAAAATAGCTAATACTTGAGGATGAGTGTTCCTAATCAGATGTTCTTGGTTTCTGAAGATAGCGAAATTCTCCTGATTATTTTTAATCCATTCAGCTATATGATCATGAACAGATGAGTTTAATTGTTTCAGCATCTCGGTATTAAGATATATGTTCGACATTATTGGAAAGAACAACAGAAAAAACAAAAATAAGGGAAATTATACGAATATATTAAAATTACGAAAAGAATATAGCAAAAAAATTCAATTGAGAAGTATGATCAGTTAAGTATATATAAGTTACAAAACAGTTGATAATAATGAAAATGTTAATGGAATAAATAACCGAGTAGTAATTGTGCCACCCCCATTAATTAATTACTATTTCATTTAACTCGTTCATTAAAATTTGTTCGGTAAAAATTATAAGTCTGTAAATATCGCTCTTCACTTCTCATCGTTTAAATTTTTGTTCAGATAACCCGAGACAAGGAAACAGACAGAAAAGAGATGCACAAATACATCAAACATACAAGCATGACTATACTAATTGATACGCTGTTAATGTAGACTTACTTAACACAAGGAGTTATCGAATCGAATGTCATAATCAATAATTCGTTGGTAATTGAAACACACAGACACACATATATATAAGTCATTTCTTGCTTACTGTGAGCTTTTCATGATCTGATCAGCTATATGAACATAATTGAAATTATCTAAGTGTTTTATTTATATTTATTTAAACTAGTATACCACCAGTATTATAGTCATAAGTATATATATATATAAATCTATATAATTATCTGTCAACCAAGGTATATCAAAACAAAGGCGTGTACGTGTACTAATATGAGGATGTAGAGTAGAAGTTGGTGTAAGATCAATGCTAAGAGAAGTAGAAGAAGAAAAAAAACATCAATCAAAAATCAACTGTAAAATATATGATGGAAATATCATGAAGATTGAAAATTCAGTAAAAATGATACGCTATACTTTTCAATTGTTTCTAATTATGTCTGTCTGTGATTTTTTTGTTTTTATTTTTATTTTTTTTAAATAGCATTGACATGCATTTCTGGAATAGGCTCAGTGACAGCAGAAACTAACAATTTAATAACAGCTGGAGTCTTAGCCTTTGAAATTTTCTTGATTTCTTCTAATTCACCTTGAACATCTTGTTCAGCTTGCTTTTCTAATTCAGCTGTACTACCAACGTTCTTAGATTCAAAATCTTTCAATTCTTGGTCCTTCTTGGTCTTGTAAGCTTCAATTTCTTGGGCAGCATCGGATTTAGCTTGTTTCAACTTATCCTGTCTGTATTTTCTGGACTTTGAAACAATTTCATGAGCTTCCTTTTCAGCCTTTAATAGGGTAGCAATACCGTTCTGTTGAGACTATATTTAAAATATTTTAATTAATAACAATGAACGGATAATCAATCATATATATGTTTCTTGTAAGTAGAGTTTGTTAAGTAAACCCTTGAACATATTTGATAATCCGTTTTGTTTTTAAATCATGTTAGTAAAAAGAAAGAAAGAAAGTAAACATTTATATGACAGAACGATTAAGGGTGATTTTTTAACTGAAGTATAACACAATTCATTATAATTGTTGTAAAAATCAACTTAACATCCACCATCATAACTATTTAGTTTGAAAATCAGTGGGGAAAATTATAAAAATCAAAAAAGACACTAACATTTTTGATTTCAGAACCTATCAATCACATACCATTTCTTATTGTTGTTATCTGTGTATAATCTGCTTCTATTCACTTAGCTTTTCCTATAGTGAAAATATTTATCGCAAATAGTACTATTAACCCAGTCTACCTATATATATATATATATATATATATATGTATATATGTATATAACTATTGATGTTTAATGTTTCCTTTGCCTGTCTATCTTTCTTGCAGCACCATAGTCAATTGAAATTCCAGTTGTTGCAGCCATCTCGCACTTTACTATGCAAACCAACTTTTTTTCTCCCTTCCACATAACACGGTAGAGAAAAACAAAAACAAAGATCGCGATGTACGAGCTGCGTAGATGTCACTTGCATACTAAGATATACATATATTCAATACTCTAGAACACGTACATATTGGTATGCTAAATTACATAAGTAGTCTGTTTGGTTCATGGAGTCCGTATTAATTTCATCGTCATTAAGGGTATCCTGTGATATTTGATATTCTTTAATTGTGATCTCTGTCAATAATTCTTTAATTTCATTGATTCTAGTTGTAAACGTTTCATTGGTACAATCTTTTGTTATATCTTCAATTTCGATGATTAATCCCTTAAAACCCGTAGAAGAGAAAAGGTTGATACATCTAATGAGACAGTTCATCGTCTTGAATGTTTCTCCAGCATCACCTCTCAATATTTGTCGTTGTTCCCACATATTAGTCAACTTATTACCTAGTAAAATATCAAAGGATTCTGGGAACCCTGTGCTACAATCATTCTCAACTAAATTTTGAACTCTGTTATCATCTGTAATCTTGTTACTAATAGATACATCTGAACTCAACAGGAAACCTAATTTATTCTTAATTATTATTGTATTTTCATCATGATGAGAGAAATTCATCGTATACATTAACTTTGAACGTGAATCCTCTGAATAATTTTTGATTTGTGTTCTATAAGTTCGGAATTCAAGTGACCACGTTCCTTCTGTTGATAGTAAATCATTAGCTAATGCATCTTTAAAATTTGTAAGTGTTGCTGGTGTAGCTCTCTCTATAAATATAACTCTGTTTAATTAACACAAATCAAATATACTGATATATTGTATATTCGTTTTCATTATTGTTAGTTACTGATATTCGAGTACGAGATATGATATTTATCTATATGGACCAAATATGGACCACTCAACACTAATTGTTAAGCTGCATCTTTTATTTTTAATATGGGTTTGCAATACATACGCTGTACTTGTCATTATTTTGAACTTCGTATTAGTATTTCGGATAATAGTGTCAACAATTTATAAAGTACTAAATTTTTATCAATTGACACTTCTATAAAAACTGACTTTCTTCACGCAACATTAAGAGAACTCATCTGAATATAGTCAATCACCAATCATTTTTAATGATTATCTATGATAGCCCTTACCTGTGAAAAGATCAAATTCAATTGAATTTCGCACGTCAACAATTTGTTCCACACAACGAAAAAAAAAATCAATTAAACGGCTTTCCCATCTTTTTTTTTTTTTGCTTCCCTTCTTCGTTTCTTTGAAGTCTTCAACACAGAAAACAAAATGACATAATTGAAATGAAGGTGCATATGAATAATTGGATGATAAATTTAAACATCTATAAGTAAGAATATTTTTACTAAATTCTAGTTTACTTAAAACAAGTATATCTATACTGTGAATAGAGATATTTTCTATCAATACATACTTTGTTCTTGGCATCAATTTTGGAGGATATTTCAGCATTTCAGTGACATAAACTGCATACCTCGTTATTATTATATCGAAACCCTATTATATTTTGGAAGACAATAGAGTTTTTATTTATTAAGTATTCCATAATTTATTGAATACATCATGGATTCATTTGATGGGGCTATTTTAACCATATTTGCTTTATTAATCACAATTTATTATAAATTTGAAGCTATTAAAGCTATCTTATACGATGAAACTGAAGAAAGTCTTGGCGCAATCTCTAGTAGTGGTTCTAGGGAAATTACTACCGTGATCCAGGAAAATGACAAGAATTATATTGTATTTTATGGTACACAAACTGGCACTGCAGAAGATTATGCAAAGATGTTTGCTAAAGAATTAGTTGGTAAGTTTTCTTTAAAAGTAATGTGTGCAGATGTTGAAAATTTTGATTTTGAAACATTAAATGAATTACCTAAGAATGTTATGGTATCATTTTTTATTTCAACTTATGGTGAAGGTGATTTTCCTGATAGTGCAGTATCGTTTGAAGAATTTTTACTTGGTTTAGACGAATCTGAACAAAGTTTAAATAGATTAAGATTTACAATGTTTGGTTTAGGTAACTCTACTTATGAATTTTTCAATAATGCCGCTAAGAAAGCTACAAAGAATATGATTAATAATGGTGCAACTTTAATCGGTAACCTTGGTGAAGGTGATGATGGAACAGCTACTACTGATGAAGATTATTTAGCTTGGAAGGAATTGATACTAGAAGACATTAAAGAGGCTTTATTATTACAAGAACATGAACAGGTTTATGAACCTTCTATGAGATATGATACATTAATTGCTAATAATGTAGATATGGATACTGTGTCTCTTGGTGAACCTTCTAAACATTACTTACCTTGTAACAAATTACCATTCAATAATCAGTTAAATATTCAAACTGGTCCATTTAATCATAACTTCCCATATTTGGCTCCGATTGTTAAATCTAATGAATTATTTGGTAAAGAGGCAGATCGTAGTTGTGTTCATGCTGAATTCGATATTTCAGGATCTAATATCAAATATTCTACAGGTGATCATTTAGCTGTTTGGCCTTCAAACTCTAATGAAGCTATTAAGAAATTTTTATTAGCTTTTAATTTAGATGAAGATGAAATGTTTACTTTAAAACCATTAGACTCCACTGTCCAATTACCATTCCCATGTCCAACTACTGTAAGTACAGCTGTTCGTTATTATATGGAGATTACAGGTCCAATTTCAAGACAATTTTTTAACTCCTTAATTCAATTTGCTCCAAATGCAGATATTAAACAAAAATTATCTCAGTTATCAAAAGATAAGATCTTGTTTGCTGAAAATATAACTTCAAGATGTTACAATATTGCTGATGCCGTGCTACATTTATCTGATAATCAACCTTGGAAAACTGTTCCATTTGAGTTTTTAATTGAATCGATCCCACCATTGAAGCCTCGTTATTATTCCATTTCTTCTTCATCAAGCACTGAAAAACAAATGATTCATATTACTGCTATAGTTGAGAAGAATATTGTAAATGACGAATCTTCACCTGTTCTAAGTACTTATGGTATGACTACTAACTTAATTAAACATATTGAATGCAGTCAAAATTTCGAAGAGAAAACTACCGATCAATCAGGGGTTAGTTTCAACCTAGATGGACCTCGTGATTTGTTCCAGGATTATAAGCTTCCTGTATTTGTCCGTCGTTCTACTTTTAAATTACCTTCCAATCCAAAGACCCCAGTTATTATGATTGGCCCAGGTACCGGTGTTGCTCCGTTCCGTGGGTTCATTAGAGAAAGGGTTAAATACCTTGAAGCACAAAGTAATTCCAATGTTAACTTAGGTAAACACTTATTATTTTATGGTTGCCGTAACGATCAAGATTTCTTATATGAAAAAGAATGGCCAGTCTATGCTAATACTCTTGGAGAAGCATTCCAAATGTTTGTCGGTTACTCGAGAGTTCCTGACGCTCCAAAGAAATATGTTCAACACTTATTAAGAGAACAACGGGAACAAATCATGTCTCTATTGAAAGAAGGTGCATTTATTTACGTTTGTGGTGATGCTAAGGGGATGTCACAAGATGTTCATGCTACTTTAGTAGATATCGTTGCCGAAGGTTTAACTATATCCGAAAATGAAGCCATTGATATGTTAAAAGTATTCAAGACCACTGGTAAGTACCAAGAAGATGTTTGGTGAACAGATGCTTTGGTCTCTGTTGTATACATTCTTCATTGTGATCTTATACACACGTATATATTAATATTCATTCGATCCTTTTATTTTTGCACAAAAAACAACAATAATGACCTGTAAAAATTTAGGTATAGTTTTGTGTAATTTTTATCTTTAATTTAAATATTCAGAAATAACTTAAACACGATAAGTTTTTTAAGTCTGTTAAAACCCTTATTCCTTTGAAATGATTGGATGTTTGATTTTTTACAAACTACATATTTTGTGTACATATATACGTATATGTTATTGTGTGCTTCCCTATGATGCTTCACGAGCGTTTTCTGAACTTAACATAGCAGAAAATTTATCCCTTTGTTTATTATCGACTTTGATAGCCTCTAATATTTGATCTGTGACCTTTTCCGTTATATCATATGCTTTGTGACAACATTCCATTAATGTCAATGCATCCATTGGTAAACCACCTGCTTTTGAAACTTGTACTACTTCTCTATTCTTATTTAATGTTACTGTCAATACACCCTCTCTCAGTTGTTCTTCTTTTAAGTTTGCATCTATTATTACAATTTCAGAATTTCCCTCACCTTTAATATTCTCTTCAATATCCAATGGGTTGAAAAAAGAAAATGTAATACAAATTGGAACATGTAAGATGCCTAGAGGTACTGGTTCTCTTTCTTCTGTTGGATGTACTATAATTTTTTCACCATGAATAGTAATGTCTGGTTTCTTATAATGTAATAATGCAGCCATAACTGCAATGCATGATGCATCAACAAATCCACCATCGCAATCTAAGAAATGTACATTGGCTCTAATGGCCCAACATTTACGTCCTGCCACTATACATAACCCTTCGATATCTAAAGCACCAGATCTTCTTACTGCTTTTTCAATGATTCTAGAGATCAGGACTTCATCTTCACCAGTATTATTACCATTCTCAAATTGAGGTCCTGCCATTGGTGTACTCTCAGTAGAAATAAAGAAAAGACCTTCAAAGGGTCTATCTTCATAAGGTTCAGTGATGGAACTGCTTATCTTACAATGAACTTTGGTCTTCCCCATCTCTATTAGGACATCACCTAACTCTTCACCAAATTGTATCTTGACATCACGAAATTGATCAAATGTACGGTTATCTAGTCTATAGTTTTGTTTCAATGCTTCAAGAATGAATTTTGATTCAGATGTAGAAATTTCAATGTCTTTTGCCATTTCGTCTTGCTTATTATAATTCTATAAAAGTACAGTACCGTGCTGAAGTTAAAGCTAAATAAAAAAGAAAATTTTAAACAACTAAAGCCTCTGATCACTAAGGGATAAAAATATCGTAAAGATAATGTGTTCAATTATGTAGTTATTCCTTTTTTAAAGAAGATGCAATCACAACCGCTGTTACACAGGGCTTTAAAAGTTTCATATTTCCAGTTTCTGTTTGAATTTCTTCACTGCAAAAATTTGAAAATTAAAGCGATGAGCCTTCGTAGGACGTGATACTAGAATTTGCCCCATAAATAAATAATCGTTAGAAGTTATTATGCATTGTATGGCTCATTTGGTGCAAAATAAAACAGGTCTACACTGTCCTGCATTCGTCATATATTTCGATAAATTAACAAATAAAATATCCAACTACTCATACATTGATAGAATATTAGTAATCGCTCGTTTCTAATTTGATTTCCTACACAGATTTACAATTTTAACGTATTTAAAAAAACATGAACGACTCGCTTTCCGGAGAAATATTACTTTTGTGCAGCAATTTCTTCGGAGGTTCGTTTAGTGGGGCATTGAAATTAATATATCGGTTATATAATAAATGAATGAATCGATAGGTAAAAGATAAAATAATTCACAGGTCGATCAAGGTTATCTTGACAGGTTTCCATTATATAATGAATATTTAAATGAGTAGAAAGGATTTTGTTTGATATTTGAGTTATATTTTCTATTATCATTTTTCTTGAGATATTCAATTAGTATTGTTAAGAAAGAAAGAACAGATTGATCACCATATTAATATAACCAAATAATGTCATTGAAATCCTGGTGTGAACTAATAATTACGATATTTTTACTAGTATGGGGTGCAAATTTCTTATTTACAAAGGCCATTTTGGAAAATAAGAGAGACCTTTCTGTTATGGCATTAAATGAACAATCCAATAAAACGAGTGTCCGTAAGAAGAACGAAACAGCATTATACAGAAATTTTTTGGTCCCAATTGGATTTCCTTTGACCACTGGTTTGGGTTTATCTCTTGGTTATAAAATTAGAAATGGTAATTTCATGGACGTATGGAAAGCTATTATGGATGTCACCGTTGAAAAAAATAATTTTATTAGTTTTAATAATAATAAAAGATATACTCTCTCTCTGATCAATGGTGCTGCCAATCATCTTATTAAGGAAGTTTACGAAAAATTTGATGTTAATGAGGTAGGCGTGAATATTAGTGTATCAAGTTTTGAAGGTTTTGTGATCAGTGTAGCATCTATGATATATTCCATAAGGAACAAAAATGGGAAGGGATTATTACATTATTTAACTACAGTTCCTCGTCAAAGATTGTCTAATGTAGATATCCTTGTAATTGATTCTTGGCAAGCATTTAGAATGCTGAACAAGAGTGAGGATTGGTATAAATTGATCATTGTTTGTGACGATACGGAAAGTGTCCTAAAACCAAAGAATACTGAACTTTTAAAAAATGTTAAAACTTGGAATGAAATCATTGCAGGTTCTACTGAGGATTCACGTTTCGAATATGATCCTCCAACTGATAATTCCGATGAGTTGAAATTATTGTTAAATATCACTACATCTTCAAATGAAACTACATCTTTCAATCAATTAAATTTAGTCAGCAGTATATCGGCATTCATAAAGACGTTCCCCTTAAATAACGAATTATCTTCGAATGATGTTATTACAGAGATTTGTGATCCATTTTCATTGACTAAGAATAATCTTCAAATTTGGCCAAAAGTTTTATCCGTGTTACTGCTTGGGGGGTCAGCACAATTTCTATTGGATAAAGATGTTGAATTGGATGCTCTTAATGACACAACTTTGCTAGTTGTTAACCCTAAGGCCTTAGGTAATCTATCAAAGACAATCAAAGAAAAATTGGCTTCTTCTTCAAAATTTGACACAATCAAACAATCTCTCTCAACAACCCTGTTAAGTGAAGGGATTATGAACAAAATATCTAAATTAGATGTCCCTCAACTGCAGAAAATACGATCCATCTATTTAATTGAGGAGTTAACCAATGAATCACACATTCTATCCTTTGATGGTAAAATACCGAAAAGAACCAAAGGTCAAATAAATGGAAAATTCACCAGTACTAAGCTCAATTATTATAGAGCGTTGTTTGGATGTAGACTAGTAGTTGAATTATTTTGTCCATATATAATTATGGGTCCAATTAGTCAAACGAATTTTTACGATTACAGAATTTTTCCAAAAGTAGTGGATGCTAACGTTACCTGTGTAGGGTCAATGACAACTGCTTTAGAAGGGAAAATTGTTTCAACAGAAATGAATCCTGATTTGGAAATTGAAGATAGACAAGGTATGTTATGTGTTCGTGGGTTTACAATAGGAAGACCAGTAACCGAAAAACGGTTGGAAAATGCCTTAACCTTAAGTAATAGCATTGCAGGCGGTGAGGGGTGGATTCCTTTAGTAGGTGTCTTTGGTTTATGGGGACAAGACGGTTGTCTTTACATATATAATTAAAAACACTTTCTCGACGTGGTCTATTCTATTTATTGGTGTAAAAGGTATCAGTACATCCCTTTATTATTCACTTATAAAATAATACACCTACATATTTATTCTATCATTTATATATGTTACATGTTTTACTTTTATTTGCATTATAACGGTCATTATTATTATTCTTTTAGTTTACTTTGCTTCATGCTTTTTTCATTTATTCATGACATTTATGGTATCTAATCATATTTCAAAATACCACCGACATTACTCCAAAAATCAGTAATATATTTCTGTTGGTCTTTGTTTGTTGAATCACAAGTACCTCTAACTGCGAAATAAGTTCTATTATCAACAGGAATATCCCATTCATTATTATTGGCACCAACAATTTTACCTCCAGTTTCATTCAAAATGCACCAACCAGCACATACGTCCCAGGAGTAACAACCACCATCCCAATAACTATCCAAATAACCTAAAGCAATATATGCAAGAGACATTGCAGAGGAGCCAAGATTTCTGAAACCATGAACAAACCCACCATCTGCAGATAATAAATTTTCATATGTCTTCATCTTGGTTTTAAAATTGGTACCTTCTCTTGCGGATCCCGGTTGTAATGCTACAATAGATTTATTGATTATTAATGGACCCATTGATTTAATTTTGGTTTCATAATCATAATCTTCTCCGTTGAGTCGTACACCATTATCTTTCGATGCAGATATCAACAAATTCAAATGGGGGTTAAAGATTACACCAACCACAGGAATTTTATTAATTGTTAATCCCATAGAAGTACAACTAAAGGGAAAATCATGAACAAAATTCGTTGTACCATCGATTGGGTCCACTATGAAAGTTGGTTCATCAGTTATCTTCGTTACACCTTTGACATAACTTTCTTCACCAACAAATTTAAAATTTGGGAACTCATCCTTTAAAGAGTCCCATATCAATTTTTCCACTTGTTTATCAATTGCAGTGACGATGTCAACTTGTCTAGAACCTGTCTTCAAATCATATTCGCTTTGAGTACCAGATTTGGTCTTGATAATTGGACCGATCTTTTTCAGAGCCAAGTCGCATAAAAAGTTCTCAATATATCTTAGATCTATCGTCATTATTTGCAAAGCAGAACTATGGTTGATTCTTCTATGAATATTGAACAAAAATTATATTAAATCATATTACCTGAGACTTAAAATGTGATCTACGATGTCTTACTTACAGCGCATATGCTTATATATGTGCAGTCTTTAATTATTTAAAAAGATAATAATAATAATGATGAATGACTCGGCAAGGCAACCGAAGAGAAAGCAACGAAAAATGACGAAATTTCGGTAAAATTTTCAAAATAAACTAACAATTCTACGGACAAGTCTTTGTAATTTGACCGATCAGTCAAAAAGCAACTACTATATTTTTCACCAAGACAAGTACATCTGCTAGATAGTTCAACGAATGTGAACAATCTGGGAGAACTTTATATATATATATCGCTATATTATATTATATCAGCAATAATTACATTATAATGTGGGTATATACATATACATATTTATTATAAAATATGAAATCATTTAGAAAATCTAAGCTAAAAACTTCTTTTCCTTCAAGTATTTCTCCACATCCTCAGCATCTCTAACAACCCATTGTGCCTTAGATTCTACGGTATCGATTGCTTGTGCTAGACTTTTATCATATCCCTTAGTATCCTTTGATTCAAAGAATGCCTTAACCATACTAATATCTTCATAAGATGTAAACCCAGAGATGGTAACATTTAACAGATGACCTAATAGAGGAGAACTTGGATGTAATCTCTTGACAATTGCATCAAGATTCTTTTGTAACCAAGCCCACATGGCCAAGACACCTTCTTTATGACCTCTCATTGCTACTAGAGGAATGTAGATATCTTGGTTTAAGATAGTACCATCCAAAACATAACCAAGTGTTCTTTCGATCAATTTAGCGTCTTTGAAACCACCTAAAACTCTTAAGGCAGCAATTTTTTCATCTGAATTTTCTGTCTTCTTATAAATATCTAGAAGACTTTCATAATTCTCAGTGTTACCATTCTTTGCAACAACAGAATAAACGTAAGGTCTGATTAGAGCTGGAATAGCATCAGTTTCACCAGCGATTCTTTTGTTAAACATATCAAATGATAATTTAACAATGGAATCCAAGTTACATGCAGCTGCTGTTCTAAATAGAACAACCTTTAGACGTTGATCATCATATGATTCTGATGATTCAAAAGTCCATTTCATTTTTTTAACTTTATCACTAATGGTATTAGTCATATATTTTACGATAGAATCTTGAATTTTATCATCAGCAAACAACCATGCAGAACGAATAGAATTCAAACTATTACAAATTTGCTCCCAGACAACAAAAGAATCTTCATCCTTCCATGCAGAAATTAAATCTAAGAAAGATGCAGAAGATATATAACCTGCAGAGGAAAGATTCTTAGCATCAGCAATAATACCAGTACGATCTTCAACAGATAATAATTTTCTTTGTTTACCGAAAGTGGTCCATCTCTTAGCAGGGTAAGCAGTGATGAATAAACCAGCTTGGTCACTGTTAATCTTATAGAAATCACCATATTTTACATCAAAGGATTTAATCTTTTCATCTAGAACTAAAGAAGTGTCTACGCCATTCTTAGTCTTAATTGATAAAAATACAGGGTAAATAGTTTCATCTTCTTCTGGTAAGACATCACCAGTACTTAAATAACGATGTTGAACAAAAGTTAATTTATCTTTACCTTCAATTACAGTAATTAATGGGAAACCAACTTTTTGTGTCCAAATTTTCATAACATTCTTAACATCTTTACCAGAAGCTTGAGCTAAATGATCCCATAAATCTTCAGTCTTTGCATTACCATATTTGAATTTATTTAAGTAATTTGAAACACCTTTAATAAATGTTTCTTCACCTAACCATTTGGATACCATTCTTAATAAAGAAGAACCCTTAGAATAAGAAATAGCATCAAAAATTTGATTAATTTCATCTGCGTTTTTAACTGGGACTTCAATAGGATGTGAAGATCTTAGTGAATCTAAACCAATGGCACGTTGTAAATTATCTGAAACATATTGTTCCCAAACTTTCCAAGTTGGTTGAAAGTTGTTACAAGAATACCATGACATCCAAGTAGCAAAACCTTCATTTAACCATAAACCTTCCCACCAATCCATTGTAACTAAATTACCAAACCATTGATGAGCCAATTCATGTTGAATAACTTCAGCAACTCTCTGAACACGATCTAAGGATGCATTTTTTTCATCCAATAAGACATCAATTACTCTATAAGTGACTAACCCCCAATTTTCCATAGCACCAGCAGAAAATTCATGAACAGCAACCATATCCATCTTTGGTAATGGATATTCAATGTTAAATGTTTTTTCAAAGAAAGTTAAAGTTCTAGAAGCCAAATCAGCTGCAAATTGACCATTAATTTCATCACCTGGTGTAGCATAAACTTTGACTGGGGTACGACCAGAATTATTTTCAACATATTTTAAATCAGCTACAATAAAAGCTACTAAATAAGTAGACATATTTGGGGTTGGATTAAATGATGTAATTTTCTTATTATTATCAATTTTTTCTTCATTAACATCCATATTAGATAAATGAGTTAAAGATGAATCAGAGATTAATTCAATTGTAAATTTAGCCTTTAAATTTGGTTCATCAAAACATGGAAATGCTCTTCTTGCATCAGTGGCTTCCATTTGAGTAGTAGCCATATATTTTGTTTCACCAGTCAATTTATCTTGATATTTAGCTCTATAAAACCCAGCCATTTGATCATTTAATATACCAGTATAAATAATATTTAATTTAATTTCTGATGATTTAACAAAAGTACCCTTTGGAAAATGTAAGGCTACTGTTTGTTTTTCAGCATTAAATTCAATTTTAGTTGATTTAATTAAATCATTTTTTTCACCGATGGTAACTTCATGAATATCTAATTCCATAGAATTTAAAGTAATAATATCATTAGTTTTATCATTAATTTTTAAATCAATACTAGTCTTACCATTGAATTTGAAAGTAGTAAAATCTGGTTCGAATGATAAATAATAATGTAATGGAGTAACATTAGTTGGTAAAATTTCACGATCTGACATGTTGAATCAATTGATTTTAATCGTTTAATCGGATATATGTGATCTTTACCTATTTCTATATATATATTAATTTTATTCAATAAATCAATTAGAAAATAACAGAAAAACTAGTTCGTAATAAAATAGACTAAATATATGTTAAGTTAGTTTTAATTGTAATATTCTTAAGTTATAAAACTTTTTAACAAATCCAAACCTGTATTCAATTTTTCTTTTCAACGAGAGAGGTCCCTTTTCTTTCCCATACTGAATATCAGCACTATGCTTGCTTGCTACTTTTCACTAAGAAAGACTCGCTTACTTTAATTATTTTTTCAGTTTGTTGTGTGTTAGGAACTTCCAGCTGTGAAATTTGTAGCTTCCTGTTTTTTTATGTTGTTTTTAAGCAGCGAAGCGATACACACAGAACACAATCCGCACAGTATTTACTGAAGAAAGAATAACAAATTATTTATATTTGTTTCGCGAAAGAAAATTTGTAAAGAAAAAATTGAAATGAATTGTTTTTCGATGAAAAATGAAAAATAAATGACACAAAAACAAAAAAATAAAGATATTTCAAGCTAAAAAATGGTAACAAAAGAAGGAAGAAGGCAAAGAAAACAAAAAAAATGTGTCAAGTTTAACGGCTGAAAATTGGCAAGAAAAGGAATCTTCATCCTTCATTATTATTTTTTTAATATAGAAGACAGACTGCCTCTCACATATTTTATTCTTCATCGTTAACTATGATATAGTGTCTGTGTATACTTAAAAATACGTGCACAATTTCATGGTCGCAATCTTTCATTCTGTTCTCTTAATTTATTAATATAAACTCTATGTGTTTTTAAAAAATAAAATACTTAAATTTGATAGTTAAATTAGAATAAAGATAAGGCTCTCGGAATTAAATATTTTCCTTATTATTTTTTAACTTCCGTGGAGTTAACAGTTAATCAACTTTTTTATTTTAATTTTTATTTCTCTATTCTCGTGGCCTAACTCTAGTATTCGACTAACATTTTCCCAAGTTGCCCTTATTTTTTACAAATTTGACATTTTCTCTCATAAATTCATTACTTTTTCGCTCTAGATATATTTGACAGGGAAGAAAGAATAAAAAAGGGGACTTAAATAATGCAAATAAAAAATTCTTCGAGAGAAAAAGGGAGTGTAATTCAAATAATCATATTTTTGAAATGACGGAGAAGAAAGTTCAGGGCAATAATAGAACTGTATATTTATTTCTGAAAAGATATATATGAACGGATATAAAATATATTGATGGAATTTGAACAATACATCCCCATATATATTAGTAACTTATTTGATATAGGACAGAATTTTAATAGGGGCGTAAGTCAATCATGCTAATTCCGATTAACAATAGATGATTATCACCTGTCTATTATATTATTTCTTTATTAATAATATCTCTTATAATTACTATCTTAAGAACGGATTTAACATATTGTATTGACACGGAACTTGTTACAAAATCAAAAAAAAGATGGGTATTAACTCCACTTTTCAATTATAATACGGAAATACGAGAGAAAAAACAATTATAATTTTCAATTCGTTCGGCCGAATTACTAAAGTCGATTCCGTTGTTACAATTTTTAACAATTTTTAGTAATCCTGATCGGAGATAAATGTTACATAACGCAAACATTTTTTGTCAGCAAAATATTTAGTGATTTTCGTTATTGAGAAGGTTAGAAGAGAAGGCATAACAAATTTTTCACTCTGCTATTTTTGCATGTTTGCATTTTTTGGGTTTTCTCGATGAGGCAGCAACAATAAGCCGTATTGTTTTCAAAGCAATTAGGTAAGTGGAATTAACAATGACTAAATTTATATCAGTATCATTACCTAATGACAATACTAGAGAGTCATATTAATCAATATTCTTTTATTTGTTATGTTCTTAGTCTTTTTTTAATATTTATATAAAACACTCGTTATAACTTCTTTTTAGTATTTCATTTTCTTATCTAACTCTTAAATTGTTATTGAACGGTGAATTTGTTCTGAAATCCAAGCTTATACAGCTATTTGCAACTTCAATTGATTATCGTTAATAGTACTGATTATATTTTAGACCCGAATTAAGAAGGAAAGAAAAATATGAATACTACAGAGAGTGATAAAGAAATCATGGATATGAGGGCTTCAAATACTAGCTCTAATTTCACTAGCAGTATTAATGATATCGAACCAATTAATTCCATTTATTCGGCATCCTCGAGACATGATGACATTGATGTTGATCAAGATATTAATAGTAAATTAGAACGTTTATCTACAATTACTACAAAAGAGAAAATTGAAAACAAATTTTCCGAGTATGATGTCGCATTCATTAGCGATGGTCCACCAGATCCTGAAAATGTTACTAAGTTTTATTCAATTTATAAGAAGTATTATATTTCTTTATTAATTACTTTCACATGTATGGTTATTACAATGATTTCTTCGTGTTGGACTTTTGTTTCACCTCATGTTATGAAAAAATTTAATATATCTCATGAAGTTAGTATCTTAGGTATTACATTATATGTCTTTGGTTTGGCTTTCGGTCCTTTATTCTTATCTCCTTTAAGTGAATTGTATGGCAGAAGATATACATTTATTATTTCACTGATTTTAAGTATTTCAATGCAATGTTTAACTACTTGGTCTAGTACCATTGCTGGTATTATGATTGGAAGATTCTTAAGTGGATTCTTTGGTTCTTCGTTTTTAAGTGTTGCAGGTGGTACTTTAGGTGACCTTTTCGATAAAAGTTCAATTACAGTTCCAATGGCAATTTTTACAAGTGCTGCTTTCTTAGGTCCTTCCTTAGGTCCAATTATTTCAGGTGCATTCTATACTACAGATTATAGATGGACATTCATTACATTTATTATTGCGTCAGGTGTTTGTTTAATCTTGATTATTTTTACTGTACCAGAGACGTATCCACCAATGTTATTGATTAATAAGGCAAAACGTCTTAGACAAGAAACTGGTGATAGTAATTATCGTGCACCTTTAGAAACTGTTCGTGAAGAAACCTCTTTGGTCTCAGCTGTATTATTATCCTCGAGAAGACCATTTGCATTATTATTTCGTGACCCAATGATGGGTGTCTTATGTTTTTATACTGGTTTTGAATTAGCTATCATCTACTTATATTTTGTTGCCTTCCCATACATCTTTGAAAGTGTTTATGGATTTGGTGTAATGGGTGTCGCTTGTGCTTATATTGGTATGATGGTTGGTATGATCATTGGTGCATTTACATCTTTCTATTTTCAGAAAAGTTATGATGCTAAAGTTGCCGCTAACAATGGTAAAAGTACACCAGAGATGAGATTTGAACCATTATTTTATGGTGCTTTCTTAACTCCAATTGGTCTTATGATCTTTGCATGGACATGTTATCCTCATGTTCATTGGATTGGCCCAATCATTGGTAGTGGTATATTTGGTACAGGTGTGTTCTATGTCTTTACAGGTATTTTCAATTATACGGTAGATGCGTATAGAAGATATGCTGCATCAGGCCTAGCATGTAATGCATTTGTCAGATGTGTCATGGGTGGTGTCTTCCCATTATTTGGATTACAAATGTACAAGAAAATGGGTATTAATTGGGCTGGGTTTTTCATTGCTATGATTACAGTCTTATTGATTCCTGTACCATTTTTATTCACAAAATATGGGCCGTATTTAAGATCTAAGTCTCCTTACACATGGACAGAATAAAAACATTAAAATAAAATTGAAAACTTTGCATCTTAAGGAATTAACATGGTCAGATCGTAACATAAGCATTAATTATAAGAATATATGGATGCTTATTGCTACTGTTCATTGGTTGTTTTGTTTTTTTCCCTTAATCCTTTAGTATTAGATATACATTGCATTTTATCCCACTTTAAGTGTTAAATAATTAATTCAGTAGAATACACATATTCCATTTTTTACAAGAAATAATCGATGATTTAACGAATTGAGGATTATGATCTTCTTTAGCGTTATTCATATTATTTAAAATATAATTATGTAATATACAGTAAAGGAAAATATACTTAATTGCATAAAATATGCAATTAACTATTTTCATTTATTACCATAAATTTGTACCAAACAAACTGTCAAAATAGGCAAATATATTAGCATGAAGAAATCTATACGTTCAATGCTTTCGTTACAGTGGTAATCAAGTCCTTTAGAAATGATTCCAAGTCTCTCTCTCTCTCTCTCTCTCTCTCTCTCTCTCTCTCTCTCTCTGCATTATTAAGAAGAAATGAAAATTTCATATTTTCTTCTTTTGCTGCCGTGATTTCTTACTCCAGAATGGACGGTGTTTAACGTATTCCAAACTTGTAGGCCCTTTATTAACAAGACTTTCCCGAGCGTCAAGTAAATTCATAGCTGAAAAATTTTTGATTATGTTAACTAATCTGTTACGTAGTAAAGAAAAAATTATACGTAATCAAGTGAATACGTAAAACAAGCCGATGTGAGATCTCTCTTTGTTTTGTTTGTTTCCGTAGAAAAATTTTTGAACTATTTATTGCATCAATTATGCGTTTTTATACGCCTTAACCTGTATATCAATAATTTATATATAAACGTAACACTTTCACTCATTATAATTATTTAATTACTTCACATCGAAAATTTTCGAAAAAGAACCATTTAAAAATATATATATATAATCACAAATCACAATAAGAAATGTCTACTACTGTCCCTAAGTTACTGTTCCTACAAGGTTTCCTTCAAAATGCTAAAGTCTTCTCTGAAAAATCCTCAGGTATTAGAAAGCTTTTAAAGAAGGCTAATATTCAATGTGACTACATTGATGCACCAGTTATGCTTGAAAAGAAAGATCTTCCATTTGTCATGGATGATGAGAAATGGCAAGCTACTTTGGATGCTGATGTTAACAGAGCATGGTTCTACCATAGTGAAATCTCCCATGAGTTAGACCTAACGGAAGCAATTGATTATGTTGTTAAATATATTAAAGAGAATGGACCATACGATGGTATTGTAGGATTCTCTCAAGGTGCTGCACTTTCTACTATTTTGACCAACAAGATCACTACATTAATTCCAGAACACCCAGAATTTAAAGTCAGTTTGATCATCTCTGGTTACTCTTTCACTGAAGAAGATCCAGAACATACAGGTGAATTGAGAATAACTAAAAAATTCCAAGATTCTTTTACTCCAAAGAGGGACAGCAAGACTAAATTAATCTTCATTTATGGTGAATCCGATCAAGCTGTTCCTTGTGTTAGAACAAAATATTTGATTGATCTTTACAAGAAAGCTGGTGTAAGTGATGACTCCATCAGTGTTTTCCCACATCCAGGTGGTCATATGGTTCCTAACAAGAAGGATATTATTAGACCAATTGTTGAAATAATTGAAAAGTCACTTAAGGATTAAGGTATTGGATATAGATTTCCCAAAATCTTTTAGAATTAGAGTCTTTTATGAGTGTTTATCTTCTTAATTGACCGGAAATTGCATTGTCTTCAATTTTAAAACTGTTCTATATGTAGTATTATGTTTATAGAGTATTCGTTACAGATATTTAATACCACTAAGTATATTAAAATCATTTGAGATGTTTTTCATATTTTTAAAATTAGGTTATTCCGTAGTTTTACCATACAAGGTTGAATGAGAATCAGTTTAAACCATCTGGTAATTTATTTAAAATATAGTATATGCATTATTCTTATTTGACATTGCTACAAGAATTTGGCTTGTGAACAACCATTAGATTGTTCTTGAAACCATGGGTTAATTGGTTTTGGTAGTTTTCGATAGTCACCAAAACAATATTATATTTAACAAGACGAAAACATCTGTTACCATTTCTTAGCCATACAACCTGTTTCGGTTTCTATTTTTGAATATCACTTTTATTTTGTTTTAAGTTAGCCTTATTGTGTTCTTTCTAGAAACTCTAATGAAGTCCATTCACACTATGTGACGTGCTGTAAAAATATTTTCTTCTTTGTTTTCCCTTTGAGGGTGCAGCTGCAGTAACTTAGGACAGCCGCTGATTGACAGAGTGGAAATGTTAAAAAAAATAAAGCAGAGACAACGCCAATAACAAATATCTAGAACGTAAATACAACGGTTAAAAAATAAAAAATGGAGATTAAAACAGGCAATGAAAATATATCAAAATTTCAAAGAAGGTATAAGGATAAGATTATAATCATTAATATTTATTGATAGATAGACTAGTTTTGTAGTTACTATTGTTAATACTAGAACCTTAGACAAGGATCAAATATTTTACATTATTTAATAAACACGAAAAGATTACAACGAAGAAAAAAAACGCCTAATTTTAAAAATAAATCAAGATTTCACACTTACTGTTAATCAAATATATTAAATGGTACAACAACGTTATGAACACCTAGCGACAGATGAAAGCATTGAAACAAATGAAACAAGCACGAAAGATAATGCTAATGACAATGGTACAACAACTGCTGATGTAATAGATTTCGTACGGCCTACATCTTTGAACTCTGGTTATTCACATGATGACTCTAAGAATAGAATAGTGCAAGTACTTTTAAAGTATATGAAATTTGTAGGACCGGGTTTAATGGTATCAGTTTCATATATGGATCCTGGTAATTATAGTACTGCAGTTGCAGCTGGTTCAGCACATCGTTATAAATTACTTTTTTCAATATTAGTATCCAATTTTATGGCTGCATTTTGGCAATGTCTATGTGCAAAGCTAGGTGCCGTTACAGGTTTAGACTTAGCTCAAAATTGTAAAAAACATTTACCATTTGGGTTAAACATAGCATTATACATACTGGCAGAGATTGCGATTGTCGCAACAGATCTTGCTGAAGTTGTTGGTACCGCAATCTCATTAAATATTTTATTTGATGTTCCCTTAGCATTAGGTGTTGTTTTAACCGTCATCGATGTTTTAATAGTGTTAATGGCATATAAACCTAATGGATCTATGAAATGGATTAGAATATTTGAAGCATTTGTTTCATTTTTAGTGGTAATGACTGTTATATGTTTTGGTATTGAATTATTTTATGCAGATTTAGGACCTGCTAAAGAAATTTTTAAAGGATTTTTACCAAGTAGAGCCGTCATTGATGCAGATGGATTGTATTTAAGTTTAGCTATACTTGGTGCTACTGTAATGCCACATTCTTTATATTTAGGGTCTGGAGTTGTTCAACCAAGATTGAGAGACTATGACATTAATAAAGGTTACTATAAACCTGATATGAATGATATTGAAAATAACCATGATAATTATAAACCGTCATTTGAAGCTATTAATGAAACACTTCATTATACAATGGCAGAATTATTAGTATCATTATTTACCGTTGCATTATTTGTTAATTGTTCAATTTTAATAGTTAGTGGTGCAACACTTTATGGTACAACTCAAAACTCTGAAGAAGCAGATTTATTTTCAATTTACAATTTACTTTGTAGTACATTATCAAAGAGTGCAGGTACTATCTTTGTTGTTGCATTATTATTTTCAGGTCAAAGTTCAGGTATTGTTTGTACATTAAGTGGACAAATGGTTAGTGAAGGGTTTTTAAATTGGACTATTGCACCTGCATTAAGACGTTCTGCTACTAGAGCTGTGGCAATTACACCTTGTTTAATTCTTGTTCTAGTGGCAGGTCGTAATGGACTTTCTGGAGCATTAAATGCATCGCAAGTGGTTCTTTCTCTATTATTACCATTTGTATCTGCACCATTATTATATTTTACTTCAAATAAGAAAATTATGAGAGTACAAGTGAATGGTCATAACGATTGTCAACAACCTTCGAAATCTTCTACAGGTTCAAACAATAAATCTATTCCATTTAACGATGAAGGATCACATCAAGATGAATTTGGTGCTGATGAAAGTATAGAATTACAAGATCTTCTGAAATCAAGCCCTAAACAAACAGACACAAACATTGTGACAAACACTGATGATATAACACCAGAATATAAAGACATGAGCAATAGTCTTTTCACTACTATTGCAGCAATTGCAGTTTGGTTACTTGTATCTGTGCTAAATTTTTACATGTTAGTCAGTTTTGCAAGCAATCAAGAAGTTCACGTGTAACCGGTACAGAACCTCACTATGCATTTCCTTTTGAGTAATTCTGTAAGCATATACATATATACATAAACAAGGCATTTCCATATTTTAAAATTAAGGTCAAGCAAGGTATGTATAAATTTATGCCCAAAGAAGAGCTTCGTACCTTCAAGCCCTCTTTGCATCACTCTATACGACCACCCTGTATATATATGTATGTATATGTATCGTGCATTGAAACCCCGGGAACCGTCCCATGCATAATCACCGAAGACGGGATGCAGTCAATTGACCAATCAACGTCAATTTTCGATTCATTTTCGGGGAGAAAAAATGACCGACAAACCCGCTAAGCGTGTAAAAATAAGAAAGGTAACTTTATCCTGCGTTACATCCTGCCTGTCTGTGAGTAAACTGGGGGCAGAGAAGAACAGGAGGTTCATACTGCACAAGAAGCAACAATATATGTTGACATTTATTGTTAAGAATAAGATTAAGAACAGTATTGGTTGTACCAATACTGATACTAATAACAATTGTAGTTTGAATATGAAGTTCCGTATTTGATTAGTTTATTTGAGTTAACATACTGTTTTGGTTTGCTCTGTAGTTTCTGTATGTAAAATGCAGGTGGTATTGGACGAATAAAGAATCATGTAATTAATTGAAGTTTTAATGGAGTCTTTTTTTTGATAGAACCGTTAGAATAATACTTGTCTCGTCTTCTAATCAATTGTTGAGTGTCTCGAGAAGTAGGAATTCACCGAATGTATAGTTTCTTCTTTCTATTCGGGTTCTCTCCGAGAATCCAAGTTGTTCTAGTCTTCGTTATGAAGAACTTGTATATATATATATATATATAAGTACAAGTCAGACTTACTAGGTAGTCTTTAATTCTGTTTCGTTTTTCTTCTTGATTTTTTTATTATTTCAATAATTTTTATTTATGTTTCTTTTGGTACGGAGATCTCGCTTCTATACTACTTTCATATATAAAAAGGACTAAATTTCATAAACAATTTTTTTAACAAAAAAATTAACTATCTTTTATTTTTTGAATATATAATAAAGTAGAAAAAAATATTACATTAATAAACATATAATAGATATAACTTCATTACGGATTATACACGAAAGTAACATTAATTGTTTTTTTTTATTACTTCACATTTCATTATCCTACAATTACAAATAAAATTAATATAAAATGTTGTCCAGAATTATCTTAAGAAATCCTGTTGCCACTAGATCTTTAATGACAGTTGCTAGACCAACTGCTTCAACTTTACTACATTCAAGAAGAACACTAACGCCTTTCTTAAACTCTGGTCTACAAATTAGAAAATATTCTGAACATGCGGATGAAGAAACTTTCGAAGAATTTACTACTAGATTCGAAAAAGAGTTTGATGAAGCTTACGATTTATTTGAAGTTCAAAGGGTATTGAACAATTGTTTTTCTTATGATTTAGTTCCAGCTCCAGCTGTGTTAGAAAAGGCTTTAAGAGCTGCTAGAAGAGTAAATGATTTACCAACCGCTATTAGAGTATTTGAAGCTTTGAAATATAAAGTTGAAAACGAAGATCAATATAAAGCCTATCTAGAAGAATTAAATGGTGTTAGAGAAGAATTAGGTGTACCATTAAAAGAGGAGCTATTTCCAAATGCACCATCTGGTCCGGGCCTAAATTAGACTAAATTAGAAATAAAATTAGAAATAAAACGAACAGAGAAGTCGGCTTGTATTTCTGGTTTTATAATTGTTTTATTTATATCTTCATTTTAGTACCTCTATTTTTTATTTATTCTATTCTTCCTTTAAATTTTTTATTAGAAAAAGATATCTCAAATTTTACATGTGTTTATTTTTTTTATCAACCCTAATTTACCCAATAACTCTTTTTTATCAAGATACATTTTTAATCATTTTCAAAATATGAGTATCATTCAGTTTTAACGAGATATATGATATTCGAATAAATGTATTCCTTCTTATAACCTTTATTTTTTTGTCCCCCTTTTCCTTTTTCTCTCTCATTAATTTTAAGTTTTCTTTTGCCTACTTGATGTAGGTAGATATAGCTCTCAAGCAGTTAATGAATATTGGCAACTAGATTTTGCAAAAATAAAAAAATATATTCCGACCTAGAGAACAGAGAGAAAGAAACCAAGAATTATATGTATGTCTATCTATATATATATATATATATGTATAAACTAAATTACCTAAACCTTTAAGATAAGATTCATCATAATATTTAGCCATTAGTTCTCTAATTATTATCTTTATTCTAAATCACATACATTTATTCTCATTTGAATACAGTATGATATAATGATTTATTCAGATTGTTACCCAACGAAATAAAGGTTCATAAATGCTATTGGAATGAGAGTACATAGTTAGAATTATTTAAAGTGTTATACAAATTAGGGAAAAGTGATAATGTGAAACAATCAATGCTAAAAAATATTATTTTTCTAATATCATCGAGTAATTATTTCAGATGATTCATAAACTTATTCGTCATCGCTATCTAGAAGAGCACCGGCACCTCTTTTACTTCTTTCTTCGCCATATTCCGCTTCGTCATCGTCATCGTCATCATCATCGTCATCTACTACTCTACCACCTGCATTACTTCTACCAGTGGTCTCACCTCCATCAGATTCACTCTCATAATCACTACTGGAGCCTTCATCTTCTTCGGAGTCACTTGCTTTACCTTGATTAACCTCTTCTACTGCATCAAACCAATCACTATACACATCTACAGGTTGTGATAATGCATTTATACGTGTTTGAAAACTTTGTCCACAAATTTTACAATTTAAGGATCCGATACTATTTCTTTTATCCAGCTTACATGATACTGAATTTTCATGATTACAAAACAAACAATTAAATTTGGTATCTAATTTTTGAACTTGTTTCTTAGCTGGACCTCTAGACGATTTCTTTCTCTTACCCATTGTGTATGTTCTATTTTTAATTTAATATCCTACACAAAAAAATTCTTACTTTTACGTTCAATATAACTATAAATGAAAACTTTCTTTCCCTCCAGAGCAGAGTTCGAAAATATCGTATGTTTTGTATTTTTCATTAAGGTCCATTAACATTAGAAATTAATTTTGTTAGTTGTTATCAAATGCCATATAAAATTGAAATATTTTTCTGGTTACCCGATTGGTACATGCAAACAGCGGACACTCCCCGTTTTAGGAAATGTTTTCCGGATTAGGGAACGCGTGTCACTACACACGTTATAAAACAATTTATATATTTTACAGACACAAAATACTTATTTAATGTAATATAATGAGTAGTATATTATTCTTTTTTATTTTAAAAAGAAATGATCTTTACAATAGCACGACTATAATTTACAATTATTTAAAAAGGTAGTTGTATTATTAGCATTCAAATATCTTGTGAGTGTGCTGCTCAAAATACACGAATTAAAAGTAAAAAACTCATTAAAATATTAATACAATCTGCTTATTACGACATCGTTCGGATACGGGAGCAGCAGAATTGTATGCCATTGTTTCCAAGGACAGTAAATAGAAACGTACATAAATCTTTTTTTCATCTACATGTCCTACTTGTCGTTAATAACGATATTTTTCAACAATTAGATTAAATGTATTCACTGCAGAAATATCGAAGAAGAAAAATTTTCGCTTACTGAAAAATTGAAAAAAAAAATGAAAATATTATTTTCAACATTACAATCTCATCGCATCTCATCTCATCTTCTTTATTCTAATACAAATATAAGATGAACGATATTGAACCACATTTAAGAGTAAAACATAATTAGAATATATCATTTATTTGCTTGGTAGATTGTTTAGAATATTACTTATATTGACCAAAGCAATAACTTATAGAAAAATGGCTAAACTAGGTACATCAAAAAGGGCAAGTTCCAAGAATTCAAGCAAAAAATCTACACCAGTTAATACTCCAACCAAACAAAAGAAGAATAACTCCAAGAAGAGTACACCTGCTAAAGAAGAATCTAAAGATAGCATTCCAACAAAGAGAATTTCCAATGCACTAGAACAACTTACAAAATACACAACTGAAGCAAAGGCAAAAGGTGATGATAAAAAATCATTATTAGATGATGACGATGAATTAAATAAATCTTTAAGTCTTATTGTTGTCAACAACAAGTCATTTTCTGGCCCAGTCAAAAACTTTAAATTAAAGTTGTTTGATGTTGATCATTCATTATATGTTCCTTGGAAAGAGGCTAGTGCCACTTCTGTCAAGGATTTTAAAACTCTATTAATTCTAAAAGATAGTGATAATGATAAAGTTTCAGAAGATGATCTGTATGATTCCTTGAATGAATCATCTATTACTATTGACGAAATAATAACTGGTAACCAACTGAAAACTACATACAAGGCGTTTGAAACGAGAAGAGCATTCGTTTCCCAATTTTCTCTAATTTTGGCTGACGATAGTATTGTTACCTCATTACCAAAATTATTAGGTAGTAAAGCTTACTCAAAGTTGGAAACTACTCCAGTACCAATAAGGACATATTCTAACAAAGAATTTTCAAAGGTTACCTTAGTAAATTCTATTAAGAAAGTTTATCTACATCAATTACCAGTTAAGATTCCAAGAGGTACTACTATGAACGTTCATTTAGGTAACTTAGAATGGTTTAAACCTGAAGCCCTTGTGAAAAATGTTGATTCTATTACAAAGAAATTGATTGATTTATACAGCATTAGATCTATCTTTATCAAGAGCAATCAATCTCCAGTCCTACCATTGTATTACAATAATGATGTTATTGCTGAATTGGCTGCTGCTAAGAAGGATGCAGTTGCACATGAAAGGGAATCTATCAAGATCGATGGTGTTGAAGTTCAATTATCTAACTTTGACAAGGCTTTAATGGAAATTGCTAATCCAAAGGAATTAACTAATCTGTTTGCTAAACAGATTTCTGATGCTAAGAGATCAATCGATGATAGTGATGATAAAGTAGATAAAAAACAAATTAAAAAAGCCAAGAATTAAATAGTCGAATAAATAACTCACCGTTTGTCCTTCGATTATCAAGTACTTATCAAAATCTTTATAGCAATATGTATATTATTAGAATCTGTTTCGTCTCTCATAACGAACTATTTGCATATAATTAATAGAATTATAATAATATTTTTTTGCCTTTTTTTGTTCAGTATATTCATACGAGAATATGTACGCGCAGTCAAGCGAAAACCATTAGTAAATTCAAATAACGACACAAAATATTACTCAATTACGTAGTCAAGTTATTTTAGAACAATAATAAATGTTTGTATATATCTATATAAACAAACACATATCCTTTTCAAAAAACTATTTTTACTGTCATTATTATTTCAGTTAAATTGTCAATTAAATAATATTTTTGAACTCTAAATTGGAACTTGAGTTTTTATCGAGACTGAGAATAAAAACGTTTTAAATTATTTTATGTGTCGTTTACTATGAACATTGAAGAAGTAATTAATTCGTTCAAGACAATTGTTAATCAAATAGCAGAGGAATGGGATACAATAATGAAACTACCCATTTTTTCAGATTCTGATATAATTGAAAGACTAGAAGAGAAATTAGATGTGGTACAACGACAGAATTACTCAATTATTATCGACTTAAATAATATTAAGAGAGAATTACATTTGGACAAAAAAGAAGAAAATATTATATTTTGTAACCAAACTAATGATGAAAAAAATGAAACTACAAATATAATATCGAGTTCTGGTCAATTTCTGGAGAGTTCCCCAATGTCCCCACATTCAATTGCAGCAGTTAGTCAATATCTTCAAATCAGTGAAGATGAAGCGGAAAAATTCATGTCTAATATCCCTTTGAGTCATGAGATGTCATATCCAGAAAATTTCGAGGAAGAAAATGATGAGAACATTTATAATTTACAAAGTGAGCCACCGTGTGAGGAAATTATTTTAGAGCAGACAGTACCAGTTTCAGAAAACAATAAGAAAGAACAAGGTAATGGCCCTATAGCAGTAAAAAGGTTTGATCTAAACATGATTGAAGCTCCAAAAACGATAAAACAGTTATATGACGATTTTGATAAAAACTTAAAATATCAAATAAAAGATTTCGAAAATCAGTTTGGTAAAGGCCAACTGAGCAAATTGAATAAAATAAGAACATATCAAAGAAGAAGGGCACTCATCAGTGAGATTGAAAAATTTAGTACCATGTTCTCTATTGATATTAGGAAAGCAATCGATATATTTGAGAAATATAGAACACTACGGGGTCGAACAGTTCCTTTCTTATATAATAACTTAGCATCGGTGGTTATGGAAATTAAAACGGAATATGAATCGAGTTATTATTAATTTTATTTTGTTTTTCTCTAATTTTTTTTAAATTTATTTAAGGTTTCTTGAAAAGAAATACATTTTTAAGAATAAAATAAGAGATAAAAACAAAGTAGAAAAAATAAATGTATTCAAAAGAATAAGAATCTGGATTCGTTTCTTTTAATATGTACAACCATACACACGCATATATACATATGTCACTGCTCATTAATACAATGAATGAATAAATAAATATATAAATGAATAATAGGAATAAAGTGGAATGGCCTCCTATAGTATTTTAAAAGGTACTGAAATGTCAGTATGCTAATAGTGAAAATAAAGGGTATCCAAACAACTATATACATAGATATATGTATATATATACATCTCAATAAATAAGGACTCAATTTACTCTGGCACCTTCTGCATTTCTCAATTTTGCCGCTTGAAGAATTTGATTCCAATCACCGTGGAATACAGCATAACCTTGACAGATACTCATCATTATTAGTGCACAAGTAATACCGAACCATAAACCACCAATACCCATGTTGAAAGTAAAAGTTAACATATAGGACATTGGGATACCAATACAATAGAATGCAAACAAATTAATGTAACCACCGATTTTCTGTCTACCTTGTCCACGTAAACAACCAGCAGTGGATGCATTGAAAGCATCGAATAATTGCATGAATGCTAATATTGGTAATGCTGAAATGACTAAATTGACAACAGCCTTTTCAGTTGAAAATAATTTTGCAATTTGGTCTCTGAAAGTAACAATTATCATCATGTTAAAGGAAGAACATACAAATGACAATAATAAAGAAACTTTGCATGTGATGATACAGCTCTTGTATAAGGAGGCACCAATTAAGTTTGCTACTCTTGTACTGGTGGAAACAGAAATAGAGAAAGGTACTTGGTATGCTAAAGATGCGACCGTAGAGACAATAGATTGAGCTGCTAAGGCATTGGTACTAATATGAGATGCAAATATGGTCAAAATTTCAAAACCTAAAAATTCTGCTTCAACCATGATGATACCTGGAAGAGCTAATCCAAACATTTTTCTCCAATTCTTAAATATTTGTCTTTTCTTTATAATCCCATTCCAACATTTCATTGGATTGCTATCATGTTTGGTAAATAATGTATAAAGCATTAATCCAATTGCCATTAACCAATAGTTTATAGCTACAGATAAAGGGGCACCTAAATAACCAATACCAATCGTCTTATTCCAAACAAAGATATAATTCATTAGAGCGTTTAATGGTGCGCATACAAATAAAATAATTGTTGATGCATGGAAGATACCTTGACATTGTAAGAATCTTTTACCACACTCAAATAGTACAAAACCTGGTACCCCTAAAGCTGTAATTCTTAAATATTTAGCAGCAAGGACACATAATTCTCGTTCTGGAATCATCCATGATAATATTGTCTCTGACCAACTCCACCAAATATACATGATTGGTAGAAAAGCCAAGATAGTAATAGTAGCACATCTTTGAATGAGGACACCAACTAAATGATAATTTTTTGCACCATATGCTTGTGCACATAATGTATCTAGACATGTACAAAGACCTTGAATGGCCGCTAGGCCTGTAATATTAGCTGTCATGGAACCTAAAGTTACACCTCCTAATTCTTTAGTACCCAAATGAGATACAGAAAAGATAGATGCTAAGGATAACGAATTTTGTAAAATAAATGTAAAAATAAGGGGTAATGCATTAAATGCAATGACTTGTGTTTCTCTCTTAAAAGAACTTTGGATTGGTTTTCCTGAATCAATAGCATCATTCCATGTATTTATAACTTCACCAGCGACTTCTGCATCTACAGGTTCAATATTCCCATACATACTTTCCACTATACTGTTTCCTCTTGAACGTTGCCCCACTGTATTATTCAACAATTTGTTATCTATCAATAAATCACGTTCTTCGTCAATAAGACTTTTACACATTGACGTGGCTCGACTATGTTGTATTGGTTGTTCTGTAATAGAATTACGATTATGATTTTCTTGTGCTTCATTAATAGATTGATAATGCATAAATCTATTATTATTATTATTATTATCATCATCTTCATCTCCTAACAAAAATTCCAATTCATCACTATTTTTTGTCAATCGTACAGGTTCTGTAGCTGTTTGATCATTGATATTATTATTACTATGCAAATTATCACCTGATGATGAGGTTCCTTCATCATCTTCCGTTTCATCGATAATAGCATCGTTATTATTTGAACCGATATAATCAGCAGGAATGAAAAGACCAGCTTTCCCCATACTTGTAGAATATATCACAGAAGAACGCTGTTCTTGGTCTGTATGTAAGAATTGATTTGGCATTTTTTTAATCTATCTTTTATAATTGAATTGTGGAATATTTAAAGTTGTCTATGTATATGTATCTGCTTAAGTCCTTTTAATGAAAAATATCAGTGACAATTCAAACTTTTCTTTTTCTTTAGAAATGATTTCTATTAAAACTTTCTTCTTTAGAGGTAATGTAGAAAATATTTTCGTTATAAAAAAGGGTAGGCAATGAAACAATCAAAATACTAATATATATATATATATATAGAATAATGAAAGAGTAACTTAATGTATTATTATTTTTTCAATGTTTCAAATATAAATATTGTTAAACAAAAGCAAAAATATCGACAAAATGTAACCGATCCTTTCATTATTAGATATCAAAGTGTTCCTTTCTATTAAATTATTGAACTATTTTCAGTTGCAACCGACAAATATATATTCGCTCGCTGTCCCTGCTGGGTCTGCACACCATCGTCACTCTGTTAAGTAAGCCGAAAAAAAATTTTGTTAGCTGAAAATTTATCGTGAAAAAAAATAGAAAATTGAGTGAGACAGACACTGTGTATGTGTAAGACAAGAAAGACAAACTGTGAGGATGTCGGAGGGGGCACTATCTGCCAATTTATTAAAAGGATGCAAGTATGATGTACGTTTTATTCTTTAATATTGGCTATATTTGTATGTATGTAAGCCATTCACCATTTTTCTACAATATGGTATTATTGTTATCCTGTATTATACTTGGATTTCAATAGTACTACACTAGTCTCTCTCTCTCTCTCTCTCTCTCTATATATATATATATATATATATGTCTTTTCGTATCGCATGTGCATTCATTTACGCATATGAATAGTTCATTTTCGTAGTATACATATACATGTATTTTTTTGTTATTAAATTGAAACAACTCATTATATTAAGAGAATCATTTGACTTGTACTTTAGTTAATGATTCCATTTTTTGTTTATTGTTATTAGTATTATCAATATATTTCACTGTTAAAAATTAGAAAGAACCTTGCTAGTAGATATCACTGGTTCTACATCGATTAAAGGGAGTGGCTTCGTTTATATATACATGTATGTATCTCGTGCCTCTCTCTACACGTGGGAACCGGCTATGAATCTTGCAGAACGCGGTGTTTTCGAAGTAATCACGCAGACCCTAGGGTTTCGGAGGGTGCAAGCTTAGGGTTTATTCCTTCTTTACATTTTCATTTTTTCCTGTTTTTGGATCACATAATCATAGTAAACAATATACTTATTCGAAACAAAAGGGGACTAATAACCTGTCAATTGAACAAATACTCAATATTAACAGCCCTTCTTATTAAGTAACTACTGACAAATAATATATTTCTTTCCTTCACCAGAAAAAAAGGAGAGCCATTCAGCATTCTAATGAAGAGTGAAATTTAGACATATATGTTGGTATAATCATTGGTTAAAGAGTAATGGGATCTGAGATAGATGATGCTATATCCTTTACTGATTTAGAAGATGAAAAGGAGAATATATTACCACTAAGACATGGACGGTCTGCAAGAATCTTACATGAGGTGTTGTCATCCGATGCCGATCAACTAGAAATAAAGATAAATTGGTTTGAAGATAAACTGAAAAATGATATCGAAAACAAATTTAATATATATGTAGAATATATTAATTGGCTTCAAGAATCTTATTTTAAAGGACCTAATGATTTTTTATTAGAAGTGATAGAGAGATGTTTAACCTCTATGAAACATGAAGAACAATATCGTAATGATCCAAGATATTTAAATATTTGGTTATTATATATTAATTCTTTCTTCCAAGATTCAATGAGAGATCGAAGAGATATATTCATCTATATGTTCAGAAATAAGATTGCTAATTTATTATCCCTCTATTTCATTGAATTTTCAAAACTTTTGCTTGAAATGGGAAATTATAATGAATGTCATGATTTCTTAATGATAGGTATCCAAAATCATGCTTTACCTAGTGGTCAATTATTAAACAAAATAAATGAATTAGAAGAATTTTTCCAATTAAATAATATATCAATCGATAGAAATGACAATGATTCATCACTAGACCATCTTTTATTAAAATATGGGAATATATTAATTCTTAATAAAGATCTAAAGGATATATTAGCATCTAAAAAATTATCAGATAATATTAGCAATGAGAACAATAATAATAATAACAAACGTAAAGGCAACAATAATAAAAAATTAGAGATTCGTGCTGATAATGAAGATCATGGTGATTCTAGCTCAACCAAACTAGACATATTCAAGGATAACTGGACTAATTTTGAAACTAAGGCCTCTAGATTAAAAGAAAATCGATCTCTAGTGACACCTTTGCAATCAAATACCATTATTGAGCCAATGAAACAAGAAGCTGAATCGATAATTAGTAATGTGGCGGGACCATCTTCTAAAATTTCAATTTTTAACGATGATATCGGTAGAACAAAACCTGTTTATAAATTAGTTTCAATAGATGGACAAAAGCCAGAAAGAATCGATTGTAATTTTAATCTCATATATTCTAAAGATAACGAATTCAGTTTGGAACAATTATTAGCAACAATGACGGGTTGTTATAATAAGTCCAATAAAAGAAAATCAAACTCTTCAGTTGAAGCACAAACAGGTGAAGTAAAGAAAAGCAAATTGAACGTAGACACAGAAAATTAATTGTATTGCATCTTGGACTTCAATTTAACTTCAGCACATACACACTCATATATATATATATATATATATATGAGAAAAGAAATATACTTAAGACATTTTTTTAACTAAAAAGAAATAGTACAGCTATATGTGTTTCGAGAGAAAATAATAGCCATATGTATATATATATAAACGTTAAGCGAATTAATCTTTAAGGTCATTATTAATATCTATCAGGGTCAACTTGGAATGCTTCCTTTAAATGTTCAGAAATCCAATTCATAGAATATGCCAATGTTTCGTTACTTTCTAAGTATTCCATTTGTTTATCATTAATTATCGTTTCAAGTTCAGAATCTTTGAAATAGTTTGTGTTTGGTAATTTAGGTAGACCAAACATTAAAGAGTTGATTTCATTAGTTGTGGCAATAAATTGAGTTGGGCGACCATATTTCCTTGTAACGTCCATCATTGGTATAATGAATTTAATCATTGCATCAAAATGTGAAAGACCATGATGTGCTAAAGGTCTAATTAACACACCATTTTTCTTAGTTCTAAATGTTGACGATTTTGAAGGCTTCACAGCTTTCGTTGATACATCTCTTTTCGGAGAAATCAATTGTTTGGTAATACTACTACTTGTAGATGGTGTTCTTAATGTAGGTGTTTCCTCAGGATATAATACGTCACCTACAAGTTTTACTGTCTTGATATTATTTAGGAACTCTGTAGGATTAGATGTAGGTGTTTGATTATTTTCTGTTGCATTATAAAAAAAGATATCTTGAACATAATTACTATCTGGAATATAGCAAATAAGATTAGCATTAGAATTTGGACTTGCAGATTTGTTATGTCTATAAAATTTAATTTGATATTTCCCCTTTGGCTCATATTTATCTGACTTCTTTGACATTTTATTAATATGACACCATGATCTGACCCAACCTTCTTCAGGAATGTATATTTCACACCAATCCTTAAAATTGAATTGAGAATTTAAAATCATGTTGATATCTGGCATTCTTAAACCAATGGACGAAATAAGAGAACCTGTCAAAGATTTGTACACAGCAAAATGTTCAAATAATGATAATGCCATTAATTTTTGTAAAGAGTTTAATAATTGATTGTTTTCACAACGAATAGATACTACAGGGTCTAAAAACATAATATAATCCTCATTAAAGATTATATTAGAATCTGTTGAAAATTCTCCAATTAAAGGGAAACTAGTCTTTGTTTGATCTTCTAACTCCAAGTAAAAAGTTGTTCCTACCAAAGAAACTTTCTCAATCGTACGATCCTCTTGATCTGCCACAGAACATATCCAAACAGTAGCGTCATTTTGTTTATTCCATTCAAAATATTTCTTTTCAAATTGTGAATTAATGATTTTCATCATTGGGATAGATGACACAATGACATCGTCTGATAATTCTTGGAAATTTAATTGATTAGTGGACGATGAAGATGTTGATTGAGCTAATGATGCAGGTGTTGAAGGGATACGAGGACTTGCAGAACTGCTATTAGATCTAGAACTATCAGTTTGTGAAACTTCTGTTGCAACACTGTTTTTTCTCTTTATGATGACTGGTTTCCTTAACCCGCTGAAGAATTTCATTATTATTTATTGGTGGTTCTTATAATAATTTGAAGATCTATATGAAATGAAGGATATTAATAATACGCTAATTTACTTCTTCTATTGATGTGAGTAAGTTAGATTACCATAGGATACAAATTTTTCTTTTTAAATTATATATGATTAAAGATGAAACACTTTACAAGATGACATTTATCAATAGTAATTACTATCAAAAAACGGTTTATAACAAAAGAAAAATATAAGAAGATATAATTATAATGAGGTGAAGTGGCTAAAATCTTAGCTTGCTTTTATCTTAAAGTTTCCCCCCTCCCCTTCCCAAAGTTAAAAAAAAAGCACATTTACAATTTCGCTATATTGCAGTTTAATAGCAACCTACCAATACTGTTATTATCATACGTCAGGTATATTTTTACCCAATTAGTATGTATTTTCCCACTCTTAGTAAAATTACGTTTAACTATAGTGGGTTTTCTCTTTTAGATTATTACGATCTTAAAATTTGTGTCTGCTAGGTGAAATTCTTAGCATTGCAGATTAACACCTTCTGTCGTCTCTCTGTACCACTTTTATTGTTTATATTTACCTGTGACGGCTTAAAAGGGAAAAGAAACAGCTTTTTTTCATGATTTTGTTCAAGTTTTTTGACGGAGAAAGCGTTTACGTTACACACAAATGGGAAGGGAGAGGGAGACCGATTATTTTTCATTCTTCCTTTGCAGTGCGAAATAAGAAGAGAATAATGGAAGTAAAGATAATTGAGTGCATAAAAATTTCAATTTAAACAAAATTAATTATTGAGGGAAAAAATAAACAATTTTTAAAGGTAGAAAAACGTAATTTACAAACCTTCCTGCCCCATTTAAGTCAAGTACAACGACAGCAAAAACACAAAACAAAAACAAAAAAGACCGAAAGGGATAATTATGATGCTGTTGTTAATAGGCAACTAGTGCAGAAAAAATGACGGAAGAGGTTTATTCGTAACAATTTAATCATCTTAGATTTTCTTGCAATTGTAAGTATATTTGTACGCTTTTCTAACATTTATTATGTTTTTTCGTTTACGTTACGAGAAAAGTAGGCGTTGATCGTTTATAGATATTTAAATAAATGTATCAGATGGGGAGACCCCACACATTAATGAAATAAAAATGTAACGTAATTAGGGTTCAATCCTTTTAGATAACGCCTCCGATTAGAAATTATCAACTCTACTATGTATGGTTGAGGAAAATTGACGTACGTACCGGTTGTTGGAATGTTCACTTATGTAACACATGTCAAGCCCTTTTTTTTCCAATATGTATTAATTAATTAACTGGCTGATCTTCTCCGAATGAGGCTACATCCTTTGATGGTAACGATCTATGTTCAGTGGGTTCATTGAATTCTTCAGAAGCATATTCGGGTATATAATTGCCATTACTGAAATCTAATGGGAATATGCCTGATTTAATGATATCTAAATCTTCTTCAATAACACCGTTTATGATAAATTTCTTTAATGAAACAAATTGTTCATTCCCATGATTGTTATCAACTTCAAATAATACAGCTTTCACCAATGGTTTAAAATTGATATACCAACTTGGCAATTGAAACTGTTGTCTCACTTTTAGACTTTTCAGATCGTATGCAAATGTTCCAATCTTGACAAATCTACGATCATTAGGATGTAATACTCCTTGTCCTTGATTCCGAGCCTCTTTTGTGAATAAAGAATGGTCTCTATCGTTTTGTAATAATACATAAATTGAGATATCACGAGGTGCAGAATTCATAATATGTAAATTGTTTATCAAACGACCATGAATGTAGAAGATTCTTGTTAAATGTAGTGGTCTATTAAATTTAATAGCCACTTTGCATGGACTGTCTTTGGATATTTTACACTCCCAATATGCAGATGGAGAATTATAAACTGAATCTAAAAGTAACGCTAATGGTTTTAGTCCATTTCCTTTGGGATTGACTGGTGAGGTTAAACTGGGTATTATCGACGAACCTTGAACGGTAGTGGCAAAATCTAGATCATTTTCCCATTGATAACGATTAGAATTATATATTTGTAAAATGATTGTTTTCAAAAATGAAGTTGATATTTGATTGACCGAATGAGAATTTTCTAAGTTGACGTCGTTCTTAACTTTGGAAAGATACTCTTTTATTTCATACCATAATTCTACTCTCATTTCTTCTATGTTTCGCTTCAGTTCATTAATTGAAGCAGTATTATCAAACATTTTGAGTTTTTCATTGGTGATTTCTTCGATATATGCATTAATTGTCGCTTCTAATGTTACATTTTCTGATGTTATAATTGAATTGGTTTCCATAATATTATCGAATAATAAAATAAGAAAATTGGATACATATTTCTTAAAATCCTGTAAATTAATATCTTTTACAGACGCATTATTCATCGTATCAATGGGTATGTTGTTTGGTAACGACAAGTCAAGTTTTTTTAATAATTCAGATCTAGTGATTTCTAATTTTTCATTATCGATATGGTTTGGCACCCTCTCGGTATTAATTAAATCATATTTGTTAGTTAAATCATTCAATTTTATATTTAATTCCTCAATTTCATCTTCAAAACTTAATAATTTTTTTGGCATAAGTTTTTTGATATTTTTCTCAAATTGAGATATAATTATTTTAACTTTTTCATCAAATTCTACTTTTTGTCTTTCATCTTTTACACTTAATTCATTATATAGATGGTTAATTTGTTTTTGTAATGTTCCAAATGACCCTGTCATATCGATATTAGAATTTTGCGAATAAAATGAATGACGAACAATTGATTTACCAAAATTATTTGTAAATTTGAAAATCACAGGTACTATAGGCAAAAATATAGTCAATACTAGAACTACCAAAATAAATCGAAACCATTGGAATTGAGGTTCTGTCGATAATAAGTTATCAATATCAATATCATACTCAGAATCGTCCTCAAGTTCTTCATCATCAGACCCTATAGCATTCTCATTATCTGTGCTATTGTATTCAGAATTTCTCTGTGTTTTCGTTTGATCTGGTAATGTAGTAGTTGTGTCAAGTAAGTCATCGATCAGACAGTCATTCGCATCTTCTTCGCTGTCATCCTCTAAAAATTCATCATCTAATTCTTCCTCTTCTTCTTCATCATTGTCAGACTCGGAATCGGAATTGCGAACAACAAATGTTTGATTTGCTCTATCTGTATAATCTGAATCATCCGTGTAATCTAAATCACTAGACGATTCTAAATTTTCAAAATTGGAGGTTTTATTATGAATTGATCTCTTAAACTTATCATAGAATTGAATATCATCATCGTCATCATTTGTCATGTTTTCTTTATTTCCATTTACATTATTATACCTCTCTAGAAGGGCATCTCTGTAGGCGGCATTAATAGGATCAGTGCCTTCCTTTTGGGAATGTTGATCGTCAAAGCCTTCTGTATTAGGCATTCTAACGTTTTAACTCTTGTTTCCTTCTTGATCACGAGATCTTGATTATTACAGCTTGCAGTAACTTCAAATAATACTGTTAATTAAAGGATGTCAATTAAGACAATAGAACTGCGTATATATCCCTTCGGTTCTCCAAATATACACCAAGACGCGTAAATAATTACATCTTTTAAAATTAATATATAAATATGTCCGAAGGATCATTTTTGAAAAATGTGAAAGGATGACTGAAACTGAATCGAATGTAGCATCTCACAGATAGATATGGCTACCTTTTAAAGTCAAGGATGCAATTCATATGGTATCCTTGAAAATTTTGGTTGTCTTATAATTCAAGAGGTGAACATTAAACATCTAGGAAGCATTCGATAACGAGAAAAAAAATCGTTTGCGAAATTACCTGTTCTCTAAAGACTACTCTTTATTCGTATTGTGTAAGATAATAACTTTTAAACATCCCTCTAGATAAACTTCGGTCGTACTGATATAACTAAATAGTTACTTCTCTTGGTGATATTTATTAAATACTGATTCTATGTCATAATTAATATGTATTAATTGTTACCCTCCGCGTTTAAATTTTCGGGCCTTGATCGATTAAAAGGGGCAAGATTTCAATAACACGTCAAAAGGGCCATTAGTTTCAAATCATTTAAAGACGATCTATAATATTATTTAAAAAAGAAGAAGTTAAAAAGTTTTTGATTTCTAAGGTGAACATCGTTGTGAAATATAAGTTAAATATTTGTGACACTATTAAATAATGAGTGAAAGGACGACACCATTTGAAGTGGTAGCCCAATTCCCTTATCAATCGGAATATGAGGATGATCTAAATTTTAACAAAGGACAAAAGATTAATGTTACATCCATTGAGGATGATGAATGGTACTATGGGGAATATACAGATAGTACAACTGGAGAGTTAATTCAAGGTATTTTCCCAAAAAGTTTCGTAATCGAAGAGACGGTAAACGTCGAGCCAACGGTTACAGAGGTCCCTGTTCCAACAAAAGTTACAGAACAGGCTCCCGTTCCTGAAGCAGTGCCCATGCCTTTAAATGAAACAGTAGTGGAAGCTTCAAAAGAGAAGGTCCCATCACATTTGAAACAAACTATTAAGGAGGATGGTTACGTTCCTATGCCAAAGTCGACAATGTTCGAGGAATCGCCAGTTAAAGTTCCAACGAGCACTGCAATCCCACCACCTGTAAATGCGAGTAGTAATGATTATTCTTCAAAAACCGAAGACGATTTACCAAAAATGAGTTTAAAGGAAAGAATTGCTTTATTACAGGAACAACAGAGATTACAGGCTGAGAAGGAAGCCCAAGCTGCAGAAGCTGCAGAAGAAGAAGTTAACAACGATAAAGAAAATAACAACATAGAAGTTAACAACGAACCTATTGATAATACGGAAAATGAAGTCCCTCCATTGGCTAGTGCTAGAAATATTCCACAGGGCATTCCTAAGTCGGATACTAGTTCAGAAGATGAATTAGAACAAAAGAAGGAGGTTCCTCATCATGCTGATTACACCCAACAGACTACAGCTACAGAAGAACCGCCGATTCCAAATGCTCCTGTGCAATCAATTCCATCCGAACTAACAACAGTAGAACATACTAACTTATCGGGTGAAGAACCGCCAGTGCCTGTGATGAAAAAGATTGTAAGTACCACCGAAGAAGAGGAACCTCCCCAAGTGATGGAAGGTGGTAACAGTGATGAGGAAGTTGCGCAAAGAAGGGAAGAAGGTGAAGGTGAAGGTGAAGGTGAAGAGGAAGAGGAAGAAGAGGAAGATACAGAAGAATCTCGTAGAGCTGCATTAAGAGAAAGAATGGCTAAATTGGCCGGTGCAGGGAGATTTGGTGGGGCAGCTGGATTTAATCCATTCGGTGCTCCAATGCCGTCTACATCAGGTACGTCTTCTAAAAAGAAGGTCAAAAAGTCTGCTACAAACCCTGCGGAAGCAGAAGCTGAACAAGAGCTAAATGAGATGCCAGAAGCAGTCCCAATCATGCCATTTGCAGATCCGAATGCTGTTCCTTTCCTTAAGAAGAAAATCTCTAATGCAGAAAATAAAGCCAGTGAATTCGTTGTTGGGGCTGAAAAAAGTATTGACACTAGTAAGGAAACCGTTGACGGTAACATCGATAAACTTAAAGAAATCCACCATAAAGCATATCAAAACGTAGGCAATGCTCCTTCTGAAAGTGGGGATGAATTCGAAGACGCAATTAACAGTATGAGTGACACAATAGATAATGCATTTACAAGCGCCAAGGATAAAACTGAAGAGGTACAAACGTTCCTGTCAGAAAAACAAGGAACCATCCCAATAGATATTCCTGATATCCCAACCAAATCAACTGATGATCTTGAGGACACGTCAAACACAGAAACCACAGAGAGTAAGGCACCAGCCATAGAAGATAAATCGGCTCCACCAATTCCTTCGATTCCACCAATGCCAAAACAAAGAGAAGCCCCACCTTTACCATCTGCTACACCTGTTGATGAAGAATTAGAACAGGATATTCAAACTGTTAAGGCACCTCCACCTCCTCCAACAACTACACTTCCTGATCTTCCATCCTCTTCAACTGTTCCTCCTATTCCATCTATGCCTGTTACATCTACTTCTATCCCAGCAATTCCATCCAGTATAGACAACTATGGTACATCAGAAACAAATGTAGATCGTACCGCAGGAGAGAAAGAAGCTTTCACAGAAGGTCATGACCATATGCATGCGCCTCCACCTCCTCCACCTCCAGCTGCAAGCACCATAAACACCACTGAAGAAATCTTCTCGTCTGGTGATTCATTCCCTCATGGTGCTCCTCCTCCACCTCCTCCACATCGTGAGGTTCAGGAGCTGCCTCAAACTTCTCGATCAGCCCCACCACCCCCTCCCCCAGGGACCTCAGCGCCAACCTTTCCAGGTGTTCCTAGTGATGCTCATTCCTTAAAACTTAACAAAACATTCAGTGAGTTAGATGCTTCATTAAGAAATGTCAAAATCGAATTCAATCCAAATGATACATGGTTTTTGGAAATAGCTGCACCACAGGAAATTTTAGATTCTAAACTGAAATATAGAATTGACATTGATGACACTGCCATTGAAAAGAGAGGACATGAGAAATGGATCCATAGGTCGTTCTATTACATCTTTGAGAATTACGCAATACTGTCGTTGTCAGTTGTCTTTAATTCTGCTACACCGCACACTACAGCAATCTTGGTAAGTGAGGATTATATTCCAAGCCCAGAAAAAGTTTCTGATAAGAACATCGTAGGTCCATATAATACAAGTATCATTAAACAATGCCAAGCATTAGCAGGGAAGGAATCCATACCCAGTAGTTTTGTCAGTCAGATAATATCGAAAATGGTTGACCAAAATGTTGTTCTTCCAATAGATAATCGTACATTTGGCTCCGTTATTTTAGATTTTAAAGCAGGAAATGAAATTGACCAAGACGCCTTAAAATATGTAAGAGAAGGTGACATTGTTGTAATAAGAAAAGCCAAATTTGAAACGCATAAGGGAGTTGTAAATGTTGGTGAACCGGATCTCTTTGTTGCTGTTGTCACGAGCTACGATTTTACTAAGGGAAAATTGAGAGTTATTGAAGAGCATAAGGGTGTTTTAGTTCAATCCAGTTATAGATTATCAAAGATGAAGAGTGGTAAAATGAAGGTATTTAGAGTTTTGTCCAAAGATGTTTTCGGTTGGTAATTATACGTTCTTTAGTCATACTTTATTTTGATCTTTATTTATTCTGTACGATTATTATGATACTTATGATGATATGTAGATTATACTTAACAAAAACTTCGAAAAAGTGTTTAGAAAGTTCGATCAATATTTATGTATACATATATGATGGGACGTTAAAGTTCTATCACTTCTACTGTTAAGATACTCAGTTTATTTAGCTTGCAGTATTTTTCACTACGCGCGATATAAAGTAATCGGTCCTTAGTAACATCATAGAGAGTTTAAGAAATCAGCACTCTGGTGAAGAATTTAAGAAGACTAAGGTAAAAACGCCAAAAAGACCGAATACTTAGGTGTTAACTGAAGTTCATCAAATTTTCAAATGAGTCTTGTCCTTAAGGGTTCATTTCCATCAAAAATCTATCATTCAAAATGTCTTCCAGTTACCTTGAAGCCCACAATTGCCGAGGCACCTAAGGGTATTTTTGGACCAGTTTTAAAATTCAAAAATTTTTATAGACTACATGATAATCGAGCAGATGTATTTCATGGAGAATTTATTTCTTTGAAGTTTTATCCATCCGCACATTTCGTTTCATTATTTAGAAAGACTAACCCTGCATTTACTGTGAAAAGTATGATGAGTAAATCATTTTCAGATAACGCTGGGTCTTACATTAAGAATTACTATGCAAAGCAGAAATCTGCAGTTCCATCCAACTATGCAGTCTGGAGGAGAAAGGTGAAGTTGTTAGTCCAAGATCCATTTTTTGAAGAATGGACTAATTTAGATGGTCGGAAGGGGGTGGAACAGAACTCTCTCATAAACCCAGAAGAACAGATACCTTTAGTTGAAAGTTATAATAGAACGACACCAAAGGGGATGGCGAAGGATGGGTACTATGAGTTCTTGATTCAAAAATATCCGGACAATGTACAAGATAATATAGCTTTACAGAATGAGGTACGAAGGGCAGTTGGGGTTGTTGCAAATTTAGATTGGGGTAAATTTTTAAATGAAAAACTTCCAGCACTGAGAATTAATCCGAAGTATATACATAAAGTGGTATTCAAAAAACGGACGCCAGAGACCTGGGTAGAAAAGGCTAACAAGAAGTTGAATATTGCACATCTAAATAAATATTTGATCCGTTCTGATATTCCATTAAAATTGATAAAATTAAAGAAAAAGAAATCTACTTAAACATTTATTATGATATATATTTATGAAAAGATATTAAATTAAACGACTTTTTTATTCTCTCTTAAAAAAATAGAAGTTAAATCGGAATATTAGGAGGATAATCCTTCTTTAAACAGATTAATTAAAAAAATGAGAAGAGAATAATAATAATACTTTTAAGAAAAAAAAGTAAATTAACAGAATCTCTTACATTCTCACAAATTTTCTCAAATTTTGGGGGCCACCAGAAGTGATTTTGGCCGAATCCATACTGTTCTTCGTGTCGTTAGTCCAAGGACTAACTGAAATTGTTCCGATAAGAATATCATCGATGATGTTGTTTCTAACAACGTTAATGCAAATTGTGGTGTTCTTAGTAGATAACTCTTCTCTTTTGACCCTTACCTCCTTTACCAATAGCTTCTTCTTCAGCACGGAGCAAAGCGTCACGTTCTTGCTTTGCAGACTTCTTATCTCTAGCCTTTTGGTCAGCAACAAGTCTCTTTTGGTTTGGAGTACGAGCACCTTGTTCCCATTTCTGAGCCTCTTGAACTTCTAGCATAGCTTTCTCTTCTTGGGTCTTTTCCCAGGCTTGTCTTCTCTTTCTAGCTCTACCAGCAGCTACCTTAGCAGCGGTTTCAGAATATCTCTTACCTGACTTATGCATTTTATATGTGATTGTTTTTGTAATTAAGTGGATCGATTTATTGCACTATGTATCTGATATGTTTAAATAACTAATACAAATAATATATTTATTTATGATTGGGCTTTTTATAATTAATTAATAAATAATAAGAAGGTACAAAAAATCGAAATAACAATATCATTCTAATCTGGAAAATGGTTGACGTTTATATATGTAGAGAATTTACATTGTCGTGACACATTTTTTTTTCTCTTTACTTAGCTCAGAATTATTAATAATAAGGTGTACACCTCCAGATTCTTAATTCATTGGAAGGGAGAGAATACTAGGAACAACAAATTGATGAGATAGGAACTAAGTTGAATTACTGAGGGTACAGGACTTCTTAAGTTTATAGAACTGTTGATTATCAATTAGTTATGTTTACTGACACCCTATTTTTCGAGGTGTACTTCTTCCGCTTATTATTACGAAAACTGTACCGCCTCGTCAGCGTTAATTAGCAATTCTTTTGCTTACAAATTCACATCGCGAAGTGAAGACCGATGGCCCTTTTTTAAAATGGGGTGCCTTATTGAAAGAAGTAATCTACAATAGAAGGTGAACCATCACTATCTATCGTTTCACCCTTTAGTTATTTGTGAGGTCATTAGTTTGGACGTATCAAGATTATACTAGAAGATTCCAGTTACTTCTCTGGTTGAAGGAGGGCAGTCTGTTAGTAAATAAATATACAAAAATATAATACTTAAAACCTACACAATTCTTGGATTCACGTGATTTTTGAATTTTTAACCGAACGCGACGCCAAATTTAATAATTTATCAGGTAAATTTCGAACTAAATCTCATAGGATTAAAGTAATATAATTGAATAATATATGTAATTAACCATTGGTTCTAAGTTCACTGATTGGTCTCTTAAGTGTTAAGATAACAATATATACGTTCGTTACTGAAGTTCCATTTTTATACATCATTCGAGGATGGATTCTCTTTTACAAAAGTTCAATGAATCAAGACCAGATGACCCTGTCTCTGTATCTAGAAAGACAGTAAAGGAAACCACCAATTCTAAAAATCGTTTCCTTTTACCATATGAGTCAAGGAATTACGACCCTCAATTCTACCACATTTATCAAAATCGTTTGAACATTCTGAGGGGAAGAGTTCAAATAGAATGTGAAAAGAAATGGGATAATGGGTTTAAGTTAAATGGGAAGACAGTAGTGAAAAAGGAAAGAGTGTTGGATATTCAAGGTGAAGAGCCATGCTGGTGTGTAGGAACTATCTACTGTGAAATGAAATATAAACCCAATATCTTACAAGATGTCATAAACGATACATTCGGTGCTCCAGATCTGGTGAAGAGTTATACAGATCCTGATGGATCGGATGAGATAATGTTAGAAGATGAAAGTGGTAGAGTTCTCTTAGTAGGTGATTTTATTGGAACTGCGCCTTTGATTTCCGGTACAGTAGTTGGTTTGTTAGGTATGGAAGCCGAGGCAGGAACGTTTCAAGTACTAGATATTTGCTACCCTACTGCGATCCCACAAAAGTCTCTACCAGTATCAACTGCCCAAGATGATGAATATATTGCATTTGTGTCTGGTTTTAATATAAATACTAATAACCCTGCCCGTAATTTGAAGCTGAAACTATTACAAGAATATTTGATGGGGGATCTTTCTTCTGATGATAGAATTGCAAAAATTGGTAAATTAATAATATGTGGTAATTTAGTAGAATTTAATGCTCGTGAGAAGAACGTTGGAGAAGTATTAAAAAGTTTAGAGGATTTAGGTGATTTCTTAGCCAATACGTTACAGACCATATCTGTTGATATAATGCCAGGACCAACAGACCCAAGTGATAAGACGTTACCACAACAACCTTTGAACAAAGCATTATTTAAGGAATCATTAAGACCATATTTCAATCACATTAATGATGAAATTTTAAATCTTGTGACAAATCCATACAATTTCCAAATAAATGATATTGAAATCTTGACGACATCAGGGCAAAATATAGATGATATTGTTAAATATATTGTACCGTATCTAGAAAAGAACTCACAGGAGACTGAAAATGAAGATGTTGATATGGATGCTAAAAAATATCCAGAAGATTCAATTGAACATAGACTTGATTTGATGGAATGTACAATGAAATGGCAAAATATTATACCAACTGCACCTGATACGTTAGGTTGTTATCCATACACAAAAGAGGATCCCTTTATTTTAGAAGAATGGCCACACTTATACGTTATCTCTAACCAATCAAGGTATGCACGTAGAGATATAAAATTAGACGATGGTAAAACTACTGTAAGGATGGTTACGGTTCCTGAATTTTCACAAACTGGTCAAATTGTCTTACTAAACTTAAAGGATTTGAGCACAGATGTCGTGAATATACAATTATGATTCTTCAAAGTACATTTATTAACTGTTTTAACTAGATGAGCTGTTGATGTTACTCTTCCAAATCTTAATAACGATACCATAATACGATATATTAGGGTTGTAATGGTATAATAATTTGGTGACAGCTTCAATTGTATTTTTAGTAATTAGATATGTACATATATATATAAGTGTGCATTAATTACAATACCAAAAAAGAATAAGAATTTAACATATTTATTATAAAAATATAAAGACATAAGGTTTCATTCATTATAAATAGATTAAAGTTATCTTGAACACATTTCAAAATATTAGCAATATATAGGCCAACCCAACCTGCTAGGGTGATTTATTAACATTGAAAGAATTTAAATAGTACTATAAAGTTTCCTGAATTCTATTCAATATGAACTGTAAATTAAAAACATTCTAAAGAAATCTAAAGGTAGTAAATGCAAAAACTTGAATAAAATTAGAAAAATGCAAAAAAGTTGAATAAAAGTAGAAAAATCTATGATTATTCAGCAGTTAAAAAGTATTTAAAGTATATTATATGAAAAAAGGTAATCTAATTATAAAAGATAGTTTAAACACTCTAGTTAACTAAAGCAGAGGCAGTAGCAGATTCGTACTTCCAGTTTGGTGGTAGAACGGAAACAGTTCTGTAGTATCTAGCTAGTCTGTGGATTCTGGATTCGATCAAAATTAATCTGAACTTAGCATCCTTGTCCTTTCTGTTTCTTTCTAAATGCTTTCTGACGGCGACAGCCTTCTTGATCAAGTAGTATAGATCTTCTGGAATTTCTGGAGCTAGACCGTTAGATTTTAGGATTCTTAGAATCTTGTTACCAGTGATAACCTTGGATTGAGTAACACCGTGAGCATCTCTCAATAGAACACCGATTTGAGATGGAGTTAGACCCTTTCTAGCGTACTTGATGATTTGTTCAATGACGGCTTCATTGGACAATTTGAACCAAGATGGAGCATTTCTAGAGTAAGGAATAGCAGAAGAGGAGATACCTTTACCCTGTATAAAATTAAATTTCAATACATCGACGAATGTATTAAAACATATATTGTTAGTAAATTGGGAACTGATAAAAAATTTAGAATTAATTAATTGTATACAAAAGAGACTACCTAGTATCATTCTGTTTACGATACATTTCTATATTTTAAATCGACAAGACAATTCAACTTACTCCCAATGCATGACAATGATATTACACGATAACATCAATTTGCATTTAGAAGATTATTCATAGTAATGAAAAGTCAACTCAGAAAACAGTCATTTAAAAAAAAAATGATTGTCATAAGTCAACCTAACAAAACTATAATATGATCAGTTACTCTGAAGAAAAAGATGACTCTAATTCTTAAAAGCGCAATCAATAAAGATTACTGAAAATATAACTTGGAATCACCCAGCTATTACATCTCGATACATTTAAAAAACGTATCTGGATAAATCTGTATCACAAGGATACTCCTTATCTGATGTAGACCGGAAAGTTGAAATTGTGATCCGATTTAAAACAAAGAACATAAACAGAAAGTCAAACATTTGCAGTTCACTAACGTTACAATTCATTATCTTATGATTTGTATGGTTAATCGGTTCATCTTCAAAAGAAGACCAACCAAAATCCATATTATTTTATTTATTCACATACGGAACTGTGCATACGACCCATTGTGACTGATTTCGATGATTTGTTACTGTTATATTAGTTACTAATGAAACGAAAAATGAAGTTTAAGGAAAAGCATTCATAACTTAAATGTTTTTCTGAAATAATTAACTAATTATATATGTTGAAAATTGAACAAGAATAAATTTTCAAGAAAAATCTAATTTCTCGCTTTGCAAAGTTTGCTAAGTGAAAGAATATTGAAAATTGAAAAAAAACAAAGTGGGCAGAGTCTTTTTTCAGCTTCGCATATTTCTTAATTAGTATAATATGTTTTTTCAATATATTTCCGCGAAACGAAAAAAATAAAACTCTGCAAAATGTAAGGATGTTGCAAAACTGTGGATGTTCGGATGTTACCAACAGTCCAATATTTTACTGATATATGTATATATATCCCTTCAGGAGTCTTCTTGCTACAACCAAATATTTGCATTAAACTTGTCTATATAAGTATATTTATAAAGAGCACATTATCTGATACGTTTATCAATTTAATTAGATTTCTCTATTTGTTCTATCAAATCTTCTACGTCATCATCATCTTCTAATCCGGATGATACTTCTACTAATTTATAAGTACCACATTCATTTCTTACCATTTCTAAAGCACCAGCATACATCATTTTCCATTCCTGTGACACCACCGTACTTGGTTTCCAGTATATTAATATCAAGGGAGTTTGTTTGATTCCGTCCTTGTTTGTCATTGGGTAAGCTAATAATAGGTATCTTGGCGAGTTATCTGGCATTATTTCAGCCAATTCGCTTAATTCAGTCATGTCATCCAATTCTTCTTGTTCATCTTCATCAATTACAATTTCATATGTCTTTGGTTCAATTTTGATAGATAGACCCTTTATTGAATCAGCTCTCCCCGTAGAGATACGAAATTTACTAATTCTGTTTTTAGTTTCTGTACCAATTTGATATAATGTAGACATTTCCTAATGTATATAATACGTTATATTCTTGATTCGTAGTGTTTTTCTTCTCTTTTGGTTTGCTGTTTACCTAATTATAGTGCAACTGTTCAGTAAGTTTCTTTTTTTTATGCATTTTTCAGAAAAAAAATTCAAATATAAGAAATTTACCAAATTTTAAGGCACGACGACAGTAATTATACTACTTTACATGATTGTCAGAAAAAACTTGGCAAAAAAAAAATAACGTAATAAATGTTAGATATTGTTTGCGTAAATATGTTATGCTTATATTTATATTCATATTGTAAAAGTTAAGGTATATATATATATATGTGATAATTAAAATATATTCATAGAAATGATGACGATTAATTGACGAAATATTTATTATCTTTACAATCTTCAGGGGTCCTTCTAATAACTTCTTCGATATCCCATCTTTGTACTTTATTGTCTATACTTGATTTACCTGAATTTAATTTCAAAAATAATTTATCACCAACTTCACTAACATGACGTAATAAATAATCAAGATCATCCTTTGTTAAACTTGAAGACATACAAAAACGAACTCTTGATTCAATTAGTGGAGTAGCTGGATAAGCAACCACCACTACAGCAATTTTTCTTTGTAACATCATTCTTGAGAATGCAGGCATCTTTGAAGGGCAATATAATAGCATTGGAATAACTGGAGAATCGGCATTACCGTAGACAATAAAACCTAATCTTTGTAGTCCTAAACGTAAATAACGAGAATTGAAGGCAATACGTTGTAATCTTTCTGTACCTTCACCTGGATTGATCTTACCAATAATAGTCTCTAAAGATGCAATAATTTGAGCTAAGACAGGTGGTGGAGTTGGTTCTGAATAATTTGGTGTAGTCATATCTAATCTTAATCTATCAATAATCCATTTATCACATGCAATATAACCACCTGCAGCACCAAATGATTTAGTGAAAGTACCCATTAGGATATCAATATCCTTAGGGTTAACACCAAAGATTTCAGAAACACCACGACCAGTTGGACCCATTGCACCGATAGAATGAGCTTCATCAACAAACAAATAACATTTATATTTTTTCTTTAATTCAATTAATTTTGGTAAGTTACAAAGAGTACCTTCCATTGAATATAAACCTTCGACACAAATTAAAATTTTCTTCCATGGACGATTTGTCTTTGGTTGACCTAAAACAATTTGATCTCTAATTAATTTTTCTAATAAATCCATTTCACCATGTTTAAAAGTTCTAACGGCAGCACCAGAAAGTCTAACACCTGTTCTAATTGAAGTGTGGTTTAATTCATCAGATATTACAAGACATTTTGAATCTAAGAATGCATTAAAGAAATTTGCATTGGTTGAGTAACCCATTGAAAAAATCATCGCATCTTCTTTACCAACAAAATCTGCAATCATACGTTCTGTCATTACTTGTAAATCTGAAGTACCAATTTGAGATCTTGAACCACCAGATTGTACACCATATTTATCAACAATTTTTAAAGCTGCATTAGTACATTCACCTTCACTTTCAGCAAAACCTAAATAATTATAAGATGATAAATTCAAACAAGTTTGTGTATTACCTGGGAAAGTGTAATAATCATTATGATCATGAGATACTCTTTCAACACAAGTAATAAATCTACCTGGAACACCAGTTGTTGGTCTTGAAAAACAATCATCAATTCTCATTTTTAATCTTCTAACGTAAAAACTTTCAAATTTTGAATACCAAGGAGCATAACCATCATGTTCCATTATGTCTCTATGTGAATTTTTTTGAAATCTAATACCAAAAAAATCACGAATATGACCTAAAATAATCAAAATTAAATAATTTAAATATGTCATTAATGTAATATAATAAGGTGGTGTATCCATAATTGGTTTCTTATTTGCTTTTTCTGCATCCATTGTTTTAACTTGATATAAGTATTTTGGGTCAGTTAAAGTACCATATTCATTTTCACGTTTAGTATGTGAATCCAATGGTTCTCCAATGCACATGGGTACCCTACGATCATCTGGCAACATTTTCACTTTTGTAGCCATGATTTAAATATATATGTATATTGTGTGTGTGTGTATGGTATCGATTGAGTACAATGTTTTTTTATTGATTCTGTGTATGGTTAAAATATCAATTATTAATTAATTCTTTGTTTATGCGTATATTATGTTTAAAACCAAGTAAGTAAATAAATAAACAATATTATAGTCAATCTGTGTATACCTTTGTTTTTCCAGTCTAATTTTTTTTCTATGGTATTTTTCCCTTCTCCTTTGTCAATATATCTATATATATATATATGTGTGTGTGTAATAAAATAATAATAGCTATATATATCAAGAAAGATGATCAATCAAAATTTATTATTACCTTCAAGATAGAAAGAGAGCAATATTGATATCTATGTATACTAAACGCAGAAACTTACTGCCAATCATTAATAAAAGAAAATATTGAGCAATAACCAATTTACGCTCCTTCCCTCTCTCTCTCTCTGTCTCTCTCTGTATACTGTCATATAATATTGCTATTATTATGTAAAGAACGAGATACACGCGTACAGTAAATAAACATAGCGTATTATATAACACAATACAGCAAGGCATAGCCAAACAATAATAACAAGAAGAGGAAAAAGACGCGCTCCTATATGTTTTTTCTCCCTTTCCTCCATGTTACTTACCACAAAATTGAGTGAGAACGGAAAGCTGAGGCAGAGACGACGCGAGAGAAAATTTATTCACTATATATATTTCACAGTATATACTTCAACAGCAATAATACGTATGTAGCCAGCAACACTTTGGCTGTCCTGGTCTCGGCTGCTCTTCTTCTCCCTGTTTTACTCTCTCGTTGTTGTTAGAAAAAATAGGGGCAACAAATTTATTAATTTCTTTATTGCTCTCTCAATACCTTCGCTTTATTCTTTTTTTGGTGGCAGAGGCGTGGGCCGTAGAGGGTGATTTTATTTTTTTAGTATCAAGCGTGGGGGGGTGGGGAACAAGACAAAATAACATATTTGGGCGGCTATAAGTTACATACTATATATATAGTACATATATATATATATATTTATTTATTTAATTGGAAACATCTCCGATTTCGTAATTCCCTGGTGTGATTAACCGTATATAATGGTCACAATGTGGAGTTTCTTCAAGAATATGTGCCACAATTAATACAGTACCAGGCCATCTATCTAATAATTCATAACAACGAATCATTTCTGTATCTTGCATTCCTGAAAACGCTTCATCAAGAATTAATGTTTCAGGCATCTTGATCAATGAACGAATAAATAATACTAATTTTTGTTGTGAGACATTTAATTCATCAAATTTTTTATCCTTTATTAAAGTTAATGAAAAATGATCCATATACATTTTAATTAATTTTCTTTGTTGATTAGATAACTTATCCCACATTGGTAAAAAATTATTTGATGAACCTTCATGAAATCCTGATGATATACTCTCAAGTACGGATATTTTATTACCTCTCTTAGCAAAAATTGCATGTAATTCAGGTGATGACATACCAATCTTACTATTAATTTTAAAATAACTTGTTTGACCTGTCTTACGTTCAATACCATTCTCAATAATTTTTTTATTCCATGATTGTGGATGTTCTGCAACAATCATTGATAATAATGTAGATTTACCACTACCATTATTACCACGAACATGCCATTTGCTTCCAGGCTGAATTGACCATTTTAAATCTTGTAAAACAGGCTCTCCACGATAGGTTACATTAATACCTTTAAATTCAATAGCTGGTATCAGCATTGATTGAATTTCATTTTTGATCATTGTATCATCTGCTATTTTAATCGTTTCATGATTGTTCTTGTTATTTTTATACATTGGATGTAATGAAATTAAATCATCAATTGTATATATACTATTAATATGTTGATTTTCAATAACTTTTTGAATTTTTTTTCTTTCAATTTCTTGAAATTCTTTAATTTGAATTTCAACATCTTTTTTAATTCCATTAAATAATATACCTTGATTTTCATCAACAAAACAAACATGTGTACACCATTTTGGTATTGAATCTTGGTATCTAAGTCCAATTGTAATAGGTGTACCAATAAGTTTTTCACTTTGGGATAAAAATTTTGAAATTATTGATGTTGCAGTTGGATCAAGTCCAAGAAATGGGTCATCAACTAATAATAAATCAGGTTCTTTTAATAATGAACGAGCTAACCTGGCTCTACGCATTTGTCCATTACTTAATCCCATCGCCCATCTATCTTGTAATTCGCTTAATTGTAATTCTTTAATTAATATTTCATACAAGTTTTCATTAATTTTATCATCTCTTAATATTACATCATAGGAAACATTATTTGAACCAATTGAATTATTTAAAATAAATTGCTTACAAGTTTGATCAAATTCATCTTTGAAATATTCATATCTCGCACTTAAATGTGCAGTTGGTATAGCTCCACTAAATTGGATTGTTTCAATTCTGGGTAATGTATGACGAGTCGTAGAAGAATATCTTAATGCTAATCTTGATGGATCACCTAAATATTTATTACTTAAAATATTCATTAATTTTGCTTTACCTGTACCACAAATTGCCCATTTCTCATTTGAATTTATTTGAAAATTTGGAATTCTTTTTGGAAATACAGGTTTTGAACCTTTTGTTAATGATGATAGAAATAAACCATTATTAATCTTAACAATATAATTGTTAATATTTGACATTATTCAAAAGGAAACGGTTTTCAATATTCTTTTCTCTGCAAACTCTAATTCTTAAACGAAAAATGAAATAGATTGAACTTTTAATGGGTTGTTGTTTTATTGTTAGGTAAGTTTGCTTATATATTTATATTGAATTATCTTTGTTTTTGTTTTTTTTTCGATGACTCACGTCTTATTTTTTTCAAGGGGAGTTCAAGCAAGTTTAGTATGAATATATATACGAAGTGTTGAAGCACTTCACTGGAGTGTACTCATTTATTGATGAGAAAAGTGAGTGTAGGCTTATATAGATGATTTGAAACAACTTTTCATGAGTTTATATCTTGTTTTTAGAGAAAAAAAAAATTGTTTACATTTAGTAATAGTTCAAGAACTTTGTATACAAGTTTCAAATTTACTAAAAAAATTAAATATCGTATAATATGAATGTTGGTTTTTTAAAGAAATCAACAATATTTTAATTATTATAACGTCAGATAACACATATATACACATGTAAACTTTCAAATAAAACAATACTAGATATTGTCATACTACAAACGTTTCCTTTTTTTGTGACATACTTCTACTTAGATTCTTATCACGCACCAGTCAACTGTAATTTATATATATGTTTACTCTAAACATCAGTTGTACAACTCTCACACTTTCCCAAGTCCCTTCGAATTTATATATCGAACGTTCAAGTACCAATTGCAAATTTATATATATCTTAATTACTGACTTTTATCAATTTATATGGGCCTTTTTTTTTAATTAACTGAAAGTGCTGAAATTTTCACTAGGCGCGAGACAAAAAAATTCAAAGAATGAAGGAAATCGTTTCATGAATTTTTTTTTCTCTCTCTTTGAAAAAGCATGTATTAAGTAAAGGTGATACATCTTGGTTACAACAACAGAAATATTTCGGCACATTTAATCCTTAAATAATCGATTTTATTACTAATTGTTACCCACAACTTATATCACACACCTCACACAACAATACACACACCTAAATATGCTATTCTTTTCTTTCTTTAAGACCTTGGTCGACCAAGAAGTCGTTGTTCAAGTATGTTACCTTCCTCATTTCAAAGTCATCTATTCTGGTCCCCTCTTCCCACATTTTTATTTGTTACTAACATAATTCAATTATACTTTACTGGATGTATGAATAAATTGTCCATACATGGCCCTGCCTCACCTCAGTAAGTATTTTTTTTGACATTCTTTTCCATTTTAGTTAAAAAACGATATCGAATTGAAAGGTACGTTACAATCAGTTGATCAATTCTTAAATTTAAAATTGGATAATATTTCATGTACAGATGAAGAAAAATATCCACATTTGGTTTCAGTAAGGAATATTTTCATTAGGGGTTCAACGGTAAGATACGTTTACTTAAACAAAAATATGGTGGATACTAATTTATTACAGGATGCTACTAGAAGAGAAGCCATGAGTGAAAGAAAGTAAATAAATTGAAAACTAATATTACGTATACGGTACGTGTAACATTAATAAAAATAAAAATAATAATAACAATAATTACAAATCAAAAAATACACACGAATATAGATTTTAATGATATCAACAAGAATATTCATGTTTTTTTATTGAAAGTGAAACGATTTAAGTTTTCCAGTTTTGATTGTTTGTTATGGAAGTAAGTATTACAATTCGATATTTTATGCATCTCCTTATATACATTATATACAATCATTTTTATTTTTTAGACAAAAACAAAAAACATAATAATAAACATCATCAGTAATAGCATAGATTTAAAAAAAGCACGAAATATGGTATGCAATAAATAGAGGTGATTACAATATGCAGGGTATCATTTATGACTGAGGTTTTGGGTTTAGTAACCTTTTTGGACATGCAGCTCGTGTATGCCCTGTCTCTTTACAATAAGAACAATTAATCTTATTCTTTTTCTTTTTCTTCTTATTTGATAAATCATCAATTGTATTATGATGTATGGTGGATTCTGTCTTTACTATTGGAATTAACGCATATTTTTGTTTTCTTTCACCATTTTCAATTATTTCAACACCATTATTTAATATCCTATCTAATTCTGTCGTATCTGCTGAAAATCCATTCTCATCCTTTTGATTCAATGCAAGTATCATATTAATTAATTTTTCCACTTCATGTAATTTTTTTTCATAATCGACTTTAACTTGATTATTATCCTTTCGTCTTTGTATTATTATTTTAGCTAATACATCCATTGCATCGGATACTCGTTTGATTTCATCTCCTGATTTATTACTACCATTCGGCGTTTCCATTGTAAGTATAAGTTAATAAAAACCAAACTATATATGTTTTTGTAACCTTTGTATAAGGTGGTAGTAATTTTAATATTGAATCATATACATGTTATAGTCTATATATACAGATAACAAATGCAACTCTTTTATTATTTTCTTTTTTTTCTTGTTGAAATATCTGAAAGTCTTAGATATTTTTTGAAGTCCGCTTAAATTAATTTTAAACGCTTTAAAGTTGAAAGGGTCCTGTTAATGATATAAGACAAACAAACGATAAAACATACATGTAAAGGTAATCATTAATTACGGTCATGAAGTTGGAATAATCAACTAACATTATTATTATTATTATTTTTTTTTAATTGTACTGTTTTTTTCCCATTTTGAAGTGAAATAAAAATATATTAATATTGAATTCAGTTTGGCTATTTGTGTCAACTAATGCGAATAGGGAGTGGCATCGAGGAACTAGAAGGTACAAAAATAGTATTATTAATTGATTTCTATCTGTCGTGCAGTAAAACTATCTGTCAATTAGAAACAACAGAGCATCTCTCCTACCATTAAGAGGAGCAGAACATAACAACACACGAATATTGAGTTTAAATACCTTGAGTACATTTTCGCTACATATACAGATTAGACACCAAATAATTTAGTAGCGAACCTGAGGAAGTAGGTTTGGTGCCTTGAATTTGAAACTTCCAATACTTGAATATGGTATAAAAGCACTACAATGCTTGCTAAATTTTACATAATGTATTTCCCGTAAAAACTATCCAACTTGCCTGAATATGTCGGAATTTACATGATAGAAGAATGACGTCAAGAATATAAAATATAAGAATAAAAGAATGATAAAGATTGTCATATTTGATAATGTTCAATATTTAACAATCCAAAATGAGAAAAGATAATAAAAAGACGCATTTGGAAATCATGCATAATTTCTACAATGCTAGTATTGGAGATTTATAATCACGAAATGTAACCAAATCCAAAGGTATATAAAGGGAACAATATTTCATACATTGGAATATTTTATTTCCCTGACTATTTTGTATATTATTTATAATTTGTATACTAAAGAAATCAGACGACTATACGTTGATTTCTAATAAATTAAATTTTGTACCATATTAAAGAAATGGATTCCTCTAATAATTCAAATATCCAACAGAATACTTGTTTTAAAGTCACATAACCTATAAATAAAGCGGTTTTATATAACCTGACAAAATATGGATATGAAGGGACTCCAACTGAGCATATAATTTAGAAAATTGTCATATTTTAGTAATTTTGATTATACAAAAAAGATCATAAAAATGTAATTACTTAACAATAATCCAACATTACCACAGTTTAAGTTAATAACAAATTAGGAAAGCCTCTTCAAATGCAACTACATTTAAAATATACTCAGGTACCCATACAAAATTTATGAGAAATTACAAAAATATTGAAAACAAAATTTTGATATCTTTATAAGAGGATTGTTAGACTTGCCTAGTTTAGGCTGTAATGGCTTATAGTGGAACCAGATACTTTGAGATACCTGACCTTGGAACGAAACTTCCTTGCTGTTGGGCACAGATTGCACGCTTTCCCTTCGTGGAAGTAAAAGAACGGAGAAGATTCGTCTTCAAAATTCTGCGCTGTGTCTCCTTTGTTACAACTATCTTCCGTCCGTCGTTCAATTATGCTATTTCGACAATTTCTATTGTGGGAATAGGCGGGCGGGCACTACAGAACGTGTCCCAGTTTAACCAATTAATCGATCCTTGCGGGTAATTTTCTTCGTAAAATAATGCCCACAAAGTCAAATTTGTCGACAGTCCATACGAGTAATCTATTGGTTCTGTTTGGTGCAGCAATGTAGCTTAGCTTAATCGCTTTGCGTCAACCGCCGTAGGGGAGTTTCATCCAGCATCGGCAGGCGTGACCCGTGATGGAGGCGACTGGGATTGCACTGTTCTAAGTGTAAATTTAAATGCTAATTCTGATATTACTTGTAATATTTGAAATTGGTAGTGTAACGGAGTATCACTCATCTTCAATGATAGTATATTTATATGCATGAGTGTCGAAGGAACCACTAACGATTCTTTTTTTTTCAATTTTTTTTTCTTCAGTCGATGAGCTTTCTGCAAAATTGTAGTGATACATCTACAACCAAGATGACTAGTCCTTTATCCTTTAAGATGTGATCGTGTTATGCTTAGATTTCTTAACTTGGTATTCGCAGTAATTTCTCATATATATAAAATAAAAACTGGATAAAGATAAACTTTTTTTTTTGCTTCAAAATGGCTAAGAAGAGACACGCTAGAAAACCAAGATCTGGTATTAGAAATTGGTCTGAGATTGTTAGAGAAAATAAAATATGGGAAGATTACTATAAATCATTAAATCTATTTCCAATTGAAGAATGGGAAGATTTTAAGAAAGCTTGTCAAGAACCATTACCATTAACATTCAGAATTAATGAATCAATCTCTGAAAAATATTCTAATGAAATTTTAAATTTATTTGAAAAGGATCATTTGAAATATTTAACTAATATCGAATTTGAAGGAATTCCAATCAAAAGACCATCAAAATTAAAATGGTACCCTAGATCAATGGCATGGCAAATTGATGTCCCAAAGAGAGTCATGAGGAAAAATGAAATGTTTAAAAAGACTCAAAGATTCTTAGTATTAGAGACTAATGCAGGAAACATTTCAAGACAAGAAGCTGTATCAATGGTTCCTCCTTTATTAATGGATATTCAATCTAATCATAAGATTTTAGATATGTGTGCAGCTCCAGGTTCAAAGACTGCTCAATTAGTTGAAGCATTACATTTAAATTGTGAAAATAATAAACAACCTACAGGTTTTATTATTGCTAATGATTCTGACACTAGAAGATCTCATATGCTTGTACATCAATTGAAAAGATTAAAAAGTTCAAATTATTTAATTTTAAATCATGATGCTCAATTTTTCCCAAGGATTAAAATTAATAAAGAAAATAATAGCAATATTTTAAAATTTGATAGAATATTATGTGATGTTCCCTGTTCAGGTGATGGTACGTTAAGAAAAAATATTAACGTTTGGATGGATTGGAAACATCAAAATGGGTTAGGTTTACATGCTTTACAATTTAATATACTTAATAGAGGTATTGAATTATTAGAAAATGGTGGTAGATTAGTGTATTCTACTTGTTCTTTGAATCCAATTGAAGATGAAGCTGTAGTGGCTCAAGCATTAAGAAAATGGGGTAAAGAGAAATTAACTTTAATAGATTGTTCGAATAAATTACCTGATTTGAAAAGATGTTCAGGTATATCATATTGGCCGGTCATTGATAAAAATTTAAAAGAAAAAACAAAAACTGATGACAATGTAATCGATAGTTGGTTCCCTCCTAATGAAGAAGAAAAAAATTCATTTCATTTAGATAGATGTATTAGAATTCTTCCTCATCAACAAAATACTGGTGGGTTTTTCGTAGCAGTATTTGAAAAGGCTAAGGTTGAAACCGATACTAAATCACCCGATATCGTTGAAACTTTGAAATCAACTCATATATCATCACCAATGAATACAAGTGATCTACCACCGGATAAAATTAAGAAGGAATCATTACCATTGGATGCAATGGATGAACCATTTAATTTTATTGATACTTCAATCGGTCCATTGAGCGAATGTTGGAAATTCTTTGGATTTAATGAAACTTTTAATAAAGATAATTGTTTAGTGAGAAGTAATTCAATTGAGTTACCAAAAGTGATTTATTCTGTAAATCCACAATTGAAAAATATTATTGAGTTAAATCGTGAAAAATTAAAGATGATTTATTCCGGTGTGAAATTATTTGTTTATCAAAGAGATGATATCGAATGTGCATTTAGAATTCATAGTGAAGCAATACCATTAATTAAACCTTACGTCAATCACAATAGAATAATTGATATTGATTTGAATTTCTTAAAATTATTATTAACTGAATCATTCCCAACGTTCGAAATGTTATTAGAAAATAATGTGGAATCAAATGTTATTAATCAAATTGAGAAATTTGTACCAGGTTGTGCTATGGTTTATGTATCAAGAGATTCAGAAAATAAAGAATCCATTTTACTACCCATTTGGAAAGGTATTAAATCAATTAATATTATGGTTTCAAAAGAAGATGCACATGAATTACTTTATAGAGTCTTTGGGATTGAAACTCAAGCAAAAGATAATCCCAAAGCTAGAAAACCTTTGGAAGAAACCGAAAAACTCGTAGTATAAATAATTGCATTACATAACCTCGTATTGATATATTCAACAATGATAAAATTACAATTTATTTTCTTATGAAAATGTACTATATATATATATTATTTAATTAAATTATTAAACGTAACCGATGCCCAGGCAAAAAAAAGGAGAAACTCTATTTTTTGTTTGCTTATTAAAAAACAACAACAACTAATTTTTATGATCCATTGTATAGATGGCGAAAGATCTACGAAGTTGGCGACGAACACTAATCTTTTGTGCGTCTACAAATGAATCAACTACAACCTTGATAGCTCTATCCAAATCCCAAGCAGAGACGAATTCTGACAGCCTCATTTTTGCAAAAGATTCTGCAATTCTTAATATAGATTCTAAATGACGGACAGTAATTGGGAATGAACCGGTGGTAATACTTTCTCTTCTCAAATCTGCATATACTCTACTAACTTTATCCATATCCATTTGATGTAGTTTAGGATATATCTTTGTTCTAGCATAATGGATATATTTCATTAGTGTCTCTTGAGAAATAGGCGATATTTCTTCTTCTAATTTCTTTTGTACTTTCAATCTTCTTTGTCTAGCAGACATAGCTCCATCTTCATCCATAGCATCTTCGTCCTTGTTTTCACCTTCTTTCTCACCAGCTAGATTTTCTTCATTTTCAGGATGAGATCTAATATGAGATCCAACAACGAACTTAGCTAATCTTTCATCTGCTTCTTCATCAACCAAATCTCTAACAACACACAAGATATCAAATCTGGACAAAATAGGTTCTGTTAGACCGACATTTTGTGACAATGGTAAAGTAGAGTTATAACGACCACCATTTGGATTAGCTGCTGCAATAATAGAACAACGAGCCTGTAATGTTGTAACAATACCAGCCTTGGAGATAGATATACTTTGTTGTTCCATGGCTTCATGAATAGATGTACGATCCTGATCATTCATTTTATCAAATTCATCAATTAAACATACACCTTTATCTGCAAGGACTAACGCACCACCTTCTAAAGTCCACTCTCTTGTTATTGGATCCTTTCTAACTGAAGCTGTCAAACCAACAGCAGATGCACCTTGACCAGTTGCAAAAACAGCTCTATGTGCTGTCTTTTCAATGTATTTTAAAATTTGTGATTTAGCTGTACCTGGGTCACCTAATAGTAAAACGTTAATATCACCACGAATTGCGTGCTTACCATTGACATTTTTTGGAACACCACCAAATAACGAGCACGCAACGGCCGTCTTAATATCTCTATGGCCATAAATAGATGGTGCCATCGAAGAAATGATCTTATCAATGATACCACGATCTCTGGATAATTTTCTAAATTCACGTTCTTCTTCTTCGGTCCAACTGAAAACATCAAGACCTTCTTCAGATGGATTTGAAGAATTACCTTCTCTTCTCTTCACGGAGTTGGCTTCAATAATAGTTGCAAACACAGGGAACCCATTTTTGGCATTTAGACTACCATCATAACTATTTTTGTAAATACCGGTAACCTCCACTTCTTCACCAGGCTTTGCAATATCAACCAAATCAGCTAATAAAATCACCTCTCTGTGTCTTGGTAAACGACCAGCTAAGACAGTACCTGGAGCTTCTTGAAGTGTGATTCTTTGATAGTTACGATAGACAGTCTTTTCACCATTAATGGAAAATGGACCTTTAGATTTACAGTTAGTACAGAACGAGATCTTCATCTCTTCATTGGAGTCCTGGAAAAATGGACCTAAAACTGTACCACACTTCAAACAGTTAAATTTAATATATTTTAATTGAGGGAAGACACCAGTTCTTCTAGTCACCACACCTGTAACACGAATCAATGAACCTAAATTAGATTCACGTAATTCACGTAAACTGAATACAGTTGGGAAATCCGATATTCTAACGTGAATTTCTGAATGAATTCTGGCATAATCTGGGTAATGTAGTTCGGTAGCTTCCATAGCAACTAAGTCAAATATTTTCAACATTTCTTCCGGACACTTAGCTAAGAATAATGCTAGGATAGCCTTGGATTCTGCCAAATGTCTATAATTTACTTCTAAAGATTCAGAGTTCATTTCACCCAGGGTTCTAATACGAGCACCATACACAGATCTACCTGTTTCGTCTGTATATTCCAATAAGAAACTTTTCAATTCTCTGGCAATTGTTCTCGCTACATTAGGTTGGATGATCCATTCTGAATAACTTGCAGCTTTTACATTACTTAGAGATTCTAAACTCAATTCTTCAGTTAAAGGATCCACAACCATATCATCCAATAGATCATCATCACTGTTTTCATATGTATCATATTCTCTTCTACGTCTACGTTTTTGAATTGGAAGACCCATTTCATCAAGTTGGTTAGCATTTTCGTCCTCTTCATCTTCATCCATGTACGCTGGATTTTTCAACAGTCTATCTCTTTCTTGTAATTGTGCATCAATACGACGACGTTCACCAAGTGATAATTCTGTTTGGTCTCTGTCATCAATTTGTGCTGTGTCATATGCATCCTTAGTTGGGTCAGAACCATAATCACGGTACATATCGTCACCCATCAAATCGACTTCATTCATTTGTTCTTCAGCATCATCGATATCTTGGATTTCAGCAATTTCGTTGTCATCACCTTCAGGATTCACCATATCATCTTCTGGAGCACCAATTGGAGATGAAACAGTGTTGTAAACACCTCTATCTGGTTGTTGTGGTGATGAAGGTGGGAAATCATTCTCGGAATCGGAATCGTCTTCTGCCTCACGTCTACGTCTTCTATTATCAGACATTGTGTTGGAGTATTAATATTATAATTTTTTGATGGATTTTTCAATTAAGAGAACTTATACGAAGCAGAATAAACTAACCAGTTAAAATGATTTTAATATTTTGTTGATAAAATATGCTTAAAGAGAATTAACAAACTAATCATTCCCTTTGAAAGTAACGTGAAAAAAAATTTCGTAGTTTAATTGCTTGCAGTTCGGATGTTGCGGTACGAATTTTTTTTTTACTTCGAGGCGTGTTAATTTCACGAAAAGACAAGCTATATTATTACCCGATTAGGAAAAGAAATTACATTGGTAATTAATAGTCTTCCCAAAGACGAAGAAAATATGAATATTTTTTAGATACGATGAAAAAATGTATTATTTACAAAAGGTATTTATATATGTGTATTTTATTATTAAATTATTTGTTAGAAATCAGGAAATGATCAGTTATCGTCGCCATGGTCTTTATTCTTTTTGGCGTCAAGTAATGCAAACTCTGAGGCCCAGACCGCATTACCTTCTTCTGTAGACACATCTGGAAACAATTTCTTAAAAATATCACCGTACCAATCAGCAGGAAGAGGAGTAAGACCTTCTTTCACATTGGCAGGTAACTCTTCCCAGTCACTCCAGTTATCCTTGGGGAAGATTATTGTCTTAGCACCAGATCTCTTAGCTGCAACAGCTTTTTCTCTTAACCCACCAATACGTAAAACTTTACCTGTTAATGTTAGTTCACCTGTCATTGCCACGGTTGGTTCAATGGATCTGTTTAATGCAAGTGATAGGAATGATGTAGCCATAGTGACACCGGCTGATGGTCCGTCCTTTGGCGTAGCACCTTCTGGACAATGCAAATGGATTGAAGCCTGTTGGAAGAATCTGTTTTCAGGAAATTTGTTAGCTAAAAACATCTTAGAGAACGAGTATGCCAAACGAGATGATTCCTTCATCACATCACCAAGTTGACCTGTACGTTCTAAAGTTGGATGTTTACAGTTATGTAGAGGTTGTTCTAGGACAGATTCAACGTATAATGAACATCCTCCCATACTAGTCCATGCCAACCCCATAACGATACCAGGCGGTGTTGTTTCATACAGTCTATCTGTTGTGTAAATTGGAGGACCAACATAGTCCTTCAAATTTTCGGGCGTAATAGAAATGCTAATATCATCTGGGATCACCATAGCTGTGCTCTTATCTTCCTCTTTTTCAATCTCAATATCTTTACTCTCATCTTCTTTGACGTTAGTATTTGTAGTCGTGGAAGTTAAAGCTGGTTCAACAACAGGATCAGAAGTTTCGGCAATCTTCTTCAAAATGTTCAGAGCCGCCTTTCTGTATATCTTTTCGATTTGTTTCTTTAAATTTCTTACACCACTTTCTCTACAGTAATGTTTCATTAATGCAATTGTAGCATTTTCTGTAAGTTCAACGTTAGCGTTCGATAAACCTGCTGTTTTTCTAGCCTGAGGTACAAGGTATCTTTCTGCGATTTGAACCTTTTCGTCAGCAACGTAACCTGTTAATTCAATCACCTCCATACGATCCAATAACGGTCTTGGAATGGTATCCAGGGTATTTGCAGTACATACAAATAAAACTTTCGACAGATCAATCGGAATATCTAGATAGTTATCTAAAAAGCTATTGTTTTGTTCTGGATCCAACACTTCCAATAAGGCAGAAGAAGGATCACCATGCATACCACCATGTCCAATTTTATCAATTTCATCAATTAAAATTAGGGGATTCTGGGTTTGACATTTTTTCAAGGCTTGGATTATTCTACCAGGTAATGCACCAATATATGTTCTTCTGTGACCCTTAATTTCAGCAACATCTGACATACCACCTACAGAAAATCTGAAAAACTTGCGATTTAAAGCACGTGCAATAGATTTACCAATGGATGTCTTACCAACACCAGGGGGACCAACAAAACAAATAATTTTACCATCTACTTTCCCTAATAGCTTACCCACAGCAATGAATTCAAGAATACGATCTTTGACATCCTTCATACCATAATGATCCTCATCTAGAATAGTCTTTGCAACGTCAATTGAATATTGTTCCTTGGAGATTAGACCCCATGGTAAAGATGTTATCCAATCTAAATAATTTCTTGTCACACCAAATTCAGACATAGATGTCTCTAATGTGGATAATTTCATTAACTCATCGTCAAATATTTTCTTGACGTTTTTTGGCAGTTTTAATTTTTCCACACGTTTCTTGTATGTATCAATCAATTTATCACGTCCGTCATCGATTCCCAATTCTCTCTTGATCCCCTTTAACTGTTCCATTAAATAATATTCTCTTTGTCTCTTTTGAATCTTTGTCTCAACGTCCTTAGAAATCTTATTTTGTAATTCAGCATTCATCAACTCTTTCTTTAAAACCAATAAGGATTTCTCTAGACGTTCTTCAATATTCAACGAACTCAATATATCTTGTAATTCATCCTCTTCACCAGCTGAAACAGCAGCTGCAAAATCAGCCAATCTTGCAGGCTCTTCAAATATGTTAGTAGTAGCCGACTGAATTGATGCAGAAAATGTAGCGATTTGTTCTCTAAACATAGTATTTAATTGAGAAATTTCTTTGAAAACTTTCAAAATCTCAGAAGTTAATGCATTTATGACAGGTGATTTTCTATCAAATGGTTCATCTTCTAAATTTGAAACGTTTACTAAGGATACATTGAATTTTTTCAAGAATTCTGTAGGGTTAAATTCAGAAATTAATATATCATCAGATTTTGATGATCCTCCAACAATAGTATTTTGCTCAGAAGGTTCAGCATCATTTTGATCCTTTACTTCAATGTCCTTACTCTTCGAGTTTGTGTTTTCTTCATCGTTCGATTTATCTGAAACGGTCTCTGAACTCTTAGATTCCTTCTCGATTGGTTCCACAATTTTTTCCACTATAATATTCTTTATATCCTGTGGTTCTTTTGTCTTTTCTGTGATAACAGGAGGAACCAATTCATCAATCTTAATTCTCCTATGTGGATATAATAAAGCTGTCATTGTTTCAGAACCTGTCTTTTCATCTTTACTTGGGAACGCACTTGTAATTTGAGCTAAAACACCTACTGAATGAACATCATCTCTATTCTTAATAATATCCGTATCTATAGAAGAATCCTTTAACATGAATGCACCAATATAAGGTTGTTGACGATCTAACATTTCTGTGATTGCTTTCATTACATCCGGATCGGAGATAACTACGGCTTTGTAAAACCCAGGAAACAATGGTCTTCTTGATATTGGTAAAGCTAACATCTGAGGGTATACCTCCGGTAGGCTAGTGTCAGGTTTTACGGGATCATGACCACCATTTCCTCCACCACCATTATCATTGTTACTATTTGGAGGTGTTGCAGGGGCACCACTTCCAGTCCCAGCCGATGACGATGATTTACCCTTTTGTTCAGCTATATTGTTATTTTTATTTACAGGAACTTCATTACTATCATCATCTTCCTTCTTTCGATCTTTCTTCTTGTCCTTTGGGATGGATTTATTATTTGAATTATTAGTAATATTATTATTTTTGGAATTTTTAAACAGTATAGGACGTGGAGCCCATTTTAATTCTGAATCCAAAATATCATTTTCGTATGGAATACTAGCGGCAAATCTTACCGGTGTATGAATGAAAGTATTAGTCTTAACCGTATTTTTTAATAACCTCGTTAGGTTACGAGTAGTAGAAGTCTTGAATCGAAGCATTATTTCCTCGGTAACTTCAGATATATAGGCTATACAATATTAAATCAAACAAAACCAAAATAAATGAACTACTTAGTAGATCACCAATATTACTTTAAACATCAAGTTGTTTCTTGTCTTCTCTTTTTAATTCATAATTTAGTAATAGTTTCTTTGATTATCTCTCCCCTTCCCTCTCGCATTACGAAAGTGGCAAAAATCCGAAATTCGTTTGTTTCGCTTTGCACCTTTAACATTAATAAGATGAGCTATTAATACACAACAATTATATATATATGTATATATATTGATTAGTTTGATTTTGTTATTGGTATTAACAGGATTCATTGGTCATTTGGTATAGTTTGCGATTACTGTGGCATCGTCTGGAATGTAATCTTTTTGTTTGTGTCATGTTCTATTTATATGGAAAAGTAGTGAATATGTATATATTTTGAGATCGAGTATATATAAGGATGTGGCCCAAATTATCTAAAGCCCCTAGGTTCTTTCTTATTTTAGTTACAAATATGCCGATGAAGGTCATCATTTTATCTTCGTTTAGAACCTTTTATTAGGACCATTGCTGTTTTTATCCTTCTGCCTATGGCCCAGTAGTAGATGTATTATCATTTGAAGCTGATTGTTCTTGCCCTTGTTCATGATCTTGCTCCCTCATCCTTTCTTCCTCTTCTTCTAACATCTGTTGATTGCGTAATGCTTGTTGATGTCTATATTTGGCCAAATATATTTTTAATACTTCAGCATAATTTTCAAATCCTAAAGCATGTAATGATATCAATATATCTTCACCATTGATAGTCTTTCGTTTGTCGGCTGTACATCTATCACCAGCTTCACTTGTTACAAATGATATAAATTCACTAACACACTCTTGCATACACTCCTTGGCATCCTTTGAAACTTTAGCCGTGACCGGCAAAGTATTCTTCATCAGTCGAGCTACATTATTTATAGGTAACCATCTATCTTGTTCTCTCAATTCATATATGTGTGGGTTATCTAACATATCTTTACCATCGTCGTGATGTTCGTCTAATGTACCCATAGAGTTGCTACCATGGCTAGGGGTTAAATGGGTATTACCATCTGCAGTTATTTCGTTTGACATACCGATTATTTTATTCTTTCTCAATATTTATGTAAATCCTTGCAAACTATCTTGTGTCCCACTTTTTGGTTTACTCTTGTTATCATCTATAGCTCATTCATGTTGAGAGAAAGAGAGAAGAAACCCTTCGAAGGTTTAAAATCTGAAGACTTTCTCTGTTTTTGTTTATGAAAATTCTAATTAGGCGGTGCGCGTGTCCTTGAACTGATGATGTTTTGTCATATTCTATAGAAACAACGGACATATCCATATAGACACTGAGATGGTATATAATTATAACTCGACATAAATTTATGGGTTGAGTGTTCCTGCTATTGCTTTTTGTGTGCCCACAAGATTGTTAATTATTTATCTCGAGGTATTGTGTGCGTCCACTTAAGATATATACGTCGAATTTACCATTCCATTAAGAGATCATGTCAAACAGTGATGAGATCTTGAAAAAATCTACCAAAGGTGCAACATTCTTGATGTTAGCACAATTGTTCACAAAGATCATCACTTTTTTATTGAATAGTGTCCTAGTACGATTCTTATCCCCTAGAATCTTTGGTATAACTGCTTTTTTAGAGTTCATACTAGGAACCGTATTGTTCTTCAGTAGAGAAGCCATTAGATTATCAACTCTTAGAATTAAAGACAATGATTTAGATGAGGATAATACAAACGAAAAGGAGGATGATCATACAAGTAATCATATTAAGAGACAAACTTTACAAACAATGGTAAATTTTTCTCATATACCATTATGGATTGGAATTCCATTGTCGTTAGTATTGACTACGTGGCAATACACCAACATTAATGCATATTTTATAACTTTGCCTTTCTTTCAATGGTCTATCTTAATCATTTGGGTTAGCATGTTAGTTGAATTATTGAGTGAACCATTCTATATCGTAAATCAATTCTTATTGAATTACAATGTTAGATCAAGATTCGAGTCTATTGCCGTAACAATGGGCTGTTTAGTTAATTTTTCAGTGATTTATTTATTTCAAACTCATATGGTTACCATTGGTAATTTAGACATTACAGATATGAATAAAGAAGGTATTGCCATTCTAGCGTTTGCACTTGCAAAATTGACCCATGCTATTACTTTACTACTATGTTATTATTGGGATTATTTAAGAAATTTTAAACCTAAAAAATTATTCCATATTAGATTGACAAAAATTACTATTACGACAGATTCAACGACTTATAAGAAACAATATTACTTTCAAAATGATATTTTAGAACATTTCAAAAAAGTATATTTCCAATTATGTTTTAAGCATTTATTAACTGAAGGTGATAAATTGATCATCAACTCAATGTGTACTGTAGAAGAACAAGGTATTTATTCATTACTATCAAATTATGGTTCTCTAGTTACACGCTTATTATTCGCTCCAATTGAAGAATCATTAAGGTTATTTTTAGCTAGATTACTCACTACACAAAATTCTAGAAATTTAAAACTATCTATGGATGTCTTAGTCAATTTAACTAAATTTTACTTATATTTGTCATTATTAATTATTATATTTGGACCTGTGAATTCATCATTCTTGCTTCAATTTTTAATTGGTTCCAAATGGTCCACTACCGCAGTCCTGGATACAATAAGAGTATATTGTTTCTATTTACCTTTCTTATCAATGAATGGTATCTTCGAGGCATTCTTCCAAAGTGTAGCTACAGGTGATCAAATATTGAAACATTCATATTTTATGATGGCATTTTCAGGTATTTTTTTAGTTAACTGTTGGGTCCTAATTGAAAAATTAGATTTATCAATTAATGGTTTAATCATTTCAAATATTATCAATATGATACTGAGAATAATTTATTGTATTCTTTTCATTAAAAACTTCTACAGAAAACTATACACTACAGAATCATCCTTCTTCTTAAATTTCCATAATTTTAGAGTTGTCTCTGTTGCAGGAATTAGTATAAGTATCATCAATTGGGTCACTATTGGTTATGTCAGAAACTTCAAACAATTATTCATTAATGCAACTTTTGCCTTATTACTATTGTTATTGATTCTGGTTAAGGAAAGGACATACATAAAAGGAATAATGGGCAAAAATAAACTTACAGAGTCAAAAGAGATTTAGAAATATATAGTATATATATATATATATAATTGTGAATATATAAGTTAAGAATATGTTTTATTTTAGAATTATCAAGATTGCACTCTTCACGCTTCAGATCAAGGCGTTAATTAACGCGTGATGACAGGAAAATAATATGTAAACAATAAAAGCATCATATATAAGAATTAATAATATAAAAAATTTATTCCATTTTTAAACTTGCCCCTCGACCACCCTATCAAGGTGTCGAATATTTTCCTTTCTTTCTTTATTCAAATAGCTCACTTGGAAATGACCAACATTCCTGATAGAACTATCAAACGTAAAGCTAAGAATGATCTCATACGTTTTGTTTCATTCAATGTAAATGGTGTTAGGACTTTTTTCCATTATCATCCTTTTTCTCAAATGAAATCTTCCTTAAGAGAAGTATTCGATTATTTTGACTCAGATATCATTACATTTCAAGAACTTAAAACCGATAAACTAGCTATATCAAAATGGGGTAAAGTAAATGGATTTTATTCTTTCATATCAATTCCAAAAGTGAAAAAAGGTTATTCTGGTGTTGGTTGTTGGATAAGAATACTACCAGATAATCATCCATGTCATAGTGCCTTAAAGGTTGTAAAAGCAGAAGAAGGAATTACAGGCCTATTGACTGTTAAAGTTAATGGACAACAAATAAGGTACAGAGATGATGAAAGTCTTGGATTAGGTGGATATGAAGATATTGGTGTATCAGATGAACAAATATTGTTAGATCTGGATTCTGAGGGAAGATGTGTCATGGTAGAACTTGCATGTAATATGATTATAATATGCGTTTATTCACCTGCAAATTCTGGATTAACCGAGGAAGGCGAACTTTTTAGAATGAATTTCATTAAGGTTTTATTTAATAGAATACGGAATTTTACGAAGATGGGAAAGAAAGTTGCATTCATGGGTGATATAAACATTTGTCGTGATCTAATTGATAGTGCAGATTGCTTGAGTCTAGCAAATATCAACCTACAAGAGTACAATACAGGAACAGTCGTGGAAGAAAAATATCATTCGGAAGCGGTTAAGTTTATATTGAATCCCGAGACACCTCATAGAAGGTTATTGAATCAATTGTTATCAGATTCGATCATCCCAGAGTTAGCTGATGACGGTATTCTAATAGATAGTACACGTTATATACAAGGAAGGGATCGATTAAAAATGTATACAGTGTGGAATACATTGAAAAATACAAGACCTTCAAATTATGGTTCTAGAATTGATCTTATTCTTTTGACAGATACTTTGAAAACAGATTTAGTGGATGGTGATATCCTTGCAGATGTTATGGGATCTGATCATTGTCCTGTTTATACAGACATGTCATTTGACTCAATGCTAACTGACACAAAACCCACCAATTCAAAAACCCTAAGATTTGAGGCAAGATATAAATATAACCTGATGAACCATGACATTCTTTCTATGTTTGCGAAAAGATCTAAAACAGCACCACTGCCAAAAACAATGGATATATCATCAACGACAACTGCTTCAAGTACTACCAGAAATGGAATGGCTAAGAGGGAAAAATCGATCGATACTTTTTTTAAGATCACTAAAGTGCAAGGTTCCAAACAAAAGCTATCGATCCCGGACACTCATCAAGGCAAACAGATAAACCTACATACTACCAAGATCACTACATCGCAAGGTGAGGCAAAATCGCTAAAAGATATATTTGGGAAACCTCCAGTATGTAATCATGGGGACGCATGCATTTTGAAAACATCCAGAACATCAGATAATCCTGGAAAAAAGTTTTGGACATGCCAAAAATCTAGAGGTGATCCTAACGACCCTAATTCCTCATGTGGTTTCTTTAAGTGGGTATAGTATACCCATCCATATTCCGATGCAGAGTATAATTTAATCATGTATGTAATGCGAGTGTATAATTATAGAATAATGACTAATGATAATAAAACTAATAATGATGATGAGATTTATTTTCCGTAAATTAGTGTCTATACCCTGGTACATTCACTATCATTTTCTATATCTCCTTTCAATCTATTTAACCAAAGTGTATCATCCGCACTACTAGATAGGTCATCAATATTACTCGTCTCAAGGTCAATAGATACGATCAAAGGTTTTCCTACTAACTCCTCACTCGATATGTATGTTGAAATTGCTTGCGATAGAATGTCTTTATCCTTATAAAATACCTTGACATAAAGAACCTTCTCATCATGTTTCATAATATAGTATTCAATCCCTTCGCCAAATATGCCATGTGTACGTTTCAAGGCACTCTTTAACCATTGTCTCCAAGTCATTTCATCAAATACGTTCTCATCGTCTGTTTCACTATCCAAAGTTGTCATGGATAGCTTAAAATAGGTCCATTCTTTTGATTTTTTGCAAGTAGCCATAACTTAATTTTACTTGATATTACGGTTTATTTAGAACACTGTTACTAGCAATTGGATGGGGAACATGTATTTTGTATTATTCAGTATTTGAAATATATTAAACTTTCATTCCTTCATATTAAGTATTCTCGGCTCGTGTTTAGAAGCGTGGAAAAATCAACCTCCTATTATAAAATTCTAATTGTAACAGACAGAACAATTAACAAATAGTTTTCAAGCTAGGCAACTCGTTATTATTTCTTTCAAATTGGTTTTATTGTTGTACTAAATATTAAATTAATAATAAATATGTTATATTTTGGTAAAATATCCTTATATATCTATATCTAAATATCTAAATATATTTGAAGACAGATGTCATGCACAAGTCATATTAGTATATATATGCAGTGTTAATCTCCTACTCCCTATCACTCTGAGATAATTCGTTTGTGACTTCAGCATCCTCTGTGGTAGGTTCAACTAATGGTGCAGGAACATCATCAGAGATAGCATCATCGGTGTATTGTTGCTGCGATGTATTATCCGTTTCTAGGTTATCGCTGTATGGTTGAACATGACCATTATCATTATCATTATTGGCTACATCGGATGCCACATTAGATTCTTCGTCGATATCGAAGTTCGTGTCATGGTCCATGAAGCTAGATAAATCATTAGCATCTTCATCATGGCCAGCCAATAAGTCGTCTGCTTCGTCCAAAAATTGATCATTCATTAATGATGAATATGTTGGACCTCTTGATGACATTCTTCCCCTAAATCGTTCAGATACCCCTCTTATACTACGTTTAACCATTTCAAAACCGGTATGGATTCCAGAGAACACAACCAAACCAAATCTTACAGTAGAGTTAACAATTCTATCAGTTTCATTGTTTTCGATTAGTTGATTCTCATCACCTAATCTGATTTCACCGAATCTAGAGAAACCACCATTTCTCCTAATACCACGATCATATATGAACCATAGCAATGCACTCAAAAGAACAAATGGAATAAAGAAGATTAGGAAGAATGACCTACCGCTAATACCATATTTCTTATTAAACTCGGCTTCTTTACCTGGACAAGGGTAGGTATCTGACGCAACATCCAGTTTTAAGCCACCTTGACAAGTAGATAATGGAATCTTTCTGTAACCAGTTAAATCTGAAAATTCTATCAAATCTGGGTTTTTCGTACAAATATCTGAGGCAGGTGCCGTGGAGAGACCTTCGACAAGTTTACAAGTGCCGTCCTTTGCTTTGATAAAGTTATAATCACATTCAAAGTCACTTCTAGTACATGTACAGTTCTTAACAATCTTAGAGAATCTAGATAATGGGATGTTACCAACAAAACAGTCAGTATTTACCTTTTTCAGGTACTCTTCCTTGTGACCAAAGAGACATTTATCTTGGGAAGAGCCAATTGAAATAAACGCAAAATCATCATTCTTATTATTATTAATTTCAAAATCACATTGTTTTTGGAAACTACCACTAAAATCAATTGCATATGTTTTTGTAGAAGCACCTTGGACGTTTGAACTTTGTCCTACAAGGAGGAATCTTAATGCAGAATCTTGAGGAACTGTAACAATATCCTTAACTACGACCTTCTCACTGCTAAATTTATAATCATTCCATGTCTTACCAAAGTCTAAGGAGTATGATATGACGTCTGTTTCCTCTGTATCTGGAACCAAAGCTAAAATACCACCATGGTCACCAAATTCCCATTGATAAGCACCTTTCTTTACTTCCTTCCAAGTTATACCTCCATCCGTGGTCAAAAAGGTTGATGATTCACTAATTGGTACTAAAAATTCACCGACGTTACCCTTTGCGAATAACATACCATGAGCAGATCCGGATGAGAAAGTATCTCTTGCATCATCTCTTTCAGTGTAGCCATGTAAATTCAAAGAACATTTTTCAAGTGATCCACCTTTACAGTTATATTTCTTACCTTCAGAATCTTTAGAAGGTGGGGTGATATATGACCAATCTGCACCATCATTAAATGTGATTTTTGTCTTTAATTTTTTCTCTATGTCATCTTTGGTAGAGTCCTCAGGATTCTCAACGACATTAATTAGAATGATACCTTCAAGACCTTGAATCTTCTCAAAATCAACTTGACCATTCATATTACTGTTAACATTTTTTTGTAAAGTAACAAACGATGTTCCGTTGGAATTAGATTTTAATAAATCACCGTGAGGATGTACATGACCTTCGGTGGTACCCATATGTAAGAAGATTGACCCAGTATTTGTACCTAAAACGGTGAAAGTCTTTTGTGAAATTTCTGATAAATCTTGAGGAAGCTTAGCTTCGGCATATTCTTCACCATCTAATGTCACATATGTTCTTAGTTCATTTTTTTCATGTGTAACGGCAACAATAGTAAATCCTCCAGATGACATATAACCAATAATATTTTCAAATACTGTCTTTTTGTCATTCTTGAAATAATCTGTAGATGAAACTAATGATTTAGCGTTTTTTCTTAGGTCTCTTATTTGACAATTCATCATATCTTTGTCAGCCGGATAATCGAACAATTCACCAGTGAATTCACAATGGACAGCACCTTCCAATAGTTCTTCAAACGTTTTACCACCATCTCTTGTAATATATGACATAACTCTACAATTACTACTATAAATGTTTTCACAACCTTTACCACCATAATAAATGAAAGTATTTGGATCTTCAGGATGGAAATTTAAGGGGAACCCCAATTGAATGGCATCAGGTAATTCATTTCTGAAAAATGTATAACCTCTATCATGAGTAATGAAAATTGATCCAGTTGAACTAAACAAATAAGCCGAGGAATTCGAATAAGGATTATATACGATTTCAATAATTCTTTCATTATTAGTATCAATTTTTTTAATTGTTTTACCACCATCATGTGAAATGAAAAATTCATATTTAGTGGTTCCAATAATTAAGGATTCATCCTGATCTGTATCAAAATATTCATAAAATCTTGGTTGACCATCAATAACATTTTCAGTAACAGTTATCTTATCAGAACTTCTACCTGGATCTGCCAGAATACCACAAGTTACACTCATTGGATTTATATCTAATTCCTTCTTACATTTATTTCCAACAATCTTACGTCTTGGTTTCAATGACATGTTCTTTTCCTTTTTATTAGCACAAATTCCTGAAAATTCTAACAATTTAAAATCAGGTACACAATGTCCTTCGTGATCTTTAGTAAATTCAAATGAACATTCATAATCCGCATCGGTACATTCTGTACATATTTCTTCATCTAGTTCCAAATCAGTAAATACTTCTTTTACCAAACATTTGGAATCATATTTTCTTCTTCTGTAACTATATTTGGCACCATTAACACAATCACCACTATTCAAATAAAACGTTTCAAAATCATTTTTATCACATTTTTTACCATCAAAGGCATCTGAAAAGTCAAGAGTATAGAAGAAAGTTTGTTGTTCATGTCTACCATCTATAACATTTCCACTGCCAAATGCTTCAAGGATGAAATTTGATCCTGAACCATCTGGTGTAGTGTTGATTAATAAAGCAGGATAGAAAGGTTCTTCGAATTGATATTCATTCCAAGTTTCACCTTGATCTAAGGAATAATACACTTCTGACTCAGTGTCACCGTCACTCTTTGAATCATGCGGAACAGCCACAATAATATTACCGGCGTCACCTACAGTTGAAATTGTTGGGAAATCCAATGCTTTTTTCCACGTCTTACCACCATCTCTGGAGACAAATGTCTTTGCATCATCAAAGTTATACGCATAACCATCACACAATACACCAGACATCACTAAAATACCTGCAGAAGGTGTACGGTAGTTATTAAAATGATTTATTGATAAAATGGAGCAACTCTCAGGATCATCAATGTTACAGTTATATTTATCTTTATTTTCTGGATCAACAATTTTTAAATAGTCCCAACTGACACCATTATCAAAAGAAATCTTTGTAGAGGAAACAAATTGCTTTGTATTATCTTGGTCATGATCTTGGAATCTGTATCTCATAGCAAAAACACTATTAATAATCGTCCCCTTTAAATAATCAATTAGTTCAACGGAAGTATGACCATCAACAGATCTATCAATCCAATCATAATCAGAAAACTTTAAACCAGTAGAATCAGATACCAGAACATCATTATATTTGAAGTTTCTACGTGTTTGTTTATATTTATTACCATAAGGGTCTTCTTTCTCTCCAAGTTCTTCAATATCAGATTTAGCAATTGGAATAACAATTCTTCCAAGAGAATCTTCATACAGTGAAAATGACATTTCGTTAAAAGTTAAATCAGTTGGAATATAAGCTTCATCGAAGGTTTTCAAATCATTTGAAACCCATACTTTTTTATTTGAATAATCATTAAATTTATCCTCTTGTGTAATAACAACTATATGTGAATTTAATACTTGTACAGAATTCACAGTCATATCTTCAAAAATATCCAGTTTCTTAACATTATTACCAATAATTGTAAATAATTGTGAAATCATTTTAATTTCCCCATTATTTTTTGAAGATCTTTGAATTTTTTCAAAATTACAAATTAAGCTAGTTTCATCAACTTGAACAGTAGATTTTTCACTAATTTTTGCATATTGACAAAGTGATCCAGTATGAAAAGAAAGTTTTCTCTCTCCTTCATCAACTTTAAATGGTGGTTGAAAGAGGTCAAAAGATTTCCCACCATTATTTGATTTTAAAATAATATCTTCACAAATAGTGTCTGGGCGGGAAAAAAAATCATCAAAATTATCAAGAATACGATTCATTGGATTATCATCTTTATCTTCATCTTCATTTTTTTTCTTATCTTCATCTTTTTTATCTTTTTTTACATCTTTACATACTGAACAAGTTAAAAAAAATTCATCTTGTTCAATTGCATGTGAAATTACAAAACATGATGGAGTATGTTTTTTATCATAAAATGTATTTGGTATATTATAATCATATTTTTTCCAATTTAAACCTTTATCAATAGTGATATAAAAGTAATTTTTATTCTTTGGATAAGCAAAAGCTCTAAATTTAGCAAAATTTTCATCAATACTGAAAAAATTAATTTTATCATTAATGCCTTTAATATCTGACCAATTTTCACCATTATCCTGAGAAATTTGTAGTTTATCGTCATTTGTTCTAAGTACTGTAGTTGAATCATCAAATATAGCAAACCATTGCATATGTTTATTCTTTGTCTTTGTCACTTTTGGTATAAATTGATCATCTTTAGCAACCACTGTATAAAACCATAACAATAACAGTACCCCTATGGTATGTACGTATCTCATTATTATCAGGAATGATTAGAAAGTGAGAAATACGATACTGTTATCCAATCGTTGTTATCTCTTCGTCTTATGCTAAAGATATATAGTATTGCAAAAATATTAAAAATTATATAATTCAACTAATTAAAAAAATATTTAATTTCAAGGGTAAATGTAGTATGTGTAATAAAATTTAAAAACCTTGTCGTCACCCTGCGCCTTTAATTTCTTAAGAAAAATAGATAATATGTTACCTATTATTCACTATCCAGCAGATTATTAAAAAATGTGTATGGTATATGTAGTGGATGCGCATAGTTACTGAACAGCGGCAAATGAAAAAAGAGACAGCCAAAAACCAAAAATTACCTTTACAGCAAACTTGCAGCCATCGCTATTAAATTGGGTGTGAAATTTCGTTCCGTGCAAAGTAACGTTATACGACTCTGCAATTTATAACATGAGTAAAATATGTCTATTCAAGTGCTCAAAGCTGTTTCAAGATAGAACATATTTGGAACAAAGAGATATCTGATACATTACCGAAAAAGGAGAGTGTACACTATTACATCAAAAACTGGATTTCTCTTCTCGTTATAGCGTGGGTCGTATACTAACGTGAAAAAGATATATATACAAGTATATGCATCATTATAGTTTTTGAGGTTCATGCATATTATCAAATTAGCGAAATACGTAGAAAAAAGAAAAGAAAAGAGAGAAGGCCATTAAATTAAGACATCTCTCTATAAAAATATTAATAATAAATGTTAAAATGATTCAGGAGTATATATATATATATATATATGTGTGTGGGTATTATAATAATTGTAAATTTTTATTAAATAATGTAGTGTACATATTATCAAGCAAACAAACCAAGGGACAATAAGTGTGTTTTTAAGAAGAAGAAAATGGGTAAAAAAATTGTATTTAATATAAGTAGTGATTTTCAATTAAAATCAATGTTAGGTGAAGGAGCCTATGGTATTGTTTGTTCTGCGATACATAAACCAACAAATGAAATAGTTGCAATTAAAAAAATTGAACCATTTGATAAACCATTATTTGCCTTACGTACATTAAGAGAAATTAAAATTTTAAAACATTTTCATCATGAAAATATAATATCAATATTTGATATTCAACGACCTGATTCCTTTGAAAATTTCAATGAAGTCTATATTATTCAAGAATTGATGCAAACAGATTTACATCGTGTTATAATGACACAAACTTTAAGTGATGATCATATTCAATATTTTATTTATCAAACAATTCGTGGTATAAAGACATTACATTCAAGCAATATTATTCATAGAGATTTAAAACCTTCAAATTTATTAATTAATTCAAATTGTGATTTAAAGATATGTGATTTTGGTTTAGCACGTATCCTTGAAGAAGAAATAAAAGATGAATCAGCAGGTACAAATTCTGATGACAAGAAACAAAATGAAAATATGATATCCACAAATGCTGGAATGACAGAATATGTTGCAACACGATGGTACCGTGCACCCGAAGTAATGTTAACAGCTGCAAAATATTCAAGAGCAATGGATATATGGTCATGTGGTTGTATATTAGCAGAATTATTTTTAAAGAGACCAATATTGCCTGGTAAAGACTATCGACATCAATTATTATTAATATTTGGATTGCTAGGTTCACCAACCGAAGATGATTTAAAATGTATTGAATCAGCGCGTGCAAGACAATATATTAAACAATTACCAACAATGGCTAAACCAAATTTATTTGAAATTTTTAAAGGTTGCAATGAATTAGGTATTGATTTATTGAGTAAAATGTTAATTTTCAATCCAAATAATAGAATCACTGCACAAGAAATTTTAGAACATCCTTATTTATCAACCTATCATGATCCACAAGATGAACCAATTGGTAAACCAATTCCATCAAGTTTCTTTGAATTTGATAATTATAAAGATGTTTTGACGACAAAGGATCTTAAAAAATTATTATGGAACGAAATATTTGCATAGTAGAAGAAATATCTATAGATAGATAGGTACATACATACATACATACATATTATTGTTATCATCACCCTCTCATACATTACTACTTCTTCGCCCGCAAATTAATATAGCGTCTCTATATAAGGCAAATCTCTGTTTCACAGCAAAGAAAGTCACACTTTGTAACACCCGCAACTCCGGTTTGCCAAATGCTTTTCACAGCTCTACGTATGCTATTAAATCAGTTTGTTATTGTACGGGCCGTTGTCGTGTTCAACGACACTGCCTGGCATGCCACTGCAACAACAAGCGAATTTTTGCGGGGTGTGTAGCCCAAACAGTTTATTACGTATGGAGAGGGACAAGGCTGCACGCTTGGTGGGCCGTTAGCTTGTTAACTAGCAAAAAACGCTGAATGTTTCGGTCGCTCTCCGTGCGATAGAAGCGGTGCGTGCGGTGCGTGCGGTGCAGTGCGGTGGTGATACGTTCTGTGTTTTTAAGGGAGAGAGATATACACACACCGCACGGCATACGCTGGCAATTTTATTACGCTAACAGCATGGATGTTTTTGATTGTCCCTTGCAGTGTTAATTCTGTGGGAAAATAAGGAGAATTTCTGTTGAATCATCTGTGATTGGTCCGGCAGATTTGGGAATTACTTTTTTCCTGGAATTGTTGTTAGTCGTTTGCTGGAGTTCCACTTTCTTTTTGGACTTGGGTTGAATGCGTGACTGTCTGTGTTGACAATTCAGCACGAAACTTTCGAGATGGCCGGACATACAATTAGTATATATATATAAACAAAGAGTCTCGATAGATTATTCTGAGTCTTTTTTTTTTTTTTTTTTTTCGTCACTTGAGGTGCTTTTTCATTGGTTGTCTTCTATCGATACACCCCATACAAACAAACACTTATATATTCATACACACACACACACACACAATGACTATCTCTCAATTACTTAAAGAGAGAGTTAGATATGCTCCATATTTGAAAAAAGTTAAACTAGCAGATGAATTAATTCCATTATTTAAACATGGTCAAAATTTAGGTTGGTCAGGTTTCACAGGTGTCGGTACACCAAAAGCTGTGCCTGAGGCTCTAGTAAGACACGTTGAGAAAAACAATTTACAAGGAAAATTAGCTTTTAATTTATTTGTTGGTGCTTCAGCAGGTCCAGAAGAAGATGCTTGGGCAACTCATGACATGATTCTAAGAAGAGCCCCACATCAAGTTGGTAAACCAATATCAAACGCAATTAATGATGGTAGAATACAATTCTTTGATAAACATTTATCAATGTTTGCTCAAGATTTAACTTACGGGTTTTATACAAAGGATAGAACTGATCCACATGCTTATCTAGACTATACAATTATTGAAGCAACCGCAATTAAAGAAGATGGTTCAATTGTACCAGGTCCCTCTGTTGGTGCATCTCCTGAATTTATTTCTTGTAGTGATAAAGTTATCATTGAAGTTAATACTGCAACACCATCTTTTGAAGGTTTACATGATATTGATATGCCTGTAAACCCACCTTTTAGAAAACCTTATCCTTATGTTAATGTTACCGATAAAGGTGGTTTAGATTCTATTCCAGTTGACCCTGAAAGAGTCGCCGCTATTGTGGAAAGTACCACAAGAGATATTGTCGGTCCAAATACTCCATCTGATGCAATGTCAAAGGCAATTGCAAGTAATTTAGTCGATTTCTTTAGACATGAAGTTAAAATGGGTAGATTACCTGAAAATTTACATCCTTTACAAAGTGGTATTGGTAATGTAGCAAATGCAGTTATTGAAGGTTTAACTGATGCTAATTTTAAACATTTAACAGTTTGGAGTGAAGTTCTTCAAGATTCCTTCTTAGATTTATTTGATAATGGTACTTTAGATTATGCCTCTGCAACTTCTGTAAGACTTACAGAGGATGGATTTAAAAGATTATTTGCAGATTGGGAAAATTTTAAAAATAAACTATGTTTAAGATCTCAAGTTGTTTCAAATAATCCAGAATTGATTCGTCGTTTTGGTGTTATTGCAATGAATACACCTGTTGAAGTTGATATTTATGCTCATGCTAATTCAACTAATGTTAATGGTTCAAGAATGTTACATGGTTTAGGTGGTTCAGGTGATTTCTTAAGAAATGCTAAATTGTCTATCATGCATACACCATCAGCTAGACCAACAAAGACTGATCCAACTGGTATTTCTACTATTGTACCATTTGCATCCCATATTGATCATACTGAACATGATTTAGACGTATTAGTTACCGATCAAGGTTTGGCTGATTTAAGAGGATTGTCTCCAAAGGAAAGAGCTCGTGAAATCATTAACCAATGTGCTCATCCAGATTATAAGGATTTGTTAACTGACTATTTAGAAAGATCAGAACATTATGCAGCTAAAAAGAAAGCTTTACATGAACCACATATGTTAAAGAATGCTTTTAAATTCCATAATAATTTAGTAGAAAAAGGTACTATGAAAGTTGATGCCTGGGACCCTGTTGAGTAAACAATTTAAAACATTAAAAAGGTAAATTATTTATTAATATATATTTGTTTATTTTTTTTCACTATATATATATATATCATTTTATGTGTAAATATTTGCGTTCAATGTATATAGAAACGCAACAAAAAACAACAACAAAATAAAAAATATTAATATTACATTGTATCATCGTTTACCTTTCAGGTATTCTGCTATCGAGCATTGTTTTTTGAAATTAAATAGTTATACTCTTGAGGTGTTACGTTAGTATTTTTAATCTCATCGTAAGAAGTTGGCATATTAGGTTTTGATCAAATGTTTAGATATATCACTTTCTATAAAAGAAGGCCACAATGTTGCCAGTTTCGTAGTGAAAGATACAAGCTCAATACTTTACTAAATCTTAAAAGTACAATAAACATTCCAAATATCTCTACCATTGAACATGTTACATTGGAGAGTGCATAAAATGTACCCACTTTAAATTAAAATAAATATTTAATTAACATGTATACTGTAGTTAGAGTTCATTAAAAAATATTACAGTTGCCAACGGTGAAAGTTAAAATATGTGTGTCACTTTAGTAACTTGATTTGCGTTTTGTTCCCAGGAATGACGGAGTTGCTGTGCATCATGAAGTGTTCACCTTTGCATCATTTTCTGTTCTCAAAATAATGAAAAGGCATCGAACTTCTTTCTGTAAGGACGGATGCATTCGCTAGTTGGCAATTATTTGTTGTCTTATTCATTCCAACAGTGAACCATTTAACTGTGTTGGATCACCCTCATGTGAACTTCATCGCATCACGTCGAACCGTACCGTTCCACTTCCTCTGTAACCTGTTGTTACCCGCTGGCCTGCCATTCGAATGGGTTGTTTTGCTCCACAAAGGCGGCTAATTCAATATAAATATGATCTCTGTAAAAGTATGTAGGTTAGCTTATTTCTGCCACCCTGTTCATTGTGTTTCGTTGGCAGCAACAGTGTCACAAATCGAGAATCTCATTCATTAAAGTTTATACAGTTTATGGGAATGTACCGCTCAGCAGAATCGTGATGAAAGACCATCGCTCATGAGTCGAATACTCACAGACAGAATGTGTATGACGGCGCCCGTAATTGAGGAAGATGTGGATGCAACTCTTCTCCTCCGGCTATCAGGATCTACGAGGTGCCACCTAGTGTTACCACTGGTAGTCATGACTACCAGTGGTAATAGCAACTTTTTAAACCAGGTCAATCAATTGAATGGCTCTTTTTTACAAAATCCTGAGGATGTCTTTGAGGTGAACAGAAGAAGGACATTCAATTGATTGACCCGGTTTAAAAATACTTCTTATAATCCAATGAGAGGGAGAGCGTGGTGATACACATTTGTCACTTTTCATGTACCCAGGTTAATAACGACTTGAAGTCGTTCCCTTGCTTCATGACTTTTAATAGCTTGCGAAGGTAGTTATGTCTAGCCTGGGTGAATAATTAAGGGGGTAGCTTGTATGAATAAAACGTATATACCAAAAAATGGTAAATTTACAGTTCACTGTATTTACTAGAAACTATAGTTTTAATTAAAAGGGTGATAACATAATTGTTATTAGTTAACCTAAACTCTGTCGTTCCATTTTGTAGTTTATTTCTTGTAAGTGCGCTACCGACAGAACCATAAGCAACAAATGAATTGTTTTAACTTAGTTTTGCTGTTGAATATAAAGTAACAGTATAAAACAGATTTTGATTGTTAGATATCTCAATCATTTTATTTCTCAAAAAATTTAGTATTGATAAAGTTGTTAGATTGTTACAAGAAGGAGAAAATTAGTAATAATAGCAACAATATTGTGTTTTTATATGCAAGGATTAACGAGTGGGAACAATAATTGAATTGATGCCTAAAAGGGTCATTAAGGCAATGTTAGACACACTCATTCTGAAAGTGATAAAGTTGAAGGCAGTTAACGTATTTGTTTTTTCTGTTTACAATTGCAATATATTTTGTGTCGCCATTCCCTCTTCTTGGTAATATCCTAGTTAACCAACAAATTTAATATGCATAAGATTTAGGACATAGACATTTTTTACTTCGATAATTCATACTCTTTCTATATGTTTGGTGTTCGTCTTTTTCGTTGTTCATACCAGGATCACTTCATCCCAGATCAAGTCTGATAAGCCTATTTTATTATATTTTACTACTGACTTTTCTTCGTACCGTTTATTATTTCTTTGCTCTTGTTACACTTATGCAATTGCTTTATAGAAAATTAGGATCTAGCAATAAATATTTAATAGCATAAAAAAAAGTTACAAAGACAACATAACTAACTTAGGTTATAATATTAGTTGTGTAGAACCTTGAATTTAACATTCCAGACACACTTGTAGGCTTGAATAAACGTATCACTCTTCAAAGCGGGAGATGTCAACAAAACCCATATTTGGTGAAGATTTCGACGCACCAAATATCTGATTAACATAGTCAGACTAGTTTATTCTTAATTTTGAAAACTTTAAAAATTTGGGTAGTCTTCTTTATGGTATAATTAAGAATGCAATATAAATGGATTCTAAAGAAATACATATTCATTGTATTTCAAATTTCTCTCCCTTGTGATAGAGAGGGACATGAAACTCTATTTGACGCTTAAATTTTAACAAAAGCAGAATAAATACAAACCAAGTGGACTACTAATTATTATTTTCTTTATTGTTCGTGGTGTATCGCTAAGAACAACGTTCTAAATAATTAAGTTAACTCCTTTTAAACATTTCCCTTATAGTAAGCTCTCTTCTAATTTTTTTAATTTATTACAAAATATTAATCCTGGTAGCTCCTGGAAAGGAAATTCCACAACAAAAAGAGTAAATAAAAAAAAGTTTACGAAAGATATTCAATATTCAAAAATAAGGTCATACTCAAAATTTGAACTTAATTAAACAATCAGCTCTGTTCATAAATTTGGTAACATTATCTCAGAGATTTAACGAATTATTTCTTGCTATTAGTTATATTTAATGTAAAAAAATACATACATATATACTAAATTTACGTGAATGTTATCTTAAATATTTTGGTGAATTTCGATTGCCGAATGGAATTTAATCTTAGCCCTGATTTATATGCTTGAATCATGTAATGGTGATAATTTATCTTCCTTTAAAGTCTGGGAAGATTTCATTTGATCCTTGATATTTGTAATCTCTTTTGCGAGTTCCTTTTTAACAGTTTTCAAATCTTTGGAAATTTCAAGGCAATCTGCACAACGGATTGTCATCTTTACGTCATTCACCAAAACTGCAGTCTTAAAAATATATTTTATAATGTGATCAACAGGTGGTAACGCATTTGCGGCAACTATACATTCAAGCCTCAATACACTATAATCTTCATCTAATATATTCATATTTGGTGATTTCAATCCAGGCTTACCTCCACTATAAACAGATCCTAGATTACTTGGCCTGCTTGGACCCACTTGAGGTCTTCCAGGACTCTGTAAGGTAGAACTTATTTTAAATAGAGGATCAACAGAATCATCTGCATATTCCTCAGCTTTCTTCATTTTTTTCTTTAACCTTGATAATGAAGACATACCTAGTCCTGAGTCTACATAGGAATTCAATAGAGTCTTAACGGCCTTCCCCCTTGAGGTTGATACACTTGATCTTTTCATGGTTTCGTCCCAATTTTCATCTCCTTGTTCACCATTTCGATTAGTTCTTGCGTCAACAATAGTTGAAAGGGATTCAAGCTCTGGATTTGACTTTGATCGATCTAATCCAGTATCAATATCTGTACTATTAGTACTTCTAACTTCACTAGCAAAGTCATCACTAGTTTCATCACTGCTACTTGTACTTAATTCAAATCCTAAATCAAAATTACCAAAGTCATAGTCATTAGAGCCATCCTCAACATTATGGATATCACCCTGAGATTGGTCCTTACGAAATTTATTTTTTATCTTATCAACATCAAGAATATTATCCTGGAAATACGAATGAGGGTCTATCTCTTTGCTTAAACTAGATTTCTTTTTGATACGTGGACTTACACCACCGATAGAATTCTTCTGTTCTTGAAAATTTAATGAAGGGGGGAATCCTGCCGCACCTAGAGAACCTCTACTATCCTTTGAACCATAAGAAATTATTGACTGTCTATAATTAGCAAACGATCCAGTACTTGAAGCTCTATGAAACTGTTTATCCAAATCGTCGCCCTCACTGCTATCATGTGTTCCTTCTGAACGATTAAAAGAAGACTTTCTTAGTAGACTAGAATTTAAAAACCCATTATCTATTTCCACCAAAGCCTTATTCAACCTCAACAGTTCTTTATAGGCTTTACTGTTCTCGAGGTAGTTTTCCACTCTTGTCTCATCATCACGATAAAGTTTTTTAATTTGTTTAATTAGCCCATTTTTCAACGTTGTACAGCTAACAAACAGACCTTCTTCTTTACGACCCAAAATCGAATACAACATCTCAGCAATCAAGGTATAAAGTAAAGGAATCTCATATAATTTAGCCATTACAAGTAGATCGAGTGCTACTGGAGCCAATAACCATTTACCGTTAGTTTGCCCTGTATAAAAAAATTCAGAAAGGGCTTTTATCGAAGAAGTAGGCCATGGAAGATAGAGAGATCTAGGAATCAACAACGGTTCCATATCGTATGGAGCCGTAGATAATATACTATCATTACTTTCACTAAACGAAGCAATTGAAGGTCTTGTCCTATCAGAAAGGCTCGGAATATTACTCAAACTATTTTCCCTCGAATTGCTACCTTTACTAAACATTCGTGACCTCAATTGACTGATAGATTGTCTATTATTATTTTCATTATGTTGCGCACGATTTAACTCTTCATTCTTTTGTAAAAGCTTCTCATCAAGCGTCAAGTTATTCATCAACGGTGCAATACCTTTCCAATCTGGGTTACTATTTGCGCTTACAAATGATGCTCTTCTAGAGGAGAACGGACTACCCTTATTCGACATTGTAAAATCATAAATGGATGCACTAGGTCTTCGATTGTTACCCAATTTCATAGTTGGGACTTCCGGAAGAGGTTCATCAGGGGATTCGGTAGTTGGAGGTAAATCTACAGTCATGACATCCAAAGGTGCTTCAGGTGTAGAACTTTTTTGTTCTAAAGATGGTAAAGAGTTCCTCTTTCTATCATATGTAGAACCACCATAGGAAAACGAACTTCTAGTACTACTTGGAAATTTTGCGAACAACTTTCTATTCAATTTTTGAGGCGGTAGTACAACAGTATCTTCAAATTTGACACTATTGATGGGGTGTGAAGACCGACGTTTAAAAGCCGAATTCCTTCTGGAGGTTTGGAGTTCATCATTAACACTGAGGTGTGTATCCATTAATGAAGATCTTCTTCTTCGATCTGTGACCTTATGGAACGGTGATTCCAAAATACTAGAAGGGCTCTTATTTTCCTGAAAAGGAACCCTAAAGACCATACCAGTCGTGGAACTGGTTGTTGACGTTGTCCCGGTCCTTCTTATTTGATTATCGCTTAGATAATTATCTTTATCACTGGAATTTTCTAACGAAAGTAGATGCTCATCAGGAGGAGGTGAAACTGGATCATTTATATCCAACTCTTCATCATTTGGAGGTATAAGTGGTATCGGTGCTTCAATTGTAACTTTCTCAGAGAAATTGGGACGGAATGGTTGCTTCATGCGTGAATACTTGGTTGGATCATCAATATCATTAACAAATAATTGTGAGAGAGATTTACGTGGGCCCGATGCAGTACGTTCTAAGGCATTGCTTGATCGTGGCGACTCTCTATTTGAAGGTCTACTGAGAGATGATCTTGCCGAATCTCTGAAATAATCTACCGAATCATGTCTTGAACTTGCACGAGAAGTTATTCTTGATGATATTGGTGTATATTTCACTAACATTGAACGTTTCACACTCAATTCATTTTCTAAGCAAATCTTTGAATAACCTTGAGATAAAAGAAAATCAAAATATCTACCCCATCTTTTTCTTAAAAGATATATTGGTACTTTGACAGTATCTCCTTCACTAGTGATAAATTCAAAATCTGAGAGAGAATCACCATAAATCTCAAGGGAATCCTTCCCGAGTACTACAGCGAATGGTGGGAATGTAGATTTAATTGTTGATAATTCAAATGATGGCGCAATGTATTTAATGTAATTTTCAAATTGCGATGTAACACCCGATACATAACTCGGAGTACGTATAGTCGGTTGATCATCTGTGCTAAATACCAGTTGTTGTTGAATAGTATCATCTAATGCAGTTTGAAATGGACTCAGGGATAAAGATCCCAATTTCATTTCATTAAGGTATGGCGGTGTGATGATCTTATTAAATGCATTAATCAATGGCAACCCAAAGACTAGAATGTGGTCAAATTTTTGAACACTTGGTAAATTGTTATCATTAGTGGTTGTACCAAGCAAAAGAGTCTGATGATGAGATTTCCAAACAAACAGTTTCCAATATCTACTATGAACTATTTCTGAATTGGGACTTCGTATACTTACACGAGTCCATCTTCCTGATGGAATATCATACACAAAACAACAATAATTTGATGGATTACAATTTGGATAATAGCCACCAATAATAATATTAAATCCAAAATATTGTCCACTGGGGAATTGCAAATTAAAGGATTCTCTTAAAATATCGGGTGTCTGCAAGTTATTATAAGCCAACCTCATACCATTTGAGTCAGGTATTAAGGGTAATGTAGTCATTGGGGAGACCATCTTATTACTATTGGTTCTCTTTGATATATATTCTTCTTCCATTTCATCATTTTTATCACAATTCTCTTGTATTCCATCTTTATCAAATTGATTATTTGGATTATATATTACTAATGCTGGAACTTTTGCCTCATTATTTTCAACCAATATCGAGAAATTATTTTCAATTGATAAAGGAAGTGGTTTACTATCAATATTTACAACAAAATTAGAACTTTCCTTTGGTATTATATCATGTTGCCAACAATTTCTGGTTAGATTATATATATCTATCTTTGTTACAGGTTCACTAATATTATTTGTACCACCAACAATGATCAATTTTGTATCACGTGTATCAACATTTTCATTTTTAACATGCATCGAATGACTATACCGTCTATTAATTCTTGGGTCATTACTCACTAATGACCATTTTCTATTCTTTAAATCCAATTTCCATAATTCATTAGTAGCTATCAATTCATAACCTGTATGAGGCGATACTACTAATCCACCGAAGACATATACAGTGGAACCAAAATAACAAATAGAATGAAATAATCTACCTTTCATCGGTGATTCCAGTGGTGATAATTGTGAATCTTTGCATAATAAATCTGTCTGTATTTCCAAATTTGGATTCTCTGGAGTATCATCTATTGTAGTTTCAATATGATGCCAAGTTCTCGATACTAAATCTAAAAAGAAAATTTCTGAACTTATCCATTGATTTAAATTTTCAAAATTAATTTTATTTTTACTATTTTTAGAGAAATATATGATCAATTCTTTTTGTAATTGTAAAATTGTAATATTTTCAATATTTAATGGAACAGTAAGTCCACCATGAACAAATAAATTAGCTCTTGATAATTCAACTGCTGCACCCGTTCTATGTTCTAATGATAATTTCTTACGAGTATATTGATCTAATAATGCATATTCTGCAGATTGTGGTATTTGAGGTAATTTTAATTGATAACCGGTACACGACGACGGTTGCAACATCGACATTTGATTATGCTTTACCTATATATGTTTTTGAATGTTGTATTTGTATATACTTATGTCAAATGTCAATATGTAGATTTAAATACTTTTATACTGTTTTTTACTCCCCTTATTCCTTTAACCTAGGAGAAAAAAACAAAACAAACGAATTAAAAATAGAGGCAAAGAGAATGCGCCATAAATATAGATAAACTGATAACAGTGACAAGATAGAAAAGACAATAGAAAAGAATATGAATATATACATATATGTTAAGAACCTTTTCTACTTAAACACCAAATTTTTTTAAATTAAAATCATATAGGTGTATTATGTTTTTTTTATCATATATATAGATATATATTTAGAGAGAAAAAGTACCCATTCTCCCCATTGTGGTAGATCGTGGTATCAAATGTAAAAATAAAAAATAAACCTATAACGTCGATACCAAGTCGTAGTGTTACCATTGTTATTGCTATGTATGTGCAATCAACCTATACGTATATCTTGACATGTTTTACCCTGTATACCAAAGATACAATCATCAATACGCATAGATATTTAAAATTTAAAGTTCACCTAATGTATAATAATCTGACAAAAAGTCGGTATAAATGTAATTATTTACTCAGTCTATTTCATTCTTAATACACACATACACATATATATAATGTAGTTTATAATATAGTTGCTAACCAACCTAATCCTAAGAGACATAACCCTAATGGGAAAATTTGTACAAATCCTTTACTATTTGTAACTAATGAAATAGAAGTTAATGACCATAATTCACATAATATTAAAGTAATTAATTTTAATAATGTTATAATTCTTATACTCCAATGTCTATTTCCTGCCATTTTTAGTATAATTGGGAAAATAATTTGTGTTATTATTGAATTAATTACTTGTGGAAAGATACAATAACCTGATAATGATATATAAGTAATCATATTAACATTTTCATAAGGTTTTGTTAATCTCATATGCAATGACATTATTAATAACAAAGTCCAGCATAAAACAAATAAACTTGAGAATAATGTATGAGCATGTGAAACACATAATGAATAAGTAATAACAAAAATTAATGGAGCCCAAAGATCACAGTTGGCAGAAATATCTGCAATAGATTGGTCATTTGCTGAATTACTAGATGATGATAATGATTCATTAGTGATCATAGTTGAGGTTGAAGATAATAATTGTCTTGATGGGAAATGTGGATATACAACTTTTTTCAAAGTTGTATTTATTTCAGTAAAATCTCTTCTTAAAGTTTCTAATATAGTTTCATCTAAAGTGCCTCTTGAATTCTTTGAAACGTTATAGGTATCTGTTTGAATAAAATCACTATTAGCATTATTATCATCAAATGGATTTGATATATCTACATTTGATAAAATTTCATCATTAGTTGTATTAGAATGATGTTTCACTCCATTAGGTGTATCTGGCTCTATATAATCTGACATTGAAATATAGAATTATACAGTATAAAGCAAACAATCTAACAATCAATTATAATGTCTTTATCTATGTATATATCCTTATATCTAGGTATGTTGTTGTTTCCCCCTTTTATATGATACCTATTATATCATATATTGAAATATATTGAAATCTTATTACTTTGTAGGGTATTTTATAACTATGACAGACAAATTGTACTACAAAAACCGAGATCGCGTTATACGAAACAGGACCTTCAACCAATATTCATGTATCCATACGCAGACAGACACCTTAACAATAATACATCTATACAACTTACATTATCTATCAATATACGAATAACAGTACAGACACATACCCACACAGAATATTCAACGTGGTAACAAGAACTACCACCAACAACCATTTCCAGTGCTCTCTTCTCTCTGAATATGTGAAAAATATGATGAAATTGAAGAAGAAGAAGAAGAAGCAAACAAAAAAAAAATATGAACCACAACAACAGGCGTACATACTCGCTGTGTACATAGAAAAACGAAAAAACATGAAAAATAAATGACACGAAAACTAATTATTGCTTTCGCTCTCTCTCAAGGTAAATTTAGCTTAGTTATCCTTTTTTCACCTATTATAATGAATGATGAATGATTTGATCAAGAATATATATATACACATATAAGGAAGTTTAGTTAGTTTTACTATATTATATTCTATAAAGAAACGTTATTAAAACCTACAGGCATTTTGCTGAATTTTTTTAACGGTATACCCAAAAAACACACGTAATGAAATTCTCCATATCACAAATCGTATTGACTTGTTGTCTAGCTCTATACGTTGAAGCTCATAATGTTTTGGTTCCAGCTTACAGTCGTAGATGTTTCTACGAAGATTTGAACAAAGGTGATGAGATTGCTGTGACTTATCAATTTGGTGATAGAAATCCAGAATCTTATTCTCAATTATATGGTGATTTTATCTTATATGGTCCACAAAATAGAGAAGTATTAGCAACAGAAAAATCATCATCTCATGGTGATATTAAAGTTACAGCTCCAATCAAAGGTAAATACGAATACTGTTTCAGTAATGGTGAAAATATTCCAACAAAAGATGTTACATTTAATGTTCATGGTGTTGTTTATGTTGATGTCGATGATGAAAATTCTAATACTTTAGATAGTTCGGTAAGAAAATTATCAAAATTAGTACGTGAAATTAAAGATGAACAAGGTTATATTGTTATTAGAGAAAGAACTCATAGAAACACAGCAGAATCTACTAATGACCGTGTTAAATGGTGGTCTGTCTTCCAAGTTGGTGTCGTTGTAGCAAATTCTATCTTTCAAATTTATTATTTGAAAAGATTCTTTGAAGTTACTTCTTTTGTTTAAATAAACAATATATGTTTTAGAAATAATTCATTTATACAACTTATTAAATAATATATATCTCTATATATGCAAAGAATTAAATATTATAATATTTAAACAATTTATGCACATACATGGACACACACAAATGTATGTATTTGCTACGTGCTTTATTTTTTTTAATTGCTTATGATACTTTAGCGGCTAATATAAATATCTACAAAAACGACAAACTGAATAAGATAAAGTGATCAAATAAAAAAGAGAACATTTAGAAGTGTCGTTATTGTGAAGGTTAAAATATTAGGTTGATTAATAGAGTGGTAAAGAGAAGGGGGAATTGTTTTCAAAAAAATATGATAAAAAAGAAATGTGCCACCTCCTGGAATCGAACTAGGATTTCATCGGCCACAACGATGTGTACTAACCATTATACTAAGATGGCATCTTTTTCTTACTTCCTTGAAATGGTTTACGGGTTATGTCCGCATAAACTTTTATTAATTGTGTGGCGGAATACCCTAAATCGCCTTAAGGATATCTATTAACACTTATTTATGTATTTGTTAGCTCTTGAGCCAGTTAAGGGATTAAAAGAGACTTATTAAGTGTATTGCGTGTGAAGGAAGACTCGTAGTTCACTGATGGTGATGCTATATTCTTCAACGGCTTAATGTATACTTGAAATAGAGTGAACGACTCCGATTTGCTTGTTCAAACTTGACTGGTTTTTTTCAACTGAAACAGGAAGATTAATATTTGCAGGTAGGGGAGTCCCTTTTATAGGAGTACTCTCTTTCCCGGCTGACATGTGTGTGACGTCCATTTGGGTATGTCCCTCATTGCTCAAGATCGACCTGCTGACGTGTCCCGAACAACTCATCAACCAATGTCAGGCGAGGGCTCTGATTAGTTGGATCTATACGACGTGTCGAGAGAGCTTCGTTCTACGAATCTTTCTGAGTGTGAGGCTGGTTGGGCTGTCTTTATAGCTAAAGATGCCACTGTCAAGGAATAAAGTGTCAGCAATGTATAAGATGCTAAAGTGTTGGATTTTGGAATTATTAGAGGAATCCATTTCTTTAATATGGTACAAAAATTACTTTATTAGAAATCAACGTATAGTCGTCTGATTTTTTTAGTATACAAATTATAAATAATATACAAAATAATCAGGGAAATCAAATATTCCAATGCATGAAATATTGTTCCCTTTATATACCTTTGGATTGGGTAACATTTCGTGATTATAAATCTCCAATACTAGCATTGTAGAAATTATGCATGGTTTCTAAATGCGTCTTATTATTATCTTTTCTCATTTTGGATTGTTAAATATTGAACATTATCAAATCTGACAATCTTTATTATTCTTTTATTCTTATATTTTATATTCTTGACGTCATTCTTCTATCATGTAAATTCCGACATAAAGAAGGTTAGTTTACACCTTAGTTGTCATTTTTCGATAAAGCTAAAGGGTTACCTTGTTACATTCTAATGTGACGTGAAAAAATGCTAATGTAATAGAAATTCTAAATTTTAGTTGATTTAACGATCACAATTCCATAGAACTACGTTTATATCTACTTTTATGTTTAGTTAAGTACTTGAGCCGACACCAGTAACTGACGAAGAGGTTATAGAAGGAGGGATGTGAATCTTAATGTAGCGTGCATTGGTTATCAATGGATATTTTCCCCAATAGTATATGTTCAAATTGTTTTGTTTGTTGTGACACAAGAAGATAAATTTACAGTAAGGTTTAATTTTAAAATGTTTAAAAACACTTTATATAGTTCGCTAAGGGTTCCACAACAAAGTTAATCTTGTTTGGTTCAGTTATACGATATCTATCATTCATAAAACATAAAAAAGGATGGTAAATTACTAATTTTGAATGAGTAGAACCCGGTTTAAAAAGTTGCTATTACCACTGGTAGTCATGACTACCAGTGGTAACACTAGGTGGCACCTCGTAGATCCTGATAGCCGGAGGAGAAGAGTTGCATCCACATCTTCCTCAATTACGGGCGCCGTCATACACATTCTGTCTGTGAGTATTCGACTCATGAGCGATGGTCTTTCATCACGATTCTGCTGAGCGGTACATTCCCATAAACTGTATAAACTTTAATGAATGAGATTCTCGATTTGTGACACTGTTGCTGCCAACGAAACACAATGAACAGGGTGGCAGAAATAAGCTAACCTACATACTTTTACAGAGATCATATTTATATTGAATTAGCCGCCTTTGTGGAGCAAAACAACCCATTCGAATGGCAGGCCAGCGGGTAACAACACGTTACAGAGGAAGCGGAAGATGTTTTCATCATCAATACATACTTGCGCTGTTATCGTAATCTGGGAAAATGATAAAGCGAAAAATAAAAGGGAATATAAGAGGTACTGTGACTTTTTGTTGGAATTTGAAAGGTTTTAAATATTAAGAAGCATATTCAATATGTATTTTGAATAAAAAACGAATAGTATAAACATTTTTAGTGTCAATTCCTATTTTAGGTTTTTTGAAAACTATGACTGATCTTTTATCTACCTATCGCGGATATGGTGTTGAAGAGTTACCAACACCAAGTTTTTTAATTGTGGAAGACAAGTTTGACAAAAACTGCAGGCACATGCTTGAACGTGTCAAAGAGCTAGAAAGAGAAACAAAAGTTCCAATTAAATTCCGTGCTCATATAAAGACTCATAAAACCGCTAAAGGAACCTTGAAGCAATTAGGAGTAGGTCTAATTGAAAACCCTAAAGATTCAATTGTAGTGTCCACAATAAAGGAGGCCACTGAACTATTAAATTATCAAGATAAAATAGGTAAGCAATACGTTAAAGATATCTGTTTTGGATTACCTGCATGTGTTCCTGGAATTATAGACCAACTAAACACATTATCTGGTCGTGTACAAAACCTTCGAATTTTTGTAGATAACGTCGAACATTTGGATAACTTGGTGAAATTTGGTAGAAGTACGAATGATAAAAAATGGTCAATCTTTGTCAAAGTTGATATGGGTACCCATAGAGCAGGTTTACCAACTGAATCGGAGGACTTCCTTGAATTATTGAAGAAGCTAATAACTCCAGAAGTAGCAGAGGTTGCGGATTTATATGGATTTTACGCCCACGCTGGTCATAGTTATAATGTAACTAATATTTTGGATGCACACGAACTATTACTTTATGAGATTAAGGCTGTCAATGAGGCTGCCAAAATGTTTACAAGGTTAAATCCAAAAGCTAATGCAAGAAATCTGACTCTATCAGTGGGTGCTACACCAACTTCAAATTCATTAAGAGTCAGGGATGATTTAGAGATCAATGAATATATTAAAGATAAATTAGTTGGCACTTTGGAGATACATTGTGGTAACTATTGTTTATACGATTTACAACAACTTTCAACTAATTGCATCAACGATTTTGAATGTTCGGGCTATGTGCTTGGTACGATTCTGTCATCTTATAAGGAAAGACACGAAATGTTAACAAACACAGGTGTCATGGTATTAACTAGAGAGTCATCCAAATTCAACGGGAATGGTTTATGCGTCCCTATTAATTCTATCCTTAAAGATGAGTCTTATAAGATTGAGTGGTACGTAGATAGAATTTCTCAGGAACATGGTATACTAAGACAACACGCTGATAAAGACGAAAGGGAACATCCAAAAGATGCAGCACCTTTAAATCCTTTGCTAAAGTTAGGACAGAAAATTGCAATCATACCACAACATGCTTGCATTGTAATGGGTCAGTTCCCACATTATTTTGTCCTTGACAAAGATAACAAGGTGTCAGATGTTTGGACACCTTTCCAAAAATGGTAATAATGAGGTTCAATATATCCAACGTTTTTTAAAGCCGTTCCTTTTCATAAGACTATATAAAACTATATATCATTTTCTTAGATCATAATAGATATCAATCGATTACCTAAGCTTTCTTCATTCTCAACTTGTTCTATTAAGTATTGAATGCTGAATGGTGCTTTACTATTGTAGTTGGCAGTCATCCTAAACGATGAAAAATTTTTCGGTGTCAGGAAGTCTTCGCTGGTTGAAACGGGCAAAAAAAATTTCAAACTCAATCAAGACCATCCGAAAATTCTATGAAGAAATACTCTAATTAGTACAACAATAAGAAGACCTAAATTATTTTTGTAGATAAGATTATCTTGAATTGAACAATAAATCAACCAATTATTTAGGTCCCTGATACCCTATATTATTTTGTTAAGAAGTACATCATGACTTCGAACATTAATTGGGAAGAATTATCTCCAGAATTGGAAAAAAAATGTTTTAATTCCCAAATCTGCACAAGAATTACTTTCTTGGAAGATGTACTACAATTAATTAAATCAGAAACATTAGAGGCACCTCAATTGGGCCAAATATCAATTACATTATTAAAAACATTCGTATCTTATACAGATGCTAAATCTAAAACCCTAGTTAAGACTATGTTCGCAGACATTCTGAGATTGGAACCTCGTTTGTACGAAAAATATATTTCATTTATCTTAGATCAAGTCAAAAAATCTCTTGGATCAAGAGCATTCGTAGATTACTTAAACTTACTCGACTGGGTCCATGAATTTTTGATCCTAATATCTCAAGAAGATGATCTTTTCACTTCTAATTTCGAGAGACTATTAGAGGCTCACTGCTTTATTACATACGGTATTGAATACTCCATTGACAATCAAGAAGTCGACAAGAAAGTAAATGCAAAGAGAAATCAACACAGAAATAGAGTTCGTCGCAGTATCTTACAATCTACTACCAAGACTTTGAGTAAAATTTTCAAAAATGATAAAGATAATGTTACCCAGGCAGATCAATTGATGTCTTTTATTCTGGAGAAATATGCTACATCAAAATTACCTGTCACTGGTGTCGTTGTTTTGATGGGTGCATTCACTCAAAGCTTTGCACAACTTTCTTCCTCAAAGCCAGTCTACTTTCAATTACTGAAGGATAAATACGTTCAAAAATACTGTGAATTTATCGGAAAAGAGGTTATTCTTGGGAAAATTCCACCATCACCATTTTGTTTAGAAATTTCACTTAGACCATTTATCAAGGAATTCGTCGATGAAGAATTGTTCAAATCTAATTTCGTTCCAAACTTTGAAAAGGCAAACCTAAGGGCTCCAGAAACTGGTTTTACAACGTCAGCCGAATTCTTTGCTTCTGTAAATTTAGAAAAGGTTAATGCTTTAAATCTGTTCGTTTCCACTAAGCTAATTACCCAACTGTTCTCTTCGTTGAAAAGCTCCAAGGAAGGAACTAAAAGTTCAGCCATCAACTTCATCACTACTTTGTTGACATCACTTCATTCAAAATCCATTACTGAGGAAGATATGGTAAAACTTGTAAATGAAATCTTCAAAAATATAAAAACCAATTTAAATGCCGACTACAAAATCCTGGCATCGAATATACTTAGATGCATTCCTGTCTTTTCACAAGATGTTTCTTTACTTATTGTAAAAGGTTTAAATACATATGTTTCTAAAGAAACTAATGAAAATGCTCTGAACGATATGTTATTAGCATTTTTCCTAAATTTTACATTCCTTGCAAATTCTAATGATGATATCAATAAAACGATCGAGGCTGGTCTTTCAAACAAGAAGCCGAGCTTAAAAAAGATTTGGTGTAGTTCTTTCCTAGGAAGTTCTCCAAATGCTTCTATTCCAACCCTTGAGAAATTTGAAAACGATTTCTTAGAATTTATAAAAGAAACTTTAAACCACAACCAAAATTATGACCATCGTGCTATCTATGCTTCTCTTAAATACATTGTACATGTTTACACCATAGGCTCAGATAAACTAAGGAATAACGTTTTGGAAGTTATAAGGAATCTACCTAATGAAAGAGATTTAGGTAATGCTATGTCCATTGTTGCATTATCCACCAATCTAAATCCAACCGATCGTATGAATGCTGTGAAATTATTAGAAGAGCTCTTCAGATTAGAGCCTGAACTTTTGGGTATAAGTGTTGTCGAAGCTCTGAAACATAGAATTATCACTGATAAAAATACCAATGAGGACTCCATATCCTATAAATTCTGTACACCATTATTCTCTGTTATTTCTCAATCAATAGATGATAAAGGTGCTCTGGAAAAGGTCATCATTGCCGAATTATTTATTGCTGAGTGTGAAAAGTTCCATCTTAAGAATGGCTGGGCTGGCTTAGCTCTCTTGGCTGGTTTGGATCCATCTTCAATTGTTAAAAGTAATATCGAGAAAATAATGGATAATTTAGATATTTTAGTAAACGACGTCGAGATATATGAAAGTAAACTGAGGGACTGTATCCTGAAAAGTATTGCCTATATTTGTTTCATTAACCCAGATGCTGCCGTTCCAGCAGTGACCGAATTCTTCCAGAAATCGTTGACAACCCGCCGTTTATCCAAGTTTACAGAACAAGATTTCACAATATGGAATGGTGAAGAAGGTACCATGGTAATTGATGTCCTTGAAAAGAAGAGTGCAAAGCAGCTTTCAGATAAGAATACAAAGGATTATGAAACTCTGCAATGGGAACAAAAAATTAGAAAAGAACAAAGTAAGAAAGCAATTAGAAAGTATACAAGAGAAGAGAGAGAATTAGTTGATGAACAACTAGAGAAAGAATCTAAAATAAGAAGCGAGATATCAGAAGTGAAACGTCATTTAACAAGCGGTATTACTGTTATTGGCTTCTTAAGTAACCAGGCACAATTAGTTGATAATGGTAGCGGTCTATGGTTTCCATCTGCTGTTTCATCATTGTTAACTTTAATTAAAGAGAAAAATTGTAAACATTTGGTAGGCCAGAAAGCGATAAATGCATTCCTAACTTTATCTGAGAATACATCAGAAAGATTAGGTGGTATTAAACTATATATTGGTGTTGCTATCCTTCGTGTTAATAAAATTTCTAATGTACCAGAAAATTTTACCGAGGAACCATTAGATGAGTTATTATCAAGGGTTCTATTCAGAGTAAAGTTTGTCGCCAACCAAATGTCCTTGGATGTCGTAAGTTTGTCATATTTGTTGCCTCTACTAATCAATGTTCTAGAAGAAGGTAAACGTGTAGCTTTAAAGAATGCTGATAAACCGGTTGCCAGAACTGAATTCGTGGAAGAGGATAAAGAAGAAGAGCACCTAATGTTGGCTATGGAGATCATTTCGGTACATGCCGAAGTTTTTGAGGATCCTTCAATACCAAGAGCACCAATTATGAATGTCTTGATGTCACTATTAGGTTTAGCTTCGAAAGCCAAAAATGCCAAAGAATGTTTGAATGTTCTGTGTCAAAGCATATCGGTAGCACCAACTGATGAAGACCTAAAGATTATTCTAGATAATCTTTTATCACCAAACCCATTCGTAAGATCAACCATATTGGAAATTGTCGACAACGAATTCGAACTAGAGGCTAACATGAAAAATTCAGCAGAAGTATTCATTTGCAGATTCGACTCTGAAGCTAATAACCGTGATATTGCAGATTTTATTTGGGAATTTAGTAAGTTCGTTATAGATAGTGATTTGCTGAGCTCATTGATATCCTTGTTTGATCAAGATGATAGTGGTTTGCGTCTTTTTGCTGCCCGTGCATTTGCATCTGCTGTCCTATATTTAGAAAAAGAAAACAAAAATTCACTAAGAAATTCACTACAAATGTTAATTACGTTTTACAAAGAGAAGGCAGCTCCATTGGAGGCAATAATGGACGATTATGGTTTGGTTGCTGTCGCTGCATCGGACCGTAAGGATCCATGGCAAGACAGAAGTACCGCAGCTATTGCATTCAAAGAACTTTCCGGTGGTATTCCAGAAGAAGACACATATGTTGTAGACTTAGTTAAGTTTTTAATTGAAGATGGTGCCTTAGGTGACAGAGAACTACTTGTTCGTCAAGAAATGAAGGAGGCTGGTATTGAAATAATTACTTTGCACGGTGCAAAGAAGGCCGAAGAGTTGATTCCAATTTTTGAAAACACGTTAACCTCTAACATTGAAACTACTGTTAAAGAAAATGTTATCATCCTTTATGGTACTTTAGCTAGACACCTGGAAGCACACGATGCAAGAATGGAAACCATTGTTAACAGATTGCTTTCTTCTCTGGATACTCCATCTGCAGATGTTCAACAAGCTATTTCTGAATGTATTGGTCCATTAGTTTTCCAATTCAGAGACAACGTAGGTGATTATATTGCAAATTTAACAAACCGTTTGTTGGATCCTGAGTTACCATTAACTATACGTAAAGGTTCTGCATGGGGTATTGCTGGTCTAGTGAAGGGTTATGGTATTCAAGCCCTTTCAGAATTTGATATTATCCGTAACTTGATTGAAGCTTCTGAAGATAAAAAAATGGCAATTCGTCGTGAATCTGTCGCATACGCATTTGAGTACTTGTCGAAGTCTTTAAAAAAATTTTTCGAACCTTATGTCATTGAAGTCCTTCCAAATATTTTGAAGAACCTTGGTGATTCTGTTCCAGAAGTTCGTAACGCCACAGCAGAGGCTACCAAAGCTATCATGGCCTACACAACAAGTTTTGGTGTTACCAAATTGATTCCTGTCGCAGTTTCAAACTTAGATGAAATATCATGGAGAACCAAGAGGGGTTCTGTTGAGCTATTAGGTAATATGGCTTACCTTGATCCTACCCAGTTATCTGCATCTCTATCTACTATTGTTCCTGAGATTGTCGGTGTATTAAATGATTCTCATAAAGAAGTTCGTAAGGCTGCAGATGAATCGTTGAACCGTTTCGGTGAAGTTATCAGAAACCCTGAAATCCAAAAGCTGGTTCCTACCTTAATCAACGCCATTGGTGATCCAACCAAGTACACAGAGGATGCCCTAGATGCATTAATCAATACCCAGTTTGTCCATTATATTGATGGTCCATCATTAGCTCTAATTATTCACGTAATCCATCGTGGTATGCATGAGAGATCAGCTAATACAAAGAGAAAAGCTTGTAAAATTGTGGGTAACATGGCTATCTTAGTGGATATCAAAGATTTGGTCCCATATCTACAACAGTTAGTTGATGAAGTTGAGGTTGCCATGGTGGACCCTGTTCCAAACACAAGAGCAACAGCTGCCCGGGCCTTAGGTGCACTAGTCGAAAGATTGGGTGAAGAACAATTCCCTGACCTAATTCCAAGATTAATAGACACCTTAAGTGATGAAACCAAATCAGGTGATCGTCTAGGTTCTGCCCAAGCTCTGGCTGAAGTTATGAGTGGTCTAGGTCTATCCAAATTAGATGAATTATTACCAACCATCCTTGCTGGTGTTTCTAGTTACCGTGCTTATGTAAGAGAAGGGTACATGCCACTATTACTATTTATTCCTATATGTTTCGGTGCTCAATTTGCGCCCTACATTAACCAAATTATCCAACCAATCCTTGGTGGTTTGGCAGACACTGATGAAAATATCCACGACACAGCTCTGAAGGCAGGAAAATTGATTGTTAAGAAGTATGCTGCGAAGGCTATTGATTTGTTGTTGCCTGAACTTGAAAAGGGTATGTTCAATGAGAATGAACGTATTAGACTATCATCTGTACAATTAACCGGTGAATTGTTATTCCAAGTTACCGGTATTTCCTCCAAGAATGAATTTTCAGAGGAAGAAGGAGACCACAGTGGTGAATTTGGTAATAAATTGGTCGAAGTACTCGGTCAAGATAGACGTGATAGAGTGCTGGCAGCATTGTTTGTGTGTAGAAACGACACATCAGGTATTGTACGTGCATCTACTGTTGATATATGGAAGGCACTTGTTCCAAATACACCTCGTGCTGTTAAGGAAATCTTACCTACATTAACAGGTATGATCGTAGGCAGTTTGGCTTCGTCCTCTGCAAGTTTGAGAAATATTGCTGCTCAAACCTTAGGTGACCTTGTTCGTCGTGTTGGTGGTAATGCATTATCCCAATTGCTACCAACTTTGTACCAATCTGTTCAAGAGTCTACTAGTACTGAATCTAAACAAGGTGTCTGTATTGCTCTAAATGAATTGATAGAATCCTCCTCAGCAGAAACACTAGATGAATTCCAAGAAATGATTGTGAAGATATTACGTGAAACTTTAATCGATGGTGATGTATCTGTCAGACAGGCAGCAGCTGGTGCCTTTGACTCTTATCAAGATATTATTGGAAATATCGCTATTGATGAAATCCTTCCATACATGCTACACATGCTTGAATCCGACGAATCATCTCAAAATGCATTATTAGGTCTACAAGATATTATGTCTACCAAATCAGAAGTCATTTTCCCAATTTTGATTCCAACTTTGTTGGCGCCTCCTATCGATGCTTTCAGGGCATCCGCTTTAGGGTCTTTGGCAGAAGTTGCTGGACCATCATTATACAAACGTTTATCAACTATAATCAATGCTTTAGTTGACTCCTTAGTAAATGAAAATCTAGTTGACGAGAAACCAACCTTAGAGGCTGCTCTAGATAAAATTTTCTTATCTGTCACCGATGAAGAAGGTTGTCATCCATTGTTACAACAAATTATGGCACTGCTAAAGCATGATGATCGCAAAAAGCGTCTTGTTATCCTGCAACGTTTACCAAATTTCTTTGAAAATACTAATCTTGACTTTGATTTGTATATTCCAGACTTTGTATCAAATGCTATCTTAGCACTTGACGACGAAGATCCATTGGTTGTTAAGGGTAACTTCGAAGCTCTAACCACATTAATTAAGAAACAAGACAAATCTATGCTAGAGAGATTAGTTAAGCCAGCCAAACAAAGTTTACAAATGGTGGGTAAACAAGGCGAAGATCTCGGCGCTTTTGCTCTTCCAAGAGGACCAAACTGTATTTTACCGATTTTTTTACATGGTTTGATGTATGGTTCCAATGATGAACGTGAGGCATCAGCGCTTGCAATTGCTGATATTGTCTCTAAGACTCCTGCTGCTAACTTAAAACCATTTGTCAGCGTTATCACTGGTCCATTAATCCGTGTTGTTGGTGAAAGATTTAGCAGTGATATTAAAGCAGCAATTTTGTTTGCTCTAAATATTTTGTTCGTTAAAATTCCTCAATTCTTAAGACCTTTTATTCCTCAATTACAAAGAACATTTGTAAAGTCCTTATCTGATGCCTCCAATGAAACACTACGTCTTCGTGCCGCAAAGGCCTTAGGTACTTTAATCGAGTACCAACCTCGTGTTGATCCATTAATTATCGAATTAGTCAGCGGTGCAAAACAAGCAGCTGATGAAGGTGTTAAGACTGCTATGCTAAAAGCTTTGCTTGAAGTTGTTACAAAGGCTGGTTCTAAATTGAACGAGACTTCTAAGAAGAATATCGTCAATTTAATCGAAGAAGAAATGCTTGTTAGCGATAATAAACTTGCAGTTGCATATGCGAAATTAATTGGCTCATTATCAGATATTTTAACCGAAGATGAAGCAAAGAGTATTTTAACTGAAAAAGTTCTGAACATTGATTTGTCTGGGGATTCAGGTAAATTTGCTATCCTAACCGTCAATTCTTTCTTAAAGGATGCTCCTGGTCATATTATTAATCCTGAATTAATAGATCAATTTGTGCCATACATTATCAGTGCTATTGATTCTAACGATATCTACTTCACCGAAAATGGTATCATTGCTGCTGGTAAAATGCTTCTATTAGAAGGTGAAACTAAGTCACCATTTTCTAAGCATGAATCACCTGAACCATTGTCTGTTGGTGAAGCCAATATTAAGTTGCTAATGGAGAGCTTATGCAAGACCACATTGAAACCTGTCTCGAACTCTACAGACGCAAGAAGGCTATCATTAGTTGTAATCCGTACCTTGGCTAGATTCAAGATGTCAGAATGTATCACCCCATTTATTGATATGTTAGCTATTGCAATTTTCTCATGTTTACGTGATCCAATTATTCCAATCAAACTAGCAGCTGAAAAGGCGTACTTAGCCATATTTAACCTGATTGATGAACCAGAAATGGAAGGCTTCACAAAATGGTTCGACGATTTCTCAGCTAACAATTCTAGTGTGGACAACCTCGTTGGTACTGCTATTCAAATGAGATCTGTCGGAGATTACACCAAGAGAGTTGGGAAAAGATTAGCCAATGTTGAAAGAGAAAGAATTGCTGCTGGTGGTGATGCAGAGACTATGTTCAGTGATAGATTTGAAGATGAAAAAGAAATATGGTCAGTTGGTGGTGTCGAATTGAACACAGACGCCTAGGGAAAGCTATTCAACCTATTGTAAATTTAAATATGTACATTTATCCTTTATTTATATATACACTATACATCATTTAATTGAAAATGATTTAATCATTTTTTGAGAGAAAACTAGCAACACAGAAACATTGAATAATATTTGTACGGTGTTTGTGAATCAAGAAATATTATACTTATGGCAGAAGTAAAAGTAAATAAAAATTGCAACAAAAAAAAAATTTATAACATATCTAAGAAATATGTATAAAAATAAACCCTATATATGACCAAAAATTAATACTACCTACATTCACATGAACTCTCGTATTTTCGAATTTTCCTTTTCGATTTGATTCAATCTCCAGAGATCATCCTCTTCGTTTATTTCATTAATTTCATCCTCTTCATCTTCTGTTAGGCCAGATATATCCTGAGTTGGTATCAACTCTGCATCCATTCTAACACTTGGAGCACCTTGTAAATACCTAATATTTTCTAAGCAACGTATTCTCGTATCTTCCAAATATTTCTTGGAATTTTTATTCTCAAACAAATCATCCAACACTGGATATAATGTATAATCAGGTCCAAATGAGTCTCTAAACGGAAGCCCGTCGGGCAATTCCTTTGGGAGTAATACGTTATTTAAAAGACCAGTTTCATGAGCCCATAATCTAGAGACGTTTCTTGGAGTATAACCTCCACCTCCAACTACAAGCATTGGAATCCCAAACGATTTTACAAAATTGACACATTCACCATGTGCCTTAATGTTTAAATTAAAACAGCCCAATCTGTCATGACCCAATGAATCTGCTCCACACTGTTGAATAATCACTGTTGGTTTATATGTAGTAATCAATGGATCAATCACGGATTTAAATAAGGTAATATATGATTCGTCATCAATACCATCGTCAAGCGGTACATTCATTGCAAAGTGTTTACCTTTTGAGCAACCAATTTCATTAATATCACCAGTTGCTGGGAAAAATTCACCATTATATTTATGAAAAGAAACAGTAAAGACTCTATCAGTTGTATAAAATGCCTCCTGTACACCATCACCATGATGTAAATCTATATCAATATAAAGTACTCTAGGATGATACTTTAATAAATTTAGAACTGAAAGGACAATATCATTAATATAACAAAATCCAGATGGGTTACCCTTTTTGGCATGATGTAACCCACCTGACCAATTTATTGCAATATCTGATTGATCATTAATTAATTTTTTTGATGCATCCAATGATGCACCTGCATATAAAGAACTATAATCAAATATATTTTGAAAAATTGGACAATCATCACCAATATTAAATTTTTCAAACGTACCTCTTGGCATCTTACTTATATTTTCAGGTGTAACTTTTAATAAAAATTTCACATAATCATCGGAATGAAATTCACGTAATTCATCTGGAGTTGCACTTCTAGTTTCATATAGATCCATTATCTTATGTAAACCATATCCTGATACCAAATGATCAGTTAACATCAAACGAAATGGTTTCATGGGATGTCTCACACCATAGTGATAGTTTGAAACTTTGGGATTGAAATGGTACGATACCCTGGGTGTATATGATGAATTAAACTCGAACAATGGTTGTTCTGCACTAGTCTTCTTATCATATGTAAAAGTGTTCGTCATTTGTTCTCATGAATTTTTTTTGTTATTGTAATTAGCAGTCACTAAAATATCTATATACTTTCTTAGGAACTAGTCTCAAAAATTAAAAAAATCAAAGGTTCTTCCTTATAATACACTGATACCCTTTAACTGGTAAACACTTCCGCCTATATTCTGCTCAATTTATCAATATACTGAGCTGGATAACTGCTTTTACTGTTTGTTTCTATCTTTTTATGGTTTCAAATTTAAATTTCAACTTTTCTAAATTTGAGATACTGTATTATTTATCACTAGCGACGAGGTGCGGAATACCACATAATAACAATGATTTATTGCTATTAAAGAGTGTACGATATTTAACTAAGATACGTTTCATAGTTGTTATAAATACATCGAGGAAGATAAGTTACAATATCGAATAAGAGGTTCTTACTGTATCTAAACAGATTGATAATGTAGTAATCACTCACAAATTGCCATTCCATGTACATAAATACTTGTATTCTGTATAATAATTTTTATCAACACTATAATTAAATAAATACCATTCAATTAAATAAAGCCGCCTTTATGAGGAAAGGGTTCTACATTAGAAATTACAAGAGATGGAAAATCTTGACAACGTTCCAGAGAGTTAAAGCAAACAAGATAAGAGTCAGAGTTGTTATTAGTAGATTCATTGGAGGTAATAAGGACAGACATTAGATCATTTTTTTTTAAAAAAAACACTCCAATCAAGGTGGAATTTTTAGCGATGTTAGCTGACGAAAGTATAATAGATCGAGACGTATGTGCAGAGTTAGTCGCATTCATCATCGAGAATCATCGAGACATACAGGAAGAACCTATTAGCGGACATATACGAGATTTATTTGCAGTGTTTTACGATGCTCATGGTATAGTTGGAACTTACAAATATGATCAATTCTATAATTTGTTAACCTATATCAGTGATTTGGCTCCAGGTTGTTTGACATTTGAAAATGATATTATTAAGGGCCAAACAATTACTGATATAAACACATACATCCTAAAACTGTTATACAAACAGATAGGTAAAAATTCACAAAATTTTACAACAATATCTCATATTTCATCGAAGAACAGTACCAATGTTCGAGAATCTGATGATATTGATGGTTCAACGATAGTTAATGAAGATATATCATATATGGAGAAAAATGGGGATGATGATTTAGAGAATCTGAGTTATGGAAATGATCCCAATGATCCAAAGGATGATTTATCGAGATTATATTCTTTAATAAATTTTGAAGCAGCGGAGAAAACTCTTACTTATGAAAATGCTCAATTACCCAGATATTTGATGAAAAGATTAAATGAAATTTTGGATACTGTACCAATGTCCTTTCAATTGGGTAAAGAAAGAGCTCGATTAACTGAAACGGTGATTCCATATATTCCAGTTTGTCAATCCCCAGAACATTCCATGATATTAGCTCAGGTAGCATATATCTCCAATAACAAAATAACATCCTTACAATGGTCAAAATTGCCAACATTAGAAAAAGATTCACCTGAATTAATACAATGTTTAAAATCACATATGCATTATGTTCCTAATATTAAACCTCAAACAGATTTATCATTAGGTGATTGCTCATATTTAGATACATGTCATAAATTGAATTCGTGTCGCTATTTACATTATTTGCAATATGTTCCAGAGTCCTTAATCACACAAGTTATTAAGGACACAGAACGTATCAACGAAACACAATCCAGGCATATACCATTGTATACACATGGGTCGTGTTCTTCAGTTGCGGTGAAAGAGATATTACCTCCACAATGGATTAGATGTGATGTAAGGAAATTTGATTTTAGTATTCTTGGTAAATTTTCAGTTGTTGTAGCAGATCCTGCGTGGAATATTCATATGAATTTACCTTATGGAACTTGTAATGATATTGAATTGTTAGAATTACCATTAGATGAATTACAAGATGAAGGTGTACTATTTCTATGGGTTACTGGTAGAGCCATTGAATTAGGTAAAGAGTCCCTAGCTAAATGGGGTTATAAAGTAATTAATGAAATTTCATGGATAAAGACAAATCAATTGGGACGTACGATTGTGACAGGTAGAACAGGACATTGGTTAAATCATTCGAAGGAGCATTTATTAGTTGGAATGAAAGGTAATCCACAATGGATTAATAAACATATTGATATGGATATTATTGTATCAACCACTAGAGAGACAAGTAGGAAACCTGATGAATTATATGGTATGATTGAAAGAATGGTTGGTAAACATGCACGTAAATTAGAAATTTTTGGCAGGGATCATAATATTCGTGCTGGTTGGTTTACTATTGGTAATCAATTAACAGGATCATGCATTTATGAGCCCGATATTAAAGCCAAATTTGAAAGTTCAACACAATTTAAAAATTCAAATAATCAACAGAATAATCAAAATTATAGTAGAAATACAGATAATCATAGTAATGGTAAGAATAATAACAACCATTATACGAACAACAATCACAGAACTAATAGTAGCAGCAATAATAACAGTAAGCGTGGCAAATCAGATTTTAAGAGATCAAACAATAATTATTCTGGAAATAAACAAAGTTCATCTAATAGAGTTAAACATGATAACAGAGGAGTAAATACATAAACATCGCAATTATAATAATAATAAAAGGATCAACAACCTTTTTGCATATTGTTTCATATTATTATATTGCAGTCTTTGCTATTCAGACTATCTAGATATATATATACATAAAATTACTGTTCTAAGTTAAATTAATTGTAAAATTGTTCTTGTATACATAATATAACATTTGATGTAAATTTTAACACAGCGACATCACTCTCAACGAATCTCAGTATGTGGTGTGTGGGCGTATCCGTACCACCATATTAACACACTCAAAATTGATACAAACTACACCCTAGTATCATTCAAATCAGAACAAATACTTAACACAACCCTCACCTAGCAGTACAATATGGCCATATATACAATATTCCACGTCCCATCACGTGACCACCCATCCACGTGACCGCCGGCCAATCACGCACCATGTCACTGTCCACGAACCGAACAGAAGCTCTCCCGGAGCTCTCAAAAGAAAGAAAATCGAATCTCTCTTTCTCTCTCCACTGCACAGAAAGCGCCGTGGAAACACACAAACAACAAGCTCACTCACCGAAAAGACCGGCGAAGGGGTGAAAACACAGTAAGAATTCCAATTCGATTCAATTTATTGTCACAGAAAGAAAGAGACAGAGAGAAAGTCATAAAGAGTTTGGTTTTCGAGGGAAATTACAAGTCACAATTGTCTCTGTTTACTTTGTTTCAATTGAATTAGGCTTACTGAACTAATAATAATAATAATAATAATAATAATAATTTTTATATATATTTTTTTATATAAAGAAGGGGAAACTTGACGATAGTGGATATTAACGGGATTACAGTTAATATTTAGGTACGTTTTTATTTTCTGGTGCATACGTATTCTCTTTATTTCATTTATTACAATTATTACGCAATTTTTATTTATTTTCTTTACTGTATTCATATCAATTACAACGACAACAACAATAACAATTTATAAAATATGAACAGCAATATCTTAAGAACAAGCATAAGAAGATATGCAAGTCTTCCATCTCACGCATTAAAGCCTGCTTTAGAGACACCAAATAAAGCTGCTGCTGCAGCATTTAAACAATCCTTAGAAGCACAAAAGGCTCATGGTGAAAGTACATATAAATTTTGGTTAAAAATTTCTTACTTAGTGGCAGCTCCAGCTATTTTATTAACTGCTGCTAACACATATTTTGTCGAAAAAGAACATTATGATCATAGACAACATCTATCTCATGTTCCAGATCAAGACTGGCCAAGAGATTATCAATATATGAATTGTAGATATAAACCATTTTTCTGGGGTGATGGTGATAAGACTCTTTTCTGGAATCCAGTTGTTAATAGACATATTAACCATGATGATTAAAGAAAACTTATTTGTGCTTTAACAATTTCTAGTTGGTAATATAGTAATAACTACCAACTCATTATTGTTTTGCATTTTTGTTTATTTTGTTTGTTTTTTTCATATCACTATGATCTCTCTCCCTCTATTAATGTTTTATTTATTCCCTTTTCCTTATATACTATCTTTTTCCAACCCCTCATGTAAGTGTATATTTATATATACATTATTTACTTTACTTCTATATTTTTTTTAATTTGAAATTAATAATATTAAAAAATGATTTGATATCATATAATAATGAATAATTAAAAGTAGGATACCTAAAATATGTATGTATATATGTATGTGTATACTATTGTTGTTACAATTCAGAGAAAATGAATAAATTATTAGTTGCAGCAATTGCAATACTATTCTCTTTTGGATGCCATGAAAAATGTAAGATACTTTTCTTAAAATCAATATCATCACCCCATTCTTTATTTCTAGCGGTTCGTTGCGATAATGAACCAAATTGTTTATTTCTAAATGCTGTTTTATCTGCTTGTAACACAATTTCATCAATTTTATTTTCATTATCATTATTTCCTTCAAACATATTATTATTATTACTACTATTACTATTATTATTATTGTTATTATTATTATTCTTGTGTTTATGCTGTTTATTATTATTACTATGACTATTTTTGGATCTATTATTATTATTATTATTACTACTACTTCCACTTCCAATATTATTGCTATTATTATTATTGTTTTCATCAAATGTTTTCACTATGCAAGGATTTTCATCTTCATTAGTTTTAACAACATCTGGATATATCATAAAATTATTATTGTATGAGCCTGTCATTATACTTGAACTATCACCACTAAATTCAACTTCAAACTTATCAAAAATTGCATCGTTTTCATATGTATCACTTAATCTTTCTTTTAATTGTTCATGAATATTAATCGTCTTTAATGGTTTATTATTCATATTAATATCCCAAATTTTTACAGTTAAATAATCTCTTGATGCAATATATCTACCATTCGGACTAAATTTAATATCTGAGATTGATGATGTAATTTCTGTGAAAAAATTATGATTAATTGGATTTGTATATTCTTCAAAAATTATTGGTTTATCGTCACATAATGCATTTAATCTCATATCACATAATTTTATTGTACCCTTTGATGAAGAATACATAAATAAATTACATTCTTGTGGATGAAATTCTGCACTTGTAATGACTTCCGTTAATTCTTCCATATTTGCAGGTTTAATATCAACTATATTAAAACTTTCTTCAGGTAAATCATAATTCCAAAGATTAATTCTTAAATCGTCTGCACTTAAAAAAGTTTCTTGATCAGAATTTGGTGATATCGAATTAATATGATAAGTATGTGCATTTGCATAAATTTTTTTTGGAGTTGCTGCAATAATTTTATCATGTTGTGATAAAATTGGTAATTTTAAATTATTTAATTTAAGTACTGATTTCATTGAATCATTACCAATAATAATATTTTTTTGTTTTAAACCAAAACCTTCTGATAAATTATTTTCACTAACTAATTTGATATTTTTTTCATAAATTTTCCATAATTTAATTGTTTTATCATTTGTACTTAATAAAAAATGTGATTTTTGTACAGGTTTTAACCATTTAATTTGATTAATTTTTTCTTCAATTTCTAAAGATTTCAAATAATCAAATTCTGCATCATGACTTTGAAATTCCGTTAAAAATTTATATTCACAATGTTTACTATTACTTCTTTCGAATAATACAACTCTACCACCTTTATCACCCGTGGCTAAAAAATTTCCTGAATGATCAAATTCTGATGCGGTTATTATATCAGCCTCAGTAACAACAATATCAGCTTTATCACCAAAACATTGACTAAATTTAAAATTAAAATTATCTCTCGACATTGTTCACTTTCGAATATTTATTTTTATACTTCAAAGAAAGCCTGTGAATATATCAATATTTCAATAAAATTAAAATATAAAACCTATTTGCTTTCTCTCTGATTTTATTAAATAAAAACTTCTTTATTATTTATTTTCTTTTAAAAAAAATAATTTTTTTTTGTTTGTATCCCTTAAAAAAAAAATTTAATACCACTATAATTTTTTAATTATTTGGTCCTTTTTTTTCCCACAGACGTACAGAAGAAATAATGATAGTAATGCAAAAAAAAGGGAATGAATCAACTTTATTTCAATAATCAATTAGAATCAGATATTAGAAAGATGTGTGTATATATAATACTGGTTATAAATATTATTATTCTTGTTTCTCTTTAATATTCTCGTAATTTCGAATCAATTTGCAAAAAAAAATAAAATAACAATGTTTCAAATTAATCTGATGCGTGTTAACAACGTAAAACTAGTAAAGAAAGAAAAAACTGCTTAATCTCAATATATCCAATACACTGTATCTAGTTTATCAACTCAATTGCCAAATACTTCACCATCACAGAATATGTGTGTATATATATTATATATTAAAGTGTCGAAACTATAGCTATATGGCTCTCTATCTCGTGGAACTAGCTGTCTGCCCCGTTCTGTTCTCCCCTTTCGCTGTTTTCTTCTTCAAAAAAATTGAAAAAAAGTTGAAAAAATTTGGAAAGAAAAATTTGGGTGAGCGACGGCGAGGCGTTAAAAGAAGCTGTATGTCAACAACGAACGTCTTTCATTTATTTAGCTTTGCTGTACAGTTGTTATAAGGGAGAACAATGGGTTCTTGTTGTTTTTTGCTGATATATACGTGTGTCGTTTTAAATGATTCGGCAAGTACGAAATAGTTTAGCAGTAATGTATTTTAGAAACGTTTTTAATTGTATTATACTATAGGAAAGTAATCTTCAATTTGCTCCCGCTCTCAATTTTACGAAAGAGGGTAAAGAATACTGTAAATATATATATAGATATGTAATTTAACACGTTAGACTTATAAAGCCTTCTTGGCAGCAGCAGCTGGAGAAACCTTGTTATCTCTGTTGAATCTTGGTCTTTGAGGTGGCAATCTGTTTCTTCTGTCAGTTCTAGATCTAACTCTAACAATTCTGGCATGAATAGCACAAGAGACACAGTAGTGTAACTTGTTGTAAGTCTTTGGTAGAGCGTATTCAGCGTAGACAGAAGCTTCAGACATATCTCTGACAGCAGCAGCTTCAACAATGTTTCTGATAGCCATTCTCTTGATAGCCTTATCCTTTGGAATAGACTTGGAACAGTTAACACATCTTACTGGTTTAACGTGACCTCTACCCTTCTTGTTTCTACCGTTGGAAGCTCTCTTCTTTGGCATCTTTAAAACTGTTAAAAAAAATACTATTTGCAACAAGTAATAATAATAATAATAATAGAACGATTTTATCTCATAGTATAGAAAAGAATAAAATCAGCATTAAGATTAAATATTATTTTTGTGAAAATAAAGTTACGATGTTAGTAAACGGATGTTTTTTTGTTTTATTGTGCTTCATAAGCTGGATATGTGTGTATTCTGGTATCTCTTCTAATAACTTATACATCTTGGATTTATTTTCATCGAATGTTCATACTGCATGTAATATTTTTATAATCATTAATTCATAATGTTTTAAAATATTGTTGTTGTGTTTTTTTTTCATGTTTGTAGCTAGTTTACATATCTGTGGGGTGTGAATCATAAATTTTCTCTTATGTACATGTTTTTTGAAATTTATTTATCTTTGGTAGAACTTTCATTAATCAATCATTCAATATATTTGTAACCTATTTTTCTTTTCTAAGTTCTCATCTGTAAGAAGTTATTATTATTTTTCAAAGATATCATCATCCTTTATCACATTTCATTTATATCAGGAACATACTATTTATTAGACTATGGTTTTTCTTCTTTCAAAGACTACAACAATAAGTAAATACTTTTTAACTAATTAAATATAATAAAGATTCTTTCTATATAATACCTTTAATCGTATCTACATCAAAGAGGTAGATTGTTACCTAACTTACTACTGTGTGAAGGATTAGTTACTAACGTGCCCCTTCCTTGCTATCGCTCTCTCCCTCTCTCTCTCCCACTCATAGAATAGAGATCATATTCAATACGTAATAAAAGATATTATGTTCCCAACACTCACACATACATTCATCTGGTTAGTGGACTATGAGGAGGGTGTAATACGTTTACCTGGTTTTGAGAGTTCATACTTTCTCGATTATGTTGTTTGTTTGAAAAATTTCAGTTCTATCTGTGTGCATTTCTACGCGCGAATGTTGATTTTTTTCAAAGGCTTTTTCTTCAATAAAAATTGTAAATTTGAATAACAAGTTTTATGGATGTACGGATGTATGTAGCAGTGTATGGGTGTAATGCACACATAGTCACAAAACGTTTGTTTTTTTTTAAAGTATCTTTCATGCTTGAAGTATATTACTTAAGATGTTTTTAAAAGGATATGTTTTTGTTTTTTATTGGTTTGTTAGCTTGTTAAAAATAATATATATAAAAAAGGGTACACATTCGTTGAATATATAAATAGTTTGAAGGGGATAAGTAAGGAAATGTGAGATATACTTTTGTTTGTTCGTTGTTCTCCTTTGTTTTTTTCTTTTGTATAATAAAAAAAAATATAATAAAGGTTTTCAAAAAAGTAAATAATAAAATGTAAGAGAAGACAAAAATAATAGTAATAATTAAAAGAAGTGATTAAGAACAACAAAAAAAAGAGTTAAAATGATATGAAAAATTGCTAGTTACCTCGAGGGAGAAAAAAAAGATTGTGTACATAAGTATAGTATGATAAACTTGCTATCAACCATAATTAATAAATTACAGACTTTATGCTGTAAAAAAAAGGTGTATTAATTAACAAAATAATTCATTTCCTCTCAATCCTTTTTTTTGTATTCTTGTTTAATGATGATGACCTCCTTCTGGATCTTCAACACCAACTGGATTAATTTTATAAACAGAACCACATTCCCAACATCTTGCAACTTGCTTCACCGTTGGTTTCAACCACATAATGGTATGAGAACCTGCAGGAGAACCCGTACAACCGACGTATCTGTAATCATCGTAAGATTCTACCAAAATTGGATCTTGCATAGTACCTTTTCTCGAGGAATCTAATGGTTTAGTATCAAAAACATCAACACCTTCTAATTTACCTAATAATTCCAATCTTTCTAAACCTGTAGCTTGATCTATATCAGTTGGAACTGTGCCTTCTTTACCACCTTGACCAATAAGAGAATCTGGACCATTAACTTCAGCTAAATTATGAGCTGTACCTGTAACAGGTTTATTAGATTGCCACATTATCCTCGAAGTAGATAACATTCTGCTGGCTGGTCTCATAACCCTTAAAGAAGATTGTCTTAATGCTAGCATATTTGTATATTTATTATTATATGTATGATTATTCTGAAATACTTTTCGTTGTGTTTTAAAAATAATACCACGAATGAAACTGTGTTTTTTCTTTGTTTTGTTTTGTTTGTATCTAAAAAAAATTACGTGAATTATCACTACACCAACTATATATATATAAATGTAAAAGACTCTTAAAAAATAAAATAAAAAATATTATAAAAATTGAAGTCTTCACAATTGACAAATAAACAGATTCAGAAAACTAATTCGAAGGTTCCCCTGTCTACTTCAATAATCACCGAGTTCTTATTATTCAATTCCTAATATATATATATATATATTAAGATTTTACTATCTAGTTTTGCAGCGTTTCTCTTTAGAAATTTCAACTTTTTTGTTTTTTGCCCCGTTGAAACCGAGACATACATACACACATTCACCGCTTCTTCCTCGCTCTCTTCTGCACAGACACACAGAGAGAGTCGTAACCGGGGGGCAGTAAGGGCGAGCTTCGATATGATTGGCTGACAACAGACGGAGCAATGAAACAAGATTTCGAACTGAAAAAAATCTCCGGGAAATTTTCTTGCAGTGAGCGAAGGGCTCGCTGCTCGTTCGACGTGATGAGGTTTAGTAAATTAATTAATATTTATTATATAATCGTTAAATGGGAATATTTAAATTAAAACATATATAGAGATTTGATGTAGAAAGTAATCAACGACCAAATCTTTTCAGTTCTAAGTAACGGACCCATGGATATACTATACCTGAAAATCCCATCGATAACCACATAGCAATATCACCACCTGCTTCACCGAATTTTCTTGCAATAGGTCCAATCCAGTAAGCTTGAGCCATACCCACCACGACACCTGCTACACCGCATAAGAAGGCAAATGTAGCAGCGTAACCATGTGTTAAGGCATCATAGTTTTGCCATTGATCCCAATTGTATCTATGATGAGCTGCAATGTGTTTACGTTTTAATAAATGTAAGTTTGTAGCTCTTCTTGAATTAATATTAGTTTCTTCTTGTTCATTTTGTTCGTCCTCCTGTTGGTTGATTGGAAATTCCTTTGTATACATATGTAAGAAGAATTTCCTAAAGATTAGATTCTCTTCAAATAATAAAATGAAATACATACTAATCCAATAACCAATCATTGGTAAGAAATTTCCCAGAATGGTACTAAAATGATTACGTCCAACCAAGGCACAGACCAAATAAATTATAGTACAAACAATAGACCAAAACCAACGTGGAATTTTACTACAAAAGACACTTGATAATTGAATTGAAAATGCAGCAGAATAAGTATTGATAATATTATTTGAAATTAAACTTAAAATCAAAATCACCACACAAAACTTACCAAATCCGTTCCATCTTGAAAATCCGGACCATAAAAGACCACCCATACCATGTGTATTATATTCATCATTCCATGGTTGGTATGTCACAGCTACAGCAGATAATAATAGACCAAGAATACCAACAAATAAAGTTGGTATTAAAGTACCAAATAATGTTAAAAGAAAGACTTTATATTGAGAGGTATCTTCTGGAAATAAAATATAATAATCTGCGGTAATAGACCCCCATGTAGAAGTAATACTATAACATAATGAGAAAAAACTCAACCAATTACCTTTAAGTGTATCCTTTGATAGTGTTGAATTATCTATGGCATGAATCAAATCATATTTATCACTTGATGAAATGTATAACAAAAGAAATGTAGTTAATACAGGTACAGCAAAATATGTTTCAACTTTTAATACTTGTTGTATACCAAATACAGCAACAAAGAATGAACAAAATGTAACTATAAGGATACCAACCCATACTGGGACTTTATCATTAGATATTGCTGCTAACATTTCACCACCAACGACAGAATTTACAACAGACCAACCAAGGACACCAATAATAGCCGCTAAAGCAACAAGTTTAACAAACCACCAACCAAACAAATAACGGGCAGTAACCATTTGTCTACAACCAGATTGAGGACCCATTGTGGAACAATATGCCGCAACGACACATCCAATGGCCATACCAATAAGACCTGATACCATTGATTGATTAAATGTCAATTCAAATAATAATGGGCCTAATAAAAATGATGACATTGATGATAACCCACCAGTGGCACTTAACCATAAACCGGCCACATGTAAAAATAATTTTGATGAACCACGTTCATATGGAGGAATTCTATCAATACCTGTACTCTCCACACCAAGGTTATCAAGTCGTTTAGATAAATATGCAAGTTTACCAAATATTCCTGAATGGAATTTATTTTTTGATTGTTCCTGTTTTTGTTCTTGTTCTTGTGCAAGTGAGTCTGGTATAGTTGCAGGGGTTATTTCCCTATGACTCTCTAAATCGTAAAAGATTGTTTGTTTTTCGTTTGTATACTCAACATGTGAGTCCTTTTCGTAATTCTCTTTCGGTATCATGTTTTCGAAAAGATGAGTATTTGTGCTCTAGAGATTAAGTTTTCTTTTAGTAATGCTTTATCATATATCTATATCAGATATCACAAACTTAAAGAACATTACTTTTGGTTTTTATAGACTTATATATATATAAATATATGTTGAGAGGGTGCTCTACATGGCAGACTTTCTGTATATCTCTCTATCAAAATGTATGAGTAATCTCTATTAAAAAAAAATATTCAGTTGCGATGCTGAACAAAGATTGATATAAAATATTGCCGTACTACGCAAACTGCGCAGAACGATCCACAAATTGAAAACCAAAAAAGAAAGCATTTCGGGTGTTGCGAGGAAAAGAAATAAAGGAAATATGATGAGTGCCGTATGATCCTTTTGCTGACACACCTGGGTAGAGCATGCAGAGCAGAGTCACTTGAACAAGCCTGAGTTTTACAAAGGAGAGAGAAGGAGTCAGTACATAGCATAGGTGTGGCTCCAAAGCTATGCTATTGTGTTGATCGTTTATATAACACGGCATAATTCTGCATCGCTGTTGTTAGGCTCACTTTTAAAACGATCACTAGTTGTTCTAACAATATTCATTAAAGCGAGTTCGCAACTTTGAGAGAATAACTCTGAAGTAGCACTACCAACATGAGGTGTAATTGTAGTTTGTAAGATATCCTCTCTTAGAATGTTATCGACTTTAGGTTCATCATGAAAGACATCTGTACCAAAATGTCTAATTTGTTCATTGTTTATAGCTTCATTGATAGCATCCATATCAATAATATCGCCTCTACCAATATTTACTAATACAAGTTGTTTATTACATTTTTGTAAAAATTGTGAGTTTATTAAATGATAGGTTTGTGGAGTAGCAGGTAAAGCGATCACAATAGCATTGAATTGATTTAATTCAGAATCAACGTCCTGGGATAATAAAGTTTCAATATTATGAAATTTCCAATTAAATCCATCTTGATCCTTGTCCTTTGACTCATGTCTTGCTGTGTAATGTACTTCCATTCCTAACCCTATTTGTAATTTTATAGCAATTTGTTTACCAATGGATCCTAATCCAAATAGGAGGCATTTTTTACCCTTTGGAGACGAAGCTAGCATTTTATTAGTTAATTCATGTCCAAATGCAAATTTGTTAGCTTCAGATGAATTGGCCATTATAGATCTTGTATTTACAGTATGACCATTTTTACGCAATAATGATTGTTGATAACTAAATTTTCTAAATCCTTCAAGGACATGCCAAAGAGCGCAATCAGCAACATCATTACCAACTTGATCAATTTGAAATTGAGTCACTAGAGAATCTTGTTCTGTATCTTGGTAATTATAAAGTGCGATATTATGCTCTTTTAAACAATTAAGATCGTAACCATTATAACCACGAGAACATAGTGCAATACATTTTAAAGTATCAGATGGGAATAAAGGATCATTTATTAACTCAGAGGTAAGACCTCCTATCATTGGAAATGCTCCAAATCCACCATAAATTGCAACAATATTAGCATTCTTATCCTTTAACGATTTCAAACATTCAAGTAATTGATCTCTTGATGTAATCTCTTGAATGATAAAGTCATATTCTGATATAATTTCAGGTTGCTTCAAAAGTGGTGAATCCACATTTGGTGTTTGCATGCATAGGATAGTTTTCTTCATATTGTTGAATTGCTTCTATTTTATTTTTGGTTTATTTCTCATCAGTACTGCAAGAAGATAATTAGAAAGGGTTTATTGTTATATTATATTAGTCGAGCTTATCACTAACGGTTTTTTTATATTTATTTCATTTCTTGAGCTTTTTGGGAAAGATCTGTTTTTTTTTGAGAGAGAGAGAGAGAAACGGAACAGCAGGAGCGGCGTATTATTTAATCTGTTTTTTTTAGTCATAATTGTTTAAACTCAAGCGGAATTTCAAGCTCCTGTCTTAACGCATACTGATCTATATTAAACCTACTACAAAGATAATCGGCTAAAATTTCAATCCCATCAGTTAAAGATTCCAATTCCTGACGCATAGCAGTTACCCTTTGTGTCTCTGATTGAATTCTTTCCGCACTCCAACATAAATTATGCCTCTCTAATAAACAAATTTCCTTCGATAAAGTTATTTTTTGTTTTTGTAATTGAGTACGCCTTTCCAATAAATTATCTCTTCCTTTAAAATTAATTCTTTGTTCAGATTCATTTAATAACTCCCTTTTCATATCTTCAATATGAGCATTGCTCCGTATCATTTTAGACTCTACTGCCAGGCATTGTTTTATAATCTGTCGTTGTGTCTCTTGTGGATACATGTAATACACATTGATAATTCCACATTTACAAGTATCCAATAATAATGGATATTCACACATGACACCATCTAGCATTTCTTTCATCTGTTGAGAAGGTGCTTTGACGGGACATTTTTTCTCAAATTCTTTCTGAGTAAATATATTTTCTTGAGTAAACGTTTGTAAATATTCTACCAGTTGTTGTTTTTTCTTATCTGATGCTTGTGGAGCCATTTCCTTAGTTATCTATATATTAGCCGCCGACACTTCACTAGGCAAAAAAATATTTAAAATTAAAAAAGTTCGTACAGCTTTAACTGAATAAAACTTGGATCTATACTCCCACTTTTCGAGGCTTTGCTAAAATAAACCCCAAGTGGATACTTCAGCTATTCTTTAATATCTTGTAACTCAGTACTTATTATTCAATTAATTAGTATTAAACGAGTGTCTATGTTGCTACTATATATATATTGAGGGTACATTTTCCTCTTTAACTTTCCCGGCCCGTTCATTTATTGCCTCGCCAAGTGTATCTCTTTCTCCCCTTTTCAACAAGGTGGATGAAAAATTAACAGCAAGAACAACAAGAACAATTATTTGGTGAAATAAACTAATTATCACAAATAGGAGCGAAAGGCATATTGTATTTGTCTCTCTTTATATATTGATTGAATTGTTTCAAGATACAAATAGTCTCTGTTACTATTCAGTTTAGACATACATATAGATATATTGCACTAGATAAAATAAAATAAAATGAAATATATGCCTACAGGTAGATTTAGTAGGGCAAGGACCCATGCACAATCCAGAGATAATCATCGTCATCATAATGATAATGGTTATGGTGATGATTCTGATAGCTACAATGATCGTTATGATGACCGTCGTTCCGAAGATAATATGAGACCTCATAGCAGGTCTCGTAGTAACTATGGTGGTAGTAGTAGTGGAAGTAGTAGTGGTAGACGTTTTGATGAATCGAACGTCCAAGAGGCTTTGAAGGATATGATAAATGCTCCTGAGAATAGAAATAGATGCGGTGAATGTCATGCTACGTTTCCAACTTGGTGTTCTACTAACCTTGGTGTATTTTTATGTGGTAGATGTGCATCAGTACATCGAAAATTATTAACTAATAGATCAGATGAAGTATATTCAAATTTGAAATCATTATCTCTTGATAGATGGACTCGTAATGATCTAGATGAAGTAAGAAACATGGGCGGCAATAAAGGAAATTTACAATTTTGGAATCCAAGGGATCAACCGTTCCCATTTGATGGTGATGATGACAAGAGTCAAGTTGAAATGTTTATTAGAGATAAATATATCCTAGGAAAATTTAAAGACCAACCTGTAAGACCTGAAGATTTTGGTAATAACAATAATAATAGTCGTTCAAGTAGTAATAACGAATATAATAGACGGGACAACGAAAGAGCTTACACAGGTGGAAGAAGTGAAAATAGTAATACCAGTAACCGTCTTTACTCTAGAGAGAGCGTGAGTCGTGAAGAACCTGTACGTTCAACTACAGTTCAAGTTGAAAAAAATCCAGAATTACCAAGAAGACGTCCTACTGTTGTTGGTGGTAGGCCAGCTGTATTTGATGGTAGTGCAGATTTAACCGTCGCTTCACCTGCCACTAACACTGTTCAAGCTACGGGTTCTGTACAACAGTATTACGATCCAGCTACGGGGATCATTTACGTCGACCAACAACAGTTGGCATTACAACAGCAACAAGCACTTCTATTACAACAGCAACAACAACAAATGGTATTGCAACAGCAGCAGCAACTAGCACAGCAGCAACAGCAACAGCAACAGCAACAACAGCAGATGGTTGATATGCAAAATCAAGCTCAAAAGAATGCCATTATGGGTCTATATCAACGACCAGACCTATACAGTTCCCCAGTTGAGATTAGTAATACTCATCCACTGTACAACCAACTGACCCAGCAGCAACAGCAGCAGCAACAGCAGTTCCAACAGCAACAACAACAGCTACAGTACCCACCAGGTCAACAACCGTTCATGTGAGATACCAATATCACCGTTAGAAGGTAAAAAGAGTCATCCATCACCCCCTCTCACTCTTACTGTGGGTGAATGTTCCATTTCCGTCCCATTGTGGCAGAATGTATCTTTTCCTGCGGCGTCTTCTTCGTGAACATCACGGGCCCTTATTTTTTGGCATTTAAAATCAAAAAAAAAATCAAAAATTATTAATAAGTCAATAAGTGTGTGAAGGTACCCATGCGATATACAAAACAATACAATAATGTATACATACATATATATATATATACATAACGTTAATTTTATAAATGTATAAAAAGACAATAGAAAAGGGATGAGTTTGAAGGGATAAATAGATAGTTTTTGTATTTTTGAAAGCTATCGTTATCATTTATACTAAAAGAGACAAACTTTTTAAACTATAATACATTAGCTCACCCTCTACTAAAAAATATAGAAATTATTTTTTAGGGTGTGTTAAAAATACGAATACATACAGAAGAAATTTAAGATATAAACACAAATTCTTTACATAACTGATTAGTGATTATCATATATTCCATTTTACTTTTTTATTTCTTTATCACAACTATTATTAAAACTATTTTTGCATTAATATATCTAAACATACATACACAAACAAAATAAGCGATGAGTGGACTCGAGGCAAGAAATAAAACAGTAGCTTCTGTTATTGCAAATGGAACTTATACAGTAGAAAAGGAGATAGGTAAAGGTTCATTTGCAATAGTATATCGTGGTCATTTGACTAAAAATCCAAGTGAACATGTTGCTGTTAAAGCAGTTAGCAGATCTAAATTAAAGAATAAAAAATTATTAGAAAATTTAGAGATAGAGATAGCTATATTAAAGAAAATTAAACATAATCATATAGTAAGTCTCATAGATTGTGAACGAACACAAAATGATTTTTATTTGATAATGGAATATTGTGCATTAGGAGATTTAACATTTCTAATTAAAAAACGTAGGGAACTTATGCAAAATCATCCTTTATTACAAGAAATATTTGAAAGATACCCACCACCTTCTGAGACACATAATGGTTTACATCAAGCATTCATATTAAATTATCTACAACAGTTAACATCAGCGCTAAAATTCTTAAGGAGTAAGAATTTGGTTCATAGAGATATTAAACCGCAAAATTTATTATTATCGACACCCATGATAAATTATACGGACTCTCAAACTTTTCATGAATTAGGTTATGTTGGTGTATATAATTTACCAATTTTAAAGATAGCAGATTTTGGATTTGCTAGATTTTTACCAAATAGTTCATTAGCCGAAACATTATGTGGTTCACCATTATATATGGCTCCAGAAATTTTAAATTACCAAAAATATAATGCAAAGGCAGATTTATGGTCAGTAGGAACTGTTGTATATGAAATGTGTTGTGGTAATCCACCGTTTAAAGCATCAAATCATTTAGAACTCTTTAAAAAAATTAAGAGAGCTAATAACCATATATCGTTTCCAGCATATTTTGATGAATTTAATAATAATGATGATAATAATAGTAGTAGCAGTAGTAGCAGTAGTAGCATGATTGATGATATACATTCTATATCAAAGGAAGAAAAAGATTTTCATGAAATTAATGACGATTTGAGAGATTTAATTTGTTCATTATTAACTTTTGATCCAAAGGATAGACTTGGTTTTGATGAATTTTTTAATAACAAATTAGTAAATATGGATTTATCAAGATATGAAATTGATAGTACAAATGTTATTGAAACTAAATCAAAGGATATACAAGAGAGCAATATGTTCATATCAGAATTTTTATCACCTAAATCAAGTTTACCAAATAAAACAGTATCAAAAACTATATTGAATAAAGATATTGATACTGTAGGTGATCCATCGTCAAGATTATTGACCCCTAAGAGGAAAATTTTACCATTACAAAAAATCAATTCAAATATTACTAATAGAGGTATTAATAATAGTGATTTAATCCTGGAGAAAGAATATGTTGTAGTTGAAAAGAAAAGTGTGGAAGTTAATGAATTAGCAGATGAATTTGCTAAAAATACAAATATTAATGTTCAAGAACAACAACAACCAATGGTAAGAAATGTAAAGGATCAAAATAATGATTGTGATAAACTATCATTTACAAATCAAACATCTTCACTAATGGTAACAGAGAGAGATACAAATAGAACTCTATCCAATAATAGTAATAGTAGTAGAAGAGCATCCTTAATTGAAAGAAGATTATCAATTAATTCTTTAAATCCAACAAATGCATTATCAAGAGCTCTTGGTATTGCATCCCTCAAATTATTTGGTGGAACTTCTCCAACTCAACAACAACATTTAATTCAACAACATAGAGGTGGAACATCTTCTTTCTCGTCACCTTCGATCTTCAGTACACAAATGTTTAATGATCTTACTGAAAAAATTATCTTACGAATTAATAAAGATGAAACCTCACAATTAACTAACAATGGTGGGGTGATAATGGATAAAAGTGTAATTCAAAAATTGAATATCTCAGAAATTGTTCATTCCTTAGAAATTTTGTCTGCTAAAGCATTTGTTATTTATTCTTATGCTGAAGTGAAATATACTCAAATTATTCCAATAATGTCAGGGCATCATGATTCCAGTCAATCTGCTTTACCAATTAAAAGATTAAGTACAGGTAGTTGTGCAATCGATGATGAAGAAGAAGATACCAATGTATCTGATTTACAAAAAGATCAACCAACTAAGATTGATGATATAGATTTAATTTTATACAAGGAAGCAATTACGCTATATTTGAAGACCCTCGAGATTTTAAGTAGATCAATGAAAATTACTTCATTATGGTGGTTTAAGCAAGTTGAAATGCATTCCAGTACACAGGGACCTCCATCATCATTAAAATTAAACCTATTAGTTCAATGGATTCGTGAAAAGTTTAATGAATGTTTAACAAAAGCAGAGTATATTAGAACTAAGCTTGTTGAAAATAATCTAAATGATCACACTGAAGGTATATTCTTGGAAAAATTGTTATATGATCGTGCATTAGAAATTTCCAAGAATGCTGCAAAGATGGAACTTAATGGTCAAAATTTGACATCATGTGAACTTTCTTATGCTACATCTCTTTGGATGTTAGAGGTAATAAGAGATAGCACTAAGGGTGTGGCCGATGATGATGATGGTGACGATGAGATTAAAGATATTGCTGAATCCTCCTTGGGTGATGATGATAAAGAAGTTATCAATAAATATATCCAAAGTATTTCCGGAAGGTTGAAAGCATTAAGATTAAAATTGAATGTTTTGAATGGCATTCCTGTTGACAAGCATCTGATCTAGTAAGTATAACTTGATGGATACTATTCATTATTAAATTCCTTTTTTTCATTTGCCATTTTAAGATTATAGCTCTGATTTTTTTTAAATATTTTCCTTATACATGTTTGTATTTTAAATAATTATCACAATTATAAAATCAAATAATTTAATAATATCCATACAAAAGCTTATAAATTACGACATAAAAGAAACATAGGAATTAGTATGATAGTGGTACAATGAAAATTTAATGATATCATAAACTTTAATTAACCCAAATTTTAGTGTTAGATATATAAGTTCAAGTGTTGATTTTCGTCATTCGTGTTTCTAATATTACAAAGTAGAAAGTATTTAAATTTATTTTAAATTTACATAATGCAAATTTTGTTATTATTTAGTGCAATATTTTTTTTCTTTCATTTAGTCATTAATTTGAAGTTCTTCCACGACGACCTCTACGTGCCTTACTGGGACTAATTTCAAAGAATAATTCATCGTCAGATTCATGGACATCGTCAACTTTCTCAGGTGTTAAGTCATAATTTCCTCTTGGTTGAATTAATATGTTGTTTAGACTTACATTTTCCGAAGTCATTACCAGTTCTGAATTTTCCTGAGATAAAGATGATTGTAAAGATGAAAATGATGACATAGAGGAAGATATCAAATTATTATTTGAAATTTTATTGTTGTCACTAGTGTTAGTAGTAGTTGTATTAAAAAAATCACCTCTTTTAATGTTTTGTTCTTGTTCTAGAGAATCGTTAGATTTTTTAATAGAATGTTGATCATTAATTGATAAAACATTAGGATCATTATTATCAAGATCACCAATCAAGGGAATATTCATGGCACTTGGTATTTCACTTGGTGTTCCACTTATAAATTCAGGAGTCCAGCTCCTTATCCCATTGTATTGATTTGTATAATTTGATTTTGTACTAGTGAAATGTACAATAGATGACGTTGAAGATGCTGAACGTTTACTGCCGGTATCAACATTCTCCAATGGTGTCATCATTAAATTAGATGACATTGAATGTTTTAAATTCGGTCTCTTTAACGTATATGAACCATTGTCCAGTTGCTGTGGTTGTTGTTGTGGTTGATTCGTAAAATACGATTCTGTGTAGAAACTATCTAAGGATGAAAACGATGAACACATAGGTAAATCCACGGCTCTATTTTTAAATATCGGATTTTCATCATTATAATTATTGTTATTGTTATTGTTATTATCGTTATCTTTTTCTTCTTCTTCTGAGAAATCTTCTGAGATTGACAAATCCAAATCATAATTCATTAGAGCTTCCTGTGTAACCAATTCTGATTTATATCTTTCAGGTAATACAAATGGATCATTTTGCAAATCATTAATAGATGGTCTCTCCAATGGGTTTTTTTTCAATAATTTTAAAAATAATGATTTAATCATTTTATATTCTTCATCATTTGGAATCTTTTCATTATCCGATTGAATTAATTTAATTGAATCAATTGTTGGATAATTTGGATCATTATTAATAATCATTTCAAATAAATCTAATTCGAATTTTGTATAAAATGGTATTTTACCAAAAATTACGCAAAATAAAGTTATTCCAAGTGCCCAAATATCTGATTTAAATGCAATATTTAAAAATGAATCATTATCATTCATATCATCTTTTGAAATATTAAAAATTGACCAAGTTTCATTACCTAAACAAATCTCGGGTGAATAAAATACTGGAGTACCAACAGTTTTATTAAAGAAATTCAAGTAATTGTTTTCAGATAATGAAATTATTTTTGATATACCAAAATCTGAAATTTTAACAGTACCATATCTATCAATTAATAAATTTGATGGTTTAATATCTCGATGGATAATATTTAAATCATGTAAAAATTTTAAACCTTTAATAATATCTGTAAACATTTCTCTACATCTTAATATTGTGAATTGTGATGGACCAATTGATTTAATAGCATGAATATCATTTGAATGCCATTTTATTTCACCAATTGAACAATATTCTAAAACCAAATAAATTTTTTTTGATTTAATGTCATTAATAATTTCAAATAGTTTAATAATATTATTATTTTTATTATTAATTAGTTTAAAGATTTTAATTTCATTATTAATTATTAAATTATTGTTTTCAAAACTTTTATTTAAAATTTTAACTGCCACCAATTTATTACATGAATATACAAAACCTTTTTTAACTTTACTAAAATATCCTGTACCTAATTCATTTATGATTTCACAATTATTTAAATTATGTAACCTTGATATTGGATTATATGATATAAATACTCTATCTGTTTCTATGATTGTACTATCATCATTCATATTATTGTTATTATTATTCCCGGTAGTAGTTGTATTTGAAATATCTGAAGTCATACCATTTAATTTAAAATCATAAGTTTATTCAATCATATATTATTATTGTTCATTAAAATATAAAGATATCAACATTTAGATATATGAATATATATGTTCCTTTTTGAATGTAGTTTAAAAGAAATGTTCCACCATTTTTTTTTCACTAAAGTAGAAAGGTGCTATCTTAATATATTATAAAATATGTCAAACTATTTACTATTTTACTATTACTCATTTTCAGATTTCACTTTGTCCTTTCAAATTATATAATATCAGGGGGGGCATGAATAAGCGGCAGTTAAAAAACATATGAATTGAAGAGTGGGGGTGGGGTGGAGAAAAGACAGTATGCAGTATCTGTATATGAACAAGCAAGCAAACAAGCAAACAAACAAAACGACGCACAAGGAATTACATTTCCGCTCTCCTACTGGTTTTCTCTCTCTTAAAGATGACGTACAGATAAACAAGAAGAAAAAATGAAAGTGGAATTTAAATAGTCCCCCGCATCATGTGATTCTCATGTGACCTTTTCATTTTCCGGGTAAAAAATAATACAAGAAATTTCGGAAAAACTTTCCGTCATTTTTTCTTCTTCTTCTCCGGTGACGGATGTCCAGATCTATGACAAATGCTGAAAACCACGGTTACCATAACAATAAGAAAAAAGAATTAAAAAAAAAAGACGGAAAGTTTCCCCGAGCTTAATCATTTGTACGTAAATATCCTCGGAGGTCAGTATTAAAATATCTCGGGCTAATGTTAAATGAACTAGGGTTTTGATATATTTCTACGCCCCCCAAAAAGAAAATTAAAATATTTCAAGGGCAACATAGTTTTCTCCTCTGGTAATCTAAAAAATATCTACACGATTTCTAAAAATGGAAACAATTTTGATGATGAGAACCTTTACACGTATAAATTGTTGTAAGATCAAATGAAAAAACAGAGACCTTATTTCATTACTTTTCGTATTTTCTCCTTTTAAGAAATCCAATTAATATATATATATATCCATATGTTCTCCGAGAAACGGTACTTCCCCTTAAGGATCCATCATTCATTTATTCATTTATTCATTTAAATATATCTCGTTTCCCATATAAAGTAGTAGTTGCCCCCGTTTCGTCTCGTTTCGTTTCGTTTCGTTTCGTTCACAAAGAAAATTTCGCACAGAAATTTAATTCTGTTTTTTTTTCGTGGCTTGTTTTTTTCTCTCTCTGTTTGAATGTAGTTTTAAGTAGGTGGTGAATGGGTTGATTTATATATTGATATAGTATTAACCTCAAGTCTAAAGGAAAACGTATTATATCATAAGGATATTCTATATATCCATCTATATATATTGGCAGCCACTAATATTACTACTGTTATATGATAATATTGTATGGATCAATATAAGTTTGTTTTGTAAGAAATAGATTGGAAAGACACCTATTAGTTTATATATCTCTACTTGTCTCAAGGTCTAGAACGTATCATTTATTAAATGTATCAATGATAGTCTCTTGTAATATAATAATATACTTGTTCTGTATGTTTCTTATCTTGTTATTACTACGTACTACATTTACGTTTACCCTGTAGCTCTCTATATTCTCTCGGTATCAAAATGTATCATCATCTAACTTCTGCAATTATACAACTCCTCCTCAACGTAGAGAGTGAGGTCGTTTTTACCGTTGTACCACCAATACAACTTTTTTTTTTCAGTTTTTTTTCCACTCTTTCTTCATGCATTCTCTCTTCTTCCTCTATTATCAATATTAGGTCTATCTGTTTCTATGTAGTTTATAATATATTATGTATATATATAATTATTTTTTTCTGCATTTCATTTATTGCTCTTCGAGTATTTATTAGTAGGAGGAGGCATATATATACATATGTGTGTATTTATATATTTTACGTATTACCGTACGTACTAGTTTTATTCTTAATAGGTTTTTAGTATACGCCCTTTTTTTGCTGTTTCTCTTCTCAGTTAAACTGTTACTGTGCAATAAAATATCTATTATTTATGCCGTTGTTGTTGAGTTTGTGAAAGGTGCTTTTGGGCTTTTGGGCTTTGGGTGTTCGGGCATATGCTTATATTACACAGTAGTAGTAGTAGTAGTAGACAGAGAGAATATTGAAATGTATATATATATATATTTCTGAAAGCATTAATTAAGTCATTTTTCTTAACCTCTAATAAATATAATAATAACCCTCTATTAAAATATTTACTATGGGCAGTACAAATTATCTTTTGCTGTAGTTTGTTAGTTGTTCCTTTTTTTTGCTTTTTGGGCTTTTTTTTGATTTCTTAATAATTTAGATTGGGATGCCACCGTTTAAATAATTAATAAAGTGTATAAATCATTCTTATAAAATAGGTAGGATTCATTTATATATAAGTTTATTAATTAATTAAATTATTACTCGTTGTAATATTTATTTATTTTTACTTATTTGATCTATATAGATATTTTTATTTTGTAATTTATATTTGATTAATATAGCTCTACTATAAAAATTTATAATTGATCAATCTAAGTTGAAGATCATAAAATTATCAAGTGTTGTTGTTTGTGTTCTGTTTTAATTTTTTAATCTTTGTGTTTTTTTGATAGATAGATAGATAGATAGATATAAAAGAATATTTTCACTGATCAACTACTTTGCTTCTTTCCAAGATCTTTTTTTTTTCGTTTTAATTTTCAATATTGATTTTAATTTTAGATTAAATTAAATTTTATTAATATCATTTAAAAGGTTTAATATATTACTATCATTTTTTTCTCGTTTGTCTTTTCTTTTTCTTTTTGCCTGTTCTCCTATCCAATAATATTAAAAATACTCTCTTAGAAAAAAAAATACAGATATATATATATATCTATACCTATACACACTCTCCCAACTATAAATCAATCGTTTTGAAAAATTGAGATCAAAAAAATAGAATATTGATACTAAATTGAGGTAGCAGTTATAACAATGTCGTATAATCATCAACCTCAATTATCTGTTAATTCAGTTCAATCAGTTATTGAACCCGTAACACCTCCACCAATTGGACAGATGAATAATAAGAAAAATCATCAAAAGACTCAATCTTTAGATCTTTCTACATTTAATCACTTTATTGCATCTTCTTCTTCTTCTTCTTCTTCTTCTTCTGGTTCCTCAAATAATGTTTTGAATTCTCATTCTCCAATGTTATCAAATAATAATAATAATAATTTAATATTTTCTCCTAAAATTGGTAATGATTCTAGAGATGGTAATAAAAATTTACCATTAATTGCTGAATTTGATAATTACAATAATAATAAATATCATTCTTCGTCAAATCAGAGAGGTAATACTACTGCCACTAATACTACTGGTGGTGGTAGACATAATAATGGACAAAATAAAAAATCAAAGGCAAGTGGGAAATATCATCATAATAATAGTAAGCATAACCATAATAATAATGGGAATTCTAAAAATAAATATAATGGTAATGGTAATGGTAATGGTAATGGTAATTCTTCATCGTCTTTATTGTCTTCTTCGAATTCTGTAACTCCTTTATCAATCGATGATATTAATTCAACATCTTTAGAAGATTTGGATTATGTAAAATTGGCAACTGATCAATTTGGTTGTAGATTTCTTCAAAAAAAATTAGAATCAAATTCATCGAACGAATCAGATCTTGTAAGAGATTTGATGTTCGATCAAATTAAACCTTATTTTATTAATTTAATTTTAGATCCATTTGGTAATTATTTAATCCAAAAACTTTGTGAATATTTAACAATTGAACAAAGAACTACTTTGATTAATTCAATTTATCCGTATGTCTTTAAGATCTCTATTAATCAATATGGTACAAGATCTTTACAAAAAATTATTGATACAGTAGATAATGAATCTCAAATTGATTTAATCGTTAAAGGGTTTTCAACAAGTTATACATCAATAGATCAAATAGTTGTATTAATTAATGATTTAAATGGGAATCATGTAATTCAAAAATGTATCTTTAAATTTCCTTCAACAAAATTCGATTTCATTATTAATGCTATTATCGAAAAGAATAATATAATTACAATTTCTACACATAAACATGGTTGTTGTGTCTTACAAAAATTGCTAAGTGTTTGTACTTTACAACAAATTTATACAATCTCCATTAATATCATTCAATTCTTGCCAGGTTTAATTAATGATCAATTTGGAAATTATATTATTCAATTTCTATTAGACATTAGAGATTTAGATTTTTATTTTTTGGTAGAAACATTCAATAAATTATCTGGTGATTTATGTCAATTATCATGTTTGAAATTCTCTTCTAATGTAATTGAAAAATTCATTAAGAAATTATTTGGTGCTGTTATTGGTGCTGTTAAAGGTGAAGCTCATCCTAATATGACAGATGAAGTCATGAATAATATAATGAACATTTTATTGACCATCATTGATATTTTTACAATGAAATTAAATATCCTTATTAGAGATAATTTCGGTAATTATGCATTACAAACTTTATTAGACTCCAAGAATTATTCAATTATGTTAGAATACAACGGTAATGATTATATCTTGAAAAATAATCCAAAATTTTTGAATTTCTCTCATGATTTCACTACTAAAGTTGACATTTTAATTCGTCTAACAAAGGACTTATTACCAAGTATTAAGACTACATCTTATGCAAAGAAGATCAAATTAAAAGTTAAAGGTTACGCAGAATTGTGTAATATTGATTTTAGTGAACCAGCGCAAGCTGTTTCGAATCTTTCTGGCTCCAAAGATAACAACAACAATACATTAGTCACTACTTCTCAAAATTCATCCCTTCTAATTCCTGATAATCAAAGAAAACAACATCAACGCCATGTATCTTTACCTGCAAATGCATACCATAGAAGAAATAGTAGTAACGTATTGTCTGTTAATTCTGCTTTTGCACCTTTATCTTCACAGCAACAGCAACCGCTAAGTTCTATCCAAACATCGATTACTAATATATTTAATTCTCAAAATTCGTCACCATTGAGTATTAACCAACCTCAACAAATGGAATATCTAAGTGAGCAACCATTTATGCCATTCGCCGCTAACACAATCATGGCTAACAGCGGATTAACTGTACCAAATGATCTAAATTATGATGAAGATTTCAACTTGGCCAAACCATTAGCTAACCTGACTTTAAATTCAGGGGTAACTTCTTCACAACCACTATTTTTCATGAATGAACTAGGTCCCACATCTAATAGTAACAGAAATGTTAGCACAAGTAGTAGTTCAAGTAATCTCCTACAAAATAATAGTTACAGTTCTACTAGTAGCGCCACTGTGAACAGTTCAAACCCAAATAACAATTTTATGACCGCCCCAACATTAATGAACACATTGAGCATTGCATACAACCCAAATGATAGAAACAACTCCAGTAACTTTAATGACTTCAAACATATGGCCTTACAACCTCAACAAAGAATTATCAGCAATCCGTTTCCTAATCAATCATTCCAAACGATGAATACAAATCAGGGAACTACAAGTAATGCGACTTCTCAAATATATAATAGCAACACAAATAATGGTACTTTACTTGGTGGAATCAATAACATTCCGAATATAAATGGAACTGATAACTTCAATGATTCGTTCGGCTATTATTGATACAAGAAAACTGTCTTAAAATATTGATGTACATTATTTTACCCTATTATTATCACTCATCTTCTCCTGTAAAAAGATTAAAAGAGAAGAAGTTAAAAAAATCTAAAAAATCTAAAAATCAAAGAAAAAAAAATTAAGCCTCCTATATTTATATTATTATTATTATTAATTTTTGATCTAGACTGTGTCTAAACTCTGGGACTCGATAGAACTTTATTTGATATCTGCTTGTTAATTTTCTTTCATCTAACAAATCTAACCTCCGCCAAAAAAAACATACCTTCATTGATACCCTTCATTCACATATTGTATTTATACCCGTTTCTTCATTATATTCATATTAAAACCATTCATTCATTCATATACTTATTTGCATACACGTTTTATTGATATATCTATTCTATTCATATATGTTTTTTTTTTTTCATTTCCTTTCATTGTTATTCCAACTCATTCATTCATTTATTCATTCATTCATTCATATATTTCTCTAGATTTTTTATTAACAACATCTTATAAATTTCATTTTTATTACACATCCTATTGTACTCTACCATAAATTTACATATTTACTGTCGGCTATCCAAGAAACTGGTAGTGATATTATTTACTCTCCTGTTTCTGTTTGATTATACGATTTCTTATATTCAGACACCTACATATATCTATATATAATTATATTTATATAGTTAAAGATAGTATCCTAAATTCGACCATTTTTTCGTATTATTGCTTAAAGGATTTGAATAATCATTTAGAATATGTAGGCACTTAATAGTTTATTTGTTGGTAAAGAAGAATCAGGATTGTTCTTGGCTGAAGATTGAAACGACATCAATATTATTAATGAGCCTCCATCTCTAGAGGAACTTTTGCTATCAATTTTTGAAGTTTGATCAGTACTCGTAAATGTAGATCTTTTGAAGTAATTTGATGCGTGATTCTCACAGGTTGATACGTTGTTAGAAAACGAAACATTGGAGAGTCTGAACCCCGTCAACCAATTGGGAGAACAGTTTTTCAAGAAGTCAAATGAAGAGGCATAAGGGTAGCAAGTATAGTTTCCATTCTGCTCGTAACTTCTGTGTCTCAAGGAGAATATTTCAAAATCATTCTGTTTACCGTAACAAATATATTGTTCATCATCTGAAATGGATAATAATTCCGTCTCTTTAGTTGCATTTTTAAATTTAGTTACCAGAATTGTAGGTGTGGCGGTCGTGTATTCGTCGTTTGAATCCATTTCTAGTAAATCAATGATAAAGAGATATTGGGATTGGACATCTTGAGTAAAACCGGATACTAATATTCGATAACCAGAGAGGACGGTAATGGATACGATTGATGAAACTTTACAAATATTTTTATAACACTTCATGATTCGTACTCTAGGTATCTCAACACTTAATTTCTTCGAAAGGAGTAATTTATAAATATAACCATTTCTTGTACCACAAAATACATAACAACATGAATCATTTTCTTCCTGACTACCTAGAGTAGTTATATCCGACTGTGTAGTAAATTTAAGTGTTGTCTGAATATTCGTATCAGTCCAATTGAGTAAAAAAATCTTCCTCTTCACCGCCAATAGGGGACCATAACTAGTTGCTATTGTGTCGTTAATGTTATCAAAGTCTCTCTCGTCTAGCTTTGTAAAACATTTTAAATCTGGATTTCCATTCTCATTGGGATTCCTAGAAGTAAAAATTTTATGAAATAGGTGCTGTGTCGATGGTGAAAGTAAACTGTTGGTAGCAGAAATGGTTCTCTTTTGCTTAATCTTATAATGAATAAATCTGCTATTTTGAGCTCTCTTTATATTTACAATAGTGAATTCCTCAAATCTTGGATTAAAGTCAAAATTATCAATTTCTGTTATGTTGTGTTCAGAGGTTTTGGTATCCCATCGGCCATGATAATTATCCTTTTCGTATTCCAAAATTCGTCCATCTGATAAGATATTCCAGTAGAGGTTACCACCATTGAAAGAAAAAGAATGTAGGAGTTTGTTTTGGTAACTACCTAAGGTAAGATCTATAGGTCTGATTAGCAATTCGTTGAACAAATCAGCACCCCTCTTCTTAAGAGTCATTATATTGTAAATCACAAATAAGTCCCCATCTGTAAAAGGAATGTTTTCAATTCTTGGGCCTTCCACAAACTTACAATATTCACGAAAGCATTCATTCCAATAGTTTATATTTTGATTCTGTAATTGGGAGTCGAGTTTTTGTTTCTTAAACTGGTTCTGCCTCTGCTGAGTTAATGGGAAGTATTTCCCTCTTTCAGTATCATAATAGAACCCTGGTAATTCTCTTGGTGAGTTAGACATTCATTGCAGGGTTATAGTAGCTACCTTATGCAGAATGTAACTCGCGTATAATGTCGTTTGATTTATTTATATAAACTGTATCGTTTATGTTACTTAGGTGCGTTTCATTATGTAGAGACTATTCATTGACGGTTATATCTATTTTAATTTTCAAATTTTACATAGAGCTTGAAATGCTATATATGCAGTAAAAAATAAAAAAAATCGATGAATGCTGATATGGCAGAGACTAGATACTACAGATTATAATTAGTATCTCGATACTTTTTCCATCATTTTATTGTTTGCCATGGTGTAAACTTTGTTCAGTTTTATAGGTACAATAATTATGCTGTAGGATATATTTTAAGAGTTGTTGGGTCCCATTCGAAGTTTGAGTTATTAACTGCCTCATTGAATGCTTCCCTTTTAAATAAGAATTCACGTTCCTGAGGTGGTATTCTATAGTTTACAGAAGAAAGGTACCTTTGCAAAGTTTTTTTATAAATTATTTTCTTGGAAGCAATTTTATCTTCTTCTCTTTCTTGCGTAGTAGGAAAATCTAATCGACCGTAACCAGGAGGGGAGTCTGTTCTCTGTCTCAAATTATCAAATGACATATCAAACGAATCAAGTAGTATGTTTTCTGCAGTGTTATTGTCTATTTGTAACCCTGCTGGCTTTCCAACTTTTTTATAAAATTCTTCTAATCTCTTTTTACCTTGTTTTACAGCTGAGACATCTCTATTCGGTTTGAAATCTTCTAATATCCAAGGTTTCGACGTTAATGGGTTTAAGTTAAAGTCGATTTTTTTCTTTATCCTAACAGGTTTTGTTAGAGGGTTACTTTCTTTTCTATAAGTCAAATAATTGATCTTCGATGGACATGTCCCAGGAAGAGTATACGGATATTCAACCTTAACTTGTTTAGAGTTCGAATCTTTCTTATAACAGTTATGTTGGTCATGTTCAGAATATACATGAACTCTTTTCTTACTAGAAATTGGATCTGTTTCTATAAGTTGGGCGTTCTCATCTATCTTGATTAACGGTATCTCAGTCTTATCAGGATCGCGAAACGAATCTAAAGAATCTTTAAGAGGAGAACTGTAGATTTTATTGTTGCCATCATAGTAATTAGATTGATCTGGTTCTTGCGTATTTGACAAATCTAATTTAGAATCGGTCGGGGCAAATTTAGAGATATCATTTTGGTTGCCTTTGATTTTAGAATGCCTTGAGTTTCGTATACCACCTTGTCGAAAAGTTTTACTCGATTCTAGTTGTGTAAGTATGAGGTCTTCGGTGTCGTCAGATAAATCGGATTCAGAGTTTTCTATATGTTCATTATCATTAACTAAATCAATAGTTCCGGCGACATCTTTCTCGATTGGTTCACCAATTGGTATTTTATTAGAATGAAACTCTTTATGTATTAATGATGTTTCCTTAAGTAGTCTTTCATGCCCTATTTTCGGTTCTATGCTAGATTGTCCCATTGCATTTCGAGAATGGTGTAATCTTTTTCTTAATTGGGTATTTACATCATGTTGGACATCCAACAATTCCTCGACACTTAATGTTAACAACACTTGAAGACCGGACAATAGTACATCTTCTTCATTATCCCTTGGCATTACTAGAGACCTCACCACCAATGCATAGCTCTTTTGAGGAGGGATTTCAATGTTTTTTTTCTTGATTTTTAGTAATAAAATTATAGGTCTTAGCCAATATCTTTGAGTGAAGTATTTTAATACAGTCTGTAAACCCGAAAAGATCATCCTGCTCCGCGAATTCTATAAAGATTTAGAATTTCCGAATTTGACATCGATGAAGATGCAAATGGAAAACAATGAAAAGTGTAACGTACCTTCATAGTGAAGAAATAACTTGTTTTTCAAATATTTATTGAGGTTCATAGATAACCTCTGTATTCGATAACGTATTTATTTTTGAACTTCCCATAGAAATTCAAGATGTCATTACATGATTATTTATCAAAAACGTATGGTTCTTCCTCCAATAAGAAGTCTAAGAATAAAGATAGAAAGCATGCAAAGGAAAATAAAAAGATACGATCCACAAACACAACTATAACGGAATACATACATCAGGATATTAAGGATGTACCGAGTAAATTGGCAGAAGAAAACGATGCAAATTCTGGTAGGAACTTATGGAAAAATCCTTCTACAAACGAAATAGTCGATGAGGTTCAGAGACCCAGCATAAAAACTAACGAATTTCAGGATATTTCATCATCATCTTCAGTGGTAACCACTGCAAAGATGAAAGCAAATTTAGATGAAAGGAATACCATTCATAGAGATGAAAAGGGACATCGTTTAACGGACGAAAAGTTGACTCAAAGACTTGCAGATAATGATTTGAGAGAGACAATTAGAGTGAACAAGTTAAATACTTTAAATAACGGTGAGTTGCAAGAATATATGAGCAAAAATCAATTAACATACGCATCTTTGAATAGTCGAAAAAGACAATCTGATGTTAATGATGACTTTGCAGACCCAGCTTCTGCATTTAAGACTGATGATGAAACAATAAGTTCTAATAATCTATCATTTCTAGGTAGGCGACAATACGATAAGGTATCATCTGAAAACAGATTTGGTATTTTACCTGGTGCTAGATGGGATGGTGTTGATAGATCAACTGGATTTGAGGCAAAGTGGTTTAAGAGAAAAGCTGAAATTGAACAACAAAAAATAGAGAAGTTCACTGTGCAAGAGGATTATTAACTATACAACATATCTTTCGAACATATAGATGGAAAGAAGATTATTTTGTATAAACGAGTGTCGTTCACTATTAAAATATTACATAGATATATAACTCTCATAAATAATACATTGTCGGTGGTTTCACACGAAGTGGGCACCTTGGTTTAGTGAAATAAAAATTCATGAAAAAGTCTGTTGGAATTTTTAGCGTAACCATCAATTGGTAGTTGGTTTTGCTTCTTCCTTAGATTCAGTTTTCCTCTTCAAGATAGTAGGTTTGACCGATTTCTTAGAATCATCATGAACCTTTGGTGAGTCTTTCTTGTTTTGCTTGCTCTTGCTCTTGTTGTTTTCATTTGACTTCACGGTGCTCTTATTCTTGCGGCCATCCTTTGGATTTCCTGAGCCCTTGGATGACTTTTTATCTGGATGTAGTTTAGTTGGATTTCTGTTTTGTTGTTGATGGCCACTTGTGTTTGGAGGAACTCCATTGAAAATCTGCTTACCCATTGGTGGAGCCGGGAAGTTACCATTTGGTGGCATACCCATTGGCATATTCATTGGATTTGGCCCATTCATGCCCATTGGGAATCCCATTGGAACTGGATGAGCACCCATTGGAGGTGCTCCGGGCATTGGGCCTACTGGAGGTGCGTTATCATTAGAAAGGTGGTAAGGTAATCCAGCAGGATCTAGAGTATGAGAAGTTGGATGGCTCATAACTTGTGGAGCAATGGCAGGTGCTGGTGCTGTTGATGGATCGTATTGGTTCAGCACTGCATAGAACACAGAGTTAGCTACCTGGGTATTTGGAAGAGGGGCCGTTTGATCAATCTTTGTTGTTACCTTGGATTTATTCTCTAGAGATTGAAGTTTTTTGGCTTCTACTTCAGTTGCTTCCTCGACAACCTTATTCTCTTCAGATTTAGAAGGTTCTTTCTTTTGAATAACATTCAACAAGTCATGGGCAGCCTTCTTTCTTAAGTTATCGGATTCGATTTCAGCCTTTTGATGTTGAATTTGCTTTCTTCTTAATATTTCTTCTTTGGTCACCTTCGTTTGCTTAGTAGAGGTGGTCGTGTGCTTCTTAGAAGCTCTTGAGTGGTAAATAAATTGTCTGTTAGTGATGTTCAATAAGAATGAAGAATCCAAACCGATACCCCTCTTGGTTCTTAATCTTCCACCAAATGTATTACCAGCAATAATTTCGTGATCAAAGAGAACTTGGATTGAAAGATTTGCTCCTAAAGTAGTGTAACCTACAACGGTACCTCTAGAGAATAGCGGTACTTTACCAGAATCTTGAACATAAATAACACGGTCACCAAGGCTGAACTTTTGAGAACGCAATAATGTTAGGGAATCTCTAGGGTTTAGAACCGCATCACGAGGAACCTTTGCAAGTTGTTTAGTTTCACTTTGTTGTTCAATTGCGGCAACATTGGCAATAATGTAGTTTTCGACTTCGGCAATTGATGCCTTTGTTAAAGAATCACTTTCTAATGAGACAGTAACAAAGTTCTCTGTAACATGTTTCAGCCAAGCCTTAACTTGATCTAAGATCTTTACACTTTCCTTAAATGGCATTTCAGGGTATAACTTTTCGATACTTGGAATATCATTACCAACCTTTTCCATTCTGGCAAAAAAATCAGGGAATCTGATTCTGTATTCTCTCAAAAGGTTCATTGTGATTGTAGAGTATTCCCATCCCTTGGTATTTCTTCTTGCGTAACCAAGCACCTTCTTGTGTTGGGATTCAAATTTAACAGGGATACCAATATCGACACGCTTACCATCAACGTCAGAAATTAAGAATTTTGAAGTAATTCTTGACAAAAACAATCTGTTGATGTTCAACTTCTTGGATACAATGTAGGATGGAATATATTGAACCAACGCGTTATCTTGTTTAACTCTTTCTTTTCCAATCATAGGTTCGGCCTGTAAAAATCTCTTTTTGACAGTGATCTTTAATCTTCTTTCACTTGAATAGTCATCGATAGTCGTTTCACCACCATAGGCGTAATCACCAAGGAATATAACACGAGATCCCATTGGGAATTCGATATTGATTGGTTTTGGTGGTCTTTCAATATATCTTTCATCCTTATTTGTAACAGTTTCCACCATTAATTGTAAAGGAAAGTTTTCTGGAATTTCACCAAAGGTTTTCATATATGCACCTTCTTCGTTTCTCATTAGACCTGTGACTGGAAGAACGTTAATAATAGCACGAATATCATCTAAAATAACAGCAGATTTCTTTTTGAAATTTCTCAACATGGATCTTTTTTGTGATTCAAAGTCTCTTTGTTCATGATTATCACATGGTCTTTCAATGATCTTAAAGTGATGTTTACCATTAGCGTCTTTATTTTCTTTAAATTCCAAAATTTTCTTACCGGTCGATATCGAGAGAAGTTTTGATTCCCTCAGGTATGGCCATCTAGTGTAAATAACTTTGTTCAAGTATCTCTTAGCAAGTTCTTCGATGGTCAAATTATTTTCTTCGTAGATATCTTCAATGTATAGGCACATAGATTGTTGTTTTGATGGTTGTTGAAAGACTAAACTTTCATTGTACTCTAATTTGTTCTTGTAAGGAATAGTTGCTAACGTTGGGAAACCGGCCAATAATTCGGCACCGGACTTGGCGTTTGGAAGTAGTCCATACTTATATTCAATACCATCCATAGAGTAACCTGTATATTCCCTTTCAATACATTGGTTATGTTCGATGTCTCCAAATATACCACTTAGAGGACTCTTGTAAATTTCATCGATTTGTGGGTTGAAGGTGAAGATCAAATCCTTACCATAACCATTTCTCTTTTTTTCCTCAGGAGATAATTTGGCCAAATATGGTGCCATAGCTTCCACTAATCTGTGTTGATCAACAAACGATATTTTAACAACAGCTTCCCAATCTGCAGTTTTTCCATTTTTATCAAGTTCTACTTCAGCTGGATAAAAGTCAAGAATTGGTGACTTAGGATCATACATAAGTGGTCTTAATGCTGGTGGCAATAAGGTCTTGGATCTTTCTGGTAAGACAGCCATTAATTGTTGGAAAGGTGTAAATGGCTCACCTAAATCGAATTTAATTATTTGATCAATACCCTTAGATAAATCAGAAATTCTTGGAGCATAGTGATATTGGAAATACCATCCCCAAGATGGGCAACCTCGGTAATAATAATATAAAACCCATTGTAGACCTTCTACATAATTTTTGGTTAAAGTTATAACATCCTCATTACCGTCATCAATTCTATTATTATTTTCTTGCTCATCTTCAATTTCTGTATCAACAACCTTTTCAGTTTCAGTGGGTTCGGCAATTTGTTGTTTCTCTACAGCATCTTCATCTATTGGTTTTGAATGAATCTTTGAATTTTTTTTACTCTTCTTGGTAAAAGTATAACCAAATTTGTCTTGGTAATAATTTTCTTTCCATATTTCGAATCTATCATTATACAAAGCCTGTTCTCTATCCAATTCATCGGAATCTTCGACTAATATAGCTTGTTGATACCTTCTGATTGTCTTTCTTATACCAGTAATACGGTCATTCTTTTCATCTTCTGTTTCATTTGGATTTATACCATCGACATCTAATTTCAAATAATATTCATCCTTTGATTTTGAATGTACTACAAATAAACCTAATTCATGTGCAAATTCTTTTAAAAATGGTAAATTTTCAATAATATGTTCATCTGCTAATTCAATAGTTGGGATATTTTCATCAGAAATATCTAATGGATATGTATCATTAACAATCTTTAAAACCCATGGTTTAACAAAACCAACAATTTTCTTTTGTTGTTTTAATAATAATTTTTTACCCATACGAGCTCTCTTTCTTTCACCTTCTAATGAAATATTTTCTAATTGTTGATTAAACCATTCAACATCGATATCTTTCTTTTCAAAATTCATTAATTCAAATTGAGATAAATAATCTAGCCATACTTTTAATCTATGTAGATTAATTTTACCATGTTCATTAATATAACCATCTAGATGAAGTAAAGCTTCTTTAAAAGTTTGTAATATTACAGGGAATGCACCTTTATTTAAATGTAAATCAGGTAAATTAGGTAAGAAATCATTACCGATGACGAACATGATTAAAATAAAATCATCCAGGATTCTTTCAAAATCATATTTAAATTTTAATTCATCAGAAATTTCATTGAATTCAAGTTCCAAATATTCTCTTAATAATGAAATATGTAGCAAATAAAAATTTTGAGTCTCTAATGAAGTTTGTTGTTTACTTCTTCTACCAAATGTAACTTCTTCTCTTAATAGAGCAAAATGTGGTGCGTGTGCAGAAAGTGATAACATGATTAAATCTGCATCCAAACCATAAATACAATGTCTAGTATTATTATCAAATCCATCTTGAGCTCTTAATTTTCTAATGAAATCCATAATTTTATGCTCACCTTCCCCTGGAACTTCATGACCTGAAAATATAATTTCAACATTTCTCCATCTAGAATCGTTAGTTACTTTGTCATGAACATAATATTTCAAATTTGTAGTTAATTTAGCCATAAATTCTGTACCTGGTGTAATACAATTAGAATCAAATGGTTCCCCACTAGGTATTGGTTCACCATGTTCAATAGCTTTTTGTAAAGCATGTTCAGCATCCATTGCAGTTCTAAATCTACGGGCTCTCTGTTGATTCATTTTAGCACGAGGTGCAACACCATCAATTGCCATATAAAACACTTTTTGAGGCTTAATGGTTTGAAATAAATGATCTACGTATGAAAATATTCTGGCAAATACTTCTTCTTCAGAAAGTCTCTTTGTAATATCATCATCATTACCATGTGTACAATTATGCAAAATAGAGTTCATATCTAAATACAAGTTGTCAAACTCTGGAATATCATTACCTTCAATCAATTGAGAAATCATAGGCCATCTCTCAGAGATATACCTAAAGAATTTTGGAATACCCATATTTGTAAAATTTGTTTAGGTACTATTTCGTTGTTACTCTGCTTATTTCTTAAAAAAAAGGAAGAAGAAAAAAATGTCTTTTAATGTAATCTTCTTTACTTCGTTATATTTACAAAACGATTAATTACTTTTCTTCTCAAACTTTGCAATTCAATTGGTTGTACTATTTTCAATAAATTTTAATAGTAAAATAAATAAAATACAAACACACAACCTTATTCCAAATTTCTGAAGTTGTTTTCTTCTCTCTTATTTAATCTTGGTCTTGCTTCCTTCAACAAAATGAAAGTCAGAACGATATCTAATATCAGCAAAACGAGAAATTGGCGTATATATTAAATCTATATGTGCGTAACCTCTTGTAGATATTTACCAATGGTTACTTGCCAGTCAATTCAATTCCTTTGTCTTTGTTTAATACCTTCAATTGTACTCTTGGTGTATGTTATTGTCTATTACTGAAAAGTGTGTTGTCCTCTCTGTCTCCCTTTGTTGCCTCACAGCGAATTTTTCGCCAACGAGACAGAAAAAAAGGGAACTGTTACCCGGGTTATTATTCTTGTCGGTTATCACTTTGTACGTGGAGAAATATCAATATTTTTTTTTTTGGTGAGAAATTTATTTGGAAATTTTAATGAAATTTTAAAGAACCTGGATCAATAACTAGTAATTGAACCTGGTCTCTTAAACATTGAGAGAAGAATTGCGTTGTTATCGAGAAGGTTAGTAATTGAGTCCGTAGGTTTTTGTCGGTTTGGGTTTCAACGGCTTTTAAGGAATAGAATTACGTCTATATATAACAAGTACATTGTTTGTTTTTGATTCAAGATGTTCAATTTAGGGAAACCAGCTTCAACAGGATCGCTCTTTGGTCAGAATCAAAGTAATATGAATAGTACGGTAGGCGGTAACACAGGGTTCAGTTTTGGACAGAATACTGGGGCAAATACTACTGCGGGTGCTGGTGGTCTGTTTGGGAATAAACCAGCAGGTACAGCAACAGCAGCAACTGGTGGATTGTTCGGTTCAAATCAAATTAATACTAATACAAACGCACCGGGAGTAGGGGGTATGTTTGGAGGAGCTAATGGTAATAATAATAATATGGCTGCCCCAGGTACTAATACTACTGGTGGTGGTTTGTTTGGTGCTTCAACTAATACTAATGCTGGTGCACCTGCCACTGGAGGTTTATTTGGTGCCAAACCTGCTGCTCCAACTACAGGCGGTTTATTTGGTGCCTCTACTACTAATACAGCGGCTCCGGGTACAACTGGTGGTGGTTTATTTGGTGCCTCTACTACTAATACAGCGGCTCCGGGTACAACTGGTGGTGGTTTATTTGGTGCCTCTACTATGAATACCGGTGCATCTGCCACTGGAGGTTTATTTGGTGCCAAGCCTGCTGCTCCTGCGACAGGTGGATTATTTGGTAACAATAGTAATACAGGGACAACTACAGGTGGCCTGTTTGGTGCTAAGCCTGCAACTACGGGTGGATTATTTGGAGCAAAACCCGCTACTACAGGTAGTTTGTTTGGTAATAATAATAATAATACAATGGCTACTGGCGGTGGTTTATTCGGTAATAACAATAGTACATTAGGTGGTGGCCTATTTGGTAATCAACAGCAGCAGCAGCAACAACAAATATCAGCTTTGCAACAAATATCACAGTTACCTGTTAATCCGATGACAAGAATATCAGACTTACCGCCACAATTAAAACAAGAAATTGAACAATTGGATCAATATATACAAAGACAGGTACAGATCTCTCAAAATTTAAAATCAGAACACAGTGAACATATAGAATTAATAGACTCAGTACCACGTGATATACAATATCTACTGAAGACTCAATCACAAACAAATCAATTATTAGCCCAGGATTTAAAGAAAATTTTATCAATTAAAGATTTAACAGATCACAATATTGCAGATACACAAACATTTTCCATATTATTACAACAATTATTAACCCCAGGTAGTAAAGTATCATCTTTGGAACTAGATAAATTCTTTCAGTATAGAATTCAAGTTTATAATTCAAAATTGGATGAATATTCCAGAGTTTTATCCGATATTGAAAATACTATAAATGGCATAAATAATGAAGTTACAGGTGATTCCGATCCAACAGTAAGTAATATTTATGGTGTTAAAAATAGCATGGAATTTAATGATTTTGTGTCTCTGAAATCTGGCTTACATGCAATTATTAATACCGTGATAGAAGAGTTTAATCTTTTCATGGATATTGCACAAAGAATAGCAGTTCTTCATCAACATATCAAGGATATACCTTCTAATTGATAGTATTCCTTTTAGAATTTCGTCATATAAAAGTGGAACATCTGAAAATACTTATCGATCTCTATAATAAATCTATTTGTACTTTTCATAAGATAATAATTTTAAATGCATGCATATTAATCAAAAATCCACTAATGGTTTAATTTTGCTCAAGTATGATTTGACAGCATCAATCTAAATTGAGAATGTATACGTGATGATGCAAAAGGCAGTCATGATGACACTTTAGATTATGGAATACTAGTATTTGCGATATGTAACAAGTTAAATAATCTCGAATATATAAATTAAAAATATGGACTTTAGGATTAAGAGGATAAACTCTTTAATCAAACTCAATGGTGAATTGCCTTCTCTGCATAGCTGTTATAACCAACAAGCTTTCTTCTACCAATAACCTCACCAACAGAATAGAAACCTAGTAATTGAATACCAATGGCACCATACTTCAAAAGATCGTTCTTTCCAGAAGCCTTTAAACAATTAACAGCTTGTTGTGGAGTTTTAATGTATCTTAAAGAATTGCTGTATAGGTTCATGTATACAGATTTAAATTCATCTAAGGATGGTGGTTGTAACTTTTCGGATTTGTAAATTTGTTTCGAAAGTTCGCCAGTAACTTTACCACAGTATACAGTCTTTTCGACTGTCTTCGTCACTAAAGCAGTGGTCTTAGTAATTAGACTAGTCCCTACAGTTTGAATTCTAGCTAGCATGGTTTGATTTTATTTTCTTAACTTTTTGTAACTTTTTTGTGTGTCTTTTAGTCTTACTTTTTGTACGTTTGAGGGCCAAATAGTAATGTAAAAAGTAGATATGTTGAAGATTCCCAATAGATCTAATTCTTGGAACAGGATGCTAAATATTTTAAATATAATATGGATATTACGGAATAAATAAAATAACAATTTATCTGTACGATTGTTCTGATGATCTTTGTTTTCTTGGAAATATCGTTATCCCTAAAGATTCAATTGATTTTTTTAATTGAAACTTTTTCTTCAATAGTTGTTTCGCCAATTTTTAAAAGTGTCCGTTTTAAAGGAATTTTTTCTAAAAGCCCGAAGGAATACGGGTTTAGCCAATCATATTGAAGAATTGTATATAATAATCTCATTATGTAGATTCTTAAATAGGTGACACTAATAAAGAATCAAGTAGGCTCAGTATAGAATATGAGCTCCAGGAAGGGTAAGTACTAGGTGAAATGGAGTAAGTATCGACTAGATTTTTTTTAAATTAAACTTGTATGCTCTTGTATGTATGGGTATCAACATGTCTTCCATATCAATATTGAAAAAATTAAAATTTAGAATAATATAATTACAAATTGGGGAGTTTTTATATCGAACTGTTATATATTTGATCGGGAAAAAACCTCCTCGAGGGTTTTCCTTTCCTGATCTTTTATTTATATTTAAACACGTCTATTTAGACGAATCGATCTTCTCACACCTTCACCTAAGACTATGATCTTATCCTCTTGGATTAATCTGGCTAATACTTCCGATATATCAGATGAGTCAACTCTATCTTGTGAATGTTCATTTATTTGTTTGTTTAATTCATTGAAACTCATTGAATCAGAAGTGTGTTCGGTTAAGATCTTTACAACTTCCCTTGTTAAGTCTTCCTGTAATTTTCTTTGAATGACAGATTTACCTGTTTGTACCAAATTCATATCGATCTTACCAGTCTTTGGATCTGTCGCATAATCCTTTATAGCTGTTTTAATTAATCTGACAGCTTCTTGTACATCCTCTAATTCTACTGTTTCGGATAATCTCATCTTTGCATGTGCTTCCGATAGACGGATCATACTTTCCAATTGTCTTGTCGTAGCAGTGATTCTCTTTTCGTCGGATCTGGAATCATCACCCATCTTTCTCATACCTACATAAGCTCTCACTAATTCAGTCTTAGCTGTGTTAGTAATAACCGGATGAATATGTTCTTTGGCGTAATTTATGTACATAGTCAAAAATTCAACAGGTAAAATATCATCCTGTGAAACATGTTGTGGTTTATCTTCTAAATACAGCGCAGTTAAGTGATTTGCTAACTCTCTATCGGTTGCTTCGTCAACTTTATCTAACACTAAGTAAACTAAATCAAATCTAGATAACAACGGTGGTGGTAAATCAATATTTTCTGTAACTGGAAGATTTGGATTATAACGGGAGCCAATTGGATTAGCACTTGCTAAAATAGATGTTCTAGCATTTAACGTGGTAATGATACCAGCTTTAGCCACAGAAATAGTTTGTTGTTCCATCACTTCATGTAAAACAGATCTGGTAGAATCACTCATTTTATCAAATTCATCAATGCAACAGATACCACCATCAGATAATACTAAAGCACCACTTTCCAAAACAAGTTGGTTTGTATCAACATCTCTTGTAATGTAAGCAGTTAAACCCACTGCAGAAGAACCCTTACCAGAAGTGTATACACCACGGGGAGCAATCTTGTGAACATATTGAAGGATTTGTGACTTAGCAGTAGATGGATCACCACATAACAGAATATTAATATCACCTCTGTAACGACCACCTTTATTAAAATGTTTGTTGGTACCACCAAATAATTGTAACAAAATACCCTTTTTCACGTCATCTAATTCAAAAATACTTGGAGAAATTGATCTAGAAAGTAAATTGTATAAATCCTCTCTTTGTGCAACATCATGAATCTTAGCAATATCTACATCTGTAACATTTCTTGTTAATTCTACTTCACCATGGTTTAGTTTGTTTTGTAAAAGTTCCTGTTCTACAGTAGATGTATCGACATCTAATCTCTTATCGGAAACCTTTTTCACGTGGACAACATCGATATATGTCTTGTAAAGGGCCTTCAATATTCTTTGTTTTGCATTTGCTCTAATAGGGATAGATCTAAATGTACCTGTTACTTCAATTCTATCACCTGCTCTACATGAATCAACTAATTCATCATATACACATAATGATACGGAATGAGGAGTTTGACCATCTGGGACTAAATCTGGTGTTTCCTGTAGCTTAATGACTTGCTTATCGGCAAAAGAACATCTATTGTGGATTAATGACATTGAATTTGGTTCATTACAATCAATACGTTCACATCTTGCTGGTTCTTGGATGACACCTCTATCAATCTCTACAGCCATAGTATGATCACAAACGTTACATTTAAAGAAGGCAACCTTCATATCTGGAATAACTGGTGTGGTTCTTAATACTAAACCTTTCAAACTAATCAATTTATCTATATCATTTGGATTCAATTCACGCATACCTCTTGCTGATTCTACGTTATAAGGTCTTACTTTATAAAATTTTGTTTCAATATCATCAAGATTGAAATCTAAATGATTATCAACAACTAAAGAAACCATACAGTCCTTGATGGTTTGATCCATAATTGATATAACTTCTTGAGGATAATTTAATAATTGATAATACAATTCTTCTGTAGGTTTGTAAGCCAAAAGGTTTCTTGCATCTAGGTTTAAGTTCGTTGTACCTAGTTCTCTCATTTCGTTTAAATGGTTTACATAATACAATTCTTCATCTGTAGTGGTATCGATGAATGCTTCTCGATCGTCTAGTGTCTTACGATATTTGTATTTGAAGGACATTAGGAAATTGCGGAAGTTATTGGCACATTCCTGAATACTAACATTCGTACCCCAAATAATTCTAACTGGTTCATTTGCTTCAGATGGCGCATCGGAACTGGAACTTTGTTGTTGTGAGTTTGGAGCACCTGAAAAGAATCTTCTTGGTGATGAAAAATCGGAACCTTGGACATCATTTCTTCTTCTTCTAAAACTAGAAGAAGCGATAGAATCATTTGCAGACCCTTCACTTCTAATACTAGAAAATCTGTTAGCACTAGGTGTAGCAGCAGAATGTAGATTTGGTCTAGCTGAGCTACCATTGATATCAGAAGAATGATTTTGAGAAGATGAAGGGTAGTTGAAAGGAGATGATCCAAAACGATTATTCTGACTACTTCCTACTCTTCTCGCACCAGAATTTGTATCGTAGGTATCACCTTGAGAAGATGAAGAATTATAGAATAATCTAGCAGGGGATGACTGGTTAGGTGGGGCAGAGTCTGGCTGCGTTGGAGTTGGAGGAGCAGCTGGTGAGCTTGGAGCCGGCGAACTTGGTTGATCAGACATGTCGTTCTTCTTGTTGTTTTTTTGAGTCACTAGTTCAGGAAGTTTTAGAACTTATAAATATCACTCTTTTTAAAAAGAAATGTAGCTGTCTTACTAAACGTTAAACTAATAAGTTTGTTTTGTTTTCAATGTGTAAAGTGTCGAGAAAATGTTGTATGTTCTTTGTTTGAGTTTACATAATTTTTCGTTCTTTTTTTTTTCGGGTTTTCAAAACTAATTAGATTTCCTAATACGGAAACATAATTAAACATTCTAAAAAATTGCGGGTAATAGAATAATTTGGTTTTAAGACTGAAAATGTTGAATTTACTTAAGATAATATCTATATTCAAACAAGTATTTTGTCATCCTTATTTAATTTAAAAAGAAGAAAAACTGAGATATACCCATTTTCTAATAATGCAAAAAATTTAGAGGCAATAAATGTCCTAATTTATAGTGTATAAAGTCTTTATTGGAACGAAACGTTCATATGTATGTATATATGTGGTTTTTCCTATGCTAAGTTCCTGTATCATGTGGATGAATTCGAAGATTTATGAAATCATATGCTACTCCGTAATTGTTCCCAGTGAGATATATCTTTTATCTGCCATTTACGTGGGTTATCACCTTTCCCAGAACCTCTAATAGCATATTCTTTGACCGTATTTTTAATTGTTTGTTTATTGTAATTAGGTAAACTCTTTTGAGATATTTCAGTTACAGTTCCCAATGAAAATGTACTATCTTGAATTTCATCAAACAATTTTAAAAGATCCTTTGGATCAGTTATTAACAACTTAGCTTTTTTCTTGTCGGGACTCTCTAATGAGCCACTATTATTGTTGTTGCTATTATTATCTGATGCATCTGCGGATCTCTTTGAAGGAGATGTACTAGCCGAAATTCTTGACTGTGTCGCACTTCGTATCTTTTGATGTGGATCAATTGGAAGTGATATATCAGATATTAATGCTTCTGCAGAGGTTAAATTGAAATAATTTTTATCATCATCATCCATATTCTGGATATTAATACGAAGAAGTACAGTCGGTATTAATGGTCCAATAAATTTCTTGTTGTTATTACCTGAATTACCAGATTCCTCTTTATCCAAAAATCCATCAAATTCATTCTCACTTCCTTCATCATCGTCTTCTTCATCTTCTTCTTCCTCTCCACTCTCTAGATTATCAATTCCAGCACCGTCTGCATCTTCTTCTTCATTTACCCATTCAAGGTCGGAATCGTATGAATAATTATAGTTTGTACCCTCTGTAGAGAAAGGATTCTCAATTGGTAGTTTTGTGTCCTTTGAGTATGTTCCAATATAAGGAGGTCTAACATTTTCATAAAATTTAATATATTTTTGAGGTACTAATGATAATAATGCACGTAATTCTTCATCACTTTTATCTTTGGCTGTCATCTGTTGTAATAAAGTAACAGCTTTATAACTTATACCTTTATCTCTAGCCTTATAACGCGACGATAACCACAGTTTTGTTTCATTTACAGTATCCTCGGTTGTTGGGTTTTTTAATTTATCATCAATTGCATTCATCTTTTCTTTTAATTCATCCTTTGTTGTAAGAGTTGTAGTTGGCATTATAATACCATCTCTTGCATAAAATGGTAAAAAGGATGATTCATAATCAGATTTTGAAGTTTCAGGTTTATTCTTATCACTGACTTTCTTGAAGAAACTAGCAATACGAGTTTGAGATCTTTCTTTGGCTTGTTCTTCTTTTTTCTTTTGTTCTTCCCTTTTCCTTTTCTCTTCATCCTTTTTGGCTTTTTCTACTTCACGTTCTTGTTTAGCCTTCAATTTAGCTTCTTCACGTTTACGTTTCTCATCTTCACGTTGTTCTTTAAGTTTTTGTTTCTCTTGTTCTTTTTTACGTTTTTCTTCTTCTTTTTGCTCTTTGAGTCGTAATCTGTCTTGTTCACGTTCTTGTTTCTGTTTTAATCTTTCTTCCTCTTTCTGTTTCTTTACAATCAATTTTTCTTCTGCTTTCTTCTTTTTTTCAATTTCTTTTAAACCTTTCTTTTCGATACTATCATTGATCTTTTCATTAATACCTTCCTTCTTAGCATTAGTTGTATTTTCTACACTTGGTTTTAGAATATCATTAGATAGATCAATGGAATCGACGGTTGATTCCTTGGCGTTGTCTAATGGTTTTGTTTCACTATCCTTTGATTCAGGTACAGTAACAGAGCCAGCCCCTGCACCCATTTTTTCTATATCTATTTCGTGCACCGAATGCTCCCTTCGATCATCATCATCATCATCATCAATATTATCAAGGTCAATTACATTATTGGAATTCTTATTATCAATAGAAGTACGAGTTTCTTCATTAATAATTTTATTTTTTGATGTATCCTTTTTTGTATTTTTAAAGAATGATAAAATTCCATTTTTCTTGCCAACTTTACTATCCTCACTCATTTTAAAGCTCAATAGTGAATAAAGGAATAAAGGAACGAACGAATTGTGTGCTTTGTTGAATCACTGTATAGACTGTTTCAAACAAAAAAAATCGTAATTGGTATTTATCTCTCTATATGTTTCACGATATTTTATAACTTAAGAAAACCTAGTTAATCTCTTAATTGAGTATTTGAATTCAGTTTGAGATCTATTAACGACACTATCTTTTAGTATTCTTTATTCATTGAATGAAAGAGATTAAGATTAAAGAAATTTTTAATACGCCAAAAATTAGAGATGGTTGTTGGATGATCATCTAAAATAATTTTTCGTGATATTAGTGCGGTGGACGCGTCTTATCATATAAAAACGCGCGTCACACAAATTTAGATTTTACAGGATAACTTAAAAGTGTCAGTAACTATAAGCTTATGAAAAGCATTTTTTTTATTTTAATCATTAGAAAAAAGAATATTATATTATTTATCGTATTGGTATGTATATTTAAAGAATATTAAGAAGATAAATGTTAGAAGAACTATGCAAAAATTTGTATTCGTTTGTGTATTTTTTTATTGGTTTAAGAAGTGCAGTATGTTGTTTTATTTGTCGCTTATTTTGTTTTGAGCTACATATTTTCCTGGTTGAAATTATACATTGTATTTGACTGAGACGGGTGAGAGTGGGAAGGATATTTCGAATTATTATTTTTTTTGAGGTTAAATTTATTAAATTTCTTTTCTACTGGTGAAGGTATATTGTCCCCTATACTTCTTAATGATACCATCGGAGGAGGATTAGTTCCAAACCCACTACCACATGTATGATCAAGCCTAGGGTTGTTGTTGTTCTGATTATTGTCTCTTTGAAGAAAATCAGGAGTAGTATTATTCATGGTCTGACTTGTGCTTTCATATTGATTCATATAAGAAAAATCATAATTTTGATTCTGTGTAATAAATGATTTTCTTGACGGTGAATAGTTATATGGTTCTCTTTGTGTATTATTGGTATAAGACGTTATATTTTCTAGATTAACTGGTTCCATATATTGATATCCATATTGGACATTGAAACTATTCCCAGATGTTCTTGGTAGAGGTCTATCTTGGGCATCATAATTTTCCGCGTTTCCTCTAGTAGGTACTCTATATTGATTATTGGTGTTATTATAATTTTGAACCATTACTTGAGATGCTTTCTCATATTGAATTTCTTTATTTAATAAGCCAATATGTTGCATGTTTAGAAACGAAAAATCTTCTAATATATCATTTAATAAATTAAATTTATTATAATCACTAAAATGAATATCCATCATTTCGTTAAATCTTTGGTGTAATTCTAACGCTTTATTTTTAAAGACTAAACTTGAAGTAAATTGTTTAATAATTTTTTGTAAAAAGGGAACAATGATGACTTTGAAAAAAGTATTATTTCTATGGACTTGAGTAGAATTAGTTGTAGCTAATGACGTATCTGTTCTTAAAGATTCTGTTCTCGATTTTGCCTTTGGAGAGATATTACAACTTCTAACTACGTTATTAACATCGTTTGGATCTTCATTTTCGTCAATGTCGTCTTTTTTAAAATTTTCAAAGCTTTCATTATTACTGTTATCGTCATTATAATTTAAAGAAAATTTTACTGAACTTCCTGGTCTCTTCGTAAGAAATTTACTTGAATAGCCATATTTTCCTTTACGATCATCAGAAGTTAAATTATATCTTGAACGTCTTAATTCATCGATTTCTTTTTCTAAATTATTAATTTTTTGATCCTTGTTGACTAATAATTCTTTTAATTCATTAAATTGATTATTGTTGTTATGATTAGTATTACTTTTTGGCCTTATAGTCTTTGAATATAAATTTGGAGAATGATTTTGATGACGGCGATTATAATCATCCCGTTTTTCTCTTTTTGAATTACTTTTATCACCTCTTGTTGAATTAATTTCTTCTTTTCCCATTAGTACAGATGAAAAGCACAAGAATTGGTTGTAAAACTATTTGAAAAATAATAGAAAATTTTAATTAGAAGTATCTATGAAGACAATTACTGTACCTAATGACTTGATAGTTGTTTTTAACCTCACTTATTCGACATAAAGTTTATTTGTTTTAATAATCATTTTATTCTACTCACTGTTCAATTTATTTTCATTCTGTTTTATTTTCCTTAAAAAAGAACTATTTTTGTGGGCGATTGACGCAATTTACAAGTTAAGTGGCCAGCCCGCCTCTAGTTAACCAAGAAAGGAAAGTGACAGGGTCGTTATTAACATGGAAAGATATATTTGATGATTTTCACGTATGATGTATTAACGGACACATATGGTATATAATTATCTCCGAAAGATATATGATCTATATTTTATTATTTATTAGTTGTTCAGAATGTTTTCTAAAAACATTCTGAATGGGAAAAGAATTATGCAATAAGATTTACTAAGTTATTATATTCTCGTCTTGAAAGATGTCATGGGGCAAAAAGATATAGCTCTCTTAAGATGTACGTGTTTGTTTGTCTGTTTATTTTTGAGGGTTAGTTAAGAACACTCAAACAATAAAAGAAATTTTTTGAATCTTGTTTTTGCCTCTATTCATACTTTTTATAGCTACTTACGTATATTCAAAAACAACTTAATTATGGGACCCAAAGAAGTCTATTATTTTCGGATGGAATTATATTAAATCCATAATTTAAAGATTGTCGAGAAGTAAAATGAAGAAAAAGAAAGTCTAAAACAAAAAAAAATATAATAAGTAGTGATTTTGGATGAGAATAAATGCAGGGCAAAGAATTTTAAAAGGTAACACTACTATAGCGAATTCGCATATTAGAAACGAAAATTTAATGAAATATAACCATTGTTCGAACATTAAGGCTCTTTTTTTCCCATACAGGATGTAAGGTTTCTATTTTACCTTTAGAATGAACAAGGGGGGCTAGTACAAACACGAAGCGTTCTCTCTTTAAAAAGAGGGATTAAACATGTGATTTTTCATTGTATTTGCTAAATAAAATTCAGAAATTTCTTATTTTATTTTGATAACCTCAAATTCTTTAGTTTATTAAAAACTTTAACTTCGGCCCCGGATAACCCATCTTTTAACAGAATTATTGAAATACGTACGAATCGTCTTATGTAAAATTTAAAGTTCTAATGGTTCAAACAAAAAAGAAAGTAAATAACAGTATCAGATGAAACTGCTGGTGAATTTATCAATTTTCCTAAGCTCGCCACTGAGAGAAGAAAATCCATATACCAATCGAGAAGCAATTCATATACCAATCGAGAAGGTTCTGTGTCTCTTCGAATTTACTTGACATTAATTATATGTTGAGTTTCGTCCGTATTTTCTGTGAGAAGAGAAAAATTATTTAGTTGGTTAGTTCCTGCAGCTGTTTCTCAGATTCTTCATAAAACTTTTATTCAAATTGTTCCGTTTTCGCAGATTATTTTATTCCTTCCGTACGGATCCGTTAAATTGATCAACATGTTCTCTTCACATAGATAAACAAAAAACAAGATTTAACAAACAATAGCAAGAATTTTTTCTTTTCTCACGGGATTCATTTCTCATTTTATTGAATAAATAAATATTTCTTTTATGATGACAGAAATATTTATTATAATCCTTTTGATTTTAAATTCAAGATGTAAAAAATATTTATGACAGTTCCACTTGATAAAAGGGATGCTAAGCCTTGTTTTCCTTTCCACTCTATAATTCTTACTACGTAAATAATAAAGTTATAAACAATCCAGAACAAAACTGAGGAAAAGGATTAATCTCATGGTAAAAAAGATATTAAGTAAATCATACAGTAGCTGGACAATGAATGTAAGAATAATTTAGTGCGTACTTGAACCTGGATTATCATTTTTTCAATTTGAGTTGTTAGTCCATTTAATAACAAATAATAATAAATCTGATAGGCTTTAATAATTTATCATCCGACGGAATAATAAAGGTTGTTAAGTTTTTTGCATTTTATACTTTTTACCCATTTACATATATGTCATATATATCTACGAACAATAAACACGGAACTAGTGACAGTACATATTAAAAAAGGATATTGAGTAAGTGTATGAATTGACAGCAGAGGAAATATTTAGTTATGGGGCAGAAGTAAAGTAGAACAACTTTACATAGAGCAAACAACGAATGAGAAAGAAGAAAATTCTCAAACTCTACGCCTCTACGTTATTTCTGTTTCTTATAGATTTTTGACTAATGATAACGAAAAAATCCATACTAAAGTTTAAAAAGGTAAAACGAAAAAAAAGCAAAATATTAATTTGGTTATATTGAGCCAGAGCAACAAATTCGTTCAAAAAAAAAGTTGGGTTACGTTATTTAGATTTTCATTTCGAATGATCATTGTGTATTACTATTTTGTAGAAGAAATATATTAAATACAACATCGGGGTTTCTTTTGTGTATGCAAGTAAAGAAGACCAGCAGTTATATTATATGGCATTAACTATCATCTGGGTTTCAGTAAGTTCCAGCAACAAAAGAAAATGCTGTAGTAATACGTACATATATTTATCTAAATTTTGCTTGTACTTTTATTCTAAGAACAGTTGAATCACTGAAGAATGTCTTATTTATGAAAGAGTTTGAGATTTGTTTTATGCTCTCACATACAAATTTATTTTCATCCCGGGTCTTTTCTTTTTCAATAAGGGCTGAAGAGAGAAAGATGCGCACCAAATTTTCCAAACAACTACTTGACGTTCATATACTAAAAATTCTCTGCGTAACTGCGCAAGGGTTCTCTCTATATAGATCTCTCTCTATCTCTCTGTGCATCTGTCATTTTCATTTGTTTCATTTGTTTCTAAAAATTATGCATCAAGAATGGTAAATAATAACTATGTGAAACTTTGTAAAAATTGAACCATCCATAACATAAGTAGGTAATATTAGTGTGCCAAAATTAAGCTATCAAAACGAATTTTATTCGTTTGTTTGATTAATTTGCAAAACAAAGGTAAACACATTCGAATAAGTTTATTTACAAAATCGATATGTGTGCGGGGAGGAAGAAAAGAAAAATGACTGACGATTGGTATTATTCTTTATTCCTGTTTTTTCTTTGATAACAATTGATTAAATATCGATATATGATATTTTAGAGACATATATTGTATAATGACAATTGTTCTTATAACCATTTATCACAGATAGTAGCAATTAGGTTCATAACTAACCAAAAATATATATATACGTATATACAAGAAATACTGTAATCACATAGTACTTCTTTTTTTTTACTGAATGATGACATCTCAAAAGACAGCCAGTATTCATCCTGAAGGGAGAAATGATGATATAAGCCAGATTTCTTTCAAAATGAAAGAAAAAATGTATCTTTGAAACTAAGTTTAGAAAGGTTTTAAAATTATAAGGCACACACGCACTCATACAGCTTCAAGATGGTGCACTTTCGTAGAGAATTAAGGAAATATCTTGGTAAGTACTTTATATGCTTCACCCACCGGTTCTCTTTCCCTCCATATAAGAAATTTCAACAAAATTATAAACTACGTAAACGATATTTTTCATCTTTTATCTCCCACCAACATGATGTCTTTTAATTTACTCGAAAACAGCCAAATAGAAATACCTACAAAGGAATTTAAGTAGACTGCAAGAAAAAAAATGCCAGAACATTGCGAAACTCATATCTGTACTTTTTATTCACATTCTACGCTTACTTCTTGTCTGAGAAGGAAATTCACAAAGAATTTCGTTTGTGCTCTTCCCTCTTTTTCAGTAAAATTTTCTTATATTGGCTTGAAAAGAATACCTGTCAAATTTTGTGCGGATGATCGTTAATAAAGAAGCAGAAATCTCAAATTTTTGTTAATGCAAAAATTTGGGGGAAGAAAGGAGAATTTATTCAATTGAACTTAATTTCATTTTAATTTCGTATTCTTCTTTACGTAAAAGAACTTGAAAAAGTACGCAGTACAACTTGTAGTGTAGGTATCATTTAATTCTAGTGCTACGTTTATTTCTTAGCAATTCTCTTTTTCAGCAGCCACCATTTCCTTTTCTAGGTGGGTACGATTGTTTGTACTCGGAAAATACTGGGCTGGCAGAAATGAAAAGCAATATTAGTTTCAAATAAAGTAAGACGACATAGAGAAAAAAGCAAAATTTCTTTTTAGTGTTGGTGCAATTTCCCACTTTAAGCATCCGGGAAAACTTTAATAGCAGGGAACCGTTCGAAATAAGAAGAGAAAAAGGAGTACTACGGGTCACTACGGCTTGTTTTGAGGGAAGATGAAAACAAAAGCTACCAGTTTTGACCTTTCTTTTTTTTTGTCTGGAAGATCAATATTCTCCATTCTACATAGGAGCTGTACGGTTTTTCTTAAACAAATAAAATGAATGAAGAATTATTTGCATTTGTGCCTTGAAATCTCAGAAACATGTATTATTATTTTTCTTCTTTTCTTTTTCTCTGGAGCATTCGGGAAGTTATCGACTGATGGCCAAGCCTAAGATAATCACGGAGTCCATTGCATGGAGATCTGTTCTAAGAATATATTGGGCCACAACTAGCTAATTTATTAAATGTGGATATCAAGATATACGTTAATTGTCGTTTTTTAAAAAATAGAGAGAGTGTGTCACTTTCTTGGCTGTATATTTATTGTATTTTATGTTTTGAATATCAAATTATAATGCTACAATATAAGCAAACGGATATATTTTAATTAATCTATCCTGTGTGACTTTCATTTACCACTTCAATACGTACAAGAAAATATTTCCAGGTTAATTTGAAGATCTTCTTTCACTGAAAAAAAAAAAAAGAATTAAAAATATACGATGTTTTATCTTCGTTAACGTAACTCTCCCAAATGCATGCGAATCCCACTAAAAGATTGCGTGGTTTTCTTTAACAAGTATGTAAACGATATTCCACATTTGTTACTTTCTTTCGTAGCTGTTAATAAAAAAATTGAACTAAATTTCCTTTTCACTCTTCATGATCTACTTCGTAATTAAGGTTATTTTAGGCTTTTTGTCCTTCCGTGTTGCTTTCACCCCTTTTTTATATAATAATTTTCCTACGAAAATCGTAAGATTTCACTACAATCCCCGTACAACTAATTGTTACTGTTTTAAATTTCACCTTCCGAAAACCGACAAAAAAAGAAAAATTTCTTTTGTTGTTGTTGTTGTTGTTGTTGCTTTTCTAACACGTTTTCTCTTATTTTTATTTTTTATCTTTCTGAAACGGATAATAACAAAGGATACTACTTTTCTTTCCTTTTTCCATGCTTAAGGACTAACAAGTGTTTAGACGTAACTTCACGTTTATCCCCCTTTTTTGAAATAGTAATACGTAAGTACGTAGTAAAAAAAAATTCTTAGCAATGTTAACTAGGTATATCTTTTTTGAAATCATATTGTTTACATTTGTTTTACTTCAACTATTTTAGTTGCAGTATCAGCTTGTGTCTTTTCCTTCTACCATATTTTATAGTTAATGACTTTGGTCAAGTGTCGTGTGAATCAATTTATTGCGTTATTAACAAAATTGACAGATTTACCATTTTTTTTGTGCTGCAGTAAACTGTTACTACCACAACTAAATCTACTCTTTTGACTTCTTGTGTGTTGTTGGTTGCTTCCTTTAGTGGCTTAATCTTTTTTTTTTTTTCATTTTGTTGTTCACAGTTTATTCTGCGTGAAGAAAGAATATTACTATTTATTTTAATAATATTTATATTGTCTATCCTTTTTCTGCTTCTAGTGTTTATCAATTCTTTCTTTTTTCCTACCGATTGTTGAAACTTCGGCTACTTCCTTTTAAGTAAGATTTGTGGTCTTCTTTTCTTTTCCTTCGATTAAAACGTTAAATTTATTGAAGGAGATTTATATATTTTATATACATTAATATACGTACTTGCGTATATCTTAAAAGCACACTTAGTATTATATTGTACGTCTAAAGTGCAGGGATACACTATTAACTAGGATCCTCCATTCGGTTATACATCGGTTTGATCATATCATTATGTATACATATTTTTTTTTATTTTTTTTTATTTTAATTTTATTATCACCGGTTCCACAATAATAATATTCTCTATGCGATTAGTTCTTTGAGGAATAACTATACGTATCTTATTTTGTTTGTTTCCATGTTTTTAATAAGATAGACATATTTTTCTAAAACTTTAATTATTTTTATTTGATCTTTATAATTCATTTAATTAACTTCCTGCTTTCATTCTTTGGTTTAATCAATTTTAATTCTATAGTTTTTGCTGGCCATTGTCAAGTTTTTTTTATTTCGTGGGGAGAGATAGGTATGTACTGTGCTTTCTCTGGTTCCTCAACAAATATTTTGTCAATTTTTAACCTTCTCCTTATTCTTCTTTTAAAATCTTTATTAATATTCATGAATCATCCATTTTCTTATTTTTTTATTATTATTTGTATCATGTTAAGGAATTAATTGATATATCTGGATTTTTTTTAAATAGATTTTTTTTTCTTATTTGAGACACTTATTTGATATATATAAGCATCATGAATTTATATCTTTTATAATTAAAAAAATCTCTCATTGTTCGTAAAGTTTACTTTAAACAATTTTGTTTTAACTTGTTTTGTTTTTTTCATAAATTTGAACTGAATAGTATAATAATTATTTAATCTTGTTCATTAATTGTATTTCTCTATCATAACATAACAATAATAAATCATCAACTATTAATATTATTACTTATTTCTAATAATAATAATAATAATACCATAAATCATATTTTTTAAATATTTATTAATATTTGTTTGAATCGTCCATGATAATATAAAAACTTTTCAAATCATATTATTAATCATAAATTAAAGAAGGAGAGACAGACATAGATAAAGATATTAAAAAAATATATCTATACATAAATATTCCAAGAGAACAGTCATCTTTTCGATTTCATAACATCCAAACCCCCTCGATGAATTTAACTGCTTATATCCCTTATTCGTTCTCAAATCAATCATCACAACATAACTTATCCATGGAAAATAATTCATTCTCTCATACTATCCAAAATTCATCATTAGCATCATCAAAAAAAGGTAAATCAGATATGAGTTCCTCAAAAGTAACATTACCTCCAATTTCTACAATAATTAACAGTCAACAAAATAGTCCCAATGGTGTAAATCCAGATTATACTGATGAAGAAAGAACGAATTCTATGAGAACTTCTCCTTTAATGAATAGAGGTATTTCAAATACAAATTCTAATAACACTAGCATTATTAGTCCGCCTGATGCGTGTACTAATATTCAACCTGTAGTGGCATCAATGCCATTAGTGGTTGACTCTAGAAAATCTTCTGCATCTCAAGCAACTTCATCGAATGTAAGTTATACTACTTACCCTACTTCAAATGGAATAGTGGGTCCACAACAAAGAGTCTCTTCAAATCAAGCTACTCCTATTGCTACTCCTGCAGGTAGTCCCAATGGTAACTATTTGGGTAACCAACTACAATTACAACAAGAAAATGAAGCTGCTTTTATCTTGCAACAACAGCAAATGCAACAAATTCAATATCAACAGCAATTACAACAGCAATTACAGCAGCAACAGCAACAACAGCAACAGCAACAGCAAGGTTACTATTATGTAGTTACACCATTCCAGCAACAGCAACAGCAGCAAAAGCAATTACAACAACAGATGCCCCAGATCATGCCAATGGCTATAGCACAAACCCCGCCACAATTAGTATATCAGCAACAGCAACAGCAACCACAACAAATATCTCACGTTCAACAACCTATCTCAACATATCCGGTAGTTGTTAATATGGCTCATCCATCTGATATTCCGCAACAACTACAGCTGCAACAGCAACAGCAACAGCAACAACTCAGATCTAGAGAATACGAAAACTCTATGATGTACCAAATACCACCTCAACAAGAAGTGATGAGAAACCCATCTCAATCAGTAGTGATGCCTTCAAATAATGTTCCTACTGGTTTACAAGGACAGGCTGTTTCAAAACAGGAAATGGGTCCAAACTATGTTTCTACAGATGGTTTGATTCCTGTACCAACTAGCATCCAATCTAATTTAAGTCTAGCCGTACGGTTACGTAAACAATGTCCGGTATGCGGAAAAATTTGTTCTAGACCGTCTACTTTGAAGACTCATTATTTGATTCATACTGGTGACACCCCTTTCAAATGTCCTTGGAAAACTTGTAAAAAGTCATTTAACGTTAAGAGTAACATGTTAAGACATTTGAAGAGCCATCAAAAGAAAACTCCTAAGGTATCTAAGAATACATCAGATAACAAAGAAGATCATCAGGATGATCTTCAAGAAAAAATTGCAACTAACTTAGCAAATGTTGTTGCTTTGAAAAATGAAGAAAAAGAAAAAAAGAGTCCAGACTCTACAATTGCATCAGAAGAGATTAAGAAGTAAACAAATTAATTACTATCTTTCTCACTTTACTATTTAAAAATAACCCTGCTAATTATTATTAATAATATAACTACATATAATGATATATTCATAAGGATTTTTACAAACATAGAACACATTTATAAAGAAATAAAAAATTCATCTTATTTGCTTACATAACATCCCTTATTCCTTATATTGAAGAAAGATACCTAAAATCTTATAGATGTGCAAAAATTGAAATTTTGTGTAATTCTACCATCCATAAATTTCAACTTAACCCATTTTAGTGTATCAATTTTCACTTTTATCATCAACCTATAGATAATTTATCCGATCTTCCAAGGGATGACCTTAAAGAATATGAAATATATATAACGAAGGTTTTATTTCGGACATTACGTTACTAGTCCTTTTCATTCATTATGAGATACGCAAAGGAACGTGAGATTACTGTTATTGGTTGTTGTCGTTTTCGCTTGTGAGGGGAGTTGGAAACCAATCGTATATTTTTTAAGCCCGACTTTAACAACTTTTAACCCGATCTTAAACAGACTCCGGATGAGACATATTCTTTCCAAATATATCGCCAATAATGCAACTTTGTCTAAACTAATTGAAATTTTCAATTATTTCTCATTCTTCTACTTGTTACTCTCAGAACATGATCGTCGCATGCAGAGAAACCACTGCAGAGGCGGCGATAATGTTGTACCAACCAATCCGGAGATCCCCATAATATTTCGCAGAACATAAAAAAAATGATTCGCCTTTTTTTTTTAAATCTTCAAAAGATTCCCTACGTGATTTATTACATAAAACTTAATGAAAAGATTAATAAACATTATAAGTTTCATCTCATTAAATTCAATTACTACGGACTGAATTGAACATCAACTATAAACTGTCTTGTCTATGTTTTTTTATTGATCACTAAAAGTAATAAAATTAATGATTTTCCTATATAATAGTTCTTAATTTATTGCGGAGAGAATAAAACACGTATAGTGCTTTGTATACTATATCTTCTTGCCAGATGTGCCCGATAATCTAACTGCCTACCGTCCTGTTATTCCAAAACTCTTAAAATATTCTTTAACTACAGGGATCTACTCTCTTATGCAACAGAAACAAAAATAGTTTACTCCTTGTTGTAAATAGCGTTGTGTTTTAAAAAAAGTTGTAGTACTTCTGTATTTTAGCATCCGATTTTAGAAACAGGTTGGTAATTCCGATAATAATTCAGTAGCAAAAGATAAAATGTTTTGAATAATTTGTTATGAGTTTGTTTTTTCGAGAAGGAACCATTGGTGCAAAGGAAGGTTTGAAGAGACATAGAAAATTAAGTTATTGAGAAGATGTTTAACCTAAAGACTGATTAGGTAATTACTCCAACGACTGTTCAACTAATTAGTAGCTTTACAAAAAAAGTATAACTGTAGTTGACATAATAGGTAAATAATGAGAAGGACCGTATTATTTCTTTTTTCATGTTAATGAAAAGAAATAACAGCTGCAAGCAAAATAATAATAGTGGAACCTTTTTTTCCTTCAGTTCAAATATCGGTTTTATATTTATTAATCATTTTAACGGATAAATTAATACAAGCTGACCGTTCTATTGGGAGAGAGGAAGATATCTGCTGCAATTTGCTCAAATCAAGGAGGCGAATACAATAACGAGATGCGACTTATCGATAATGTAAATATGAAAATTAGGTATATATTCTTTTTTTATTTTAATTTGTGTGGTCTTAAATGTTTAATTTTTTTTTTAATAATAATGTACTTGAAGTTTGTTATTAATTTAACTAACTATGTTAATATCTTATTAGAAATTTAATAACTACGGGGCTATAGAGTCTTCCCGAATTCGTCACAAAATATTGTTAGATATTGTAGATGTTAGTATTTATTTCCTTTTGTTGGAATTTTTGTTTCAAGTAACGATATAAAGAATGCTAAATAATTTATGTGGCACTGGAACTAATAATTTTATGTCGTCTTTGATTCAATTGAGAGATTCGCCTGTATCAACAAAATTAAATTTAGAACATGGCTAAATATCAAACACAGACCATACATTTGTTGTTGTTTTTGATCATAAATTTATTTAACTGAGCTTAATTCAAACACTGCTGTGTAGTCGTGTTAATCTATTCGTTTGGGAGCATTTTTTTATTTGCTTCGCGTAAACTGCCAATCTATACATCACTTGTGACAGTAATCTCATATTAGAATACTTCAGTATTCTAATATCTTGTATTCAATGGTATATCTACCCAAGTCCATCTTAAAATTTGATTTACCTTAATTAAGAATATTTATGTACAAAAGTTGTGTCATTTTTAAATTTATTGCTAATTTTTATGTTTTGTCTAAAATTTTTAATTTTGGTTCCATTAGATTAACTTATCAAACAGTTGTTCACTGTAAACAAAAAATTGAAAGTGATATCATAAATGATAATAAAAAAATATTATTGGATATACATAGTGGGAATTCTGATTTTATTTGTATGTACAGGTATAAAAGTTTATGTATTTTGTCTAACATTTTTTATAGATTCTGTTTTCTTATTTTCTTAGAGGAAGTGGTTTGGCAGTAATTAGATGATAAATCACAAATGAGAAGAGAGTTTAAATAAAAAAAGAAGTTGGAATTGTAATATGAGACTTGGCCCAACTCTAGATAATTTAATCTTTATCACCCTTTATCTTCTTAAATGCACCAGAGATAAACTTTTCCAATCTACTCAATGCATTTGGTTCATCTGGATTGGATGCCGCAGTTCCTGAGCTACTCATAGTTGATTCAGTAGAAGTGGATTGATTACCACTAATTCCGTCAAGTGTTATGTTCATGGTTCTCTTTGCGGTGCTATCATGGGTTACATCTGCCAATGCTTCCCACAAACATTTCTCTGCTTTAGATTGTGGCTTTTTCATCACTATTCTGTATTGAATCTTCATACTACCACGGCCACCTTGTCCTAACATCCCTGGACGTGGAACACCCATGTTTGGTACCGAAATAACTTCATCATGTTGAGTTCCAGGTTGTACCTTTAATCTAATTTTACTTCCGTCTACTGTCGGTATTTCAACTGTACCACCAAGTGCTGCCGTAGTAATAGGGATATCCATTTGATACCAGATGTCATATTTATTCTTAATAGAGAACTTAGGATCCTTATCTACTCGAATAGTAACAATAATATCACCTCTTGTCATTCTTACATTCTTTGCCATCTCAGGATCTACAGCCATTTGAGGGTATGACCCTTGGCTAGAGATTCTAATAGCATCACCGTCTTGTAATCCATTTGGTAAATCAACATCGATAGTTTTGTTGTGCTTAAATTCAACACCATCACCATGACAAGTATGACAGATATCTTCTGATTTAACTGTACTACCTTCACCTTGACATTCATTACAAGTAGACATCATTTGGAAACCACCTCTAATATGAACCTTGGTACCACTACCATGACAACTTTGACAAGTTTGTTTGGTGGCACCACTCTTCATACCAGAACCGTGACATGTGTGGCAGGGGTCAAATGAATTGAAGGTCAATTTAACGTTCTTCTTCCCAAAGACAGCATCCTTAAAGTTTAATTTACATGCTACATGGATTGAATCACCTTTATATTCTCTAAACATGTTCATACGATTAGCACCTCCAGCATTCCCAAATGGATTCCCAGGATTCCCTGCACCACCATTTCTACCACTAAATGCAGCACCAAAAAGATCTTCGAAATTGATACCACCAAAGTCTCCAAATGGATTACCGGCGGCACCTCCACTACCAAACCCACCAAACCCTCCTGGGTGACCTTGAGAATTAGCAAAATTTGGATCAAATGCAGCAGCACCAAATTGATCGTATTGTTTACGTTTAGTCTCGTCAGATAATATCTCATAAGCATTCTGTAAATCATGGAATTTCTTTTCTGCATCTTGTTCTTTATTAATATCAGGATGATACTTCTTGGCTAATTTATAATAGGCCTTCTTTATCTCTGATTGCGATGCATTACTATTAAGACCAAGAGCTTTATATGGATCCTTAATAGATTGTCTTTGTGGTGAGCTAGAATGAAACCCTGATCTAAAGACCAGAGGCTTTGCTGCGGTTGAATAAGTACCTTTCTTAGTGGTGTGCCAACTGGACCCTATGACATTAGTTCTAGCATATTGATATAGTGTAGGTCTCGTTATAAGCGTTACCTTAGGATAGATATTACCTAGCATTGTCAATAAATCCTCAAACAAATACTCAAATTCAATAAAGTTCTATAAATGATAAACGTGAGTTTCTTAACACAATTTCTTATAGCAAAAAAAAAAATGAAAAGAGAAATGAAGAAAAGCAATAGAACACGGCTTATTTTTTGTAGTAATCGATTACTCGTCAAATTAGTCCAATAAATAATACCAAATAGAACTATATATAGCCTTTTGCTCTCTGCTTTTATCTATCCTGTTTAAGCAATTCAGTTATCAATTTCTTTAATAAGCAAATCCCTTTAACCTCTTGATGGCTCATTCATTTTTCGTCATCATCATCATTTTCGCAGCGAGAAAGAAGAAACAAAGCGAAAGAAAATTCTATGATGTTCTATCAAAAATAGTGAGAGATGAAGGAATCAGCTAAGTATTATAATTGTGTTTAATCAGATATGTATTGGCTTATTTTCCTAGTGTTGACTATGAGTCACAGTGTTTTCATGAAACAAATATCTATCTGCCTATCTACCTATATAAAAATAAAACATATTCGAATATATATATATATATATATACATATTTTCTCACTATTTATTTGCCAGCTTCTTACAATTTGAAGAAATTTTTGTCTATATCTCTTTCTTCTTGTTGACCGACTACTTTATATAGCATGATTTTCTTAGCACCCATAAAATCTCTTAAACAGTCGGTCTCAAACCCAAGAAGCTCATCCTGGAACTTCTTTCTTTTCTTACCACGGATACCAATTACTGATGCCATCGTTATATCTTCATATTCATTAAATATCTTAATCAACCCTATTTCTTTTCTCTTCTGTCTAACAATCTCATGTGCATCTAATAGATCTTCAACAAATTCTTTTTGAGTCTTCTCAACACCAGCAAGTTGTTTAGTAGCATCTAAACGTATCATCTTACTTACTCTTTCCTCATTTATCTTCATAGCTGCAGATTTATATTCTGTACTTTGACGGAAATCACGTAATGGTGTCTGTACTATAGGTACTGGAGACTGGGTTGTTGGAGTCTCGGAATTATAATGTAATGTAGTAGAGGACGTTATAGGGGTGATATCTTTACTATTATTACTGTCGGATCCATTTCTCTCAGCATCCAATCTCTTTGCGTTTAACATTTCTGCCTTTGTTCTTCTCTTTCTCTTCTTCTTAATCGAAGCTACTTCAAACTTTCCAGTAGAGAATTTATTTTGATTTGTAACAGTATTGTCTTTAACTGTCTTTGGTGGGGTTGTTGTTTCAGCTTTAGGAACTAACCTTATAGGTGATTCATCATTATCTACAGGATTTAATATGTTCGCAATCTTACTTCCAGTTATTCGTTTACGTTTTAAAGGAGGCGAATTTGGAACAAACGATATTGGTGTCTGTGTTTGAGGTTTAACCTCTGTACTTGATGCTTCAGAAGATTCAAGGTTTGGAGAAGTAATCATCTCTATTTTAATTTTTCCTTTATCAACTACGTTTTTATAATTGCTATCAAGACTAACCACTCTTTCCTTTGCTTCTTTAATTCTTTCCTTTTGAGTTTGATCTAAAAATTCTTTTCTTTTGTCTCTTTGTTCTAACCCAAAGGCAATTTCTTCTGGAAGATCCACATCTTCTTCATCCAAACTTTTATCATTCTCCTCTAAGACAATCTTATATGATTCTATACCAGTAGTTGGATCTTTGACTAGCTTCCCAAATTGTTTTAATGATTTGGTGATTGCTTCATCAGATAAATCTGTCTCCAAATGAATATAAACTAACCACAATAAAAGATTTGACCTATCTTCTACTTTAAACCTTGGTTGATCCAAAACATTAAATAATGATAATAGATCCATACCATCGTTTGAATTATCCCATTCAAGATATTTTTTATCAAAAAATCTTGAATTTACTAAAGTTACATTATCACAAATAGCAAATAATAAATTTATTATATTAGGTACACCAGATTTCCATGTATGGCCTGGCTGATATAAATCCATTATTGAAATTGGATCATTTCCAATAGGTAAACCTTTAAGGATTGATTTTAATCTTGGAGTATCCTGAAGAGATTTTGGATCTGAAATACCACGTTGTAAAGCAGGTATTGCATGAAATGTTCTTAATTGTGAAGTCATTGCAATATAAAAATTAATGGTAGTGTTTAATCTACCAATATTTAATAAAAAACCCAAAAGGCAAGTAGAAAATGCTACTTGGCGATCTGATAATAATTTATCCCTTAAAATCTTAGAAGATTTTGTTGAGGTCCCTAAGCAAAGGATATAAAGTTGAGAAAATGTCAATTTATCATGATTCATAAATTTCCTAGCATCATAGTCATCATCCCCAACATTTACAACATTTCCAGTAGTAATATTTTTAATGGAATTCTCATTATTTGCAGAAGAAGAAGAAGAAGAAGAAGAAGACAATGAAGGCACTGAAGGAGTATTAACTAGTGAATTTAGATAATAATCTTTGAATACATTAGTGAAAAGTAACCTTTTATCATCGAGTAAAGTTTCAAGGAAATGAAATTGTAGATCTTTACGACTAAAATAATCACCATCTGGCTTCTTTAAATGTCTGTTGTATCTAAGTGCACTAATCATTGGTGCATACTCTCTCTGTGAGGAGAACTTATTCGTTTGAGCTAAATTTTTATCCATAGTGTTAGTTTTCTTACTATCAATATCTTCGCTACTCAATTTGGTATCATCATGAGTATCACTTTCGTCGTTCGTCTCTTCATCATCATCATCGTCGTCATCGTCACTATTTAGTGTAATTGCTATTGATGAAGTAACAGGCATTGAATGGCTGGTTGTTGATGTTTCAGTCTTCTCTGGTGCTCCTTTCTCTGTTGTACTAGCAGTAGTGTCCTGGAAGACGTCGTGGATTGGGTCATATACTCTTCCACCCATTTTTTTTAATATAGTTTAGCTCTTAGCTCGTGTATGAGTGTGAACAAATGATAATAATCTAATAACAGTTCCACCGTTCTTTTTTTCTTTCTGTTCTATACTGTGGTAAGGGATCCCGATAATATATACTTTCAGGAGTGCTGTTATTACTAGTTTGTTTCAAACAATAATAATAGAAATAAATCTGAATTCTCTATTTTTCTCTCAAACGTATAAACGTGTAGTTATATATAATAATTTATCACGCCCTTTACCAATGTATACTTGCTACTCTTTGCAAAAAAAATTGAATAAAAATCATGCAATAACAATTAGAATATATATGTATATGTACATTTTTATATTAATATTTTTGTCTTTATAAAATATGGGTTACTTCTAAATACGTATAAAGTTCAATTTATTTTGTTTTGTCCGTCTCTCACCGTCCGCCGCTGCCAATTTTTTCTTTCTGTTTGGGAAATTTCTTTGGTGAAAAATTTCTTTGTGAGGAAACATGTAATCGACTCTTTGTTGGTTATATGTGAAAGATGGTCGAAGTCTTTTGTGGGTGACTTTGGCTTATGGGTCGGTGTGTGGTTCCATCTTTTTTAGTTAGAAATTAATGAGATGTTCTAAGCTATTAAGACATATGTGTGATGAAACGTATTGGTCGGGTTAATCATTGTGTTGCTAGCCTACTGTAACCGTGGCTTCTTCTACTGCCAGTATTTGAGGTTCTTCTTAAAGCTGGACGACTCCAATTATCAAATATCCACGCTATCAAACGTATCACTTGTATGATAGCAAAAATACTCAATGCGATATACACCAATTTCTTGAACATATCAAAACGCATATCTAAACGAATAGTACGATATTGAATAACAATATGTACACCTAGTAGAAATACAATGAAACTTGACACAGCTGTTAAACAGCCAACAACGACTAATTTTGGAGAAATGTGTGTTCGTAATTGTTTGAAACGAGAATAGACACCTGTACCGACCATTGGATATGCTTTGAAGGGACCTTCACCAAAGACTCTGTCTTCCGCACCATTTATAATTACCGACATTGAATTTCTTGATTATTTATATCTATCTATCTTGCAAGGAATGGTTTATATAAAAAAACCTCATTGTAACCTTTCTTATATATATATTTATGAAGTGTTTGAAGTCTTCTATTTATATTAACCACCAGTACCTTTGTCTGAGGGTGCAAACAGAAAAAAAATAATGTGGAAATATCGTCTTAGCGATGGCATGACTATTGAATTGCACCCATATTTAATACTAAGTCATAAGAAAAAATATAAATATACAGAAAATGTATAATGAAAGAGCAAAAAAATATATTTTTATTTCTTAATTATATATATATATATAAATATATATTAATATATATATTATGCAAAGTCAAGCATCTCGATAGAACTTTGACCATTCCTCTCTACAGCAGCGACTAACAAATTATCCTTAAAATTTACAGACCAAATTTGTTCTGCATCTCGAAGTAAATTGGAGTGAACTAAATTACCAGTTCTTAAATTATAAATATTGAATTGTCTCTCTGAACCACTTACTAGGATATTATCTGTCATATGGAATGTTGTTATTGCACTTAAATTACTATGTAAATAAGAAAATTTCAATGAATAATCTTCAGCATCCCAACCTTTTAAAGTACCATCTGCAGCTGCACTAATTAAATATTTATCACTTAATTTTAGTAACCCTACCAATGCAGTATGTCCTGATAATACTTTATAAGATTCTGTTACTCTAGTACATGTAGTTCCTGCACAAGTCACCGTTTGTCTAATTCCATTTCGCCATAAATCCTTTAAATCCCATACTCTTACTGTAGAATCCATACTTGCAGAGATACATCGTTGTCGTTTATGATCATATATTGTAGAATAAATCCTATCTGTATGACCCGATAGAATATATAAACATTTCATTTGTGCGATATCCCATACCATCAATGTATTATCATAGGATCCACTAATAACAATATTTCCATGACCTGACACTGTACGTACCGATGCAACATGTCCCTTTAGAACACCAATAAAATATGGATTAACATCGGGAGTATCATATACAATAGGCCATGTACTTGATGTTGTTCTCGTTGTTGCACCATTTGATTCATTATTATCATTACGTGAATCTTCACTATCTCTATTGTAAACACTCCTGCATAATTTCCATACATGTAAAGTATTATCACGAGAACCAGTAACAATATATTTGCTATTTTTATATTCAACGATATCTAAACATCTTACAGTTGATGTATGTCCCTTAAACACATATAAGCAACAACCACGTTTAATATCCCAAATACGTACACTACGATCAGTAGATCCACTAACAAGGATTCCGTCCATATCATATTTTAATGCCCATACACCACCTTCATGACCTGCTAATTCTAATAGAAATTTTTTCTGTTTTGCACTATATACACGAATCATTTTGTCATCTGCACCAGTAATTACATAATCATCAGCAAATTGAAGACATGTAACAACGCTAGTCATATGACCCTTTAAAGTAGTTCTTTGAGGTATGAATTTTGAATCATACCAATTTTGTAAAGTATGAGATCTTTTTAAAAAATCAGGTTTATAAGCGTCTTCAAAATTTGATAAATTTGGATAATTTATCTTTAATTCTTTTACATAATTTGTAAAATTTTCAATTGAAATAAAACTTTCTGAAATTAATAAATGTTTCCAAATAAATGGTGTATTTTCAATAATATGATTCCAACGTGGTGAAACAGCTAAACATGATATAATATCACGAAAATTCAATTTAATTAAAATTTTTAATGCAATTTCTACAGGTAGAGTGCTTATCATGTCTCTCTTTAAATTATCTCTAATTAATGAATTGATATCTGTAAGTTGAGCTCTATTTAATTGTGAAATAAATTTAAATGCCATACATTGTAAATCTGTTGTATTTGAACCAAATGATGTCATCATTAAATCATGAAGTTGTTTTCTTGGGTTTTGTTCATTAGATGTTAATATATCATCATCATTAGTATTAGTATTATTATTACTATTACCATTATTATCATCATCATGAGATAATCTATCACCACTTGCAGATGCTACAGGCGATATTGGTAAAGCTTCCTCTAATATACCATCTTTGATATCATCTATTGTTAAGACACAATCTGTATTATTATTATTATTATTATTATTATTATTTGTTGGTAAATTTGAAAGTTCTATTGTTTCAGTAGATGGAAGTGTTGTAGTAGCATTTTCCGGTAATAATAATTCGTCACTATTAATATTATTATCAATATCAGAACTATTTTCTTTAACGGAAGTCTCTACATTATTATTATCCTCATTAATTTTTATTCTTTTAACCTCAGATGATGATACTTGTCCATTTAAAGTTTCCAAACTTCTTTTTCGTTTTAATATTGAATTATTATTTTCATTCTCCCGTTTTAAATCAGTTGATGATAAAGTCCTATTACATTCAGAAGCACTGTTAGTGGTACTAGAATAGATATATGGGATCGGTATATCTCTAAGTGGATATTGTACAGGTATAGAGCCTGTAGGTATTGTCATAATTAAATTGTTTATATGGATGGGGTAACAAAAAAAAAAAGAAAAAGACACTAATAAATACTATATGAATAGAATGCAATAAAAAAGAAGGGAAAATTTTTTAATTTTTAGTAGTCTTGGTGGAAGTACGTAATAGCTTTAGATCGAAGATTTCTTATTTTTTAATCAGTGTAAGAAAGAAAGTCTTGGATCTCTCTCTCTCTCTCTTTCTCTTTGATTGTTTGAAACTAGTTAGTATATTGAAAATACTTCTCGAAATTTCGGGGAACCTTGAACCACAGCTAGGTACCTTTGTCACAAAAAGTAGCAAATATATATATATGTATATATATTATGAAGAATACTCCACTAATAGCTCTCTAAAAATAAGATGCTGTAACTCAAACAAGTTTACTAATCCTTTAACAAGTATCAAGAATATTTCCCTCTCTCTCTCTCACCTTTCTGTAAATGGAAAAACACACACACAGACTGCACTACCAACAACAACAACATAGTATTCTCTCTCTCGCTCTGCTCACAGCGAATTATTTGATTTTTTTCAAAAATTTTCTGCTTTTCCCGTTTGCGCTGTGGAAAGAAGCGAAAACCGAAAAAGCAGAAAACTTGTGTGTTGCATACATAGTGGTGGTGCTGTGCATAGTGTGCTCAAAGGGCTGCTGTAGTGGTGTCTTTGCAAGATTGCTGGTGTTACGGTGTGTGTATGTGTGTGTATCATCTCACATAGATATGTATGTATATATATATATACATACATAGAACTCAACTCATTAGTATGTAAAGAACTTGTCCAGTATATATGCCTGTGTCTGTACATCCTGCCATCAGTAATGTCTCTTCCCTCTATTACATATTTTACTTGACGCGTTTCTTACAATAATTTTCTGTTTTTTTTAATTGAAATTTGGAAAAGAAAACATTTTGGCGCGTCTCTCTCTTCTTAACACCCCAAATAAAAAGTAAACAACAACAACAGCAACAACAACAAAGAAGAAGAACAAGATCATCATCATCGATATAACACTATCATTCAGTTCGTCTCATTTGAAGTCCGGCTCACCAAGTCAATCAGAAAAAGAAATAGAATAAAATAAGATAAGATAAGATAAAATGGGACGTTTACTGGGGCTCGAATTGCACAATTTTAAATCCTACAAAGGTACCACGAAAATCGGATTTGGAGATTCAAATTTTACAAGTATTATTGGACCTAATGGTTCAGGTAAAAGTAATATGATGGATGCAATCTCTTTCGTCCTGGGGGTCCGTAGTAGCCATCTGCGGTCACATCAATTGAAGGATCTGGTATATAGAGGTCCCTTACAAGAAAATTCAATGGAGATGGATGATGATAATAATGAAAGTGAAAATGAAAATGAGAATGAGAATGAGAATGCTTATGTTTGTGCATTTTATAAAAAAAATGATAATGTAATTAAATTACAAAGAAATATTTCAATACATGGAGATAGTGATTATAAGATTAATGATAAAATTGTCTCTTATAAAGAATATGCAAAATGGTTAGAAAATGAAAATATTCTTGTTAAAGCAAAAAATTTTTTAGTATTTCAAGGTGATGTTGAACAAGTTGCATCACAATCTCCGATGGATTTATCCAAATTAATCGAAGAGGTTTCTGGCTCAAATCAATATAAATTTGAATATGAAAAATTACAAGATGAAGTTATAATGTTAGGTAAAGCAACCGCAGATGCTAATAAAAATAGTAAAAGAGCAGAAAACGAATTAAAGACTTTAGAACAAGGAATTAATCAAGATAATGAATATAAAAATAATATTAAACAAAAGAAAACTTTGCAAAAACATTATGCATTATGGCAATTATATCATTTAGAAAAGACTCGTCAATCATTTACTAGTACAATTAAACAATCAAATGAAAAAATTAATCAATTGAAAAAAAAATTAATTGATGAAGAACGTAATTTAATAAGAGCTCAAAAATTAGTATCTCGTGATGCAACAAGTATTACAAAGAATAAAAACACATTGGAATATATACAAAGAGATCATGAAAAATTAATTTCTGATTTAAAATTAGTTCATTTACCACAACAAACTACTAAGAGACGTATAGATTCAATTGAACAAAGAATTACTACTTTTGAAAAAGATATAGAGAGACAAAAATCCTATATTGAAAGATTTGAAAAACAATTAAAAGTTATTAATAAAGCAAAAAAGAATTTTGAAGAGGAAATTATAGAAATTAATAAGAATCAAATAGATTATCAATTATCTAAGGAAGAATTAGTAGAGTATGAACAATTGAAAGGTAAATATTTAGCAACAGGTGGTGCTCCAATTGAAGAATCATTAGCTTTATTAGAAAACGATAAAGAAGAAGTTACAATTGAATTAAATAGATTTGAAAAAATATTAAATGCAACACATGAAAAAATTAATAATGAAATTCAAATTAATTTAGAAGATAAAAAATTAGAATTAGAAAAATTAACATCTTCATTAAATGATAAAAATGCTCAACATACAGGAAAAGTTAATGAATTAAAGGATTTACAATCGCAAATAGAATCTAATAGTAATAAAGAATACGATCTCAATTATAAACTAAGGGAAACTTTGGTTAGAATTGATGATTTAAGTGCAAATCAAAGAGAATCATTAAAGGAGAAAAAGACTCGTGAGAATGTCACAGCTTTGAAAAGATTCTTCCCCGGCGTAAGAGGTCTTGTTCATGATTTATGTCATCCAAAGAAGGATAAATATGCTTTGGCTGTCTCTACTGTTCTTGGTAGAAATTTTGATTCCATCATTGTGGATTCTAGTGCTACCGCTCAAGAATGTATTTCATATCTAAAGAAACAAAGGACAGGTGCTGCATCTTTTATCCCATTGGATACAATTGAATCTGAAGTCGCATCATTACCTGTATCTGGTGGAGCTAATGGTTATTTATTAGCCATCAATGCTATGGAATACGAACCACAATATGAAAGAGCTATTCAATATGTTTGTTCAAACACTATTATTTGTGATACTTTAAACATTGCTAAAAAATTGAAATGGGAACAAGGAATTAATTCAAAATTAGTTACACTCGATGGTTCATATATTCATAGAGCTGGGTTAATGACAGGTGGTACTTTAAAGAATCAAAATAATAGATGGGATAAAGAAGAATATCAAAGTTTAATGGTTTTGAAAGATAAATTATTAATGGAAATTGAAGATTTGACTGCTTCTACTTTATCTGCATCTTTGAAAGCAAGAGACCTCGAGAGTGTAATCTCCATGTTGAATTCTGAGATTGCTAACATTCGTATCAATTTAACACAAACAACTAGAGCCATTGATGATATAAAAATTGAATTAACAAATCAAAATGAATTAATAGAAAAAGAATATTTACCAAAGATTTCTTCGTTAAAGGAAAAAATTAAAGAATTAGATAATTTAATAGATTTGAAAAATCAAGAGAAAGAAACTTTACAAGATATGATATATAAAACATTAACTGAAAGAGTTGGTTTCACTGTAAAAGATTATGAGAGTCATTCTGGAGAATTAATGAGAAAACAAAACAAAGAATTAAAACAATTACAAAAAGAAATTTTAACAGTTGAAAATAAATTAGAATTCGAAGTAGAAAGATTAGCCACTACGGAGAAGAGATTTGAAAAAGCACAAACTGATTTACAAAAAACCAAGGCAGAATTGAAATCGCTTCAAGATGAAGAATCACATGCACATTCAAAGATCTCTAAGAATGAAACAAAGATACAAGAACAAAATGAAGAAATCACTAAATTACAAGAATCTTTAATTGCTAAACAACGTGAATTGGCGGTTACAGAAGGTCGTGTTACTGATTTAGAGTCACAAATTGAAACACAAAGTCGTCAAATTGATGAAATTAATGGTGATGGTGAAAAGATAGAATTAGAGAGAGTTGGTATATTACAAAATTGTAAAATAGCAGGTATTCAAATTCCTGTTCTTTCAAGTACAGATTTAGCAGATCTTCCAATTGCACAAATTGATGATAAAACTTTAGATATATCAAAAAAAATTGATATAGATTATGATGATTTACCTAAAAAATATAAAGAAAACAAAGGTCAATCAATTCGTACAGAATTTATTTCAAAGATTAAAAATGCTGATGAAAAATTAAGTGTTTTACAACCAAATGCTAGAGCCTCTGAGAGACATAATGATGCAATGGAAAGATTTAAAGAGATCAATGAAGAGAGAACTAATTTAAAAGAAAAGGAGAATCATGCAATGAAACGTTTCCGTGAAGTTAAAACCGCTAGAAAGAATCTTTTTGAAAAGGCCTTTGATCATGTTAGTGAACACCTTTCAGTTATCTACAGAGAATTAACTAGAAATCCAAATTCATCTATGGAATTAAGTGGTGGTAATGCATCTTTAACTTTGGAAAATGAGGATGAGCCATTTAATGGTGGTATTAGATATCATGCTACTCCACCTTTAAAAAGATTTAAAGATATGGAATATTTATCAGGTGGTGAAAAGACTGTTGCTGCATTAGCCCTTTTATTTGCCATTAATTCATATCATCCAAGTCCATTCTTTGTATTAGATGAAGTTGATGCTGCATTAGATATTACTAATGTAGAGAGAATTGCCATGTATATTAGAAGACATGGTAACCCAGATTTACAATTTATTGTCATATCTTTAAAGAGTTCAATGTTTGAAAAATCTGATGCATTGGTTGGTGTCTTTAGACAACCTAATGAAAATACATCAAAAGCTGTTACATTAGATTTACGAAATTACGCAGATTAGAAGCACAGAAATACTCTGACTTAACTATAAGAACATACTACCCATCACACACACCTCCAAGTCTAAATCAATACATTTGCTAGTATTCCACCCCATATATATATATATATATATCATATCATAGGTAATAAAATTATCATTACTTGACTCGTTATACATCGGCAATTGAGGTAAAACATTCATTACTTCATTGCCGCCCCCCTTAAAATAACTGGAACCAAACTGGATTTTCTGGGGGAGCGAAAGCCGCGCGTGCGTATTTTGTCTGCTATTGCCATTCTACTGTAACAAATTTTGTCCATCCCTTCGCTTTCACATATATTAAATTATTAAAGACTTACTATATATATATATATACATATATATATATATACATATATACAACTAGGTGAAAGGGTGTTAAAACTATATCATCGATTTAATAACAATTGAAAAGAAAGAGGTAAAAAATTTTAATAATTAAGATTATTACCATTATATTTGCTTATATTGAAAGTAGTACAAAACAATATCTGTACTAGCAACCAAAATAAAAATTGATCAGCGACTTTTTTCTCTTTTACTCATCAACTTTTATCCTTAACTTTAGCGTAAATATATAAAGAGACGTTATATTTGCTCTAAACTTTTAATATTCTCATATACATATATCTCGTTATGTCTCATGAAGATCTACAAGCACCAATTCCTATAAAGCGGAACAAAGTGATGTCTCATCTAAATTTAAGAGAATTAGCAATTAAACGATCAAGTGATGAAAGACAAGCAAGGACTCCCAATATTAGATCACCAGAGACACCTTCTTTGCTCAGTAGAAGTCCATTGAGAGCTAGATCTGCTACTCCTACAAGATGGCAGTCACCGAGTGAATTTAGAACGGATATGATAATTAATGATAGAATGAAACACTACAACTTAGATTATCCAGAAGATTTAGATACATATAAGAAAGCTTTATTTGATCCCGAATCTAAATGGTTTAGTAGGAATGTTAAACCAAAATTTAGACCCTCCGAAAATTTACCTTATAAGATTGAAACACATCAGGAACAAGCAAAATACTTATGTCATGTACTTGTGAACCTGTATATCGCTATTTCATCGTTAGATATTGAAGGTTCAATTGCAATCTCTAATAAAGATCTGGGTGAACTAAAATCTCAAATTGATGATTTGGCTTTAAAAACCGATATGTTTAGAATTGCCAGAGAAGATACCCCTGCAGGTTATGAGAGTTTTGATGACGAAGAATTATATAATGAAAATGATTATATTAATGCAATGGGGCCAGATGCTCATTCTAGAGGTAAAATTACTACTAAATCTTCTAGTATTATTAATGTGAATCATTGGACTAATGAGTTACAAAATTGTTTGACTTTTGATATACCATTAACTTTAAGAAAATCTCTTGCAACAGTTTATTACTATTTGGTCCTTGTTAAAGGACAGAAAGTTGCAAGAGACTTACATATTCAAACTTTTGAAATATTAGTGGATACTTTAGATGAAGGTGAAGACTTTACAGCTTTATTAAAAAAATCAGACCTTGTGCTGGATCATACGCCATTGTTTAAATTTTTTTGTTCTTTCTTACCATATCCTGATGCTGATTATACTCGATACGATTTATCATCAAAGGAGGATTCAAAATTATTTAAATCATTATTAAGATTGGCAATTCATTCAAGACCATTTTTTGATGAACAAGATGTATCAATAGTTAAAGAGTCAATGAACGTTTTACTTTCAAGTTTTTCTCCAGCTACGTTGTCAACTATTTTACCTATTATAGCATCATATATTCCTTGCCATTATCACAAGCAGTCTAGTGTCATTGATTATTTCCCATTTTGTTTTTCTTTATGGACATCTGTAAACGCTAACGTCGTGGTAGATACAAATTTATTTGATTTTGTGGGGCATGTTGCTGAAGATGTTCATTCAAAACTATTATTGAGAAGTGATTTCTTTTTAAATGAATCTGGCATAAAATTAGAAAAATTTGGGATCTTTACTGATGATCAAATGACATTTTTATTTAATAGACTGCAAGGTCATTTAAGAACTAATGCACAAGTATTTTCTTATTCAAAGATGTTGCGACCATTCATTTATAGTATTATGAGTGATAAAAAGCAAAACTATGCATTTTTTGATAAATTAGGCTCTTTAATGAGATCCTTAGAAACATATATATATCCATCTAATATGGGTGTATGGACTAAACCAATTGCTAAATTTATTCATACTTTTATTAAGATGTATCATGCAAGAGTTCAATTAGAAAAAAGAACTGCTATAAAAGATGCTAGTCATAGATGTCTTACTGTTGAATGTCATTCCAAAATTATTAATTTGTTCCTTAATACCTTGAGAATTGGTGCACAAAACAAAAATGTAGATGTCGCAAACTATTACATTTCTTGTTTTGCCTATTTATTAGATTTGGAATCTACTAATCGTCACCTTATATTTGATAGAGTTCTAGAAGATATGTATGACGCGTTATCTGGTGAATATATCGAAGCTAAACATAGAATTTTCTCTGCTTTTAAACAATTTACAAGGGTGGTAAGATTTATGACAGTTGATAAATTGTATCGTGTCCATATTACTAATATTTTAACTATGCTCATTGATAAAATTGATTCAAACGATTTAATTTTAACAGGTAGTATTATTAATATTGTAGTATCTATCGTGTCCTTCACACCATTCAAATCACTTGTCGGCAAAGATGAATATTTGGAATTCCAATCTGATACTATCCCATTTGTCCAACAACATTACATGTATTTTAAAGAAAATAAGAAAGAATCTTTTGTATTTGATAATGATTTATTAGAAAGATCCTTTAGAGCTTCAACAACAGAATTTAAAAATATTATTTTTAAATATATTGATAAATTATATCAATTAGTAGATGATGAGTTAACTGATAATTTTGTAGTAAAGTTGAACCAGACAACTCTAATGTTAATAGAAGCATTAGATGAACAACATTTAGATTATTTTGCAGATATTTTTATTAAACAATTCTGGGATAATGAAGCATTCAAGAGTGAATCTCCATATTATGTATTGATTTCGACACCAATGGCTTGTCTGATTAGACGAAAACCATCTTTGATAAATTCAGTTCTGGAGATGTTAATGATAAACATGAAAGAACAAGTAGAAAGAGGTGGTGGTTCTGTTAGAGACGCAACATTACAAGGTAGAGATATTAAACTTGCCCTATACTTAATTACGTTTAATGAAGTTTTGAGATTTAGTTATGATGCATTAGTCCCTTATAAGGGAAAATTAAAAGAATTTATTGAATATTTGATAGAAAATATTTCAAATCCAGTATTAGACTCCTTAACAACCGTAACCATTCATAATATATTGAGTTCATTAACATCTACAGAAATAATAGGTCAAGAAATGTTTTCTGAGACTTGTTCAATTCCTGACGAAGAAAGATGGGGTGGATTACAATTTGATTCTAGAAAATTTGATCAAGAGAATTTGAATTTTAGGTGGCATATTCCTGCTGAAGAAGAAATTGAAACTACGTTCGATTTATTCCAATGGAGTACAGATCTTGCTATTGAAAAGATTGAGCAAACCATGGCCATCAGGCCAATCACTACCAAGACAAATGATTATTTGCAAAAATTTATGTTATTGTTAGGTTATGGGTTATCTGGGTCAAGTCTGCTCTTTGATGCAAACTTCAACAAGAATATACATAGTTCAAAAGTGGGAGATCAGTCATCGTATAGAGAAAAATTATTGTTATTAAAATATGTGAGAGAGAAAAAATATGACACCCAGGACATAAATATTGATATTGAACAGATAAATTTAGGGAAGCAAGATGATGAATCTTCTTCAGAATATGGAGATAATACCAGTATTTCAGATACAAAGTCAGATATTGTGGTTGTTAATGATGATATTCCAGATGAATTATATGCCGTTGAAGATGGTATGTCCGAGGTTCCATCGGCAATTTGTACTCCTGTACCAGGACAAGCAGTACCTAATTCGTCTTTGAACAGTGACCTTTCGTTTAGGGACTTGGATATTTACAAATGTAATTATTACTTCGGTTCAACTGTAGAGGAAAATTTTGAAAATCCTTTATACTTCGAATTCCACAAAATCAGATCGAAGATTGGTTTATTTTATCACAAACTTTATGGTCATTTTAACGAAAATTTTGAGAATAGTACAACAACATATGAGGTGCTATTGCACGGTATGAGTACCTGGTTTATGGATCTTGGTCATGGGAGTTTCTATACTGACACTGCGTCTACTATTATTGATGTTGAATTCATTGAAAATCTTCAATCACTTTCTCATTTGGACCAACCATTTACAAGAGTGTGTCTTTCTGCGAAGGTGAACGGTTATCACCAAGATCGTGTTATTATGCACAGTACTAATAGGTACCCATCCAAATTAGAAGTTCAACTTTTGAGAGATTTGGTCAATCTATCTATGTCTGTGTATCCAGATATTCAAAGAGGTGCACAGGGTTGTTTGGTTGAATGTATGAAACAACTAATAGGCTCCTACTCTATTGTTTCCAAACAAGTAACGGAGGCCTTAAAAGAATCTCTCGAAGCCCATTCCAATAAGAAAGTGGACGCATGTTTAAAGGTTTGCCGCTCAAAAAAGATTCTTTCTAAAATGATAAAGGATTATAAATCACTTGGCAAGTTTATATCTTTGATATTAGATTGTTGTAATATAAGTGAATTCGATATCGATGTTCACGCAGATTCCATTCTAACAGACATTATGTTTGGCATAAAGATACCTCCTAGTGTGTGCTTATATGATAAAAGAATGTATGAGGCCATTACACCACCAGATCCATCTGTAAACCTTCAAGTAGAGGCTGTAAAAAAGGCTAAAGAAAACAAAAGAAAAGTTTATTTGGAATTGCTTGCGAAATTAAATTCAGATATCGTAAAACGTTTAGATGGCAATCAATTTGGTTGGAAGACGCAGGTATTCCTAATTAGATTTATTACCAAAATCCAATCTGATTTAGAGATACCAATTGATTCAGAAAGTCTTAGAGTAATATTTGTCCAGAGTTATTCGAACCATCCAAAGTTAATCCACTTGGTATTAAAGTCTCTATTATCAATCTCTAATAAAATTTTATCGCTTTCTGATTACAATCATGTTATTAATAATTCTATAGATGATTCGTTTGATCCTGCAACGGTTATGGAAATTTCTACTGTTGGAGATGATTTTAAAAATAGATTTTTAATGGAGATGAACAATTTTACAGACCCACAGTACTACATTGATTCAAAAGTTTATCAAGGGTGGCTGTGTTGGGGTAAAAATATGAAAGTAATAACATCGAAAAAATTTGAAATCAATTTAACTGAGGAGGAAGAAATTGTGTTCAAGACATTCGGTTCATTGGTTACAAGAGAATATCTCGAGACTATAATAACTGCTCTAATTAAGGATAACGAAACGAGAGTAGTATTTAGTAGTAGCGAGGTTTCTTATTTTGTAGTGATAATTATTATGATTTCCAAGGGTTTCACTTCATTAACGTTTAACGATCTTTGTGAAATGTGTAAGTCTTTCTATGTGGTTACAGATAAGGCTTCGATGATTATATCGGTTGAGATTATAGGTGCCATGATGTACTCCACTAAATATATTGCAAAGGATAGAATGAAAATCCAAGAAATCTTTTTAGAAGAATTCTTATCAAAATGTATCAATGAAGAATTAAATCAGGATGCATTTGATATCTGGAGTACCCTTTGTTGGTGGCTACCATGTGTTATTGATGTTAGAAGATCACCATCGTTCGTGAATCATTTTGCGACTCTTGGTTCATGGTTAAATGCTGACTCTGATAGAGTCAACGATCAATGCTCTAGATTAATGATGTTGAGAAATGTTTTGACCAGTTTAGAATATAGATCTTTTGAAATACAGCCAATTTTAGAAGGGTTAATTTTTGATCATCCTTATGTTAAGGTTCGTGAAGCAACTGCACGTCTTTTCACCACATTGATTCAGAATGACTGCTACCCATCAATGAAAGACTCTAAGACTCTATTATTGGCTAATTATTCCGAAGGTAGTTTGGGACTACCTTTGAAACAAATATCAGAGAGGATGGATAAAGTGATAAAGTTGAATTTTAAAAACATTGCTCAAGAGTATCTTAAAGTAATTTCTTTGAGTTCTCAGGAGATAATCAAAACAAGATATTTTTATTTATCATCTTTCATGTTTTACTGGATAAGGGAAATGGTTAAGGGGCCTAACAGGATTTTATTAATTCCTTATGTAACCAACTATGTGGTTCCTTTCTTGAGGGTATTACTGGGCCAAAAAGATGTTTGCAAACTTGGAGGTATTGATCCGGGTAGAGTAGTCCTAAGTTTGGGTTCCATGGCTATTAGAAAGGATTACATTGGAGATTTGATTAGTTTGTTAAGTAACTCAGACAGTACTCAGGCTGAACAGGCGCCATCGACTTCATCATACCAAATAAGAGTCCAATTAATTTTCCTTGAATTCCTACTCTCGAATCTTTTGTTACAATTAACTGAAGATGATAAGAATCATATATATGATTTCATTTTACTTCAGTTGCATAATCCAACGTATATGGAAGTCAGAGTTCAAGCCGCAGCTGTTCTGTCAGACATTGTACACAACATGGGTGCTACAGAAAGGGTTCAAACTTTATGCAATACATTTGATAAAGTGTTACAAAAGTATACATGGCAAGAGAAGAAGAATTTATCAAAGACCAATATTGAGGCACATGCTAGTTTATTAGGTTTGGGTGCCATTATCAATGCATTCCCATATATATTCCCACTTCCATCTTGGATCCCAGCACAATTATCTGTAGTGTCGTCATGGGCTCGAACGAATGGGATGTGCGGTACAGCTGCTAAGGACACAATTAACAAATTTAAGAAAGTTAGAGCCGATACTTGGAAATTTGATAGAACTTCATTTACATCAGATGAGTTAGAGGACCTAGAAGGTGTTCTGTGGCGTAGTTACTATGCATAGTTAACATTTTTATCGCAGTGTTAACATCGTTTATATATATATACATGTATACACTTCTTTGTATAATCAAAAATTTGAACATTTGAAATGTTGATACTACAACTTGGAGTAGTTCATGTAAAACTATATCCCTGCTTTGATTTAAAGAAATTCTTAAATGATGTGACAAGATTGTATTATGCTACGAAAGTTAATAGTGCTTCACTATGTTTCTACATTTGGATAGAGAAGTGGGCATTTTTTCTTGCCCAAAAGTATTGGGACAACCTATTACACGGACGTAAATAACAGTACTAAAATCAATAACAGCACGGAGTACTCTATTTCCCTGTTATGAATATCCATATGCATATATCTATCTACATAAAGTGATTCTTTTTAACTTTCTAGAACGAACGAAAATAACTCACAAAGGTCCTGATGAAATATATTATATTATATTATACTATATTATGCTATTGTATGTCGCCTAAATCTCATTCAATTTCGCTCTCTTTCTCTTTCTGTCTCAAGAAGGAAAAGTGAAAGAAAAGGAAAAGAAAAAAAAAAAAGGAAAGAAGCCAATAAATGAAGAAGACAAAAAAATGGAACCTTTTATCTCTTTTGACTGCGAATATAAGTTATAATAAAGGTTTCCATTTGTTTAAAGAGTTGTAACCATTATTATTCGTTAGTACTAACTTGTTTTAATAGTATCATTATAAAGCAGGCCTCTACTGAAAAGAAACCCGGATTTTATAAAGTACAAGGGGGAAACCTAGAATATAACGTCTACGTATTAATATAAATCGATTTAAAGATGTCAGGGAATACAAAAAACTATGATTCTATCATGAAGATCCTACTAATTGGGGATTCAGGTGTCGGGAAGTCCTGTCTTTTAGTCCGTTTTGTCGAGGATAAGTTCAGCCCTTCATTTATTACTACTATTGGTATTGATTTTAAGATAAAAACTGTTGATATTAATGGTAAGAAAGTTAAATTACAACTATGGGATACTGCTGGCCAAGAAAGATTCCGTACTATTACTACAGCCTATTACCGTGGTGCTATGGGTATTATTCTTGTATATGATGTTACAGATGAACGTACTTTTAAGAATATTAAGACGTGGTTTAATACTGTTAGTGAGCATGCTAATGATGATGCACAATTGTTATTAGTTGGTAATAAGAGTGATATGGACACACGTGTAGTAACGACAGAACAAGGTGAAGATCTTGCCAAGGAACTCGGAATACCCTTTGTGGAGTCAAGTGCTAAAGATGATAGTAATGTTGATGATATTTTTTTCACATTAGCTAAATTAATCCAAGAGAAAGTGGATAGTAACCAAGTAAGTGGTGGAGAGACAGGTAGGGATGGTATTAATATCAACACAAGTAATAATAGTTCAAAGTCAGGTTGTTGTTAGGTACATTTTAAAGTGTAATAATTTATTTAGTACCTTTTTGTTGATTCCTTTGGAGTATTTTATTTTGTTATTTTACCCTACTCACTTTCACTACCTCTATTTTGCTACAATATTGTGATATATTTATATTTTTAATTATATATATATATATAGAGATATATATGTGTACATATTTCAAGAAACAATCTAAAAAAAATCAATGTACTTCTAATGGGAAACCTTCCCTATACTAAAAAAGGATATACGCATGAATATTATATATAACTGGACATTAAAAACTAAACAAATTTATATAACAGACTGGTGTATATATATGTTTGTATTAACCCCTTGGGCAAGAAGTACCACGGTTTGAGAATGTTTTTTATAATTCTTTTCCCAAAAATGGATATCCCACTAAATAAGATGTTTTTAGTCTAAGATGTTTTAAAAAGAGTTTAATGACATTACGAAGACAATGTGTAAAGAGGCATAAAGAAGCTTACGATAAATTCCTCATATTTCAAGGAGAAAAACGTGCCATTTATGTTATCTTCTGTTATTTCAAAAATATTTGTATTTTGCATTGGGAAAAGAAATATGTATTAATTACAATAATCTATGTTTCCTCATGCATCTTAATTGAAATGTATGTACGAAACATTATCAACCCATAGAGCCATATCTATATATTCAAGAAAATTAGAAATATTTACCCATATCGTATTTTATCAAATATTGTATTGTTTTTATTATTACCATTGTCTTCTATCCTTTCATTCCTTTTGTGCGATGATTTCTTTACTAACCGATAGGATATGCATCATTTAACAAATATTTCAAGAAAATGTAAGCAAGAAATTGAAAATATATTGAAACAAGGGAAAAACTACCCTTCCACTTAGTTCACTTTCACTCTCTTTTAACTTTCAGTTCACCTCAGTTGGTTTCTCTTATTTTATTTATTCTCTTATTGTTTTCGTATTGGGCTTACCACATGTTACGATTTTTCTTCCTTCTTTTTTCTTCTTTTGGTGTGAAAAGGAGTTGGAAAAGGCTTAAAACAAAGGAAATAAATGAGACGATTTTTCATTGCAGCAAAATAGATCGTTTCGATAATAAATAATATATAACATTCTCTTGGGCTATTCGTTGCATTTATTTTTGTTGCGAGTACTTGAAATAAAATTACAATTAAGAATCATTCATAAATATATATAAGCAGATATTTTATTAGTGCTCTACTTGTATTTATTTATTTATTTTTAAGGCTCTGTTGAGAAAGAGAATAAATATATAAAAAAGGGTCCCCCCTCTATATCATCATTTGCAAGCTATCCCAAAGCACACATACTACCAGAAGTTTAAAAGAAAATCAAAAAGTGATATGTTATTTGGTGTAAAGTTAGCGAATGAAATCTATCCTCCTTGGAAGGATTCTTATATTAATTATGATCATTTGAAAGAGTTACTTAAGGAGAATGACGACAATTCAACTACTACTAAAGACACGTGGTCTGAAAGAGATGAATCCAAATTTGTTGAAGCATTAGATAAGGAATTAGAAAATGTTTATTCCTTTCAAATTCAGAAATATAATAATCTTTTAGATAAATTGATCAATTTAGAGAAAGAAACATCTTCAGAAGAAAAAATTAAAACTATTGATCCAGAAAATTTTCAACGTATTCTTGAAGATTCTTTAACAGAAGCTCAAGAATTAGATAATTTTTCAAGATTAAACTTTACAGGGTTTATTAAAATTGTTAAAAAACATGATAAATTACATCCAAAATATCCATCTGTAAAATCTTTATTAGAGGTTAGATTAAAAGAATTACCTTTCCATTCAGAAGAATATTCTCCTTTATTATATCGTATCTCTTACCTTTATAATATTTTAAGAGGAAATTTTAGTACAGTTTCCCAATCTTTGGCAAGTACTTCAAAACTATCAAATGTTGCGTCTGTTGAACCATCAAATACAGAGTACAAGATTTATAAATTTTGGATTCATAAAGATAATTTAATGGAAGTAAAGACCAGAATTTTACGTCATTTACCGGTATTAGTATATGCTCAAACACCTACAGAAAATGATGATTTAATTGATAAATTTGAATCTGAAATCTTAGATACTGATGGTGGGATTCAATCTTCAAATTCAAGTCCTGCAACCAGTGATAGAAAATTAGGCCATAATACTTTAGATCCAATGATTACTACTTTATATTTCGATAATGAATTCTTTGAATTATATAATAATAAATTATTGAAAAGTAGTAGTGCTCCAACTTTAAGATTAAGATGGACTGGGAAATTAGTCGATAAGCCTGATTTATTTCTGGAAAAGAAAATGGTTGTTGATGGTAACAATAATAACAATGATGATGAACAACCTGCTCATTTTGAAGAATTGAGGTTAAAGATGAAACAAAAATATTTAAATGGTTTTATCTTTGATGGCGAAAAAAGATATGAAGAATCCGTTCTTAGAAGAATGAAAGAAAGTGGTTCTCCAAATTCAACCATTGTTAAGACACAATCAGATTTTGAAACTATGCAAAAATTTATCATGGAAGAACAACTTCAACCTGTTATGAGAACAATGTACACAAGAACTGCATTCCAAATTCCAGGTGATGATAGAATTAGAGTAACCATCGATTCAGATATTTTATTTATCAGAGAAGATTCCTTAGATAAGTCAAGACCTGTTAGAGACCCAAAGAGTTGGCATAGAACTGATATTGACGCAGATGTCTCAAATTCAATGAGGTTTTTAAGATCTGGGGAATACGCTAAGTTCCCATTTTCCGTCATGGAAATTAAGATTAAAGAGGTTAATTCAGAAGGTAATTCTTTTGCTGGTAATACAACAATGTCTATGGAAAAATTACCAAGAAAACATGGTCAATGGTTATCTGAATTAACTAATTCTCATTTAGTGAAAGAAATTCCAAAATTTTCTACTTTTATCCAGGGTATTGCTACTCTTTTCGGTGAGGATGATAAGTTAGATATCTTACCATTCTGGTTACCAGAATTGGAGAATGATATTAGAAGAAATCCAAAACAAGCTTATGAGGAAGAAGAATTGAAGTTAAAAAAACAAAAAGAAATTCAGAAGAGATTAGATGGAATGAGAAGATTATCAAAGATTCAAAAACAACCACCTTCCTTAAACGAATTTGACTCATCATTATCTCAATCAGAAAATCATATCATTAATATAAATGGCGCAACCGATACAGCTAATCCAACTTCATATGAGGCTGACTTAGAGGATTATGAATCATCTGAGGAGGACGATGTGGATCAATCAGGTGGAAGAACTCATTTAAAGAAGGGTATCAGAAGAATTCCTAAGAAAAAGCAGACTACAGAAGCTATTTTCTTGAATATCTTGGCCGGGAGAGAGTCTAAGTTAACTGGATTTGATTCAGAAGAAGAAGAAATTATATTACCTGCAGGTGTACGAAAGCCAACTAGTTACATTAAAAATGCAGGTCCTGTAAAAGTTGAAGCTAAGGTTTGGTTAGCTAATGAACGTACTTTTAACAGATGGTTAAAAGTTACTACATTATTGAGTGTTTTAACATTTTCTATTTACAACTCAGTAAGAAAATCAGCTTTTCCAAAATTGGCAAATACTTTGGCGTACATATATTTTGGACTAACTATCTTCTGTGGTCTATGGTCTTATAAGACATATATGGATAGATTGAAGGTTATAAAAGAGAGAAGTGGAAAACATTTGGATGCTCCATTGGGACCTATCATTGTCGCTGTGGTGTTAGCATTTACTTTGATTGTAAATTTCTTGGTCGCATTCAGAGAGGCAGCAACAAGGAAGAACCCAGCATTTACTACTTCAGCAGTCAATGGACAGGCGCTTGAACTATCGAGTACACTACAACCGATTCAAAATTTTATATTCAGGTTAGTTGGTGCCGAACAAAACTAAGTATTGTTATATATGAAGCAAAATGTTAGAAAGCATTTAAAAAAAATACATATAATATTCATCTATGGTTCTATCTTTTCATACTCATAATAGCATTCAATTCCACTATTATTTACTTAAATAGACATGTGAATACAGGTAATCTATTATTATGTAATTGGATTTGTCTGCGTCTTATTTAATAAAAGCAATTTTAAGATTTTTGAATTTTGTATGTTGTTTGGCGTAACATTTCTTTATTTGATCATTCTGTGAATGATTCCATAAATTGCATTTGCAATAACTTTAATGTATCGAGATTTATTTTATCCTCCATGGAATTCTGTCTCAGTAAAGAAAGAAAATTTTGAATCTTCTTCATTTGGTTTACCTCCTTTTGGTTTAACTGTTTATCATTAGAAAGGGTATCAGAATCGTCTGCATTATTATTTCGACAGTTAGATAAGTTATTGGCAATTACATAGGAATTATCTATTACTGCCTTTGGAAAAATCTTCGAGACAACTTTTAGTGCACTGTGTTCGATAATGGAAGAGGACTCGTGTAGTCGATATAGCATTTTCATCTTGTCCCCAAGGATATCTGTTCTCATATGAAGATGCATTACTGAAGGTTTATTGATCAATATCTTGGGAATTTCCTGAAAATGTGTAGAGATAAAAGCTACGCATTTAGAATGTAGTATAAATTCAGTTGCAGCCAAAGATATTGCGAGTCCGTCACAAACACTGGAGTTTCTTCCAAGCTCATCAAGAATTAATAATGTATCTTCGGAGAGACCATCCATACAATATGCTGTTTCTTTCATTTCAAACATAAAGTTTGAAGAACTCAATTCCAAGGAATCGTTGCATAGCCTTGCATGAAGATTCTTAAATATTGGTAGGGTAGCAGATTTGGCCGGTATAGGACAACCAATTTGAAACATGATACATAAGAGGGCCACCTGCTTGAGGTATACAGATTTTCCACTCATGTTACAACCAGTAATAATTTGAAGGTTCGAACTACCTTTGATGCTTCTAATATTATTTGGAACAAAATCAGGAAGAGTGGTATCCAGAACCGGGTGTCTGGCATCTTCTACTTGTATATTGTAGCCAAACTCCGGGAAGGTATATTTATATTTTGAAGTATTGGTACTATAGGAACATATTAAATCCAGTAGAGAGATAGCTTCTGATACCATAAAAAACGCTGCGATATGTTTCGTTAACTCATTAAGCAGTGAATGGACAGCTTTTTCACTAAGGAGGCATATTTCAGTGATTATATCCCTTAGTCTGGTGTTAAATTTAATTAACTTCAAAGTATGACACTCAATCCATCTGCCTTTCACCACTTTATTTATGTATTCTTCTGGAAGAGCATTCATGTCAGGCCAGTCATTTCTGGGAATTCTGATAACGAAACCTCTGGATGAGTCTAATGTATGGTCTACTGGTACACCTAAATCATCAGATAGTTGCTCGACTTCTTCCGAAATTTGATCTATTATATTTTTGTAGACACCCCTGGCTGCTTCTAATAACCCATTGGATCCATTTTTGACTGCGTAGATTTTTTGATTCTGTAGATTTATATTAGATGAAGCCCATCCACAATCTTCATTAATCACATTATCAATTTCTTTTTGGGCAATTTTTATTGCAGGTGAACCTAAAATTCTTTTAACTTCCCTCAATAGGGAGCTCTTAAGGTCAACGTCAGTAAATATTTCATTGACTAGTTGAATTTGGCGAATTGTGTTTTTGAGTAACAAAACATAATTTACTTTCTGTTCGGCACGTACAGTAATATTTTCCACATATAGGAGCTTCGAAAATAATTTATCCATATCATGAAAATGCTTAAGATTACAACAAACAGTTTCAAGAAGGCCATCATGTTCGAGCATTTCTTTGACTGCCTCTATTCTTAGTGCTATTCCATCCTCGTTGGTGAGTGGTTGTAAAATGTTATTTCTGAGTAGCCGTCTACCCATACAAGTTGACGTAGAGTCCAAGAATTTAAGCAATGATAACTTGTCCCTCTCTATATTATTTTCTACTAGCTCTAAATTTTTTATTGTTAAAAGGTCTATTAACATTGTGTCGTCTGGAGCCTCGAAAACGATTCTCAGGCTTTTAAACTTGTGGTATAAACTGTCTTTTGTATTACGATTATTTATGTATTCAAAAGCTCCTGCAATAGCCCGTAACCCATGAGTCTTTTCAACGAAATTTGCTTTTTTAGATTCCATCTGGAACTTATTAATAATCTGAAGACCTTCACGATCATCAAATAACTTATGTGGAATATTTGAAATTTTAGTGGCCTCAGGAACATTGTATTTAATTACAGATATTAATTTAGAACTTGTAGGAACCATTGATGTTGTAGGTACCAGAATTTCAGTTGGATTATAAATCTGCAATTTATGAATGACTCTAATGAATATTTGAGAATCAATAAATTCCGAAAAGGTCAAAGTTCCCAGATTTAAATTTATAGCACATATACCAACTTTTGTTTCTAAACTGTTTCTATTTTCAAATATGGAACATATTATCCTATCTGGGGAACTATCTAGCACCTCTGTAAGGGTAGGAATGGCACGAAACTTAGCTCGTTTGCTTGTATCTCTTGTTACAGTAGTTTCGAAAATATGTCTATATGATGTCATATTTGATTGTGATCCATGAGTTCTATTGGAAACACTATTATCCAAATCCTTGGTGCTCTCCTGTTGGTCATTTGGGAGTAATAATTTCTTATTTCCGGAAATACTCTTGACAGCTGCGTTCTGTGCTCTTTCCTTGAAATAGTTTTGATTTATAAAACTTGATAAATTATGTTGCTTCATTTATGATCGTACTTCTTATCTGTTGCAAAGGAGTATAAGTGCATCTAAAATGTTCGGCGGCTAAACCTTGGTCGCGATTGATTTATATCAATTGTCTCTTTAACCACGCTCCGGAACGCATTTCCATCTTTTTTATCCTTCATAATAAGTACCGTGAGTTCACATAATTATTGGAATATATAAAGTAGTGAAATGCAAAATGCGAGTTTTTGTTGTACATGTAGACCGTTCCACCGGCATTCATAATGGTGTCTTCTTTCAAAGAATATATAAGGATAAAAAGGAAGATAAATATAAGGCATTATTTATAGATGTTTTTAAGGTAGATTCCATTAATCGAATATTAATTCAATACACAAAAAGGAACAACTGCTTTCTAAATGTACATATCTAGGTGAAAACGTAACGTTGCTGAACAAACCAATATTTTCTCATGTAAATTTAGAATTCAAAAAAAAACGACCTCGGTGAGGATTGAACTCACGATCTTGCGATTAACAGTCGCACGCCTTAACCAGCTTGGCCACGAAGTCATTGTTTGAAAATGTGGTATTTTGATACTCGGATCGGAATCTTAAAATTATATATTCTGGTTTTTTCTATCTCTATATAAATTCATTATATAAGCGAGAGACTCATAATCTGAGATAAGCTCTCTTTATATAAGATATAGATTTATATACTCAATATAGCTAAGCTCGTTAACTCCTCTAATTCCGTGTTATTTCTACCTTGTTTCATATTTCTTAGTCATTGTAAATCATTCCTTTTTCGTTCATTGTTAGGTTTTAGATATGCTTCAACCTGATTGGTTGATTCTTTTGAGTCTCCATTCTTTAGCACGTGACAAAGTGTCACTTGACTTTTAGTCTGTTTCAAATACAATAGAAAAACATTTTATCTCTACCCTATCAATCTCTAACATAATCCGGGTAACATCTGAAATGCCCTTAACTTTTTCGATATCAATTCGTTGAGGAGAGGTAAAATTTGGAATTTTACAATGTAGAGAATACTTAAACTCAATAATAAAATAATTAAATGAACAGTTTCAAAATTTGGCTGTAATGTGCAACGGTTCAGGTGTGATATACATTACATAGTTTATTAGTTTGTTTTCCATTTTATTATCTGCGCTGGCTTTTACATTTTTTTCTAGTTCTAGTGGTTTGTTAAAGTAGTAAGAAAGCATTATACTCTGTTCAACAATATTTCTTAACAACGGTTTTCGAATAAAATGTCTTTGTTATGTGTCGCGTTTAGCTTTTGAGAATACTTATTTGTATAATTGAAGTTTAAAGAAATGAGCATTAAATTAGATCATTTCCTTCAACAACAATTGGTACATTATACAATTAAAGGAGTGTACTAGATAATAACAATTAATCATTATTTCTACCACATCTATATTATATTGTTAAAGGCAAAAATTGGGAAATTTATTTCTACACGACGAGAAATGAGGAAGATTTAATCAGTGCCTAAAAATCGTAACTGGTGTAAAAATAAAACAAACATGTTCTAAATAGGGTTACTGAACCAATTTCATTTATATTGAGCTGAAGCAGACATATCGATGTTAGATTCGGATTGGTTTTGCATATTAAATAAGTGGTGATGGGTAATGAAGATTATTACGGTGGCAGTAGGTTGTAAAGCAAACGTATGTGTTACTTTTCTTCTAAATTTGTAAGTGATTTTTTATTTTTTATTTAATATACATAACGAATGAATCCTAACTCAGATTGTAAGTTCAGAATAACTCGTGTTTATATAGTTTTAACTTCTTTTGATTACCTCCTCATCTATTAGGTAATCTTCCTTACGTAATGGTTCATTATTAATACGCATATATTTTTGTATTAGTAATGTGATTACGTAATTTTCTCGTGATCTTTCCATGTTATTGGTAAAACATTCTAGATATACTTATATCATATTATTTCCGTCATATATATTTTCTACATATCTTTAAGACGGTCATGGTAAAACCATTTCTAAGGTAGAATAAAAGTTTTAGTACCTTTAGCTACTTATTGTCAATATGAACTCCCGAAGTTTACAATACTTAAGTTACTTAAGTTATTTGAGATCAATCAATCAATCATACCATACATTGAAGATAGAATGTTTGTGAGCTGACGCAGACATTCTACCGTTAGGTTCTGTTTGGTCAGTAAATTAAATAATAGAGATGAATAACTCAAAAAATTTAGATCAAAGTAACTAATAAACTTACTTTATAGCTACAATCATCTTAAAGACAACGACCCCTCAATCCAGTATTATTTAACAATGAGCAATCAATCACAATCCAAAGCTAGATTATCTGCTTTAGCCCAGTTTGATACCAACAAGACTTTCATAACCAGGAAAAATAAAAAAAATTATTAACTCCTAGCAAAACAAAAATACTTCACAATAGTATTACTATTTGAAGCAGTTTCCCTCCGAAGTTCAAACATTTTGAATAATTTTCATTTATCTACTAAAGATTTAAGAATATGTAGCGTTTCAATTGAGGTTGTTAAACCGTACGCAGTATGTGTGATATTCCCTTTCATCTATCAGCATCACACAGAAATGTAGTAAAATGCGTGCTATCAGCATCGAATCAATTGCTACCTCCAACAACCGGTATCATTCTATTTAATTGAGAGACATTGGAAACGAAAATGGTCAACTACCAAGTTTTTGTGCTATTTAGAGGCTAGAAGGTATTCAATTTACCAGGTCATGTCAGGGTAAAAGCGCGATAGATTATCTAGTAGTATACAATGACCTTGAGGTGAACACCCATTGTTTGACCAGCTAAGAATATTGATACAAAATAAGTAAAATACCTTTATGCGTTCGAATTCAAAATCTTCAGTATTGTCCTGTATAGCTCGGATATCTTCAGCAATTTTTGAAAATCATCAATGTTATCCATATACACCTCAAATTCCGTATTTTCCTTCGGGATAACTTCATTTTGGAACTTACCAGATACCATAGCTAACACAGCCTTTCTGTAATTTATTATATCTGAACGTAGGGCTCCTACTATTTTATGAAACCCTTCCTCATGAAGTCCAAGGATTTCGAAACTACGCAACGTTTCTCGTTGTTCACTCTCCAGCAATTCTTTTAATTTCTTATTTTGCAGTTTCAGAATTTCTACACCATCCTTATCAGAGTCTCCATTCTCCGTAACCTTATGTATTCCTTTAATACTGTGACCTTGAGATGAATAGGAACCAATTTTCATATCAAGAAAATTGTTGAATTCAATGATATCCTTCTTATAATTTTCTTTAATCTTTTCAGGTTCTCTGTTTATGTGATTTGATAATGTATCAATTTTGTTTAAAATTTGTGCCTTTTGTTTTTTGTTCTGATTTATTTGTTCTACAAGCTCCTGGACCAAAGTGTATAACTGTTGGAGATTCTCGGTTTGTGGGTTCATGAAAAGGTGCTGCTGCTGCTGTGACTGCTGTGATTGCTGCTGCTGCTGTTGCTGCACAACATTGTTACCGCCATTATTATTATTAAAACTCATTCGTGATGCTGGATAATGACAGCAATGGCTATTTCTGCTAACAAATAGAACGACTTCACTTCTATTTGTAAAAATGGACTGGGATATATCTTTCACTTATCTCTAGACCAACTTCACACCATTATGAATTATGTATAATTGTCTCAACTACATATTTATTTGAAAGCTCGGCGCGCCCTTCATTATACATAAATATATTTATTTCGCTGTACAGAAACTAAAGGATTCTTACATATTTTAAATGGAAGGATCTCTCTCCCCTCTTTTCGATAAATAACGCATATATTTATAAAGTTCCATAGATCCTTTATGTGGCTCAATACCATCAATTTAGAATATAATGATGGTAGTCGTATAATATTATCTTTCTTTCTAGATGTTTTCAATAGTTTGAATAAGATTAGAGGAAATAGTATGGCAGGCTATATCTCTAGCATTTAATAAATCATTTTTCCGAAACTTCAGCACCCCATCATTTATAGTATCTACTAGTCCACTCTTTACATGCCTACGTGCCACCCTATCTTCCAAGACTGCTTCGGGGACACTGACATTTAGAAAGATAACAGCGCCGGTATCTGTCAAGGTGGAATATATGGTTTTCCAGTTTTCTTTATCATATAATAGATACAAGCCTTCGAATATCAAGACTCTGGTAAATTTTGAAATTAGGGTGCCCTTAATTGTGGGATCTTTCTTGGCATGATCAAAACTAGGAAGATAGATATCTGGCATGTTCTTATAAAAGGTCGTTGAAATTTTTTCCCATAGGTTGACTGTGGGAACTTTCGTGGGAGAAATGACTGATGTCTTGGCTAAAATCCTACAGAGTTCTGCAAAGTTATTGCTATCAAATGTTGCTGGTGAGCCTCTTCTAAGGTGAGCCTGTTCTGGGTCTTTGAACTTGTCAAGACAGGCCCTAGACAAATGAAAACCATCCATGGGCACAATCTGGGCAATATTAACTTGTGAAGGTAACGCCATTGGTTCATTCCGTTGCTTATTTTCAACAATATATATTGAATTGGGAATACCTCCCCTTCCGAGTATTGCTACTGTGGATTGTGGATCTTTTTGACCAATACATTTAACTGGTGTGAAGTCAATATTTTCCACCAGGGATGGAAGGATTCCATTGTTCTCTTCCATTTCTTTCTGTAGAGAAGGTGTTATAAGTTGAAGTGAGTTTGTTAAATCTACATTTTTAGGCCCATCCACTAAAACAATTTTTTTGTTTGTTTCTTTAAGATAATTTTTGTAGTCATTATTTAGCTTGTCGCACACCTCTTTAGCAATAGTTGACTTACCAGATCCAGGTGGTCCAACTATTACAACTGATACCCTGTAATTCTCATCTGCATGAGTGTCCAAAAGGTCATATATTTGATCACTTAATTCTTGCATTGAGTGCTTAACCTTAGTAGAGCTTGTTATGTTTCTCATCGTACACTGTGCAGTTAAAGTACGTTTATCTAGTAGAGGAAATCGTATCTTTGGTTTCCCATTGAAATATTTACTTCGCAACAAAAATAAGCTTACCGAGATGCGGTATTATATAAACTAATAGTGGAAATTTCTCTCACTCCCCTATAAAAACGTTTTTCTTTAATACATTAGTATTGTACTTACTGATGTGGCAATTTTCCATTCGTGAAGTAAGCACAGCTATATATACAGAGTATAAAGCGGTCTCTTCCTTCCATTGTACAGGATATTAAGCACGACTGTTGCTAAGAATGGAAGACTATGATATATTCGCATCAACATTGTCACCAAGCCATATTCTTAGCAGGTAAATCTATATCATTCCCACCCTGACTGAGATAAAGTAAAATAATATTATCTTACGTGTCTGTAAAGTCGATCACTTATATATTCATCCCTATTTCTCGTATTTTAACTGAAATTGTTAAGCCAGGATTTGTGCTATCCTTAATTCATGCTTCCTTATGAAAATCTAAAAAACTTTTGTTAAATTTCTTGTTACAAACATGTGATAAGTATAAGTTTGAGTTTTAGAGTACCCTTAGAATGAATCTCTACCTGGTTTTCGTATGGCACATATCATATTCAAGAGGGTGAAAAACATCGAGTTTATCAGTAGATAGCTTCCTCGAAGAATCATTAAGTTGTCAGTAAACATTGGTATTTACCTCTTACCCCCAGAACGCAATAAATTTGTTTGAGAAGTTTAAAAATATTGTGAGCACTAAGTAGGGTTGACAATTTCCAAAAATATATGACAAGAACATGTGTTTTCCATAAAATGGACGTTTTGATAATGATGTTAAACATATAAACACCTAATACACTTTCGTGTAGAAGCAATTTTCACTCTTGGAGATCAATCGTTTCGTATTCTCGATGATTCTTATATGTGGCAACCCTTACAAATTAGAAGGAAAATAGTGCCTTCATCCCGACGTTAACGACAAAATCCAACTAACCGTAAACAAATAATCTCCAAAACCTCTATTTCGCTTTTAAAATTTTCCTTTACATACGCGAGTCAACAAAAAATAGTTTTGACTTTTAAATTTTAAAGGTTCGGTATTCGTACACAATCAAAATTTTAAAAATAATAGTTTAATTATATTATAAATATTTTTAATCACATGATTATTATTTACAATATTTATTTTTTATTTATATATATTTTTTCGAACGTTTTATTATAATTATGTGGCCTTCTTTTTGATGGTATATACTCTGAGAGAGGAAGTACTATGAAGAAGACAGCAATTTAGTTACGCTGCATTAGCTATATTTCCAAACAATAAATATAGCTACATATATGTTACACCACTCAGAATTTTAGACCTCTAATTTGAGTATATTAGAATAACATCGTTCAAAATGTTTTTTGCGTTTAAGTGGTACAGTTAAGGCCACTAACTTGGTATTACAAAGTTAATAATAGATTTGGGAGGCCATATCGTCACTTTGATTGCCGATTCTTCCATATGGGTTGAAAGGAATATATGTGGTATCATTTAGATTGTGAGATGCTTATAGAAGAACACTGACATTGTGTGTCATTTCATCTCATCCGGGTATACAAGGAAATGAAGTGAGAATGACATTTTTATGCAAACATTTAAAGCCATCATATAGCATAATATTGAGCAAACCATTTCTTTGCTAGCAGAATACAATAGGGTATCAATTGACTCATAATGTACTTTTGTAATTATGTTCCCAAAATGACGGCGACGAGCTACAGCATAATAATGATATAATAAAACTTTGTGAGAATTGTTGAAATGCCAGCTCAACTGTTTAGTCGATTTTTTTATTACATACAACAACAATGTGACAACAATGGAACATCCCTGGAATTGAGATTTATAATCATTCTAGTTTACAACGAAATCGCTTTATATACTGATGATTACAGAATACATAGTACACCTTGGATATTGTTTTGGAAAGGGTGCTACCCAAAATGCATCACAAAGAGCTCCATCAGTTCATAGCATAGTGCTAAAGCTGCATGGATGTCTTATCATCGTTAAGCAGATAATTCCAGCCCAATTATTTACTTCCTCTTTTTAGATTTTTTTGCCGACTTTTGCTTTCCTGAAGCTCCTTTAGTGTTTGTCTTATTACTGTTGGGGAGAGAGAGGTTAAGTTTATCGACACACAGAAGTGGGATTAGATCGCTTTCATTAATAGCTTTTATGAATTTATGCTCGCTAGGCCAATCCATTTCTTTATCTACCGAATCGTTATCCATATTCCGACTCATAAAATAACGCAAAACTTCTGTCATGGACTTCGTCTTTTTAGCACTTCCAGGTTGGATTTTGACTTTATATTTGTACTTCAGTAGAGCAGACCAGGGTGCAAATACCGGAATAACATCAACTACTTCATCACCACTTGCTAATGAAGGTTTCAGTTCGCACTTGAAATCATGGTAATTTACATGTACTTTCTCATTAGAGGAAAATTGTAATACCTGTTTCTGCATCTGCTTCTCGCGTTGTTTCTTCTTGTAATCCCTTTCTTCTTGTTTTAAAGTTTCCGCCCTTATCTTCTCTTCCTGTCTCTCGATACCTTTTAGTGTTCCTAAGGCATCTAATCTCATTAAACGCTCCTCTTCATCTTGGTCAGCATACTTACGTTGCATTTTCTTTAATTTTCCTTTCTTACCACGAACACCTCTCGACATCTTCGAAATTGCAGTGGTTGCAACACTCTTCATATTGTCTTCCTCATCATCAGAAGCATTATCCATCTCCTCGTTTGCAGGAGACGCAAACTCAGTTCCGTTAGGAGTTAATTTGGAGAAGTCATTGGCATTCTCAGCATCTATTTCAGGTAAAGAGGATATATTTTCTTTTCCATTGTTACTTGGAACTTGTTCTTCAATAGAAGCCTTCTTTACGGAGTTTTGGGTGTTATCATGCTCATGAACAGAGGTCAGATCGCCATCCTCATCATCAATTGACTCTTCACTCTTGACTTTCCATAGGAATGCTAAACCCATAACTAATTGGGAGGGTGATAATTGATTTTTCTCTTGCTCATTTTTAATTCTATACACACCATTAGGAAGAACGCCGTCATGGTCATCGAACTTAGACACATTGCTTGCATAGCACCACCAAGCAGAGGAAGACACTTTTTTGGACCAGGCTGTACTAGTAGACATACAAAATACTCCTGCTTGCATTAAGGTGTTCGGTGGTATTTCAGTGTTATCCGGATTTTTAATCCAGACATGGGTATCGAAGCTATTTGACATGAAAACATCTTTATCTTCAATATATCTACTGTATATTTGGTCGGTTTCCAGTGGACTTTTTCCATGTAATACAAGGAATCCCTCACTTGAAATAAACCAATTATACTTCTCAAAAAAATATGGATTCCTAATTTTTTTTAAGGTTTTGTGCGTTTCTTTCATCTTTTTCTTCAATTGTTGGTCAATTTTGACTTCAATATTTTTCATAGCCTTCTCAAGATTCTTCTCAACTTTTTTTTGTTTCTCAGCACCTGTCTTCTTGACATTGAAATATTGCGATGCATTGGCATAAGCGGAAAGTGCCAAATCAATAGTAACTGTTGCAGTTTTGGGAGTTGTGCTCTTTTTTTTACGTCTAGATTTTAATTTCTGATTATTCTCGTGTAGATCTAAGTCGGAATCAGACGAATCTGATGAATCTGATGAATCACTACTATCACTGGAATCGGACGATTCCTCATCGTCCTTATATACAGTAGATTCTTCTGGTGTACTTTCTAAAGGAAGTTTGACGTTAATTTTATTTTTTTTAAGCATTAATGGAACTTCTATCATTTCCGCAATCTTATTCCCCTTCTTCTGTTCGCTTTGAATCAACTTTTCAATCGTGCTCCAATCTGTCTGTTGATCAATCAAGTTCTGAACAGCTGCCTTTGCCTGCTCTACAGATTCTGCATTATTGATAATAAGTTCAGCCTTGTGTTCGTTAGATGACTGAATGTCGACCAATGCCTTAATTTTCTTCTCGTTTTCTGACCTAGCATCCTTGATCCTCTTTTGTGCCTGAGCCTCTTGGCCTTGAATTTTTAACGCTAATTTGTTTGATTCAATGGTAGAAAAGAATGTGTCAACAGTTCTATTGTATTCGCCAGTTATTTCAATGACGCGGTATTTGTCTAGGTCTTTCCCTTCAATAAAAGGCTTGAAGGGATGGAAATTTTCGTATATAAACTCAAGTTCTTTATCATGTTTCTCGGGATCAAAATTAACATTTTTTTGGGCAACAATATAGCCACACCTTTCTTTGTCTTCTATTAATTGAAGGTATTCATCTTGTGTTTCAGTCAGAAGTGATGAAATATCTTGCTCTTTACCTAGAAATTCAAGACATCGAGTTGATGGTTCTATCCCAGCCTTTTTCAAATTGTTAGAAAGTAAGTCAGACGATAATTGGGGCTCCTTCCTTAACAATAATTTATGGATAGAAACCTTCTTTCTTTTCTTCTTCTCCGAACTAGCGGCTGTGATACCAGAAGCTATAGTTTGTTCTTCTTCTACCGTTTTCAACCAGGATGATATTAATGCAGTTGAAAATTCTGTAGTTGCTATATCTTCGGCTACTTCGGAATCAAATAACGATCTATCAAACATTTCGTATTTCTCCCCAACTTTGTTCTCATGTTCAGAGACAATCCTTTGAAGACTCAAAATCCTCTGATCCTCGTCAAGTAACATGACGTTACCAGCACTGAAAAATTCTAGGACCAAATAGTAGAGGCCATCTGCAAATTGGAATACCAGAATTCTGTCATTTGGCACTTGTCTCAATGCTGTCAAACGCTTGCTTTTTAGATGTTTTCTTAATTTGGAAACAAAACCAGAGGGAGCCTCTGGAGTGTGTCTGGTAAATGTAGTGATATGAATCTTAGAACCACTGTCTACAACGACATTGAGTTTGGAGTCTGGCTTCCCAAACTTCAGTAAGAATTGTTTACTTGAATCCGCCACATTGTAAATATTTGTCAATCTGTAAGATTCCAGAGATTCCCTTAATTCTTTAGCCAAAAGCTTCAAATCAAGACCACTGATTCTTTGCTTCATTTTGCGACACTTGCTCTGTATTAAGTTTGTTAATAATGAATCGCCAAGTTAATAAGATAATTGTAGCAAGGTGGGTTACTTTTTTCAGTGGTATTTTAACAAATTCTAAATATTGAATAATGAATTTTTCAAATGACGATGCTGCAATGCGCAAAGCGGGCTATTGTTCGTTTATTTTTTCCAAAGTAACCTGACGGTGGTGGCAGAAGGAGGTTTCTTAAAAAATGGGCCCTTTTAGAAGTTACCTTGACAACAATCCTCAGATAATAATAATAGAAGAAGGAAACATTGTGTTTCAATGCGTCAACGTAAACCGAATTGATAGTTAAATATAATGCCAGTTAGTTATTTCCTTTATTCTACAGAAAACGATACTTTTTATTTGCTTTTTGAGTATTACTATAAATAAATCTACTGAATGTTTCACATATTTCAAGAAAAGTTATTAGCTTTACCTAAACCAACGGTAACATATTGGAAAAATCTGTTAGGATATATTGTAAAGATACAATTGATTGTACCTCAATAAAACTGTCAAAAACGTAAGAGCCAGTACCGATTAAAAATTAAAATGAACAAACAAAATACTCATGTTGAATTAATTAAGGAAAATAATGGTATATTGTAAAGAACCTGTGGTAGATTTTTAATTCGGACATTTTTTTTAGTATGATAATTGATCGATTATTTTAAATTGTGTCCTTTACAAATTAAATTACTTTAATTATGTATTTTTTTTTTAACAATATTGTTGGACTATGTCTTAAAATATGTTGCCATTTAGTTTCTGACATAAATATATAAATGGGACATTTATTTTCGGTAGCTGCTGTTGGAAATGTCAAATATATGGCACGGTTAATGTTTTTCTTCGTGTAATGTAGTGTTACTCTGAATACAATGTTAACGCAGTAGGTAAACATATCTTGACGGAAATAATATGATATGAGCATATCTAAAATGTTTTACCAATATCATGGAAAGGTCACGAGAAAATTACGTAATCACATTACTAATGCAAAAGTAGATGCGTATTACTAATGAACCATTACGTAAGGAAGATTACAGAATAAATGAGAAGGTAATTAAAAGAAATTAAAATTATATAAATACGAGTTAATCTGAACTCACAATTTGAGTTAGAATTTATTCGTTCTGTATAAAGAAAAGAAATAAGAAATCACTTACAAATTTAGGACAAAAGTACTCCTACCTTTGCTTTACAACTTACTACCACCGTAATAACCTTCATTACTTAACAATACTTATTTAATATGCAAAACCAACCCGAATCTCACATCAGTATGGCTGCTTCAGCTCATAACTGGAATCAACTACTTCTGACATTCTCTATTAATTGATCTGTAGTAATTATTTGTACAGAATGTCCTGTATTATTCCTCACTTTTTAGTCAAAAACTAAGGGTAATTTATAGCAGCACTTCGTCCAAAAATATTGAAAAGAAATAATTGGCAATATCGGAATTAAAGAAGAAAAATCACAAAACCCAGAACAAAACGTAATATGAAACCAGACCAGCCATTTATGCATAAAAATTGTTCAAGGATGTTGAGGGCTTTTATAAAGCCACAATTGTAAAATAATAAATAATTTAAGTCAATTAATTTGTAGACTATATAATTTAAAATGTCCTCTCAGTAGGTCCATAGTTGTTAGAATAAGTTAATACCAATACTAGCATCACTAGGGTTATTATTATTTCTGTACAATTTAGTACATTTTTGAGGAGATTACATAAGTGGACAGATATTACATCAAATACTTTCGAAATGAAAAATTTTGTGAGAAATTTATGGGTGATTGTATATTTAAATAATAATGCAAAAGTCATAAAATACAAGCGCAAGTGGTTTAGTGGTAAAATCCAACGTTGCCATCGTTGGGCCCCCGGTTCGATTCCGGGCTTGCGCATTTCTTTTTTACATTTTTTTTCTTTTTTGCTGCGGTAGTCTCATTGAAGGCCTTTTCGCTGACTAACGTTGTATGACATGGCGCAATAAAACATAGCCTGCAGAACTAATTTAAAGGGAAACCCAAAAACGCAATAAAACGTATATAAAGGATCACTTCTATTTTTTTCTCATTAAGTTAACTTGTTTATTTACAAAGTGTCTTTCATGGAAGTATGGTTAGTTTCCGCCAGTTCAAGAAATATGATCATTAAAAATAATATAAAATATGCATGTGAGCCTTGCATCAAAGGCCACAAGGTGGCTGGCTGTGATCATTCTGATCGACCTTTAATTCAGGTTAAAAGAAAAGGTAGACCATCGACAGCATGCTTCCATTGCAAAGAACTTCGTATGGTTCGGAATGTAAATCCGTCAGGATCATGTAAATGTCACAGCAAGAAGGCTACTTCATCGTGTGGTTGTACTGAAGGTAATCCATGCAAATGCCACACCAGACGAAAGAGAGGTCAAAATAAAGTATCAGAAGCTCTAGATAATATACCAAACTTTTCGATCAATACACCGACTAGTCTGAAGGATGAGGATATCAATGCGCTATTGGATCCGCTACCAAATGTTTTCAGTTCCGTTGTAAGTTCAAATAATGAATGCCAAAATATAACGCCGCCAACGATGACATCAGATTTCTCTACCAAAGATGATAAAATTGATAGTTTTTCCAAAATTCATATCCCCATAGAAGATTTGAATCGCAATAATAATTCGTCATTGTATGATCTAAACGGAGACCTCCATGATGATGAAAGTTGGTCTCTTTCTAATCCAACTTTGGGGGATCTTTCTAACTATAACATACTTGACCAGAATTTCGGGTTAGATTACAGTTTCAGGCTCGATGAAGTGGGAATTGATGAACAAGCTAAAATACAAAGGAATGATAATAAGTAACTAATTTATGGTGAAGACCGAAGTAATGGTAGCAAATTTTAGAGTAATGGGTAATTTTTAACTTTTTTAACTTTTTTTTCAATTATGTAGGTTTATTTATATGGCATCTGTGCAATAAAAAAATATAAAATATATGTTGAATGATTTTGTTATCCATTTCATTTATAATGTAAAATCAAGTAATGTATTTTTCATTTCGAGCTCCCACTGTCAAAAAACAAAATAATAAATAGAGACTGCAAATATATGTAAAATCTAACAAAATATAAAATAACTTTCAACAGGTCTTATAAGTTAGAACATAATAGTACTTTTCTCTAATGACTATCTTGCAAACTTACGTCCCTTAAATTTTTAGTGACTTCGTTTATATCTAATACTCCCTTTTTGATAGAATTTGGATTTTCATCATTAAGGTATATTGCCAAGCGCTCATCAGTAATGGAAAGAACGTCAGATTGATCATTTTGTTGCAGAGACGTTAGTCTTATAATATACTCCATTAATCCAATTGATTTCGAACACTCTACTGTATTTGTGCTTTCATTACTGGATTCTTTATCATCGTCATTGTTATCACTATCAATTAAGCCAGGCTCATAATCTCCAAATGCAAACCATCTAATTGAGTCCTCTGTCTTTTTGATCGACCCATCTTCTACTTTATCGTTTATTTTCAAAATAAGAACTGCTGAATCACGTTCTTCTAGTTTTAATAATTTCCCAGATACACTAAAAAATACCTTTTCTATCTTTTGCGTTTCAAGTGAAATATTTCTTGGAATTTCTTCGCCATTTTCTGTATTGTGATATCTTTCATCATCGAAACTCTGCTTGATTGATAAATTGTATTTGAAAATATTATCTCCTTGTCCAGTCGGAACCCTATCTATGTGTACAAAAGCTCTTTTTACGTCCTCTTTCCAATTAATATGATCCTTTGAATTAATATTATAGAAAATTGTAAATAACGTAATTTCAAAAGTAGGTCCTACTTGATGGCTCGATTTTGGATCTTGAGAGAATTGTTCGTTATTAATGCAAACGAAATTTGAAGCCTGCAGTAATAATCCTGGAGACACAGTTTTTGGTAATGTGGTACTTAGATTTACACCCGATGTAGTTAGTGCTAAGTTGATATAAGGTGTAATTTCCTGAATTCGTCTTAGAAGATCTTTAATGTAACGTTCTGCTTCACGAATAGCTTCATTTTTGACCTTTTGGCTTTTAGAATGCTCAATAACATTCAATTGCTCCTGAATATTGCTGTCAAACTGGTCTATCTCTTGTTTTAAGTTCTCTGTTATCTTCAACGTACTTCGTAAATTTGTATTACCACGGACAGCTACCAATTTTATCAGATCAATGGCAGAAGAGACTATATCTACTCTATTTTCTAATTCTATTTTCAAGTCTAAAAAATTTTTAGATTCGGTGCTGGGTATTTGAGTTAAAAAGTTGCTTATAGTTTTAATAGCATACGAGGATGCTAGAGACACCCCTGATTTGACTGCAAACGTGACGGCCTGAGATCCTGCTCTAGCCAGCAATTCGTCCATTATTGATGTGTTTAATTAATGTTTGTGTTAGTATTGTTTACTACCAGAACATAGTTATTGACTTATTCAAGTCGTAACGAAGAAACATTCTTTTAAGCTCTTCTCTATCATCATTTTTCAATTAGCACCAATATCCTATATTTAGATTTAACAAGAAGCGTCTCGGTTAAGCAGGCAGAAAGAAAAAAATAATCAAAAGAGTAAGGTGGTTAAGTAATTAAATAGATAAACAACTGTAACAATTCCTTACCTTTTCATTTTTTCATTTTAAATAGGCTCGAAGTTATTAAAATCAGATACATATAGTTATAGTATATATCTAAAAAAATACAGAAAATTCTTAATGAAAAAGGAAAAGACAAAGAGAGTTAGAAACTGTGGACAATCTAATGTGAAATATATTGGAATGCAAAACTGATATCATTATATTTATATTCATGACGCAATAAATGATCATTAGTCTTTTCTAGTCCCTTATGATTGATATGGTTCCATGATGTTGCATCCCCGTACAACATTGTTGGGGCTCTTATGGTTTGTTTACCTTCAGAATTGCATCTTTTACAATGATAAGTTTCATGAGTGTCGCAAATTGTCTTTTCATTAAATTGAAACAATTGTTTCAAGTTATCAGCACTAAACAATCTTTCAACATCTTCTTTGGCATCGACAACACAAGAACTTAAACTCATTTTCATAGATTGTCTTTGGAAGATTTTTTCTTCGATTGAACCTGTAGTGATGAATCTATAAATAAAACAATCCTTCTTTTGCCCATCTCTCCATACTCTTGCCAATGCTTGTTGATCTGCAGCAGGATTCCAATCTGGATCCATTAAAATTAGTCTATTGGCCCCAATCAAATTAATACCACACCCACCTGCTTTAGAACTTAGTAAGAAGATAAATTCTTCATTTTCAGGGTTATTAAATCTATCAACCAATTTTTGTCTTTTGTTAATATTCATAGTACCATCTAATCTAACCGTCCCATAATGTTTATATCTACACATTCTCTCAATTAGATCTAAAGTTTGAGTATAATTAGAAATTAAAACAATCTTATCGTCAGATTCCGTATGAATCTTATGTAAGAATCTTTCAAGAATAGAAAATTTTCCCGAGTATTGTGTTTGAATATCCCTACTCTTTGAACTAGGTGGTTCATAATTATCAGGAATATTAAGATCTTTATCTGGAATATTGGCAAATTCTTTTTCAAAATCTAATAAATTTGGATGATTACATAGTTTTTTCAAAACACCAATTGCCTTTAACGGTTGTGATCCACCATCTCCTTTAACTAATTTTTTCACATCTCTTGATCTTAATAATTGTTTATAAAGATTATTTTGAAATGGTTTCATATTTACGAAAATGACATGCTCATATTTACAAGGTAAATATTTTGATAAAATATCATTAGTTCTTCTAATAATAAATTTTGAAACAATATTTGATAAAGTTTGTAATTGTCTTTCACCTTTATCCATTTCTTTATCTGATGCTTCAGCATCACGACCTCTTAAGATAGGAATTTCGAAATTTTTTCTAAATTCTGCTCTTGTACCTAAGAGACCAGGATTTGAAAAATTTAATAGAGCAAAATATTCTGATAAATCATTTTGAATTGGTGTACCTGAAAGAATAATTCTTCTAGGACAATTAATACTATCCAAAGCTGTAAAGGTTAAAGATTCTCCATTTTTTAATCTATGACCTTCATCTGCTAACATTAAACCAACATTACAACCTTTCAATTGATCTACATTTCTTCTTAAAGTTTCATAAGAGATAATCAATACAGGTTTAACAATATTTCTACCTTTAGCTTGAGCCCAAGCATGAACAGCATCTGCCACGGTAGCATTCCCACCACCAACTAATGAAGATTTTTTACCATCAACAGCTAAAGGTGATAAAGTCCCGGGACCTAACCATTTTACTAATTCATTAGCCCAATTATTGACTAAACTTGATGGACAAACAATGATACATTTATCAATTAATCTTTTCCCTTGAGGTCCTTGTCTTAATAATGTCCACATTAATGCAATACATTGTAAAGTTTTACCTAAACCCATTTCATCAGCCATAATACAACCATATGCACCTGTATTAACAGAAGGTAAGACAGGTGTAACTTCTTTTTTTTCAATTTTCTTTGTCTTCTTCTTCTTTGATTTTGTTTTTTTGTTTTTATCCTTTGAGTCATCAATTTCATTATCCACCATTGAGATTGATTCATCTATTGAAGATATATCATTTGAAGTATCTTGTTGTGAATTTAAAGCATTTGTAATTTTTTCTGAATCTAAATAATCTTTCATTGCAAGACCTGTAACGCATCTATATAAAAATTTTACACCTTCAACTTGATGAGGTCTTAAAATTTTAGTTAATTTTGGATCCATTACAACAGGAACATTTGGAAATTTTTTTGTTGTTAAATCTAATGATGATTCAGATGGACCTAATAATTCTAATAAAGATTTATTTTTAAGACCATTTGACATAAGTTGTGGATGTACCATTGAGTGTTTCAAAGTTTTAATATTATTTTCTTCTTTATTATTTTTTTCATCTAAATTTATTGGTGTATTAGTTGTTAAAGTTGGATCATGTATAATCATTTGACCATCAACAGATGGATCATATAATACAATTGCAAATTCATCAGATGGATCATGTAATGGTCTTGGCTCTGTAATAATTTTTTTCTTAGTACCTAAAGTTAATGGTAGACTATGTCTTTGAATATAACCTTTAATTGGTACAGTAAATGATCTTTTTAAAATTTTTTCAATATTATCTAATCTTGATGGTTCATCTAATAATCTTTGTGAACTTAGAGCATTTGTTAATTTTTTATTTAATAAGAATTTTGGATTTGTTAAATCATCAATTAATTCATTATTTTCATCAACATCCATACCAGAATAATTTACAGTATGTGAACGTTTCCTTAATATTCTATTAGTATTAGTATTAGTATTAGTATTAGTAGTGGTAGTAGTATGATTAATTTTATTAATACGATAAGGTACTTTAAAAGGTTTATTTAATTTATTCATTGATAGGTCTAGATTGATAGGACGAGGTACCAATCTTGGTCTTTGAGCCATACCAATTCCATTTGGTGGTCTATCTGGTAATCTTCTTCTAGCCATTACTACTTGTAAATAAAAACTTTTCCTTTACCACACACACTCTTTATATTGTTCAATATACCGAAACGAAAGAAAAGGTTTAGGTTTCTCTTATTCTTGTAGCTATCCTTTTTTTCTTAGTTTATTTATTATGGTTTGCCACCTAAATTTGTTATATTATTATTGCTTACATGAAATGGTAAACATTAGTCTACTACTTGCTACCAAAAGAAAAAACTCCTTCTCGATCTAAGAAAACACGAAAAAAACAAAAACAAAAACAAAAAACTTTACAGAGAGAAAATAACGTGAAAGAAGCCCATAATTTTTTCACTTTTCGCGATATAAATCTCTATTATGTATACACAAATAAATATATAAAGGATTAGTAACAAGAACACTTTGCTATATTAATGAACTAACGGTTTGCTTAAGATATATATTCTTTGTCACTAAAATAGTTTTAAAAGATAACGGACTTGTTCAACGTGTAAAGATAACGATAATTTCAACTACAATGAAATTCCATCGAATTAGCAAAACTGTCTAAAAAATAAATATACATATATTTACTGTATGGTACCCGGAGATATATACGTAAATTTGGACTGACTATAAAATCCACAACAGAACAACCAAGATGTATCTGCTTCTTATATATATATATATATATATTTTATAAAAGAACCGTGCTACGAGAAGAAAAATAGGCAAGAAGAAAAAACCAGTTCAGCACTCCGACAACTTCCAGTAATTTAAATCTGAATCAGGCCATCATCCTATTATGTTGCGTGCATACGTACAATCAATCTAAAGAAACAGCACAACAGGCTGAATACAACGACTTTTGCGTGTGGTAAAGAGAGAAAGCAATTGCTGTTTCGCTCCGTTTAATTCCCATTGATTTCTAACAAATCGCGCACACGATAAATTCATCAAAGCAACATTGCCACTAAAAATTAAATGAGAAAACAAACAATAATTTCCCTCTTAGCGGGAAAGCCCAACGAAGCAAAAAAACGAATTTTTTGGTTTCGCCGCCGCCGCCGCCGCTTTTTGTTTCCAAAATTTTTTGTATTTTTTTCACGTTGAAAAATTTTCTTTCTCATTGAAAAATTTCGGAATTTTTCTCTTTTTGAAGTTTTCTTGCCTGTAGAAACCCCGTAGTGACTCGACTTTTCTTTTCTTTTTCATGCTTGAAAATTCGATGAGAAGAGAGAGAGAGCCATGGATGATCTTCGATGTTAGTATGAGACAGAGACAGAGAGAGAGAGAGGGACGTCAAAAAAATTAATGTAATTATAATTTCGAGATGAGAACGACGACGACGTCGTCGTCGTCGTCGCATATACTCCATGTTGCCGTTTCGGTGTGAGTCCCATCATCATCATCATCAGTAATTTCTTACCTCGATGTGTTCATCGACAATTGTCAATCAATTGAAAACAAATTATCACCATCTCTCTCTATATATCAACATATAGTTGAAAAAAATATCAACAACAAGAATAATTTAGATATTTAGATATTTATATATATAAATATATATGGCTGTGTGCATGTGTATTTATACACATTGAAAAAAATAATCATAATAAAAAGAATATTAATATCCAAGATATGAATACTGCTAGTATCACTATCTCAAATAGAGATGAAGACCTACCACCATTGTTATTACCAAGTATTAATCCAAATATAAGAAATATAATGAATGGAACAAATAATATTATGGATCATCATCATCATCACCATCATCAAGATAATAGTAATGATAGTAGTAGTACTAGTAGTAGCAGCAATGCTCCGACAAATATTATTAAAATTGACCCTTTCCTTCATAAGAAAAGACAATTAGAGAATACTAATATAAAGAAAGAAGATCAATCATCAACTTTAATTAATGGATTAGAAAGCTTAGCATCATTAGCTACAAAAAGACCAAAATTATCATCAACTACATCAAATAATAATGCAACTATGCCTGCTAATTTATTAATGGGTTTACATCATAATATACATACACCACCTCCATTACTAAACAACAACAATAATACTACTACTACTACTACCACCACCACCACCAATACTGGTAATAGTACTCCACATAGTATTGATACGCCACGTAGTATTACACCAGCAAGCGGAATTCCATCAAGAAGTGTTACACCTTTAAGAAAAAATCAAATAACATCAAATGTATCTCCAACTTCTTCTGTATCATCATCTTCAACAACAACAAATTCACAAACTTCAAAGAGACAAAGAGTGGGTCCAAGTTGTGATAAATGTCGACTTAAGAAAATTAAATGTGATGCTCATATTGAAGTATTAGTTCAAGATGAATCTGTTCTTACTTTTGCAACTGATTTATTACATTATGCATTAACTAGAGATGATGTTATACGACACCGTACTGTATTGGAATCTCAATTCCATATCGGCAATGATACTTTAGATTCATTCTTAAAACAATCATTTGATAATTATAATCCTCATGCTGGTAATAAACAATTCATTAATTATTTGTCAATAATCAAACATATTGATAAATTAATTCTCTTTAAACCATGTTTATCCTGTTGCAAGAAAAAACATTCGGCTATTATTACTGGATTTGTAACACCAAACCCATATACAGAATTTTTAAATTGTTGTACTTTTTCAAAAGGTTTTACTAGAGCTGATATTAATATCTTTTCAAGAATAAGTAAAAATATTAACGGGAAAACTATTTATGAAATGAATACGAATGATTATAAAAATGCAGGTTTTTAACAAAAAAAAAAAGTACACAATATTAATAAAATAAGTTCCATAAACTTCAGCACCCCCCACCTCAAACACACTCTTTTAATTTTTCTTCTTTCATTTCATTTCATTATATCTTTGCATCATGGTTAATTATGCTTTATAAATATATTTAACCATACCCACCATTCATCCTACTTCATCCCACACCATAATTCATTTTCATTTATCCACCATCACCACCTACCATTCTTATCATTTATCCCTTTTTATTTTATCTTAATATCTATATTTAATAACTATATATATAGATATATATAAAAGAAAACTATTTAGTGAATTTGATAATATTGACAATTAATATTTTTTGTTCCTACTATATTCTATTATTTTGTCATTATTACTTTTAATTCATCTGTTTAATAGTATCTTTTAGTTGTATACCATTACTTAAATAATAATACTAAATTAATTAATTAATTTTCAATATAATGTAAACATCAATAATACACTAAAGATGATATGAAAACCCAATACGAAGATCATAGTGAATGGAAGCCTTACATGACCATTCCCGCGATTACAAATTTGCATATTCATATATTGGGCTGTCTTAACATATGCTAATGCTATAATGGCCCATTCTATAGCAATTGCAGTCTTAAATCTTGTCGCTATACTATTCGTTATATCTAATATAGGTAAGATAAATAACCAAATACTATTCCCATAACCATAAACTGTAATTAAACCAATTAAATTCTTGGCATTAGCATTAATAGTCATATGTCTACCACCAGCATCATTTGTAGGCTCATTTTGTGGTAATCCATTATCTTCACCATTTGTATCATCCTTTAGGATAATTTGTAAAACAATAAAAGGTACAACAAATGAATATATACCAAATAACCAAATAGAATGTATTAAATTCCAATATATCTTATCACGATCATTGGTTGGTACAGACTCACTTATTCTTTCCCCTTTTATAATACCATAATGAACTAAATTGATTAAACCAGGAAACATAAATTTCACCAATACAATAGCACATGTAATCCATATAGCACCAAATAATTCACGAGACTCTGGATCGTAGGATTCAGATTCAAATATTAATTGATTAATCCTCAAACTCCTTAAAAAACGGCCTTTAAACGTCTCTGTAGATAATTGGAAAAACTTAGAGTAATAATTAATTAGTCCAGGCGGTAACTCTCCATGTACCGAGGTGCTATTATTTACGTTCGTAGAACTACCATTATTGACGTTACTATATTCACCATGTGGCTCACCACTAGGTTCTTGTTGATCATCTGCTATCTCAGAATAATCTGGTAAAACAGTAGTAGCCATACTTTTAGTATCTAAATCAGGAGCAACCGTGGCATTACTCACACTAGTTCCATGTTGACTATCCTCAAATGGGTTTGGTTCATCCAAGAAATCGTCAACACCATCCAAATCGTCGTCAACCCCATTCAATGCTCCATATTTTGTGTTCGACATTATGGTATTAATATATCAACTAATTGGGGTATAGTATTGTTACTTTATATAAATTTATATCACTCAATTTAAGAAACATAAAAATAAATCATCTTTCATACATATATATTTGACAATTATTTAAACCCACTTATGTTGTTAAATTACCGTTTCTGCCCCTTTACCAAATCTTGGAACCCTGCCGACAAGAACATAATTGGATTTATACAGTAAAATCAGTGGTCGGACAACAATTCATAAACCAAAAAAATTGAAAAAAAGAAATGCGCAAGCCCGGAATCGAACCGGGGGCCCAACGATGGCAACGTTGGATTTTACCACTAAACCACTTGCGCTTGTATTTTATGAACTCTATAGAATTATTTGTATATAAGGACAACTAAAAAATAAAAATAAAATATTTAAAAGTTCTCTTATTTTATTTTTACGAGGTCTAAAAGAGAAAACTTATTTAAATCGCAGAGCTGTAATCAGTGGGTATAACAAGTACCAAAATGCAAATTGTTGAATATTGCAAAGATGACTGTACTTCCTCCATCAGAACTATTACTGATTCTTACATTCTGAAATTAAGACAATATTTAACAGAGCTGGTATACAAAGGTCTTGTTAATGAATAATAGTGGAGTCAATCTTGGGATACAGGCAGTATACCAATGTTTTGAGTAAAATATACAGAGTCCGAGAAGGAAAATTTGTTTAATTTAAACAATTTAAAAGGTTTGTCTTCTCCTGTTATTTATCTCTGTATAGGTTCACAGGTATGTATACTTTATTAATACATTTACACATATACAGTGATGTTGATACTTTGAATTGTGTATTGTTCTTTGAAAAGAGCCACGTGATTTATAATTTTTTTTTACGATGGAATAACATTAATTGTCTGCCGCAATATAAATTCAAGTTTGAGCTTCTTTTCAAAATTTTCCGTTTGCATTGAATTAAATCCTAAAATGTATCACAAGACATTATTTCTTTGGAAGGTGAGTTTGTCACTACTAAAAATTTAAAAGTTGCATAGTGGGGAATGCAATTCTTCGAAAACTGTTCATGGTGTATTTTAATGGAACACATGAGGATTCTCTAACCTAATAGACTAGATTTGTTCCTCATGGTATCTATGAAAACAGAGATGGGTGCAATTACATCTGTGTATGGAACCAAAGTTTCTCAAATTGAAAGATGCTGTTAAAAGAGAAGAGGTGCAAGGAATCGAACATAGTAAAATTCATGATATTTTGCACAGAACAGGTTATTCCAGTATATGCTCTTTGACACTCTGGAAATGATACAGAGTGGGTTTGGGCTCTTACCTTTTATAAATTCACGGCTAAATAACGGAATCACAATATGAATAATCGTAGCATCCAAGTTGTTGCTGACGGATGCTCCCGGATAGCTTTGACGCGAATTTCACCCCAATGACAGAAATGAAACAACAGAAATATATCTAAACTTGTCTACACGTTTCTTAGACGTCTATGTGATTTCGGCGTGCTTTTATTCAATGTTTCATCAGAAAGTTCTCATCTCGCAACAAATACTGCCATGTTTGCTCAAGCATATTTGAAAAGTATGCGTATACTTAGGCTGCGTGTACACCTTCATAAATAACAGACGTAACTGTACTTAATGGTCAGGTTCTTTACTGTAATAATTTTGCTAGGGCCATATAACTTGTTATTCTTCATTAAATTTACTGGGAAGACTTACAGCTCGATCGGTTTGGGCCTCGTGCGAAGAGACTGAAAACTATTTCAAAATTTGGGAAAAACAAAACTCATCGCTATCTCATCGCACCCCATTTTTATTTCAAAACAAGGATGAGTAATAACAATTATGTCAGGAAATATATGAAAATTTTCATTTAAATATCTCTGAATACACTTTCTCATCAAAATTCCAGTTTTATACACACCGATACAATCATTTTTTGGGGTAAACCATATACACTTTCTAAGAGAGAATTTCAAAAACGAACTAGGAATCTTCAAAGTTTATACAATTACCCAAATAGAATCTTATGTTTATAAGGAGAATCCTAAGTAAAAAGATGTCTACACATAATTTATTTGATACTAAAGTTTTACGAGTTAAACCAGAGTCCATAAAATTCCCACCGAATTCCTTCTTGGATGGCTCGCTGCCCATAATATCAGACCCAGAGACAGAGGCAGCTCTCAGAGAGGCGGCACGTATAATCAGAGATACAGATGATACAGTAGCGTTTCCTACAGAGACTGTATATGGTCTAGGAGGCTCGTCTCTAAATGATAACTCTGTTCTTAACATATACAAGGCCAAAAATAGACCCAGCGATAATCCTCTAATCTCACATATTTCATCTATAGATCAGCTGAACCGTAAAATATATGGGGATACAAATGTTAATCCATCTGAATTACTGAAGCATATTCCAAAGTCATATCATTGCTTAATTAAAACCCTCTGGCCCGGTCCTCTGACAATTCTTCTACCTGTCCCTCCTCAAAGCACTAACACGCTCTCAAAATTAACAACAGCCGACCAACCAACATTTGCTGTTAGGATCCCATCTAATCCTGTAGCAAGAGCATTGATTGCATTAAGTGATACGCCAATTGCTGCACCATCTGCAAACGCTTCTACTAGACCATCGCCAACTCTTGCATCACATGTCTATCATGATCTTCAGGGAAGAATCCCTTTGATATTGGATGGAGGTGCTTGCAAGGTTGGTGTTGAAAGCACTGTAGTTGATGGTTTATGCACTCCTCCACTTTTGTTAAGACCTGGTGGCTTCACATATGAAGAGATTAAAAATATTGGAGGTGAATTCTGGGAAAATTGTAAAGTCGAAAGCACAAAGAGTGTAAAGGCAAATGAGAAAGTAAGAACACCTGGTATGAAATATAAACACTATGCCCCATCTGCTAAAGTTGTTCTTTTATTACCATCGGAGGATAAAAATAAAGAGAAGAAACTACTAAATTTTACACAACTATTTACCAAAGAGGTAAACGATAACCCTGCAGTTAAAAAAATAGCTATTTTGACAACAAAATATCTCGATAATATTAAAGATTCTGAACTTGAAAATTCCAAAAATTACGATTTAATTATCAATACTTTAGGTTATAGTGGTGAGGAGATTCAAGCAAACTTATTTGCAGCATTAAGACAAGTTGATGAAATTGACAAAGTTGATCTGATATTTGTCGAGGGGATTCCAGAGGAGGATGAAGGTCTAGCTGTCATGAACAGACTAAGAAAGGCAGCTGCGAACAACTCCATAAAGTTTTGATTCGTCCAAATATTTAATTACATAGCATATAATTTCAAATTATCAATATGGTCATATCCCAACTCAGTAACACAACCAAACTCTTCATAAATATTTAAGTCTGTATCATTATTAGTATTATTGTCTTCATTTATGATAAACACACATACACACATATATATAACTGTCGTATTAATTGCTTATTCTTGAAATTGTTAGAAGTGAACACTTTGTGAATGCATAATATCATCTCTCAACGAATAAATGGAGGCTTCAAACCATTGTAGCGTAACGATTTTCTTCTTCGACGTAGTTCGTTAAGTATTGGTTTACAATAAACTTACGCAATTCATCAACTACGAAAACTGTACTACCCAAACAAGTTAGTAATAGAAGATCGAATGCACTCAAATTTTCTGTCTTAAAAATGTGCTGCAAAACTGGAACATATATTACACATAACTGAGCAACTAACGAAAGACCAACAGATAAATTGAACATAGTATTAGAAAAAATACCAATCTGAAAAATTGATTTTGTAGAATGTCTACAAGCCAAGGCATTGAACATGTCAAAAAATACAAAACATGTAAATGTCATTGTGGTATCTCTTGCAGACATCTCACCGTTTGTACTCATTTCTTTAACACAAATGAACACAGTTCCCAATATAATACAAAAAGCAGTTCCTAAAATACGACCCAACACTCCCATAGTTAAAATTCTTTCAGAGCGGGATCTAGGTGGTTTCTTCATTACTTCATGATCAACAGGTTCTACCCCTAAAGATTGGGCAGGAGGACCATCCATAAGAATATTAATCCAAAGAATTTGCATAGCGTTCAATGGATTTGGTAAGTTAAATGCAGTGGCAAGTGCTATCATAGAAAGTGCTGCAATAGACGTTGATAATTGGAATGTTAAAAAATTTTGAATATTATTAAAAATACCTTTACCTTCTTCTACAGCAGTTAGAATAGTACTGAAATCATCATCAGTTAAAATCATATCAGATGCTTCTTTAGCTACATCTGTACCAATAATACCCATAGAGATACCAATATCAGCTAATTTTAATGCTGGTGCATCATTAACACCGTCACCTGTCATAGCCACTACATCACCTCTTTTTTTCAAAGCTTGAACAATATTCAATTTATCTTCTGGAGTAGCACGGGCAAAAATGTTTACATGATTGATCACATTAGCTAATTGCTCATTAGTCATTGTCTTCAGTTTATCACCTGTCAAGACACTAGTTTCTTGATCAACGACAGGAATACCAATTTGCTTAGCAATACTAACTGCGGTATTTGGGGAATCACCAGTTATCATAATAATATGAACGCCACCTTGTAACAATTTTTTGATAGCTGGTTTGACGGTGGCACGAGGTGGATCTCTCATACCAATTAGGCCAGTGAATGTTAAATCATCAATATCATCTTCTGAAAATTTTGTAAAATCATCATCACCTTGACATGGTCTACTAGCAAAAGCAAGAACTCTTAGACCATCTGATGCTAAATGATTAGCACATTCAATAATAGTTTCTCTATTCTTTTCCGTCAATTTATTGATCTTACCATCTTCTGTTAAATAATTTGTTGAACGGCTTAGAATGACTTCAAATGCACCTTTTACACACATTAATGATGTTTCTTTATCATCATGTTTTTCTTGTTTAAGTCCCACAGCCATAAATTTTCTTTTTGAATTGAATGAAATTTCTTTCATCTTAATATAATTATCTCTTTCATCTATCAAACCGAATTTCGTCAATTCTTCCAATATTGCAATATCTGTAGGATTACCTAAAAATTTAGAATGTTCCACTGAGAAAGTTGCATTATTACAAAGAGAACCAATCTCTAGAGTTCTCTTTACATCATACGCCAGATAATTTCTCAAATCTGTAGTGGAGCCTACATTTAAAATATTTTCTTTTGTAGACATACTTGATAAACACCACATCTTGGATACAGTCATATGATTAGCTGTCAATGTCCCAGTTTTATCTGTACAAATAACATTGACGGATCCCAAAGTTTCCACACTAGGTAATCTTCTTACAATTGCTTTTCTCTTAGCCATTCTTAATACACCTAATGCTAACGTTACTGTAACAATAATTGGTAAACCTTCAGGAATTGCAGCAACAGCTAAGGATACTGAAATTTGAAACATATCTAACCATGATCTTCCTTGCCATATTCCAATAATACAAATTATACCAATGACCACAAAACTAAATAAGGAAAGTTCTTTCCCAAGACGATCCATTGCAGTTTGTAATGGTGTCTTTGGTTTATCTACTGTACTCATCATTTCAAAAATTGAACCAAATGCAGTTTTTTTACCAGTAGCTACAACTAAACCTCTACCATGACCTTCTTTGACTAAAGTACCCATAAATGCTATACAATGTCTATCAGATATTGGAATAATTCCTGTAGGATTTTCAGGTACTGGATCTGAAGATTTATGAACTGGATCTGGTTCACCAGTAAGACTACTTTCATCTAATGATAAATCTACACTATCAATAATTCTTAAATCGGCTGGAATTCTATCACCTACACGAAATACTACAATATCACCTGGTACTAAAGTAGCTGCCAATACATGTGATTCTCTACCAAATCTAACAAGATGACACATTGCAGGGACTAATTTATTCAAAGCTTCAATAGATTTTTCAGATTTATATTCTTGAATGAAACCAACTAACATAACTATAATAACAGCTGCAGTTATACTAATTGCATCACCAACATTGTGAAGTATAGCTGAAACTATAGCAGATCCAATTAATAAAAGGATTAATCTATCTTCAATAAATCCACTTAAAAATCTTTTAAGTAAACCAAGTTTCCCATTATTATCATCGTCATCATCTGAATTTACTTCATTTGTTCCATGAAGTTCTCTACGACGGTCTACTTCTTCCACACTAGAGATACCTGATGTCCCATCTGTATTTAATTTACTAACTGCTTTCTCTACAGATACTGTTGCAAATTCAGCTGAAGGTGTAATATTAATAGCTAAACCTGCCGCTATAGATGTATTTAATGGAACATTTTCTTCTACTATTGTAGAACCATTTAAATTTGACGATATATCATCACTAGGTTGCGAATATATATCTAATGGAATATCACTCATACTGATAATGATTTAATGCAAAAGTCAAAAAAAAAATAAAAAAAAATTATAGCTTGAATATGAAAATAATACTAGTTTTAAAGGGTGATAGATAGAGAGACCGTGTGGCTAAATGTAATAAACTTGTCGGTATTCAAATGAAATAAAATTGAAACAAAAACTTTAACAAACAAAAACCTTTTTAACTAATAGATTGATCAACTCATCTACAAAATAAAAAAAATAAATAAATTTGTATAATGGCCAAAAGTTAATATTATTATATACTTATAATCTTATAACTAATTTCAGTTCTTTTTCCTTCCACTTTTAGATCAAAAAACGTTAGATGGTCAATTTAACATTTCAAGTAAAATTAATTAAATTATTAGATATCATCATCATCACCATGATCGTCATCGTCATCGATGTAATTAAATTTAATTGAGGCAAAGATAGCCAAAGCCCGTTTTTAATTGTATAAATCAATCCGAGTACTACTGCAATATCTGTGAAATTAATGTTATTTAATCACATCGTCATCGGTAATCCCTTTTTTCCTTCTTTTGCTACGCCTCGTTTTTTTGGTGGTTTTTTCATTGGCAAATTTCCAATAAAATTAAGCGGCGATGAAGTTGATGAGCTTAATGCAGTATTGTTAGCAATATATATGTTAATTCCAAACCATGCGACGTAAAACAGCTATACATTGAGATAAGTTACGAAAGGGATCGATATATTCTTCTATTTACATATGTTAAAAGATAAAAACGCCAACAGAAATGTCTGCCAAGGTTCACCAAGGTTCACAGTTTCGTTTCTTTTCTTTTTTTTTCGTATTCATGTAAATCAGGTGTGTCACAATCAGTAGTAACCTGTCTTGACGTATAATAAATAGGTTCAAAAAGAAATATATATATATACACACACACACACACACACACACACACACACATATATATATATATATATATATATATATATAGTGAACTCATGA